CCTAAAACCTAAACCCTAAACCTAAAATCCCTAAACCTAAATCTTAATTAAAAATATTTTTTATTACATTAATTTCACTCTAATAAGTAATGATCTTAAAAAAACAAAAATAGTTAATAGTAATTTATATTTATTAATACATATTGTTTAAATTTCATTCGAAAAAATAAGTTGATCTTGTTATAAAAAAATTATGATTCATAATTAAAAAAATGTCACCCCTCTAATACCATATAAAGGAAATTCTATAAATGTGAATATTGATAGGTGTAAAAAAATAATTAAATTTTATACCCTTTTTCCCACAGCCCAAGTTTAAATAGTTTTATTTATAACATAAAGGAATATTTTGACCTAATTCTGTTTTTATACCTCTCATTTCGATTGTTGCGTTTAGCTGACCTTTCCTGAAAGTCTGTTAAAAATCTAATTCCATTTAATTCTTGATATAAATTAATTTTTTCTATACATTCGCTGAATCTATTTTTTAAACTACTAATATTAACGTTATGAAGTGAAAATATTTTCGATTTTAAAGAAATAAATGTCGATTCATTATATAATAATAAAGCTGTTATTTCAGATACAGTTATTTCTGAACTAGTAATCAATTTAAATATATCTCTAGCCATTATTACTTCTTCAGGTTTTGAAAATCTTGACCCAAAAAATAGAATAAGATAATTTAATTCAAACTCTACATTCCTTAAAATAGATAGTTCTAGAAAAGAAAGACATAAATTTAACCCAAAAGTCTCAAAGTCAATTTTCTCCATATTTAATGGATATTGAATTTTTATTTCATAATTATATGGCAATCTTCTGCTTGAAACACCCAGTTCCTTTCTTAAACACTTTAAAAAGATTCCAATATTATCACCAGCAATTGAGACAATCTTGTCCCCAACTGAATCTTCGTTATATATAATTAATTTTAAACTCTCATTAAATTCCATTCCACTCAAATCTTGATAAGAACAAGAAAGCAAATATAGTAAATAAGATGAATAAATATAGATTAATTTGTTCTGAAAAATTAATATTGTTATTGCCAAACTTTTCTTTGGGTCCAGGCATGAAAGCATGTGAGTACTAGCTAAAAAATTTTTAATTAGTTCTTTTCTTGTTTTTTCTTTTTTATTGTAAGAAGAATATAAAAGAAGCTTGAGTCGATTTATGTTTGTCTTATAAAAAAAAGAAATTAAGCTCAAATGCAAATCCTTTGATTCTTTCCCCTGCCAATAATTAACTAGCCCTATAACCAATTTAGAATTATCGAAATTTGATCTCAGGTCTTGCCAAAATTTAGTTAAAAAAAGGTAATATGAGTTAAAAACTAAAAATTCAAATTCCATTATAATTACATTTACAATTTCTTTAGATAAATTCGTTTCTAACTGTTTCTCTAAAATAACAAATTCCTCTTCTTTAGAACTTATATTTCGTTTGGGTGGCTTTGGTAATTTTTCTTTAATCCCAGAATACTCTACTGAAAATAGCTCTGAACTGCTTTTATCTATTTTTTCTGACACTACATCCTTAGGTTCTTCAGATTCAATATTCTGATTAGAACTTTTCTGACCTACTAATTTTTTTTCTACATTTGGTTCTGAGGATTCGGAATTAACGATATTAAATTGAAGAAACAGAATTAAATTTGTAACATTTAAAATTAATATTGTACAAAATTCAATATATATTTTCATTTCAAACAAAAATTCCCTATGAAATAAAATTTAAGGTTTTTGTGTGATTACTTTACAATTTACAATACACACATGTTCAATAATATTATTATTATATCAGAAACTCTCTAAAACACTGAAATTTATTTGTATGTTTGTATTCGAGATACAAATATTTTTAGAATGTGAGCTTTTTATAATAAAAACAAATAATTTCAGAAAATTGTCTAGAAGCATCCTTATAATTTACTTTAAAAAAAATTCAAGTTGGGTATTTTCAGCTCAAAAAATCTAAACAATATACTAGATAAGAGTAAAAGATAACTAAATATAATTTACCGTTAATAAGTTTTGAAATTTTGTTAATCTTCACAAATTGTTTTAAATATCATGTTTGGGTAGAAAACCCGCCTTAATAATGCACAATCCCAAAAAAAAAGTTTTCAATTTCTATTAAAATAATAAATCCACAAAAAAAAAAAGTCGAAAATTTTTAAATAAGTTATTAAATAAAATGTTTCTATATTTTGTATGGCTAAATATTTGAGTTGATTCTCATTTGTATGGATGGATTGTTCACTTGGGAGTATGGTGTATAATTAGATCAGTGTTAAATAATAGAACATTAAATTTGTCAAAAAAGTAGCTTCAAATTAATTAATCTAGATCAACCTCTTTAAGTTGAACATCCTTCTTATTTGTATTGTTAATTTCTGTCTCGAAAGTTATCAATCTTCTATAGACTGACATTAATTCCGTGAATCCTCTCCATCTTTCCTGTATAACCATGAAAACAAATAACATATCCCCCATAAATTTGTGGGCCGTGTAGTAGATTTCTACAGTCATTGAACCATGAAAGAATGATGGCCATAAGAAAATATTACCAAGGAACCAAGCAATTTCATTGGCTGAAACATACAAAAATTGGAAAAAGAAGGTACACTTAAAAGTTGAGTAGTAATTTCTAGTCAAATATTCATAAACTGATTCTAACTCTTTTGTGTCAACGTTATGTTCAGAATCTTCATTCAAAGCAAGGATCTTCCTATATTTAGCTTCTAGTTTCTGATTTTCAAAGTGAAGATATGGCAATTTGTAACTTGATAAAATTAAAATGATTAATTGAAATCCAAATATAATAAATGGAGGAAAAATTATACCATTCTTCAGTTTACCTAGAATAAAAAGCTCTGGAATTGTGGGTGAAAGTGTTATTAGTTCGGGAATAATTTTGAAGAATGTCATTGCTGCACTTAAAATTTCAAAAGTAGTAAGACGAACTTGTTTAGCCCATCTTGCTGTATCTTCTTGGACTCTCTGGGATGCTCCCTCAATTTCACTAATTAAGTTCCAACTCTTGAGATAATATTCTGTAAGTGCCTGTCTCCAGTAAAATACAAATATATTTACAAAGTAACTTCTTAAACACCTTAATAATGAAATCATTAAAAAATTTGCAGCAAAGTTGTTTAACGAAAATTTAAGCATTTCGTTAACTGTGCAATCTGAACTCTTCGATTCACAATCTGAGAGCCTTTGATTAAATTTCCCAAAAATTTTAGTCATTTTAATATTAAGTTCTGTTTCGAACCACATCATAACTATAAGTGTTATAATCAAGGGATAGGCTCTAAGCATATACTTTTTGTTAAATAAGTACGGTGCTATCATATTTTGTGTTTATTTATAATTTATAGATTCTCTTGATTCAATGTTAATAAAGTTAAGATTATCAGTCAAAATAATTTTATATAAGGCTTAAGACCTTAAAAATAATAATTTCCTTTTCTTCTTGTTACTTTTTCTGTAAATATGAAATTCTGTTTGATGCTTTAACTAATATTCTTATTCTCACAAATGCGTTACCTGGCGGGAATACTACCATAATATGCTAATTTTTCGTGGCAAAAAAAAATTAAAAATTGACATTTTCCCGGCATGTAATCAAAAAAAAGCTTTCCCACCTTACCCAAAAAAAAATGTGATTAAATAATTTATTGTAAAAAATTACTATCAATATTTTTGGAAATTTATTTTAGGAAAAAAAAAGAAATGTTTCTACAATTTTTTGGTGACAAAAAATATGCCTTATGGGCATATTTAGGATGGTTTCTAATCTTATGTTTAGCTATTTTTGAGTGTTTCTTTGACACTCACTCTAGCTACCTTATGGAGTACTATGCAAATTGTATGCAGAGTCTTTTAAATCCTACTCCTGGAGGTTACAAAGCTACTGTAAACGACTTCTTCCAGTTTATTTATGGTTTTTTATGGATTGAAATAGCAGGAGTTTCATTATGTAATGCTTGTAGAGCAATTTTGGGAAACTTTATTGCATTTAAATGGAGAACAGCTCTAAACAATTACTATCTGAAGAAATGGGAACACCTTAAGATCATTGAAGGTGCTTCCCAGAGAATTCAAGAAGATTGTCAAAAGTTTGCTGTAATTTTAGAAACTATTGCTATTGAAATGTTATACTGGTTTTGCAAGGCATTTGCTTTTTACCGACTTGTTGTTAAGTATGGTAAAATGTTATCTTTTGTACCATTCTTTGGATCTCACTCTCACTCCTTGTTATTTGCTGCTTTAAGCTTTGATTTAATATGTTTTATTCCATTAATTATTTCAGGAATTAAGCTTCCAAGCATTGAATATGAGAACCAAGTACTTGAAGCATCTTATAGGAAAAAGTTAATTTATTCAGAAGGAGTTTCTATACAAGATGAAGACCTTACAACAATCAGGAAACTTTTCATTGAAGTTAAAAAAAATAGCTTTCAAATGTATAAGCACATGATGTTCGTTGATTCTGCATCTACTGCAACTATTTTTTTCAGACAATACTTTGTTGGCCTTTTTATTATTCCTTCTTACCTAAAAGGAGACATAGATTTTGGTATATATACTGCTTCAGTGGCTGTTGTAAATAATATGCTCAGAATTCTTTCTTATATTCGACAGGAATGGAGTAATCTCATTGAATTACTTTCAATCAAACAGAGACTTGACGGATTTGAAATCTATTTAAAAGAACACAGTGAAACTCAGACATTGGTTGGCAATCAGGAGTAGAAAATTAACTTTTAGTAATTTTGTTTTACAGCTTATTATTTGTAATGTAATTCAATTGTATTGGTCACGATTTTTTTTATATCTATGATAAATTAAATATATATAAATTAAATCTCTGAAAAAAAAATCAATGATTTGTTTAGGAGTTTTAAACTTAAATTTTACTGTAACTCAATTTAATTTTTAAGTTCGAATCAATTTTTATTATTTTGTTGTCTACTTGTTATTCTTCCTGATTGTGTACAGCTAAAGTAAATATGTGCCAATAATTATATGTAGAATTGCAAATGCATTAAATAGGTTAAATCTATTAGTTTTGCTAAATAAAAAATAAAGAATTTTAGATTCTAAGTAATTAGAAGAAAGTATTGATAACAAATTGAAATAATTAAGAAACTTGATATTTTCAAGTGGCTTATTGTAAGGTAAACATGCACTAATAACAATAGATTATATAGATCACAGGACTTATTATATAATTACTTTGTAAAACTTGTTAGATATTGTTTCCGACATAAACTAGTGATTTAATTCTCTATTCTTGCATATTTTCAGATTTTTAGAAAAGCTAGGTACTTGTTCCGTTTATTTTATTAGTATAATTTCCAGTAGGTCCCCATAAAATATAATTGTTATTATTAGAGGAAGTTAATATATTGTCTGAAATATTATATACCGACTGAGTCTCATATATTCCCCATTCTATTCCGAAAGTTTTCTTTTCTTCCCTACCTTCCTGCTTGTAATTACCTTTGATTCCAACTCTTGTTCCTAAGCTTGATAAATTTGATTTTAATAAGGGAGGAGCCCCATTAATTGTTTCAAATGTGGAAATAAAACCAGAATATGATGAATTAATGATCTTTGAAACCAAAGTTTCATTATTTGTAAAGCTGTTGAGAGAATCGTCAAAACCTCCCCATGGTTTGTTTATTGAAGGTGAGAACGGGTCATAGCTTCCATCAGAAAGATTAAACTTTCGAAGAATTGGGAATCCTAAAAGGGCATAATCTGAGATAGCATTACATGAGCATTCGAACCTAGATGTTTCTTTTCCTTTTGATCCAGAAACAGTCAGTATGGTCCTACAAACAGATGTAAGCCACTGGTCTTTAATCTTTGCAGCACAAAGCATATTTGAAAGGTCCAGTTCATCTCCGGTTTGTATATTAACACTGAATTCTACTTGCTGAAGCATATTTGTGGCTTGATAGTCCACTGAACACCAAAAAAGTGAAGCAGAACCTATGTAAACACCAGGATTTTCTTTCATTTCAGTTTTGTTTCTCTTCCCAATATCAACTAGGCTATCATAGATTCTTTCAGAGCTGATTGACGCTGATGAAATTGTAAAAATGGAGCTTGAACAATTAGTTTGTACTTCTTGAGGATTATAAAGCTTCTCATTAAGCTTCAAATAATAGGAATTAATCAGATGAAGTTCTCTAAAGTCCATTTTTGTAAGATATTTAAATTTCAATGAACCAATTTGAACTCCAGAATAAGCCATAAAGAAGGATGTAGTATGAATATCAATATTTATACCTGAATATTTACCTGTATAATTTAGAGTTTGAGTAGGTCCACTCCAAAAAGAAAATCTATTAGCGACAGCTTCAACTCCTCTAAGAATTATATCCATTCTATCAGTACTTGGTTCAAGTGTTGTTCCAATGTCTTTATTATTAGCAAGGAGAAGATCTAAATTGTCCAAAATGAGATACTTTGTGCCAGGATTATTAGCACATTCAGCATTTAATGTTACATTTGGAAAAATCTGTAATGGTGCCAAAGTGTCTATTTTTAACCCTGGATTATTAAATGCGACTTCTAAAACTTGCTTTAAAATGAATAAAAGTTGATGTCTAGATGCAGCAAAATCTAGTGCTCTTGGAATTTGATTTGGATCCAAAATCTTTTCATATAGTAACTCAAAATAGTCCTCCCAAACTAGTTTTTGCGATATTGGCTGTAGTAAAAGACCAGAAAGTAACTGGAAAGCATCATTGAGAGAATAGTATGACACTGAATTTAGAGACGCTGCAATTGCATCTAGAATGTTCTCATCTGAGTCCTTTTCTTGCATCTTTAATATTTGTTTTGGACAAATTTGAGTTTCTGAATCAGGGGAAGAACACCAATGAGAAAAAAATGTATTTTTGATGCTAGATAAACATGGAATACTACAGCCACTATTTGAAGATGTTTGAGCTCTGAAGTATATATACCACGTATCTGTAATTGCAGGTAACCTAATTGTTTGTGGAAGAGCTAATAATGAATCTCCAAGTAAAATAACCGTAGAATCTTCATTAATAGTTGCAGAACTTGATGCGAGAATACCTACAGAAGGGAAAACACCAGATTGATAATCAGAGCCATAGAGAATCTTTTCTGCAAGTATGAAAATAGCGTCTGTAAGTACTGAACCCTCTGGATCAGGAGCAAAAACACTCAAGGTGCCCACAAATGGAGGAGATTCTGCCAACAAATAATAGGAATACATTGCTATCCCAGATGGAGGAGTTGCAGGGGCTGCTCCACTAAAGCTACTAAAAGTACCTACTCTTCCTGAAAATGGCTGGTTAAAGCTTGTGTAGAAGTTCAAAAAGCAGTCTAAGCTTCCTCTGAGACCTGCTGCAATAGGAGGAACTTCAGCTGTTAAAGGCAGAGTACCATGAGTTAGTAAATTAGATAAAGAAAGCTTTTCTGGCAATATCTTTAATTGTAAAGGCTGCATGTTCTGACAAAGTAAATATGCTGTAGTGTATATTGCTGTAGAAGCTGGTAATGAAGTTTCAGATCCCAAAGATAATTCGACACTTACATATGTATTTTCCAATGTTGAAATGTATATCGAATAAATAGAGTCTCTAAAGTGATCCCATGGTTGAGTCATTGAACTCAGCCTTAATATTTGAGGTAAGGAAATTGGAACGACCGGAAGCACCGGAAGTACATTACAAAAGCTATGTGGATACCAAGTTTCTTTATATGGATTATCATCCAGTACCGTAATTCTAAACCAGGAGCCTGCATCAAGATAAGTACTGAAGCTTTTTGGAAAATTTAAATCAGTTAAGTTCTGAACTATTAATGCAACCTTACTCTTATCATAGGATCCAGCAGGAATATTAAGTGACCAAGAATTTACTCCTAAAGCTCCTTGGTTAGCAACACAAGGTTCCAAGTTTTGGGAAATAGTACAATCTTCAGAAACCATTCTTTTAAGTTCAGTTGCTGCTTGAATTTGGGTGATTGACGTTTTTGGCTTAAAACAAAGCCATTCTACATTTATATCTCTCATCTCTTCATTGTTTGGAATATATCTTGGAGATCTACAACTCATTGCAGAGCCTGGAGAGCCGTATTGGCCAAACATTCTAAGAGTATAAGGTTCTCCTAAAGCAAAATAGTCAAACAAAACTTCAATTGAAGATTTTTCATATACATTAAAGGGGGATTTAACCATTATTCTTGGTCCATGGTTGAATATATCATAAATTATTGACTGTGAAATCCCTAATCCTGGGTATTTATGATTATATGGACGTAAATTTTGAGGTTCGTTTTGAGAAATACCACCAGAAACTGAGTATCTAACAAACTGACTCATTGTAGTTAACACTCCCACCATATGGCCTGGCTGAGTAAGGTAACCAGAATGTTTAAGTGGAGGTGGATAAAATTGACTATTTGAAGTTGGATAGCTATCCATAGAATCTGTATAGCAAAGAGAACCTGCTTTAAATCCTGCTCCAAGTTCATTTACAGCTAATGGGTACGTTCCATTAAAGAAACACCCACCAATGTAATTTGTATCCAGAAATTGATATCCAGGAAGAATATTTTTTAATTGTCCATTAGTATCTCCACTCATTGAATATGGAACCTTATTGAAAAAGAAAGTCCCTTGGAGAGTATTCATATGATAAATGTTTGAATCTGATGTATTTTTTAATAGACTCAGTGTTTGGTTTTTATCAATACTGTAATCATTTCCTAATTCTGCGTGCTCTGGATAATAAAATTCAAAGTTGCTTCCACAACCTTTGTAACCTGATTTTGGAAGATTTGAAGGAGGAAGTAACTTTAATGGTGAAAATCCTATAGGAACATTGCTCGCTCCCCATGAAGGAACAACTTTATTTTCATCCTTTCTCCAATCTTGATATAATTGAATTGGTAAGATCGCAACAGTAGGATATACAATTGGAATTATTCCTGCAAGTCCTTTTTTTGAAATCCAACTATTTTCTGATTGAGAATTTGAATCAGAGTTGGAACCAGAACTATTTACATTCGTGTAATTTCCATATGTAAGTGTGACGTTAAACTGATCTAAATAATACCTTTCAGATTGAGATCCAACCACTGTTACACCTGGTAATACGTCATCTGGAAGAAAAATCTTGTAAGTTAGTGGAAGAGAAAATGTCCCACTAAAATCACCAACAAAGTTTAAAAATGATGGTAAATCATATTTGTTTTTTCTTCCAAAGAAGTGAGAATTAATCCATTCAAACTTTGAACGAGTTCCTAAAATTGCACTGGATGTAGGAATTAAAGAAAGAGTATGCAAAACTACACTTCCAGGAATCAAGTATGTAATATTAGTATAAGAGTTTGTTTGAAATACTGAAAAGCTTGCCATGTTTAAATAAGACGCAAAATATGTGCATGCTCCTTCTAAAATAGCCGTTGAGTTAACATTAAGATGAGAATAACTACTACTTACTACTATTGTATCATCGAGGTTTTTGTAGTTACAACCAAACTCAATAGAAAATCCACTCTGGCTATTTGTATTTCCAATAATTATATTCACTGGATACATATGGCTGCATGGTGTTAGAAGTTGAGGAAATTGAGGATATGCATACAATGAATTGAAATAATCAGGGCCTTGATCACCTGTTACTACAATTGTAGTGTATGCTTGTCTAAAGTGAGAAGCAAATTGATCATAAGTGTGTGTTGGATAATTTCCCGGACTAGTTTGGCTAACAAATTTATCCAATAATATTTCAAGTATTAAAATAAGCAGGAAAAATTTCATCTTCCCCAATGTAAATAATATCTTTTTGAGATTATCGGCCCTTTATCTCATATATTGTATTTGTAATCATAAATTGAAAGAATTATTTGGCCCTTATTATACCTCTCACTATTTTCCAAATATCATTTTTTTTCTAAATCCTTTAGGTCCTTTATATTCATTGTTTACAAAAAAGTGTGGTAATCTAATTTTTAAAAAATTTGCTATTTGTTATTTAAAACTCCACACAATTAATATTTTCAATTTTATGTCCTTACCTTTTGGAGTCTTCAAGCACTAATAATTTTCTGGCAAGATTGCATGCAGATTTAATTTACTAAATCTTTGATCGGCATATTGCAAAAACTTTTAAGACCTATTTATCCTCAAACTAAAATATTATGATTCTAGTTATTTATAAGACTTTATCATCTAATATTGTCTTTTTAAAATTATCATGAGCCTTTGTTTTCATATTCTAGTTTATTAGTCTTTGTAAGTCCGCACTTTCCCGCCAAAATTCCAATATATTTTTAAATGTCAAATTAAAACTGTTGAATAGGGAGAAAAAATTATTACAGGTATTATTACGTATTTGAAACAAACTAATAAAAATTGAAGATGTCCGAAAAAGGTTACAAAAACCTTGTTAAGGAGAGCCAATTATTTGAAAAGTACTATAAAGAACAAAAAATAGTTCCTATCGAAGAATGGGAAGATTTTCTAAAGTACCTAAAACAAGATTTACCATCCACTTTCAGAGTGGTAGATGTTAGTCCATACTCATCTTCAATAAAAGAGTTTGCGAGGGAAATGGAGGGAGTTTCTGTATATTTGAATGAAAATAGTGATGAAATGGACAACTTAATAAAAGAAATTAAATGGTATCCCAAAGGTTTGGCTTTTCAAATAACAAAATCAAGAGACAAACTAAGAAGATCATCAGGTGCTTCAAAGGATTTTCACTCAAAACTTGTTTTGATGAGTGATGGAGGTAGTATTATGAGACAAGAAGCCGTAAGTATGTTACCTGTCTTATTTTTGGATGTGAAACCAAATCATTATATATTGGATATGTGTTCAGCTCCTGGCAGTAAAACTTCTCAGATTATTGAAATCCTTCAAACAGACCAGGCTATTACGGGAGAGTATCCCAAAGGTTTTGTTGTTGCTAATGACTTAGATACAAGAAGAGCTCATATGCTAATTCATCATACAAGACATTTAAATTCCCCCTCACTAATTGTTACCACTCACTCTGCAGATCATTTTCCAGATCTTTATTTAGATGATCCAGGGCATGATTCACTAAAGAAATTTTATTTTGACAGAATCTTATGTGATGTACCATGTAGTAGTGACGGAACATTGAGGAAAAACCCAAATCTATTTGCTAAATGGTCTATAAGCTTTTCTCTGGGTCTTCATAGGCTTCAAAGAAACATTCTCTTAAGAGCACTATCTATTCTTAAGCCGAAGGAAGGTTTGCTTGTATATAGTACATGCTCATTTAATCCATTAGAAAATGAAGCAGTTATTTCTTCAGTAATTAGTTCTTTAGCAGCTAGAGGAGTACAAGTGGAAATTGTAGATCCTTTAACTATTTCTGATATATCAAAGGAGGTTATTTCAAAAACCAAGTTTGGAAGAGGGATTAATACATGGAAAGTCCCAATTCCAAGGAAACAACTGAAAAAGAATAAAAACAAGAAAAAAAAGTGCGAAGAATCAAATATTGAATCAGAAGTAATTCAAGAACCTAAAGAATTCTTTGATAACTACGAAGAAGTTCCATTCCACTCAAGAGAATCCATTTTCCCATCAATGTTCCCTCCTGAAGATCCCAAAATAAAGGAGAGCCTATCAAACTGTATTCGAGTTTCCCCTCATCAAGAAAACACAGGAGGATTTTTTGTTAGTGTTTTAAGGATATTTAATTCTGAAAATGAGAATCATAAGATGGTCAATTTCAAAATAGAAACTCAAGATGATTATTTAACTTTGTCTGACAATCCAAATAAGGATAATATTATCAAAATGCTTTTTAATCCTTATGGAATCATTGATTTCAACCGAGAAAAGGTCATGAGTACTTTAATTTACAGAAACCCTAAAGGAGATTTTAATAGGGCTTGTACTAACAAAAAAAGCCTAGAAGAACTTAACAAAATGGAGAAAAATGATTTAAATGAGAAAGGTAATACAGACAAAATAGAAGATGATTCTACTATCATAAGTAACTTTAATAATGAACCTTCTATTCAAGAAATGGAGGACTCTAAGTTCCCCAGAAAAATGTGGCAAGTTTCTGAGAGTGTTTCTAAATTCTTATTTTCAGCTAAATCCAAAAATCCTCTCAGAGTTATCCATGCAGGATTTCCAGGTGTTGAACTGTCTAGATATAGAAAGGGTCCAATTACAATCGAAGAAGACCAGCTTATTGACATAAACTTTCCACCAATTTACAGATTCAATTGTGCATTCAATGCATATTTACATTTCAGTCATGGCCTTTCGCTTGACAACACTCCAAGATGTAAAGAGTTTTCTATTCAATCTGTGCTAAAGTTACTACAAACACTAGAAAAACCAACAGAAAATACTGGAGAATTAAAAGAATTCCATCCTTACAGAATTCCTAGGCATCTTCTTAAAGAAGAGGAGTATCCTGAACTCAAAGGAATTTTTGACCTTCCTGGATCTATTATTATTAAGCTAGATGTGAAAAGGCTCGGTGAATCTAAACCTATTTTCTTACCAGCTCATGTAGGTCGTCATCACGTTGAACTTTTATTGGACAAGTTTTTGAGGTTCTGCGTTAAATTCCACATTGAATGGCTATGTAAACAGCTAAATCTCTAGTATAGATGAAGATTGTTATTTATTATTTTCTCTTTTTTATATATAAAATTAAATCTTAATCACTAATTTAATTTTACTTCTATATACTAGAATCTTCTTGCGCTACTAATTAGACTTTAAGTTTAGATCCCCTTTCTCCATACATAAATGATTATAGATGTAAAGAAACACATATCAAATAGTGCTATAAAATAAAACGAACTAAACTTTGTTTTGAAAATTACAACCATATTTTTCTAGTAAAACATTTATTTGCTCAATACAAGGCTTAGAAACAGATGAAAGTTCTCGAAGTGCTTCCAGACCAGAATTGGTATCTGGATAACCTAGAGAGAGAATTAGATCTGTTCTTGAAGGTATAAGCTTAAACGCCATCATGGCTATTCCAATCTTAATAAATCCATGATACGGTCTCAAAGATTTATTATAAGCATCCCTAGCAGAAAAATGAAGGTCTTCTGCTGAAGCCGATATTAAATTTTCTATAAAGTGCTGAATAAAGTTTGCAGCTCTAACAGTCCACAAAAACTTAATTACTGCACTATTTGAATTTGATCTAATTTTATCAAGCGTATGAATCTTAATTTGAGACCTTAAAAACTCCTCAACCGACTTTGCATCAGGTGATTCTCTTTTCCAAACCTCTATAGCGTCGCAGGAGTTGCTTATAATGTCATTTCTAAGCATATTGCATACAAAATTATCACCCAAAGCAGAGTGATAAAAATCTGAATAAAGAACTGCAGCTTTACAGAATTGTTCAAAAAGTGGAACCGGTATTTTTTCCACAGTTTCAGTGTATGCCATGGAATTTCTAAATGCAGTGGCTATGTACTCTAAATTTGAATAGCTTTTCAAATTAACATTTTGTCTGAACTCTTTCAGACCATTACAAACTTTTACTCCATTCATCTCTTAAATACGACTAGGTTCTTTAATCTTTCCCAAATCTCCTTCTAAAGTAATAATTCTCATTCCTAGTAAAGGATTTCAGAATAAAATGATGTGCAATATTGTGACATTTACAGACTAAATTTTTGGGCGCCAAAAAAGATTCATTATTTAAGTTTAAAACATGCAAAATATGTATAATAGAAAAAAATAAGAGCATAAATCCCAAAGATGGTGAATCTGGGATTAAAATAACACATTTTAGTAAAGAAAACGCCATATTGTCTCGTATTCCGCTAATACTACTCTTCTAGCAGACAGTGAACAGCTTGGCTAAAGTATCAGAGTTGACATGCTTGGTTGCTCCTGGACCAGCTTTTTGGAGCGCCATGAGCACGCTTTCAATAGCATTTTCAGGTTGCACTTTCTGAGCTTTAGAACTCTCCTTTTCTGGGTGATCAGTTTTTCTTTTTTTGAGTTGACCGGTCCCAGTAATACCTGTATCTGTATTATCTGAGACTTCCAAAATCCCATTGTGCTGATAATTATTTGAATTAATTGATTCTTTATTTATCTTTCTAAGCCACGATGGAGGAAGTGTGTCTTTTGTAATTTCGTCCCAAAGGAGTCTTTTGGCTTCTCTTTCATCCTCATCGAGCAGCAGATCATTAATTTCTGAGTCACTAATTTCGCTTAAATCGTCAGAGCTTGTTATATTGTCATGGTCTTCATATCCCGAACTGCTAATTGTAGTGGAGAGGTCTGAATTTGCAATATTTATTTTCTCTCCGCCCGTTGATTCTATTAATCTTTCGTTGTTACCTTCGCCCTGAGTACTTTCCTTCGCTGTTTGTTTATCTTCAGTTTCTACATGGAAATCACCAAAGTCTTTAAAAAGGAAATGGAGAGGATCCATGGCCAAGTCTTCTTCAGCAGAGGTTGAGCCTGTGGATGTTGAAGCTCCTGATTGAGAGTTTTCTGAGGCACACTTAGCTTTATCAAATGCATTGATTAATTTGGAAGCAATATTCGTGATATCTTGTGATGTAGGTTCATCATTACAAAGTTTATCTTGATTAATGTCTAATTCTATTCCTCCTAAAAACTTGGGGAAACTAAGATTTTTTCTAGATCCTTCAAGGTCATCAGCCTCAATATCGATGGGTTCAGACTCTTCCTCCTCCTCCTCCTCATCATCCTGTTCTTCTTCTTGAACCTCTCGGTCACCCTTCTTTTTATCTTCATCATTACCTAATGGTTCGTTCCCCTTGTTATATTTAGAGTTCAAGTCTGCTTCAGAATCTATTCCCTCAATGGCCAATTTGTCTTCACCATTAGAAATTGCCAAGGCCTTATTTGCTTCATCCTTCAGACGGTTTTTCTCGAAACACGGTGGTCCCCTAACAATTGGAAGAGAGAGTAAATCTGTATTCTCAAACTCATCTGCTGTTAACTGAGCTGTGGAAGTATGCTTAAACTCTGCAAGTCTTTTTAATAAAGTAGGTGAAGAAATTCTTACTATCTGAGCAATTTCAGAAGAACTAACAGGAATTCCGTGATATCTGGCAGAAATAAGTAAAGCTGCTCCGCATAACCCAGTAGGTCTTCTCCCAGTAGTAATCCAATTCCTTGTTAATGCCTGGACAATCCTGACTCCTGTTGCTGCAACTGCATGAGTTTTCTCCCCTAATTTCATTTGAGCTGCAAATCTCTCCATAAACATTGAAGGATCAATATTTGGAACATGCAATCTAAGTAAACGTAAAAGCTTCATAAAAACTTGTCCTAAAACTTTTACTGGAGTTTGAAGTACATCACTGAAATCAATGAGCATGTGAGGTGTCTTCTCTCTCCTGCATATTGCATATAAACAAGCTGATGCAACGTGCATATTGTTTCTACCAATTGTGAAACTTCTCTGAACTGCCATAAGAAATACTCTTTGAGCTGATTCTATATGACTACTAGAAAGTCGTAACTGATCAGCGATTCTCTGTAAATTATGATAACCTCTCTGTAGAACGTGCTCTCTACTCTCCCTATTCCCATATACCATGGCAAATCCTCTAACACCCGAGGAAGGCACGAAATGTCCCACCATTTGCATTGAACCATTTGAACATTCACTAAATTGAAGACCTTCAACCATAGTATTCTCCTCTAAAACAGTTCCACAATTTGTACATATTGTCTCTCCTCTTCCCTCATGTACTTCAATGCTAGTACTAGAACATTGAGGGCAAATTCTCAAACCCATTTTCTCTATCCTTTTCTTTTTCCAAAACAGACCACTTCAATTCTATTCAATTAGTAAATAAGCTGTTTTCTCCCATCGGTGCCCTTCTTTGAGCACAGATTGCTTCTTTTATTTAAAATTCTTATTTTTAATGACTTTTAATACATGAAATCCTACATCAATAAATTATTCTCTCTAAAATTTGGCACACCCGCGTGCGCCATACCTCTGTGTTAGCCCCTGAATTCATTGTATTATTAACAAGATGAATGCAAAGACACGCTGCAAAGAAACCGTGAATGATTGTGTAAACAAAATGATGGAGAATATGAATCGAATTATTGAACAAAGCCAAATTTCAACGTTGGAGGGTACTGCGTACGATTCATATCTATCTTCGTTTTCCATGAAAATTCAAATTCATAAAATTGTAAGTTATTTGTAAGTGACTGGCATGTCACTTTACCAAAAAAATAAATCTTAACAAGAGGAATAGACATTGATTCATCAGTTGATGGATTTTCTATCCTTTGTAGTGATTATAAGGCATCAACTAACACTCATTGATTGTTTTGATTCTTACTTTTAGATCCAATGTTGCCAAAAAATACAACAGGTCGCTGCTGAAATTACTTTAAATGACTTATTAAATGATCCAAAGCATAAATTTAATCAGGTCCAGTTATATAAGCAAAACTATCTGACAAAACTATCAGAAATAGATAACTTCCAAATATAAAAATCTAGCTTGATTTCAATAAGTAATTTTCAATTTAACAACTTCATTAGCTTTAAAAATATCAATAAATAGTTATTGAGCATTTAAAAATATAAAATCCCAAAACATCTGTTTCTTTTTAATAAAAAAAAAAGATATTACATTAATTTGATTATCTATGTTTGAGTCTTAATTAATTTATTATTAATCACAAATTAACCATAGCCTCGATAAATTCTTCAGTGTTTACTAACATATACTTTAAAGATGTGGTTACAAGTGATTCTGCACTTATAGTTTAAAGATGTCGAGTTGATCTTTATTATAAATACAAAAATAAAGATATATTTTGGTACAATTTTGAGACAAAAAATATACCTGAAAATATTTGTCATTCAATTTTTGACAATTCAAAAAGAATTTCGATCAGAGTAATCATCACAATACTCAATATCTTCGTCTTCTGTGAAAAGATCGTCATTGATATTGGCGTCTTTCTCATCCCCGTCAAATCCAAACTCTACATCAGAATTAGAGTCTGAATTAGAATTTGAGTAAATACAAAGTCCTTCATTACTTGGGGAAGAATACTGGTAATATTTATCTTTATCCGCCATTATTTCAGCCATAAATTCCTCAAAAACTTCATGTGGCTCTAAGTTTAAATCATTGTTTATTTCTGAGCTGTTTTTTCTGACAATCTTGTCAATACTAGAATCATATTTGTTTCTCAATTCATCATTTGAGAGTATTTGGTATGCATTTGAGATCTTTTTAAACATCATTTCTTTAAGTTCTGTATCCGGCCTATTTCCATCAGGGCACCACTCTAATGCAAGCCTCATGTATGCCCTATATATATCCTCTTTAGAACAATCTTTGTTTAATTCCAAAGTATCATAATGTGTGTTGGTCTTTTCAATATATGAGTTTCTTTGCATTTCACAAAGTTCGCTTTGAATTTTTGTTTCCCTTAATTATAAAATCCAGGCGCCCAAATTTTTAAGATGCAGCCACTAACACTAAAATAAAAACTAATTAATTAATTAAAGAGCGAATATTACTGATATATATATTTATAGTATCTAAAATTATGAGAATTCAAAGACAAATCTGAAAAAAAAGCAAAAACTATATATATATATATATATATATATATTAAAGTGCAAAAACTTATTAGATCCTCCCTAATAAATTGTGGTGAACAGGCAAATTATTTAGCTTCCCAGAAAATGACAAGTACACCACCAATTATTGATTTTTATCCCCACAAATCAACTCCTTTGCTTCATTTACCTTAGAGGCGACATAGTTAGAGCCTCCATTATCTGGGTGATTCCTTAGCATTAGCTGCCTGTGAGCCTCCCTGACTCTCGCCTTCGACGCAATAGGAGGTACGTTTAATATCTTATAAGCTTCCCTAATACTCATTGGGTTCTCAAATCCTTTAAGTTTTAAAGGAAATTTTCTCGTAGACCCTATTAAAGGTTTGACTACACTACGAGGAACGAGCCCACCTCTTTTTGCTAATAATGAAGTTCCTCTTGCAATTATAAAGCCAGCCCCAGCAGTTATCATTAGAAATGGCCAGATCATTTTCTTCTTTAGTGTCATAATCACATTTGTTTTTTTTTTTTTCAGGGTGCTATTAAACAATTAAAAAATAAACTATGGCGCCAAAAACTCAATTTCAGCAGAAAAAAAAAAGTTAATTATATAAATAATAGTAATTATGAATAATATCGGCAAATGTTGGTCAATTTTTTATAGTAGCAACTTTTGCAGCTCTAAGAATCCTATCATGGATTTTGTATCCAGGTAAAAGTTCTTCACAGACTTGGCCTTTAGGCTTAGATGCATCTTTAACCTCAAATACTGCTTCGTGTTCTTTTGGGTTAAATTGTTTACCTAAAGATTGGAATTTCCTGATTCCATATGACTCAAATACCTTATCTAATGTCGAGTATGTCATGCCAATTCCGTTATATAAGCTTATAATCGAATTTTTGTCGGCCTTTTCAATGTCAACAGATGATAATGCTCTGGAAAGACTATCAGAAACATCCAGTAAGCTTCTTGCAAACGCTGAGATTGAATATTCCCTCGCTGCTTCTAAATCTTTCTTATGCCTTTGTCTCAAATTCTCATTTTCTGCCAATGAACGCAATAGTTTCTCTTTAGATTCTTCTATTTTGTGGATATAATCGCTTGTGTCCTTTTCAAGAATCTTAATTCTCTCCTGCAAAACTCCAATCTTTGCAATTTCTGCCTCCCAAATCGCTTTTTCCTCTTCTTCGCAGATCGTTGTCGACTTTGACTTGCTTGATATAGTCCTTGTACCCAAGTTCCTTAAAAGCTTCCTTCCAAATAAAAAAATTTGGCCCCTAGGAAAATTGCTCAACAAACCCACTCTTGTTAATCCAGCACCCAAATTACCTCCTAGGGCCAGATATGGTAGCATTTTATCTGCTACCACCACTTAGTTATTAAAGGCACAAAAAATGATTCTTAACCGCTTAATCTGGTTCAACCTCAGTATAGCGCCAAAATACTTTATCCATGAAAATACCATTAAAATGCTTGAAAACCCAAATAATTATCTTACCAAGTGCCCTGATTGTTTTATTATTTGAAAATCAATAACTAGATGATCATATTGTCATTACTTGTTTAATATTCGAAGTTTGTTTTTTTTATACCTTAAATGCAACATATATTATTATTCGTTGAATGAACAAATTCAACTAAAAATATCAGAAAATATGAGAATAAATCAAATTTAGAATATTTAACCATCAAAACTTCTCAAAAAAACTAGGCAGCAGATTGATTTTTTTAAAAAACTATTTTTATAATATGCATGTAAAAAAAAAAAAAAAAATTTGCAATTTTGGATTTGGGTATTTAGTTTACAAATTGGCGTAAAGCGGGAAATCCATTATCATGGGTTTTATTAGTCATGTCTCGTGGAGATAATGGCTTTGAGCATTAGTAATCAAAACATTCATTTTAGAACATTTTATTTAGTTAATCTCATCTTTTTACAATGGGAAAATCGAAAAATTCGAAGATCATTAGTGAAGCAGAGCCATTAGTTGCGTCTAAAAATAAGAGCAATGGTATTAATGCGTATATTCTGGTTTCCTTGGCATTTCTCCAAATGCTTGTAAGCTCAGGTATCATTCTTGGTTGGCAGTCTTTAGCGAATATAATTAAAGATAATGGAACATACAGATTTCTTTGTGAAGATCCATCTCTTCCTTGTGTAGAGGAAGAAGTGTATTTGGCAAATCTTATGACTATTTCTCAATCCATTCAAATGTTTTCTGTATTATTCTTAAGTATTATGATGGATTTCATTGGGCCAAAATTCATGGCAGTTTGCCAGTTTATTACTGCATTAGGTACATTTATGATTGCAGTTGGTGACCCAAAAGGCACAGTTGATTATATTTGGCTTGGTGCCATTTTACAAAATTTGTGTGGTTGCATTTATATCCCATCTTTCATTCATTTATCAAATCTTTTTCCCAAAGGTAGAGCTGTTGTCGCATCTACATTCTCAACATTGTATGGTTTTTCATCTCTTACCTTCCTTGCTATACAAATAATCCATTCTCACTTTCAAACTACACTAAAAGCATCACTCCTTCCTCTAGCTCTCATTCAAACATTCTTTGTTTTGTTCAGTTTACTCCTTCCGAACAAAATTATTCATTTAGGAGATACTTGTGGTTTTTCATTAAAAAAGTATGGCTTTTATTCCATTCAAAGTACCTCTAACGAAAGTAACTCTGAAAATCACATCAGTATCGTCGACAATCATGCCAAAGAAAGAAACTCCAGTTTCATTGAATCTAAGATTAAGCCTTTATTAAAGTCCATTTTCTCCAAAATGTTTGTAGTTCAATTCCTCTTAGAATTACTTGTAGTAGTTTCAGTCAACTTTTATGTATCAACCCTCTCATTACAAATAGAGGAGCTCAGTGGCTTAAGCTCAATTGAGGAGAGAAAAAAACTTGGATATCACTGGTCAACTATATTTACAACCATTTCTCCATTTGGTTCAATTGTTGGTGTATTGGAAGGCTATTTAGTTGATAAATATGGATTATGGAAATCATCACTTGTTCCAATCATACTTTTAGTTCTTTGTGCATCATTTAAATTGGTGCCAAATGTTCCATTCCAATTACTTACTTTCATTGCATATACAACCAGCCAAGAAGCTGTATTTAGTTCAGCTTACTCTCTTTTTACTTTGGCAATACCTACCGATGTTATTTGTACTTTTGCTGGAGTAAACCTATTATTACAGTCATTCCCTGTAGGATATCTTCCTCAGTACTTGATTTCATTATTTAGTCAATATGGGTGGACTTTCCGAGAGATCAACTTTATGCTTATTTCTCCAACAATTATTGTAGGAGTCATTTACGTCAAATTCTTATATACTCTCGAAAAAAAGTCTAAAGCAATTATGAGTGAAACACATTAGTCTGTGTTAAATTGAATATTCATTGATCGCCAATTATTAATCCTTCTTTTTAAAAACGGATCTATTTATTCCTTTTTATTGCTGTCATCTTCATTGGTAACCTAAGTACTTGTCAAAACTACTTTCGCTTAGATTCATCACAATACCAGTATCTATTTATATTCTAGAGATACAAAAAACAGGATCGTTTGAACTATTGTTCCTGAAAACAAATACGAAACCAAATAAAACTTAAGTTAGGTAAGTAATTATGCATCAAAGTTCACGAAATAGTAATTCAGGCTCCCTACGCCCATTTAGGTATGATGCAAATCAATAAATAAATACTAATGTAATTAAATTCAAATATCGAAACCTTATTCCATAAGAGAGGCAAGTCTCATCACTGCCACGAAATGTAAGAGAGAAGAAGAGAAATCTGGGATTTCTGAAAGTTTCTCTGCAACTTCCTTAACGTGAGCATTCTCTGGGTGTTTATTGACATAATTAGCCAACAATAATTTGTTCTGGTCAAGTTGGATACCAGAGAGGATTGCAGCTCCACTTCCGTGCTTGCAAGCAACAACAACTGCCTTAGAATCGGTATTCTTTCTAAATTCAATCAAACTTTGAGAGTTTTTACGTGGGGTGACTCTTGCAAGAATCTTGCAGTTCTTCTTGGATTCGGCATCTTCAAAGTAAAAGCCTCCATTAACATAGAAGTTGTTGTATATAGTCGCCTTATTCTTGTTATCTACGAGGGCTGTAATAGCTCTGCACTCGCTCTGCATTGGACCGACATTTGTAATTGGGCCTTTGCAGAGTCCATTATAAATGAATGGATCATTTGTAGTCTTGACACCATCATAATCGAATTCTTTGCATAGTGGCGAAGATGAATCCAAATGAGAAAAGAGGAAGGAGCCTCCCTTGACCAAATTCGAGATAATGCCCATACCTTCCTTAACAATAGTCTCTGATCCAGAAGAAACTTCAGATGGGGCAGCGAATAATTGGTAATCACGAACAGTTAGTGATTTAAGGTCATTCAACTTCAATTCGACAATTTCAGCCCCTTCCATTCCACTCTGGATTGTCAATTTCATTCTTGTAACGGATTCCTGAGAAAAGCCCTCTATAAACAAGGCAACCTTTGTAAAAGGAGCAAATTTAGTTTGTCTTAATGATTTGTGTTCCATAGAGAAGATCGATGGAAAGACACAAAACAATGTTACTATAACAGTTAAAAGACTAGTAAAACACTTCATTATTGATCAATTTTTATAAATATAGTATTAAGTAGAAATTCACTATTTAAAAATTATGCAAAATGATTGAAGTGATTTCACTGGAAAATTATTCTCCCCCCTAATACGTTCGATTCACTTTTGGCAAATACTTTATTCTCCTCATTTATATTGTCTACTTGTTTTCTTTGCTTATAATATAATAAACATTTTGGGGTACCGCGTCTTGTCTATCCACTTTTAATTTGTTAATTATATAGAGATAACTGCAATATTGTCTAAATATTGAAAACAAAAAGAATAGTGAGAATGAATAAAGATGAAATGAATGTGAATGGATGATGGATAAAGTTAAAAAAAAAATGCAGTAATTTGTTTTCCAATATATTTGAATAGTGACAAAATGGGTTTAAAACGAATTTTAATGAAAAGTGTCATTTGATTTAGAATTGTAGATTTGTGTTAAAACATAACTCTTTACTTAATAACTTATTTATAAGGTGAAAATAATGTATTCAGATCTAAGTGTTGTTGGTTCGTTAGAAGGGGTGGAATGAGAGTAGGGATACAAATATTTGTCATTGTTGAGAAGAGTAAACATAGAAATTAGGTAGAATAAATTAATTTAAAAAAGACACTAAATGTTGTAGGTATAGGGTATTACGAAGAAAAAAGATAATTAGTTCACTATTTAACAATCACTTGGTATCGTTGGCTTCATTAAATGAGTATTTGTTTCTTTGTGAAATATTAAATAATTGAAGTTATCGTAGAAATAGTATATGATTGAGCAGATAGAATAGTTGGACTATAATATCAAGCAATAATAACGGAATGGAATCACTTTTTGGCTCTGCCTGAGATATCAACAAAAACAGCCTCTGATGATAGAAGTAAATTCTGATTCATGTTAAAAATCTCAGAAATTAGAGTGCATCTGTCTAACTGAATGGTCGATTCACCCTCTACTTTTTCATGATCTTTAACTCTAGAAATAATGACGATTGTTTGGCCTGGCTGAATTGGTTTCTTATAAGCCAGATTAAGAGTTTTTGTAACAGGGAATTTGAACAGCTGAGTAGCAAGAATTCCGAGACAATTATCAACTAAAGTAGCAGAAAACCCACCATGAACTACATTTGGGTGACTTTCAATATTCTTTCCAAGTTCAACAATTGTAATTATTGATGGAGATTTTTCAGCCTGTTTAAGCAAGTAGACCTTTGTGGAAACAATGCAGCCGTTCTTGTTAAAAGTATTCATTAACTTATTCTCATTGTGAATTAATGATAAAATACTTTCAGTAATATCCTGAATACCCTGCTTATTTAAAATATCATCCAACCAAGACTTAGATTCAATATTTTGAGAACCTAAAGAGTCAATATCTATGGAATCCATAGATGTTGAGACAGTGCTCGGAATGCTTTGATGTTGAAGTTTAAGTTCTGATGTTTGACTCTGCATTTTTAATTTTAAATTCGGATAAGTTTACTCTTTAATATTAACTAATGTTATTTCTCCTCAGATCCAAATAATATTCTATGATAAAATAATTTATATTAATAACCGCCAACTTAAATAACCAAATAAGATTATTTAAAGGTAATTTACAAGTCTTGTTTTTTTCCCACCCCAACAACATTGGTGCAAATAGTATACATATATTGAGACACCGTCTAGAAAAGAAACATTTATTATAGCTCATTTTAATTAAAACTGTAACGAAACTGCTATGATCATCTACATATTTTTAAAGAAATGTGGGAATTTGAAGAACTCATTTGAGAAAGCTTTAAATTCCAATAATCATATATTTTAAAATTCACTACTTTTGTAATTGCCTAAAATATATTTTCTCAACTTGTGTTTATTACTTTTACCCTCGCAATTTATATTTATCGGTACTGAATCTAAAATTTGGCCGCCCAGCCACAACAATGCAATGGGCGGGAATTTTAGCGTAGACTTGTCAGAATATGACTTAGGGGAGAACTGATTGGGTTTTAAGAGGTCCTTATTGGCGCGTGACTGTAAATATTTTCTTTAGATCTTGAATGGAGTGGCAAGGGGATGGATGTGAGGTTAGATTACATGAATCCAACGAAAGTAGAAGAAGGTATAGATGTAGAAATTTTGGAAGGAAAGATTAATTCCTTGAATTTGGAAGATTTAGATCCAAGGGAGAAATACTCAAGAGTGGTTCAAAAAAGATTTGAGAGGTCAATGAAGGAACTAGATGAAAGAGAAAATCAGAGTCACCCTTTTGTTAAATGTAGGTCATGTTTCTTGGTTAAGAAGGATCACTGTATATGTACGAATCTTTCAAGGCTTGCCGATCAGATTAAAAAAGTCCAGACTTATCCAGAAATCAAATTTATCATCTTTATGAATGATCGGGAGTACTTTAGATCGTCAAATACAGGAAAGCTCGTGAAACATTTGATTCCTGGCTCAGAGATCTTAATTCATGGAATCCCAGGTAGCTCTGAGAGGTTGGAAGAGATCCTTTCTCAAGATTTAGAAATCTATAACGAGACGGTAATATTATATCCTAGTAAAGATTCAAAAAGTGTTTTAGATTATTTTTCGGATCTAAAAGAAAATAAATATTTCGAGCTTTTGGGTAAAGAACCTGAAAATTCGTTGTTTTCTACGGAATTTTATAGGAAACTAAAACTTAAGGTAATACTTATTGATGGTACTTGGTCCCAAGCAAAAAGTATTAATAAATCTTTACCTAAACAGATCAAAAGGATTGTAATTAATAGCAAATTAATTTCGGACTTTGGCCCACTCAGAAAACAGAATAAAGCTGGAAATATATCTACAGTAGAAGCTTCATCTCTATTAATTAAGGAAATTAGAGAAATGCTTTCGAATATAATAGGGGACAGCATCACAACTGAAAACTTGTCTCACCTTAATTTGCAATCTGATCTTCTCGAAGAATCTTTGAAATTATTGATCAAACATGTTATTGCTCAATGTAAGAGGGAATATCTTAAAGAAATTCTTGAAAGCAGAAATGAAAAAAGATTTAGTACGCACAAACGAGAAACTTTATGAATTTTTTAGTTACTAAATTTAGCTTTAGTTAGTAATAGATCCTGCAGAATTTTCTAATTATACACATGAATTGTCTATTTCAAGTTTTAAGTTTCATCTTGTCAATTATTTTTTATGTTGGTACAAAAAAAAACTTTAATCAATCCACTCTTTCTATTCCAGACTCAATAATTGGGTCAGGAGCATTTCCTTCCCTAATAATCCTTCCTTCTCTTTCAACCTTAATCATAAAGCAATACTCCGGTTCACCAACTATCTTTTCTTCCATTCGAGAAATGGTCTCCTCATTCAAAATTAACTCATGAGATTCATGAGACCTGCTGGAGATAGAATTTGGGCTTAGTTGGTTGCTATGATCATTCTTGAAAAAAACCCTTGAAGGAACTTTATTAAGTCCAATCATGGTCTGTTGAGGATTTAAAAGGAAAGTCTTTAGCTTTCTAGCTGTTGCAAGATTATGAGGCTTCCTATAACCATTAGCCAAAGCCGCTAAGGAAAACACATTTCTCACCAAGGTTGGAAGAGGAGGCATATCTTCTGGATTACTCAAAAGCTCACACTTGGTGAAACTGTCAAATCCATCCTTCCCTGTATAGAGAAATTCTTTGGTGACTAAAGTGTAAACTCTATCAAGTTCTAATGGGTTAAATACTAATGGGTCATTTAAATCCTGGATATAAACTGAGCCAGGTACAATTCTTTGCCCAGGAGGAAGATCACCATTAAACCTGAATTTAAGTCCTGAAAACTGAGAGAATCTTCCATCTTTATTTGGCCATTGGCTGACACTGTTTTCTAGTATTTCCAGAAGCAAATTTCCAGGAACTCCTAGCTTTACTAGATTGTCAACAAAAGGTAACATCATAAGGATATCTTGGTTTCTAACTGGTCCAATATTAAACACACAGTCTGATCTAATTGTTCCTGAGTTTATCATAGCTATTTCAGTTTTGGCTGCGGATTTCATAATGTCAGTAAGCCAGTTACCTGCATTAGTTTCAGAAGTTCTAATCACTGAGAACCTAGTCTCCAGTCTAACAGCACATTCACCAATAATCTTATCCATTTGAGTTGCGAGATCACAAAGATATTTATTTACCATTTTTTTTACGTGCTTATTAGGGTTAAAAGTACTGATATCAATATAGCTCCAACTCATCATAGATCCTCCTAAGAATTTCTTTAGGTAAATGTCTCCACCATCTTTATTATTAGGAATAAGTCTTTCTTCAAAACTATTATTACTTTTTGATTGGTTTAACTCAACTGAGGAGTACTTACAATACTCCAAGTGAAGCTTGGAGTCAGATTTTGGGCATGTTAAACAATGTTTTCCAGGTTTAATCACGATCATAGTGAGATCACGAAAATCTGTTCCACTTTTTGCAACTACAGAATTCCCTATTTCCTTCACTCCGTAGTACTCGTGGTCATGCCCACCTAAAATGAGATCGATATCTTCAGCTCCTTTTGCAAGAAGCTCATCGTTTGGGGCTCTCATATGGGTTAAAGCAATTATTAACTCTGCATCCTTTTCTCTCAAAATTTTGGAAATTCTGTTCGCCTCTTCAACAAAGTCCTTGTAAATAACATCCTCTTCAGAAATAGTCGGAACGGTTTTAAGCCAATCTTTTTCTACAAGACCCATAATTCCAATCCTTCTTCCCTGCCACTCAAAAAGCCGGTATGTCCTTGCATTTGCCAAAGGTTCCTCAGTATAAGCATCATAAACATTAGAAAGAAGCCATTGAAAATTACAAGATCCTGCCAAATACTCAAGATGGTCTACCCCAAAATCAAAATCATGATTACCAAAACAAGCTGTATGTACTCTCATCATGTTTAAGAAAGGAACCATATGACGGCCTTTCGTTGTTACTGACATTATTGATGGGTTAAAAACATCACCAGAAAACAGCAAAAGAGGATTTAACGAACGGAAACTTTTCAGTGCTTCCACAAATCTAGCAACTCCTCCAGTACCGTTTACATCCTCTTCAATATTATAAACGTCATTAAAATGCAAAATACAAATGTCATCTTCTGGGCCAAATGGAGAATCATAATCATAGAATGTTTCTCCAGTCAGCCCTATTGAGATGCACCTTTGCATACTTTGAATTGGAGCTCCTTTCCCCACAATGCTATTGAAACTATTGTACACTTTTTCAAAGTTTTTCCTGTCATTTTGATGTGTTGGCCTAATATTAAACCTTTCATTCTGACTTGATTCTGATCCTGTGTTTGAAAGTGGTGAAAGAGGATCCTGATCTTCCATGATTGCTTTTAATTAACCTGGAAATATTCATTCAATTTCAAATTAAGTTTTAACTCGAAATGTTAAATTACCTTAACCAATATCTTAATAAGCCAATTTTCAGTAATTACTTGTGGGTCTTGGCGCCAAACTATCTAAAAAAAGTACAAATGATGTTGAATTAGTTCTAAGAATTTGAAATATAAATTAGAAGAAAAAGGTGAAAGAGAATTAGATGCTCTTTTATACACTGATTATATTTTTGTCCTCACAGTGATCCCAACCTATTTAGCTGCTCCGAATTTGTTAATGTTCCAGTTCGCTTTGACCCCTCCTCCCCCCCTTCCAAACAAGCCCATTTAAAATATATAGCAATGGAATTAGATTCGGAAATACTGAGAAAAATGTGGGCCAAAATGGCCATGTAGTAAAAGGAAGTAAATTTAGAAACAACATAAAAAAAATAATAGTTGGGCTATTAAAAAAAAAAAGTATTACAAAAAAGATCAATATAATCCTAAAGTAGAGATCAGACAAAATTTATTCTCCATAATCTCTCTATCTCACTCTTTGTAACCCCCTTTTCATTAAGGAGAGAGAGACAAAATAGCTTCAACCACATCATTATTATTAGATTTGAGTGCCATAACAGCTTTTGCTCTCGAGCATCCTGTCTGATTAATCACCAAATCAATATTTGCTGAATCTACCCCAGTTTCATCGACATCACCCTCATCTACAACGTTATCGTTGTTATTCACAGTAGCAGAGTTATTTTTCGATGGTTCACCATCCTGGGTCTTCATAGCAGCAAGCTTTTGCTCTAATTGGGAAGTAGCATTTGCCAAGGCAGCAGCTTGGGAAGCTGTATTGCGATCCTCTAACTTAGCATCTCCAAAAACAATGTAACTCTTTGTTCCTGGTACACAGTATACTTCGGGATTAACAATTTGGAAAGAGAGACCTCTAGCCCCTCTCACAACAACTTTCTCAAAGTCAGACATTGGTTTAAGTCCCAATTTTTGAACCAACTTTCTGTTTTTCTTCTCACCTTTATTATGTCTTGGACGAACTCCCTCAGCCTTTCCTGAGGCTAAGTCCTCTTCTTCTGAAGACTCACCACTACTAATTTGGTCATCATGCACCTCCACAATCTTTGGTTCCTGTTCTCCTACCATTTTTTATTTATTATATATATCTTATAAATTCTGCCACTTTATGACTTTACTATAATTTATTTGATTATTTTTAATTTTACCGTCCTCGTGTCTTTGTTTATTGTTCAAACTTGACTCATTGTCCAATTTAATTTTTAAATTAGTATTATTTTCATTTAAATAATTTATTTCTAACTTGTATTTACTTTGCCTTTATTTCTTGTTTTATTTATTTATTTAAATGTTTTTCTATTATATTTTCTAATTTTCCCACGTTTCCCGCCCGAATTTTCTGATCGTCGGTACCCCAAATCGTTTGAGCGGGTTCGGCGCCAAAATATAATTTACATAAAGAAAAAAAATTAAAATTCTTAACAGGATCTTTTGAAAATTGTGTAAAAAAGACAAAAAAGCGACCCCCCCAAAGCTTTTTCCAAAAATATAAGCACTAAGTAAGGTGTTCATCACGACACAGGTTGCACGTTAGTACATAAATATATATAATATATATATATTTAACTGTGCTAATACATCTAAGAGTTAATAAGGAGCAATAAGTAGGGGTTAGGAAGGAGTTTTCAAAGTGAAAAAGTGCAAGGTATGTAAAATTGATTAGAGACTGCAAGCAGGGAAGACTTAATTTTATTAGCTTTAAATTAGAAACTTAAAAGCAAAAACTACCTTGGAAAACACTCCTTTTGAAGAAAGGTTGAAGGATCTCTTTCTAAATCAAGATTTTGGTTGATTTCTGGAAATAATAAGCTCCCAATTGTTATCTTTAGGTGGATTTTCTGCAAAGATTATTATAATACTGAAGAGTTAAGAAACTCTTTGGGAGTGATTTAAATTTTGAGCAGAGTATGTTTTTTTATATATTCACAATATACACTTAGTATTTAAATTACAGCTTGGGATAAAACTCCCCTTTTATAAAGGAGAGTTTTAACTGTATTGTAAAATTTAATTTGAATTTCTGAAGTCTAGAAACGAATTTTTATCTATTAGAGCAATGGATAGTAATAAGGAAGAGGCTGATAGATGTGTAATGCTGGCAAAGAAGGCTATCCAAGGGGGAGACTTAGACAAGGCTAGGAGACTATTAGAAAAAGCGAATAGGATGTATCCCAGCCATACTGCAACTGAGATGCTCAACAGTCTGAATTATAATGACTCGAGTCCTTCAAAACCAAACCATAGTTACCAGAACCACCATAGCCACCATCACAACCAAAATAAACATAATACTCAACATCATAATAGAACATCTCCCAAAAACTCCCATAGTCCAATTAAGGGTAAAAGACGAAATGAGGATGTAGATTGTCCAAATTCACATACAGAAAGGTCAGCTAATAGTTCGAGCTCTGCATCAGAGACTTCAGAAAGTATGTGTAAACGTATTTTAAAAGCAAAAAACTTTTATGATACTTTGGGAATACCTAAAGATGCAGATGATGCTGCCATCAAAAAAGCATATAAAAAACTAGCTCTACAGCTCCATCCTGATAAATGTAAGGCTCCAAGTGCCGAAGAGGCATTCAAAAGAATTGCCATGGCCTTTCAGACTTTGTCAGATGCAGAGAAACGAAAGAACTATGATACTTTCGGAGAAGATGGGCCTCCAATGCACTCAGCTTCAGGTGATGTCAGGTATTATCAGTATCATCAAGGAGAAGGATTCCTCACACCAGAAGACTTATTCAGGATGTTTTTTGGAGGGATGCCTGCAGAGGTATCATTTCAAAGACAAAGATTCCCTACCAGAAGTGGTCACTCAAGATCTCACACAAGAACATACACAACTAATATGAATTCAGGTGGTGCAACAGCTGAAGGTTTACAGACAGGACCTTTATGGCAAAAAATAGCAGGTGTTATTCAGATACTACCCGTCTTATTAATGTTATTTTTGGCCATAATGGGTAACTTTATGCCAACTTTCTTCCCTGAAGAAAAACCTATCTACAGTTTTAACCGAACTAGAGAATACAATAAACAGAGATGGACAGGAATACATAATGTGAGCTTTTACATCAACCCAAAAACTAACTTTGATTCAAAATTTCCACCAGATTCTTCAAAATTACAGGAATTGGAAGTGAAGATAGAAATGATCCACTTTACCAGAGAATGTGGAATAGAAGAAAGAACTATTTTGCAAGATATTGCATATGCAAAGTACTACCAGAGTCGAAGTAAATTAAAAGAAATCCAAAGCAGAAGTAAACCTAATTGTGATAAACTTAAATGGCTTAGAGATAAGTATCCAAGCATATATAGACAAACTATGAGGAACTAGGTGGTACCATAACCAATATTTTATGTAATTATATATCAATTACAACTTTAACCACTTCAATTATTGATTACTTTTACCTTAATTTCCTAATTCACTAATATTATAATTATTAATAGCATTAGTTCTAGTTGTTCTTAAAATTATAATTTACCTTTAATTTTTCTGTAATGACTTTTACTCTTTTCAGAATTCAACAGAATTGGGGTTTATCCAATAATAGAGGGATGAGATCTTTATTTATCCCATCTTTAAGTTGCTTTTTGAGTCAAGTTCCTACAATTACCTTGATCAATTAAGTTATTTAAGCTTTCCCAAGAGGAAGAGGGAGGTGAAGAAATACGATTGGAAAATTCATTTTGGCCTTGGAGATTTATATTTGAATTTTCTGTAGTTTGATCATAACTTATATTCTCTGTGTATCCTACACCAGAAAGCTGGAGTAGTACCCTTCTGGCATTTTCAACTCTTTCAAACTGATCCATATCATGGATTTCAGTTTGTCTCCTATATCTAAATATCCAAGCAAGCCAAATCCCAATAATTATAATGAATATAGTAGAAATTATCACAAGACAAGCAATCAGAGTTTTAATTGAGAATATGTGAGTCATGGTAACTTCTATACCTTTTTTAATTTTACTGTAATCTGTTAAAGTCCCTTTAACACATATTAAAGGCTCAGACTCCCAAGTTCCATTGTTACAAGTTAACAAATAATATCCTCTTCCAATTGCTTCATCCAATGTTGAAATACCCTTGTAGCTCTTTGAAATATGCAATTCTTCTTCTAATATCAATGAATTACTTTCATTAACTAACTGGTCTTTCTTTTTTGTTTCTTTCTTATCTTTAGATGATCTTGAACGGCTTGGAATAACGGACTTTCCAGATTTTGGAGATAAATAGTGATCATCACTACAAAATACCATTCTCTGATCATTGTGTCTATATTCCCTCCCAACTACAGTACTACTGGATCCCAAGCTTTTGGAACTTAAGTTAGTGCAAGATTTTCTGCATTCTAATACTGGAGCTGTCCAAACTCCGTCCATGCACTGAATAGTGTCTTCTATGATGGCTGAGGTACTTCTATAATCATCAGAGAAACATTCTACTTGGACTTTAAATCCATGATTCACCATCTGGTCCTGCTCTTTTTTTGAACCAAATACACCAGAATTCTCTTTGAATTTCAGACCAGTTGGAAGCTCTGAAAAAGACAAACACTTTCTGTTGCATCTAAGACCAGAAGAAGTTTCCCACCTTCCATTATTACAGGTTAAGGTATCTGGAGACCTTCCACTTGAAGGGGAATAGTGATTGTTTGAACAAGAAATTGAGAACTTAGAGCCATGGCTCATTGATTTATGATTGTTGGTAACTCCATATCCTGGTGAAGAGGTGTAACCTGCCCCAGAAGAACTAGATTGGCCTGAAATAGAAATTAATTTATATCTACTTGCATCTTGTAAATATTGGTGATTCATAGAGCATGGTTCTGATGGTAAATCTTTATTTAAGTATGAAAATCCAATGGAATTCATCCATGGTAATGCTGGGGCTGTGGAATTGGAAATACCTAGTGAGGAGGTAGGCTCTGAAACCACTTCCACCAATCTAACTCTACACTCTTCACCATGTGAATCTCCGAGCTCATAGCAGAACTCTAATCCCCATCTTCTCTGTAATTTATCAATTTGTCCTTCCAAAAGTAACTTATCATCCAAATCGATCAGTTCAGTTGATCCTGTGTCAATCACAATGTCTACTAAAAACTTAAAGTCTTTTGGGTTTGTTTGTGAATAGGGAGTATTATTAGTGAAGAAAACCTTTGTTATATCAGAATCCAAAATCCCAAGACTTCTACTTACTACCTTGGAAACAGCCAAAGGAGTCTGTGGATCCTCTGCTAACCCCGAATCCGGATGATCTAATGCTAAAGTCATCCTGGTTAATATTCTTGGAAGTCCATCTGAACATGTTCTGTCCAAGCTCATACCACACATTTGCTCAAGTCGTGAAATAGACCACATTGAATTTAAGGACGAAGAAAATGATTCTCCTGGCTTTAAAAATCCTCCTTGTGGCTGCTCATCAAGTAACTGTGTCAAAGATTGATACAGATCAACAGCTACTGAAGTACAACATCCCAAAGTTTCTGCCAAAATTGAGTACCTTGCTCTGCATGTCGTAGAACATGTTCCTCCTTGTTTCACTCCGCCCGTCTTTGAAGATGAGCCTGCAAGACACCCCTTAAAAAGATCCTCTAAAGGCTGGTAAATCTCAGGATACATTGAAGAAGACTGGCAATCTCCTTTATCCCAACTACAAGCTTCATTGAAACATTGTAAGTCACACATCCCATCTCCAACATAGTAACTAAAGCAACCACTGTTACAATAATTCTCCAGTTTATGCGTTTGGAAACCAATCATTGAGCCATCCCTATCCATTCCTCCAACCAAGTAAGGTTTTTTCTCTAAATTTCTGTTCCAATCTTCATCAGAGTTGTTAATCTCTTCTTCTCTTAACTTTTGATTCTCAAGTCCAAATCCAGAAACACTGCTTCTGTTTTCTTTGGATATATTTGTGTTTTTTATCTTATCTGCTTGAGCTTCTTTTGCCATGTTCTGTTTATGAGAAAGTGAAGCTTCCAAAGCAAATGATGCTCCTGCAAATAATAGTGGTCCACAAGATTGTCCCTTTGAGTTCTTTACACAAAAGTGTCTGGAATAATGTCTCAACAACAAACCAAGTGACTCAGACTGAGGATCCGATGCCAGCTGCCCAAATCTCTGTAGTGAAGATCCAATTCGTCCAGCCACTATCATGAAACATTTTGAATGGCATGGATTCAATAAAAGAGTTTTGCTCTTGATTGGATTTCTCTCTAGTAATATTGACAAAGACTCCTGACAATGAGTCCCAGTTGACGTACTAGTACAAAGAAGATCAAGCCAGCCTTCATTAGATTCCTCCAATAAAACCTCTAAATTAGAATATGTATTGCTATTTGTTGATGACCCTGTTACTCCTTCAGTTTCTATATTACCAGTATTGGATCTTGAGAATGAAGTTGATTTATTTCCTGAAATTGATGATGAAGTTCCCGTCCCAAAGTCTGACTTCTTTAGAGGTGAGCTCGGAAGAGGGTATCCCCAGGCTGTGTGGAGCTGAGTAATTGCATCAAAGTACCTCAAATGATTTCTAAAGCAGCTATCTGGATGACACCTTGATTTAAAAGTATCAAAGGTAGCTGAAACAAATTCCTGAGAATCCATACCAACAGAAATAGTTTCCTTAATACTACTGAAACAGTAATCTCCATTAGTCTCTTTTTTTGAATTATTCCCTCTTGACAAACCCCTACTCTGACTTTCTTTTTTACCACCAGAATTATAACTTTGGTTTAACTCCAAACCTGATCCAGAGTCTGAAATAGACTCTGAATTGGAGTTAGAAATCAAGCCTACTTGGTAATCAAGATCTGTCTCACTAGACTCTGTCCCATTTTCTTTCTCTAAACTTTTGGATGTATTGTTACTTGGAGACATGTAACACCAAGAATCTAAAAGTTGTTGGGCAAACTCAACTGTGTTACATAGTGTTCCTCTGCGGTTTTTATATCTATTAATAACTTCCTGAAGACGAAGGAAACAAGAATTCCTTGCTAAGCTTGTGCCTCTACAAAAAAGATCCATTTGAATCTTGTCAGGTATTCTGTCATAAATTAAAGATCCACAGCCTTCACTTATTAGGATTGTTCTGAAATCCTGAGGTAACCCACAACATGAGTTGTCTTGCTCTACATATCCTGAATTTCGGTTTTTAACAGAGTAAGAAAATTGGTTTGTGGAAGAAGACATTGAAATTGGAGAATTAGAGAATATACCTTTTCCTCCACATTTCAAGTAAGCGTTCTGAAGGTATTTGAGAGGTCTCTTCAAAAATACTGCTTCTTTTGTTCCAAAACGAGAACTTCTAATAAATGGCATGGATATTCCACTAGTATAAAATAGGTTTCTGGCCTCCTCATCCATTCCAACTCCTTTTTGTCCAGAATAGAATTTGTCCCAGTCTGACTTGAGAATTCTTATCATTCTATGTCTTTTAAACCTACTCTTCATCTTCCTATCTGCTGTATCTTCTGAAGCTAATTTGGAATTAGAAACTATTGCCTGTTGAGAGTCCCAACTTCTAATATCAAACTCTTTTGGTGCTAACCTTATTCCTCTTGAAGCAAATTGAGTTTTTAAAGTTGTTACAAATCTCTTTGAAATGGCTCGGTCTTTTAGAGCTGCCTCAAATGATGACTCTCTTCCTCTTGATGAGGATAAAAAGAACCCAACATTAAACAATACATACAATGATCCGAGATCTGAGTTTCTTCTTCCTAATATTTCCTCACTAATCCCACCTTGATCCTTTTTCTGACTCTTTCGTCTCCTTTCAGCGTTATCTACCTGAGTCTCAACTCTCTCACTATCTCTTTTTTCTTCGTCATCCTGATCCTGCTCTTCATTCTCCTCGTTTCTTAAGTTATTCAAAACTTCCAAGAACTCTTTGCAGTTATCGCAGGTTATTGGACATGCAATAGATACCTTTATATCTGCAGAAACTCCATCTGGAATGCTTCTGTTAAATTGTTTTGCAAGTTCTTCCAAAGTCTTTGAGCAAAATGGCTTAAGCATAGAACAGTTGATTCCAAAAGACTTCAATTGATGATTCTGGTCCTCACATTTAATAGTTTGTTGGCCATCTCCCAAAATATTCTCGAATCTTGTTGTGCTGATTGCCTCTATTCTTAACCCATTAGGCTGATATACTGGAAGAGTTGAGTACAAGGCAGTGTAAATTGAAGATACTGCAGTAAAATCAAAATCTGATGCTTCATTGATTTCCAACTCCACCTGCATTACCTCAACATGTGGTTCCTCACACTTAAATGTCTCAGGAAGTATATAAACACTGCTTTTTATGTCACAAATAGCTTCCACTGAATCCTGTTTATCAGAAGATGAGTATCCTGAATTACATGAGACTATTAATTTACTTCCTCCCAATAATGAGCGAACATCCTCTTTTTTTTCCATGTTCTCTGGGAATACTCCTGTTTTTGGTCCTGATCCTTCATCTTTTGTATTGGAAGGTTTCAATTCCAACAAATACCCATTACCCCAATTTTTTGTGGATTTTATTGAACAAAAAGATTCAGAGGATCTGTTATCCAGTAATGAATCAGTTCCAAGTCCTTGAGATTGGCTACAGTAATTACAAGATCTAGCACATACATCGCTTAGTAGAAGATATTCTTTCTCATCTCCAAATCTTTCAGCTAAAGAAAAGCTGACCTGTAACAAGGGCATATCACACCCATATCCCTGAATACTTGCTGTCTCTATTGCAATCCTACACTCTCCTGGTAGTAGCTTTGAATCATCCTCGCATTCACTTCTACATCTTCCACAAGATTTTGGACAGTGTTCATACACCTTTCTATTCATGCTAAATGTTGAAGACTTTCTATTATCCCTTAAAACGGTTCTTTCCGAAAGTGACTCATTACAAACCTCTGATATATTTATCGAAAAGTTCATAATATCTCTGCATCTTCCTGTTACAAAAGAAATATATACATCATCCTTACATATCTTATTTTCCTGATGTTCCTTCTCTTCTCTCTCCTTTCCTGTGGATTTCTTGTCATTACTAAAAGCTTCACATAGACCACACGATTCTGCACATGCGTGTTTTAGTAAAGTATCTTTAGGAACATCATCAGGTATAGATGACCCTGGGAGGTCTTTCAATAATGTAGAACAATCAAAAATAGAAGTAATTTGCTCGCAACTAAAACCAGAAAGTTCTTCTACCTGTGGATCATCTCTACATTTCTGTCCTTTTTCCTTGAGCATTGAGAAGAATTTCCTATCCAAATCAGACTCTTTGTCCTTATTATCTCTATCAGAATTCTTGCCATTTATAATTTTTCCTCTAGAGTCAATCTCATATTCTTTTTCACTATTAGAAATATCATCATCTTTATTTAGTATTTTTTTTTCTTCGTCCTCTTCATTTCTGACTCCTTTACAATCCCCGTCATCAAAGTTACATGCTTGATTATTACATGCCTTATCACATACAGTATTCCCTTTAAACCATTCAGGACAACCTGGAGAACATTCTCCACATTTGTTACAAGTTGAAGGACACACTCTCCAAATTGGAGTCCCATCAGGAAGCCCATAAGTCTTTGCTCCTGGAATTGATGCATTGCACATCGAAGATAGGTTCTTGCAACTGATTCCCTTCTTTGCAACTTCTGGCTGATCTTCACAGTACCTCCTTTCATTGAAGACTATAGTATAAGGCCTTTCTGCTTTATTTTCCAGATTACTGCCTGTTTGTTCTCTCCTTCCATTATTACTATTCCTGTTCTCGTCCTTCCTATTAGAACAGTTCTTACATGTAAGCTTGCATAAATCTCTTAATTTGGTACCTGGTTTAATCTTGTCTGGGAGCTGATCTCTACTCTGGAAAATTTTCTCCAAAGTTATACTGCATCCAAAACTTGTTTTAAGCTCCTCACAGCTCCTTTTAAATACTTCAAATATGATTGGGTGATCTATGCAGCTCTTTTCAGAGTTATTATTCTTGTTAGAACTCGAGTTAGTATACTGATTTGAAGTACTTATAGGGGAATTCTTGGAATCATTGGGATTCTTTATGGGTAATTTTGGTTTACTAGTAATATTTTCATCTGAGCAATCCCCACCATCAAATTGACACTCTGGATTTTGACAGCTGACATCACAATACCCATTGTTAATGAACCATTTTGGACATCCTGGAGCACATTCTTCGCAAATACCGCATGTTTTTGGACAAACCTGGCTAATAGTTGAAGAGTGAGATAACCCTGCCTCCAAAGAGGAGGCAGAGAGAGGTAGTTTTAAGTGACAAGTCTGTTTTAAAGCTTTACAACTTGCAAGAGAATCTATCAGCTCAGGAATATCTGTGCAGTTTCTAAACTTCCCTGCAAAATAAGTAATTGCACCTTCTGGGATAACTACATTATTTTGTAGATCTATGGAATCTTTGTTATCCTTATTGGTGTTTTTCTGATCATAATCATTATATTCTGTATGATCCTTCCCATCATTTCTATTTCTTTCATCCAGCTTATTATCTTCTGAGTGTTTTTCTTCGTCCTGTCCATTTATAACTCCTTCACAATCCCCGTCATCAAAGTTACATGCTTGATTATTACATGCCTTATCACATACAGTATTCCCTTTAAACCATTCAGGACAACCTGGTGAACATTCTCCACATTTGTCACAAGTTGAGGGGCAAACTTGCCAGACAAAACTATTTTCTGGTAATCCGTAATTTTGGGGGTTAGGAATGTTAATATCACACATCATTGACAAAGTCTCACAAAGTATCCCCTGTTCCTTTACCTCCGGTTGGTCCTCACAAAACCTCTTTTTTCCCATTACATAAGTGTATGGCTTCTCTTGTAGACTTCTTCCATAATTTTCAGTTTCAACATGAGCTTTATAATTCACTACCTGGGAACCCAAGTTTGATCTCGAAGAAGACACTTGAGATAGAAACCTTAATGGTCTATTGAATGAAGCCTTAACAATCTCAGAATCTGTACTGGAGTTGGAGCTCATTACATTACTGTTTAAAGAATTAGGGTCTTTTACACAAACCAGCCTAAGCTCCACAAATTCTTGAATAATTTTTTGCTGAGAAATATCAACCAAGCTCCACAATCTATACTTTTCAAAAGAGGGATCTCCAAATTCTGGGTAGAAAGAGTCAATTGAAATCAAGTAAAGTGTTCCAACTGGACCCAATATAATCCTCTGATGATCACCTGTTATAAATATTGGTTCACCTATGTCTCTGTACATTATATATGTATATGAGTGCTTTAAATCTCTCTTATATAAGGTATTTACAGTCCCAATCATTTGAGGAGCCTCTTGTACCATCAAATATGGGCATTCATCTTCCTCACATGTAGGAATTCTTGGGATACCGTCTCCATCTACATATAGCAAAGGTGTTCCCTTTGGTTCAATTAGTTGAATAAATCCACTTTCCTTACACTGATATTTGAAATAAGGAATAGCTGTGTACTTTCTGAACCTCTTCCCTTGATCACACCTAATGTAAACAATATCCCCTTTCTTGTACTCTCTTATTGTATTACTACCATCAGTTCCATGACGTTCATTATATTCTTCATGAGAAAATTCCATTTCTTGGGACTGAACCTGATTACCTGTAAAACCATCCTCAACCATTCCAGAAAGGTTGTTTAACCCAAATTGAGAAGTATTATTCTCCAGCACAATCAGACTATTGTCACTACTATCTTTCACAGTGTTCTGACTTTCTATAGTACTTTGGCTTGAAGCTCCTATCTCTAAAAAGTCGTTTCCACTTTTTTTCCCCTGATACTCCCTTTTTGACAAAAATAGAAAAGCCTCTGAAAGCTTCGGGAGAATACATGAAGCTTTATGAGAACTATTCTTTTCACAATCTCCATCATCAAACCTACATGCCACATTATTACAGGCTGGATCGCAGTTCAAATTACCTACGTCTCTTAGTTGACATCCTGGAGCACACTCTGAGCACATTCCACATGTGGCTGGGCATCCATCCATAATTCTTGCTTCTGGTGGACGATCATCTGGATAAGGTACTCCGTTTGACTTGGCCACATCAATTAATCGCTTCTGACAACCAAACATTGCTTTTAGAATAGAACAGGGTACTACCTCCTGGGCTTCTGGCCTATCTATACAAGGTTCTCCTGGGCATTTAAAACCATTACATCCCACTTTTTGATTAAGTTCAAATTCACATCTACCACCTCCTGTAGCCGGAACTTGTATTTCTCTCTGCCGTCTTTTAACTCCCCCACCACAACTTGCAGAACAAGGAGACCAGACAGACCACTGACCAACTTCACAGTCACGAGTTGCAATACACTGGAACTCATTACATGGTTCAAAGTCTTTCAGGAAATCACACTCCTTTCCTTGGCTAGGCTGTGAAATCACCTCCCTAACTCTAGACCTTGAACCTCCTCCACAGCTTTTGCTACAAACTCCCCAGTCTCCCCACTCTCCTAAGACACAATCGGATTTACAAGCCTCTCTAGAGCAAGGACGCAAATCTTCCAGATTAGGACATGGAGCACCTCCCTTAGATTCCCTTCTTAACACCTTTCTAACTCTCTTTTCTACTCCAATCCCACACTTTGCGTCGCATTCAGACCAGGAAGACCATTCCCCTACTTTGCAGTCAGAAGGACACTTTTCACTTCTTGGACATTCTTCATTAGCATCTAAAGTCTCCTCTAATACTGGACAACTCTGCCCAGATGCAGGTGGTTCCAAAATCTTTCTTTCCCTTCTTTTATAGGGTTTCTCATCGCACCCTCCAAGACACGTTGTCCACTCAGACCAGGGTGAAACTCGGCAAGAGCTTGGACAAGGTCCCTCAAAGCATTCCCTCAGCTCTTCAGTAGCGAGCTCACATTTTTTCCCCAGGGAAGGAACTAAAAGTTCCCTAGATCTGCTCTGAAAACCTTCTCCACAGCTTGTTGAACAAACTGACCAAGAACTCCATTCTCCAACCTGGCAATCTACATTACATCCTTCCGAAATTCTCACACACTTAATAGTGTCTTTCAAAGGGCCACAAACTTTGGACGTATATTGATTTTGCTCCTCATTACTGGAAATAACAAATCCTCCACTCAGAATTTTTCTTGATCTTTCTATATAACCAATCCCACACTTTGTGGAGCAATCTGAAATAACTAAATCCTCGTTATTTTCCTCATCTACTACTCCATCACCTCTACTTCCTCTCCTGTCCTGAGTACCAATACTTTTCCTGGTTTTTGAATACCATGGGGAAAGCTCACAGCTATACTCACAAGGGTGAGTATTGCATTTTTCTACTTCCAATAGGGAAGGACAGCTACTAGAAATCCCTCTGGTGAGCGGGCGTGATCCTGCCTTTACAATTCCTCTTCCTGAATTCACCCTCTCCCTAATCCTCCTTCTTGAGCCTCCATCGCAATTTGCACTACAACTACTCCAAGATCCCCACTGCGTTACCTGGCAAATCTCTACATTTGCACTTTCACAACCCCCTTCACAGTCCTTAACCTCAATATAATCGTTTTCCTTGGAGCAGTCCTTGTCCTTTGGGTTAAATATAATCATCTTATGTCTGTATCTTTTTGGTCTTTCTTTTTCACTTCTTTCTGTAGTACCTTTGTTGTTATACTTAGTATAACAATCATCTTGACATGATGACCAGGATGACCAATCTCCAAACATACAGTTGGACTTACTGACTGAAACGGAGTGGTCACAAACTCCTAAACAGTCTCTACTTTCTTCTAGGACCGGACAATCACCTTTTCTTGGTAATGATATTATACTTCTATGCCTCTTTGAAAGCCCTGGAGAATTACAAGTCTTGCTTGAGCAAGGCGACCACTGAGTCCAATCAGATACCTTACATACTTCTGTTAAGCATGATCTGTCATTGCAAGCTTTAGTTTGGAAAAGAGGACCGCAGACACTTTCCGTATTTATGAGATTTTCGGATAAAACCTCTTCATTTTCAGGTTCACTTAACAGCCATCTGGCTCTTAGCCTGGATCCAAGACCACAACTTGTAGAGCACGAAGACCAAGAAGACCAGTCTCCCATGTTACATCTAACCAAGGCTTCAACTCCCTGTCTTTCTGATTCATCACATTCTTTAAACTCTAGTTCATCCTCACATTTTGCATCCCTCATTCTCTTTCTTGCTATTCTTCTTCTCTTCTTTAGCAATTTATACTTTGATACCTCTCCCTCAAATCCAAGACCCTCATTTTTGTAATATGAACACAGAGACCATCCTGACCACTCGGAAAAGCTACAGAGACCTGGACAGTTTAAATGTAGCCCTGAACAGTCGGAAGGTCTTTCCTCCATAATACAAGTAAAGTTTCCTAGCTCAGGCTTAAAAGGAGGGTACAAGATCTCTCTCCTTTCCACACATCCTTGTTCCATTAAACAGGGGGTTCCAGAAACCGCTGATTTAAACTTAAAATCTCCCAAAGTGCAATTACTTGAACATGTATCTTGGATACATTCTCTTATCTGCCTAGTTTCTGGGCACTGAAATAGATTTTGGTCTTTTGGAGCTTTTATTACTGATCTTTCTCGCATTTGATGACCTATTCCACAAGTAGAAGAGCATCGTGACCAGCTCCCCCACTCAGAAACTGTGCAGCTTAAAGGACAAGGAATATGAGAATTGCAGCCTGTCTCTTCAGCTTTGAGAGCTCCACATGATTCTCCTCCGTTTCTTGGACTTACTACTATTTGCCTTGTTCTAGTCACTCTTCCTCCTGGCCCACAGGTTACAGAACATGTTGACCATGAAGACCAAGCTGAGAGTTTACAGTCCACTTTCCAGCAATCTCCTCCGTCAAACTGACACGAAAGATTGTCACACTCTGGGTCACAAACTCCGTTTCCTATGAACCACAAGGCACACCCTGGGGAACATTCACGGCATTTATTGCATGAATTTGGGCATGCATCCACTACTCTTGTACTCCCAGGTATCCCTGGAGGCAAACTATCTTGAGCTAGATCCTTTAGTAACTTTTCACACCCAAGGAACCCTCCAAACCTCCTTGCTAGAAATGAGCATGAATAACCACTCTCCGCTACAGATGGGTTATCTTCACAAACAAGCCCCGAAGAACTCACTATCGGAACCTTCTTAACTGCTCCTTCTATAATCTCCAAAAGTACCTGAAATATTTTCAAAATGTATATTAATAACTTAATCTTATTCATGAATTCAAGCTTCTTCCTTTATAACTAAAAATAAGGACCTCAGTTTCATCCTTTAAAAAACCTCCTTCCTCTCCAGTAATGTTTCTGCTCTTAGATGGTTGTCTTTCTCTTTTTTTTTCTGTCTATACCTCTCTATTCTTTCCCCCCCTTATAGGAATTCCCCTCCTTTTTTTAACCCTTAACTTTCTTTTCACAAAATCTATCTGATCTCCTTTCCTGGTTCCTGTCTCTCATTTATTGCTCTCTTTGTTGTTTATTGCTATATTCAGCTATTCTTGAAATCCAGTGGCTTCATAATTCATAGACATTATACTTCTACTCTTTTACGAGGACCCCTCTGTTGGCTCAATTGTGCAGCCATGCATCTTTATTAGATTCAAACCATTTGTAAAATTTTAGTTAGTTTAAATATATCAATAATTAAAAAACAAAAATTTAAAGATTAATATTTAAAGGTGTTATCTTCTCTACTCTCAATAATATTTGTGTTTATTTTGTTACCTTTGTATGTTAGTGTAGTCTGCATTTTCATCTGGAATTTGCAAGTTGTTGGCGCCAGACCCCAAAACTATAATATCCATGCTTTTACTCAAATCTGTGTTTTTTTTCAAGGGATAATCATTTTTCTCAATTTCTTCCAGATCCTCAAGTTCCAAGTTAACCTGAATTTCTTGGCATTCTTCTTCTATAATGCTTTCCATCTTTAGATAACAGCTCACTTCTTCGGATTCCTGATCTTCATCTTCTAAGCTTATTTCACTTCCTTCAATTTGGCTTTCAAGCTCAAGGGAAACATCTTCTTTGAGATGATCTTTTTGTTCTTTAGAGCTTTCAATTGTTGAGGTTTTGTTATATGCACCTATTTGTTTAATTTCAATAGACTTTGAACCAAGATAATTGTTTTGAAGCTTTGTTGCATTACTATCCATTTCGCTTTGAATTCCCAATCCAACCCTATCAATGTATCTTCCTTTTACATATCTGGCCTTTTTCTTACCAGAATCCTTTTGCTTATCTAGAGAGTACCATAAAGCACCCAAACTAGTTATTAAAATTCCCAAAAGTAACTTTTCTGTTACTGTATTTCCAAATATAAAGCAACCAAGCAAACATGTAAGGAGCTGCTTTACATTACCTGCAATATTCATAGCCAGGGGTGAAACTATGGAAGAGCTCATCAAACTCAAAATATTTAAACCAAAGGCCATGACTCCTGCAAAGATGAGAAAAATGTTTGTTATTAAGAATGAAACCTTATCCATATTCTCACTTTGCTCTGATATCTTATTTATCTCTCCGAGTATCACCGAAAAAAACCCCAAAGTTAAAGAAGCCACAGGACCAACATATTGAAGCATAATTATTGGGTTAATTTTTAGATTCTCAACCTGTAACTTTTGTGCCACGATTCCTTTTAAAGAAGAAACACAACATCCCATAAGTACAATAAATAAACCATAAATACTGAGTTCTGGAGTTCCATTCACTGTGATAGCTACTCCCACTATGACCAAAATTACAGGTGGGATTTGGGAAAGTCTATACTTATGTTTAAAGAATAAAATTCCCAATGCCATAGTGAAAAGTGGAATTGTGGTCCTTGCCATTTGATGTAAAGAAATAGAAACCAAATGCAGAGAAGCATTCGAAAACCAAATGTTTACTGCAACTATTATGCTGAAAACCAAGATACTCTTCTTCTCCTGAAAGCTCAATCCTCCAATTGAAGAAAATCTTGTTTTCTCCCCAAATTTTTTACTCACTAAACCTCCAAATATGTGACTTAAGATAGAAGCAATTATCATGTGAATTAAAGACATTGTAATAGGATATGGAAAATATTGATTCATTAGCCATTTAGAGTATAATGTAAATACTAAACTTAGTATAACCCACATTAAAAAAACTATGTGTTTACTTTCTACCATCTTTTTAACTCCATATCCGTGTTCTATCTTGATATTATTTTCCATCCTTTATTTACCAATTTAGATTCTTTTATTATTAAAAAATGTATTTTAGTTGCAAGGTTTTATAATTCCTATGGTAGCTCAACCTTGATATTTTGGAGTTTAATTTTTTTTATGTACTTTTCTATATTATTTCTCTTTTTTCTCAAAATTTTCTTAAACTAATTCCTACCAAGCTTACGCCAATTCTTTTAATTTTTTCTGTAACTTTTAATTTTTTTTAAATCTGTGCGAGCCTCAACTGATCCACTATCACTATTATATTCATTTATATTCAAATTTATCAATCCAAAAATCACTCCAAATTTATATTCTCTCAATTTCCTATTCTCTAAACCTTATTGATCAATTTTTTATATCTGAAATTATTTTAATTCTCCCTGACACAATTTTACTTTACCGGTCTGCAAATATTTGCATGCAGTTGTGCATGCAACTCCCCCTCACATGCGCTTTAAGTTTGTTGCATGCCGGTACCACGTTTCCCGCCAAACCTAGAAACAAAAGGCGCGCACCGTGATAATGTCATAAGAAGCTGTTTATTTTCAAATTTTGAAAAAAAACGGGTTTGAAGAAAAGTGCAGAACTTGACAGTTTAAGATTACATTATCAAAAAAAGACTTACCAATCTCTATTTAGGAGTTTATTACCTACTTGAAATAAGTGGAATTTTTTAAGAAAAAAATGTATTTAAAGTTAAAACTTCTATACATTACATTCTAGATTATATAGATTTAATAATGCATTAATTCTTAAGAGCGAGAAACAAGTGCAGGTACAATAAAAAGATTGAACAAATAAAGGAGTTTCTTCTTTTTATTATTTTGAAAATAAATAGTTTTTAAACTTTTAATTTTAAGGAAAAAAGAAAAAATGAGCCTAATCCTGAAAAATTCTCTATTAAGACTTGGATATCCAAATTTGCTACGAGTATTACCTACTAGATATAAAAGATTTAATGCTAATCTGAGTTTCAAAAGAAATATTTCAGACTTTAATATGTCCAGATTATCAAATGGAATGAGAGTTGCAACCATGAAATTTGGAATCGACAGTATTCCAAATTCTCTGACTTTTGGATTATGGGTGGATTCTGGAAGTAGGGATGAAAAACCAGGTAAAAATGGGATTGCTCACTTTTTGGAACATTTAATCTTTAAAGGTACATATAATAGATCTAGAAAAGAAATTGAAAGTGAGATTGAAGATATGGGTGCTCATTTAAATGCTTATACTACTCGGGAACAAACCGTTTACCAAATAAGATGCTTTAATCAAGATTTACCAAGGTGTATGAATCTTTTGGGTGACATTATTAACAATTCCAAATTTTGTAAATCTGCTATTGAGCAGGAAAAGGAGGTTGTCTTAAGGGAAATGGAAGAAGTGAGTAAATCTGAGGAGGAACTTATTTTTGATGATTTGCACAGAGAAATCTATAAAAACCATCCACTTGGAAATACTATTCTTGGCCCAAAAGAAAATATTCTTAAATTTAAAAGAGAAGATTTGCTTAATTATATTCGTACCAATTATAATCCAGAAAAGATGATGATTTTAGGAGTTGGTAATATTGACCATAGTTCTTTTAAGAATATTGCTGAGACTTATTTTGGAAATATTTCGAATAATAACAGAAATTCAATAAACCAAAAAAGTGTTAATACTGAAACTTCATCTTATTACCAAGATCTGAATAACAACCAATCTGTTAAGAAACCAATATTGGTACACAGAAAAACCAATATTGATGGTAAAACTCTTCTTGCTATGGCATATAATGGTGTATCTTGGAAATCTAAGGATCTTTTTAAGATTATGTTTCTCCAAAGTATGCTTGGGGAATATGGAACGAATAATATCAATAGAGTAACTGGCTATAAAAACCAAATTCTTGAAAGAATTCTTTCTGGTATTAAAGACCACGTTGAATTTTTTGAAACTTTCAATACATGCTACAAAGATACAGGTGAGTTATTCTTTTCATTTTCTTTCTGATAATAATAATATTTATTATTATTATCGCTATTTTTTTCATTTATAACTCTTTTAAACATTTCTTTAGGCTTATTTGGATGGTACCTTAAAAGCAATAATGATCTCAGTCACAAAGAAATTTTAGAAAATGCCAAATTAATTAGCTCTAGGTTTAAGAACCTCCATTCATTGATTACTGAAGATGACATTATAAGAGTTAAAAGAATCCTTTCTTATCAATTAGCTTCATTATATGAAAATTCTGGAACACTATTTGAAGAAATTGGTAGAGATTTAATTGTAAACAACCATTATACCAGTATTGATGATAAGCTTGAACAAATACAAAAAATTGATCTTGAAGGTATTAGAGAAATTATTCACAAATATTTTCATTTTGATCTTTTAGGGTAAAAATTTACTCCATTATACCCACTTAATATCAGAAACTTTTTTTTTTCTTTGCTATATTTCTTCTATTCTTATCTATTTACATTTATTAGTACTCTTTCTGCTATTATTATCCAAAATATATTCTATTGATTTAAGTACTAAATTATATAAATCACTTTTTATTTCTTGATCATTATTATCATTTTGTTTGTTTTCAATAAAAAAATATCTCTTAATTTTATTTTCATTTTTAAAAGTAAACTTTATGTCATTAAAAATCCATTCCATATCACTATTTTTATAAGCTTTAAATGTCGTGAAAAACCTTATTAAGATAACTTCCTTAATTTTATTTTTGATTAACAAAGAAATAATTCTATCTTGAATAAATTCCCCTACAATTACTGACTCCTCTATTCTATACAAAGAATTAGAGAACTGAATTGCATCATTTTCCATCCAAAATTGTCTAAATAAAGATACAATCACATTTATATTTTCTTGAATTCTCATCATTGATTTATAAGCCATCTTGGCTCCATCATTTACCATTAAATTTTTAATCTTTATTATTGGAAGCTGCTTTAATAATTTATTATCCAAAGACAAATTAATAGAAAACTGATTATTGGACAAATCATCAACAAATTTTTGTGAAAAAGATGTACCATATACTTGAATCTTTTGAAGCATCTGATCTCTTTTTATGTATTCTTTTATAGTACACAATGTGTTTGTTATTTCCCATTTAATTTCTTCTTGTGAAAATTCAAGCTCATGTTGACTTTGAACCATTTCTGATTCATTTTTTAAAATAAAACAGTCTATTGGTAATTCCAAATCATCTCTCAAAATCTCTTTATGATAATCTATGTCATAGTTTTGAATATTTGTATGGTTTCCCTTATCTTTACTATCATCTATTATTAATCCAATTAACTCGTTTTTTACTAGAGATTGGAATAATATAATTACTTTATTCTCTGAATTTGGTAACATCTTAATTCTATAACTTGATTTTTCTAAATCAATATATTGGTAAAAACTGTTTTGTATTGAAATAAACTGATTATTATTTATTTTAAGATCTCTAGTTATTAATATCTGAAAAATGCTCAGATTTGAAATTTCAATATTTGGATAATCTCTTAAAAATCCATTTACCCACAATATAGATTTAATTAAGTGATCAACAGATCGTTTTAATCCAGAAAGTCCATTTTCAAAATATTGAAAATTTTGAATCTTTAATTTCTTATTACTTTGATTCCAAATGTTTAAAATCAAAGATTCTGAATAAGATAAAACATACTCAAAAATCAACTTTTTGATATTTAGTATTTTGATAAAGTCCAATATACTTTGATTAATGTATGATGTGCATTCATTAAAAATACTTGTTAAATATATGATCTTTATCTTACTTATGTATAAGCTTAGAAAAACACATATAGGTATTGAAAAGTTATATTTTTTAATATGAATAGTTTTTATATAAATGATAATTTCTTTCTCATTACCAATCTCTGTCTCCATTAAGTAATTCAAATTCTTTGCTTGTATTTTTTCGTGTATGTTTAATCCATTATAGATACTACTAATTATTGAAATACAATAATTGTTTTTAAATAAGTATTCTTTGTTAATAATTTCATTATAAGAATTTGCTAGTCTAATGAACCCATTATCTTTAAATAATTCATCTAATTTTATAGTTAAATCCTTCATTATATACATATTCCCGAGATTGGAAGAAAAGTTTTGGTATGGAATCCCAGGTATATCTTCAATAAAGATTAATAGTTCACCCTTATTGTCAAAGCATTCCAATTTTTCAATGATTATTTTTTTACTAATGAATTTATCTTTTTGAACTTTATTTAAAATTGAATTCTTTCTTTCACTTTGATTTTGTTCTGATTCATAAAAGTCAGAGGAATCTTCTGTTACAAAGCCAATTTCTTTAAAAGTAGATTGATCATTTTGTATATTTATTTCAAGCTTTTCCTCATTATATAAACGCTCCAAGAGATCTATGGAGCATCTAAATAAAATCGTTAGAATTATTCTTATGGAAATATCTTTTGGATTCATCATACATAATTCACAGCTGTTAATATTATTGTAATTGAATAACTTTCTAGTACCATTATCCTCAAAAAGTTGATTTGGGTGAAGTAATACAAAATGATTATTTCTATTTTGAACTGTTGCAGAAATTAATGTATTAATATTATTGTGAGAATTTTGAAGATAAGTTAATAAGTAATAATATGTTTGAATAATATTTTCATTGTGTTTTTCATTAATTTTCTGATACTTCGAATATTCAATATTATAACTCTCGACTCTTTTCTTTAAAAAGTTAACAATTTGTTGATATTTAAAAATCATATTGCTTTTGTTTACTTGAAGAATTACACTTTTTGAAAACATTCTTGATATTTCTTGTTTTAGACTTTTAATGCTGAAACATTCTATTAAAAATTGGTTAATAAATACCCAGAATTTATATTTAAAAAAGCAATTGTTCCACCTCTCAATTAAATCATCAGAATTTAACATTCTTATTTGGTTAATAATAGATGGAATTAAGCAATTAAATTTCTCATTTATTCGATATCTTTTGAGTAGCTCTTCATATTTTAAATCCAATATTTTCCCCATTACAATGTTTGGAATTAAAATGTCCTCCAACTTTAATCTGTTGATTTTACACTCTATTATAAGCTCCTTTTTATATAAATCTTGAAAAATACTCGATTTTAATTCTGGGTCTTTATATTTATCTCTCCAAATGTATGATATTATATTTGTTGAGATCTCACAAATTTTTGGAAAATAATAATTATTACCAAGAAAAGGGACAGAATACTCATTGTTGTTAATAGTTGTACTTTTCTCAAATTCGATGTAAAATTTGGATAAATCTAATACAAAAATATACTTTCTGTAAATTATGTTGTATTTATACCAAATTGATAATTGCAAAGACCAAACCATTTTGATAGAATTTTCAAATATAAATGATTTAATTATATGCTGAAACTTGCCAATAATTAAGATGGGAACATTCCAAGAAACAATCATTATTCCACTTGGGGTCAGCTCAAGAATGATCATGTATTCTATTATAGTATCATCAGTTGAATGAATGTTTACTGTTATACAAGGTCTTTGCTTACCTCCAGAAATATTAAAAAATGAACCATAAAGATTCATAAAATTTGAATCACTTCTAGTATCAGCAATATTATTATCATAACTAGAATCTTTATCTATTTCGTATAATGAGTCCACCCAATCAGTAATATTTGAGTCTGTTTGTTCATATATATCATTTAAGTACTTAACATGAGACTTATATTTCAAAATATGCCATCCACATTCTTCAAAATCAGTATCCTTCATTGATTGTCTTTTTTCTATGGGAAATTTGATATTAATCGAGGAGTTATTAGATGAAGAAATTCCGTCTTCTTTTTTCAGTACCCTTTCATTTATATCTACTTCTTTATTATCATGAATTATACAAGTATATCCAGAAATAACTATCTTTATACTATTCAATTCTGATAGCATACTTTTCTCTTTCTGAATTTTACTTATTTCATCTCTAATTTTCTTAATGAAATCAGCTATACTCCAAGAAGGAAAATACATTTGAGTTTCATCATTTTCTCCATGAATATCTTTTATAATTAGACTGGGAATTGAATAACTCTTTATCATATTATCGTACTTAGAAACTAATTTTAAAGGTACAAATCTTTCGATAGTTTCTCTATTATTTATCATCAATTGAAAAAAGCTCTGAATATCATCTCTATATTTGTGTATATCTCCAATTGTTGCTCCATGAACTTTTGGGTATTCATTATTTAACAGAAACGAATAATAACCTGAATTTTTATTTATTTCCTTATCCAATTCTTTCTTAGAAAGTTGAAATTGATTTTTGACAATCCAATTATCCTTAATTGTTAACTTTAGTTTAATTAATAACTCCATAAATACTAGGTTAAAAAGTGAATTAATAAACATGATTATGCTATTAGCCTTATGATTATTCTCATCGTCCATTTCTGATCTCTCATCCAAATAAATTGGTTTTCCTTTATAATATGTATCTGCTCCCAAGTAAATACATGGCATTAAGTATATAAGCAAATCATTATTACTAGAATCATACTTTTGTGTATTTAATAATTCATAAGACGATTTTTTTTGTTTTTTTCTTTCATCTAAGTTATTTTCGGGGGTTGTATGGGCTGATGAATTCTTTCGTATCTGGATTAATCTGCCATCTAAATCTCTTATTAAATTCCAAGAATTTGTTTCATTTATGGTATCATTGTTTAGGTTATCCGCTTCATTATTTCTATACAAAAACACAAAGTCTGATATCTTACTAAAATCCCAATATGGGCTTGGAAACTGATATATTTCATCTTCAAGTACTGGAAGTAAGCAATCATCAAAATACTTTTCTAGATTTAAGCAGGGATCTTGACCAAACTTGTTCCCTGCAGCCCATGGATCAGAGGTGTCTAGAATTCGGCCATTGATTCCAGAATAGAATGATAAATCTATCTGGTATTCCAATTCCTCAGATTTCGAATCAAAATCAATATTTCTAATAAATATACGAATACCTCGATCAATTTCTTCATAGCTTATGTTGTAACATGTTAATATAGTAGTCATTATTGTAAACAAATCCCCAAATTTCAATATTATATTATTTTGTTGTGCCATGTTAAAAACTGAAGCACCTAAAAAATTATGGTATGTTTTGCTTAATTTTAAGATTAATGTTAAGTGATAAGGGGCTTCAAGCTTCTGATTTGAATCATAGCTCAATTCATTCTTTGAATTCAAATAAATTTCTCCAACTGATTTCTCATAATCAGCTTTGGGGAGTATTATGGTGTTAAAACTATTATTCCAATTTGAAATAAGTCTTTGTAATGCAAATTTGAGCTGTCTATAAAAATATAGTTTTGTACTCTTTGAAGGTTTTCTTTTTCCAAAGAAAGAAAGAGAAATTCCAACTTTCGACTTAAGCTTTGGGACATTATTTGAACTTGAAGGAGAGAACTCAACAGAATAACTTTGATTCAATTCACCCTGGTTAATTAAGTCTTTTCTCTTTTTTTTTTGTATTTTCACTTCCCTATTCCTAATATCGATAAAAAGATAATCAGGCTTAATCAAAAATATGGATCCAGTTCCTAATGTATTGGTCGAAGTTATTGCATCTTCTGAATATAATAGCCATCCTTTTGGATATATTAAAGAAATGAATTCTATTTCTTTTGCAGAAGATAAGACCTCAGAGCTTTTATTGGGTTCTTTTCCGGAATCAAAGTTTCCAAATAAACTTTTTTCAATTGAAGATAACTCTTTGTTGTATCTATCAATATTTGAAATGTCCCACTTTCCCCCTCCAAACAAGATATCTATCAATGGAGCATTATAGAGCCCAGAAGGAATTTCAATAAATACTTCTTCATGTTTTTTTAGCCAAAATATATAATTAGGTACTTTAATTGTTCTTCCATCCCATAAAATTACCTCACCAGGCTTTTCGTAATAATCTGGGTCCAATTTCCTTTTTAATAAACTACTAAAATTATTCTTTTTCATCCTTCTAAATTTTGCTGGGGAAATTTCAAAAGGTACTTCATAAAGCCATTCTGAGGTGATAGAAATTTGTCCAAAAATGTCCTCCTGTTCATTTGAGTCTAAAATTGATATTTCTGGTTTCTTCTTTTCGTTTTCTATTCTTAGATTTGAATAATCAGATGATATAAATTTAGGTACCATCAAAGAGCTAACCATTCTTGAAATAGCAACGTTCTGTAGTAAGAAATCGCATGTTGCTTCTTTCCAAATATCAATAAACCTACTTTGCATTGTTGAAAAAATAAAATTAATAGATTCATGTAAACAGTTTTCCTCTATATGAAAATCACATATCTTACACTTAAATTTACTTTGTGAGCTCATTTTCATTCCACAGGTAATTGAAGATGGAAAATAAATCTTTAAAGCAAGTCCTAGTACTAATTCGTTGTTTACCAAACCATCTGGGTTATAAATCTCTGCAAGTACTCTGGTATGCTCTAAAAGGTTGTCCAAAAAGCCTCTTCTGAGTCTGCTTTTTAAGCTTGGACTTGCTATTTGCAAATTATCCATAGGAAACTGAGATCCATGCCATATTAAAATCAAATGTGGTTTTCTTTTGATCGGAAAATAATCAGCTTGAGATGAAAGCAGGTTAATTACAGCAATATCATTTCCAAATTTAGTTTCAGATTTTAATAAAGGAAACTGAATATCTCTTCTGAGAATTACTGATCCAGAAGATATCAATTTGTTTTTTTCAAAAACTTCCTCGGAAAATAGTTCATCATTATAATTCCAAATCTTCTCCTTAATTCCTTGTAGGCATTCTAGCAATAATTCACGGCCAAAACAAGCAAACAAATTCATTCTATATGATTCATCCCTACTTTTTCCCCAAATTTCATCTCCATGTATAAAAGAAAGTTCCATAGTCATATCAGTCATCCAAGAGGATAATACGCTTCTTAGTTTCGAAACAAATAATTCTTTTTCCAATTTAATCATCGACCAGAGTTCCATATCTGTCCTATTTACTCTAATGTATTTCTTATCAATAGATGTAAAAATAGTTACCTTTAGTTCTAAATCATCTTTTTCTGTCAAACTTTTCCAAACAAGGCAATGAAACCAACTGGGACTAAAACTTAAATTTTTTTTGAATCTTTTCCAGAATCTTATTGATTCAAGGTAAGAAATCCCCAAGTTTTGTTTATTTTTCATTAATGATATAGCTACTATAATATTCTCAGTTTTTCCCTTATATAAATCAAGTACTCCGCAAAATACCAAAAAACAATTCAAATCTTGGCAATCAAAATGAACTAGTTTCATTCTTAAAGCATTCTTCATACGGCTTTCAAGTTCCTCACCAATAAATCCTGCTAACTTATCCAACTTTTCTAGCCCCTTATCCAGCTCTACATTATTTCTGAATTTTCTATATAGGACTATTTTGAAACTGGAAAGACTGAGTTTAAATCTGAATATATTGCATTTTAAATACTTGCAAACTTCCCTTCTAACTTCATTACATTCATTGATATCAAATGTTATATCCGAGCAAGTATCTGGATCAGAATTACTTCCCTTTTCTGATAAAACCTCCTGATCATAACTTAAACCAAGCAATAAGCTTTGAAAACTATCTTGGTGGGTGTTTTCTTCTTTTATAAAATCGAATTCTGGATCTAAATCCAGACCAATTCCACTTACTGATATAGGATTTTCTATAGAACTATTCTCTAACCCATTTATATAAATTGATTCTGAATCTATTTTTGATGATGGTTGAGCCTTCTCCTCATTGAATTCATTTTCGTTTTGTATCTTTGCAATATCTTTGGAACAAATTGGAATACCCAATAAATAGTATTTTGAAATCATTTTAAATTTAATTGAATCCCAAATCTCTTTTACTATAGAAATATATAATTCTACGAATTGTCTAACTTTATTCAGTTTCTTTTTTTCAAAAATCCCCATTTCTAGATTTGCCTTTTTCTGTGTTATTCCAAAACAAATATTGTAATACGAACAAAGATATATTCCTAATATTGAGCTTGTTGGCCCATTAGAACTGGATCTGTGAAGTTTAATATGAGTAATTATCATATAATCGTAGATTTGATTACTATGTAACCTCCTTATTAAATTCCAACTTTTGGTTTTCTCTCTTTTATCAGAAAAAATTGGTTCCAAATCTTCACTTATTATAAAGCTATCCTGATCTTTAGACTTGACATCCAGTTCATCTTCATCAATAAACAATATTGTATACCATTCATTTTCATCCACCCTAACAGATCTGTCTGTGATTTTTGATATTTTATATAGGAACTTCTCAAACGAACCTTCTGATGCTCCTTCCAAATACTTTCTCCTTGCTTCAATATCAGAATTTTTACCATTTTTGGAATTATTCTGACAAGTAAACAAATTGTTTGTGTTAATTAGAGGTATTTCTATCAAACATAAAGGCTTAAATTGATTGATAAATTCTTTATCCAATTCATTTTCAATGGCTTCGTAATTGTCACTTTCTGCACTAGATTGTGAAACTATTTTAAATTTGTCATTATCATCTGAATCTGTCTCCATTTCATTATTATTAAATGTGAGAAATAAATTCGAAATTTCTCGAATTGATAGTGATATTTTATCGTCGTTAGCATAAAATGATTTGTTTTGAATAATTCTCTTGTATTTATTAAATTCTTTGGACTTTTTAAGACCACTGAAAAAGATATTATAGTAGTTAGAATTGATTGCTCCAAATTTATTTCTGTATGCATTTTGATGAAAGCTTTCAGCTTTAATTTCAGAGGAATCCTCATGGTTACTTTTTTCATTTATCTCTTCATTCATATTTCTAAAATATTCAATATTCTTTCTTAAATGACTTGAAGTATATAAATAATCTATTAATGAGATTGTTTGTATTATTTTGTTGTCTTGATAGTGGATTCTTTCAGCAAACTTATTAAATAAAAAGAATTCTCCATTATTCTCATTAATAATATCAGTTCTATCAATAGAACTTGCCATTAAAGCTCTGCATGTTAGCTTGCTACTATTTGCATTGTTGTCAAATTGGAACTTAAGGTCATAAATAAACAATACTTTCAACCTGAAGTTTTTAGTAATCTTAAGATCACTGGGTTTATACCAGGTTGAATTTAATTGATCTTTGTAATTTATCCTATTAAGCAAAATCCAACCATCCAAAAATCTGGAATTTGATATAGTCAATATGACCCTTTCATTCAAATTCATTGGTTCCTGCTCCTGATGAATATGCTTTTCTTTTTCACTCCAAAGTACGTAGCTCCATGACTTTTCCAAGCATATGGCTCCTTTTGTACTACTTTTTAAAAAATAACTTGTTCTCAATGATATTCTCAATAAACTTAAATCTGCATCTTCAGGTACAATTCCATATTGCATAATTTGCTCCTTAAACCACTTTGTATACTCTTGGCAATATATTGGACTGAGACCATAAAATAAGATGTTAAATTTCACTAATGAAGATTGGCTTTCTATTTCTTTACTTTTATTTTTCCCATGATCAGATGTTTTGATAATAGTTCTTTGGGCTTTCAACCAAATTGCAGTGATGTTTTTCGCTTTTCCAGACAAATTAGAATTCTGAGTCTGGATCAAAGAATCATTACTTGCCCAAGATCTTAAAATTCTCAAAATTTCAAGGTCCTCAAATTTCATTCCCATTTCTGTAGTCTTTATCTGTGGAAACAGATTATAATACATCAAAATTCCCTCAATTTCTCTTGATGAAAAATCAAATTCATCCTGTTGGTTTTCTAGTATAAAGGATTTAAACCCTAAATCCGTTAATTTGGCTTTTAGCAAGTCCCAAGAACCTTTAAACCCATCAAAAACTTCTTCTTTAAATAAAGTTTGGTCACTATCCAATATAAAATCAACTTCATGCCGAATAATGTACGGAAGAAACAAACTATTCAGTTCTTTTGGAAAGGTTGGAATGTATTCGCTGTTTTTTGAATAATTTTCAACTAAGCCTTCCATCCAAGTATCCAATAATCTGTTTTTAAAAATAAAGGAGTAAAGGAAATAAGTCAATATGTAGGGCTTGCTGGAGAAATTGAGCTTCTTAATCTCTTCTTTAGATTCCAATAATTTTTTAAGTAATGAAAATTGATCTGGGGTAGAAATGGCATTTCCTAAATTCCTGATATAAAATTTGATGGACCAAAATTCTGAACAGTTGTCTTGAAAATCTTTATAATTTTCAATCAAACATATAACTTCAACCAACTTATGAAATTTTGAAAATAAAATGAGTGGAATATCAATTTTTGATTCTCCAACAAAATTGAAACCATTCCTTAATTTATTTACTAAAAGTTCTATGAGAGATAACCTTTGATTTACTTTATAATTATAAATCTCCTTCAACCCATCTAATATGTCTTTAACTCCAGATTCAGTTTTGAAGGGGATATTGCAAATATCGGGCCTTAATAGCAAATCCTTTGCTATCTTTCTCGCATCCTGCTCATTTACTCCATACTCACATACCGTTAAAGTTGAATTAAAACTAGTAGCAACAAATTCCAAAGTATCTAAAGAAGGAATTAATCCAATTTCTGACTCTTCAAGGTCCATGCTAAACTTTTTAATCACCAAAAAATGAATCTGAATATCATTTGAAGAGCAGTAACGTAATAAATCATTATTTTGACAAAATAATGAGGAAGAATTTCCTTCTGAAAAAAGTCTGGAAGATATTATTCCTGTTGTTATTACAATTACTGAATGAGTCCAAGAAGTTGAAAATGAGTTCAGTAATTCAAAAATTTCAAAGCTGTACAAGCTTTTAAAAAAGTTTATCTCACCTTGTGTGAACTCCAAGTGGGTTTTTAAAATCTCCTGAATAACACATTGCAAATGTTCTCTGAAAATTTGTTTTTCACTAATCCAAGAAATGATTGGTATTTCATAAAATACCAGCTTAAAGCAAGGCTCTTCTTGATTCGTTCCAAACAAAAAAACAGAAAACTTTACTTCTACCCCATCTTCCATATACTTTAAATATTCCAACAACTTCGAAACTTCGTTTAATATGTTTTCCAAACTTGATAAAAACTCATCTGTCCTTGCTCCCAATTGCTCTATATCATCATATAATTCTGAAAACCATAATAATGACCCCAAGTCCAAAACAAATACCAAATGCATGCCTTTGCACACATTTCTTATTATTGTGGACACGCCGGTATTTAATGAAATAATTTTACTTGCAGTGTTGCATGCAAAAAAATCATTTGGATTGCCCTTTTCGTAAATTAAATAAAGAATTTTTGAGGAAGAAAGTATAATCGAATTTTTCGCATTTCGGGTTAAACAAAAATTAGAATTGCTTTGTTGCTCCAGGTTTAGTCTATTTTTGAAAATTTCAAGGAAGAAATCCTTAAAATCATCGCTAAAACCCTCTTCCTTCAAATCTAGAATAAATATTGATGGTTTGAGGACCGTCTTTAATAGTTTGAGGTATATTATATTGGCTTTTGGTGAAAAAATACAAATTTCTGTATGAAATAAACGGTCCATTATAAATTAGTATTCTTGGCCATTTATCAGGAAATATTAAATAAGAAATAGTTTTAAATAGACTTTTACCTGAACATTAATCAAACTGTAAAATATTGAACATTATTATTTTACAAAATTTACGTCAAGCAACATTTTTTTTTTTAAATATTTATTTCTCAATTCCTAATTGTCACAGACAGATCAAGAAATTATTGGCGGGGAAGAAATCATAAGAAATATTGCATAAAATAGGCAAAACAAGCAGAAAGGAAAAAGATCAATAAAAAACTGAAAAAAAGTACAAACTATATTAAAAAACTCCTGGGATATTATTAATTATTTTATTTCTAGTTTTTACCTCTTCATGAATTTAGAAAAAAAAAGCCAATTTGAATATTAACCATTATTAGATACTGTTGTAAACATTAAAGCAACCCTCAACCCCTAATAATTAGAGGTAAACACTTACCAAAATTAACGAAAATTAAGTTTTTATTAGTGCATTGAGCATTTCTGAATTCACAGAGATTTTTGTATGTTACTCCGTTGTTTCCACAGTGAAGATCGACCTGATCATCACATTTAACTATGCAACCTTCACCTCTGACCCTATCAAATGCAGGAGGGAATTCTCTAAATAGTTCTTCAACAGTGGAGTTTGCTTTAATTTTTGGGGTTGCCTCACTTGCGATTCTCAATGGGTTTAATGATGTAGAATTAGCCGTGCTATTGGATTTCTGCTCACTTAATGTAAAATTATTGATAATAGAGCCTAATTCAAATATTTCATCTAGCGCCTCTAAAACTCCTGTATCGTCCATATTTGTGAGTGTAGAATTGATTGATTCGTCTTTCAAAAAGTTCAAATCAAAATTTACAAAGATTTCGCCAATTTCGAGGTCTTTTAGATCATCATTAGTAATATTCAATGGGGAAAATAATAAATCAAAGAAGTCCAAAACCAAATCTACTCGGTTTTCAATTTCCTTTGATTGATTACTTAAAAGAGCCCTAGTACTTGTCTCTAATGGATTGGTTGTGTTCATGGTTGGATTGAATATTGAATGTGGAAACAGAGTTAAACTGTTTCCAAACTTATTGTCAAAGGTATCCTTAAGGGTTAATTCAGTTAAATTTAGAATATAGTTGGAAGCCATTTTAAAATTGTCCGTGGAATTTTTGGGAAAGATACAATGGAAATTGGGAATTGCTGGAGTTTCTTTATTAGATGAAATGTTTAACTCACAATTGTCAGCCTCATCCAAGTAGTTATTGGTTCCATTAGAAGAATTTAATTCTTCAAAAGTAGATTCCTCTTCTAAAGGAAGCAATAATCTGTTCATAGTTTTTTTCTTGTCCCCATTAATGTTTCCAATATTAGTAGAATTATTCAGGTCATTTTTTAAAGTAGAATTATAAATATCTTTTAAATTGTTAATACTCATCTTACCCAAAGTTTGAAGAGCAAAATCCACTAACATAAGAGAATTCAAGTAATTATCTGTATTGTTAAAGTTTACAAACCTGAATGTAACGTTCAAGCTATTGTGCATTCTCTGATCAATTACACTGAAGTTATCTGCTTTATGTGTGTAAGAATTCTGAATTTCCTCCAAACCATTATAACCAGAATCTGGAGATGTAAGGTTTTTATCGTTATTGTTATCAATTTGTACATTATTTAGTTGATTTAAGTAATTCAGCATCTTAGACTTTTGGTTTTCCAATATTTTAATAATCGTTTTTAAAACTAAAAGTGAAAGTCTTGAAAGGTTGTATTTACCATCTGACAAAACAAATGAAGAAATATCGAAATTCTCCACAATAACATTAATCATATTAACGTTATATTTATTAATACCTTTATAAACTGAGTCGTGGCTACCCATGTAAAATGATTTTTCTCTATCAATCTCATCACTATATACACCACCAGCCAACCTTAAGTCTTGTATATTTTCATTATCTGAGCTAGATTCATATTCTAAAGTGCTATTTTTATCACTATTATCAACTTTTTTATCCACTAATTCAACTAAGTTTTCTTGTGTTTCGTTTTTCACTGATACGATCATGTCAGAATTCACCTCTGAATCTCTCTTTAACATACCACTTCCTCTTAATAACCTGCTATTTAAATGTGAAGCACCATTTGTGATATTCAAATTACTAGAACTATTAATAACCTTATAATTTGAACTAATACAGTCAGAAAGATCTAGAATTGTTAAGTCGCTGAATTTAGCCTTTGAAGCCAGAAAATCACACTCAGATTTGTAAATGACCATATCTGAGCCACACAAATTCATAAGGTTTGAATTACACCTAATTATTTGTTCTCCTCTAACTGCCAGCCCTGAGATGGGCAGAAAAATTGAAAGAAGAAATTTCATTATTACTAAACTAAAATTCCCTTTAAATTATTTTTATCCTATGCTTTCTCTTTCTTACTAAATTTAAACTTTTGATTCTTTTTCCAACTATTTGTTTACAAAGCAGATTCACTTATTCCACATTTATGGCGTTCGAATACAGCTTATTGAGTAAATAATTTCATTAAATTTACCACACTTACGTTTTACCCTTCTTACCTTTATGTCATGCAACTTTCTTTTCTTCCCCCCTAATTTCAAATAATATTGTTGTGCGAGACAGGACGTTCAACGACGTTTGCCAGCCATGCCGCCTTGTGAGTTTAAATTCATAATGCGTTTTGGGAGAATGTGGGGTGGAAATGTCAACAATTTCCATGCAAGCTAAAAGTAAGCGTAGGGCTATACAGGGGTTTTGATTTAATTCTTATTATATAAAAACTAGAATTCAACTTTTTATAAGATTATTTTGGGTATTTAGAATTAAATTAAGTGTGAGGCAAAATTATGTGACGCGGAAATTAATAAACTAAACAATTTTTAGTCATTTATTGATAAACCGCTCACTGGCCTACATGCAACAGGTTTTGAAGGAATGGGAAAAGTTTTTTTAAAAATAATTTTTACATCTGGCATTAAGTTGGGTTCTTGTTCCCGCCAAAACTATTGCATTTAATGCACATTTTACGTTAATTTTTCTTGTCAAATAAAAGTTCTGTATTATATAATCATAAAAATTCCCTATAAAATTTTTGTTTTAGCAATTGAATACTTTTCTATGCATTAAATGTAGAAGATTGGATTTTTAAAAATTAGAAGTGATAATAACTTGAAATAAAAATGAAGAAAAAGTTATATATCAAAGACTAGTATATTAAGTGTTAAATCAATTATAGAAAATCATTTCTTAAGTTAAATCTAGACTCAATTTAAATTATGCGCATTCTGTCTCATTTCACTGACCAAAAACTTTATCTTTTACCGTTTCCTTAAGTAGATTAGAGACCTGCCAAATAGCCTGAGTGTCTATTTTTTTGTTAATTCCCATAACACCAGTTCCAGAATTGTTAGCAAAAGAACCCGTGTTATTATCATTTAGGTGAATATTAGAAGAAGTTTCTACATTCTGATTCCCATTACCCATAGAAAACCATCCACCTATCTTTTCCTCTGTAAAGTTGGGATTGCTCGTATTGTTAATAGAATCCTGACTATTAACTACACTGGAAACTTTGGGGGCAAGACGGATTGAATCTGATTTGTTGTAATTCTTAAGAATATCAGAATAATGGGTTAACAGGAATTGTCTATAGTCATTATTAGCAGAAACACTATTTGAGTCTATATTGGCTTTAAGAGTTTTGTCATTTGCAGTGGTAATTTTGTTTGAAATTGATCCCCTAGAGGAGGGATTTACTAAAGGTAGAGTAGGGAACCTTTGTACACTACTTGCAAACAAATTTTGCACCTTGGGTAGTTGGTGGCAAGCCTCCAAGTTATAGTTCTCCCGAGCTTCTTTTAGAAGGCTAATAATTCCGTCCTCAATAGAAACCATATCTTCGGGAGTCAAAATGGTTTTTACTATATCCATAGTTGGTGATAATTCATCTTTTGAATTTATACTAACTCCATTATCATGTTCAATAGAATAGTTACAGACGGAAAATCTTTCACACCATATCAGATCACTGTAAAGACAAGAAACAGATTTAACTAATAAATCTTTGTCATCATCTTTTAATTCTTTGTTAAAGTTCTCATCATTTTTCAAATTTCCAAGTTTAAGGTACAAGTCTCCAAATGTTTTTATAATATTTATTTGAAATGGTAAAATATAAGATTTAATGTAAGATCTGCAAACCAAGTTAAAAATAGATCTTTGCGACTTAAAAGCTAATTGTGTTGAAATCATGTTCAGATCAAAGCAAAATTCCAGTAATAGAGTATGAGGAGTCACTGAGTTATCTCCAATAAAACCAAATTGATGGTACAAAGATGTGAGTGAGAGTACTTCTTTACTATTTAAACAGTTACTTTCCAACTTATCGTTGGTTCTCTGTAAAAGTGACTGATATGTACATATTTTTTGGCAAAGTTCCTCCCTGTGAATCATAAGGGAATATATAATGGTTTCCAATGTCCTGATGCTTTGAATGTGTCTGAAAAGGCACTCTGGGCTAACATAAGACTTCGTAAACTCTCTTAATGAGCATAAAATGAGAGTTTGAGTGTTTTTAGATTCTTCATTAACCTGGGAAGAATCCTCTAAAGATGCAATAATTTCGCTACAAATCCTTACCAAGATTTCCCAGTTAATATTCCGAGGGCCAATATTGTTATCTTGAGTCAAAATTTGATAAGAAAAGCCAAACTCTTCTTGGCCAGTTGAAAGGTATTCTATTAAAGACGATTCCAAAAACTCCAACTGCTTTCCCTGAATTAAAATATTGGAGAATCTGTGAATCTTTGCCATGGAATCATCCTCATTTTTGACTAAAATTGTAGGTGCCTGCTTGAAATCCCTCCCTTTAATAGACCAAAAAAGGATTCTGTTAAACTCAATAAACTTGGTTAAAATGGAACTAAAGCACTTTTCGGAAATACTTCTGAGAATAGAATTCTTTTCTGAAGGTTCGACTTTGTCAAGAAGCTCTCCAGTCTCTTTTATCTCGTTAATTAGTATCTCAAAAGACTCATTTTTGGATATCAGCCACCTAATAGTATTATTATCCTCAAAAATATTGCTCATCTTTCTGTTGTAATATGACTCAATATCTTCCTCAGGTCTCAATATTAACTCCAATAACTGATTTTTATTCCCAATTATTAGAAATCTTATCAGTTCCTCTTCAATAGTGGAAATCAAAATTGGGAAAAATGAATTCTTCAGTATCTCTATACCGACCCCATGCTTTATTGTACTAAACAGATTCAAATATATTTTAGAAAGAAACTTAAACCTAAAATTGTGATTTATTTCTTCAGACTTTTTACTGTAATAAACATCTCCATTTTCTATATTGTTGGTTTCAACTACTTTTTCTCCTCCCATAGATCCAAATTCCTCCAATAGAACTGACATAAGTCTTGATATGTGGCTACTATTAGTTAATGTCAATAAACAGGCCGAAATATGATCTAAAAATTGAAGCTCAAACCACCCCCTTTGTTTGAATTCAGAACACACTATAGAAATAGACTCTTTGAGCTCATAAAGGTCAACTAAAACGGTCATAGCCATCATGAAAGTTTGGCCAAGCTTATCATTAAATTCCTCCTTCTTCCCAAGATTACTATTACACGAAATCCTTGCGTTCTTTAAAATTTGAATGGTTTTATCAACTCTCAAAATTAAAGCAGTTTCCAGGATAGTTTTGAAATCTGATTCAATATGTTCTAAGTGATCAGTATGTTTACCTTCAATCTCTAATAGATACCTGATCATGATTAATTGGGCCAATTCAACTGAATTAAGCTTCTCACAACTTTGAATGAAAGTATAACAATTACTGGAAATGCTTTGTTTAATAAAGATAGAATCCTTAAATATTGTATTTTCTAAATTTGAGGAATCTTCATTTATTAGCTTTTTATACTCTAAATACAGCTCATAACTTTGTATAAAACTCTTCTTTGAAAAAGATTCCAAAATACCGAAGTAAAGTTTCTCATGTTGTTCCTGATGACTTAAAATGGAGTTTAGATCCTCCTTTCGAATCACATCTGGTAGTTCTTCTTGAACAAATTTAGAAACTTTATCTCCAAGACTATCACTAAATCTTTCAATATCCTTAAGTAGCTCATAGGTACTGGAATTTAGTTTTGTACTTGCATTATATATATTTAAGACATTTTGGCCAAAATCAATCATCAAGTCAGGATTAGATCCAATAACTTTCTTAACTTCATTTGTCCTGACAAATATCTCTTTTTTGATCCTGACCAGAATATCACTAATTTCATCTAAATCATATTTTTTGAAGAGATCTGTTACTGATAATGCCTGGCCATCAACAAGTATTGTCATTATTTAATTAACCAAAAGCAAAGAGAATATTGTAAGATTTGCATCAAAAAAGAAAACACCCGGAAAGAAGATCTTTAGATAACTTACTGTAATTACCAAGTTATTTTTCTTTCTCACTCGTCACTTTTCTTTATTAAAATTTAAAGTAATAAGTTTATTAATGCAATTCACAATAATACTAATCCTGAAAGTCTTTTTAAGTAATGCAGTATGTGGATCTCTAGTTATCTTAAAAACTTCCTTATTCAAAATAACTGTTGTGCAATATTCACAGGTCTTTTGATTTCCATGAATAAGTCATTCAAAAAAAAAATGTATTTTTTTTTATTATTTTGATAGTCCGATACCGCGCCCCACTCTTTACCGGTAAATGAGGCGGGATGCTGCAAACAATTATATTAAGAGCAATCAAGCCAAAGAAAAAAATAAAAATATTTTTATTAATTCGTTTTAGCTTTACTGGAGTAATAAAAATTAAATTTCAATAGAAAATGCAGAGTTCAAAAAAACACAATTTAATTCTTATAGGAGCTCCGGGAAGTGGAAAAGGTACCCAATGCGAATTCATTAAGAATGAGTACGGACTGGCCCACTTATCTACTGGTGACATGCTTAGAGAAGCAATAAAAAATGGTACGAAGATTGGCCTAGAGGCTAAAAGTATCATGGATTCGGGGAAATTTGTTGGAGATGATATTGTACTTGGATTAGTTAAGGAGAAGTTTGATTCGGGAGTGTGTGTAAATGGGTTTGTCTTGGATGGATTTCCAAGAACAATTCTCCAAGCTGAGGGCTTAGCAAAAATATTGAGTGAAATTGGAGACTCCCTAACTCATGTAATTTATTTTGATATCGATGATTCAGAAATTATTGAAAGAATCTCAGGAAGATGTACTCACCCACCATCCGGTAGAATTTACCATGTAAAGTTTAATCCACCCAAACAACCAGGTATAGATGATGCTACAGGTGAGCCTCTTGTGTGGAGGGAGGATGACAATGCAGAAGCTGTAAAGGTCCGTCTTGATATATTCCACAAACAGACCGCACCATTGGTGAAGTTTTATGAGGAATTGGGAATCTTAAGAAAGGTGGATGCAAAACTGCCTCCGAAGGAAGTTACGGAGCAGATCAAAAAGATCCTGGGAAATTAGGTTCAGAAAGCAGCATTAAAACTTCAATTTTAGTGTTGAAAGCATTAATAAATTAGTATAAACTAAGTTAAATCATTTCTTGTTAATTTCCTAGCTTTACTTTGTTTTAAGTTAAATTTGTCCACAATCTGCGATAACTACGGAAACACTAGTCTTTCCGTTACTAGATCCAAATCTTTCCATACTAGCTATGACGTCAGCACCTGTTGAGATCTAAAAGAGACATTAATAATGTTAGTAAAAGAATATGCATTTATATAGAGATTTGATTGTTCCAGTATTGTAGGACTTTAGCTTAACTTTGAATAAGCTAAAACCAGACAAAAATACTGGTCCTTAGTATCACCCATCTTAGACCCAAATCTTTAATTAATATTAGCTAAAAAAATAAAGATCTGGAACACGTCTGGGTTTAAAATAAACACGATTTATTATTTAACTTACTCTACCAAAAACGACATGTTTTCCATCCAGCCAAGGGCATGGAATAGTGGTAATAAAGAACTGGGAAGAGTTTGTATTTGGGCCAAAATTAGCCATAGACAATAATCCTGCAGAATTATGTTTTAATGCGAAATTCTCATCATCAAAGGTGGCTCCGTAAATTGACTCTCCCCCCGTACCATTGTACGAAGATATATCGCCTCCTTGACAGATAAATTCTGGAATAATTCTGTGAAATCTGCATCCTTTGTAATGTAGATCTACCCCATTTGGGCTTTTACCCTTCTCACCTGTACAAAGTGCTCTAAAGTTTTCAGATGTCAGTGGAGCAATCTCCGTAAATAACTCAAACACTACCCTTCCTGTTGGAGTTCCTCCAATCGAAATATCGAAAAATACGTGAACATTCTTTTTTGTAGGTAATCTCAATATATTATTTGGGCTAGCATCTGAACGAGGAGTTGCTTCACCTTGTACTTTTGACCCAGCCTCCATTAGCTCAGTCAATATTTAATTGAGAAAAATTTACCCGAGCATTTGAATAACTACTAAATATCTTATTATCTCAATTTTTTTTTTTTTAGTAATTTAATTTACCACAAATTACCCTGACCATAGAAACCATTTGGCGCCACAACTTTGCCCGGTTTATCATTTAGTATTGGAATATTTAGGTTAAAATGATGGTGAAATTATTATAAATAGAAGATCTTGTTTCGAATTGAAATATAATGTTCGGAAAAATTATATTTCCTTTGTATCATTTCAAATGCATTTGTGATTAAAGTAGTGAGATTTTTGGTAGTTTTATGGAGGTAATGCTCCAAAAAAACAACGAAACATGAGTTTCTCTAAACTACTATCTAAGTTATCCTTCTCTTCCCTAACTTAACGTTTTCTTCTATACATTCCACTCCTCTAGTACTCTCCTCCATATTTTGATATCCCTTTCTTTGTGGTCAAAGGTTAAGTTTTTATTTTTTGGAAAAACTAAAATATTGAGACATTTGCATGTAATTTAGAGTAGCATAAATCAAGAGCAGAAGTAGAAAGAACATAAGATTGAGTTCGAAAGAGGTAAGGAATAACTATTATTATTGAATCACGTGGAAGAATTTGGCAGATAAAACGTATTAAAATTTCTCAGTAAGAAACACTTGAAATTATTTGATTACTTTTAACTTTAATTTGTATTATTATTTCTGAATATATATAGAAATACTCATAACAGAAAATCCCCGCCAAATACATATGGCGCCATTATGGCCGCTAAATTGATGCGGAAAAGGCTATTATTTTAAACAAGAGGGAATTAATAGTAAATAAAAAGAAAAAAAAGGCGTGAAAAAGGAGTTCTGTATTGAGTATTAAAATTCAAAATGGAGCTTTTGACATTTAACTTGAAGGATGGGTACTTAGAGGCTATGGTTCGAGGATATAGATCAGGCTTTGTAACTATGGATGAATACCACCTGATTGGCCAAGCTGAAACTTTGGAAGACATGAGAACAGCATTGGAGGAGACAGATTATGGTACATTTATGCAAGATGAGGCACTTCCTTTGTCAGTAAATGTGATAACTCAAAAATGTCGTGAGAAGTTCGCTCATGAATTTAGGATGTTACAATCCCAAGCTTATGAACCATTAGGAAAGTTTCTAAACTACATTACTTATGAGAAAATGATTGATAATGTGGTGAACTTGATTCAAGGAGCTATGAATAAGAAACCAGCAGAGGAACTTCTTGCTCGTTTAGACCCATTAGGATATTTTCCAGAAATCAGAGCTTTTGTTGCTTTGGATTTGTCATCATCTTTTGATGAGCTTTACAAATCAATTCTCATTGAGACTCCAATTGGTCCATACTTTGACGAGTTTTTGACATCTTTTAGTGGTGAAAATGAGGATGTTACCTCAATCGTCAAGGAAATGGATTTGGAAATTCTTAGAAGTTCTCTTAAGAAATCATGGCTTGAGGACTTTTATAGATTTTGCCAGACATTAAATCCTACATCTGCTGAGGTTATGAGCCATGTCTTAAAATGTGAGGCAGACTTTAGACTTCTTGCTATTACTTTAAACTCACTCAATTTTAATTTTTCAAGTGCTTCTACATTATATCCAAGCTTTGGTTACTTATATCCGGAAGGTACAGAACAGATTAGGAAGGCCTGGAATGACACTCGTGTAAGAGCCGCCTTAGAGCCATATTCAAAGTACAGTGCTCTTTATGATCAATGCAAAGCATTCTACGTTAATGAGAATACTAATGACCTTGGACTTTCTGATGGAAAGGACGAATCTAATAGGAAATCTTCTAGTCACAAAAATCTTGCTGACAGACAATTTAAGAGCTTGGAGGATTTATTATATGCTGAAACTGTTTCTATGTGTGAACTTGTATTTGATCAGCAATTGAATTATGGCGTATTCTATGCTTGGGCCAAGCTTAAGGAACAAGAAATTAGGAACCTTACTTGGATTGCCGAGATGATCCTCATGAACAGAAAAGACCAAGTTGATGCTATTGTTCCAATATTCGCTCCTCGTGCCAGATAATTCTCTGGCTCAACTAATACTGTTTATTCCACCCTTTTTAACATATAGAAATAGCTTATTAATTTTTTTTTTTACTAAGATCATTTGTTTTTTTTTATGGCAATTCTCCACATTCTCTTCACTATTTAAACTCTTAAGGCCATAAACCTCTGAATTTCAGACTTCTTCATTTATTGGTTTGCCTTAAACATGTTTCTGTATCCTACCTTTGACTTCATACCGGTATTATAGAAGAATTAGAGTGTACTCTTTTTCTTGAAATACCCCTCTCTTTAACGCATAATTTGTTGTATTCACTTACAACACTAAACCTCTTTTATTCTATATATTCTTGTTAAATCTCAAATCCCCGCACTCCCATCCTGAGACTCTTCATCTTCTAAGTTCTCCAAAAACATTTATTTACTCTGCATGTAACTGGTCTGCCAAAAAGCGCCACTTCCGTGTGGCGCCCAATTGGCATAAATCCAATTAAGCATTAACTGTGAGAATTGTAAAAGGGTTTAGCTTTGAAAATACTACAGATAAGGAAAAATGTTGATGGTGAATAATATTCCACCAGTAACGAAGGTCTACTTCGCTATTTCAACTCTATTGATGATTTTGTGTACATTAGATATCATTTCACCATTTAACTTGTATTTGAATTGGTTGCTTGTGATCAACGAATACCAAATATGGAGATTGGCAACTTGTTTCTTCTTCTTTGGGACATTTAGCTTACACTTCTTCTGGAATGCATATGTTCTTCTTTATTACTGCGCATCCTTGGAAGACGTAGTTTTCCACAGTAGGCCAGCAGACTTTCTTTGGATGTTAATCACATGCTCATGGATGCTCCTTCTCCTCTCATATTTCTTTGGAGCAGGGTATCTTTTTAGTGGTGCTGTTATTAATGTAATGACTTACATTTGGGGAAGAAGAAACCCATCTGCCAGAATGTCAGTTTTTATATTCACTGTAAGAGCTCCTTACTTGCCTTGGGTATTAATGGGTATGGGTTTGGTTATTGGATGGAGACCTTGGGATAATTTAATGGGGATTATTGTGGGACACACCTACTACTTTTTTGAGGATATTTACCCTCTAATGCCAGTTTCAAATGGTTTTCGACTTTTTAAAACACCTAGAATAATAACTAAATTAATGAAACAGGAACAAAACTAAAAAGTACATAATTTAACAGCTCCCAAACATAAATATATTATATATAAACTGTATATTCAAATCTAAATGTTGAGAAAACAATTTTCTTCAACCTTTTAGGATAGCATCTTAACTAGCTATTATTTAACAAACTTTGTATATTTCTAAGTTATATATTTTGTTACTTATCTCTTATCCTATTCTTAATACATTATTTATTATTTGTGTTAAACCGGATAATTCACTGGTCATACTAATTCCTCTCTTAAATCCAATTACGTTTACCTTTATTAACTTTAAGTGCATTCAAAAATATTTGGAGTTTTGGCGCCCAGTCTAAAAATAATTCCATGTATAGCAAAACTTTAATTTATTCAATTTAGGATGATGATTCCTATCTTCCATGGAAATTTATGTAAGCTTAGTCATTTATTTACAAAAGGATTATTTTTTAAAAACTACTCCAAGCACTTTTTTTGTATTCCCAAATATTTCAAAAATTATAAATTTAAATTAAGTAGGAAATCTGAAATTATTAATGGTGACAAAATAGCAGATCATGCCAAAATGCAAGAAAGACTCTGGAAAACATTAGTTCCAGAAAAATACATAACTTTTAATTCCTCCACTTTCTTTCTTCTTGCTGCTCTGACACTGACATTACACCAATATAATGTACAAAAAGATAAATCTAAGTGCAATGAGGAACAATAGTTTAAGTTAAACGAGTCCAAACTAATGAATCTTCTAATTAGTTAGAATCTTAACAAGAAATCAAGTGAAAATAAAAAAGTTTATGCCTAAATATGTAAAGTTAGAAAATTAATTAAATGTTAAGCTATACTAAAATATAGACAGTAAAATTCAAATAATCAAGCTACCAGACCATCACCTACTGCTTTGAGTTGGTTTTCTTTGTTGAACTACCATGTTTGCTTTTCTTAACAACCTTAAGTTGTTTGTTACCTTTAACAAAAGTTTTAGGCAAACAACCATTCTCTTCCTGAGTATCAGGATCAATCTGGTATGTCAAAGATAAAGGATCTTTTGGGTTTCTATCCTCAATTACCATACAAGTAATTCTGTTATCTGAGTCAAACACATCCATAATTTCAAATTCACAATAATTTTTGCCAGTTTCTTCGCTCAAGTTTAAGGTAAAATTAAAAAGAACAAAAATACCTGATGAATCACATGTTACCAGTTTTCCATAAGTCTTGTAATGATTAGGGTCTCGATACTTAAGATGGTCATACCCAATAGTACAAATCCCCTTAATTCGATTTCCAAGATGTGGATTCTTAATCTCATTAGAAATCTCATTTGAAAAAGTAAAGATAATTTCCAATTCGGTTAATCTTTCTCTTGTAATTTGGATCATTCTGAATTGTCCATTAGAAGAACCAACTAGAAAGATTTGGTTAGTAATCCAACAAAAAGAAGTAATCTGAACAGGTCCAAGTCCTAAATTAGCAGTCGAAGAACTTAAATACCAGTCATCATCGTCTGTTATACTGGAAATCACTAGCTCTCTTTGAGAAAGCACAGCATAATAACTCCCATCCACATTAAATTTTATCAGGGTAAAAAGTCCAAATCTTCTGTTCAAATTTGCACCTTTCTTTCCCAACCCTGGCACGGTAAATTTAGTTGCCAAAGTCCCCTGTAAAAGGTCCAACATGCATATATTTCCTTCAATATCTAAAGTCAAAGCTAATTTCATTGAAGGATGAAAGTCTGCTGAAATTGGAGTAAATTCATGAATGTCATCAAAGCTTTTAACTGGGTCCCAATTTGCACATCTCCATATGCAAACGACTTTGTCCTCTCCACATGAAATTAAGTATTTAGAGTTCCAAGACAAACACACGTAAGTCACACTTCCCTGATGTTTAGTTAACATACCACTGTCACACCTGGTTTTCAAATTGTAAATCCTCATTGTTTCATCTGTACTTGCAGTAACAAGTAGATTTCCTCTAGAGTCCATATCTTTAATACTAGCCTGTAGTAATGAAATAAACAGGTAGTATTTATGTAACAAAGAAGGGAAAAATTTTATTAAAGAAAATAAGCAAATAAAATTGAAAAAGGCTGTGAAAATTTAACTTACAAGGTGTGCCTTAAAGGCAAAAATCATGTTGAAAATACCCTTAATGCCTTTATTCTTCTCCTCATCTGCATCCTCCTCAGCACTACTTACCTGCTTATTCTTCTTACCCAAGTGAGATTTCAAGCTTAAACCAATTATTCCACCATCATAAGTCCCTTGAATATTAATTTTTCACCATCTAGTTAGCTTAAATCTAAATAAAGGTCAAAGTCAACCTACCTCCAACCACAAGAACTTCTTCTTGTATATTTACCAGAGGCACAGAAACCTCCTCCAAACTCTCAGTCATATGAATTTGTCTTCAGTCAAAATTCAAGGTTTTTTTTGCATGGGAGTAATTCCCTCAATTTTTTCTTACAAGCCCAGAAAGATTTTATCCTAGCTTTTTAGATTTTTTTTTTAATCCCAAATATTTCCCGCCAAAATTGTATGACCAATTTAATAATTAAATAATTAAAAACTGGTAACCGGTATATATATAAAGTCAGAGCAGGAAAATTGATAAAATTTTTGGGAATTTTAAGAAAAGAAAAATTGGAAAGAAATTAGTGTTTTATGTAAAAAATCTCCTAATTTTGAAAATATTAGCTTTCTTTTATTTCAAAGAAGTGAAATTTTGTCAAATTAATTAGATTTTGGAGGAAAACTGTAAGAAAGCTTGAGGTTTTGAATCTTGAAAGTAAGGAGGTTGAAATATATATAGTATTTTGCAGATAATATGAAAAAGTTACTATAAATATATGTTAAATTGGTTAAAAGAACAATTAAAAGTTCAATTTGAGGCAGTTTGAGAAAGTTTTCGAAATGAAAACCAGGGACCAAAGGCCTAGTAGAAACAGTAAATCTGTAGTACAAGCTTTAAGCTTGGAGAAGGAAGCAAGTAGCTCGGACGTCATGCATAAGGAGAATGACTTAGAAGAGCGGAGAGTGACTAGGTCTATGAGAAAGAGTGGAGAAAAGGTAGTTTTTTTTGAGAATTCTAACGCTAATCAAGAAATACCCAACAATTATGTCACAACTGACTTTAGAGTCAGTCAGCCACATATTCAGGTGGATGTGGATTCTTCCAATATTCAGGAACCAATACTAACTTCTATTGGTGAAGTTAAGAATGTAGTTAGTAAAAGTAACCAAGAAGTTTCTCAGACCACACTGAAACAAAAGAATAAAAAAGTTTTGCGTAAATCTAAAAGAGGTCGCTCCAAGAATAAGTCAAAGTACAAGATGGAAGCATCTTCTTTTGGTAAGAGTACTGATAAGATGGCCTCTAAAGCACGAAATTCTGAGGTTAAGTTGGGAAAGGATATATATCACATGAATGAATTGGACTTAGACATAACTTCGGTAACATTAATTAATGAGAACTCTACAAGTACCCCAAGCTCTTCAGGAGGAACTTCTAGAATGGCCAAAATAAGTTGGAGTAGGTTTGATTCCTTTTTTAGGAAGATCCCAATGGGAGCTAAGAAGGATATCATCCTAAAAACAATTCCAACAAACCCAGGATTAAGAAAGCCAATAATCCAGGAATTAACCATCCTTGAGCAGACTCTCTTTACCGATCCTCCATGGGGAAAAATAGGGAGAGCTAGTCCCTATATAAACAAATCAAATCTTTCTCTTCCTCCAATATACATGAAAAGCTGTAGTTTGGATGCTATTGTTGATCTTGTTTCTAAATCTATTTTAAAAATTAGAGGGGGTAATCCCTCCAAGATCCCTCAGGAAATTCAAAAACCATATTTTTTGCTTTTCAAGCTCCCTAGATCACTTTCTTTAGTGGCATTGGAACCAAAATCACCATTGGAGTTTGGGATATCTGAAGGAGGCCATATTGAAACTTCTGTTACCCATGAACAACAAATACCTATAAACGACTTCTCAGAAATGGAATCTACAAATAGTAATATTTTGATGAAACTTTCTAATGAACCATCTAGTTTCTATCATTTTTCTCTCTCAGATCATCGGAGTCCAAAACCTGAAATCCCTGACATCTTGGATACTTTCAATATCAAATGGGACATCCTACAAACACTTGATTTGTCCTACTATCAGTTTAAATATATAGAAAGATATCTCCGTGATGTCTTCTTTAACTACGATCAAAGCCATAAGAAGGTCTTTTTTACTCCTGCCAGAATCAACAACAAACAAGATATATTCACAATCAACATCTTTGAGAGGATATCCAATAACATAGACGAACTTAATTCCCTGGTCAACCTTAACATTTCTCAGCAAACAAAAACATACCAAAACCTTTATGAAGAAGAGGGTAGCTTGTTTCAGAACATATCTTCCAATAATGTTGATCAAATAGATCTTAGATCTCTTATTGATGAGTTCAACAGAGTACATAGTCCTTCTAGTACAATTTCCACTGATACTAGTAATACAAGTATCAATAATATAAGTACTACTAATACTAGTCCTGCTGAAACTCCAGTATTAGGAACAATAACTGGTTCAAGCCCATCATTACAGACTCAACTTACAACAGAAGCTCCCTTATACAGAGATGATATATGGGGAACCTATAGAAGTTATGACCCAATTTATTGGTGGGTTGACTTTGTACTATCATCTAACAATACTTGTATCTCAACAGTTCCCCAAAGTAATACTTTACAGGATGTATGTACAGATGAACAAAAGGTCTTCCTTCATAAGAATGGTTTGAGTTATATAGATCCTCCTGGCTGCGTAGAATTGGGAGGAGTATACTGGTTGGATCCGAATAAACCCATTAGACTTACTAGAGAGGTTAATGACAAGCATAAATTTAACATAAATACTCAAAGCCCTAAAGAAGAAAAGAGTATACAAGATTCTGAGAAAGTAATTAGTAGTGATTTTACTAATCATGAGGAAGATCTTAAACAGGAACCTGATACTCTTTTTATTCATCCATATATGATGAATGATTTTGTTGAATATAAGGACTTTAATTTTGTTGAAGCAAATCTGGAAAGGTTTCTCCCTATATATAATGAAATTGTGGATTCTATTGCTAAACTCAGATTTAAGATCCAAAACAGAATAATATACGAAAATGAGAATAATGTTAGGATAACTGACATTCCTTTCATCTGGATGAATGTAGTACAAAGGTACCAAATTGTTAATTCTTGGAATAAATTAAAATTCTTCTTGGTTAATGGGTACAAGGACTTATACCCTGCATTCTTAAGACAACTAGATGCATCCAAGAAGATGGAATCTGTACAAGATCTTGACAGTGAAGCCAAATTTAAGAATGAAAAGAAATCTAAATCTTCCAAGTTTGATGCTTTATTAGAATCTAAAGAGAAGAATATGCACTTGACTAATGTTTGTTCAGTGTGTTTTAACTGGGAAACGGACACACTAAAGCCATTTGTTGAGTGTGTTAGATGTGGAGTAGTCTCCCATGTTGCTTGTTATGGAGTTAATATTCCATTAAACGAACTTCTTGACTTTTATGGGTGGCTTTGTGATAGATGTGAATTTGAGAAGAAATTTTTAGGTACCCAATATCTTGTAGCCTTTAATCCAGGAAGTATCTCCTGTATTTTATGTTCCCATTCTGGAGGAGCTATGAAAAGAACAAATAAAGAGGGAGTGTGGGTCCATCTTGTTTGTGCTATTTGGCACTTACCTCTGGTAATATGTGAAGATTGGAAGAATCTAAGTAATTGGAATGTTGAAAGGCTTAAAAGGAGCTGGACAAATAAAAGGATAGGAAGAGAAAACAATCAACACTATGTTTTGGGTTTTGGGAAAACTGATATCTCGAATTCTGGTCAGGAAGTACCAAAAACTTCAGAATCTCCAGAAACCTTGGAATCTGAACAAAGATCTATTTCCACTATATTATCAAATTCTCCTGACAAAGGTGCATTAAAACTTGAGACAGATACCCCTGAATTGGATATACTTGAGAATGGTAGTAAGGATATAAGTTTAGATCAGGATTTATCTCTGCAACAAGAATCTTTTAGAAGTAATACTTTCATAGAAACCCAACCAACTTTAAGTGATGAAACTGTGAATGATGGTTCTATAAGATGTGTGTTTTGTAGAAATGATAACACTTTTGGGCTTGTTGGGTGTGATCACAAGAACTGTGGACAACTCTTTCATCCAATTTGTGCTTGGCTCAATGGAGTTCAGGTTGAAGTTGATTGTGACCCATGTTATTCTAGAGGAGAAACTTTAGTCGGTCTAATTCAAGGTTGGAGGAATGTACAGGATGAGGCTTTACAAATGGTCAATATCCGTTGTTTTTGCTTGTCTCATATCAGAAATAAGGGTGTTACCATTAGGGAGCTTGATGAGGAAGTAAATTTACGTAAAAAGAGATACATTAATAGGGACATGTTTCCTGACATATTTAACAGTAAATATAATCCAAAATCGGGTAGAAGCTCTCAGATTGGAGTCATTCAAAGATCCAGAACAAGATCAATTTCTAGGTCCAAGTCTTGGGATGTTTCAAGTCCAAACGTGATCAAAAAGAGTTCCTGTGAGATATTTAAGCAGAACCAAGTCTATTACTGCAATGCTTTAAACCCAGATAAGTATGATAGAGATATTTGTAGTATTTGTCTCAAACTTGATTCAACTGACTTCCCCTCTAATGGAGAAGGTAATTTAATTCATAATAAAGGAATAGTACAGGTACCAAGCTCAGGAGGATTTTCTGACTCTAATTTAAGTGGCATTTTACCAGAGAGAATGGTATCTGAGGATGGGATCTTGGCCTCTAACATACTAGTAAGATGCAATTGCTGTGGTTTGACTGTCCATTGGAGTTGTTACGGATTGGGAGAGAATCTAGAAAGCTTGGATAGTTTTATGTGCCAGGCCTGCACTAAAGGAGTTAGACCTGAAAATACATCTTGTATTCTTTGTCCAAGGCGAGGAGGAGCATTGATAGAAGCCCAAGGAGTCCCCCAAAATTTCAGTGGAAGACCAGGTGAAAGGTCCCAGTTTGTACATATCATATGTGCTTTGTATACACCAGGAGTATACAGACTTCCATGTGGACAGGCTTACGGAGCAGCCAACTACCTAGGAATGACTTCTTTGGTAAAGCTACAGAAGGATGGGACATTGAGCAAAAATAAAGGAACTTTTGTAAGAAGATTTGGAGGGATTGAGGGTTCTGTGCAGCAGATTCCTTTTAGAGATATAAGGAACGAGGAGCAGTTTATTTTAGAGCAATTTTCAGATCAAGATACCTTGGAGATACCGAGTGTATATTGTTGTATATGTAAAAGTAGCTATGGAGTAAATTTAGTTTGTAACCATCCAGGTTGTACAAGAACTGCCCATCCTCTTTGTATGAAGCTATATGGGTGCTATATGGAGACAATTGGTGAAATAGAGGAAGATAAAAAAGAGGATAATATACTTCTAGATAGTAGAATATCTAATGGGCAGCCATTATATGGTAGTTATCCCTCTGGAAGGACTTCTAATGTCTTATATGTTTCTCCGAATTGCCAACCTCCAAGTTTGGATTCAATTAATAGACCTGGAGAAATAAAGGAAAACTACTTTTCCCAGAAAGTTTTTTGTCCAGAACATGGGAAAGAAATGGGTAAATTTAATCCTGGAGGAAAGTTATTATATTCAACCCTTTCATCATTAAAAATTGTGAGCAAGATTTTGGAAGATCTCGGACACTCCGAAAGATTGAAAAAACAGCTTTTCAACACACAGTTGGATATAATGAGTAAAGAAAACCCTATTTTTTCGCCTCTTATGATAGTAAATATCAATGCTTTGCAGATTTACTGGGACTATTATTTGAGAGGGATTCTACAAGAGTCTGTAAAGATAAGAAATGGGACAATTAACAAATTTAAAGATAACTCTAAGAATGGAATGCTTTTAAAACCTTTACTTTCTCAGGGAGACTCAAACTTAATTGGAAGTTATAGATCACCAAAGAAAAATAGGCAAAACTCTGTTTTACAAAATAGCAGTCAAACATCTTCTTATTCATCTTCTACTGGCCCTCTCAAGGTTACTAATTTAAAAAGAACTAGATCATCAGGGGAGGCCACTGAAGTTCCTTCATTGGAGGATGCTATTAAAGAGGCTAGAAAACAGAGAGAGATTTATAAGAAGGAATTAGTTGCTTCTGGGGTGGTATTGAAGAAAAGACCTCCTCCAAATAGAAGCCCAGCAATCCCCTTTTCCAGGCTTACAGATTCTGAACTTAAAGAAAGAGCTTTGAACTGCTTGAGGATTATTGGGAGCTCTTCAAAACTGGCTATGAGCCTTATGATGGGCTACAACGAGAATACAAACAATTCTGAATCCCATGAAAATCAGGTTAAACCACCTAATTCACAACCTTCAGCTAATGGAAGCACACCTCTTGTCTCAACATTAACAGTTAATACACCTACAATTAGATCTTTTTGCATCAAACAACACAGACATGATTGTTTTAGAAGAAGGCTTGCGGAATTCATTATTTATCCTCCGGCAGTAATGGATCATAGAAGAAAGACTCTCAGAAGTCTGACTCGGCAGCTTAAACAGTACGGAGTTACAGCTGAAGAACTTATGGCTAGTGATGTCCCTCTTCCTTTAATTAAATCAAAACCACCGTCTCAACCTACAATTAACAAAGAAATAGTATCTACCTTTAACCATTCAAGCTTTGGTTCTTCCACAACAAATTCTGGTGTTAACACAACGGGAACAACCACTATTACTAATACTAATACTTCTAACATGACAACCACAAATTTCAATCCAAGCACCAATAATAATAATAGTAATAATTGCAATAATAACGTAGAATTGACAGGTTCAAGGATGACAACTAACTCCTTTATTAGTAACAATACTTTCAACAGTATTAACAATGTAAATACTACTTTTAACTTTAACCAAACAAATATGAGTGCTCAAGAATCTGTTCGGGATCAAGAAGAATCTTTTCAAACTAGCAATCCCCATTCTGAAAATAACTTATACTTTTAGAATCTCAGCTAATCTACTAAGTGTCTTAATTTTTCGCACACCTAATTTTCATTAAATGGTGCTTATTTGATCGCTTCATACACTTAGGAGCATATTTTTAATTAATTATTTAAGAAATTATTACTAATTAACATTGAATCTTTGTTTAGAACTTTTTCTACATCTTTCTGTCATTATTATTGGTATCTTGGTTGAATTTACCTTTTCCTGATTAAGTTCTTCCGAAGTAATATTGTTAATTTGGCGCCATTCAGACCAGGCGCCAAAATATTATAAACTTGAGTTGTATTACAGTAGAAATGTATGAATAAATAAATAAATAAATATAAATATATATATATATATATATATATATATTTATATTTATATGGAATGGCAGAAGTGAGAAATTTGTGTTAAAGGGGAAAAGAGGGAGAGTTAACATATAAAGGTTATTTTATGTGTGGGTAAAACAATGATTTGGTTACTTTTCACGTTTTTAAAGCTCATATTTGCTATTTCCCCAATGCTCGGGATTGCATTCATTTTTATTTTAAATGGTGGAAAAGAAAGTGATCCATCTTTGGCAAAAAAATCCGATTTTTCTATTGAATTAGACTAAAGCTTTTGTGGAAATTACAAAATACAAGAGGTAAAAGTTTGATGGATAATTAGAAATCCATTCAAAAAGTAAAGTTTAGGAATAGTATAGTTCCATTAGAAAAAAAAGGTAGACCGTATGATGATAATCATTTATTTAAAAAAAAAATAATCTTTTTCTCGTTGTACTCTTTTGGCTTTCTCCATTTGGGAACTAAACTGGGTGATTTTTCTCTTAGAGTTTCTTTGATTTCTACTCAAAAGGGGGAAAGAAAATAAAGGGAATTAAAATCACCCAGCTTAATTAGTGATTTTGGCGCCGAGCAGAAAATAATACTTTATATTATTTGTGTAGCAAACTGCAAAAGAAAGTTAAATATAATTTTTATTTATTGTTTGAATATACGTAAATTTCATAAATAACTTAGAAAAATTTTGAGATTTCGGTAATGTAGTTAGATCTTCTGAATAGCTTTGTTGGAAGGGATTTCTGCTCTAATTTGTTTATGTAAGATTAATAAAAGATAAAGTTAACGCATTGAAAAAGAAAAAAAGAAAAAATATGGAGGGTTCTATGCAAATTGAGTTAAGAAATGCATTGGAACAAGGTTTAGTAGAGAATGAAGCGTTTAAGAATGTGGATATTCATTCATTAAGTAAGAGCATAGAAGAGGATTTTCTTAAAGTAATGTCAGGTAAAGATAATAGAATAATTCGTCAAAGAAGGTTTGAGCTGATGAGTAACTTGAAACGTCCAAATAACTCAGATTTAAGACGGAGAATATTGGCAGGAGAAATGTCAGTTAGAGAATTTGTGACATGCCCTGTAAGTGAATTGGCACCAGATTCTGTAAAGCAACAAAGGTTGGAGGAGCAGAAAAGGTATTTTAAAGAGGAATGTATTTTAATGATGAATGACAGAGATTCTATTGAAATTAATGAGAAAAAAAGAAACAGTAGTTTTGATGATATTAATGATGAAATGACTGAATACAATATTGAAACATCTAAGGATTTATCAGAAGAGTCAGGAAATGACACTTTAATGACTAAGAAAAGTAAAAGATTTAAAAGTGACAAAAGAGTTCTTGAAATATTTCCTGATCTTCCCATTTCTTTGTCAGTTCCTCCAGATCTATCTCATATTACTCCAAGATATAATCTAAATAAATATATCGACAAATATAAAGAGATGATTAAAGATGTAAATATTCAAAGTGAGCTGATAAAACAAGCAAAGTTAAGAATTGTAACAACAACTTAATATAAAAATTAATTTTGAACAATTTATCATATTACTCAAAATCTGGAAATATAACTATGTATACTTTAATCATTATAACTATTCAATTACTTGATTTTTGTTTCTTTAGAATTTTTTGCATCTTTTTCTTCTTTCTCTTTTGGGATTTTTTGCTGGTAGATTCAATATAACTCATTATTCTCGTTTCTCTTTGTATGTTAAATTCCTTCTTTTCTTTCTCTTTCAAATAATCTTCCTCCATTTTATTTAGGCGTTCCTCCTCTATTTCTTTCATCTTTCTATAAGAATGGAAAAAGTTGCTACCTGCTGCTGAACTACAACTTCCAACATTACGGATCCTTTCAAAAATTTCTCTATCTTCAGAATTCTCTTCTTCATTATTTTTCGCTTTTTCAATTTGCAATTCGACTTTTTTTCCAGTAGCTAACAAAACAATTTCAGTCTCTAAATTATTCAGATCTTCTATTTTTGCAGTCATTATTCTATTATTTAAACATTTTTAGAACTAATAATTAGTACTAATTCTAATTTTTAATGTTTTTTTCTATATTATCAATTTATTCCAATAATTATTTACTTTTTTTTTATTAGCGCTATGGTTTATTATTGGAACAAAAAAATTATTAATATTCGAAAAAAAAATTTAATAGTCTTAATAAAAAGAAGTGAACTGAGTTTAAAGCAAAAATAGTGTAAATATAAGATATAAGTCAGTTTATTAAATGCATATTTTCTATTTTTTAAATTTTTTATGGCATACCTATTATCTCCTTACATTTTCTCCCTTTTAATACCATTAAATATCCAATTCTGAGATCCAATTGATTTCTTGTGATTATTTATTTATCTAATGCTAATCAACTAGAAGAACAATTATGGTGACTAATTAATATGATTTAGTTACATAAATAGATTATCCGCCACATAAATCAGTAAAAAAAAATGTATTTTATTTAAAAGTCTATAATAAAAAGATCAAAATGGTCAATATTAGTAAATACTTGTTTTAAATAAATTATTAAAAAACACAGGTAACATATTTTCTAGAGTTAATTTCTGGTTTTATTCATAATTTCAACTAAATTACGAGCATGAAGAAATAAATTATAAATTTATATATAATTAAGTTGCATGCAAACTGGCCATTGAAAATGGCGGCAACATGCAAACAAGTAATTTTGTTTATTTTATTTTTCTGAAACCCCCTTTAGTTTTCTCTTTTTTTCCTCATAAACTTTCTAGATTGACAGGAAAAGAACAAAATAGTACCAGATTTAGGAGTAAATTTGGAAATTCTATAATTTAAAAATAGTAGATAAAAATAGAAGATCAACATCAGAAAAGGTTAAGAACACAGAAAAAGAGACCACCTTAATTTCTTATTTATAATGAAATTAATAATAGTAATTTGATTGAATCTTAATCAATTCAACAGTGTCTGGCAGATCATATATTAACTTTTGAATGCTGAAATAAATGTGAATTAGCAAAAAATTGAATCTAAAACAGAAATTACAATTAAATTTGTCTATGTTCTTTTTTTTTATTTGTTTTTTTCTAAGCATATACATATTTATATAAATAAAATATATGATTAAGTTCAATTTGGGAAGGCCAATAAAAAATAAAAATGAACTTGGTGTCAGGAAAAATATTTGTAGGAGGGCTTTCACAGCAGGTAACATCTTCAGTTTTGATGGAATACTTTTTGCAATTTGGAATAATATTGGATGCTGTAGTGATGTATGATAATGTAAGCGGAAGAAGCAGAGGGTTTGGGTTTGTAACTTTTAAGGATCCGAAAACTGTTGAGATTGTTCAGAATATTACTCCACATATAATATTAGGTAAGGTAGTAGACTGCAAAAGAGCTTCACCTAGAAACACTAATTTGATGATGAAAGAATATTTTGAAGATATTAAAGAAGACGAGAATATACAAGAAAATTATGATAAGAACGTTGTTTCAAAGGGAATTAAGAACATTAGTAAAATTTTTGTTGGTGGACTTCCTGATCTTACTTTGGAAGAATTTAAAATTTATTTCCAAAGATTCGGCAATATTAAGGATGCTGTACTCATTACTGATAAAAACAATGGCCGTCCTAGAGGCTTTGGTTTTGTGACATTTGAGAGTGTTGATGCAGTAAACAATGTCACAAAATACTATAGTAGCCATTATTTAAAGGGAAAATGGGTAGAGTGTAAGAGGGCTTTGCCTAGAGATGGTATATAAGTTTGAACTCCACTTACATATATTTATGAATATATATGTAGTGTTAATTATTAGAATGTGTTCAGTCAGTTTGGTTTAGGTAGGAGGAAGATAATTATGGGTTCTTGTTATGAAGCAATAATATTAATAATAAAATTTCTATCTAAATAAAAACTGAACTAACAATCAATATACAATTATTTAGATTAGAGAAGGTTTAAGAATTAAATTCTACAATTTCCAGCTCTAAAGTGATGTTACCACTGACTTTAGCAGCAAGATAGGGATTGGACATTTGAAAAAAAAAATCAAGATCAGAATTGGCAAGGGATGAAGAAAAAAATATAATATTTAAGCCTAGTGAATTTTTCACAGGTTAGGAATATCAGAACTGCCTAAATCTTTTACTTTTTCAGTGGTAGCTTGTTCCACAATTGAATGGGCAGAGAACATCTTATCCATGCATCTAGAAAGACACTGATGGTCAAATCTATTTAAAGGAGAATGAGATTTCTTGCTTTGAAAACACTGCTCAAAGCAAACTTTTCTTACTTCCTAAGTATAATTCAAATTAAAAGTAAATGTTTGATGTGAATATATATTGGTAAATAACAACAATTCAACAATTCTTGCAAACTAATACAAATAGTTTTTTTGGTTTATGATGCTGCAATTTTTAATTTCAAATCTTTAATATTCCAAAAAATTAATAAATGTATAAATACATGTTTATATGATTATTTAAATTGAAAAAACAATTATTTAAGAGAAATACCAAGACAAATATTTCAAGGGTTTTCTTTATATTTTCGATATTTACCAATACATTGCATTATTTTTACTCTAGATACTTAATTAAAGTTTTGAGACAATTTCATCTCCAATAAAATCAATATTATGTATATAATTTATACATGAAATTGTAATTGCTGTTATTGTTAGTTTTGTTAAAACTTACATTGCTCATAATTTGTGTCACTGCCGTCTTCAAAATTGCTTGGACTTCTTTTATGGTCGAATCCTCTTCTATTTCTGGTTTCGCCATATTTTATTTTATCAAAAAAAAAAAATGTTCTGCGATAGGATAATATATTAGCTTTTTTTTTTTATTAATTTTTATTTTGATGATTTTTTTTTTTTCTGCCACAATGCTTAATACCGGTGTCCATTAAAAAAGACACGTAAGTAATAAAAAGAAATTGCATGAGGGCAGGTGCATGCACAAAGCTGTTTTTGTTGACAGGGAAAAAATTGTCAAGAAAAATAAAAAATAAGATTTTTAATTATTAATTTTCATACTAATCATAATAAGAGAATTAATAATATTAGAGTAGCAGTGGTTATTTAAGGGGCTAAAGAATTTAGTTATTAAATTTTTAAGTATTCAATAATTATAGAAAAATTAAGGGTAAGTATTACATATAAATCAAGATATTAAATATAAAAGCCTAAAATATAAGAAGAAAATTATTCAGCTTTGAAGGGGATATAAGTGTAATTTTTAATTAAAAAATCAAGTTTATTTATCAAGTATTATTTGATTAATTATAGTAATGTGGACAAAAATTATATAATATTCAACAATTAGTAGCTTTAGTAGTAATATTAGAATAAGTAGTAGTAGAAAAGAACAAGGTATTAGCAATAAAAATATAAAGGAAAGAGAAAGTGAAAGTAATTAATATAAGATGGCAACATTAAAACAGAAAATATCACTAGTAATAGTGATATTGTCGGCAATAATATGTATTTCAGTGCCTTTTATAATGGGGATTTCAAGTGTTAAAATATTTCACAGAAAGAATAGCTCAATTTTCAGGTCTGTGAATGACACAGAAGGAGTAAAATATGACATAACATTTTCATCGGATAAACAAGTTTTTCCACTATTTCCAACACTTCTCAACTCAATATACAGTAATTTGGGTCTAGAAGAGTATGCAAACGTGCATATAATTGTAATGCCAGATGTAACACCAGATGAATATTCCAAACTATTAAAGCTGAATGACAATTTGGGATTCTCTCACAAGTTAACTTTAATGTTTTATCCCTTCACTTATAAGCTTAATTACAAACAAACTCTAAAACATGTTTCTGAAGCTACCATGTGTAGACTTTTGTTACCAGAAATTTTAGACCCAAGAATTGATAAGATTTTATATGTAGACACTGATGCAATAATAAATCATTCATTAAGGTAAGTTTTTTATATGAAATTTGACTATGGTTAAATGCATATCTGAGGAGTATTAAAAAAAATATTTAATAATTAAAAACTGAATTAACTAAATTATTTTTTTCTAATATTGTTATTGTAAAATAATAATATAACCATTTATTTGATTATAGACAATTATTCAAGACAGAAATAAAGAGTGAATGTGGAATAGTTGCAAGGTCTTCAACGAATTCAAATATTATTAATGAATGGTTGAAGAAAGATGATTTGATTAATTATCTTCAATACAATGCAAATAGGTCATTTAATGCTGGTGTATTATTACTTAGTTTAAACAAATTGAGAAGGAATCATTTTGTAAATAATACTTTATCTTTGGTTCAAAAATGGGGAATTAATGATCAAATTGCTTTAAACTTTTATTGTAATGGTACTTATGATGAATTACCTATGGATTATAACTTTTGGGCAGGAAGAGATGATTGGAAAGATTCTGTAAGACACAAGATCGTACATTTTGCAGGCCCTGATAAACCTTGGAAAATTAACTATCAGCCATATGAAGAACAGGTAAGTTTTAATTTCTTTAATATTAAACGATTAAAAATAACGTATATTTACTCTTTTTTTTTCCAAAGTTGTTATGGTATAAGTACTTTTTAAGCTATCCTCAAGGTGAAAAGATGATACCTCCATTGAAGCCTACTTATATTTTTCTACTCAAATACAATAATAACTTGAATAATGAAACTTTAGTAATACCTGAGATAATATTAAACAGCAAAAAATGCAGATACATGATACATATTCTTGCTATTAATTATAAGGGAAAACATAAAGAAAATCTTGAAAAACAAATAAAAAGTTACATAAAAGATGATTTTTGGATTACTTATAATTTCTTAAATGAGCAAAGTGATAAATACAAAGATCCAGACGAATTAGTGACTCAATATGCATTGTTTAAAACACCACAAATACTACGTGAATATGTAGAAAGAACTTTTTTGGTTTTTGATAATATTCCTAATAGTCAGTATTTGTGTAAAGCAGAAAGACCATTGGAACCGGAGAGTACTACTACTACTCAATCACATAAATATAATGATAATATTTTTGGAATGGATCATGGATTGGATCTGAGTTCGTTTAATGGTTTTGATAATAATTATTCATTTAATCAACAAATTGAAACTAGTGGTATGACTACTACTAGTACCAGTACTACATATTCAAGTGTTGATACTACTAATTCAGAAACTAATCATATTAATAATAGAGTAGTTGATTTGTTTAATCAAATATCTGGAATTAATAGTGATAAATTATTTTGGTGTATTGAAATTTTAAATCATCAACTTTATTATTTAAATTTACAGCTCTTAAGGCTAGAAAAAAAACGAATAGAAAAAATCATTAAAAGCAACAATATTGATCCTTGGGAAATTTTTAATTCTGAGTGTTACAAAATTCCCACATACAATAATGATAATATTAAATCTATTCAACTTGAGCAAATTGAAACAATAGGTACAGAACCAGAAAAAGAAGATAACTTTAATAGTGAAATCAACAATAATGATATTATAAGTAATAACGTTCATATTCAGAACAAGTTGTATTTTTAATCAGTAATACACCCCTTTCAATCTATCACAAAAAAAACCACCAAAAAAGAAGCCACCTACGGGAATCGAACCCGGGACCTTTCGCTTACTAAGCGAATGCTCTACCAACTAAGCTAAGGGGGCTCGCGATATTAGCATGTTACATGTGGGTAGTAAATAAGAGAAAATAATAAATGGGATCTGTAGGGAATGAGAATTTTCTTGAAATTAGCGGAAACGAGTTCGTGGAAGAGAGGGGGCACCACTGTGAGAAGAATCATTTTCACAATTTTAATGCAAAAGGTATTTGGAGAAATTTGCGAGAGGTAAAATAATGGATGTGATGTTAAATATTTCTTTTAAGAAGAAACAGACAACTATCAAGGTTGGTAGAATTTGGTAGGAAACAATTGAAAAAAGAGTTATGGTTAGATACGAGTGTCCCTGTGTTGGAATGAAATGAGAAGACATATAAAAAGAAGGAATATGTTTGAGTTCAGGTAAAAAAAAAATGAGATAGTTACAGTAGAAAGTTTAAGGTTTGGTTCACCCCATTAGTCCTAAAAAATTAAGATTTTCATAAACTTGCAAAATTCTCTCTTTCAAAATTTCCTGAATGTAACTTGGGGTGCAGCATCTTCTAGTTTAAAGAATGTTGAGTAAATAATGTATTCAGAAGGTATTGTTGTTAGTGGTATTAGTAGTAGTAATAATATTAGTATTGTTATTAGTAGTAATAACAGTAGTATTAATTACTATATTAGTAGTAGAATAATACTTTAATAGCAATAGCAGTGAATATGAAACGATTAGCAGCTGGAAATTCAGAGACTACCTTGGGGAATGTAGTTGAACTAAACCGGGGAATTTTAGAAGACGCAAAGAGTTTTAAAGGTTATTTTGTCCCCCCCCCCTGATTCGAGAATTTCCACCCCTCAACATGTTTCTGACGCTTATGGCGGAGATGTCAATCAGAGTTGTTTTTAATAATAACTCTATAAAGTTGATTAACAGAGTTTTTAGATTCTTCTCAGCAATGCCATTTGAATTACCATCTCTACCATACGACAAGAAGGCTTTAGAACCAGTCGTATCATCTGAAACTTTGGATTACCATCATGGAAAGCATCATGCAGGATATGTAACAAAATTGAATTCATTGATAAAATCTACAGAGTTTGAAAATGAAAACGATTTAATGAAAGTTATTATGAAAAGTTCCGGTCCAATATACAACAATGCATCTCAAGTTTGGAATCACACATTTTACTGGAACTGTTTAAGGTCTCCTTCTGATACTAATACTCCAACTCCAAAGGTTGCAAAGCTGATTGATGAATCCTTTGGGAGTTTTGAATCTTTTAAGGAATCTTTTGCTGCAAATGCCACCGGTCACTTTGGTTCTGGTTGGATTTGGGTAGTAATTGATCCAAGTAATCATAAAAAACTAAAGATTGTCCAAACTCATGACGGAGACAATCCTGAAAAGCTTGGACATGGGAAACCAGTTCTAACCTGTGATGTATGGGAACATGCTTATTACATAGACTACAGAAATAACAGAGCCTCATATGTTGACAAATTCTTCAGTATTATCAACTGGGATTTTGTTGAATCAAATTTAAGTTAATCTATCTTATTAATAAGAGTAATGCTTTCAAACATTTCAAAAATGAAAAGGAGCATATTGTAGTAGTGTAGAGCAAATTTAATCCTATGCTATCTTATCTAGGGTATTTCTTCGTTTTGCTACTTCCTATTCTTTCTCTATTCAAAAGAAATCTTATCAAATTTCTCTCTCTTTCTCGTTCTAATTCTCACTTTGAATAGGTTTCTCCATTTACTGTTTATATAGCCTGTATTTAAAAGTAATTACAATTACAGAGCTTCAGTCTTTTAATACTTGTATTGTTTTATTCTTAATATAAATCTCCATATATTCATTATAGAGAAAAGAAGAAATTTGAAAGAAGAAACAAGATTTAACATCATGTATCTTATTTTCTCCTGGTTTCTATCTTAAAAACCAATGTAGTCTTTCCTATCCAAGTTAGATTTGATAAAAAGATCGTGCTTCCAAGTAACATCCAAAGGATACTTTGGATAAATTCGGGTACCATCTTGGTTAATTGTAGCAATCTGAACCATTCTAGCTCCTTTGCATTCAATATAAAATGAATTTCTCATACAATCTTCCAAGATCAATTTAGCTTCATCAAAGCTCATATCTGCCTTATATTTATCTCTTAGAAGGGTAATTGCAAGATACTCAGCCATTCCACTAGCAATAAAATCTTCATCAAACCTAGTACCCAATGGATCAACAGAATATATCTCTTTACTACCATCCTTCCTAAGTCCTGCAACTATTATATCATTCAATAATGGATCCATCTTATTTCTTCTTTGATAATGGATACTTGAAATATACCCACTATATTCTTTAGCAGATTTAAAGTTACCTTCAAAAAAGTCCTCAGCTGCTTTTTCCTCAACTCTTTCAATAATATTCTGGAAATCACTAAACTCCCCAGTTGATACTAATATTGAAAGTTTTCCTTCATAAAACCTCACCTTTGCATCCTCATCTACTTCTGTCAATTTTTTAATCAATGGCCTCTTGTCAATATTAACGGAACTCATATCTTCATCTTTGCTTTTCAATTTTTGTCTTTCATCATATAAATCAATCATTCCTGATCCAATTACGTGGAATCTTGAAATATTTGAATTCATTTTCATTGTTCCATAACATATCAAAGGACTTGAAATGAGCATAATTCCATCCTTATATTTAATCCCTACAGCAGAACCAGAGTTCACTATTACCCTAGAGGAATTCTTCTTACTATCCTGCATTAAATTTGAATCGAATCTTGACTGTTCTTGTCCTCCCAAACTTAAAACTCCTCCATTATTCTCAAACTGAGAAAGCTTTAACATGATCTTTTTTTTTTGTTTTTTTCTATCCTCTTTTCCCAGTAATACTAATTTCGATATTAAGTTGGTCCTGTTCTAATGAAACAATAAATTCCCTTTAGAACAATCAAACCAAATAGCTTTGATCACCTATCAATATATGATATATATTTTATCTCTATGGCAACAAATTATAATTCTTTCCTAAACTGTTTTTTCTTGTTTTTTTTTACTTGTTTTATCAATTATCTTCTAAATTCTTCTTGATAGTTCCAGTAATTAAGTAATTAAAGCAATGGGGACTATTCTTTTGAAATGAATTTTGATATTGCTTTAATTATATTATTGTTTTTAATTTACTTTTTCCCCTTCAAATTGGCAAAACCTTATTTATTAACTATTATTACTCTTGTTTTACATTATTACATATTTCAGAGGGGAATTTATTTTCCTGTTAGATCACCATTTGCGCGCCATTTCTGATATTACATTAATTTTATTCCCCCACTGTTGACTTATTGTTTTAAGCTTAGGTAAATTTGTGCATATATAGAGATTTAGTTCTGTTGAAATAGGTGAAAGGCTAAGTATGGAAACTTCATAAATATGTTAATTTTGAGAAACTAACTGGATGCATATGATTGATCTTTGAGTTCAAACTTCCCGTCTCTATATAATAATCTCTTTTGTGTGCGCAAAAAATATATCGATTTAACCGTTTTTATTAGCTTTGCCTTTTTTTTGTTTTTGATTTTGACTTTAGATTTGGATTCGGGGTTGAGATTTAGGGTGGGTTTAAATTCAAGATTGAGTTCTGGTTTTCCTTAAGTTTAAACTCAGGCTCGGCTCAGGCTCAGGCTCAGGCTCAGGCTCAGGCTCAGGCTCAGGCAGGCTAAATATCATTAGGCCCTGATGTTTTTATGTAATTAAAGAAGCAAAACATTTGGGTTTGAATAACCAATCACCATTACTTAATTAAATATAATAATGATTTATAAGCTGTTAATAGTATAATATACTTAATAATAAAACTTTAATATAAATAGCTTGAAAAACTTGGCTTAAGCTACTCCTTTTTGTCTTCAAAAGATAAAGAGAAGTCATCCTTCTCATCTTTGATAGAACATTGCGCTTGCTTAGTGATAAATGGTTTTGAAGAAAGCTGAGTATATAATGATTTCCTTCTCTTTACTAATTCATGAACGTAATTACTCATAACAGTTTGTATGGAATTTTTCTCATCATTATTACCTTTAAAATTGTAACCTTGCCTTAAAATTATATTATTTCTTTCAATTTCAAAGATCATTTGGTCAACAAGTTCATCTGGAATAAAAAAGATTAAAGTTTTGGTGTCAGGCTTATCAAGAGTCTTTTCAGGAGGAAGTAATGAATACTTTTTTAATTTTTCTTCCACATCTTTTTTGATTTCATAATATTCTTGATCATTCTTTATATATTTTCTTTCAATCATTAATTCATTCTCCAAAGATAAGGTTTTCTTTCCTTTTTTTAGATTCCATCCCCTTATGTTTATGTGTCTAGGCTCATCTCCAATAATATCTAATTTCCCAGTTTTAAATGTATATCTCTGGTATTCTTTTGGAAACTTGTTGTATTTACTAATCATATATGATGCAGGGATTGCAATTCTTATTAACTTAAAAGCATTATCCAAAGTCTTCTGTTGTGTTAAAAATATTTTCTGAGCTTTTTTTTGATACTTATTTATTTCATAATTAATCTGTCGATATTGTTTCAATAACTCCCCAAGAAATTTTGAATTAGACATCAAATACTTTGGAGAATGATAGTACTCCAACCTTCCTATTCTAGAGAAAATATTATATAAATCACCCATTATAATCTGTATTGGTTCCATATTTTCATGATTAATAGACTTTTCATTTTCATAATACTCTAAATCACTTTCTCCCTTCTTTCTACATAAATAATGATCAATAATCTTGATTAATTCTCGATTTAAACTAGTTATTGTATTTTCTGAAAATTTAAAAAATTCCAACATCTGCTCTCTTTTATGAACCAAATAATCTTGAAACTTTTTCATCCTTTTATAATACCTACGAAGTTTCAAATACTTTCTAGATCTTAAGATATTCTTGATTATATTCCTGAACCCAAATTTACCATCTAGTTTATTTTGTTTTTGAAAAACTGAAATCTGATTATTAAAATTTGAAATTGAATTATCCAAAGCAAGTACGGTCTTTTTAATGTCTTCAGATCTCGAATGATATAATGTAATTGTCAACATTATATAGCCTGAAAGTATTCTTTCTGCAATTTTACGCTGCTTTTGGATTTTATACATTGTGGATGAATCTATTGTAGTTATGTTGGATCTTTTCATTAGTTCAGATTCAATGTTCAAAAGTTGACTATTGATTTGATTTTCTTTTTCCAAAATATTTTTTTTCTTTTCTTTAAAATCTTGATATACATTATAATAATATCCTAACTGTAATAATATATAACTATACTTTTCTCTAAATGGATGGGTAAATGGATCAGGAAAATACTCACCAATTAATTTATTTTCATCCTTTAAATTAGTTACTGGATTCAGTAATAACTTTGATGCATAGACAAAAGTAGCCAAAGATAAAATGTTATTGGAGTGTTGTTTGTACATAAATTCATTCACTTGAGTTAATTCTTCATTAAATATTCGAATTTCTATATCAATTTCTTCCAAATTAGTTTGTGTATTATCAATAAACTCTTTAGAATTCAATCTACTTGATCTTTGGTAATCAAGGTTGACTTTTGCAATAAAATCATTGAATAATAATTGAACATCTTCGAATCTCTTAATTACTGAGACTTTTAAATGATCATTATTAAGTTCTTTTTCTGAGAACTCTTCTGACATTATAACCAATTCTTTAAAAAGTTGATCAAATAAAATAGCAGCATCATCTTTATTCCCAATAGATTCTTTAATGTGATCTTCAAATATATTATTCAAATCTGTCAAGTAACGTTTTAAGATTTCAAAACTCTCTATTGATGTTGTTTTTTTGATATTATCCAGGCTTTTTGTAAAGCCAATAATAAACTCATTATATTCTCCAATTTTCTCAATAATTTTTCTTAACCTATCATTCTTTCTCCTAAATTCAAGGGTTTTTGCCTCATTACTTTCTATCTGATTATAGCTTGACTCAATTTCTTGTATTAATTCATTTAATGAGGAATTAAAGTTGGAATCTTCATGATTTGATCTTGAATTAGGGAATATTACGGATATAAAATGTGAAATTATATATTCAAATTTTAAGACAGGATCTTTTATTTCACCAAGATTAATATAATTATTCTTTTCATCCGAATTAAAAGAATGAATCTTATTCAAAAAGAATCCCAGACACGTTTGGTTAATTTTTGAATAGGTGAATAAAACATTAGTGTCGTTTCCCTTATATACTTGATAGTATTCTGCCAAGCATTTTAAAGTGTTTAACCCCAAAAAAATTTGGTGACTTTCACTTAATGTCAAATTTCTAGCAATTGAATCTAATTGATTTCTTTCTGTAACTGCATGCCCATATAAAAATGTTATCTTCTCCTTATTTTCATTATATGCATCCTCACAATTAGTAATAGCTTTTATTTTTTCATTTCTTTTCCCCAGCACTTCATCTTTGCTTAAATACTTTAAAGTAAGCCAGATTGAGTTCATTTTTAATTTAATTTGATCCAACTCACTGAAAAATTCGTCTGACTCTTGAATTCTTTCATTAATTTGTTCAATTCCGTCCACAAAATTCACATTCTCCAAATCTTTGTTGATTTCTGTAAATAATTTAGAAAGTGGGCTGCGAAAAATATTCAGAATAGACGGAATAATTTCAAGTCTCCATTTAATTAAATCATCTGTAATTCCAATTTCTTCCATATTTAAAGCCTTAATTTTAATTTCTTTGATTAAAGTTTCAAATCCATTTTTTTGTTCAACTTTCTCATTCATTAAATCCCCGTATTTTACTAAAACTGTATTAGCTATTATGGAGTTAATAAGCTCTAGCTTTTTTAAAATATCATTACCAGATGCTACCATAACTTTACTTTCATCAATTAGAGGCTTCAATTGATCTTTAATTAGTGCTTCAATTTCGCTCAATATGTATGCCCAACTATTCACCAATAAACTTACTGAAACCGTGTTTTTTGAAATTACTTGGTCTGAATTATAAATTTGGTGGCTTCTTTCCCTGTATACATTTAACAGTTGATAAGCTTTTAGATATTTTTCTGCATTACTGCTCAGTTGATTAATTTTCAATACCAAATTGTCCACTGGCTGCTTTAAATTAATCATTATTTCATGGTGGAAATTTTCAATAATGCTTTTACTTATTGATAACTCTTTTCCTAATAAGTTTTTACCAAACTCAAGGTTTCTATTTAACTCTGAAAGCTCTATTATCCCCTTTCCTCCTAATACTTGTTGGATTTTATCTTCTTTGCTTAAAGCTGCCAATATGTCCATTTTATTAGCCAAACTTTTTGATATTGTCTCCAATTCTACTTGATCTACCTTGTAATTTCCCAAAGACTCCTCAAATTCTCGTATTATAACATTATATTCTTCTGGTTTTTCTAACATGACATTATCGTAAATCTCTTTATATTCTCTTTCTTCTTCTATTGACAAAGCTTCCCAATTAGTATTTGGAAATTCGACTTGTTCAAAGATTTGTTTTTTTAAAGGCTCAATGAGGTCATCAATTTTGGCACAAGTTACTAGTGTGTGCATTAAAAGCAACGGAATGAGCTTTAAAAAAATAAAAAATAGCATTTTTAATCTTTTTATAACTTATCTTGACAATTTGGTATTAAATTTTTCATTCATTTCATAAAAAATATTAATTTTTTATTAATAGTATGAATAAATATGTAAGTGAAAGAAAAAAAACATGGAATTTTATTATAGGCCAGTTCAGCTTTCCACCAAAATTCAAGTTATTTATTTTATTATAATAAAATCTTTCCGAATATAATACCACTAGAAATGAGTTTTAGTAACTTTTTTGGGGGCAATACTGTTCTTCTTATTGTAAAATAATAATAATTATGAATATTTAATTATTACTTTAGATCTGTAATTTTCTTTTTATGCCCCAAAGATCTCTCCTATATTCCACCCCGCTGAAAAAAAAATTCACTTTTGCTTAAAACGTTCACAAATTGCAAACTTGCATGCATGCAAAATTGCAAGTAAATTCTTGTTAATCACCGGTATAGGAATTTAGTCACATATTAATAGTAAATGTTTAGGCTAACACGTAATAGAATATTTATTTATATAATTTAATTATTCATGTGGACAAAACCATTAAAATAATAGAAAAAATTGAAAATAAAATTAAAGGGAAAATGTAATTCAAGCAAAAAGATAGTTCAATGAGTTGGCAAAAAAAACATTTAAGAATTCATGAGTAGTTAGTTCCTTGTTGAATGATCCTTAAGAACCATTCTTGTACATTTCGTTGATTGAATCCTCATAAAATTTAATGGCTTTGTGCCTAACAATTTTAAATGTTGGGGTGAGAAGTTCGTTTTCAACGGAGAATGGTGTGGATACACATTTGAATGTTCGAATCTTTTCATAACCAAGCATTTTATGTTGAACTTCAGCCTTTTCAAGGTCGGCTCTAATTTTCTCAATGATTTTGGGATGGTCAACAACATCTTTGAATTTCAAATTGTCTCCTAACTTGTTGGCTTTCACATAGTTCATGGTAAATTCTTCATCAAGGACAAAAATAGCAACTAAGAAGCTTTCAGTTGACCTACCAATGACAAGGGCCTGAGAAATCAGTTCACAACAAATTACAAATATATTCTCGAGTTTTTCCGGAGCAACATACTCTCCTTGGGATAGCTTGAATATATTTTTTCTTCTATCAATAACTCTAATAGATCCATTCGGGAGAAGATGACAAATATCACCGGTTTTTATCCAACCCTCTTTTTCGCATATTACTGCCTTGGTTTCCTCTTCATTTCTAAAGTACCCAATAAAAGAAGAATGCCCTCTAACTACAAGTTCTCCAGCAGGAGGGTTACTTTTTACACTATAATCCATCTCGGGAACTGAGACAAGTTTGAATTCGCAACATCCGGGAGGGCCACCAATGATATTTTTAGAGTTATCGCTGATTTCAGACATAAATGCAGCGAGAAGTTCAGTCATACCGTATCCTTCAAAACAGTAAGAGCAGGTAAAGCACCTTATTCGGGTTAAAACTGTTTCATCTAATGGAGCGGCTCCACTCAATATGGCCTTAACATTACCTCCCAAAATTTCCTTGGTTTTGTTGAAAACGATTGTGTCCCAAATAAAGTGAAAAGGAGAGCCCTTTTTTTCTTTTTGCTGAAGAGCAAAGTGGAAAAGCATTTGCAAGAATTTTGGCTTTTGTTCAACATTCATCATAACTTTATCATGGATTCTATTCAAAACTCTTGGGACTGTTATAAAAATTGTTGGTTTGAATAGTTGGATATCATCCACAATTCTCCGAACATCTCCACTGTAAAAACCTATCTTTCCACCCAAATAAGTAAATACAACGTGAACAATTCTTTCAAAAATATGTGCAAGAGGAAGATAGCTAATATGCCTATCATCAGGACCCAGTTTGGTACCTTTACGTCCCAATTGACCATAAATAAAACCGGCAGCACAAGAAATCCATGCTCTATGCGTTAAAACGGCACCCTTAGGATTCCCAGTTGTACCTGATGTATAATGGATTGAATGAATTGAATCCAATGTACCAGGAGAAATTTCCCTTGGATTGCTCTTACCAATTTTAATTAGCTCTTCAAAGTCCATGATTGTTACATTTTCCTTTACATATTCAGTGATATCTTCTTGAATAGACTTGGAATCGTTATTAATCATAATTAAAATCTTCACGCTTTTTATTGACTCCAATAATGGAAGTAGTTTTTTGCAGCATTCAACAGAACAGAAGACTGTTTTCGGAAGTGTCGAGTTTAAAATATAAGTTATTCCACTATTACCAAGTACATCATAAAGGGGAATAGTAGAAATCCCATAGGCATTACAGGCATGTTCAGTAATTGACCAGTTCAGAGAGTTCTTAGCAAATAAAGCAACGCATTTTAATTTAATATTACAATCATCAAATTTTCGCTCCTCGACTCCTTCAACATGAAGTAAACCACTCCCTAATTCCTTGGCTTTTCTAATCACATAAGAGTATTTTACATACCTATATTCGCTCAGTTCTCCATTCTCCAAAGGTACTCTGAAACCCATGAATTCTCCATTATTGCTGACTTCTTTCCCATGGAGAAGAACTTCCCAACAATTCTCCAGCTTTTCGTGGAAATTTGAAATAAGTTCAGAGTTAACAGTTTCCTTAGATCGCCTTATTTCGGTTGAATTAAGGTCACCTGTACCTTCTATTGGACAGGAGTAAATAAATTCATCATTTTGACAAAAAATATTGGATGGCACGTTTCCCATGTTAATCTCAATATTTTATATTATCTCTTTGTCTATATTATCTTCAATTAATTTTTTTTATTTAAATTTATCGATACTTTTTAAATACTAATTAATCAATATATATACATATATATGTTGGTATTCCCTTTAAGTTATGGATTTAGGTGCATTAATACTTTTAAAATTCCAATTAGATCTTAAACTTGTCTTCTTTATTATTCAAAAGTAATTTAGTAATTATTGACTAATTTTAAGTGTAATAAATAGTAATTACAGAGTCAAATTTAGGCTAAAGAATAAAACCAAGTTTAACAAGTAGTTGTTATTATTAAATCTCCTATAAAAAATGATAAAGTTTAGAAATTGTTAAATCCTATAAATCCAATTATGTTTCAATTCATTAATATTTAAAAGAAGAAAAAATTATAACCAAAAAAATTTATATTTATTATTTTACCTCATATATTAAAACAATTAATTAATTTGCCTTGAATTTACTATCTTCGTATTAATAATATATTAATGCAGTGTTTTGGCGGTAACAGTGTGGGTTAATATAAATTTCATTATCTTTATCTTATGTAATTTTGTACAGGATAATTACAAACTACCCTCTAAATAATAGTCAAATGAAATTTATTAGTTGATATACAAATAAATTTTACCAAATTTTTATTAAAACATTTTCCAATGTTCATTGACAAACCTTTTTTTTCTTTTTTTTTTATCACCACTGAAAAAATATTACAATTATTTTTTATACTCATAATCTACACCATATGAATTTCTAAGACAATTTTAAAATATTTAGGTTAATCATATTAATACTTACCCCACTATGAATATTGATCTTGAAAAAGAAATACAATAAAGGAAGCTCTCTCGCTTCAATAATTCACATATTATCGTTTTTAAAATACACTAATTTTACCTAATTGGATTTCTAAACTATTTATTCTTTTATCCGAATTTCCCTACCACTAACCTTTTAGAAACTACTAGTAGTTTTATGCATGCAAAATTATTATTGTAAAAACCACATGGCGCCAAGAGGAAGCGGGAATTGTTTTTGAGTGACTGTAAGGATTTGCATTAATTAAATTAATGTCAAGAAAAAAACAAAAAAGCTCAATAAGTTAATAATAAAGTCATATTAGGCAAATTTTTGTGCCTTAGTGCTGTGTGAACCTTTTATCTTCTTTTTTTTTGCTTATTTTTTTCCTAATTTTAACACTGGAAAGGTAAAATGTTGTTATTATACTCCAATGGGGATATATGCATAGAAACAGAGTTATATTCAAATGAAAAAAAATTAGAAGTTAAGAATGACCAAAACTTTCATATAAATTTAGAAGAAGTTGGATTGGTATATTTTAGAGAAAAAGATCAAAGCAAATTTATAGGAAAGGTAAAAAGAGCAAATTATGTAGGCAAAGGTGTGATAGTAACATTAGATGGAGGTATGTATGAATCTGAGTATAAAGCTGGAAAATTCGATAGAGGAAACTATATAGGAAGATATCAAATTCCAAAAATGGATGAAAGATTTTTTAAAACAAAAAATATTTTTAATATGGATAAAAAATTAAATGATAGGAAAAAAGTACCAGGGTATTCGAAAGCAGAAAGATACTGGGATATGAGTCTAGAATTAGAGTATTTCAAAAATAGTCAGTTACATGAAGACGAAAAAGTTAATAAATTATTAAAGGATTTATTAAAGAATTGGGGTTTGGATGATTATTTTGAGATAATTCATAAGAGGTTATCATTAGAAGATTTATTACTTTCTTCCAAGCTTTTATCAGTTAATGGTATTGGTAAAGCATTAGGTATCAGTAAGGTTGGTCATAGAATAAAGCTAGCAAACTGTATAAAACAGTTTAGGTTGGTTTTTGCACCTTTATTTCTACCTAAATATATTAGAAATCCAACAGAATTTGGGAGAATTACTGGAAATTTTCTTCCCCCATTATTTATTTCAAGGCCTCTAAATTTCTATAGCTATTCTGGAATTAATATCCCCTTTGAGCAATTAATTTTTCTTAGAAAATTAGAAAGGACAGATTTTCCATGTAAATGTAGTAAGGGAGGTAAGTTCTTTCTTTCAATTTAGAAAGGGAGTTATTAAATTTAATTAATAACATAATAACCATTACTATTCTATAGCTTTTTCTAGTAGTTCATGTTGTTATCTTGGAAAATGGCTTGGAAAAGATATTATTATTAAAGTTTTTAGAGGAAAAATATTACAATCAAAACTATGGGAAAATACTTGCAAGCTTATTTGGTCTCTACGACATCCTTGTTTAGTTTTGACTTTAGGATTTTGTCACTACTCCCCAGATATACATTGTGTAATAACAGAATATATACATAATGGGTCTCTCCAAAAGCTATTATATAAAGGAACATGTATTTGCATGTATAATTGTGTATGGAGAGATTCTGATCCTAAATCTATTAAAATCAACTTACCACCATATTATTATAACTTGAAAGATGCAATCAAGATCAATTTAAAAAAAGGAAGTCACAGTCAAGTCAATATAGACCCTGAATCCAGTTATTATATACCAAATCTGGATTTTAATCCAAATTTAAATATTGGCTTGGATATTATTGCAGGTTTAGAATTGAATGATAACTCAAATTCAAAGATATCTGATTTGAATCTCATTTTAAGCACAAATTCAACTAGTCAGGATCCATCATATTGGCCAACAATTCCGGAATATAATTCATCTTTTGGAATTCATACTCAAAATGCTATTAAAATTGCCAAGGGAATAGTAACTGGGTGTTTGTACTTAAAACAAAGAGGTTTATTTCATCTTAGTCTAAAACCTACTAATATATTGGTAGAGGAAGATTTATCAGTTAAGCTTGCAGACTTTGGACATACTTTATTAGAAGCTTCTTTTTATCCTCCAGGTCAGGTTTATTTAGATGCAACAGTAAATAACAAAGTTTTAACTCATACAAATTCTAATTCAAGTTTTGATTTTTCAAATATAAATCAGTTTCCTATTGAAGATGGATTTTCCTTTTTAAATCAAATTTCTAGCTCTCCAAGACTATCAGACAATAGAATCCTTAACTATTTGCCTCCAGAAATTCTGAAGACTAATTCTCCACTTTTAGAACCTGCAAAACTTTATCTAGAAAATAAGCTTGAACAGTGTCAATCGATCGACTCTTACTCCATAGGTACAATTCTTTGGGAAATGATTAATGGTCAACCTCCTTTTGCTGGACTTGGAAATCTTCAAGTTCAAGCCTATGTTGGATATTCTGGAGCCACACTAGATCTTAATCCTGTTAAGGATTCTCTTCAGTTCAGTAATGTATCACTTATCCAGGGCCTTATTTCAAGATGTTGTGGGTTTTCTAATTTGTCTCATAACTTCTACCTACGAAATATTGGTAATCACACATCAAAGCGTCCTATTATTTCTTCACTTCCTTTTCCTCCTTCTTCCTCTTCTTCTTCCTCTTCTTCTTTATCTTCTTGGTCTTCTTCCTCTTCTTCTTCTTCTTCGTCTTCCTCGTCTTCCTTATCTTCTACACTTTTTGTTCAAAAGAAGATAAATTTTGCATTCCAAGTAAATAAAGTTGGTTTGGAAAAGTCTTATAAAAAGAGGATTTCTATTATTCAAATCTTAAAAGAGCTTAAAGCAATAGAAAAGATGGTAAGTTAATAAGAAGGGTTTGACCAATATAAGCACTATCTTAAACTTTCATGTTCATTAAAATGACTACAAATTATCTGTTTCAGGTCACGACATCAACAGAAGATTCATTAGCCAGATTTATGACAGGAGAATAACAAAAAGAGATGTTAGTTAAACTTAGACTTAAATATACAATGAAAAACTATCAATTTACATAAGATTTAACATAATTAACAAAAAATGTGGCGTCTAGTGACGCCTGGTATAAGTAGCCTTTATATTAATTCTTGACGATACTTAAATCCTATTATCATTACTTGAATTAGAATTTCGAAAACAAGCCCTTGGAATCACTTTCTAGTATAACGGTACTGATAGAATAAGTTCTCAAAAGATTTATTAGAACTTAGTCTATTCAGTTGTACCAAACATATCCCCATTTATCTTTCAAAGATCCATTTCAGTTAAGTAATTCATTCTATTATATTCCCCAAATTCTTCCTTTTAGCTTCTTTAAAAGAAAAAATTTGAACACAATAGAGAAAACACATTTTACTGGTTAGTAAAGGAAAGATAATGAATTAATGGATTCATTAATTTACTTTTGTCCACCAGTAAACTTGGTAACAGCCTTTGTACCCTCAGAAACTGCATGCTTAGCAAGTTCACCTGGTAAAACAAGTCTAACGGCAGTTTGGATTTCTCTGGATGCGATGGTGTCTTTTTTGGTGGTTTGGCAAAGCTGAGCAGCTTGCTGAGCGATCTTCTCAAAAGTATCAGAGATATAACTGTTCATAATCATCATAGACTTCTTACTGATTCCAGTTTCTGGGTGAACTTGCTTCAATACCTTGTAAATATATGTAGAGTAGCTCTCCTTCTTCTTCTTGTGGATCTTCTTCGGAGCTGCACCTTTATTGTTCTTTGAAGACATTTTTGGGGCCATTTTTATACTATTTGTGCTTTATTTTCCTAATTCCCGTAGAACCGCGGACTGTGATTGTCCTTTTTTTTTACAAACTTGAAATTGTAGAGAAATCCACTTAATATCCACACCTTACTCTCCTTTAGTATTTTACTATTTATTCAGCCTTTAATTACTAAGAGACATATACATGCACCCCACAGTTACTGAATATTTTGGCGGGAAAGTTCACACATAATTGTTGAGTATGTTGAATAATAAAGGTGGTGCGTGAAAATAAATAGTTAATGAAAAGAAGTTTAAGGTGAGATATATGTAATATTTATTAAAGTTATTTTTAAAAATATAAGGTCTGGCATAATTAAATTAGGATGTGAAACTGGCAAGTATATATTATAAATGTATTTATGCTTTTTTTTTTTTTTTCTGGATATGCTTGGTATCTTGCTGTAAATATGTGGTGGAAATGGTAGTAATATGAGATTGGTAATATTCATCTGTGAAAAATACATTAGGTAGTAAAATTAGTTTTAGTGTCATATGATAGTATAACAAACATATATAAAGTAGTGAAATATACAAATTGAGAGGTTTATATGAGAGAAAAGCATTATTGTTAATATTAAATAGACTAATAAAAAAACTAGAAATATTTGTTAAATTTTTAAAACTGAATTAGGAAATATAATGTATTAAGCATGCAGAAATTAGTTGGATTCCAACCCAAAATATTGTATTAGAATAGACAAAAAAAAGCCCATCAGGAACTTTCGAATTATAACGGTGATATGAATATTAGCAATAAACATAACAAACCTAATTAATAATTCTCCATTTCGTATTTAAATTTGGTTGCAATCTATTTAAAATATCTAAAGGACAAAAAATAAATTTTACTGAGTTTAACAAAACTTATTTATTTGTGTAAAATGCACTATTAAAATTTTAATTACCTTGGTTAATATTAACAAAATTGAGTTAGAAAGTAAAAAGTAACAATGTTAAGTAAAATCAAATAAATAGTTGGTTTTAATATGTTTTAAGAAATTTTTAATTATTTTTGCATTTTCATTGACAAATTGCAATGGAATTTACCGCCTAATTTGCGTATGAGGCGCGCAGATACGTATTAATAGACGATTACATGACAAAGTTTAGAGATTAAAAATAAAATTGAGTATAAATTTAGAATAGACAACATGTAAAAAGTGAGATGAATTTTTTTTTTTTTTTACGATACGTACAGTGCGCATTAAAAATCTAAAGTATATTTTTTATTTTCCTGCGTGCGTATACATATCTTTAAATACTTGGATAAAGAGATAATAAAAGGTGTACGGCAAGAAAAGTAGTAAATAAAAGAGTACTTTTCATATTTTATTTATAACTTAACCATATACACGCTTTTTTCATTATTTTCGAGCAGACTACAGAAGTAACAAAATGAGTGAAGAAGAAACACAAGCATTGGTTATTGACAATGGTTCAGGTATGGTTAAAGCTGGTATAGCTGGTGATGATGCTCCAAGATGTGTTTTTCCATCAATTGTCGGTCGCCCAAAAATGCCTGGTGTTATGGTAGGTATGGATCAAAAGGACTGCTATGTCGGTGATGAAGCTCAATCAAAGAGAGGTATTTTAACTTTAAAATACCCAATTGAGCATGGTATTGTTACAAATTGGGAAGACATGGAGAAGATCTGGCATCATACTTTCTATAATGAATTGCGTGTTGCTCCAGAAGAACACCCAGTATTACTGACAGAAGCACCAATGAACCCAAAAGTTAATCGTGAAAGAATGACTCAAATTATGTTTGAAACATTCAACGTACCAGCAATGTATGTTAATATTCAGGCAGTCTTATCTTTGTATGCTTCTGGACGTACAACTGGTATTGTTTTGGATAGTGGTGATGGTGTATCACACACTGTTCCAATTTATGAGGGTTATGCTCTTCCTCATGCTATTATGAGATTGGACTTAGCCGGGCGTGACTTGACTGATTTTTTGATGAAGATTCTTCACGACCGTGGCTACAGTTTCACAACTACAGCTGAGAGAGAAATAGTAAGAGATATTAAAGAAAAGCTTTGTTACATTGCTCTTGATTATGAGGAAGAAATGAAAAAATCTCAGGAGTCTTCTGAATTAGAAAAGACATATGAACTACCTGACGGTCATGTAATTACCGTAGGCAGTGAAAGATTCAGATGCCCAGAGGCTCTATTCCAACCAGGTCTTTTAGGTAAAGAAGCTGTTGGTATCGGTGAGACTACATTCCAATCTATCATGAAATGTGATCTTGATATCCGTAAGGATCTTTATGCTAACATTGTTTTATCTGGAGGTACAACAATGTATCCTGGTATTGGAGAGAGAATGACAAAAGAGCTCACTACTTTGGCTCCATCAACCATGAAGATTAAGGTTGTTGCTCCACCTGAACGTAAATACTCTGTATGGATTGGTGGCTCCATCTTGTCTTCTTTGTCTACTTTCCAACAAATGTGGATCACAAAAGAGGAGTATGATGAATCTGGCCCATCAATTGTACATAGAAAGTGCTTCTAAACTAATGTTATTAATAAAAAATTCTCAACATTCTCTTAAACACTACGCGTATTAAAATTTCAATAGAAATATGGATTACACAAGTTATTATTTATTAAGGACAATTTTTTTTTCTATCAATGAATAATTGTTTTATTTCTCTTCTTAATAAAAAAAAAGGGTGATGAATTGTCTAGTCAATGTTATTGTAACTCTAATTTTAAGGAGAGAATTCTACTTGATTTATTAGTCAATGACTATTAATGTTGTCGATAGAGCATAAGATTAACGTAAAAATAGTTACTAAGCAATGTGTAGTTCGACTTTGCCATTTTTTCTACTTCTTTGTGTTCTTGTTTTGAGGGGGTTTTGATAAAAATAAGGTCTTTTAGATCGGATATTTCAATATAGTGTTTTGTATTAGATAGAGGTGTCTAACAAGAAAGCTTATGCCTGAGGTTTAGTCAGCGTAGGAATTACATTGTTTATTCTGAAGCTTCAATAAATTTATATAAAAAATTTATTGAAAGGTTTTATAAAAAAGCTCCAAGTCCGGGAATTGAACCCGGGTCATCCGCGTGACAGGCGGATATACTAACCACTATACTAACTCGGACTCACGTTTGTACACCCGAATGTAGTTATAATATGAAAAGAGAATTGTGATAGCCAATAAATCATTACTAGTTGTTAAAGACCGCTAATCTTTCTTTAATAATAAATATCCTTTTATTCTGGGATTTAATTAAGTTGATGAAATGGAAAGAAAACAGTGTTATGTTAAAATCGGTTTTTTTGATAAAGGGAATTCAGTTTCTCAATTATTTTTTTAATTTTTTTCTAAAAAATAACTTGTTAATCATTTTATATTCTATTTAAAGAAAGTTTCACTAACTTGCTCGATATCAAAATTAGGAAAATTTGAATGCAAAACTACATTCATTTAAAAATTTACAGAGTAGAATAGGAACTACTTTATTACTTTTATCAGGGAAAGTTTGACAGATTATCTGTGTCATTTAAGCTTGGTAGATTGTTTTAGGTTAAATTTTGTAGAAAGCCATAATGCTGGCTAATTCAATCTAACTCAGAATCAGAGACACAACTAATTACTACTGATCAAAATATCAGAAGGTTAGGGAAGTAGAGTAGAGTGGGATGCCCAAGTTTAAACATAATATAAGAAAAAAATTGGTAACAATTTTAAAAGCATAGCGCGCGTGTTTACTAGGAAATTTCTAACTACCAGCATTGACTTACAATTTAGTAGCGAAATAAAATACAAGTTTAAAGTTAATTACTAAAATAAGAATATTTTGATTACAAATTATATTCTTTTTATTGTACTGAACTATGATTAGAACTAAAGTATGATGAGCTGTATTCTTAAATATTTACTTTGGTTATCTTTTTAACCAAAACATATTTTTTAATATTTTAATAAAATTAATAATGGAGATAATAGTGGTTTTCATATTACACACTATATGCAATTTTTTTATACATAGCTTTACATTATATACATGTAATAACCATAAAATTATTAGATGGTTTACCGCTAAAATTAACCGCCTATATGAGTGTTTTATTCTGGTAATAAGTATGCATGCTTATAATTAACATGAATTAAAATAAAAAATTTTTTTTTTTCAGGAAAAAGAGGGTGGGGATAGGATAAGGGAAAAAAATAGAGATGATTTAAAAGTAGATGGTGAATTTAGTAAATGTTTAAATAAACATGTACATTAAATTTTCATTTTAGATTTAGTGTGCTACAATAAATATTTTTTTTTGTTTTGAAAAAATAACAAATGCACACCTGCATTATTAAAAATAATAATTTGTGGGCGGTAGAATGGAAGGAGCGGGTAGTATAATAATTGGGTTAGGGCTAATTAAAAGGAAAAAAAAAATTTTAAATTATATGTGAGAAAAAAATAGGTAAGAAAAAATAGCAAAAGTTACATGAAAATAGAATTTCATATTAAAATTTAGCATTTTGGGCGATTTCAACAATTTATTTATTTTTATTGATCCGTGTTAAAGATTTGTGTTTGTCTATTTTTTGAGATAAAAAAATTGGTTTCGAGCAACAGAAAGTGTGCAAATTAAATTATCAGTAAATCTTCGCTCGAGCTTAAAAAAAGAGGGTCAGAAAAAAACCTAATTTTTAAAATAATTTCCGAGTTTAAAGTTTTCGAAGTTTTCTACAGTTGTGCACAATTTTTACTTATTATTTAACAGTTATAAAGATAATATAGTAAAAAGATCACACAAAGATTTTGGTTAAAATTTGGAAAGGAAGATTTGAATTTAGTTATAGATTCGTAATAATAATTTAACGTGCAAGAAAAGAGAAAGGAGATTTTTGACTAGTCACAGGAACTGAACAACAAGTACACATTTCTATCCATTTGACTAGCAGAAAATCAAAGTAAATATTGGGATTAATGTACAACTCCGATAAGTAACTATATATATTTATATATATATATATATAAATATATATATATATATATATATATAAATATATATATATATATATAATATTTATATCTTAGAAGCCTCATTTCTAAAGAGTAGATCGAAGTACTTCAAAGTTAAACTGATTTTGGTGAAAAAGTTATACAATTAATATACATATATACATTATTTTATGTATATCTGTATATAGATAAACATAATAATATTTATACATGCACTTTAATAAAGTATTTATACATTAATATTAAATATAACGATTAGTACTTAAGAGTAGTAAATCTCTTACCTTTTATTTTTCTGATACTGGAAAAATAAGAAGCCTCAGATAATATACAGAAAAAATTCAGCTTAGATAATATTTCAGAAAAAACCGAATATTTCCAAAAATCTCATCTTTATTTTTAATTGTAAGCATAATTCTTGTGCTCTCGAATTCGCGTAGAAAAAAGGGGGAAAAAGAAAAGTAATTGCCAAAATAAAGGAAGAAATTATAAAAGAAAGTGACCAATATTTTTTTTTCTTTAATATAGATTGGCGAAAACCAAGCTTAGTCCGATTTTTACAAAGATTTAAGAATTTGCGTTTGGACAAAGAAGAAAGGTGATACAAGCTTCCAAAGAAAAGTGTAATTCAAGAATTTCCAAGGACAGATAAACAAACAGAAAAAAGGTTTAGGACGAGTTATTTCCGATTTTTTTCCTGACATTTGCTGTTTGACTGTCAGTTTGTTACAATTGGTAATCTTTCTAATTCAGTTCAAATACATTTTTTAATTCAATTCGAATTTGCCATAAAAATATATGTACATATATATATATTATATAATTCTACTGGGATTCCATCATATATGTGCTGTAAATAGCTGAAAAGAAAATCAGCATTTTGCTTGTGTGGATTTGGTTTTTTTTATCATTTTTTATAATTTTATTCAGTAAATTTTACCATTTTTATATATACAACTGGAATTGACACTACCACTGCAACTTCTACTTTGGAAGGATATAAAAAGTTTGGATTTCGGAATAAGTTGGAATATTACGTAAGTAATAGAAGAAGGATCAAAGAATCGAGAAATAGAGAATTGGTAATAATTTTAGAGCTTTTTTTTTTTCTAATTAATAATATTGCTTTTCTCCTGACTTAGGAAATAGTAATATAAAATAATTAAGAGAGAGGAAAGAGAATAGGAAGGGCCACTTTCTCCTTAATCTTAGAAGACAAATTCAGAAGAAATTGGTAAAAATCAGCTCTTGGATTGCATTTTTGATATTTAATTATTAGTAAGTTTCAAGAATTAGTTTTCAAAATAACTCGGATAAAGTTAAAATAAGACTTTGATCAAACCAAAAACAGAAGAGTTGTTTCATTCTAGCTGGTCAAATTTGGAATCCAATAATTAGTATTTTGTATATAAACATACAAATAATAATTGTCTAGTTTTTCAAGTTGATTACATATTTATTAGCAAGTTCTGATTTGTTCAAATAAAATAAAAGAGATAATTGGTACTAAATTAAACTTGAAGAAAAATCCCCAGCTAGGAGAAAAGAACATAATAAGAGCAGGTCTTATATTTATGCATTTTACGAATTGAAGTAACTTAGAAACTTGGAGAGAATTTTGAAAACCAAAAAACAAAAGAAGGTAACTTATAAAAATTCAAAACTTGCAAATAAGAAAGATATTATCACAAAATAAATACTCTTACGTTAGGGGAGCGTAAGATGAGTGATAGGGGGGAACTTGAGTTGGATAAAAATGTGAACAGAATGCGGTTGGAATTGGAGGAGGCTCTGGATATTTTAACATGCCATGAAAATGAGGAGATAAAAAGCACTAGAGAAGGTGAATGCTGCATTCTGGACTCTTATCCATTAAGTATGACTCTAATAAGATGTGAAAACGACAAAGAAAAACTAGGTCTAATAATTCAACTTAAGGAATTTTCTAGAATGGTTAAAGGAAGCTATTGGATGGTCTTGGAGGATAACAAAGATCCAAGAAATTTATATATGCTTGAATTCTTCAATTATAATGATGGGATTTTTAGAAATAAGACGTTCGAAGTAATTGGAGATAGGAACGAAAGGGAGATCTTGCAGAATTACTTTTCCCACTCAAACTCAATTTTGAATATGAATGGAGGAAATAAGTGCGAGAATGGTAATGATAAATGGATGATGACTACTTTAAGAAGGAGGAGAGATATTGAGAATTCACGAAACAATTTAGGATTAGCTTTTTGTAATTCTTTTCTAAAGGAAAGTGGCGAAAGAATCAGAAACTTTGATTTATCTTCTTTAACATTTATGGTAAAATTCAGTGAAGTTGGCAATATTTCAGAACTTATAAGCGAAGTTGAGGCATTATATGGGGATTATTGGTTAAATAAGATAGAAGAATCATTCCTAGCTGTTTTCTGCTTTAGCATTGAGAATAAATTAGATACCCAAGTAAGATTTGAAGACGAATTGGAGAAGATGTCTTTGTCCAGCCCTAAGAAGGATGCTTATATGATTCACATATTCACCAGCCCAACGGACTATGCAATGGTAACAAGCACTTATAATTGGAGTAGCTACGTTTCTTCCCTCAAAAATTTGGCTCAGGGGGAAGTTAGAGCAGAATTTATAACACAGAAGCTGATTTATAACTCTCTGGAAAGCTTTGAAGATTTGAACATATTCAGAATAATGGATTCTGAAAGAGATTTGGAAATTAAGGAAAATATAATGGAGGGAGGCAACTTAGATAGCAAGTCGGTAACAACCACCACTTCAAATTGCTACTCAACAGATTCTTGCAAACTAGTAGATTCAACAAACGGATTTTCATCCACAGACCTAGATTCAGTAACTACCTCCATTAATTCAAGCACAGAGAACTTGGTGTTGTCGAAGAAAGGCTCAGTTCTAGAGGGATTGGATGAGAACGAGAAATCTACTGATAAAGGTCTCAGTACCTTCGGAGATAACGAAGTGGTTGAGCTCGAAGAAGACCCTCTTTTGGTTTCTGAATTTTCAAATTTGAGCTATTGGGAATCTGCAATAATTGACGCATCTAACTCTTTTGCTGCTTCCAATGCTAGAAAAAGAAACCAAATTTACTCAAATTTAGCAATTAATGGCAATAAAAGTCAGACAGATAAGCTAACAGACTGCCAAGAAGTGCCTATTCTTCAAGAATCCGTTAAAGACGAGGAGTTTTATGAGTGCAGAGAAATGAAATTTGACACATGTGCATTAAAGGCCAAGCTGGCAAAGTCAGTGTGGGGTGGCGCCAAATGTACTGATAGAAGCTGCATGCAGTGCTTTGCATTACCTCTTACACATGCACATGCAGAATCTGAAAAGGATTTAAGAGCTACAGAAAGCGAAAAAATTTGGTGCAAGGAGGGTTTCAGGAAGTTTTGTGAAATCTACAAAAGCATGGGTGTTGTAGAACTTAGAAAGAAGTCAGAATTGGGAAATGGCAAAAAAGCTTGGTTAATTAGAGAGTTTATAGGAGATGAGCTTTCTGATCAGGTTTTTTGCTATGGACTTAAGAGGAGAAGAAGGAGCATAAAGGAAGGGTTAAGAGCTCTAAGTATTTACTTAGTGGGAGATTTTAACGATTGGAACAAGACTTCTCACCCAATGCAACTGGAAACAGAAAACATTTGTTTGATGAATCAGGAATTATATGAAGGCTACCCTTCCATTCCACATTTCATGAAAAATAGGGTCTATTCAATAATTCTGGATGAAAACAAGCTACAAAGCTTTTTAAGTTGTAATCCTGAAGCTAATTCAATTTCATTCAAAATTAGAATTGTTACTTCTAAAGCCAATTCTTCAGAAGCTCAGATGATGGAAGTAAATGATAGCCTTGGAGCAGTTTCATCCCAAGAACTGGAGACTTACAGACTACTCTCATATTCAAGGTCTTTGGTCACTTCAGGAATCAAAGATAGTACTGAAAACGCTTTGATGAATTGCAACTTTTACTTGGGTGACCAAACTGAATTTGAAAGCCCAAGAAATAGAAGTCTCAAATATCCTCTTCCAAGGTGTGTTTCAAAGCCCAAGACTCTAGGATTTTTAAGGGCAAATAAGGATAAGACCCTTGAATCTGACGAAGGGGACTGGCCAATATCTGTTGGAAGCATTGTCAAAGAGCTTGTAACAAATTTGAGACAGTCTCCTTTGTACATATATGAAGCAAATATTGCTTTTTCATCCAAAAATAAAGGGGAATTTGGAACTTTTGCAAGCTTTAGAGAGAATGTACTTCCAAGAATATCAAGAGGCGGATATAACTGTTTGCTATTAACTGGTCTATTGGAGCACTATCAATTCTTCAACAAAAGCCAATACCCATTCAATTATTTTGTTCCATATAGTAAATATGGTACTCTGGATGAGTTTAAGGACCTAATGGATGATTGCCATTCAAGAGGAATTGCAGTGCTTATGGACTTTAACCTCACTTTTGCTGATATTACAAACTCAAACTCAATGCTACAGCCGTGCGATAGGGAAATGAACAATAACTTAAGTAATTTACAAGATATTATAGATACTGATGAGATTAATATGCGTACAGGAAGCGAAGTAAGTAGTGGAAACATAAGTAGGGAAGGTTCTTTTGTACTTGGAAGTGGAGGAAGCAACAGTACTATTAATAGTAATACAATCAGAGTTGATGAGCTATTTTTGGATGACTCCATTGTAGATTTGTACGAGTCATTTATGCTGACTAATTTAAATACATTCAATCCAAGTTTCTTTAAACATACTCCAGACGTGATTTCTTCGCTTTTTGCTTTCAACAAAAGTTACAGTAGACTTAATTTGGGATATATTCCAATGCTGGCTCAGATCCTTTCTTCATTTCATTATCTGATGAATCAACTGGGTATTGATGGTTTTAGATTCACTGTTCCAGACTTATCAGAAGAGCAAGAGAAATACTCGTGCATCTCGTCAATTTTGGCTTTGATTAATGATACTATTCATACTATTAAGCCATTCGCAGTAACAATAGCAAATGAACTTCTTTTGAGAGGAAATGATGATAAGGCTTGCTCAGAGCTTACAGTTCCTTTGGAGTATGGAGGTATGGGATTCGACTATGTTTGGGATAATTCAATTTGCAGTTCCCTACAAAGTATCATACTAAAGAACCCATCCAGTTTGAATATAAAGAAAGACATAATTGACGAGCTACTTCCTCAAGAAGATAAAATGAGGAACTCTAACAAGAAAATCAGAATTTTGTACAAAAACAGAGAAAAACAAAATTTTATTGATACAGGAGATGATAGTGAAAATATAAATGGTAGTTATTTAAACAAAGGGGGATCTGACTTACATACAGTTGAGTTTGTTTCCAAAAGATTATATGGGATAGAATCTTTGGAAATGAAAACAGTAACTCAGAACCCACTTAGAATTGCAATGTTTAGTTGGGAAAGTCTCCATACTCACTTGGTTGGTGGAGTCTCGCCTCATGTTTCAGAACTATCTGCAAGTCTAGTACGACTAGGACACGAAGTCCATCTATTCACAAGAGCAACAACATCAGCATATGTGATCAAAGTTCATGATGGAGTATTGTATCATGAGTGTCCTTTCCAATTGAATTCTGATTTTGTGACTGAAATTACAAATATGTGTAATTCATTTGTTTATTATATGCAAAGGTGGGAAGATGGGCTAACAAAGGTACCGGATTATCCAATGCTTAAAAATGTGAAAAATGGGTATCGATTTAATATTTGCCATTGCCATGATTGGCTAGCAGCCCCTGTATTGACAAGTTTAAGAAGAATTGGAAATAATAATAGGACAACCATTTTCACAGTGCATTCAACTGAATATGGTAGATGTGGAAATCAGTCGTTTGGAGGACAAAGTAGCAGAATAGCTGATATAGAGAGGGAGGGATGCCATACTGCAGATAGACTGATTTGTGTAAGTGGGGTGTTGGCAGAAGAGGTATGCAGACTTTTTGGGGTTAACAGGAACAAAATTAAAGTAATTTATAATGGAATTCATTGCAGGACTTTTGATAGAGTAGTAATGAATGATGCTGGAGAAGTTAAAAGGCAATATGGTATAGGACCTCTAGAACCAACATTTCTATGTGTTGCAAGAATGGCTCTACAAAAGGGAGTAGATTTGCTTATTGAGGCGGTGCCTAGTATATTAAAATATCGTAATGATACAAAATTTATTATAGTTGGAGATGGACATCAGAAAGATGAAATTGTTCGTAGGTCCCACCAGTTAGGCATATACAATTCGGTCAGATTTGTTGGAAAGAAGTTGGGAGATGATGTAATCAGACTTTATAAGGCTTGCGACGCAGTTGTAGTACCGTCTAGAAATGAGCCATTTGGAATTGTTGTATTGGAAGGATGGACAGCTGGAAAACCTGTTGTTGCTACCACTAGTGGTGGCCCCAGGGATTTCTTAACTCCAAATGTAGATGGGTATTTGGTAGAGCCATGTAAAGATAGTATTGCTTGGGGATGCTGTGAGATACTAAAAAACTTTGATCATTCAAGATGGATGGGATCTAGGGGTAGAGTAAAGGCAGCTTATTCATTTTCTTGGGATTCCATTGCTCAAATAACAAGTTTTCTGTATTTTGAGCAGTGTAATGTTTTAGACGTTGCTCCGAGCCTGATTTTAAAGCCTAATACACCATTAATTCTTCAGTCCTTTGGAGAAAATGCTCTTTATCATCATATGATGGTGTTTGATGGTTTTGAAAAGTCAGTCTTTGCTCTTAAGCAATTGAAGTTACTTGTATTAACAATGATGGCCTTTGCAAAGAATGGAGTTTTTCAGAGCATGGGCTCTGAATTTGGTAACCCCGATTCTTTTGATCTACCTAGACCAAATAATGACATGGATGTTAGCAAAATGTGTTGTAGATGGGACTTGGCAGATAACAAGAGTCTAAAGTTCAAACATTTAGAGTTCTTCAATACTATATTGATTCGTCTCGAAAAGTCTCTAAACTGGATAGTCAGAAATAACATTCAGGATTATAATATCTGCAATAATTATTTGAGCACATTCACAGAAGGTGTAGAAGGAGAGTTAAATAAGAGCGGTTTTTCTTCAGCTTGTTCTAAATTAACTTCTCCTTTAATTAAAAGCAGCACCTCAGTAATACCTTCAGAAATTTCTCCAGCTTCCAAATTTTCCAAGAAGCCAGTAACAAAGAATCAGGCAGTTATTAAAAGATTAGATGAGGTTTCTGGAGATAGTAATCTAATAGATAATGAGTCCGTTATTTACTTGGATTCAACTCCAAACAGTGGACAAGAAGGTTCAAAATCTATCCAAAAAATCTTTTCTAGAGGAAAAAGTATTGACAATTTTTCCAAGGATTCGCTGAAGATCTTAACAACAGATAGTTTGTATAATTCATCATCTAATGTTAATGTTATTTTATGCCATGAATTGGACAAAGTATTGGTGGTTGAAAGAAATAACTGCGTTTTTGTTTTCAACTACAGCGATAAGTACTATAATAATTACGGATTTGGAATTTCAAGCGAACTTCCTCAGAGCCTAATAATTGATACTCAAGATGAGAGATTTGGAGGGGACAAGAAATACCATGTTATTGGTAACTTCTGTTCTTGTTCTGTCAAATCTGAGCAAGGATTCAAGCTATTTGACTCAAACTCAGAACCTGCCAATATTAACTCTATTAATAATAAAGCATTCCAAAAGTCTTTTCAACATGAATCTCCTTATAGATTTATTAATACAAAGTCTCTCAAGCAAACCGTCTTCCTCAATATATCTCCCTTCTCAGCCTATGTATTGGCTCCTTCTATTCTTATTCAAGATTTTCCTTGTGAGACGGTCGGAGATAAATTATTTTATCAAAGCATCGACAATTTTGTTGATTCACTTGGTTTATTCTGCTAAAATATAGAATTAAAATATAGATTTACGAGAAAATGTTATGGAAAGATTCATTTACATATTAAGTGGAATCTTCATTTGGAAGACTCCATAAATGTCTTAAAAAAAAATCAAGTATTTTTTTAGATTATATCATGAGAAAACCATTATCTTGAGATATGGAAAAAAGAAGACTAAATTTAATAATCAATTTCAAAATCTTAATATATTATCATATCATTGAATGACATTCAGTATAAAAATGATAAAAAGATAACTCTGTTTTGGATTGTAGAAAAATATTAACCTGATTTTGTTACTATCAAAGTTTTCACTTTTTTTTTTTTATTCAATATACCTCAAGTATTCAAAAAGTCTTGCTAATACTTTTTTCTTAAATTAGTGTTGCTACATATTTGTGTGGATGCATGCAATACCATGAATATGTTCCCGCCTGGTTTAAGCGAATTGCATGCAGACACGTAAGATTATTGTTTGAAAAAAAATATCAAAAACAAAACGGTAATGAGTAATATTTATCAATTTTTTCTTATTAAAAGGTGAATTGTAATTTGTGATTAATAGAACTTAGATTTTGTTTTTTTGACAGATAAAACAGTCGTGCTAGTATTCAAGTAAATTAAGTCTTTTTTTTTGTAAATTTGGTCGTTTCTGTGGGAAAAATTCTCTCCAATAACTGCCATGTGGGCCTAAGAATGCATGCATTTGTTTAAGCTTGACTTTTTAAGTGCCTGCATGCGCATTAGTTACATTTAAATAGGTAAATATTTATTTAAAACAAGTAAATAGTAATTAGACAGAAAAGCGTGGGGAGATATATTTTTGCGTTTATATCTATCTCTGATTTATATTGTATTTTAAATTGATATTTAAAAAATGAATTTCAAGTTAAACACAATTAGTGGTATAAAACTATGAAATATATATTTTATCTGATAGAAAGCAATTTGGAAATCACAAAAAATAGCATGTAAGGGGGGTGGGTGGGGATGAGAGGGGAGAAAAAAGCGGAGAAATCAATAAATATAAAAAAAAAAAAACCAAACGCATGTAATAAATAAATATTTAAAAAATAAAAAAGGCATTGAGTATCAGGTACTTTAATTTTTTTGGACTAAAGAGTCGAAGATACTTTCCAAGAAATGGCTTTGAGCCTCTAAGAATATAATTAAATAATAAAATAAAATGAAATAGTGAACTTAAAATTTGGGTATAAAAATAATTCAAAACAAGAAAATATTAATAAAGAAGAAATGGAAGATTATGATTCTAGAATTAATCAAAAACCTCATTCTGAGAGGATTTTGGAGCAATATGAAAAATACCCAGATGATTACATTGAAAATGCAACATTGAGACCAGAAAAATATCATGTATTGGAACAGAAAGAATACGATGACTGTATTATCACAACATTTCACCAAATTATTAATAGTGATTACTTAGATGTTGAAAGAGAGCTTATTAATGGAAAGTTAATGAATAGCGAAAATTATGAAAGTAGAGTATTTGGCAAATATGGACTATCTCAAGACCAAAAAGGGAGGGATCCAGGAGAAAGGGGCTATACAGAAACAGAAAAGGAAAATTCAGAAGACGAATTAGATGCTACTGGTGTTGAGGAGTGTGAAGAAACAGAATCTGAAGAATTGGATTCAGAAGATGAAATGTATGACGAAGACGAAAACAGCCGTGAGTTATTGATGCTATTAAAAAGTAGAGGAAAGTCAAAGCGAATTCATAAGAGAGAAATGTTAAGTTTACCAAGCTCAGAATTTTTAGTAATAAGAGAATTTCCTGTATCTTTTGGAATTCCAGTCATTAAATTACAAAAATTGAATGTACGCCCAATATTATTTCTCTGGTTGCTTTTGTTACTTTTCATTGTTTATTGCATTTCAATATTTTTAGATGAGTATATCATTAATGACATAATACCATTATATCCACTGGGAAGTATTTTTGAGCCGAAAAATGAACATAATGAAGAGTTGGTTCCTTCTTTTCTAAGATCTAAGAATTCAAAAACATCAGGAAGCGTTGATATGCGTTTAGTGAGTAAAAGTAGTTTAATAAAAAAGCTTTTCCCTTTATTCAGTACTAAGCAAGACTCGGAAGTATCTGAGGATGCAATCAACAGACCTTTAAATGTAACATTGGATATTAAACATTGCCAAATTCAATTTCTTAATTCATCCAATGATTTTAGTTATATTAAAGTAAGATCTTGGAGATTATTTTCCAAATCACACATGTACTCAGGAAGTTCTGGAAGGTACCGTATACCATCTAAAAAGAAAGATAAGTTTGAGTATGTATGTTCACACGGAGCTTTTTTCTGGATATTAAAAAGGTATATTCTTCCTTGGGATACTTATAGTGATTATAATATAAAAAGTGTTTCTTGGAAAGAGTATAAGGAGTACTGTGATTCAAGTCTGAGACCTTGGAATTTTGTTAATGATTCAAACTTGTTAATAAAATTGCACCAAACCAATACTGGTGATTATTTTCAATGTTCTATAAACTTTTTTCTGGCTGATAACTTTCAGTTCGATGAACTTTCTGTCAAGTTTGTACCATCCTCAACATATATGAGAGTCTCATCATCAATTCCAATCAGAGCTAAATCCATGTTTCACTTGGAAGCATTACATGGAACTTTTGATTTAAAAGATGTATATTCTAAAAACATCTCACTTACAATTTCAGATGGTTGGGCTTCCATAGATCTCCCAAATATTGAGGATTCTATTCATAGGGGTGTGCTCATAGAAAGCAGGGGAGCTCCAATATATATTAATAGCAAAACACCATTATTGGTTGTGATGCCGGTCAGAATTGCAGAACTGGCAGTTTTAAGGGCTGAAAATGTTAAGGTTCAACTGGAAAGTAAGTCAAATGGGTTGAATAGTCATGGATATTATAAGACTGCGTCAGTTGTGGCTACATTAAATCCAGATTCATCATTTTTAGAAAACAAACTTTCAGGCTCTTTAATTAACACAAGAATTAACATTCAAGGTAGCATTCCTCCAGTATATGTAAATGTATATTCCAATTCTGAATCAAATTCTAATTCCGATAAATTTTCTGATGAATTGATAACTTGGGCAGGAAGACACCAGTGGAAAGATCCACATTTGCTTGCATTTTCGAAGGCAAGATTTAGTAGATTTTCAAAGTGGCTTCAAGAAGACCTTGCGAGTCCCTGGGTTGTATATATTAACATTTTAGGCAATGGAGAATATCCTAAGGGAACTTGGAAAGCGGTATCTTCAAGAGCTTTTATTCGTGACCCATATGCTCTGGTATTGTTATCAGGTGGTCTTTTAATGCCTAGAATATACACTCTATTTATTCATATTCTTGGATTAAAATGTATGGTTCCAGCGAGCCATTCAGATTTGGAAGATTTGGACGTAATTAATGTTGATGATAATCAGAATATAGTCAACAGCAACGGAATAATTGGTAATATTATTAATGGGAATGCAAGTACTCAAAACAACAACAAAGATACTGTTGGAAAAGTGGAGGGTGTAATTCACAAAAGTGTGGATAATGGTTTTGGAGACCAAGAGAAAGGAGGGTTACTAGCAAATATGACAAGTAAGATTTCAAAGATGATTGGCCCAGAAGAATCTACATCTTCTGAAAATGGGAAAAATAGGCAGGAAAGTAAATTAAGCGAGTTAAAGAAAATATTTGGAGTTAAGAATGGACCAAAATTACTCTTAAATAACTTTCAGGAATCAATTTATTTTGATGACAATTTAAGTGAGGACTATTACATTAACCAAGACTCAAATATCCATGAAGATATTGCAAATATCAAAAGTATAAGTGATGTAGGGAATTATATGGGCAAATCAAGCAGAATTAGAGCTTGTGAATCTTCAATAGCTGAAAATATTTTTAGTGTAATAAACAAAGCAATAATAGATACGGCTCAGCAACCAAGTGTAATAGTATGGACTCAGAATGATGAAGAAGTAAAGACTTACAATTCGGACTTAGGTTTGGGGAGAAAAAATGGGTTAAGTGTATCTGATAGAAATCTATTTTCACTTACAAAATGGACAATAAAGAAATTAAAGAGCCAATTGAGGAGATTATTTAAGTTGTTTTTCTCATTAGTATCATTTTTGGAGAGCATAATATTCCCTGGGTGGCTAATTCCGGGATGGAGTAAGTTATCTAAGAAGATTCTAAAAAGTTCCATGTTAGCAGATGACGATTTTGTATCGAATCCAGAAGTTCTATCTGATAGTCCAAATCAAAATATCGAGCAATACATATTTACAGCAGAAAATGATGCAATATTGAAAGATCTTGTGACAGCAAATGATTTACAAGGATACATAGTTTCTCTATCCTTGAATATATTATGTGCAATTTTGGTAGCAACAGCAGCCATGTGGGTACTTTATTACTATGTTTTCCCCTGGTTTTTGACAGGTATTAGAGAAATGCAACTGGTAAGTACAGCTTCTCACCGTTTGAATCATGATTTCAGGACTTCGGAAGCTGCAGAGTGGATTGTAATGGTTTCTACAATTCAGTGGCCAAACTTTGGATTATTATTGAGGTGGAACCAAAGACAAAAAAGGAGAGATAATGAAAAGCTTTGCATATATATTAAACAGATAGAAAACTTATCTCAAATGAGTGGAAATAGCAATATTGGTAATGGGGAAGGGGCAAATGGTTCAGAAATTTCAGAGTTTTTCCTTTACATTCCAGCAAACGAGGCATCATTAACTACACATTTGGGAAGGAACCAACAGGAGCTGTTTGTTCCAATGAAATATACTGATAAATGTATTTTTGAGGTAACAATGCCATATGAGCTTATTTCTGATCAAAAATACAGACTAAGAATTCTAAGAATATCATCTTCTGGCCATATTATTGAGCAGAGTAACTGGAGCAATGAGATTATTCCAGGAAACAAAATGAAGTTTGTAGATTTTCCATTACTTTTCTTAAGGAGGTTTTTGCCTAAGAAGAGATCCTCTCTGAACTTATTCATTGATAAGAACACAGATCACTATTCTCCTTTTGGTATTCCCTTTTATTTTAGGGATATTGAGATTATAATTTTTGATGTTCTTGGGGGAAAGAAGAAGAAACGTAGCAGTATTTCGCAAGAGAACTTTTTTGATTACGGATTTGAGGAAGAGGAGGATGATAAAAATGATTTAAAGAATATTAAAAACAATATGATTGATTTCGGAGAAGGAGAAACCACTAACCCAACACTTAATGACAAACACAAGCCTTCCCATAAAATTGATGGAATCACCACAGATAAAAATGGTGAGCGGAAATTTGAAAGGTCTTTCTCCAACCAAAGTTTCAATAGAGAGTTGAGCGCACAAAACCAGACCGGTATTGCTTTAGGGCCACATGGCGTCCACATGAATGCATGCAATACTAATGGTATGGTGTATGGCGGGAATGATTCTAGTGGGGGGGTGCCGTCAAATTTTGACCATGAAACAGAAGATGGACGCGGATATTCGGAGGTGAGAGGGAATAAAAAGTTTGTGTTGGTAGCAAGGTTAATAAGGGATCTTTCTGGAACATGTGGTACGGGAGAAGCGTTGAACGGAATGAGTGGAGGATTAGAAAAAATTTCAGAGAATTATACGAGTGGGGGTGCAATTCGAGAGGGCCGTTCAGGGGGAAGGTTTGGTAGTTTGCATGCATCTAGTATTGCAGAAGAAGATGATAATTTTGCTTCAATTCGAAGTTATACTTTTAAAAATAAATCATTTGATTCTGATAAGGTCCGGATTGAAGGTTGTTTGGAGAATGTCAACTTTTTTGAAAAATTTAATGGAAATAGTGGAGTTAATCGACAGATTAATATGATGGATGGTATGGAAGTTGGAAGTGGCAATAATGTTTATATTTTACGTAATAAGGTAAAACACGGTTCTGGAGGTGAGGGCCGTAAACTAAGTATTGGTGGGTTTGGGAAAGATGAAAAAATGAGCAATTCAGATCCAGTTGCTAGTAGTTTATATTTAGAGCAAAGTTTGATATCTCAAAAAAGAATATTGTTTGAGTTGCAAGAGGCAGATAGTGGCCAGGTAGTGGCAAATGGAGATGTAAAATGTTCAAGATTAATAGATATAGCTTGGAAGTCGTTGGTTAATGATGCTAATATGGAAGATAGTTTTGAAGGAGGTTTTGTACCTATGAATGAAAGAGATTATGATGATGTTATACATGGTAGAAGAGTTCACTCAAAAATGGGCCACGATTCTGAAATTCAAGATAATGACATAATTCAGGTTCATGATACAATTTCAAATAATACCGTTTCAATCAATAAGTTTGTAGATATCTCAATAAAACTTTATTATGTTGAAGGAGGACAATGGGGAGAACTTTCAATGCTTTTGGATAGGTCATTTTGGGTTCAGTATTTGAGACATGATCTTTCTGAAGATATTATTATTGATTCAAATCCTTTAAGTAATGTGGAAAGTATTGATATAGAAATGGTAACTAAAAAAAGTAATGAGAATAGTAATTATCTGGTATATAATCATTCAAGCAATTCAATCATTAATATGCAAAAGAGCCAAGTTGGAGTAGGAGTTGATTTAAAAAATGACTCTCTTGGTGATTCTGAAAGATCTGGACGAAATAAAAAGGCTGAAGATACTTCAAATTCTAACAAACCAAGATTTACTAATGACACACCAGGAAAGATCATTATCAATGGAAGTGACACCCAATTAACATGGGTTTGGCGAGAATTAAAGAAAGATAGCTCGAGTTACATTCCAAAGAAGTTACATTTGCATGTTTTTGATCATTACACAGATACCCATTTATCTTCTTTGCATGGAGAAAAATCAATCCCAAATACTGGTACTTTTGCATGGTCTGTTGATGTTCCGTTTATTTCACAAAGATCATCTTCAAGAGATGTTTATTTGGTAATGGCAGTTAGCAAGGATGATATTCCATCCAATGTAACTATTCAAGGTAAGACATTTGTTCCAAGGGGTTCAAATACTCAAGAGAGTTCTGGGTATTTCTTTGGGTCTTCTACAGGAGTAGGATGGAAAAGATCTTTAACTTGCAATAAACAGATAATAGTAGCAGTTTCAAACTCATTCAAAGTAATCAGATTAACAACATTAAGTGAGTTTGAGTTATTATATGCTACATTCTGTAGAACATTTGGACTGGAAATGGAAGTAGTTACTTATAATGATCTATACAAATATGGATTTTTGGTATCACCTAGTAGTTTAAGAGTTTGTGAGAATATCAGGAAGCCAATCCCTACAGAAACATATCAAAGAGGAACATACTGTCCTGGCCAATTTATGATCAGTGCTAAAGCATTAGCAGTAACAACTGGAAGTAAATATATTTTGAGAGGTGAGGACAAGGAATTGGAAAATTGTATATACTTAAAATCCCAAAGAAAATCTGTTGATATAATTGAAAATTGTACATTAAATTATTCAACTTATTGGTGGTCATCTTCTCCAGATAGGTTTTTACTCAAGAATGGGATCATTTTGGACACCAGTATATTCTTACCTTTAACACTTAAGGTCATAAGTTGTTTCAAAATAGATTCAATCATGCTTTTCTTAAGAAACTTCTCCATTTCAAGAGTTACCAATTCATTTTATAGCTTTTTTTCAAATTTAAAATGCTTATTTTGCTCTAAGAAAAGAGATTATGAATTAAATCAAAATGAAGATGTTAAAACTATAAATATATCTTCAGGTCTATTAGTCCATTCAAATTACTCAACAGTATTTAGAAGAAAATCTACTTGGAGATCAAGCAAGTTCAGAAGCTGGAAAGCTATACTAAGTTTAATATATAATACAAAAGAAAATAATAAACAATATAGGCTCAAAGATAAGGAAATAAAAAGTATTTCCAAATCAAAACAACGTTGGTCTAAAGCTTTGATGTCTTTAAAAATTGCTCAGTTAAAACGTTCATCTACTAATTTTATTAGAACTATAAAGAATAGTATCTCAAATAACCAGATAATAGATGGTTCAATTAATTCTATGAGAAACAGTAATTGTGAGTACACTGAATTAGGAACAATAACAAACTGGGAAAAAGCAATAGAACCTGAGCAACTAAATGACACTCAAGTTTATAATTATGCAGATTTGAGATTAAACTCATCAGCTGGAATAACTTATTTAGCTAATGGTGAATTAAATCATGAAAAGTTAAATAGTATTTCAGGATATAATATTGGCTATGGAGGGATACTTGTCCCAATATATATAGCCAAAATAAAACAAAGACAGGAATTAATACATGAGATTTGGTACTCTTTTCAATTTTCAATTTTACCAATTATATTAAGTGCAATGATTTATGGTTTTCAAATTTCACTACTTTCAATATTTCCAGTAACATGCATCATATTAACTCTGGTTTACAACTACTTATCAACTCTTTCAATTTCAAGTCCTCATTCTCACATCAGTCCAAATTACTTTTCAGATATTGTATACAATCCAACTTGGGATTTCTTTATGTCTTTACCATTTCCTGTTCCACATTTATTAATATTATCAGTTCTGCATCTTTTAATAATTCACACTACATTCATTGCATCCACTTCATCTCTTTCATCTCATAATAAAGGAAAAGAGGAAGAAAGACATGAAGACTCAAAACTGACAGGAAGTGGGCCAATTTTGAAATGGAAAAGGAATTTGGAGCGTTACTGGATCAAATTATTGGTACTTTTTGAAGAGATTGGAATGTTTGTGACATTATTTTCAATGTTTCTAACATTATTGTCAATTTCAATGTTTTTTCTTTGGTTCTTATTGGGTTCTTTAATTAACTCAGATAACATACTTCCTTATGTAGTAATGCTTTTAGCTTTGGGATTTGTTGTTGTGAGCTTATGGAATAATTTTAGTTCCTCAAGAGGAATTGTTGATCGGTTTATTGCAGAAAATCTCCAGTCGTTGATTTCAATTGCTTTAGGACATTGGTTTGAAGCAACAAATCAAACATTTACAAGTAATTCAAACTCAGCAGATCCAAATGATCTTAGAGCTGCTGCCTCTGAACAATTACATTGTGAAATTACTAATCACAAATATTTGTGGGCCAAGGCAATGTTGAGTAGTATGGGAAAGCAGCAGATTTGCAGGGATAATGGAGGAGGAGGAGGAGGAGGAGGAGGAGGAGGAGGAGTGGAGGGGCCATTTGATTTGCATTCCAGTAATAAAAATACATTGAAGGACTTTTTGGATGGTTCTATGGAGTTAAAACATAGTACAAGGATTCAGTCATTTGGCTCAAAACTCCCAATAACAGATTATTGTTCATTATATTGCTCTAAATGGGAGTATTTGAAAATATTCCCAACAACTCCAAAAAGCTTGTTTGGGATTAATTCAAAAGGAGAGATTGTTGGAGTTCAAGAAACTTTGAGAGTATATTATGGAATGAAATTGGCTACTGTAAAGGATGTGATTTCTGAAAATGACAAAGTGGATAGTTTATTAGAAGGTTTTGATGTAGCACTTTTACAGGATGGAGTTAAATATGGTCCGAGGTTTGGATATAAGGTCGAGGATTTTCTACATCTCGATACTTGGTACAAGTGTGCTATAGTTAAAGTTCCGATCTTTCCTCCAAGTGAAGCTCTCTCGGATGAGGCTAAAGTAAAGCTTATATTTGACTTTTTTGATATGGATGAAGATGGATTTTTGAACAGGGAAGAATTTTTGTATTGGGTTGTAAACTTACATTGTGATAGATTTCTATTAAATGGGTTAAATACCAAATATCAGGACATTATTGACCATTTTAACTCTATATGCAACACAAATGTAGATGATGAACAAGGATTTTCTGTGGATGATATTATAATACTATACTCATTATATCCTGGGAATTTGGATTCAGATTATGAAAAAGTTATTCCAATTAGAGGAGGTTCCAGTGGGAATGAATACGACATATCAATGATGAGCCAGGGTTACGACCAATTTATTACAGATAGGGGAATAATTGATGATAGGGGAGTACAGGAAAACGGAATGATGGATGAGGAAGAGTATGATGATGAGTTTAGTGATGATATTTTCACTATGAGTTCTGTTAATGGGTCAAAAGTTGGGTTTAAGTCTAAAATAGACCAAAAAGGTTATTTATGGATAGACTTATTATCTTCAGGCTATTTGAATAGTAACAAAAATACAGGAAATCATTTGCAATTTGGAAAGGTGGTTAATGATTCCGATATCGGTGTAATTATTGGTGATTTAAGTAACTTAAAGCTTTGCTCTTTAAATAATTCTGCGAAATCGTCTTCTGGATCTTTTGATGGAGTTGGAGAAACTAGAGATTCTGCTGGAGGTTTTATAATAAGAGGGAAAAATACTAATTCTCTTAGTAGTAATCTAAGAGGAGGGGTTAGTAACTCTAGTAAACATACTAAGTTCCAGTTACTACGTGAGATGAATGTTCAGAAACTAAAATACATATTTACATTTTCTACCAGGAATTTAAGAACTCCGGATATTGATACAGCTTTAAGGGATATCCATTCTTTAGCTTATAAGGTATTTGATGCTCAAGTTGCTTTATTGATTCCCATTTTTGGGAGGAAAAATGTATTAACTTTTGGTAATGCTCACTCTTCAATTAATGATGATTTAAACATTATCAGTGGTGGAAATGTGATCTCAAAAATTGGTAGCTATGATGATTATACATTCAGTGGAAGCTTAACTATGTTTGAGAGGCAAGGAAATGAGTTAAATGGTATCGTTAGATCTGGATTATTAAACAGAAACCCCTCTATTTCTTCAAATTTACAATTAAACTTATCCAACTCACATTTAAACGGTTCAAGCTCAAATTTCATAAATTCTGGGATTAACAACAGTATGATAGCTAACTCAGGAGGAGGAAATGGTCTTAGTATGAATAATAATGGGTTAAATAGTATTAACACTGGAGGAGCAGGAGGAGGAGGCGATTCTATAGGAATTAAAAATTTATCATCTCAGAACAAAAACTCTGATGATACAACCAAATTTTTACAGCTAATGAGAATTCTACATAACGAAATTAGACAGGATATTTGGATCTTATTTAACCATATAATAGGAAGGTTGTTTGACAGAAGTAGAGTTAAGAAAGGAGCTGACCACTTTTTGGACATAGTTTATCCAAAGTTAATAAGGAGAAAGGCTGCAAGAATAGTAAATGTCTTTTATGGACCATCTTTAAATGAGATTTCTGTTTCAATACATGATTACTTTGTATCCGCTCCTCCAAAGACTGCAGCTCAAGTTGTTGATGCCTTAAAAGAGTACAGAGTAGAAAATCAACGTAATGTTAAGGATACACTTGAGATAATATCATTATCTCAAGGAAATGCATCATTACAATTTCAAGTATCTCTAATAACTAAAGCTCTATATGCTTTAAGTGTATTAAAAGATACTGATGTTGAAATGCTTACTGTGGATATACCTTGGAAAAGATCTCATACTTTAATTACTGAAGAGGTATTAATCTTACCAAGAAATCATCAAGGAATGAAAGTGATTCTCGGGGCAATTCAGACAGTATTGAGAAGAGCTAACTCTATTACAAGTTCAAGATCTGGGGGTACCTCAGTATCAAATTTCTCTAATAATGACCATAATATCTCCTCTTCAGTAGAGAACCAAAGTGATAAAAATAAAATTCATCATAGAGAAGTAAAAACTAGTGTAGAAGTATTTCATTCAGCTTTAGTTGATTCAAAAACAAATGAAATTAATGGTATTTTGAAAGGAGGGGGAGCCACTGTTAATGGAGAAACTGATGGAGGAGGTGGAATTGGAGTTTCATCGTCAACTTCTAATACCAGTGAATTTACAGAGACGACTTTAGAACAGGTAATTCAAGTTATAGTATCTCAATATCTTTGGATGGATGCTTTTATATTCTTAATCCGACTATGTGGGATCGATCTATCAACAGACCGTCTTCCAAGTGTAACTTATGACAACTCTGTGAGTTTAACAAATCTTAACTATATAGAAGAAAGAAATCTTCAACATGTAAATAGTGTTTTCACAAAGTTAAGCAATGGAAGTGGTTTTTTGCCCGTTGAACTATCAGATTTGGCATTACAAACATTAACAGAAAGATGTTTAAATTTTCCTGGTTTATTGGTTTCTTTACATTTCTTGGGTTTAATAAGCAATAATATGCTATTAATGGGATCAGGTGATCCTTTAGAGAGATTAAGTGAGCTTGGATTAGGTCCAAATATTAATGTTTTTCACATTCACAAGAATACCAACTTTAATAATATTATTTCAAACTCAATAAATGGAGGAACTGTAGGATCTTTTTTAACTAGTCAAAGTAATATCTTTGGTTCTTCAGTGAATGAAAAAGGGTTAGGCCGAGGCGGAGACTTTGGAATTGGAAATTTGGATGATATAGGATTTGGTTTAAATGGTATGGCAGAAAAGGATTTACCATTTTCAAACTCAAATTATGGTGGATTTGGAGGAATGACTTTAGAAGATAAATTCTTGAACAAAATAATTCAAGAAAAATGTTCAAATTATGGGGAGTTACTAGATTGGACTTTGCTGAGTAATATTAAAGGAATACCTGAGGATGTAGTAAAAGATTTTCACAAATTAGCAGTTTTAAGATGTGGATTTATTGGAAGATCTCAGTTACATGAGTTTATCAAAAAACACAAAAGTTTATACATACATAAGTCTGATAATTCACAATTAAATATTGGAAATAAGAATCTAGGTGATCAGAAAGTTAGAAAGAACGAAATTGAACAAAACAAACTTTTGTTCTTTAGTAGATCACAAAGTAATAACTTTAATCAATTAAATGGTACCTTAGCTATCAGTGAACTAGATAATGTAGAAGTTGGTTTTGGGGGTATGAATAACAATAAAGTGATAAACAAGAATCAAGAAGATTACTTTGAGAAAATGACTGGGAGTAGTTCTAATATGGTAGACTTTAATATATCATTTGATATATTTGATACTGCTTTAACTACTTTAGGATTCTCAAGCCATAAGCTTCAAAGTTATATATTGTGGTTATTACTTTGTTTAAACTTAAATATGGGAAGTGTGAGACCATTTGTTAATGCTTCTTTGGCAAGAGATTTCATCATTATGGTTTATCTTCAGCCAATATACAAAAATAATGACGAGGGTGAGTATTTGAGTGGGAGAAGAGTGAGTGTAATTAATGGAAACAATCATATTAACAATAACAATTCAACAGGTAGTCACAGTAACAATACTAGTGCTAAGAATACTGGCTATGGTGGTACAGGTATTCTGAGAGCAGGGAGCATGTCTGGTAATAGTATGGCTACTGGTACATTCAAATCATCTCTCTATGAAGTTACTGGCCAAAACAAACATTTTGATGCTCAGGATGTACAATCTTACAGAGGATACTTTACCCATGAAATGTTAAGAAGGTTTTTGGCTTTGGCTAAAATATCAATTCCAAATTCTGGGGTTGAATCAATATGGAAAAGCCTCCCAAAAGATCCTCTAAATATCACTCCTTTTATAATACCTTTCAGGAATTACGAAAGAAATATGGAAAGAGAAGAAGAGGAAGAAAATCACTGCAATTTTACTGATAAGGATGAATTAGCTTTGAAAAATATGGAAATTAATGGTGTAAATAACTTACATAGATTAAGGAGAAGTAATGAAGAAGAAAATTGCATGGATGAGGAAGAGGATGAAGGAGAGGATTCTGGATTTATTAGTAAAGAAGAGCATTTTGGTAATAATAATCGTGTATTTGAAGATGAACCTTATCTTGGAGGTTTTAAAGAGAAGGGAGGTAGGCATAAACACAAATTTAAATCTGCATATATAATGGACTGTGAGTTAAGTTCCTCTAGAAAAAAATTCTCAAAAAGAATTTCAATAGGAGGAAGATTCAAGAAAGAAAAGAAAAATTTAAATAACTTAAATAAATTTGATGATTCTTTGGAGAATATGGAATCTTACATAAGGAAGAGTAAGACAAGAAATAATCTAAAGGAATCTGTACATTTAAGAATACTAATGGATCCAACAGGAATGGATCCAATGGAAGGAGTTGTTATAAATATTGATTCAGTGAGAAGATTACTTCCAAAAAAATTAATGACAGGATTATGGCCAGAAGCAATTAAAGTAGTGTTGAATATTGGTTTACATCTAGAAAAGCCAGATTCAGCAGTCATTGAAGCAACATCTAAATGTTTGGAGTATAGTAATAGATATGGTCTAATACGTCCAGGAGATATGGTTTCAATATTAGCAGCTTTAAGTAAAGAAGGTTTATCTTTTGATTTACTTTGTGAACTATTAAATAATATGAGAATTCAGCTTCCAGTAAGAGAAGTAAAGAGAATGTTTGATTTAATGGATTTAAACCAGGATAAATCATTAGATTTACAGGAGTTATTAGATGGATTTGAAGTGCTTTTTGGATTATTCTTGCCACAATTAGTACATGATCATGTAGGATTAAGTTATGAGAGACAAGGATTAATAATAATGGCAACATCAGCTTCTTTATTATTATTTTGTATTTTTGTAGGTATAGCAATAAAAACTTTTGAAGGTATGAGAAATGAATTAAGTACTGCAGTACAATCAGTACTTGCAATTGTTGGTGCAGTTGGACTACAAACAGGAGCTTCTCAAGATAGTAAAGAGATTGAGGAAAGAATGAAAGAGAGAATTGAAGACATTATGGGAGGAGATATTGAAACCTCAATATCTCAGATTGAATTGGGTGGGGATTCTCAATATTCTTCAAATAATGATAATATTATAGTTTTAAGAGAGAAGAAATCAAGTTCGAGAATAATAAGCAAGAATAAGAATTACAGTGGAGGAGGTGTTGGTAGTAGTAGTAGTAGTGGTAGTGGAGGAGCAACACCTAATGGATTAATGATAATTACAGAAAAAGGTCCAATATTAAAAATTGGTTACTCGCTTCCTAGCAAATTTAGATCTGATATTAATGATCCAAGGCCATGTATTACATTTTACAGCCAAGATCAAGTAAATCTCGAGCCAATATTTTATTGTACTAAAGGAATTATTAATCAACAACATAATATATTTATAGAGGATGATGTTAGCAAAAGATGGTGTATTAAGCCTGCATTACCTAAATATACTGGATTAACCTTTTCAACAGAAACTGGAATAATTTATGGAACTATTCCAACTCACACTCAAAACAAGATTGGATATATAAAAAGAGTCTCTCATCTAGAAAGTGATGATAGAAATTCTTCTATAATTAGAAATTCCGTTGCTAGTATAAGTGGAGGGTCTAACTACAATATTATTAAAACTATTTGTAACAATAATAATGGTCATAACAATAATAGTATTATTGGAAGTATAAATGGTGGAATTCACAGATTTCAAAAAAGACATTCAAATAACTTTAAAAGTTCTTCAAATGAATCTGATATTAGTTTAGGATGTTCAGGAGGAGTTGGAGCTGAAGGAGATATACCTGCCAAGGATTTATTAAAAAATAACAAGTATCAAGAGAATGTAATGATGCCATATGGAGGAGGTCAGTTAGTACAAATGAATAGAAAAACTTTCACAATTTACTGCATAATAAGTGAGTTGGATGAAAAAGTTGTCTTCAAAACAAGAGTAACTTTCCAGATTATTCCAAGAACAAGAACTGAAAAAAACTGATGTGGAATATGTTTTGAAGTTCTATGTATATTAAGATTCTAAAATTAAGTAATACTCATATATACCTATTCTGAAAACAATTTGATTGATCCAGATCATATTATTACTTCCAGAACTGCAAAGTTTAATAGAAGACGAATTAGTAGAGGATGATAAAGGGAGTTTAGATGCAAGGTAATCTTTAAAACTATAAGTTTCAAGTATGTTGCCAGAACTGATATATGAATTTTGATAATTAGTATTGCTCAAATAGAGATCTGATTTTTTGATATAAAATAGGGAGATATGGAAAACTCTTTCAGAATAAAGTGGCTGTATGCCTAAATCAACACAAACTTGATCAATCATTTCAATAATAGGATCCAAGTAAGTGATTTTGCTTGCATTATGAACTTGAAGTGCTACAAAAATACCACCATTAATGGTGGTATTTTCGGAATATAAAGACGTATTTTTCAAGATAATAATAGAATCATAATCTAAAAAAATATAAAAGGATTTTAATTTTGTTTGAATTTTAATTTTTTGTGATTTTAAAACAATTTCTGGAATTTCATAGTTTACTTGACAGTAATTAAATTTCTTTATAATGTTTTTTAGAAATGAGAAGGACAATTTTTTACTTATATGATGATTTCTAGTTAGACTTAAATGTAGTCCAATTTTTTTATTGACTATGTAGTTTTCATTTAAAATTAGATTAAACTCAGAGTTAGAAGAAATATTGGTAATAATAGAATTATATTCTTTATTACATAAAGTTTGTCCATCATGAATTTTCTTAGTTTCTGGGAAATCAAAAGTTGGATATATTTTAGGTTGATCAGAAGTAATACCAATTTTGTAATATACATTTTTATATACTTGGGTTAACTTATTTAGTGCAAATATAATTAATAGCTCATTATAATTTAATTTCCCAATTTTTATTTCTGAATTTTTTTTTGTAAACACGTCATCAAAATTCAATTTTATACACATAATACATGTGAAGTAATTACGTATTTTTGATTTTGCTATATCTTGAATATTAATATTTGGAGTGTAATCATTTGAAATTTGTTGGTTTTTAATCTTTAAATCTTGTATGCTATTGTCATTTTCATATTGTTCTTTCTTTTGTTGATGTTTTTGGTTTTCTAGCAGTAATTTTTTTCCTTTGCTTAGCTTTCCTTTAACCTTAATTAGAGATTTGATTGCTTCAATTTCGTTACTTAACGTAGAAGAATCAGAAATTAGTGGGAAATTGTTTTGATATTTATTTATGCTACTTTCCTTTTTTTCATTTTCACTCATTTGAAAACTCTAAATATGTTTAAATGTTTTTAATTGACTTTTTTACATGATTACAAATAAACTTGAAATAAAGCCCGCCATTCGAGACCCATCATTTGGTGGTATTAAAAATAAAGTTGAAGAAGCTTTATGGAGAGGAGGATTAGCCTTACGCAAGGGGAGATATCGTTACAAATGACGCTCAGCGGATGTGCGATTTCTGCTAGTTGAAAACTACACCAATTTAAACTTCTATTATTCTATTCACCAATAGATTAATGGCAATTTCTGGGGCCCTCAAGGGCTACAATAAAACCAATGTATCACTTACCTGTCCACTTTTGTCCTGATTTCCCCCCCTAGGTTTTTATATGCCGTTCCCTCTACATCCGAGTTTACTCTCCGCTCTTAGGACATTGACACGTAACTCTGTTCTCCGCACCTGCATGTGGACGCACGCAACAACGGTATTGCAGTATTTCTTGCATGCGAGCAGAAGGGCAGAGTTGCATGCGAACAAAAATACACAGGAAGCAAACGAAAAGACAAGAAAACAAACTACGAGAATCTAGATTAAATGATACATTAGTTTTATAGTATTCGGAGTGTTGAAACTCCCCAAATATTATGACCTGGTAGTTACTACCAAGCTGATGTGACACGGCAATCTTTAGTAAAAGGCGAAAGATTGGTACGAGATATCACATCAGTACGGTGTAGCTTCCTGTGAATTTAAAAACCAATAATAATTTATAAACACGTCTTAATGATGGTTATAAATGGGCGGGGTTTCACATTTTATTTATTTAAAATAAAAAAAAATGGTTGAGAAAATCACAAAAAAATTATGAATACAATAATAAATAAATGGCGGGCAAATTTGTATGTCATTTAATGACAAATATAAAAAGAAAAAGGAAATTTAGGCTTAAGAAGAGATAATATTAGAGGAAAAGAAAAGTTGAATTCGACAAAAGGTTACAATATTAAGTACTTTTTTGGTATTTAAAGCTAAAAATCCTTAAAATTTATGTAAATATTTGATAAATGCAAAAGAGTTTTAAGTAAAATAAGTAGTATAGACGTGGAGAAAATCGCAAAAAAAAGAAGAGGAAGAAGAAAAAGCTTAATAATGTCGTTGATAGAAAGATCAAGGATTATATTAGAGGAGGTTAAAGCCAGAGAACAAGAGATTAGGTTAATCATTAAAGATACAAATTATGAATTTGGAATAAATTTAAAAGATGCAATAAATAAGTTAGATAAAATATTCTCTACTTTGGATGGTAGCCAGTTACAAAATACGGAGTTGATTTCAAGAATTTCAATGCTTTTAAGAAGGATGGTGTTATATTCAGAAATTGGAGATATTATTTTAGAGAGGTTTCCTGTTATAATTTTTGGTTTAATTGAAGATGTTTTTAAAGATGGGATAGAATATAAAGAACATGGTATTCTTGAAACATCATATATAAGTAGGTATTTATATTTGATGGTTTCTTTGTTGGATTTACCATATTTTGTTGATAGCTTTTCTTTATTTTGGTGTAAAGAAGAAGATAGAAAAAGAGAATTATTGTTATTACTAGAAAGTGTAGCGGAATTATTGTCAGGGTTAGGAAAAATTGAAGAACTAAATAAGGAAGAGATTTTAACTAAAGTGAGAGATTTAATGACAATAAACTTACTATGGGAGAGAGTTGTTCCTGTTAGAGAATACTTGAAAGTAAATCACAAGCTTTATGAAATTATAGAGAGATTTATGCACAATCTTCAAAATTACAAGGAATTGAATAAAACTATCAAGTATTTGTTTTTAAGACTTTATTCAAATGTAGTTCAATTGGGAGAAGAAGGTAAGATTAAGCTTTATCGGCAAAATGATGTTCAAGATTTATTAATTTCAATCCAGATTAACCAGGAATATGCTGATAAAGATCAAATGGACTTGTATCTGCAATATTTTATTTTTAATAAGCCTCATTTAACTGCTTTTAGTTTGGTATTTAGTAAATCTAACATAGAAGTAAATGGTGGTTTTAAAAAAGATATACGATTCAATCAGGCAACACAAAATCAAATAATTACAACAAGTTTCGATGAAATGGACTATAAAACTAAAAATCAAGCCATTATAGAAAATAAAACCATAAATAGAAAAGAAAGTACTATTTTGGATATTTATGATGAAGAGGTAATCAGTAATTTAAAGGAATTGGCTCTTTCAAGTATATTAACAAGAAGTTCATTAATATTTCTTGAGAGTATTAATAATGGATTACAAATTTATTTTAATCTGATTGATCAGATTAAAATAAGTCATTTTGAGAACAAACATCAGTTTAAGATTGTTAGACTGTACTTGGATAATAGTGTGGATAGTAAATCTTTGTTGGGTAATTGGGTAGTTGGAGATAAACCAGGAGAATTTAAATGGGAATATGGAATTTTGTCTTTATGTCTAATAAATGGTGATTGGTTGCTTATTGAAAATATCCAAGATGCACCAAAGGATGTAATTATTAAATTGAATGAAATATCAGAAAAAATCTGTCAACCTTTTGTAAATGGGTGTAATATTACTCAAACAAGAATTCAAGAAACCCATTATTTCGAGTTAAGTGAATTTAACCGTAAGATAAAAATACATCCAAATTTCCGTATATTTGCCAGTTGTGTATTCTCAAACTCAAAAAATCATTTGAATAACAATAATTACATCAATAAAGACAAAAATGAAAAATTGGAAATAATTAATCCTATAGAATACATAAATGCTGATGTTTTGAGACTATTAAACAATGACAAATGGAATATATGTAGTATCCCTACACCAACAAACAAAGAATTAAGAAGAGGAATTGAAACAAATTATGAAAATTTATTTCCAATTAAGGAGGAATTATTAGAATCTTTTACTAATTTGGTAAGTTTTATGAACAACCCAAGCAACTTTTCTGAAAATAGTATAGCAAAATCTTTGAATACAAGAAAACCATCTTGTAATGATTTCTTTAAAGGTTGTGAAAGCATTTCTAAGCAATATTTTTTCGAAAACAAAGATTGTAAAAATAATGGAGATAATAAAAACTTTACATTTTTGAATGAAAAACTCAGAATGAATATTTCAATGCTTTTTGGTAGTATTTTAGTGGATCATATATCACTTAAAGGGTACCGTAATCAATGCCAGGCTGAAATTTCAAGATCTTTTGGAATTAACAGTAAAGAATCCGAATATTATCTCAAAAATGGAAAATTTGATATCCATTTTATTAATAAAGGAGAACAATCAAGAAATATTTCTTCCATTAACATTTTAAACAAAGAATTAAACATTGATATTAATATTAACTTACTTAGAGAAAGTTTTAGAAACTCTGTGGATCCTTCTTCCTCCAGATTAGTACTAAAAACAACTCAACAGGATGATTATAAATATCTAAATTATACTTTTACAAGCATTCATTCAAAAATAATGTTTAAAATAATTATGTCAATTTACAATAATGAAAATATTTTATTAGTTGGTGATACCGGTACTGGTAAAACTACTATTATTCAGCAATTACATTACATGTTATATGGTACTAATAAGAGTTATATAAACGAACATTTAGAAGAAGGAGAGGATAAATTTTGTGAATTATTAGTATATAACTTTAATGAACAAAGTGAGAGTAGTGATATAATTGGATCTTTTAGACCAATTAATATTTACAATGAAGTAAAGTTACTTTATGATGATTACTTGGTATTATTGGAAAAAAGTAACATCAGTAGAAAGAAGAATGAAACAATTATTAATTATTTATTATCGCTTTTAAAAGAAAGAAAGTGGGAGAAGTTTATTAATAACTTGATTATTATTATTGATAAGTTATTAAGTGAGTTTGATAATATATTAAAAAATCAAAACAGTAAGAAAATCAAAGAAAAGGATGAGGAGGATTTGGATGGTAAAGACAATAAGAGTAAAATTGATTCTGATATTACTAATCATGATAAAAAGAAGGTTAATAAGAGAACAGTAATTAATATAGAAGACATATGGACCTTAAAGATTTACTGGAAAGATTTAAGACAAAAGTGTCTAATAAAGTTGAAAGATAGTAGAATAAAGAATAGTGAGAATGAGAGACAAAAACATTACTTTGAGTTTTTGGATGGTATTTTATTAAAGGCAATTAAAGAAGGCCACTGGCTAATTTTGGATGAGATTAATTTGGCTTCTATAGATATATTACAGAGACTAATTCCAATATTAAATAGAGGAAGCTGTAGAAATCACCCTCCTGAAATTGAAATAATTTGCAATAATACCAATTTTGGGAAAAAAAATCGATCAAAAACCCAAAATAACAAAACAAATGATTCAGATTACCTAATCATACCAGAAAAAGGAAATGAAATGATTAAAATACATCCCAGATTTAGGCTATTCTCTTGTATGAATCCTGTTTCAGTTCCAATCGAACAAAAAGAACAGACAACCACTAGTAAAAAAGATGAATTTCAACTAATACAAATAAAATCCACTAGTGGTAAAAAGGAATTACCCCAGCTAATTAGAGCTCTCTTTACGGAATATTTTGTGGATGAATTAACTGAAAGAAAAGATTTGGAGGATGTTGTTTATAATTATCTTAAAGATGTTTTACTTACAAATCAAATTAATATTTCTACATTGGTGGACATTTACTTGGAGCTTAAAAATATGGGAAATAAGCATGAAATTACTATAGGACTAGAAGGAAATGGACATGGGATTCCAAATTTCTCACTTAGGACTTTTTCAAGTTGCCTGAGCTATATTCGAACAATATTAATGTTACAAGGTAATTGGAGAAGAAATCAGAATAAACTCAAGCTTTTAGAGTTTATTGGAGAAGATAACAAAGAGAAAGATAATATTCATGTAAAAAATGGGAATTCTATAATACAAAATGCTATATTAAAACAAGAAATTTCTGAAATAATACATAATGGTGTAATGATGAGCTTTGCTACTCCTTTAGTTAGTGATTCTTACAATAAGGTGGATAAACTGACTAGGAGGATTTTAAAAATGAGTTTAAAAGAAGTTTCAAATGGTAAGATTTCTTCATTTATAGAATCTGGAGGGAAAAAAAATGTTGATATGGGTTTTGTTTCATTCTCAGCTCCAAGATTAGGTTCTGATGAAAACCAGTTACTTTTATCTAACAAAGTAAATTTTATTAATTATATATTAATAACTGATTATATAGTAAGAATGGGTATTTATAATAAGAATTTCAAATTGAGTAATGTAATTAGTAATGATTTTGTAATAACTCCATATGTGGAACAGAATCTCAGAAAGATATTAAGAATTTTATCTGGGTCAAGAAACCCTATATTAATAGAAGGAGAGACTTCTACAGGAAAGACTTCTTTAATAAAATATGTATCAGAACTAACTAATCATAAATTTGTTAGGATCAATAACCATGAACATACAGATACAGAAGAATATTTTGGAAAGTTTGTACCAAATAGTCAAGGAGAGTTGGAATTTGTTGAAGGTCCTTTGGTTAATTCTATAAGAAATGGATACTGGTTAGTATTGGATGAGTTAAATCTTGCTCCTAGTGAGGTATTAGAGTCTTTGAATAGACTATTGGATAGTAATAGGGAGATATACATTCCAGAGACAGGAGAAATAATTAAAGCTCATGAGGATTTTATGTTATTTGCTACACAAAACCCAGCTGGGAGTATATATGGTGGAAGAAAAGTACTTTCTCAGGCTTTCAGAAACAGATTTGTAGAAATTTACTTTGATGAAATTCCAAGCAAGGAGCTGGAGATTATTATTTCTAAAAGGTCAAATATTCCAGTTTCATATTCTCAATTAATGGTTAAAGTATTTATGGAGTTAAAAACACATAGATCCAAATCCCAAATGTTTTCAGGTGATTTTAGTTTTGTTACTGTGAGAGATTTATTGAGATGGGGAAACAGGCTAGTATATAGTAAAAATAATATATTGGATAAAAAGAACTTGGTTATACAAGGGTTTTATGTAATTGGTGAGAGAATTAGAGATAAAGAGGAGAAACTACAATTGGCAGAGATTCTGTATAATATATGCAAACCATTTGAGATTAAAAGTATTGAGGAAATTGTTAATTATAGTACTTATCATATAAGTAGTTTAATTGAAGATAAAGATGATGAAAGGTTGAAAAAGAAAAGGAGAAAGGAAGATACTACAAAGGATGGCAAGAATAATGATATTACAAAGAAATGTATTATATCTATTGATGATATTGGTAATTCGGATAAGAATTTATTAAGTTTAAAAAATATTATCAATAGTAATGGAGACTATGTATTAACAGATTCATTCAAAAGAATGCTTACTTTGGTCAATGATTGCATTGTATTTAATGAGCCTGTAATATTAGTAGGATCAACAGGTTGTGGTAAAACAAGCATTTTCCAGTTATTATCTACTCTATATAAAAAACAACTTTATATAGTTAATTGCCATCAACAAATAGAAGCATCTGATATGTTGGGATCACTTAGACCCATTAGAAGTAAAATCATGAGATTAAACCAGGAATTGAATAATTTTAAAATTGAGTTATTGCGAATAAATGATAGAATTATCAGTAATACTAACTATATTCAACAAGAATTTGGTAATTCAATCAGTGTTATATTATGTAAAATTGATAATTTAAATAGATTATTAGATGAATCAGGAACAAGTAATTCAGAACACAAGATTCAATATAGTGAGAAAAAGCAAAAAATTCATTGTGAAATTTCTTCTATCACAATCATGATAGAATCTATTTTGGAAAAGGTTCAAAATTGTGATTTTCCTGAAATTCTTTTATTACTTGATAATATGCTTAATGAGCTGAGATTGTACGAAAGTGGTGAATCACAAAAGGAACAGGCACTTTTTGAGTGGCAAGATGGACCAATAATTAAAGCAATGAAAACTGGAAGTTTTTTACTATTGGATGAGATTAATCTTTGTGATGACTCTGTAATAGAAAGATTGAACTCTTTATTGGAAGATCATTATATCAAATCTGAATTTGGGTTATCTTACAAATCTAGAGTTATTTATTTAACAGAAAAAGGTGGAGTAGAAACTCTTAATGGGAATGATGATTATGTAATTTATTCACATAAAGATTTTCGGATATTTGCTACAATGAATCCAAGTGGAGATTATGGTAAGAGAGAATTATCCCCAGCTCTTAGAAACAGATTCAATGAAATTTTTGTTCCATCATTATCAATGTATCAGCTTAGGGATGATATTGAGTTTTTGATTTTGAGAAATGTAAATAAATTATCAGAAGGAGAAGTTTCTTTAACAAATAAAAAGATGTTATCAAAATGTATTATAATGTTTTCAATTTTATATGAGAATGATATAAAGAATGATCAGATTCTTAAGATTAAAACTTCAATCCTAGATCAAGAAGTTAGTAATTATTTTAATTTAATGATAGAAAATGGTAGTATTCAACTATTCAAAGAAGAGAATAATCATTTTATAAGTTTTGGAGGTGAATCAGGAAATAGCTCAGATGTTAAAGAGTACACAATAAGAGATATCATATCATGGTGTCAATTTATATGTAATAATTTCCAAGAAATTTCCAATTTTTATAACTCCAATAAGGATAATGTCATTGATTATATAATTAAAAATGGAAATATAAAAGAATTGATTAATTTGAAAGATAATTGTGGTATTGATAATAACTACTCAATAGAGAGTATGATTTTAGTCACATTGGTTTTGGGAGAGCTTTTTATTCAAGGAGCTAGTATGTTGATTTTAGATGGAATAGATTGTCAGAATATACAAGATAATGAAGAAGAAGGGTTTAACTTATATTTAATTTACATGGAAAGATTGATTGAAATTTTTTACACGTATCTGATAATTCCAAGTTTTAAAGAAAATAATATTGAAATTAGCAAAATTATTAAAGATATTATGATTTTTAGATTTCTAAGTGATCATGGAAATAATTGGATTAAAGTTGGAGGTGGAAGAGTTTTTAAAAAAGAATCAAAGAAAGACCAGAATGAGTTTTCAAGTGAGAATCAAAACAAATATTTGGTAATAACTCAAGATTACATAGAACTTGGTCCATTTAAAGTTAAGAGAAAAAAAGACTCAAACGAAGACGAAGAAATAAATTGCAATGTCAATATGGATATTGAGAAAGTTATGAAAAAGTTCACTTTTGATTCAAAGACTACTTTGAGAAATCTTTCAAGTATTATTCGTTCAATGAGTATTATGAAACCAATATTATTAGAAGGAGCTCCTGGAATTGGGAAAACTGCAATTATACTTAACTTATCCAGGTTAGTTGGAGTTAAACTTCATAGAATTAATATGAGTGAGCAAACAGACTTTTCGGACTTATTTGGATGTGAGGTACCAAATAATGAGTCTAGAGACCAAAATCAGAACAAATATCAAGATCAAAGTAATAATTCTAAAAACCAAAAACAAGAAGGGAGATTAATTAATTGGATAGATGGAATATTACTTTATGCGATGAAAAATGGAGACTGGGTAATTTTAGATGAGTTAAATTTGGCAACACAACAAATATTAGAAGGTTTAAATAGTGTTATGGATCACAGAAGAAATATATATATACCAGAAATTGGTCAGACAATTCTTTGTCATGAGAATTTCAGAATATTTGCCACTCAAAATCCTGTTAAAATGGGAAGTAGTGGGAGAAAAGGATTACCTCAAAGTTTTTTAAATCGTTTTGTTAGAATTAATGTTGGAAAGTTGAATTACGAAGATTATTTGGTTATTTGTAAATCTCTTTTTCTAAATGATAGTAATAATTTAACTGATGACATAATTAATTTGTGTATTGAAATAACACAAGAAATTGAGCTATTTAATACGAATATCAGAACTTTAAAGGACGGAAGTATATGGGAATGGAACTTGAGAGATATTATAAGGTTATTAAGATTTGTCAAATTGAATTTAGCAAGAAATCTGAATCTGAAAGATGAAAATAACAAGATTAGAAATATACTTGTATTTAATTCAATATATTGTTCTTTTGAGACAGTATATTTATCCAGATTAAGAACAAGAGAAGATTATTATGATATTAAAAGCATAATTGATAGAAGATTAAAAGAAAAGATGGGAGAATATGAGAAAGAAAAGTCTCAAATTTTAGGTATAGCTAATAATATCATTGATCAAAGTATTCTAGATTATATTAATAATGGTGATGGTAGTTTTAAAAAGATGATTATTTTTCAAGATTACTTGAAATCTTATATACTTAATGATGGTATTAAATTAATTTATAAGGATAGTTATGGTTTATCAGATCATTTCAAGGATTTAGATTTGAATATATTACCAATCAATTCAAAAAAGAGGATAATTTCAATTATAGATTGCATATTACTAGGAGAAAATATAATTCTAACTTGTAATAATGGTGCTCAAATAGAAGAAGTAATTTCATCTATAGAAAATATCTCCAAGAATTACTTTCAGAATATAAGAGTAAATAAAGTGAATATATTACCTTCTATAGATGCAAATGATTTAATTGGAGGTTATCAGCAATATAATGAGGAGAATATTATAAATGAGATATTGGATTTGGTTTCAAGTTTAAGAGTAATAGATTTCGATATTTCTAATTATGAATTAGGGTTAATTAATAAAGATTTAATTGAAGATAATCAGAGTAATAATATGAATAAAAAGCTTTTAAACAGGTTAAATTTGGCAAAGTTGAATAACATGTTAAATAAAGGAAACGAGAACTTTGTTTTGGAATTGAGAAATTATTTGAATTTTTTTAAAGATATTAAGACAAAAATAACTCCTATTGGTATCTTGGAAGAGATTGAAAGCAAATTAAATGCTTTTGAGTTAACCAAAAATAAGAGTAAAATTGAGATATATGAAGGTCCAAAATTCAATTTCACATTTTCAGCTTTGATTAACTCAATAAAGAATGGAGATTGGTTAATTATCACTAATATTCAAAATTGTTCATCAGCTCTGTTGGATAGATTAAACTCCTTATTAGAAGATAAAGAAAATGATTTATTTATCATAGAATCTGGAATACCTCAATATGTTAAAAGGCATGAGAATTTCCGTCTTTTTTTTGTAAACGACTATAATATTCAAAATAAATACATAAGTAATGCTTTAATCAATCGTTGTATTGAGATATTTGTAGATGATGATGAACACCATCATCATTATAAAAAGCATGAAAGCAATTTGAAAGAATATGAGGAAATGGATTCTATGGAAGTGGAGTCTATTAAGAAGGAATTTAATGATTTAAAACAAGATCAAATCCATTTGAAAGAAATTCTGAAACAAGTTTTATTTGGAACCAAATTTACTGAGCCTTTAGAGGAGAAACAGATTGATTTATTGTCTAAATCTCAAAGTCAAGTCATAGAGATAGATGATGGAATTCAAAAAGTGATTAAACAGAAACTACTTATCAGTTTATTTGGCTGTAAGAAATGTATTGAAGAGTTAATAGTAACTATAGTTGAGAGAAACAAAAGTTATAATCGTCAAGTACTAGATTTTGTTAAAATTCACAATGTTAATCACTTTATGAATAATAATACCAGTTATTTGGATTTTTGTTCAAATTTCGCAATATATTTGGCTGCCATCATTATTTATGGTATAAATAATTACATTCTAGAAAAAGTGATTAAAATAAATAAAAAGCTAAAAAATAATGAAAAATCCTTGTATTCACATTCTGATAGTTTATGTATTCTTAATAAAGAGGAATTTCAAATTATCACAAAAAACTTTACTAAAGAACAAATACAAATTATGGAAACTGTGGGATGTGTCAGATTTTTCATTAATTGGATGAGAAATTTACTATTTTCAGTACTAAATAGACCAAGGAAATTGAAAAGAATGACAAAAAGTTATGTATTTTCTGTTATAGAAGATTCTCTGGTAATGTCATTTAAGCAATTAGGATTCATTCAAATTCTGGATACTATTGAAGATGAACATGAAAATCTCCTTAATGATCACTTTGCCAATTTTTACTTATTAATCTTAAAAATGATAGAAAATTCGATATTTGGTCAAGAAAAGCAAAATTTAACTTTAAATAATTCCATTTTTTATAATTTTTACAAATTAAATATTTCAAAGATGATTCCAACACAATTAAATCCGGTATTTAAAGAAATTGTAATTAAAAGATATGATCATATTCATGAAAATTATAGGGATTTGGTTGGAATTATTCTAAGAAAACCAAATATAGAAAAATCTGAATATTGGATGGATTTAATACACATTCATTATTTTTTTGTTATTCATTTCAGAGATATATTAAATAGTGAAAATATATATGGAAATATATTATATTTGAAAGTTTTATTAAAGGAAATCACCAAAATGGATGACTATATTAATTACCATAATATTAAAGTTAAAGTTTTATACATCAAATCAATTCTAATGGTAGTTTTAAGATTATTTGGTATTGATCTTAAAAAAAATCAATATTTTGATTACTCAGATAAACTAAATCACAATGAAATTATTCTAATAGAAGAATTAAGAAAATATATTCCTATAAGTGATTTTCAAATATTAACAAGTATTTTAAGTTTGGTTTTTAGCCCATTAATGAGAATTCAAGAGAAAGATTTAGAAGAAAATGTATTAAAGTATACTAATAAATTCTCATTTACCATTAATAATATTATTTTGAATTCTGGTATGAATGATCAAAAAGACTTTAAGAATTTAATCAAACAATATATTTATGATAAAAGAAATAGTCAAAATATACAAAACTCTCAAACAAAAAATGTCAATGAATTAACAGGAGGATATATTCAAAATTATTATGCTTTAAACTTTCAAGACAGAGAATCATTAACTGGTTTGTTGAATATTTCTGAGTATTATAATATTAGAAAAACAAAAAAATGGATTTTGGAATATTTAATAAAAGTTCTAACAAGCAATCAAGAAATAAATAAGAATAAAGTTTTGGATTTATTACAACTGTTTGAGTTACTTGAAAATAATATTTTGACATTGGATTTTGAAAAAGAAGATTACAATGATAATAATGATGATGATGGTAATAATAACAATCATATTAATAATAATAATAATAATATTAACAATAGTAATAATATTACTAGTAATAATAATAACACTAATAGTAATAGCAATAATGAAAATAACAATACTCAAGGAAGATTAACATCTAATGAACTAATTCGAATTTTTGATACCAGAATCAAGAATGGAGTTTTCAATAATATTTTAAAATTAATAAAAATAAAATTAAAGGATGAAAACATTATTAAGGATGATCATAACAATATTATCAAAATTATACCGAAAGGTAAAACATACTTGGAGACAATTTATGGATCTGAGATATCTTTCTTGGGAGATGGGGTAATTATTAATAAAGAAAACTTTATCATACAAAAATCTTTAAGAGATCATTCTTCTAATATAGTCAATTTCATGATCAATAAAAAGATTGATGTCAATAATATTCTTCAATACTTTACTCAAGCCCAGTTATGTAATCTAGAATTTTTAGATTCATTTTTTTACATTTCAAGTGATAAAAATGAATTATGGAGACAATTAATTAATCAAATTGAAAATTTTAGAAAAAATCTTTATCAAGGAATAATTTGCAATATTTCATCAGAATTAAAAAATCAACAAAATAAACAACCTGAGGTTATGATACTATCAAATACATTTTTTGAATATTATTTGATGAAACAATATGTGAGATCTCAATTTGAATCAAGTTTGAGAAAAGGAAAAATAGAAAGGGAGAATTTGATAGAATATTTAAATTATTTAAAAGAATTAATACTAAATTCAAATTCTCAATTTAACTCTTATTTAATTAATATAATGATACAAGTAATAAAATTGCTTTCAATTCATGATTCTTATACTCTTTATTTGGATTATTTAAAGAGGAAAAAATTTAATGGTAATAATTTCACTATTCAAAATAAAAAAGATATTGAAATTTTGGAAAATATTAAAAAAAATCATATAATGTCTAGTTTATTAGATTTGGATATTTTTTATGATTTTGAAATTGAAGATTTATTTGATTTGGAAAATGAGATTTTACAAGAGAATTTATTGGTTGATATAATTAAAGAGTCTTTTGTAATGCTAATTAAACCAAATGAAAAGAATACAAATATTCAAGAACAATCTCAAGTTAATTTAGGAAAAAATTATGAACATATTTTAAAACTTGTTATGAAATTTGACACTGGAATTATTAAACTTTTATTTTTAAATTGTATCTATCACAAATTATTTAATTTCAAATTTGAACAAATACTTAATTTAAAAAGTGATTATCTTTCATTATTTTATTACTTAAATAACCAAGAAATTATTTCAAAAGAATATTATGGAAATCAAAATAATCATTATTATTTAAAAAGTAAAGATTATTATATTAAAAGAATTACTGGTTATTTGATTAAAATCATTTTTGATTTTTTAAATTTCATTAATATTAAAGATTCAAGAATTGAAAATATTAATTTGGATAATTTAGTGGATATTATTTTTTCTAATATTAATGGTAATATAAATAATTATGAAAATAAAGATTCTCATAAAGAAGAAATTATTTTAAATATCCAAATAATAACTCAAAGTATTAATTCTGTTAGAATTGAAAATTTACATTCAGAAAATTTATTAAAAATACTTGAAAAATATTTTGGGTTTATTTATATATTGATTACATTTGAAAATAAAAAAAATCAAAGTTGTTATAATAATTATAAGAATATTTCAGAATTTGAAATACTAACAAAAACTTGTTTAGTGGTAATTAATCTTCCTATATATTATCATTGTAGGAATCTATTTTATATAGATGAGAACAATGTTTATAATGAATACAAAGAACAAATTTTAAAAAATAAACAAAACATGGATTATAGGGTTAAAAATCAATATTTAAGTTATTTCCATCATTTTTATTATTTAAAAGAAGAAAAATCTGGTAATATAAATTATATAGAAAAGCATCAAGTAATTAGAAAGCTTAATGAGAATTTGGATGATAAAAAAGAATTTGTTTTACTTAAAATTAAGGAAATAATTACAGAAATTCTAGAAAATGATTTGATTAAAGAATTTATGGATAAAAATAATGAAGAAAAAATATCAGTAAATAATATTGGTAGATTAGAAAATTTGGTAATTATGGTTCAGAATATATTAAGTAAGAATAACTTTGAATTATTTCAAGGAGATTTGAAATACTTATATAATGATATATTTGGTCCAATAAAATTTTTATTAAATTCTTTGTTATATGGTATTATAGGTTTTACTCTATTCAATAAAAATAATAATGTCTCAATAACTAAGTTATTAAGAAATCCAGAAAAACAAAATAATAAAAGTTTAGATATAATTTTGGATACTTATGAATATGAAAATGATTTGGGTTTATTGCCAATATTAATAAAAGATGATATCACAATGATAGAATTATGGAAATCTTTATTAGAAGTTGGTAAGTATATTCACGAATATAATACTGAATTTTTGTCTTTATATAATAAGTATTATCAAGACTTTGAGTATAATGTCCAAAAAACTCATGAAAAGTTAACTGGGAGCAAAAATCATAATCAAGAAGATATAGAAGATTTAAGTGAAGATGAGAAAAATTTGAATAATTTTATTAGTGAAAATCATCTAATTTATAAAAATGACAATATTGATAAGTTTATTGAGAAAAATCATATATTAAATGAGTTTGATTTAATGAATGAATTGATTAGCCAATCTAATAAAGTTTCAACTACAGGATTAGTATCTGGATCAGAAACAGAAACAGAATTTGGAACCAAGTACAACAATATTAAGTATATATGTTTGAAAATTTTAGAAATTATTATATTAAGATATGGATATAATCAAAGTTTCAAACAAGAAAAAGTTAGACAAACCAATGGAATTATAAGTAATGATTATAATGATCAAATGAAAAGGTATATATATTATAATATGACTTATAATGATATCAAAAAAATTAACTCTCAAAATGAAGATGATAATTGTATTTCATTCACTAATGAAAAAGCAAGTAATAATATAATTTGGAAATTTATTATCTTACATTTAAATAATCATAAGATTTTTTCTCAAGCTTCTGGATTAGACTCTGGAAACTACTATCAGCATATTAAAATTCATATTGAAAATGAAATATTTAATATGATGATTAATAGTGAAGAAAAAGCATTTTTTAATAATATTACAGCATCAAATGTAAAAAGTATATTGAAAAATACTGAATTATCTATTATGGTGGATTTGGTTGAAAGGATTCAATTAATGGAAAGATTAAAAAAAATATTGAATCAAGCTCAAGAACTTTTATTGGAATATCATGATCAACCAATATTGGTTATGATTAAAGATATTGTTGAAAAAATGATTTTTATGAATATTCAAAAACTTAACATTATTACTTTAATATGTTATTTGGATATCTTATTAATGAGATTACTTAAATGGCAAGAATATATTAAAGAAGGATTAAATTTAAATATTGAAATCAACAATTCAATTTTAGGAGAAAATATTGATTTTATTAAATATTCAATTTATGAACTAAGAAAATTACAAATTAATTCATGGTTTAATTTAGTATTTAAGATATACCAAAAATATAATTATATGGCATCATTTTCATTTGGTAATATATTAATAATCATATCAAAAATAATGGTTGAATATGAGGAATTTAATCATAATTTAATATATCATGAAATTTTTGATTATTTAAAGAATTCTACAAGAGGAGAATATCCTATTCGATTTTTATTTTTGAGATATATTTCAGATTTGATTATTAATATTTTAGATTATCCAAAAATATCTTCTATTGATTATTTTAATTTGAAAAATAATCAAATTATAAAGTTAACAAAACTCAGTAAAATTTTAATATCTATATTAAATTATGGTGGAATTATTTATAAAGAAATTTTGAAAGATAATCAAAAATTATTACAAGATATTAAGATTGAAATTAGAGATATTATTAAATTATCAATGTGGGAGGTTAAAGATTTTAATAAAATTAAAAAGAATATTTTAAGTATTCAAAAACAATTAAAAAAAAGTCTTTTAAAATTTGATGAAAAATATATGATTAAGGTTAATTTATTAATTAATAATCATCATAATATTGATACAAAAATGACTGGAATGATTAATATATTACCAAAATTAAGTGATTTTATAACAAATTGTGAGTTAAAAGGTCAAGAAGGAATTAGTTATATAATCAAAATATTATCAGATAATAATAATGATGACAAGATGTTGAAACAAAGATATTATAAGACTTTAATAGATATGGATACTTATGATTTAGAAAAATTGATTAATATTAATAATTTTAATGATTTTTATTATATCAATTTGGATAATTATATAAATAATCAACAAGATTATATTAAGATTGGAAATAAATATTCAGATGATAATAATGATATAATAAGTCTTTGTTTTTTAATATTGGATCAATTAAGATTTAATGAGAATAATAAATATAATATGCAATATATAAGCCAGTCTTTAATTAATTATAATAAATTACTTTCAATTGGTAATACATTATTAAATAATTTAATTAATTATTATCAAGAATTTAATAATGAGTTCAATTTTAAGTTTTTAATATATAATTACCTATTAAGTATTAACAAATTGGATAATTATTTAAATTATGGAAATAATTTGAGTGAATTAATGGATTTTAAATTTTGTATTATTAATGAAATTGAGAGTGAGAAATATATTCAAAATAATAAAATAACCTTAAAAGAGTATTTGAATTATTTAATAAAAATTTTAAATCATCTTGAAAGAATTATAATGTTACTTTCTTCTCCATCTTTAACATTAAATAATAATTTTGGTATTATGAGTAACAAAAAGATTCAATTTTTATTAAAAGACAAGTTGAAACATGATAAATATAATCATCAAATTATATCATTTATATTGGATAAAATTATTAACAAAGGTTTATTAAGAATGATTTCTGGATTAAAAAATATGTTTTATATTTCAGGATTAGTCAATTATTATATTAAAAAAGAAGATAAATGTATAATAATGAATTGGGAATTAATGAATGGAATTGAGGAATTTAATAAATGGATTAAAATAGAAATAGAAGAATTAATTAATATAATTAATTTGAATTTTATTAATCTTGGAATATTTGAATTGGATATTATTCAGAATTATATTAATAAATTAGATATTAATTATTTGGACTTTATTGTTGATAATAATTTAATAAAAGAATTAGAATTAAATGATTTATTATGTTTAAATGATTTGATGAATATAATTAAACAAGAAATTCAAAAAGAAGATAATATTTTGATTAAGATATTTAAAATGAATAATGATATAAATATAAGATTAGATAAAATGAAGTCAAAATTTGTATTAGAATATGATTCAAAATTTGAGAATTTGAAAAGTTTATCTGGAGTAACTTTGGAGTATATTCAAGCTTTATATTTACTTTTGGAGAACAATTTCTTTAACTTATGTGAAAAGAAAGAAGATAAAGAAGATGAAATAGATAATAAGGGAGGTGAAAGCAATTCAAACATAGACTGGAAATCAGGATGTGGTTTTGGAAATAAGGATAATGATGACTATCAAAGTAAGGATATTTCAAATGAGTTAAATAATGATGATTCACTTTTGGAAGGATTAAAAGGTGATGATGAGAATGAAATAAAAGATGATATGGAAAATAAGAATAAGAATGAAAGGAAGAAAAATGATGCAATCGATACTGAATTGGATTTGAATTCAAAATTAGAAGATTTGGATGAAGAAGATGAAGAAGGCGAGAATAATGATCAAAATCAGAAAGATAATAATGAGTATGAGAATAATGAAAAAGAGGAACCTGAGAAAATATTTGATAAAGTTGATCTCGAGAAAAAAAATTCAAAGATTGAAGATGTTAAAAATGATGATGAAGAAAACCAAGAAGAGGATGATAATAATAGAAATGAAGTTGAAGATGAAAGAAAGAAGGAGAATATTGAAACAAAAAATTTGAATGAAGAGGAAAGCAATAATAAGAATAAAGAAAAAGATATTGTTGCAAAATTAGGTAAAGGTGAAGAAGAAAATGAAGGAGATAATAATAAAGATGAAAATAATGAGAAGAAGAATGGTATGGAAAATATGGATGAAGAGAGTGAGAAAGAGGATATTAATAGTATGGACAGTGACTTGGATGAATTATTTGAATATGATGCGAAAAATATTAATCCATATACTAACGAGGAAGAGGAGAATAAAGAGGAGAACGAAAATAATGAGAACAACTTTGGAGATGAAAAAGAGAATAAAGATGATGATATTGATATTGATATGGATGATAATATATCAATATCTGATATAGAAGGAGAGGGTTTAGTTGAACAAGAGAATGGAGAATTTGAGGAGGATGATAATGATTTTGATAATTATGGAGATAGAATAGGAGAAGATGAAAATAGTGAAGAAGATGATGATAATGAAATGAAGGTAGATAGATATCAAAGCTTAGGCCAGAACGGTATGGATGAAGATATGAAAGAAGAAGACTATAAGGATCAGGATGAGAAGGGAGGAGATGATTTAGATTCAAAAAACAATTTAAATAAGAAAAAAGGTAAAAAAGGGTTAACAGCTTCTGAAGAGGATTTAAAAGCTGAGGATAAAGAAGAGAGGGAAGATAGACAAAATTTGGAAAATATTAAAAATGAGGATAAAGAAGATCTTAAGATAGATGAAAATAATGGAGACAAGAATTGTAATGAAAAGGATAATGGAGATAATATTGAAAATGAATTTGGATCAAAACAAGAGGATGAGAATAATAAAAAGGGTGAAAATAATGGAAAGGATGAGAGTGATAAAAAAGAGGAGTTAATGAATCCATTATTAGAGGAAAATAGTGAAATTAACAAAGATTGGTATAGTAGTTTAAAAGATTTAATTATTAAAGATGAAGAAAATGAGGATGATATTGGAGAATTTGATCCAAATGATAATAATTCAAATTTCAAGATAGATAAGGACAATAATAGTAAAAGTAATATAATTCAGAATTTACCATCTTTTGGAAATAATGGATCTAATAAAATGGATATTGGAGAGGATAAAGAAAGACAAGAACAGAAGAATTTAGAGAGTGAGATAATAAAACAGGAGAATGCAAATATTGAAAAGTTTGAGGATAATATTGAAAATAGTAATAAAAAAGATCATAGTTCAGAACATTATAATAGTGATAACAATATAATGATGAGAAATAAAATCAAAAAAGAAGAAGAGTTTAGAGATTTATCAGAAAAAAATGATGTTAAGATAGATGATAATGATATTCAGGATACTAATAATGAAGATAGTTTCTATAACAAAAATAGTGATAAATCTAGTGTATTTAATTGCAAAGAATACAATAATACAGAAATAGAAATGAAAGGAAATAATTTAATGTACGAAGAAAAGAATAATAAAGAGGATGAGAAGGAGGAGGAGGAGGAGGAGGAGGAGGAGGAGGAGAAGGAGGAGAAGGAGGAGGAGAAGGAGGAAAATTCTTCTAAAGCAAAGAAAGTTACTAATTTATCATCACAAAGTATGGAAATGTGGAACCGAATCCAGAGTGAGATATCTCCTATTGTAAATTTATTGTCAAACCAATTAAGAATAATATTAGAACCAACAATTAGAGGGAAAATGGAGGGAGGATTTAAAACTGGAAAGAAGTTATCTATGAAAAAAGTAATAACTTACATTGCATCAGACTATAGAAAAGATAAAATTTGGCTAAGAAGGTCAAAACCCAGTAAAAGAGAATTTAATATATTAATGTGTATAGATAACTCACAAAGTATGAGTATATCAAATAATGAGTATATGGCATTACAATCATTATTTATTATAATACAATCATTACAAAAGGTAGAAGTAGGTAACTTTGGAGTTTGTTCATTTACTGGAGAGAATATTAAACAATTAATAGAAATGACAGGCCAAATTAATAATAATGATGCAATAAATATGTTAAATCATTTCAATTTTTCAGAAGAGACTTTGGATTCACACCAAAATAGTATTCCTAATATACTTAAATATTCAACAAATCTACTAAAAGAGTTTAGTAACACAAGTAGTAATAGTAAGCAATGCCACCAACTAATTATAATTATTACGGATGGAAGATTTAATAAATCTAAAGTTAATGTTTGGATTAATTATGCAATTCAAAATAATTGTATTCCAGTTTTGATCATTATCGATAATTACACAAAAAATGATGACGGTAAAGACAATAATAAAAATAGTTCAAGTTCTATTTTTAATATGAAATCAGTGAATAAGGACGAAAATGGAAAGATGATTATTACACCATATTTGGAGAACTTTCCGTTTCCTTATTATTCAGTTATTCAAGATCCAAAGAAGTTACCAAATATACTTTGTGAACTGATTAAACAATGGTTTGAGCTAATATGTAACTAGGTTCTATATTGATTGGGAAATTATATGCATGCAATTTTGCATGCATGGGTGAAAAACGGTATTTATGTATATATGCTACGGCATTAAATAGATGTAATTAATGTTATTTAATAATTTTCAAATCATTAATGTAGCTGTCTAAGCAAAAATATTTGATTTCTATTTCCCTATTTGATTTTTGTTCTTTGTTTTGAGTTGTAAAATTGAATTCAGGATCTTTTTCAATTAAGATTGCAATTACCGCCTTCTTGTTGACTTTATTGGATACCCTTTGCCATAAAACTAAATCTCTAACAGTTAAAATTTGTTTTTTATGAGGATCAATGATATTTAATAGGAATGAGCTGTGGCATGTATCAGGATCATTCTCGTACAAAACAAAATCACAACCATATTTGCTTCCTTGTTGAACATAGTAGCCATATTTAACCACTAAATCATAATAAACTTGTTTGTATATGTTATCCTTATTAGAGAAGTTTTCAGGGTATATGCATTTATTAGGTAAAAAATTGGTCTTTTGTACTTGGTTTTGTTTCAGGTCACAGTTCTGATATTGATTAATATTAGTACTTTTTTCTTGCCTGTAATTTTTAATTAGATCATATTGATAATCCATAATAGCAATAGGTAGTCCAAGATCTATATTCTGTTGGCTGTATCTAGGTAATGTTCCAATAGGGTTTAACAAAATCTTCTTCTTTTTCAACTCTATAAATTCCTTAAAATCCACGGAAAGTTCTGCAACATTATTAATGTCCATGTTAGTATTTGAATGTATATTAAAGCCAAGAATTAATTAAAAAAATATATTGAATGCATTATTTAAAAGTATAAAAATAAAATAAGTTGAGAAGAAAAGAGTTATTCAATTTCCATCTAGTTAAATCAACCTTTTATTTCTATGTTTTTTTTTCACTTTTCTGCTTTATTTATAATACTTTATGAAATTAATGGTTGATATAGATTTTTATTAAGGCGCATTTTTTTTATGCATTTGATTACTTAAATAATAATTATAATTATTAAATAGGAAAAAGAAAGAAAGAGAATTTTTGAATTAATGCAAAGTAAATTTTTAAATTTTAATATCTTTCTATATATAATTATTCACTTTACATTTATTCACTTTCGTCATCTGTAGATTCTTCTTCCTCTTCATCCTTTTCTTCAATCTTTCTTAATAATTGCTTATGTTTTTCCTAAAAATAAGTATAAAATAAAGAAGTTAATTATAACTCACTATATTCCAAAAATGGAATTTTTCTAAATATTAAACTTACAATAGAATCCTGTAATATTACAGATTGTTTCTCATCATAATTAATTCTATCATATGGAGAAATTATATTCAACAATAAATTCTGTTTTTTGGGTTCCATAAATGTCTTTACAACTTCCTGAGTTTCTGATAATATATCATCCAAATTTCCGGATCCTGGCTGTAATACCACTGGATTCTCAACATGTGCTACAATTACTCCTGCATTCTTAATTGCTTCGGGTTGAGTGATTGCAAGTTTTCTCAATTGTTTAATATCTGCTGCTAACGCAAAAAATGGGTTTGTTGAAATTAGTTTTCTTTGTTCTTCAATTGCCCTATGTAAATTAAATTCTATTGCAAAAACATTTCCAATGATTATTCCTGAGATTAAAAACAATATAGATGAAATTATCCTTATATTCAATTTTACCATCTTTTCTTAATTCAAATAATTCTCTATTTTAAAATTATTTTAATATTAAGAAAAAAAAAAATTAATTTTTTCCTTAATATATTTTTTAAATAAATGATTACTATTACGTAATTATTACGTAATCATTTGTTTGCATGCATATAACGGTATTAAATAAATTATTATTTATTATTTTGCATGTAAAAATAATAATTATGTTATTAGCACGTAATCACCGGTATTGGTTATCTATATGTCAGCATAACATGCAATTTCATAATTATTCTTTACTTTCCCCTCCCCTTTTTTTTTTTGTCTGATTTTAATAATTATTTAAAACAAATTGGTTTAGTTATCTTAGAAATGAATGTAAAAGATAACATTCTAATTGAATTGGTTTTTGGTTTTAATTTTATTAAAGTTACTATTATTTTTATTTTTGATTTCTTACTTTATTTATTTTAGTTTCCCCACATGTCAGTTTGACTTATTTCCATGGTAAGTTTTAAATAAACTTTTTTAGGCGGGAACACAAACTTTTTTTTTTTAATATAATTTAAACAGGAAGTATTAAATAATAAACATAATTATTCAATAAAATGAGGGAATTGTTAATGATTTAAAACAAGAAAAATTAGTTTATTAATTTCTAAAAACTGAAAATAAAAATATATAACTATATCTAAAGCACTGTATTTCGCATTTAAATTAAGGATTAATTAATTAAAATGGAAGAAGATACGTTTGAGACTGAAAAAGAGCTTGTGGAAAGTATCAAACAAGAAGCAAATGAACTATTTGCTAAAGGAGAATTCCAAGAAGCTATTCAACGTTATACACAAGGCATATTAAATTGTCCAGAAGATGAAAAACGATTAATGAGTGTATTGTATTCAAACAGAGCTGCATGCCATATTATGCTTGATAATATAGATAGTGCTCTAGTTGATTCAAATGATGCAATTGACTTTGATGACACCTATACAAAAGCTTATTTAAGAAGATTTACTGTATTGGAAAAGAAAGAAAAATGGCATGACGCTTTGAGAGATATTAATAAAGCTTTTGAATTGGATGAAAATTTGAAGAATGATACAAATTTAATCAAAAGGCATAAAAATGTTGAAAAAAATTCTGCAGAATTATTTAATAAAGAAAAAGACGAAATGGTTGGAAAACTTAAAGACTTGGGAAATATGTTTCTAGGCAAAGTTGGGTTGTCTCTTGACAATTTTCAGGTAGAACAGAATCCTCAAACTGGATCATATAATATCCAATTTAAACAAAGTTAAGTTAATCAATAAGTATAATTTAATTATAAAAAAAAAGAAATCATTTATATACAAATTTTATTAAAATAAACTACACTAATATTATTTTTTTTATATAAAATATTTAATATAGCCAAGATATTTTTGAAACTTATTCATTTTCGCCTATTCAAATGAATTCATATTTGGATCATATTTTGCTATTTTACCTAATTCTTTAATGTAGGTACCTGCTTGTTTCGCTGTCAACAGTAAAATTCTGGATTTCCAATTAACTCTTTTAAGGCCATATATAAATTGTTTTTTAAAAGTTACAAATTTCCTACTTTTGCATTCTTTACCAATCTCTTCCAAACTAAAATTTGGTGATAATTGTCTAAATAATATTGAAAAATATACGATATACTTATCTTTTTCTGTTGGAAAATATAATGATATATCTTTTCTTTGATTTTCCAATAGTGATAATACCAATGAAACTTTACCAAGTAATTCTCCTTGCTTCATTATACATTCATATATAGGAGGATATTCATTATATCCAAACCAATCACTTTTTTTTGTCATAATGAACTCATTATAACCAAAACATAATGGAATCATTTTTGAATTCTGATAATAACATTGTAATATTGATGGAGTTGGTAGTAATAATTTAATATTTGAATGTTTGATATCTAATATACAAGACACCATTGGATTAAATGCATAGTTGTCATAGTAATTATTCTGTCTCATTAATTGTATATAATATGTTGGATTTTGTACTGAAAGCAGCAATAATGCATCATATGTTGATATATCTACTCTATAACTTTTTCCATGTATCAACAAGTCTGCTATATTAATTAAAAAATTATCTCCTGGAATTATTATATTACTTTGAGCCTCTGAAAATATACATGTATCTGCTAAATCCTGTCCAATATGCCTAAATACTTTTGCTTGTATATATCTTCCAACCTAAAAAAATAATTTGATAAAATCTTTAAGATTAATTAAATTACTTAATAAACTTACATGTTCTTCATTAACCCGAAATGATTTGCTAACTGATACTGGCACTTCATAGTAATCTGCTTTACTCCCACCAATATTCTTCGATATTCTCCACTCTATAACTTCTGGTACATATTTTAATCCAATTGCAGATATATCTTTGAATGTGATAATTCCACCAGATTCTGCTTCTCCTATTATTGATACCGGGAAAAACTTTGAATATTTTTCTTTTTTCTCTATTATTTTCTCGTCGTCTTCTTCTATACTATTGTTACTACCTGAAATTTTAGAAGCTTCTAATCCAAAAAGTGAATCTGGTTTATATATTAGCTCCAAATTTTTTCTTGAGAAAAATTCTCTTTCTTGAGCTATCATCTTATTTTCATAAGAATCAAATAAATCTTCATTTTCTTCGTCACTACTCGTATTGTCATCACAAATCCTATCATTAAAGTTCTTATACTCATCCAATCTCTTTAATATATGTTTACTTGAGCCTATAACATATTCTCCAAAGTCTATATAATCTGAAACAGGGATCTTTACTTTATCAGTGTGAACTATTAGTCCATAAATAAACGAAAAAAAAAATTCAAATGAATCACAGTCTTGTGAATTTACAAACTTGCATATTATCTGCATAATTTCGCCAGAATACTGTGATGTATATAATATTGAATCATCCAAATTATCTTCATTTACTGAATTATCAGTACTATCTTCTGAACACTTAATAAACATCCTAATTAATTCATTCTTAATTGTCTGTACAAAAATAATATCTCTCTTCTTAATATTCTTAAGTATTATTCCTTCAAACCCTTTGATATGTATCTCACATGGGTTTACTTTCATTTCTAATTTAAATGGACCATCATACTTATCATTAATTAGTAACTTAATATCATAAATAGGTTCCGGGACTCTTGAGCATGGAGGAATATTTAACTTGCACCTTTTTTTTAAACTAAGCTTATCTTTAAGAGACATTTCAAACCTGGCTATATTGTTATCTTTGTCCTTTTTCCATTTTTCAGATACATTATCATCATTCATTGGATCCATCTGTTCAATTGACTTTCTCCCCTTTTTCCCCTCATTTTTTTCTCCTTTTTCTTTTACTAATTTCTCTTTATTATTATCATCTACTTTTATCTTCTCCTCATTATCTTTATTATTATTTTTCTCTTTTGTGGTCTCAGCATTGTTTTCTTGAAAACTAGTTCCTTCTGTACCTCCTTTTAAAGTGCCTTTCCCAGTTATATTTACCTTATCATGTGCGTTTCCCATTTATTTTAGTTAATAATATAAATCTCTATTTTTACTTTACACGTCATTTTCATGCAAATAAATTATTTTTGACTTTAGGCGCCAACTGGGTCACATATACCGGAATACATGCATTTTATAAAGATCAAAAAAATTAGGTTTGTAACTTTCATTTTTTCTTAAAGTTTACTTAAGCTTTATTTTTTAATCAAAAAGAAAAAATTTATAAAAAAATAAATTGGATGGAAATATTATAGTAACAAATGGAAAAATATAATTAGAGAAAACTAAAAATAAAGGATCATTATCCAAGTCATTAGTTATGTTTAAACATATCAGGGATCCTTACGCTTAGTTTGGGGATCCTTGAAGGAATATAAGCAACTATATCATGATACTTAGCTTGATTTACATTTTTCTTATAGTACAAATTAGGTATACTGGAGTCAATAGAAACTGATCTCCAGGTTACTTTGGAAATTGAATTTCCTATTTGTTTCAAAATGAGATATTCCATATATCTCCAGCTTGAAGAAAGTTCTTGCTTTTTGTTAATATAGTAATTAGTAAGATTTTTGTCATATCCAGTATTTATTGGACTATATTTAAGTAACTTGTCATTAACTAAATTTATTACCTTTTCAGAATACAAAGTTTTGTTAGGAATATTTTGCTTGAGAATACTTGTCAGATTAAAAAGAGCAATAGAATATAAAGTAGTAAAATAAGATTCACATGTTGCTCTATGGTCTTGATGTTGTATTTGTTGTTGATTTTGACTCTGATATAACTGATATTGGAGCTGTTGTGAGAAGTTTCCTGAAGAATGAAAGACCAAATGAGGAAACTTCTCTATTTGGTATTTAGTATCCATCTCAGTTAAATCATGCAGAAACATTGCATTGATAAAACAGCTACAATTCTGAGAATATCCTTTCATAATTATTTGTGGGGATTCAAATCCTGTGGCATAGTTTGGAGTTTTTACTTGCTTAAATTCTGGGTTTAATACCTGGTGATCATAGCTGTTTTCTTCTTTAAGATCCAAACAAGAAATTATAGATGTAACTAAATCGTGCAATACCTTAAGTAAAACCTCAAAAATACCTATTTGATCTTCTATTAGACCAAAGGAACTAAAACTCCAAATCTCTTCTCTCATTGATGTTTCCTCCTGGTTTAATAGACATTTTTGAATCATTAACAAAGGTATCTCCAAAATTGAATCAAAAAGTATTGGAGTGTATGATAAGGAAATACAACTCAGTATATTGCTTAAATCCAATGAGTCTATTAGGTGGATCCAATGCATTATTTGGGATGCTTTAATTATGTTTGGGCCAAATTGACCAATGAGAATACTAAGTAATGTTGGACTTTTAAATCTAGTATAAAGCTTACATGCTACAGCAGATTTTGTTAGGTTATTAAATCTAAGAACTTTAATAGCTTGACCTGTTGAAGATCCTCCATCTAGTTTGCATAAAGTATAAGATCTGCTACAACCAAAAGACCTATTACTGTTATTGCAGTGGCTTAGAAAAAATTGAGCAGTTTCTGAAGTTTCCTCTAATATGAATATAATTGCTCCTGGATTCTGTTTTTTAACTATTTGTCTAGTTTCTTGAGGATTTTCCCAAGAATCTAAATTATAATTTGTTGGATGTTTTTGAGATTTCATGGACTTTTTCCTTTTCCCATTGTGGCATCCAATCCCACCACCTTCATCCTTCATAAACAATGAATTATAATAGGAATTTTTGATCTTTAATATATCACCTGTCTTGATTACTCCACTACAATCAGTCATTATGGTGCAAACAGGGGGTGATTCAGAATCTTCAAATAACTTGAAAAAATGGCCTTTTTTCCACTGTTTCACTATTGGCTCCACCACATCTGACCCTTTATATACTTTTACATCGTATCCACATCCAAAAGCTGCAAGTTCTGCACAAACCTGAGACCCAATATTACCTGGAGAAATTAACACAAAGATAACACAGGATTCATCATTTAAAGCTTCTAATTGGTGATTTCTTTGAAATCCATCCGATTCACTCAAGTTAAGGTGATTAATTCCTTGATCTTTCAATACACTTTCATCCTCACATTGGAGTCTCAAGCATAATAGGCTATTATATAACTCATCTGCACAATCTTTATTCCCAATAAACTCCCACATTGTCTTTGGTCTCAAAAGTTCCAGTTTCATTCGAGACTTTGAATTTTCAAGTTCATTCCAAGTATTTTTCTCTAATTCAGAAATATTCATCATTTCTAATGCGACTTCTAAATCTTCATCTACAAAGTCTAATAGCTCCAGTTCTGTAAGTTTGATTTGTTGTCCAATCCTGACTCCACGTAAGTTCTCAAATTGAACTTCTTTAATATCCTTATCAATCTGAAGTTTTTGCAGCATGTTACTGTTCCCTTTATCTTTAATGATTGAAAGATCTTTAAGTTTAGCCATAACTTCATTAAAAGTTGAAGAGCAAATCACATAGTCGGCTCTTGATGAATAGTAATCCAATGTTTTGGCTCCATACCATCTTAATTTCAATAAAAGCTGCCTCTTACTATGAAATAAGTATTCTTCATCCCCTAGTAAGCAAATCTTCTTGTTTTCAAAAAATGCCAAAAAAGGGTTACTAATATGTTCTGATTCCATGTTAGACCTCCTTGGTATAAGTTTTAGTGACCCTCTTATATAGTTCTCGTTAAAATTACTAGGGCCTTCATTTTGTGTATCCATTGATAGGTATTTACTTGGATACTGGTACTCCTTCCTATATACTGGAAATTCTTCAAAAAATATCCGATTAATCTGAAAGTTCTGTTTAAAATCTCGTTTCTTTTTTAATAAGTTCTCTTTATTAACTTTACTACAGATGGAAGAATTTAACAGCGATGATGAATTGCTTTGATATGAAGAATTAATGACAGAATTTGAATATATACTAGAATTAGATTGAGTTCCAGATTTACACCTGCTCATACTCCTTTTTCTCCTTTTGTTTGATGTTCCTGCATTATTAGAGTCTCCGGAGTTAAGAATCAGGCTCCAACTCAATGCAGATTTCATTTTCTTTTCTTCCTTGTTATCTAAGTTTGGACTAATATTTTCGTCGGATTTATCAATAGAATCCATCTTGTTTATAATTAAATAAACAAACAGTTTCCTCTTGTATTTATGTATATAGTTGGAATCTTCCCCTTAAATTATTTAGTCAAAGACTTAAATAAGTCAAGGTTGAAGTGAATAGAAAAAGTTTAGAATATTTTTTCTTTATTCTTAGTAATTCCACATTTTAGTCCTATCAACTGTCAATCTTTAGATCTTAATTCAAAACTTCCAAGTTCGGAACTATTTTTTCTTTTTTTTAACTTCTTGCTTTAAAAATCCTGAACACGTAATTACCCACATTTTCATGTAAGCGCAAGTAACTTTGGCGCCAAATGAGGCTGATTATCTCTCAGATAGTTGATTAGTTAATCAAATTAACTTAATCCTAAAATTTTAATTCTTATTATAATGTGTTGTGCACACAAAAATGAAAATAGAGGAGCTTTTATTGTTTTGGAAGGAACTGATAGGTAGGTTTGCTTACTTTGTAACGTGAAGATGAATAAAATGGAGGAAAAGAAGGGGAATTGGGAGGAAGCGAAGAAAAAAGGAGGGTTCTATCTGGAGGTAGTATAACTTAGTGATGGAAAACACCCTTTATTAGATTTTATTAAACAGTGGTAACTTAATAATTTGTTTTTAGATCGGGGAAAACTTTACAATGCCAAAAAATATATGATTACCTAATTAGTATAGGAAGGAAGTGTATTAAAACTGAATTTCCAAGTAAGTTATTTCAAAGAAAATTACCACTAGTTCATTTATTAAAATTTTGTTTCAGATCGTTCAACAGACGTTGGAAAACTGCTAGATGGATATTTAAGAAAAACAATCAAACTTGCTCCAGAGGTTTCTCATTTACTATTCACTGCAAATAGATGGGAGCTTAATGACTATATTGAGAAGAACCTACAAAATGGGGTCGACGTTGTATGCGATAGATATTCATTTTCAGGAATTGCTTATTCCTCAGGGGCTATCAACTTGGACTATGAATGGTGTAAATCTAAAGAACAAGGTTTAGTTTCTCCGGATTTGGTCATTTTCCTAGACATTAATTTAAGCCTTTCCTCAAGTAGGTCTGGGTTCGGAGACGAAATATATGAGAATATTAAGGACCAAAACAATGTTTATGAAGTCTATCAATCATTTTCTAATTATTCCTTTTGGAATAATATTGATGCATCTCAAGATCCTGATGTAAGTTTGAAAAATTGTTAAATTTAATATTTCTTTATTTTCAACATCACTAACTCTACAATTCTTTTGAAATGACAAAAATGATTTCTATATAATATTTCCTAAAAATTAATCATCCCAATTTTCTCACACCAACTTTTCACTTTCAGAATGTTTTTGATGAAATTCTACCTCACATTCAAAAAACTTTTCAAAACCTTAAGCCAATTTCCTATCTTTGGAAAGAAGAGTAAGGGAAATTGCATGCATTCGGCGCCACCTTTTGTTTTTAATAATGTAATTATAAAAATGTGTGTGTGGAGAAGTTTAAATTAAAAATTAATGAATTTTATAAAAATTTAGTCAAATTAAAGGGAAGGAAGAAGATTTTGGAGATATCGTTAAGAATTTAAAGAAAATAATCCTTTTCTAATCAACTAATCTAGCCTAAATTTGTTAGTAATTACAAGCTTAGATTAATCAAAACTGTAGAAGTAACATCAAGAGTAGTAATTACTCATATATTCTTTAGTTAAAAATAAATTAATGATGAAAAAGTCTCATAATTTTGATTTATAAGTGAAAAAAGAGAAGTATTCAGAAAAGAAAAGGATTGATTCTCTCAAATGTTTTGCACGATTTTTGATCAGCTCATTGAGTGTTGTAAGCTTCCTAATGAAAGTATATTCAGTACTGAACTGGAATTTGAGCTTGAAAGCATCAAAAAAACTCCTCATTGTCAAGAGATGTTAAATTGTATTCATGCTTCAGGGTCTTGCTTTGGAAATATTTTGAATTATAATTCTTTTAGGCCAAACACTTCAATAAGGTATTTAACTAGTAACTTACACCAAAGATATGGAACTAAACAATTATCTCTATTACCTAAATACGAAGCTATTCTGTTTGAAGGTATAAATAATGAGCAAAATAAGATAGATAACGAATTGGTTCAGAATTTAATAGAAAATGATCCTCAAATTGGTAATCAATTGTTAAACTTCATTCAAGCTTTAAGCAAAGGAATAATGGTAAAACAAGTTTTGGACTTAACAATAGGTGACACAAAGTATATAGCAATGTATCTTTCAAAGAATCTAAGCAGCCTGATTCTGGACAATTTTGGTGGAGTATTGTTAGAAGTACCTTTAAAATTTGTAATCGACGTTGTTTTCAGTGATTTCTCAAATGATAAAAAGACACTAATCAACGAATTCACAATCAGAAAAGGTTATGAACCTGTAAAACTGAATGAAGATATTCAATATTTAGTTTCTATAGACCTTGGTACACAGATGAAGTCTATTTGTCTAACTTTTAGTTCAGAAATTGATGGAATGAGCTTTTGTACGAATCTTTGTAAATTAATTAGTTATTTAAATCTAAAAAGAATAGGATGAAGTGAGAACTCAAATAAATCATTATCTAATTTTAGAATAAACTATAATTAAGAGATTTAAGCAAGAATTAGACAAATAAAAGTTATTCACATAATTGCATATTAGACAAATTATTTGTATTGTAATCTAGTTTTTTTTTTACTTATACGTCGCTTTCTTACATATTTCCTTATTTTATTTCAATATTAACAAATAAATAGCTAAATGAATGATTAAATTCTTCATTTTTAAGTATAATAGATACAATGCATTACTTAAGAATCAATTGCAAATCAAGTTTATGCAGGATTTGTTTACCAATAAGTCAAAACAAAGTCAGATTACTTAGACTTCGAATTCTCAAATTTCCTCTTTAAAACTCTAATCATGAAAACAAATGAATTTCTTGCTTCCTCATCATTAAACATTAGGCACAAAGTCTTTTTATCAGGTAAATTTAGAACACAAGACAATCCAGGTACTGGTGGATTCTTAGGATTCACTTTCTTGCATTCCTTGAACTCTGGAGCTTCTATTCCCAGTTCAACATTCTTAATATCAGTTAAATGGACCATTCTATCACTTTTTGAAGTAACAGAGGAAATTTCAAAGAAACCAGTATCAGTAAGCTTTACAATTCTGATAAACTTCTTTCCAGACTTAGCTACTTTAATTAACTTAATTCCTTCTTTATATTGACTAACAATTTCTCTATACCATTCTGTCAAGTTCTGTAGCATAAATTCTTTTTGCATTGTGTTGAATCTCTGTACTTCTTTCTTACCCTTTTCAGAATCTTCGTCATCAGAAGAGGAAGATGATGCTTCTTGTTCTTTCAAAATCTCGTCTCTTTTCTTGGTTTCAGATTTCTCATTTAAATATGGAGTATTAATCAGACCTTTAGCTTCCATTTCCTTCTCTATCTTAGTTACGTTCTCAAACTCTGATACTAAAACACTTCCAATATCCTTTGTTTGTTCCAATTTATCAACCATTTTACATTTTTTTAACTTGTTTGTATTCCAGTTACCCCATGCCTCATCATCTGAAGGATCCTGTTCTCCTAAAACATGACCATGCATGTCCATTGCAATCTTTATTTTATTCTTATCTGGCATTGTTGCAAATCTCCATTTGAGCTTGAAAACTGAATTCCTTGCATCTGCTCTTGAAGACTCACCTCCTCCTACATAATGAACTGCATGGTCGTCCATCTGAGCTCTAACTCTTTGCAATTTGGCAACTAGTTCTCCCGTCATTTTTAACCCAGTAAGTATTTCTAATTGGCTTTTGTATAAAAACTTTTAGTTAACAAAGTCTAAACCTTAAGGCTTGCTTATACAAACTCAAAAAACTTTTCTTTTTTTTACAAAAATCTTAAATTCTATTTTAAAATTTAATTTACTGGTACACACGTTTTGTCTAATGTTTTTTATTTATACATTATTTTATCTTCTATTACGATATTTCTAGACATGCATTATTTATGTTATGCATGCCAAAATAATAAACAAAAATGAAACAGAAAAAAAAAATCTAAAATTCGCGTTGATGAAACAATAAAACCCTTTCTTTTGTTCTCCAAGATAGTTATCTTTTCTCAAATTCTTTTTATCTTTACCTCTACTTGTAAAATATTCATGTGAACATTTATTTTTAATGTATTACTTGACATTGCCGCCATAAGGCGGGAACTCATATAATATGATTATTAATAATATATTGAAAAGATAAGGAGGTAATTCATTATTTGAATAATGAAATTAAGGCCTTCTCATCCAATTTAGTTTTTTATCCCGGAGGATTTCTGAAGGGTGCATGAAATGCAAATTCAAATGCAATTTTTTTTGATGTCAAGAGGAATTATAGGGAGCTTTTTTCCTTTAATTACAAAAAGATTATTCTTTAAAAGTGGGGGAAGTATGTTAAGAACAAAAAATGGTCCGTGGATTAATAGTTTCTTTGGAAATAACTGGATGATGTTGTCTTCATGTAAAAGATTTATTTCAGTAGCAAATAGCAAATTTACCGAGAATAAAGTAGGAATAAATTCAAAACCAATTTCCTCAAACTATGACAACAAAAAATTAAAGAAGAGCCATGATAAGGTTGATATAAACAGTATTCAAGGTACTTTAGATTATGGAGATGATGGATTATACGTTTTTAGCTGTTTATGTAACATTTGTAATAGCAAAATAACAAAGAAATTTAGTAAGAAGGCTTATAATGAAGGAATTGTTATAATTAGATGTGATAATTGCAAGAATCATCACTTAGTATCCGACAAACTTGGATGGTTTGGAGATGAAAGAGAAACTTTTGATGTATTTAAACTTCTAAATAACAAAGAAATTTCTATTAATTAGAGAAATATAGACTATGTTATAAACGAATTAGTATTATACTATTCAAATCTTAAGCTTGTGCTTAACGGCATCACATATATTATTAACAGTAAGAGAAAGCTTTAGGAATTTTTGGTTGCACATTAAAATGGAGTTTTTATAGTCAAAAGTCGGCTTACATAGAGAACATTGGTGGTATTCCTGAATAAAATTCTCCAAATTAATATGTATAATTACGTTTGAATCATAAGTTACCCTAGCAGATAATATACTTACATTAGCATTTGCTCTATATAGATTGCTAATGAACTCTTTAGGACCATTAAATTGAAATAGAAAAACCAGCTTTCCTGAGCTCAATAATGCTTTAAATTTGATAGGCAAATAGTCATTTTTGATTTGAATTCCACTAAGATTATCTAATTCTTTCCAATCCTTAGGTAGTTCACTGGTCTTTCTATGATTCAGGAACTCTACTTCCTCAACAACCTTAGTTTGTACCTCGAATGGTTGTTGCACATTTTTTAATTCGGAGTCCTTTTCACTAAGTAATTCATCATAAGATGTATAGCATGTAAGATTCAGTACGTGCTTAATAGATTGCTTTTTCATCTTCATGAATTCCAAATCATAGATGGTCATTTCGTTTTTAGAAAAACCAATTTGGTTAGAAGTTCCACTTTTTGGGATCAGCTTCTCAATAATAGCTTTTGAGAAAATCTTTTCAATAATTTTTTGTGAATTTTGAGGAACAATCTGAGCCTTTAATCTAAGAAGAATTCGATCATGAATTATTGAGATCATATAATACTTGAAAATTTCATCTTTTGAAATCTTTTCAAATACCATCTCATGCAAAACAGCCTCTACTTCCAAAATTGTCACTCCTTCATTATCAGTTTTCATGTCTTTTTCCAAGAAATTGTCAAAACTGACGGTCAGTTCGGAGGTATTAAGCTCTTCCAAGGTTTCTGCCTGTCTATATTGACTTCCAACCTTAATTTGTGGTTTTAGCATTTCTTTCGTAAATCCTATTTTCAGCTCTAATCTAAATATACTACCTAGTTTTATGATATCTTTAGTCATAGGAGAAGAAATATCAATGTAAACGAAATTTGACTTTACTATATATTTGATATCAACATCTAAAATCTTTAAATTTTTGTTATTTTTGAATTCCTCATGTGCCAACTTTAAGTATAGATCTGGGTTGGTAAGCATAATAGTATTTAAAGATTCTATAATCTCTGATAATTGTTCTTTAGATACATTTTCCATTTTAACAAAAGACGATATTATACATTTGATTATGAAAATATTATTATATAAATTCAGAAGAATCAGTTTCTCCAGAGTATGTTTTAATTAATACTCAGATTTGAACAGAATTACCAATTAAATATTGCAGGGAGATAGTTGCTTAAATTGAATTAAATATTTTGTTCAAACAAATTCTTTTTGATTAAATGATTAATTAAATTTGTCAAAAATAACTTTTTACCGGTTTTACTAAATTATTTAATAAAAAAAAATTTTTTTTAAAATTCGTTACCTTAGGCCGGTATAGGGTACCTAAAAAAAAAATTAAAATTGGGTGAACAAAATTTTTATATTAGAAAGAGAATAAAGTAACTACCTTGTAATTTTAAAGCTTTCTATGGATATTAGGACTGGTTAGTAGATTTTATAACTATTTTTTTAAAAAATTTGTATATAATAAGATGAATGACTATGAATTTGAGCAAAGATCTTTAATAATAGAAAAAGCTTTTTCAAAAACTCCATATGTAGGGTACAACCTAGAACCTCTAAACCATTCGAATAACGATGAAAAAAAAACATATATTGCATTGTCAAACTTGAATGGTAAAAATTACTATGTGGAAGTTTTAATTTATGATAGTGAAAATAACGATTTTGAAATTGGATATTTATATGATCATATATTTAGCCCTGTGGGAGGAGTGCATTGGATGCCTAGAAATGGAATTGGCCTTGAGGAAAATATACTTGGAACTGCTAGTGACAGTATTAAACTTTTTAAAGAAGGAAATTTGATTTGCGATTTAAGACTTAATGATTATGAACTAAATAATATGCGTTTGGAAAGTGTTTATAACTCATACCACACAAAAATAACCAGCTTTTCATTTTCAGAATATGTCGAAGGAGATATAATTTCATCAACACAGGATGGTAGGTGTGTAATTTGGGATATTAATGAATCAGAACAAATAAAATTGTCAGAAGGAGCCATTTTAGAAAATCTTTTAAGTGAGTATAAAAATAGATCAGTTCTCAGCATTTCTCAAATGGAGAGATTTACAATAATGGACGTTTGTTTTGGGTATTCCAAAGATAATATCATTTTAGGAGTAAATAATGGACTTGCAATTTCAATGGATTTAAGATCACCTTTTAAGCAATCATCCTCGTTATTGTCAGACTGTATTTTAGGTTGGGATACAATTCCAGAGCAGAAATTTCCACATATTAAATTATGTTGTATTAAAAATACAAACTATTTTTCCAGAGGAATTTTGTCTAAAGGAATTGTTGAGATTTTTGATATTAGAAAAACATGTGGTCCTTTATTAAAACTAAATACTACTAATTCAAACCCAAACTCCTCAGAAAATAGTCTAGTTTCTATTGAAAGCAAGAATTCTGAAGAAATACTTCTTGCTTATAGTAATGGATTGATAAATACTTATAATTTTAACAAAGAAAGGCCATCTATTCATTTAAAATTTGAAACCAATTTATATACTTACAGCTTTTCGTCATTGAATATTTCTAAACAAGTAAATTCTTTCCTTGGTATTTCTAGTGTCCAAATGCAAAATAGCACCGGCATAAAAATTTCAAAATATGCTAAATGTTGACTTTTAAAAATTAAAAAGGCGGGAAAAAATGCATGTGACATCTAATTTAAAAAAATAAATTATAATTATAGCTGAAATTAGTATATATTAATTAATGATTTTTAATTGTAGTTTTCGTTTAATTGGTTTTTAATAAGATCAATAAGATTCTTGACTCTCTAGGAATTTCTAAAGGAATGCGAGATTAAAGAGTAATTATTGTCGGTAGGAGAAATTAGTGCAATGTTGAAGGGAATACATATAATTAAACATAGGAATTTGTGTTTACTAATTAATTTAAGAGATTACATGCTAATTTATCCATTATTTTGAAATATTAATGAGATACAGAACAGGAAAATCTACTAGTCTCGTTTCTTTTTTGTAGGCTCAATTTTGTTAGTTACTTCAGAACTGTTTTGTCTAGAACCTAGGAGAACATTATCATGTGACTCGGGAATATGGAGTTCGTCTATATCATCAAGTTTTGGTTTATTGCATTCTTTTCTACCAGAGTTGTCAGGAACATCCTTTGGATTAAAGACATTTCTTACTACTTTAAATAACCAGTAAATATTCATAATATTGAATAACTCTCCAATAGGGAAGAAGATGTAAACTCTTAGTTTTGATCTGAAAGTCGGAGCGAACCTAAAAGCATTAAACATCAGAATATGAAAGCCATAAGGAAGCATAACATTTCTTGTAAAAAAGAAAGCAATAAGGAATAAGTAACTGACTAATTTACAAGAGAAAGAAGTTGTATCACCAATAATATGATAGCAATATCTAATACTTAGGATTACTGTTGAAAATTCCGTAATAATTCCAAGCGAAAGTACTTTAATTAAAGGTTGCTCTGGTATAAAATAAGAAGTTAATAGAGAAACTAAGGATACAGATCCATGGAAAAACCATACAGTTGAGTCTTTATTCTGATTCCATTCTCTAATAATTATCGATAGATCCCACAAAAAATATCCCATAGAAAAAGAGCCAGTAATTAGCCAAAAACTAGGTTTTCCACTATAGGGATCTTGCCTAATTTCCCGATTAAGTAATATTATTAAGGAAAGTATTGTTGAAGTCAAAGCATGAATTAGAGAAATACCACGAATCCTTAAATTCCATTTCTTTATGCCTCTGCTTTCATTTTGAATACCTTCAGAAATTAGTTTTCTAACTCTCGAAGGAATAAATAAATATAATATTTTTTCACTTTTGACTTTTTCTAAGTATAGAAAGAAAAGGTTAAAAAACGCTGTCAGAATGAAAACATAATAACGTGAAAAGTTGTACTCTTCTCCTTCGTTAATTAATCTTATTGTTTCAGCATTCATTTATTATTCTCTTACTAATATTAACTTTACTAAGCTTTTTGTCAAAAATGTCTAATTGTGTATTATAAAACTAACTTTTGAGTATTCTTTTATTATTACTCAAATTATCAATCCTAAGAATTAATAATATTGAGATTTAAATGTTCCAAAATTTAACAGATTAAATTTGTATTTTAGCTTTATCCGATCACTTCTATTAAAGGTGTTACCTTAGTTTTTTCAATTCTAAATTTTATTTTCCGATTTTTTTTTTAATTGTTGAAATCAATAAAATATTAATAATGAACTATAAAAAAAATATTAAACAGACTGCCCGCCCTAATTGATTGATTATAAATCAATAATTAGCATGTAAAGCATAAAATAATGAATAGTTTTATATGCAAAATATTAATAATAAAAAAGCTCTTAAGAATATTAATTTTCTGAAATAATTATTAATTAGTTTTCACACATTCTACCAAAATAAATTAGGTAATTTAGAATATTTTTAATTCAATCATTTCAGTGCATGCATTTTAATATTAACTAAAATTTTATTAAAATAATTTCTATAGTAAGTCTACCAATGAGTATTCTATTCAGCTAGCAATAGTGTCTAACTCTTTAATAAATTCTGATGGATTGATAAATTCTGTACATCCGTAAATTATGCTTTTTTGAGTTTTCTTTGCATAATTAAGTACGTCATGAGCTTCAGTAAAGTTCCCGCCTCCTATAATAAAGACAATCCCTTGCTTTGGTGAGACTTTAATTCTTGAGACTTTACTGGAATCTTGATCATGCATACATGGCTGTTTTGGATCAAAGTAAAGGAACTCATCATCTAAGTTTGAAGAACCAGTAGAAAGTTGTGAAGATGAAAACGATTTCTTTTCCATAATATTATCAACAACAGAAGTTACTTTTAAAGTTTTGTTAATAGGAAGCAGAGCTCTAACACCTTGAAGAATATTTTTCCCTGCCATATCAAATACTTTACCTCCAACATTTTTTGCTAGAGAAGTTATTCCTGTTTTGCTCAAATTATTCTCCAAAGATGTCTCTTGTTTACTGTGTGTTGTTGAATGCCCTAGGGTAGAGCTTAAATCTTGGTTGTTTAGATTTGAAGAGAATCCCCCAACTCCTGATGCATTTTTGGTCTGGATTTGAGATTTGTAAATGTATCTAATAATTTTAATTGAGTTGGATTGTTCACTATTAAATAGCTTAATGAGTTGTTCAAGCTGTTGGTGAGTAATATTTTGCCCATGTCTTTCGTGTAGTAAGAGAGATAAAACAACTCTAAGCTTATCATTTTCTAGAAAATTCTTGCTTGATTCAGAGTTAAATAAAGTCTCAAGTTCGCTAATACATCCTGAAATAGTTGGGATATTGTCGAAGGACTCTTCAACCTCAAAGAATTTGTCAAGTTCTCTTTTCTTGATCTCTTCAACAAGCTTTGTAGCAATATTTGTGTGGGTGTCAATACTTCTCTTCTTTTCTGTCATTTCTGGTAAAGCATGTATAGCAACAGCCAGATTCGTTGCCATTTGAGAGGAGTCCTCACTGTTATAATTTAACTCTGACAGCTTTTTGTTATACTCTCCAAGCATTTCACTTACGGAATTAGCTACTTGTGTAAAATGTTCTCCAGAGTGTTTAATCCAAAATTCATCATTAGAGTCCAAGTCAAATACTTTCTTTCCACTATTTGAATCATCGATAGTAATTCTATTTAACTTTAAATTATAAACATCATGTATTAGTCCCTGATAAATCCAACTATGGTTGATCATTGTAGAAAGATCAATATCTCTATCAAGAAGGATTAAGACAGGTCTGTTATTAGAATTAATGTTTATAAAGTTGTTATTTGATTCTCTTAAAATTTCTCGAATTCTTTTGTCTAATTCTTTAGCAATCATTTGGCTAGAAGAAAATTGTTTATTGGAACATCTAATAATAGGTATTGTTCCTAAGCTGGATAAAACACATATTAATCCTGTAACAATTCCATCAATAATGGATTGGATCTTTGTATCTGTTGTTTTTGAGTTAAAGAATTCAGAGTAAACTTTATCCATACCCAGACTGAATTTTGTTGGGGATAATGATACAAAGTCTAAGTATCTGTCTATTACCTTCGTAATTCTATTAGCATTTCCAGTTTCTAAAGCTTTTTTTGCAAAATATTCGAGCAGCTTGTCTGTACAAGGACTTATAAAATTTACATAATAGCTTTCATAATATAAATTCCTTAAATCCTCACATAATTTATCAATATTTTCTTGTGTTGGTTTAATGAAATATAATGCTGGTACTTCTGGTATATTACTTTTTTGTGCATTTAATTGAATATGTAGTGTAACACCATGGTGTCTTAAACTTCCAACTTTCATTAGTGGAGATAAAATAGTTTGTCCCATTTTATCATATATCAAAACCTTCCAAATATGAGGTCCCTCAAGTATCCAAACATTGTTCTTATTTGCTCCATAAGATCCTGTAGATGATCCTCCAGAAGAATTGTTTACTTGTTGGGACAAATTCAGCATATTACCAATAGCTACTTTCTGAGATTCTTGAATATTGAAGTCCATATTTTCTTCATTTAACTCAATGTTTTATAAGATATTTTTTCCTTTAAGAATATTTCAATAAATAAAGTTTATAGAAATTTTTACAAATTTTTTAATAATATTTTCTAAGTTAATAATGAATAATTTACTGTGTGTTATGGTTTTCTATTTCATCCACTCTAAGAGATCTAAAAACTTCAGAGAAAAAGTATTTAACCAGTAACTTATTGAACGAAATATTCTACAACTTGTTTGCCTCTATTTTTTTAAATGATTATTTCTTCTGTTATCACACAGGTATTTCTATTTTCTAGTTTGATTTGTTAATTGTTACTAGTGTTATTATTTAACGAATTGGCGCCAATTTTCTTTGTTATTTAATTGAGGCAAAATAATCGAATAATTTGAGTTTAGGACGGAGAAATACAAATAAAAACAAATCAAATTAAAGTGATATATGGAAATATAAAGGATTAAAAAAGATTTAGCTAGTTTTAATGTAATAATTAATATAATGCGATCCTAAGAAATAAACTATAGCGATATAATTAGATAAGCAATTAAATGCTATCATCAGGAATCCATTCAAACACATTGGGTGAATTGTTGGAGTTGATAGCTTTTAGATTTTTCTCTTCCTGCTTAATTTTTAAAATGTCGGCCAATGGGATCTTCTTGGCATTATTTGACTTAACATCCTGGTCAATTAGACCACATAACATTAAATTATCTCCTCTAAATACCATGCATCCCTGATAAATCTCATTATAACAGTCTTGACTACTAAATACTTCAAAAGATTTCTCAAGACACAGGCTACCATACTGATCAAAACTTCTGAAAATACCAGTAAATTGTCTTCCATCTCTTAATACAACATAAATCTCCTTGTCTAGATCTTCCTCTAAACAAAGCATCCAAGACGACAAAGACGTTTGATTATTATTATTATTGTTGTTCACCTCATCATTTTGATTCGGGCTAGAATCTTCATCATAGGATCGATTATAATTTGAGTCTCTCATAATAATTTTAACTATTAAGAAAAAAATGATCAGTAATTAGTAGTTGTCTTTATATTAACTCTTAGAAACATTAAACAATACTTTAAATTAAAATACCCTAAACAGAAATAATTGTTTTTTCCTGAACATTAACTACTCAATAACATGTTCTTTTTAGCTTAACTCTGTTAGTTTTTGAAATTTCCTCAATTTTACTAATTCATTAATTATTGGATTATTTACATTTATATTTATATTATATTTTTAAGCGGTAAACCATATACTAAATTACCGGTATAGTAAGTTACCATTAGTATATTTTTTTTTAATAAATTATTAGCAAGAATATGTGGCGCCTAATTTCATTTATTTGTAATAAGCATTATTTAAATAATAGTATTAATATAAATTATACAACGAAGAATAATTACTAATAAATTAATAAAGAAAAGTGATCACTAAATACAAAATTAAATAATTTGGCGTCTACATATTCAATAAAATAAAAAGGTCAAATTCATATATATTTTGATTAAAAATAAATAATAAGCATAGCCAAGTCTAGCTTTTTTTTTAACGAAAAGAAAAATAATAAAATAAAGGAAATTTCTCATAACTGATTTTTATTCAGTTTATTTTATTTTATTTTCACTATTAAAACTCGAATAGTTTCGTATATAGTTCGGAAGCTGATTAACCATGGGTAGAGTTAGAACTAAGACTGTCAAGAGAGCAGCAAGACTTATTGTTGAAAAATATGTATCAAAACTTACTTTGGATTTCCAAACCAACAAGAAAATTGCTGAAGAAGTTGCTTCAATCCCAACAAAACGTCTCAGAAATAAGATTGCAGGATTCGTTACCCATTTAATGAGGAGAATTCAAAAAGGTCCAGTACGTGGTATTTCATTAAAACTCCAAGAAGAAGAGAGAGAAAGACGCATGGAAAAACTACCAGATAAGTCTGAAGTCGATTTAGATGTTATTTTGGTTGATCAAGATACTAAAGATATGCTTGTTGGATTGGGTCTTGATATCCCTGTTGAAGTCGTCTCTCCAACACGTGTATTCCAAGGTAAATCAGGTAGACACTAAATTTGAGATAATGTATTAAATTATTACTCTATTAGAAATTAAGTCTACAATTCCCAAGGTGTCTTACTACTATTATATGTATGATTAAACATCATATTTAGCTTTATATTTAGTGTAGGAAGATGGATAATTTCTTGACTATTTACCGGTGTTTATTGATCATTTCCTTGTTTCTGGTTAATGCATTAAGTATAACATACATTATGAAAAATATAAGGATACAGATTGAAATTGCTGTTATGGAGTAAGCAGTGTTTCTCCTTCTTCTACATTCTTGTTGCTTCTTTACTGATTGTTGAATCTTTTCCTGGTTTATTTTCACTTCAGCCCCTATACTTTCCAATATTAAATCTTTTAAACTTTTGTCCTTTATTCCGATGTTTGTTAAATCATTAAAAGTTAGACTTGTGAAACTAGAATCAAGGTAATAGTATCCTTTTTTATAAAAGAGTTTGAAAACAAAATCATGTTTTCCCAAAACTTGATCATTTTCTTCATCATCAGTACTTATTAAACTAGGTTTTTCAGCTATATTGTATTTAACCAGAAACTCAGAAACTGGAGTCTTATATATTTCTTCTTGTATTTTATTTCCTCTTCTCTGCCTAATTTCGGTTTTTTTATGTTGGTTTTGATTTACTTTATTCCCATCTTTACTTTCTTTTTTGTTATTTTCCTCATATTCCAATTTCAAATCTAAAGGAGATAAATTCTGATCATTTAATGCATTCTTGTCAAATCCATTACTAATCAGAAATTCTGCTAATCCCATCATACCGTACATATAGGCCAAATGCAATGCACTATTTCCATTTCTATCGACAGATTTTCTCATAATTTCTTTTTGAGATTCCGTAGCTGAATTAAATATATATAAAGCAATATTTGGTATATTTTGAAGTACACATAAATGCAAAATAGAGTTTCTCTCTAAATCATTATCATCCTGTAATATGGGATTAGCAGAGAGTTCTATTAATTCAATTATGACCTCTTCATTCCCATTCAAAATAGCAAGATGAAGAGGAGACTGCCCAGTTTTATGATTAAGAAGATTAACATCCATTCCATATTTTACTAATCTATGCACAACCTTTGGTAACTCCAATCTAACTGCCCAATGTAATGGTGAGTCCCCAAATTCTTCGTCACACAAATAAAGATTTGGAGATCTTTTCAACAAGAGATTTAAACATTCAATATCTCCACCATTATTGATTAAAGTTATTATAGGAGTAAATGAATTAGTGGGGTCTCTTATATTTACATCCAAATCTTCACATCTTAAAAGTAACTTTAAAATATCAAAATCCTGAATTTTACACGCTAAATGTATAGGGATAACACCTTTCTTTGATTTCTGATTAATGTTTTCCATATTTGAAGTTATTAAATAGTCTTCATTTTCGTTGAACAAATTATCATTAAAACCAAGTAGATCTTTCAAATCTTCCACATTTGATTTATTTATATATTTAATACACTTTTCCAACATCGTACTCTAATAATATTTCTTTTATATTGTAATTTATATTAGATTATATAGTTTTTTTACTTTTACTAAAACTTGGTTATTATTATTATTATTATTATTATTATTTTGGATAATTACAGAGGCAAGACAGAATCTATGCATTTATACCCAAACATAGAAATAGCAGTAGTAATAAGAACGAGGATTCACATGTTCGAACAGGGATCATTAGAGAAAGAGAGAGAGAGATTTTTAGAGATAAGGTGAGATAATAAATGGAAGAAAATAATGAGTAAAGACATTGTATCATAATTAATAAGAGAAGGAAAGAAACAACTCAATTCATTGAAGAATTACATTTGTAATTATCTAAGAGCGACAGTTCTCAGCAATGTGTTTTTGAAGATAATGGTAAGCCTCAGATTCAACACCATAGTCTACAATAGCTACTGATGCAGCTCCAACAACCTTGCGTGGATTACCTTCTCTATCGACCTTACATAAACCTGCCATTTCTCCTAATTCCTTAGAATCTGGAACCATAATCAAAGGAATTCCTCTCTCACGGCAAAGAGCCTCAACCAACTGTTTATAACAATCTTCTTCACAAGATTCCGCCAAGAAACAAACTTGAGCTTTTTTTGAATCTAAAGCTAAAACAACTTCATTCAATCCACGAAGTAATCCACCTCTAACAAATGAATTCTTTAAGACATATCTGATGGCAGTGGTTAAGTCGTTGACAACTTCTTGTTCAGCCTGAACTTGGGTACCTTCTTGATCAATTTCAACGTCAGACATCTTATTTAATTACAATATACTAAATATTAGTTGTATCTTCTATATAAAAGAGGTTTTTTCCTTTTATCGCCGCTCCTATCCTCACGGCTTAAATTTTATTTTCTAATTTTTAACAATTTAAAAATTAAGAAAATGGAAATTTTTCCTTGCTGATATATTAATCCTTATTGACCAAGTTACTTATTTATTCAAATATTTTAATTTTTGCACTTTAATTGACTTGTTTTTTTAGGTAACATTTATTAATATTTTATATAGACGAGACGAGACAATATATTATTTATTTGATTATTTAGTTAATTTTGAATGGCGCCATTGTTGTGGCGGCTAATTCTGGCGGGGTCGTTATATTAATTTAAAAGAGTATAAAGAACACCAAGTAACATTTTTAGATTATATTTTCCGAAGAAAAGAATACATTAATTAACTTGGATAAAATAATATTATACTTGATTTAAAGCATGTTTTGAATACAGGGAAAGCAGGGTACTGTTGGTATTGAAAATAATTTGTAAAATAGTTTGAATAAAAGCTGAGTAATGGAGGAAGAAAAGATAACCAGAAATAAAAAAGACTATGTGCAGACGGCTTCTGGTATGTAGATTTGAGTGGCTTAAATGCCTTTACAGTAATAATAACTATGAATGTTATTAGCATAGTTATTATACTGCTAATAAAAAGTATTTTAACATAATACTAATTTTTTTTAGGGAATATCGTATGTAGGAAGACAATTTTGTGTGGAAGTCAAAATATACATTTATTAGGTACTTGTATTATTGATAGTGGAGTTATATTAAGGTAAGATTTAGGAACCATGAGTTTTTGTGAGTACAACCATTTACTTTATTTATTGTAATAATTTAAATTTAATCTGATATAAAAATAATCAATTTCAATTTTTATTTTCACAATAAAATATATAAACCTGAAACAATTTTTAGAGGAGATCTTGTAATGATAAGAATTGGGCAATATGTTATACTTGAACCAAACTGTATTATTAGACCTTGTTTTAAGAAAATTAAGGGTAAATATGGATCGGTTCCCATTTCAATAGGTGATTGTGTTCAAATAGGTGAGAATTCTGTAGTTATGGCATCTTCAATTGGATCAAATGTTTATATTGGAAAAAATTCGATCATTGGATCAGGTTCTATAATTAAAGATAATTGTATAATTTTACCGGAAACAACTATAGCTCCAAATACATTAATTCCTCCTTTCACTGAGTGGGGAGGAACTCCTGGAGTAATGCTTAGAAGACTTCCTGAATCTCAAAATATACTGTTACAACAACGTGCGATTGAATACTATAATAATTTTCAGTTAGTTTCCAATAAAGTGCAAGAAGAACCAGAAAAAATTCAACATTCGAATACAACACTTATCAAATCCATGAAGACAGGTATTTCCAATTACACCAAAGATAACAACATTGATGATGGTGATGGTGATGGTGATGGTGATGGTGATGATAATATTAATGGTAATGGTAATGGTAATGGCAGTGTCGATGACAAAGGTAATAGCAATAGTAATGACAATGACAATAAAAATAATAGCAATAGTAATGGCAATGTTAATGGCGATGAAAACACAAATTCTATTGTTGACCCTAGTTCTAAAGCTGATGATGATACTACTTCCGATACAGAACAACACAACATCAATAGAGACAACGAAAGTAACCCAGAAAATACCAAAAATGATGAGACTCAACAAGCACTATAATAACACAAAATTTAAATTAACTTATTTCCTATTTATTTCTAGAATAAATAATTGTGTGTGTGGCGCCAAACATAATTTTTCTACCGGTACCGCTTTCGGCGGCAATTATTCAGAATTTTAATGTAATATTAATATATAGATCAACTTTTGACAGAATAAAATTAATAAAAAAAAAGAATTCGTTGCACTAATAGTTAAAGTCTTATGTATTTTTACTTTTGTTATAAGTAAAAATGAAGAAAAATAGCAATAAAGTACTCAAGCATGAACAAAATAATCTTTTCAATGAAACTGTCAGAGAAATTAGAAAACTGGTATATCCTCATTTAGATAAATTTCAACGTCAACAATATGATAATGCTAGGGCAAAAGTTTTAGGTATAAAACAGAAAAAGTCTCAGAAAATGCCTCTACCAGAATTATTATCTCGCCAAAAGGCTACTAAAAGACATATTGATAAACGAAAGCAATTAGAAGAAGAGTTAAATGTTAAATTACATATCGGTGATAAAGCTAATAGATTTGAGGCAGAAAAAGATATAAAGAATAGAAGAAAATCTAAAATTGAGAAAAGAAATATATCCACAAATTTAAGTGGAAAAGGATTTTCCGAGAAATCTGGTGTTGTTTATGTAGGTAAAAATATTATCAAGAAAAGACATAAATAATGAATTTACATAAAAAGTAGATATCCACATAATTATCTATAAACATTATATCAGACTAGTATTGCTATCTAACCTTTATTTCCATCTTCGATACTATGATATCAATTCATTGCATAATGATTAATTAGTTGAGGGAATACTTGATTATCTAAGGTTTTAATATTGTATAATTCTAAAAGAATACTAATATGTCTGGAATTATCTATTCTTGGAGTTATTGTAATATAACCTGAAACACTTCCAATAATCTTGAGAAGTTTATCATCGGGAGATCTTATATGTAAGATTGTTTGTTTCCAGTGTGTTGGTTCATGAAAAGGAGAAGTTTCCATATCAACCTTTTTAAATTGTGAGTAGAATTCTGCATTAAAAGAAATTACCAAAGAAGTGAAAAACGGAAATTCTTCTGAAAGTTCTATTTTAAAATATTGTCTTAAATTTGATAACTCTTTACTTGTAATATTCAGAATAGATAAACATGGAAGGTCAAATGCATTCTTACAGCGTAATCTTTCCGCTGGAACAATTTCAACATATGGAGTAGATAACAATGAAGATAATTTTGGAGATATTTCAGAAAGGTCCAAATTATAAAGTCTATTATTAACCCAAGGAATCATTAAGCTGTCGATAGAATCTGAATAGTCTGCCAAAGAAATTTGTAATCTGACAGAAGAAGGGAAAATATGGCCAGAAAATTCACCATTTTTAGTCTTTAAGTATCTATTTCTAGCATCTAATATAGTATATAGCATACTCTCATATAGTAAGCAATATCCCATCCATTCGGATATAATTATATCACATTCAAAAGGTACCGAATTTTTTGGAGGTAAATCATTTTTTGAAATTGAAATAACTTTATTATCAACCATGAATAAATTCAAATCTTCAAATTTCCCACATATAAAGTGGATCTTCTCTCCGAAATTATTTGTCTGAGCAATCTTTTCTGCTACTTTAATTGTATCCTTTGCAGCATCAACAGCTACAACCATTTTTGCTCCACTTTGTACTGCAAATAAACTTAGAATACCAGTTCCAGTCCCAACATCTAATACGACTTTATCTTTAAACAAGTTAATTGAATTGTTTGGATCTGTAATAAAGTTATAGTAAGCATCTGTCCTAACTTTATCTAATATCATTTCTCTGTGAATGTCTAAAGTAGAATAAGAGCTGAAGTATAAAGTATCCTCATTATTAATTCGGTTTTTAACTGAATGATCTAAATCACCATTTTTTCTATCAAAGTTTGATTTTAGTATTTCTGACTCTTTTTTTGATAAATCCATTAACTTGAGTGAAAGCTCATGTGGAGATATTTTTGTCGATATACTTTGCTCGGAAGCAGTAGAAACTCTACTACATGGAGATGGATATAAGTCTTTATTATGATCTAATTCTGATTCTTTATTTTGGAACTCTGTTATTAAATTTGCCATAAACATAATTTTTTGTTTTAATAGTTTGTTTTCCTCCTCAATTGAAAGCTCACAAACAACATTTGGATTAATCACATCCTCTTGAGTGTAATTCTCATTAAGAGTATCTAATTCCAAAATCAATCTATCATCAATAATAACTGGAGTTAGTAATGAATCATCTTCCCAAATTTTATGTTCCATTGTAATCTTTTCATACTCTTTCTTGGCATCTAATCCATCCTTTACACACTTCCTTAAGTAATTAATTAGCCTTATTTGGTCATATTCTTCCTTTGCTTTAGTTTCTTTTGAAAAGTCAAATTCATGTTCTATTTTCATATGATTCCAGATATCCTCGGTCAAATTTGAGGTAAAATCACAAAATAAACACTTGGCTTCTGAAAGAGAATCAAACTCCTCCAAATATGAATCATACTCCAGCATTTCTATTTCGCCTTCACTTATTTGATCGTCATCACTAATATTATCATTTACAACAGTTAAAAATTCTTCTTTGCTACATCTTTCCGTCATATTTCTGAATTAATTTACTATTAGAATAAACTTCCGGAATAATTTTGACTTGAAATCAATTACATAAGATAAAATCAAAAGACTTTCTTTATCAAATAGTGTATTCCACACTAATAAAGGTAAATGAAAACTTATTTTACTGTTATAATAATAATATTATTATTGCTACTATCAACAATGCTTTCAACTCTATACTACCGATGCTTTACTCTTTTTTTACCTTTATTTATTTCTTGAGTTCTTTTTTTATTATTCTCTCCACTAATGTCAAAATATTATTATATATTTGCATTTTAAGGCGGGCAATGCGTGCCGCCAAATATCAATTTTTGACCAAGCATGAAAAAACTGTCAACTAGTGAGTAAAAGAAAATCAAAGTGAGATTAGAATTAGAGTTATTATCAAAAAAAAGAATTATTTCTACAGAGGAAAGCATAGAGAAAACACTGGTGGAAAAGAGGCTTTCTAGTTGAAGGAATTAAAAGAATATTGTTATTCTTTTTCTTTATTCTTGTTATTTTTCTTAAAAAAAAAAAAATTTGGATTAAAAGTTAAATAATCCAGATAAAATATATTTCATTGTTAAAAAAATAAAAATATGGAAGTTGATAGTGTAGTATCGGCTGAGAAACTAGGTCAAGACAGAAAGTGTGAGAATTGTGATAATGATTATAAGTATAAATGCCCAGCATGTAATACGAAATCATGTAGTTTAGAGTGTGTAAATTATCACAAATTTAAAACAGGATGTGATGGAGACGGGTTGAAAAAACATATTGAAAGAAATATTGTTATAAGTAAATATAACAGTGACGATATGTGGAGAGATTTTAACTTTTTAGAAGATGTGAAAAGAAGAGTGTTAAATGCATCAAGAAATCAAGTAAAAGAGAAATACGTTGAGAACCAAACAGTACAACAAAATTATGGGTTATTTAGCAGTTTAAGAAGAAGAATTGGAGAACATAAAAAGAAAAACAGAATGGGCGAAGAACAAAAGCTTGTGACTGTAATAAAGGAAAGTAACAACTTATCTAAGCATAGTCCTATCCCATTATTAAAAAAGGCTTGTAGTTTGAGAAAGATTAAGATAAGTTTTTGTCCGATAAATGAGATGCAGATAAGAAAGAATAATACAACATATTATAATAAAAAAGACGATTTATTATTATGGAAGATGGAATTTAGAATATATGAAGATAAAGATTTGATAGAAAAGAAACATTTGGATAGTGTATCTGAAAATGAAATAGTTTCTGAAGTAATATTAAAGCTAATGAGTAACATAGATCAAAGCATGATTAAAGAGGTGTTTTTAATGGATAACTTTAAAGATAAAGCCAATCGAACTTTACAAGAAATAGATATAAGTAAAAGCTTTAGAGATAATTTAATGGGAAAAAATATTGTAGAATTTCCAAGATTTAAAATAGAAATACAAAAGAAATAAAAATAAGTTAATTTTGATTGAGCAAAACTAGTTATATGATTTTTTTTAATATAATTTTATAATCAATAGTTAAAGAAAAAAACTTTATTATAGCTTTATGTAAATAATTATAGTTTTTCCATGATCTTTTCATCCAAATTACTAGTACTAGAATTTAGCAACACCTTATTATTAGTAAATATTTCAGATGATTCGAGAATTTTTCTATCTATTTCTTTTGCTTGTATTGCACTTAATTCTTCCAAAAGATCAGCCTCATTCATTGAAGGAAGAGACTGATTAATTATTTGAGAGATTTCATCTTGAATCGATTGTTGTTCTTTTATTGTATCAGATATTTTCTCCAATTTGTCAGTATTTGTAGATGAGATTAAAGATTGATGAGCTGTAGCACTGGCAGATAATGCAGACATTGTCATTTGTTGGGTTTTTGCTGTCTCTAAATTAAGTAATTGTTGTTCTAATAGTAAGCTTGAACTTAATAATTTTTCTCTTTCTTGAGTGACTAATTTCTTCCTTCTTAATACTAATAGTGCAGAATTCTTATCTCCTTGTAATGCCAAATTAGCTGCCTCATTCTCAAGTTTCTTCTCCTTCTCCTCTAAATCAAGTAAAGATCTTTGAATCGCTTGTGATGCTTTTAAGGCTTTTTCATGAGCTGTTTCTATTTCAGAAAGAGGATTTACCTCTTCTTTTTCCTGTTTTCTTCGAAACAAAAACATTTTATATCTTAAAAAACGTAATAAACCTAAATATCAATAATTCATCACAAATTTCCTTTGAAAAAAATTTGTTTTTTTCTTTTTACCCTTTTTCAGTTTAATTTTTTTCTATAATTTTTACCCTTCCTTTAACATTTTTATATAACTTTATTTATGATTACGATACCGGAAGTGGCGGGGTTTATTTACCGCCTAAAATGTGTAATTTTTTGTATTAAATGACAAAAAAAAATCCACACAAGAAATAAGGATCAATAAATAAGTTGAAGATCAGATAATATTTGAATCATTTGGAGTTAAATTTTCGTCTATTCTATATAAAATATCTATTATTCACTTATTTTATTATTATTATTATTTTTTACACAAATCTTGGTCTCATATTTAGGTTTTGAATTTATAAAGTCTAAATCATATGAGAAAATATTGAACATTTTTAAAAAAAGCAGGAGGGTAAAAAAAATGAAGTTGGAAAAGAGAACTCGAAGTATTACAGATACTGAAGATTTAAGTGAGGATAATGGTAAGAACAAGAAAATAAACAGAGATGATAGTCAAGGAATAAGTGAGATTTTAGGAGAATTCAAAAAGTATATAAAAGATTTTGAAGTGGAGAAAATGTATTTTACCTTAGAGAAGATAAATCAAAAGGAAATTCTTTTAAGTGATATTGAAGATCTTATAACTTTTGGTTTTTCTGAAATGATCAAAGAGTCTTTAGAGAAATTAAACTATACAATATCTTTAACTAATGATACAGAAGAAAACGAAGAATGTGGAAAAGTACTAAATGGATTAAAAATTAAAATTTTCAAATTAATTTTGAATGTTCTTCTAGATATTTCAGAATTTCAGGATGGCTCTTCTCAAATTGGGAATCAAGACATTAATACTTTAAAGTTAAAACTATTATTAGAGGATGGTCTTACATTTAGCTTACTTAAAACTGTTAGAAATATAGAAAATATGTATTTACGTAATTTAAAAGCTGAAAGTATATTTTCAAAAAAATCTCAGGATTTTGGTGAATTAATCGACCACGAAAATGAATTATTACAAGAATCAATCTTGGAAACATATTTTCAGTTTTTGGAATCTACTATTGAAATTGACCCAAAGAAAGTTTCAAAGGAATTTACAAACTCTGAAGGACTATTTGAATGGTTAATGCAGATATTCGATAATGATGAATCTTTTATAGTGGATGAAATTACATCTTTAAAAATGGAAATATTAAGTATTATTTTTCAATATATTAAAGTTTCACAAATTAGTACCAATGGAATAAATATAGATAAGAAAGAAGTTATGGATAAGTTTTTGGTAAAACTAGCTACTTTTGGGTTAAGAGATGGAGAAATTGGAGGTATTAAGGAAAAAGAGTTTGTACACAATATTGTTGACATTATTTGTAATTCTCTGTTTGAGGAAGATATGAGAAAGGAATTTAATGATTTACAAGGATTGGAATTAATGGTAAAACTTATAGAAGAGAAGGCATTTATGAGACCTTTATCTGTAAAAATATTATCTTTTGCATTAATTGACAAGGGAGAAATGAGTAACAAATTTATTCAAATGTAAGTTATCTTAATTATCTAAATTAATATTTATTATCAATATCCCTATTTTATTTAGATCTGGCTTGAAGCTTGTTTTTGCATTGCTAGCTCATTCTTCTAAGAATTTAACTAATAATGAAAAATATATTAAAAATAGACAACAACAAGATACTGATGAACATTTATGTAGTATCATAAAGTCACTATTACAATTTTCTACTGGTAAGTTGAATAATAGGTATATCAGTAAATAGACAGATATACCTATTTTTTACATTAAATATTTTAATTATGTTAATTTTTAATAGGAAATGATCATGAGATGTTGATCAATAAACTAATAGAAAATAATTATCTTAAACTTAAAAATTTTCTAGTTTTAAGGAAGTATTATTCAAACAAAATTACCCAAGCTTTAGAAAGTTCACAGGATTTACAAGAAGAAGATGAAGAACAAATTGAGATAATTGAAACAATAGCTATAGATGCTGGTCTATTTATTGTACAACTTATTGATTTGATAATAGTTTATACTATATATTATGAAAAAGGTGATATAAATGATTTTGAGAAAAATGTACTAAGTAAAAATGGAGTACATTTGGATGATTTAAAAACAAGTATTGAAGATTACTCAAACTCTTTAAACCAAGATGAGAAAGTATTTAATGAAAAAATACTATTATATTTAAATTCTTAACAAAATTAATACTATTTTTACTTTTATTAGAATTAAATACATTAATTATTAAAGCCATATAATATTATTTAGTTTTCTAAAAAAACTTGGCATTTCATCCATAAAATCAAGATCATCCCAGTTGATTATTTCATCAAGATTAAATAGTCCACTTCCGAAGTAGTTATTATTTTCCTCAAAATCTTCCTCGTAATCAGGATCTCCAAGATTTCTGCTTCCTAAAATAGCAGAAATTAATTGTTTAGCTTCTTTAACATTTCCATTCTTATTATAAAGTCCAACACTTAGATTGATTAATCTAACCAGTGGTACTGTAGAATTTTGTTCTGTAAATTCAATTATATAATAATCTCCATTAGATGTAATCCAATCAGGATCTTGTATTACATTAAATATCTGGGTAAAATCTTCCTTATTTTCAGCCATGTCATTAGTTATACTTTCTTCATTAACTTGAAGGTCTTTTTTGGTTTCATTATTATTAAAATGTGACAATCCTTGGTTGTTTTTGTTTTCAACACGACGAACGTTATTAGTTTCTGTTTTTATTTGAGTAGTACTATTATTATTAGTTGTTGTGGTGATAGTAGTAGAATTAGTAATAGTGAATGTTGTTGAAGTTGAAGTAGTAGTTTTTGAAGAGGTAGTTTTTGAAGAAATAGTTTTTGAAGAAGTAATTTTTGTAGTGACAGATGTCACAGTTTTGTTGTTTTTATGAGGTTTTTTTGGTACTTTTGTATTACTCTTCTCCAGAGAAAAAGCCAACATAGAATTTTCATTTGTATTGTTCTCTAAATTAACAGGGTTTTCAACATTTAAATTACTTTCAGAAACAATTGTAAAGTTTCCTAAACTAAAATCATTTTCTGAATCATTTTTAATGATTGCTGTAGAGCCATCTTCATTGATCATTAACTTTCTCAAAATAAGATTTGAACTTTTGGAAAATGCTGAATTTTGTTTATTATTTTCAGGACTGTTTCTTGATAACTTTCTACGTATTATTTTCAATGAATATGTGTTATTGCCATTATTAAAATTTACTACTTTTTTTGATAGTACTAAACTTAAATTTAATAGAAAAATATTCAAGAAAAGGTAAAATACCAAAATTCTTTCCAGAGATTTAGCACTATTCATAACTTAATATTTTCTTTAAAAAAAAGAATATTTCCTCACTTTTTTACTGTTTAGGCTATTAAATAAACTATAATCTAGCAAATACTCATATTTACTATCAATTGTGTATTTGAATTTGACTAAAAATTATTTATATTTAAAATTCTATCATCAAAAATCGTTTTCGAGAGGATTTGAATGTCAAGGTTAAAATAAATAACGTTTTTTCATAGGTCACTTTTTTATAATCAATTTTCCAGTAAAATTTTAAGTAATAAATAATCGAATTAATCACTAAATACAATATTATTAAATTAAAAAAAAAGTGTTTCATTTATTTGTAGTATTTGTTGTATAAATTGTTAGTTAAAGTTTAAAAAGTGCATTTTAATGTATATAGAATCTCAGATAAATTGTTGAATCTTTAAAATATTTGTTTATTATTTTTATTTCTAAACTTGTTTGTTTTAAATAAAATATCTCACAGTATTATTTAAAAAAAAAAAAAAATTTATTAAAAATTTATGTGTGTTTCCCGCCTAAAAATTGTTCCCCCCCCCCACATAATATAATGTATTTATTATCATTGAAATAGAAAATAAGCAGAAAATATAAATTAAAAGAGTAATCAGTTAAATTATATTAAATTATAAAGATTATTGACATTAGTTTTGATTTTTTTGAATAATTGTATATTTTGGACATGAATAAGTAATAATTAAATAACAATATATATAGTATAAATATTAATATAAATTAATTCATAGTATTAAAATAAATAAATATTTACTTAAATAATAATAATTTGATATTAGTAATAAGATAATTATTTTAAATTTAGTATACTGAGGAGTTCAAATAGGTTTGGAGAGGATATATAGAGGTGAAGAAGTAACAGTGTTAAATGAGAAATCAGGTGTAAATAATAAACATTAATAGACTCCAGAAGAGATAGTCTGAATTGATTTGGTAGCATCTAAAAAAAAAATCAGCAATTATTTATACTTTGATGATAAAAAACATATAATGCATGAATATGCAAATATAACCTAAAAAAAAAAGGACATAAATATATATATATATATATATATGTATATATATATATACATATATATACACATATACACATTATTATTTATTTATATACATAGCTATTATAAAGTTTAAAAAAGTATGCATTTTATTATTTATCTAAAATATATTGAAGGTTAATTAGATATATTAAAAAAAAAAGGAATATACGGAAATTGATAACTGAAATAGTATTAACTAAATAAACAAATATGCAAAGGGAAATCAGTATATATAAAAGTCCTATAAGGACTTTAAATCTTGCGTTGTTATTTTGTTATGAAGTGATATGCAAAATTATAATGGAATTATTTACAAAATGGTATAAAAACATATTGATTTTATTTCTAATTACTTTAGCTATTATTGGATTAAGTAATTGTAATAAAACATTAGAAACACTAATTCACGAATATATTTACGTCAATATTCTTAATAGCATCTGGTGGATTGGATTAGGATTTTTGAGTTCAGTAGGACTAGGATGTGGTATTCATACTGGATTATTGTTTTTATTTCCTCATGTTTATTCAATAATTACTACAGCAGAAACATACAACACTTTGAATTTTGATCCAAGGCAAAATATGTGGAACAATTTATTAAATCCTGGAGATTTATTTATAGTAAACGATTTAAATACAGAAAAAAGACCAACCATAAATCTATTTAACATATTATTAAAAATTCTTCCATATGCATTTTTATGGGGTTTTGGTACAGCTTTGGGGGAGTTGCCCCCATATGCAGCAGCATATGCAGCTTCAAAATCCAGAAAAAATAATAAATTAAGAGAATTAAAAAGAAAGAGGGAGAGTGATGAATTTGAGAGACAAAACACATCATTTATTGAAAATGTTGAGGATGATAATTTTGAGATTAATAAGGAGTTACTGCCTGATGATGAAAATAATTCAGACAATGAGGATTCCAGTCTAAAACATTACTTAATGAGTTTAATAAAAAAATTCATAGTAAGATTGATAGATAAATTTGGAGGATATGGTGTCTTTATATTAAGCTGTTGGCCAAATTTAATGTTTGACTTATGTGGGATTATCTGTGGCCATTATTTAATGAATTTTTGGACTTTCTTTATTCCACTAGTTCTAGGTAAAGGTATAATTAAAGTCTTATTTCAAACATTATTGTTAATATTTTTGTTTTCAAATAAATTTGAAAACAAACATGTTGATATTATTCTTTGGTTTGTTAAGAAATGGCCAATTTCTCAGTTTTTTGACAGAGATGAAATTTACCTTAAGGAAACTATTCATAGGGAATTGATTTATATTAAAAAGATATTAAGCAATGTGAATGAAAAATCAGCAGATTCTATTTCACCATCAACTTTAAATTCTTATAATAAAAAAAGCAATAAAAATTGGTGGGAAGTTGTCGCCAACAAAATTCAAATTACTTCCTTGTTTTCATGGATTACTATTTTTGTTGTTATTTTGTTTGCAATTTCTATCATTAATGAAGCAGCTAAATATCAAGATGAAGCTAATAAAAACAAAGAAAATAAACTTAAAGAAGACTAAATTTAATAAGTAACCCTTTTCATTTAAATTCTTTAGTCAAACTTTTTTTAATTACTTGTTTCATATCCAGAGACTTGTTCATATAATTATAATATACAATTAGACTAAAAAACAGGGGTTTGTAAATACATTTATTTAGTGACAATTCAGATTTTTGTTTTTAATCATTTGAAACGGAAGTGATTTTGTTTCAAACATACATGGAAATCTGTTATTACACCTATAAACTATTTTCAAGGAGAATATGCACCTTTTTTTTTATAACTAGTACAATCTTACCTTAAGATTATTCCTCTAATTTACAGACAGATCATTTTCAGACCTTCAAATTATAATTTAGTCGCTACACACACACCCATCTTCACTTTGGGTATCCTTAAAATAATATTTTGCATTATACATTAATTAATGTTCTTTTTACAAGGTTGATCATCCATTTTGGTTATTCTTAATTTTATAGATCATTAATTTCGTTCATCTTATTTATTATTACACTTGAGGAGAACAGTCATTTGATCTAATTTATTTTTTAATTAATATACAAATCAAAACCCCGCCCCACAAAATTTTTCCCACTATTTATTACATAGCTTGTATTCTAGTTGTTTTCTGATCACTTTTAGGCGCCTGATTTGGGCGGGCACTGTGTATAGCTTAAAGAGCGAAGACAGATATAACCAGTAGTTGTGAGAATAGGAATAAAAAATAAGGCGATAGTTTTGAAAGAGAAAGTTTGGGATTTTCTTTCTAAAAATATTACATTATATGTATTTAATTATATATATGTATATAAATATATATCGGCAAGAGAGAAACTAATTTATTAAGTTTCTTGTCAACTATACGGAGAATAGAGCTAGATATTTATTATTAAACTGGACACTTCATTTTTCTTTTTGGTAATATTTTTAAAGTATTGGGAAAACATTAAATTTTATTGCAAATTTTGAAATAAGCAGTTATTATATTAATATTAGGAAAACTTCTTAAACAAATTTGTGGGATTTGTTTAATTTTTGGATATAAATTATATTTAAATATTTTTTCAGAATTAAATAATTTATTGTTTAATATTTCAAGAAGAAAATAACTGGAATTAAATTTTCATTGTTTTTTTTTTCTTCTTTACTTACAATTAACTGAGTTTTTGTATTTTTATATAAATTCATAATACACATTTGTGAAAAAGGTTTTAAATAAAAATTCAAATACTCTTAAAGTTCATTTTAAAAGTTTTTTATAGAAATAAGTTTATTATAAATTGATTAAATAATGGTCAGATCATACTCAACTAAATCAAAAGGAAGAGGTTCGTTGAAAATTTGACATTATCTTACGTTTGTTCCTTTTTTGAGAATTCTTGCAATTGCAGTTATTTGGCTTCCTACATTTGTGAATTCATTAAATATACAATGGATAAGATGTTTTCAGAAGAAATGCGATTGACTTTGAATGGCTTTAGTTTCCTATCCTCTTCTTTTTGCTCTATTTTTTTTTAATCATTTCTCTTTAACTTGGTCAATGGCATTAAATATTTTAAATATCTTACTATCTATAACTTTGGTTTCTTCTTCACGCTGGTTCGTTCAGTCTGGAAGATATCCTTAATATGAATCTGGAAATATTGGAAATTTAATTATCTATATAAGAATTTTGGAGTTTACAAGGAATTTCTGTTGAAATGAATGACTTGATACAATTTTAGGGGAAAATTTTTTGAACGAGGTGTGGGATGAGGATAATTTATAATAGAAACTTATTATTCATTATTCTAATACTTCACTTTGAATTTTATATTCTAGTTCATCGGAAATGACCAATCATAACTATGAGTTGGGAGTCATCTTTTTCCTCTCCCCTCTCCCTTCTCATTTCCTATATATTCATTTCTTTTCTTTGTCTCTTAAAAATATCTTATATTTAAAATGGTAATAAATTATTTTTTTCAGATACATATATATTGAACTCGTTTGGATCAAAATACAATGGTATTTGAATCAATATACACTATTCTACCGCGAGAATGCACTAATATATATTTATATACCTATTGGTAATAGGGAATTTTATGTATTACGTCATTCATATATTTTTGTATACCGGTGTTTGTGTGCATATACGCTATTATATTGTAAATTTGGCATGGCAACTTATTGTTAGTTATATCAGAATATTTCGGTTTTACATATTTTTTTTTTTTTTTTAGCATTTATTAAAGCTTATGGATTTATAAAAATCAGATTTTTAAAATTGGGATTTATATTGAAAATAATTTAAGCCATTCAATCGTATTTCTTATTCATATTTTTGTAAAGATTATGCAGATATATGTAATCAATGTAGTTAATGGAGCCATATTAAACGAATGTTTCTTGCAATGAGAGAAAAAAAAGGGGAAGCAAAACGTGATATATATATATAAGTATTAATGACATTCTTAACTGATTTTTTTTTTAATCTTTTTGAAAATTATAGGTCAATTGCGCAATAATTCAAACTCTACAAGACGTATTGTGAGGCTTAGTAACACCAATTTGTCAAATTCAAGAAATAATTTGAACTCCGCAAATAGGAGTTCAAAATCAAGAATAATTAGGGGTCAGGGTGGTAGGAGAGTGAATACTAGTTTCGATAATCTAAACCGAAGAAGACTGGCATCTTCTAGGAACTCCAGTAACAAAGGATCTTCAATCTCACAAAATGCAAGAAACAGGAAGGGAAGCATTGGACGCTTTAATTCATCCGGAAATTCGAATATCAGAAGAGGTGGCGGAGGAAGGGGAAGGGGATTTAGAGGCAGAAACAGTGGTTCTGGATCAGCATCTAGAGGAAGAGGAGGGGCCTCAAGAGGATTTAGAGGAAACAGACGTCTCCAAAAGAACAAAAACACCACAAGCACAGCATCATTGGTAAGTTACTTTTTTTAAGAAAGTTCTGTGAATCTCCACATGCATTTTTATTTGGTTATAATGTATGGCGCCTAAAGTGGGATTTTCAGAATATATTTTTTCTTCAATTGTTAACTTTGCATAATTTTTCCGCGCACTGACCTATTTTACTCTAAATTGATTTTTCTTTTTAACAACAGGATGCTGCACTAGATTCATACATGGGAGCGGATGTATGCAAGGCACGACTAGACTCACAGCTAGATTCATACTTTTCTGGCCAAAGTACTGGAAATAATGATAGCATGGTAACCGGAGACTCTTCAATGAATGTGGAGACTAATCAGGAACCAGTTATGATTTCACTATAGAAAACCATTTAGAACTTTTGATAATTAATTTGGCGACAAGTTGTTAAGGTAATACATACAATATGTAGGTGGAGAAATAGTAGTATCTAATACTAAAACCTTATTCTTGATTAATTGGTATCTCTTCCGAGAAAAGCGCACTATTGTGATCATGAATATTACTACAGTCGTTGAAATCGTTAGTTTCTTGTTCATAATCAGAACTATTTAACTGATGGTCAGAACTATCATCATCCATTTGGTTTGTGTAAATATCATTCATCTTCCTATCTAATTGATTATTATAGAGTTTTATATTCTTATCATTGTAAGTATAATTATTTTTGATGTATGATTCACTATCTATTTCTTCTTGTTCTTCTTTTATTGCCTCTTTATTTGCTCTGTGTTCGCAATTATCTAGATCTTGGTCTTGGTCTTGGTCTTGGTCTTGGTCTTGGTCTTGGTATTGATTTTTGATTTGGTTTTTAACTTGAATTTGATCTTCGTTTTTGTCATGCTTTTGGACTTGACTCTCATTTCTGTATTGGTCTTGGCTTTGGAGAATGCTATCCGAATCCTGGCTCTGAGATTTATTTTCATTTTTAAGCTTTTTTTCGTGTTCAATTTCTTCATCAATTTCTGTATTTGCATCTAAATCATGTTCATGCATCTCGGAAAGATACTCTTCAGAGCTTATTTTGATTTTTAATTCGTCCATATTGGTATCATTAATAACATTTAAAGTATTATCGGGATATATTATATCATTTTTATAAAAGTCTGGAACATTTTCTTCTGAGATTTCATTTTCATTAATTTCCTTATATTTTTTAACTGGATATGAAGAATTTGAAATTAAAGCATTCCCACTTTCCATAGATATTATAACCTAATTTAATTAATAAATTACCAATATTTAATAATAAAAAACTTACATCTTTAATAATAATATTTCTTATAGCATTAAAATAACTTTGCCAAAATATACTCTCAGACATTCTGCCTGGTACTAGCTCATATCTAATATTATTTAAATCATCCATTTGTGAAAGTAGTGCTGCTGCCCATTCTGCAAAAGGTATTGTACAGTTCAAATCATCTTCATCTAGAGAAAATCCTTGTATTATAGATACTGGACAATTTGTTAAAAAGGTTTTCTTGTTCAATGTCAAGCTCTGAACTTTTTCTTTAATGCTTTTGTAGTTCCATTTCAATACAGTATTTGTGGGTAATTCTTCGCTCGACCACTGAACTATGTGAAACCAAGGAAAAACATTATCTTGCATGGTTTCTTAATAATTAAATTAATATTAACTTCCAAATATTTTAAGATAATAATTCAATAACTTACCATCAAAATCCTTCATTTCTAACTCCATTTCCTGAGTCAGATCTTCCACACTTTCAACAATTCCCATTTTTTAAGACTATTAATTTTTATTTTCGGATTTAATACAACTATAAAAGAGACTTTATCTATATTAAAGTGCTAACAAATCATAATCAGTTTCCAGTACTATTAATATTGTTACTTTTGTTTTCTTTTAATTAATTATTAATTATTTATTAATACTTTAAATCCGATTAATGTGTGTTGATTCCTTTTCAATTTAGTAATAATAATTAATATCAAAAATCTCTTAAGTAAAGGTATTATTATTGTAACTCCTTGAATATATCTAATCACAGAACTTCAAAAGAAAAATTTCAAAATATTATTCAGATCCTTATTTTGTTGTAATAAGCAAAAAGAAGTCATTAAAAACTTTTTTTTCATATAAAATAATATTCAGATTCTAATTTTCCCTCAATTGAAATATATAAATCATTAGATTTTTTTTTTTAATCAATTTTCTTTTTGATGCTGTTTTTTATAATCAATTTATTTTTTTTTAATGTTAAACAACAAAAATTACACAATTTTTACCGCCATTTTTTAATTTTTTTTTTTCTTAAAATTAAAAATTTTAACAGAAAAATTTATCACCTATTAAAAAAAAAAACCATTTTTTACAGAATTGCTGAATAATACTTTCTTAACCTTTATAAGTTATATATTTGTTATTTTAATATTAAATCATATCTTTGTCACACATCTCCTCCTTCCCCCCACCACCTCTCCCCCCTTTTTATTAATGCAATAATTATTTGTGTAATAATTATTTACATGTAATTTTTTTAAATAAAATATTGGGGGTTTCCCGCCCAAATTATTTCTATTAACAGAAATATATGTTATATGTATATAGAAATTTGTCAATATTATTAACTAAATAGTTTATATACCAGTAGAAAAAAAAAAAAAAAAAAAAACCAATTTTTTTGAAAAGGTTTAATAGCTATTTTAAATCCTTTTTCAATTGAAATTAAAGGAATTTATTCAAATATTACTGATTTTCAAAAAAATAATTATTAAGTTATATTAATAAATAATTTTTGAATAAAATGATTGATCCAGGTATGTATTACTAGAATTTCTGAAAATATTCAATAAAAATTAAAAATCCAATATTCTTTCAAATTATAACTTATGATTTCTATTTTTTACAGTTTATACAATTTCAGCTTTCCTTGTTTTATGTTTCTGTTTACTAATTACTTACATTATATATGTAAATAATTTATTAAATGAAAGAAATTTATCTAAAAAACAAAAAAGAAGAGTAAGTTAAATGATGTATTTTAAATTTAATTTAAGATATAAAATGTAATTGTTTTGAATAGAAACCAAGAAGAAAAGATAAAGAATATTGGAGCATTGACGAATAAAAAACCTAATTCATAAACTTCTTTTTTTCTCCTATTTTTAAAATTGATCTATTCTACTACTGAATTATCAAATTACATTCCAATCAAAGGTTGTATAATCACTAATAGATACTAACTTAATTAAATAATTATTCAGTTTAAATTCAGTTTTGAAAAAACTTTTCCTAACTATTTTGTAATTTATCCTATTTTGCAAAATTGCTTAAATATATGGATTCTTTTTCTATATTATACTTATGAATAAATATATTATGGCTACAATTTAATTCTACTTTCTAAACAAGTAAATATTAAATCATTATTCAAATATTCTACTAAATAAATTTTTGTTTTGACTCTTAACCATGAACACCCACTTTTATCCCCCCACCCCCACCCGTGCAAATCTTGTAAAAAAAAACGTCTCAAGATCACACTTACGCGCCCAGTACCGTATTTATTATTTTTTAAAAATAAATTTAAAATGTGAGGAAAAAATAGCTGAAGATAGAAATTAGAGAAAGTTTTGAAAAAAAATTTTAATATAATTATAATTATTTTAAAATATTTTCTCTATCTATTTTTATGGTTATTATCCACTATTATAGCGTCGTAAGAATATTTATTACTTACTAGATTCATTTCGAATCCAAATCATTGACGTTATTTTAGAGTGGGATTTCAAAACTTCAAAAACATCTTTTACTAAGAAAATTTTAAAATATTGAAAAATGTCAATAAAGCTACGTGAACTAATTAGACAAGTTAGAAGCTGCAAAACAGCGGCTGAAGAAAGGTCTATAATATCAAAAGAATGTGCACATATAAGAGCACTCTTTAAGGAAGATGAAAATCAATATAGACAGAGAAATATTGCAAAGTTATTATTTATTCATATGCTTGGATACCCAAGCCAATTTGGGCAAGTTGAATGTTTAAAACTGATTGCTAGCAATAAGTTTTGTGAAAAAAGAATTGGATATCTAGCCATATGTCAATTATTAGATGAAGATTCTGAAATTTTGTTACTAGCAACCAATAGTATTAAGAATGATCTCAATCACTCAAATCAATATATTAATGGACTTGCACTTTCTGCTATAGCTAACACAGCTCCTAAAGAAATGTGTAGAGCAGTTTTCAGAGAAGTTAGTGAACTTTTACTTGTTGGAAATCCATTCATTAAAAAGAGAGCATTACTTGCGTCAGTACATATAATTAGGGTTCTTGAGGATGCAGAAATTGAATCATTTATTAATTGTATCCCTTCTCTTCTTGAGGATAAACATCATGGAGTTCTTTTAGGTACATGTCATATGATCAATTCAATAATACAATATCATCCTGAACACATTGAAACTTTAGGACCTTTTGTACCTCTTCTGGTAAAAATATTAAGTACAATTAGCATGGCAGGATATCTTAATTCTATGGAATATGACAATGGAGGTGTCACTGATCAGTTTCTACAAGTACACATACTAATTGCAATTGGTGATCTAAGAACTGTAATTGGAGATGATATTAAAGAAAACATTTGTGCTGTGCTTGCTCAGTTGTTAACCAATACTGATAATTCCAAAAATGGTGGTAACTCTATTTTATATGAATCAGTTAGAACTATTACCAAATTATTACCATATATTAATGAGGACGGATTATATATGTTAGCCGTTAATACTGTGACAAAATTCTTACAGAATACCGACTTGAATATCCGCTTTGTTGCTCTTGGATTACTAGAAAACATGAAAGAGTTTCCAAATAATTCCAATAATTCTTTAATTATTTCAAATAATAATGAAGCCTTAAATGGTAGTAATAATACTGGTAATGAGAATACACATGCAGGTTTGGCGCCACATCATACATTAATTTTAGACTGTCTAAAGGACTCGGATTCATCGATAAAGCTCAGAGCATTAAAAGTTCTATTTTCATTAATAAACGAAAGTAATATAAAGATTTTTATCAAGGAACTACTTAATGCATTATTAATTTCTACGGAAAATGAAGAGATGGATTTCTCTATAGAATTGGCAACAGGGATGTGTATGGCGGTAAGAAAATGCAAGCATTTAAACCCACAATGGTATATTGACACTTATATTAAATTGTTTTGCTTAGCCGGAAATATAATTAAAGAAGAAGAAAGGGATTATTTTATTTCATATCTTTCTTCTTTAAATGATTCAAGCATTCATTCATATACTGTCAAAAAGTTGTATCTGTCTCTATTATCTAGAAATGACCAGATTTTACTAATCCAAGTTACTTTGTGGGCAATAGGTGAATATTCTCAGTATTTGTTTACTAATAATAATGGAATTGACTCTTTTGAAGATAATAAATCTTTAGATTCCTCAGAAATTGATATTTCTGAAGAATCTATTATTAGTATGATTGAAAGTATTTTAATCAGCAATACAAGAGAAATCTCCAATAGCAACTACTCACTGTCATTATCAGGAGTCAATAATTTATGTATTGATTACTCTCATCCGATTAAAGGAGTTGGAATTTACAGCTCTATTAACTCCATAGAGACCACGATTAACTTTGCATTAGTAGCTTTAATTAAGTCCAGTATTAGACTGAAGGCTCAAAAAGATAAAATCCTAAAACTTATTCAAAGCCAAGTATCATCTTCCTCAGTAGAAATTCAACAGAGAGCTTTAGAATATATGCAAATTTTGAACTCTAACTGGGATTCTAATAGAAACAAAATTCTTAATCCTATTCCAGTATTTGACATTTCAAATCTTCATTCTAATGAGACCAGATCAAATAGTTACAATAACATTAATGCTTATAATTCGCCAAAGAAAAACAAGAATGAAAATGTAAACACCAGTTCCAACAATAACAATCTTGTAACAGATCTTTTGGACCTTGATTCCAATATTAATGAAGTAGCACCCAATACAAGTAACAATAATCTTAAATATAGGGATAATTTGAATATTAATAGCTCAAAAGTTGAATCGAATAGTGGTGACATTTTGGATTTATTTGACAGCTTGACAAGTAATAATGCAAAAACAAATCCTAGTAGTTTCAATACATCAAATCTCGTGATCCCTGCTTCTGCATCTGCTTCTTTTATAAATTCCAATACTAATTCTACCAGTAATAATAACTTACTTTACTTTAACGAGGAAAAACCTGCTCCAACTATAAAAAGCTCCCCGTTTGAGGACCTCATTGACTTCAATAAGCTTGATTTAGCACCTTCTTCAGCCCCAAATAATAATTTAAACTCTGTTGAGACTATTAAAATATACGAAAATAAAGATATTAGAATTACTTTTGACATATCCAAAAACAGATTCAACCAAAAAGAAACCAACTTTACTGCAAAATATTTTAATATTTCTGGAATCGATATATCAAATTTTAAACTGGAAATTGCAGTTCCAAAATATCTTAATATTCACCTTGAGACTGCTTCAAGTAGCCATCTTCCCTCTAATAACTTCAATTCTCCAGTAAAACAAGAAATTAAAGTAACAAAAAATGGGGATGATAATAACCAAATACTAATGAAACTTAGAATTAATTATAATATCAACAATAACCAAGTTACTGAATATTCTAATGTCAATAATATTCCAAATAATTATTAATTGCAATTTTAATAATTTTTTTTTGTACTTGCATGCATTTCTGCATGCAAACATTTTTGGCACGTCATCATTTATGTGGATAAAAACAAATAAATGAATGATTTAAGTCGGGTATATATATTAAGTTGTATTATTTCGAATTTTTTCAATATTTTCTAATATTTCTAATGTAATTTGTTTGTTGATATGTCTGTTATTTTTAATGCACGAGTACAAAAGAAAGCCACAGTTTAGACAACCGTTTTTACAGTTGCAACTATTTAAATTATACCTCATATTATGAATAATATCTTCAATAATTCGTACTTCTTTTCCATTTTCAGTACACTTTAACTTCATAAGCTCATTAAAATATCCATTACCTCCTTTTTTATTTTCATAAAGTAAAAGAATTATTGAATCTGTTTGTTTGTTCTTCTGATTAAAAATTTTAACTATAAAATAAGGTAAATTTCAGTTTATCATTATGATTTTAAGTCATTTTTTCATGAAAAGAAAAATTATGTTAAACTTACTGTCAGGACATTCACAGGAGATGTCATTAATATTACAAGATATATACTTTGGAAGTGAGTTAATTACGTTATGAATAATTCCATGTATAGCTATATTGATAATCTCTACTTCAAATTTGTCTCTTAATTCTAACTTTATCTGCATTCCCATTGTATTGAAAGAATATACCAAAGGTTTTTGAATATATTTCTCTTCCAGAAAAATCCACTCATTGTTAATTATCTCATATACTGAATAACTATATATATCAAAAGTAACTCTTGCTCCCGTTATATATATACTCATTTTAATCATTTCATTCTTTGAATTCTCATTTAGTGTATATCTTTCACCATTTCCTTGCATTATTACTGCAATTTCTCCAGAAGAAACAGTTTTTTGTTTAAGTCTATGATCACCTTTCTTAATCTCCTGCATTAAACCTAAAATTAATTATTAAATAAATTAAATTATTAGATAATAAATAAAAAATAATAACTTACCTCTTCTCGATGCTAAGTCTACAGATAAAGTTTTAAATAATACCCCATTTATTGAATATATTGATTCTGGATACACTAGACGAATTGAACTAAGAATAGGTAATGTATCAATCACAATTCTGTTATCTTTTACATTATAAAGAGATATAGTTAGATCACTATCTCTAACGTCTATTTGTTTGTAAATATCTTTTGGATCATTCAATATCAACTGATCATTATTTTCAAAATATAATGATAGTAATGAAGATATACATGCAGGTTCGATCCCCACCTCAACCTGATTTTTTATTTTATTCCAATTATAATACAAGTCACATGTATTGAAGTCTTGGACCTTTGAATTATCATAATTAACCAGTAAATTTCTATTATATAAGAATTTGACAATATCAACTAGTATTTCTGAATTTAAATCCAAAATCTTTGAATCTCTTTTTACATTGATGTATTTAAAAGATTCAACAGTTAAACATATAAGGTGAAGAATTAATAAATAGGGATTTTTGAGATTAATAACGCACGAGTCAAACTGCTTAGATAGTAGCTCTTTACCATGGTTACTTATATAATTATCAATTTCATTATTTTCATTTAGCATAAGCATTTTAATGCTTTTTGTTTTATGATCTCTCCCACATCTTCCAAACTGTTGCGTTAATCTATTAATGGACCCAGGGTACCCAAAAACTATTACACTATCAAAGCATTTTACATCAATTCCGAGCTCTAGTGCAATTGTGCTAATAACTATTTTGACTTTGCCATTAAATATTAGTGATTCCAATTTTCTTCTTTCAACCTGAGAAATACCCCCTCTATAAATCTGAATATCATTTTCAAAGTTAAAATGATGATTATTATGTATATTTATCTTCTTTAAAACCATTAAAAGATCTCTCTTAATATTTTCAACCAACTTTCTGGAATGGCAAAATAGAATTAATTTACGATTTAAATAATAAAACTCTATTAACATATTAATACATTCTTTATAACTTTTGTTTATTTTAATTTGATTGTAACTTTTTGTATTATCTTTATTAATATACTTATTACTATCCCAAATTAATATTGATGATTCTTCTTTTGAACTTGAATCATTATCAATGAGAGAAATATCATTAAGACTTTCAAACTCGGAGCCTACCAAGTTTCTAAAATGTTCTATAGGATTATTTATTGTTGCTGTACATACAATATACTGAGTACAATGTTCTGGAATTATTAATTTATTCTTCTGTTTATAGTATAGAATACCTCTATTAAGTCTCTTTAATATATAACTAGTATTAATTCCAAAATGTCCTGTATAAATATGAGCTTCATCAATAACTAGTAGTTTTAGTCTATTATAAATCATACAGGATAAAAACTCAATATTCCAATGAATAAAATCAATGTTTGTTGAAATTATATTACTCTTTAATAGTATTTCTCTTCTTTGATTCATATTTGTATCACCATCTAACTTATTTATCACTGGTAAAATGTCCCCGGATTCAGGTTTAAAACAATTTATTATTTTCGTTATCTTCATAAACTGATCTTCTGATAATGCTTTTGTCGGAAATATCAACAATGTTAAATATTTTGGATTCTGAATAGCAAATTGAATACATGGAAGTATATAACACATGGATTTCCCACTAGATGTACCAGTTGTAATTATTACATTTTTTTTGTCTTTCAAAATTGCTTTAATTGCTTCACTTTGATGATTATAAAATCTGAATTTATCAGATGAATTATTATTAATATAAGAACTCAGCATATTAAGTATTTTTTGATCCAAAATTGAATATATTTCATCATTTTCATCGCAATATTTGGCTTCTCTTGCATTCTCAGTCTTCTGGCTTACTATCCCTCCCTTTAAAATGGTACTTTTTGAAATGGTTTCAATTACTTCATCAGAGCCTATTATTTGATTTTTTTCTTTAGCAAGCGAAATTAATTGATTTATTCTTTTTATTCTAAAATCCTCCAAGTTATTCTCTTTTACCTCTATATCAACTTTATCTGTCAATTTGTTATCATTTTTCTCCTTCTTTACACCAATATTCATTAATATCTGGTCTTCAAAGAATTTCAATAAAGAGTCCATATATTTTTTGCCAAGCTTCTTACTTCGAATCAAGTTTGTGGAAGATTGTGTATCTAATTCTTTAACCTTAATTCTATCCTCTACACATTTATCCTCAACTTTGAACTCTATTATGTAGTCTCTAGAATTAGCCAATATTTCGTTCAAGTCGAGCTTTGTGTTTGAAATCGGCACAGGCGTATCTGTAATCCTTTTTATTATAATTTTATCTTTTATTGCAATAATTACATCTTTAAAATCATTAATACTGTCAGTCCCATGTATTCCAGGGCACTTTCCAAGCTTACAAATACAATCACTAGAAACCCCACATAATATCGAGGATATCCTTGTAATGTAATTGTTAGAAATAAGCTTGTTATAAGTTTCTAAGAATTTTCAAAAGAGAAAAAAATAATAAAATTAAAAAATGATCGTTACATAATGCTTTCTAATGCTCAGAAATTTCTTTTTATTTAATTAACCTACCTAAAATCTTCTTTAAGAACTCCAATAATCGAATATTTGTCAATATTTGGGCCTGGTATGTACTTAATTTATTTCTTTGATTAACTAACTCATTGGTTCTTTCTCTTTTGAGCATATTTCAACTAGTAAAATATTTTACCATAAAAAAAAAACTTCTCAGAATTATTTATTATTTTTCATTAAATTAATATTATGTGTACTCTTTATACCGGAATTTCATTAAATGACGTAATAATTATTTTCTTATTTTGACATGTAATCCCGGCATTTATATTTATCCACATGCGGGAAATTTAAATAATAATTTTTAAAAAGTAATAAATATAAGTCAATCTTGATGAATAAGTTTGAGAATGGGTTGGAACACGTAAAAATACGGATTTCTAGGATTGAAGATGAGATATATAATATAACAGAGTCTAGGGAAAGAAATATTATTGAAAAAAATAAATTAGAAGATGAAATAAGTGATATTTCTGGAATAGAACAACTATTATCAGAGCTTTACGACGAACTGTACAGGATTTCTGAATTTCATGAGGCTAATAATCTTTTAATTACCCAAGGGTTTGAGTTAGAATTGAGAAAAATATTCAAAGAGTATTATTCTAATAAATTAAAATGTTTAAATAGTATGGATTTTTTAAAATATGATCAAATTAAGTCTAGTTATCAAAATTCCAGATCATCATTAATTAAAAAATTAGAAAACGACTCTGGAGGAGATTTTTTAAAAATTGATCCTTTTAATAATATAATTAAAAAAATAATCAAATCAAATGAAAAAATTTTTCTTACTATATTCCAAATTGAAAGCTTTTACAAAATACTATTATGTTTTTTAAATACCGATTTTTTAATATGGGATCCTTTTTCTTATTCAATAGATACTATTTTGCCTTCTTTTTTAAGCATTATTAATGATGTATTCAAACAAAATGGTGAGATAATTTTGAATAATGACTTGTTTAATACACAAAAACTTATAGAAAGATTCTACTTGCAAAATCTAATGAATTATATATGTGAAATAGTAAAAATATATTGGACTCCCCTTTATTTTAAAGAGACGGAGAACTTGGTTGAATCGATAAGTTATATTAAGAATAGTTTAGAAATTGAGATGCCAGAAATTATGTCGGAGTTCATGGAAAAACTTCAAAATAGTTTTAATTCATTAATTTCAGAATATTTATCAAATTCAGATATTGAATACAAGTTTGTTATACTCCTTTTGAACTGGGGTACTTCAGTGCGAATAGTTACAAAATTACTTAAAATAAAAAAAGAAAGTACCGATGTATTGCTAAATAATTCCATTATAAATTTCTTTAAAAATATTACAAAAGATTGTGAAAATGAAAATCTAAGAAAATTACTTTATAATACTGAAATTGACACTCAAAAAATGAATGATTATTCAGTGCATGATCGAAAATTAGATTCCAACACAATATTGAATCCTGAAACAATTGGTTTAGTAAATATTAATGAAGCTATATATCAAATTACAAATAGCTATAAATTAGACTTCCCTAATAAAAAATACACCTTAAATGAAATTATATTGGAAATTGTGTCAAATCACAATTAAATTATTTAATTACTTTCTTAATAAAAGCTCAATACGCTCATTTATCATATCATAAACCTGTCTTGAAGATAATACATCCATAACAATGTCTGTAATTGCTTCAGGAGTAATATCTTCATTTCTTTGGTAAGAATTACATTCAACTTTGCTACCTTTGCCTAAAATATCTTGAAAATGCAAAAGTTTCTGAAGTGAGTCACTAATTACAGTTTTTTCAGAACTGTTAATTTTCTCCATACTAATACTTTTATTACTAAAATTCTGATTATTTCCATTATGGTTATTTTTATTAGCACTATTGATATTATTTATGCCATTATTTTTATTATTGTTATTATTTTTACTATTATTATTATTATTATTGTTATTAGTATTTTTATTAGCTTCTATAGTTCTATTGTTATTGACAGAATCTCTAATCATCTGCTCTATGTTGATTTCGTTACCTTGATTCTTTTGATTAGATTTCTTATTGAGGAATTCTAATATAGTTTTCCCTGCATTGTTATTGTAAATAGCTGCAGAATCTGACTGAAGTCCATTAGATGATGAGTTATTATCAATATCCGTATTCAATCTTCTAACCATCAACTTTGAGATAATTCGTTTTAATGAAGCTTCAATTGATTTTCTCTCCTCGACCTCGTAAAACCACAAACATGAAACTGTAAAATTCTGATTCTTGCCTGGAACCTTATAAAATAAATAGTTTGTTTCTCCACTTAGCTCCCATTCACTTGTAATTCCTAGTATAAGATTCTCAGGGTTTTTTTGATTTAAAACAATTAGTTGATATATCGGTTCTATGTCTCTCTTAACAATATGTAAAAAACCCTCAACATCTCCTCTGACCCACTTCTGACTATTTCCATCCATCAAATATACACTTACAAAGCTGGAATGTGCAATAATCTCATTAATGTTTTCATCATGACGCTTTAAAAGCTGTAAATTAAGTCTCTTTCTCTCGTCCTCTAAATTGCTTTTTCTTTGATTGTCCAATGAATTCATCTTAATGCCTTGAATATATAGTATTATAATATATTAATATTAATTGCATATATAGAGTGTTTATATTAATCAATACAAATATATATACAAATTTTTTTTTTATTAATGTTTAGAATTAATTATATATGGCTAGAATTAGCAATAAAATTACAGAAGTTATATGATGAAACAAAGCCAATAAAGTAACAATCAATGAGAACTCAATATTGACAATATTCAATTTTCACTCAATCAGTTCTTTTCTTGTAATTTTATTTCCTTTTGAAAATTAACCCTCTTATTTTTGGCATTATTTACAACTAAGAAAATTTATTATTTACCTTTTATTATTACTTCTCCCTTAATACTTTTGACACATATGATATCATTGCCCTGTACCGCCCCCCACTACATATGGCGCCCAATTTTTTAATAATATAATTATAAATGTTGCATGCAATCCAAAAATTATTGGAAAAGAAATTTAAAAAGAAATTAAACTAAAGATCAAATAAAACAACAATATACTAAGATTCAACTGAACTGTTTTTTATAAAATACAAAAAATCTAAATATTTCTCTTATTTCTGATTTTTTTTTTTATTGACTGTTAATATATATATACATTTGTGTAGATTAATTTACAATACATGAAATTGCATGCATAGGAAAAACTCGTGCAATTGCAAATAATAGTTGATTACGTGGAAATTTAATAATAGTATTATTATTAAAAAAATAAATAATATTGAAAAGGAAAAGGAACTTTTTTCTTAAAATTAATAATGAAATGTTGTATGAAATTAAAGTAGAGAACGGTGAACCAGCTGATATTTATGAATGGAAGAATTCCGAACTACCAGAATTGTTTAGTTACGAATTTTCTGCCGACATACTTAACTTGTTGTTAGAATATGACGTAACTGCAATTAGTATAAGCGAAACTTTAATAACAATAAGTACATTAGATAATGAAATAGTAATTTTCAGAAAAAATAAAGAATTTACCAGAATTGGGAAAACCAGAGTAAATTTTAGAACTAAAGAGGAAATATTTAGGCTCATAGCTCTAGATGAGAACAAAAAACTACTACATGCACTTAGCAATAAAGATGAGTATTTGGTTTATAAGATAAATTTTTCTTCAGAAAAAATTGAAATTATAAAGATCTTTAGAGAACTTGAAGTTATTAATTTCTTTTTTAATAAAATTAATTACACAATTTTACTAATATTAAAAAGTGGAAAGTGTATTATTTTATCTTTAGAAAATGAATTAGATTACAAAACTAAAGTAATCAGAACTAATGAAAAAATTATTAATAATTGCAAAATCAATGCAATATGGAATTCTAAAAATCAGACAGTTTTGTGGAATATTGGACATAAACTATACTTATATAGTTATAGTTTAGACAAGTTATTTTTGAATATAAATTTGAAGAATTATCTTACAATAGATGAGAGAGTGAGTATGAATAGAATACTTATTCATTATAGTCAGGGAAATATATATATTTTGGTTAAGAATAAAGTTTTTTTGTTTAAGATATTAAAAGATGAAAAAGAAGAATACATTTTTAACTTTAAATTAATATACAAGATGAAAGATGTTTACTCAGCCATTGATATTTCAAATATTGAAATCCAACCTCTGAATTTAATTTATACATGTATTATGGCTATTTTAAGTAATTCTAAAGATCAAATTAATATATTTATATTTGATCCTTTCTTCAGAATTGTAAAACATGATATAATACATTGTAAAAAAAGACTTTTAAAAGATTTCAGAAGATATAAGTATTTAAATGAATCTGATTATGTTAATTTGGAACATCTTTTGAGTGTACCAAGATTTCTAAAGCTTGAAAAAAACCAACTATTAATACATAAAAATAGAAATCAATCATTTCTAAAGATGGAATCAATGGGAATGGATGAGATTTTTATTTCATGTATGAAGAAATCTTTTGTAAATAATTCTCTTTTTTTGATTAATTGTGACATTTCAAAAGAAATGGAGACATGTCTTATGGTTAATTACATTAAAAAAAATAAAAACTCAGTTGAATTTGTAGATAAGGTACTTTCAAAGAGACAAATATTAAAAGACACAAAACAGGAATTTGATTTGTATATTGATTTATTCAGCTATTTTGGTAATTTTTATGACTTTATAATTTATCTAAAAGACTCTGACAGTTTTTTAAAGATGTTTATAGAAATTAAAGATTTACAGTGGTACTCAAATTTTGTTTCTATGTTGTATAAAAAAGACATTACTTTATTCTACTATGTAATTAATAATCTTCCAATTCATAAAATAATTATGGAACTTGATTGGAATAACAAAATTTACTCTGGACTTTTGTTTTTCATGGAAACTAATACTGATTTAGATTTGAAGGGTTTTGGACATGGATTATGTAATCATGATATTTCAAATAGCTACCAGGTTAATTCAAAAGATAACAAAAACATTGCTTACTACTATTTGAGCTATATTGAGGTTTTATCTTGGGTAAAGGTATCTCAGGAACAAACTATTATTAATTGTCTTCATTTGCTTGAAATAATACCCGAAAATGAAATGATAAAAGATTCAGTTATCAATTATTTTAATATGTATTCCAAAAATTGTCCAAATAAAGTGAGAAAATTTATATTTGAGAATGTTTCCTGTATATTAAATACCAACAATTACATAATTATTGGAATATTATTATACAATAATATAATCGGCGAATATAATTATTTATATGATATCATTAAAAATAAAAAAAAGGATTGCTTTATATTTTTGAAACAGTTATTATTCTATCAGAGTAATTACATTAGTAACAAATTTACCAATATTTCAGACAACCAACAAATAAATATACATTTAGAAGAGGTAATTGACTTTTTTAATTCTCACCTAAATAACATTATTGAGATCTATTTAGAATTCTCAGTACATGAATTTTTGAACTTTATTACAATTAATTATGGATTATTTAGTTCCGAGAATTTAAATTATTTGGCAGAATTGGATACATCAAATATCCTAGAGAACGTTAAATATGATTTATATTCTGAGAAAAAATATATTATTGAAGTTAAGTCAATTGCAATGTTTTTATTAAATAATAAGACCAGTGCATTAAAACTACTATTAGATAATGGAATAATTTTCAGTAGTTTATCTTTAATTATATATTTTAATTCAGATGGGGAAAATATATGGAAAGAATTTATTAATATGGTTTTAAATAGTAACATTACAGAATCCAATCAATTGGATAACTTTATATTTTGGTATGAATATTTTATTTGTAATCCAACAGATGGTTTACCTGAAAGTTATATTTTGGATGTTTTATCTAAATTTAGTTTTCCAAAAAATCAGCTTTTGTTTAACATCCTTAGAAAAGACCTTTTTAAAAGCTCAAGCTATTCATTTGATTGCTGCAATTACCATAAAATTCCTTTTAATGGTAAGTATTTAATTCCAAAAATTAAGAAATTAATTATTGAATGTATTAAGTCCTTTAAAGAAGGATTAGAGAACAAAAACCTTATTAGTAATAAAAAAATACATGAAAAATACCTCAAATTTCAAATTGAGTTGGCATGCACCAATATTGATTTTTGCAATCGAGAGAGTAATCGAAATATTAAAGAATATATAAATAATTTACCAAAAGGTTCATCTTTGAATTATAATACAGATTTATGTTCATTATGCAACTCTAAATTGTTTTTTTTAGAAAACAGAAAACTTTCGAGCAAAGTAATTCTCAATCACTGTAAGCATAATTATCATTACGAATGCTATTTAAAGCATGTACATATTTACGAAAAGAGTCAAAAATACAAAGTTGGTATTGAAAACAAAATTTCGAAGAACAATATTAAATGTATTATTTGCCAATATAAATTATTAATTAATAATAATTTTTAGAAATACTTGAAAAAATGTGCTACTAAAATGCATGTATGCAAAAACATGCATTTTAATGTGGATGGCAAATAATTATTGATTACATGTGGATATATTCCGGTATATGTAATAAATAATGCATATAGTCATAAATGAAAAATATTGCGGTTAAATGAGAATAATTACAAATAACAAAAATTAAATAAAACTCCCCCACAATTAAATAAATATGAGCATGTAATGCAAATTATCAACAGAGGATGGATAGAATGTTTTTTTATAGTAATAATATAAACCCAAACAAAAAATCAAAAAAAGATCGAAATCAGGAAATGAATTGAATTGTGATAATGATAAATAGTTCGGTTAGTACAAGTTTAAATTCATACGAGAATTTTGATGATAATGAGGAATTAAAATTGTCAGGTCAAAAAAAAATTGATACAGACAATTTTCAAAGTGAAATTAATCCAGGAAATATAATAAATAATTTTCCTATAATAACCGGTTATTACGGAGTTGTATTGAGGAAAAAAAAGCATCCATTATTCGGTTCATATTGGAATAAGGAGTATTGTTTATTACAATCAAATATTTTTGTATGCCATGAACTAAAATATCCATATAAAATTAAGAAAAGTATATCAATTGCATCCATATCAAAATGTGAAATATCAAAAATGGACCCTTGTGTCTACTGTTTAACAATAAATAATAATGAACATAATTCCGGAAAATCAGAAATTTCACAAATAAGAGGATTTTCATGTTTTAATTTTAAAAATAAAAAGATTGAAATAATTAAAATAAAGTGTACATCAACTTTAGATACTCAGAAATGGACTCTTTATATTAATAATACACTAAAAAATTGGAGATCAAATAAAAATAATGCAAAAAATCTTTATAATGCAAATCAATATATTGAAAAAACAATAGCTCAGGAATTATTTGAAAAGGTGAATAGAAAGTTAAAAAAAGTAATTATTCAATCATCAATAAATAATATGATTTTAATATTTAATCAGATTCAAAAAAGAAATTTTTATAATAGTTTCTATAAGATTAAGATTAACAGCATTATAAATTTGAATAATAAAGAAAGTGAATCATCTAGAAGTACAAGTAATTTATCCACATCAAAAAATGATTTTACATTTAAAAATGATTTGTTGTTGATAAAAAGAAGAATTATTTTATTTAAAATTGAACAAGGATCAAATCATTTGAAAAGAATCATAATTAAAAGAATGTCAGAATATTGGGAATTATTTAAAAATCAAATAAAAAGTAATCTTTTTAATAGTTATAGAGAATCCGAATTTATGGAAATACATTATAAATTAATAATAAAAAGAAGAATTTTTCTATTTTGGAGAGAATTACTAAGAATTATTTCATTAAAAAATAAAGACAATAAACAAAAAAAAAGAAAATCTGTGGATTTAATTATTTCAACAGATTCTACAGCGGCTTATAACACAAATGATACACTTTTCCACTCTAATTCATCATCATTAAAAGATTCTACTTTAAATTTACTATCTGAAATGACATTATCTCCAACCACTAATACAAAGAATCCTAATAAAGAAATCTATTGTAAACCAGATATATTCAAAAACCAATTAAAGCAAAATAAAATTATAAATAAAACAGATAATAAACGTCAAACAACACTAAAAACGTCAGCGAAAGGAAACAATGTTCATATAAGGGACATTTCTAATATCCGTAAAAATATCATACAAATTACTAAGCTAAATTTTATAATACTTACAAAAGTAAAAATAGCTTGGAATCTTCTAGAAACAAATCGTGTAAAAAGTAACGCCCTGCTATCCATTTACAAATATAACCAAATTCAATCCTTCTTCGAAATATTAGAGAGAAATTGGAAATCGGAGTTCTATAGGGTTTTTCTAGTATTAAAACAAAAGCAATAGTTTCAATAATTAAACAAAAGGAATAATTACTGCTACAGAAATATCATCATCTAAAGGAATAACTAATATAAATTTTTTCAATATGATTGGCTGGTTTAAAATAATTCCTTAATATAAATTTATATTTACTTCTCATTAATATTTAATATTTGCATGCAATTTTATTTATATTAACGAATAGATCGTTTGGCGGTGGCATGCTGAAGAATGTATAGAATTGGCGCCCAAGCAATAATGCACACGTAATTTAGTTAATTTATGTTTGTGTCTATTAAAAACAAGCATGAAAAGTATAAAAAACTCACAATAAAAGGGTCAAAAAAGAGTTTATATATAAAGAAATAATTATTTAAGTACTCTTGTTAATCGAAGAAGAAATGGCAGATTTATCAGATATTAGGAGTGGGAATGCAAATACTAAGGTTTCTGTTTTATTTAGAGATGAACAATACTGCCCAATTGTGGGAGATACAAAAGGAAGAAATGTAGAGACCAATAAAAGGAGAATTCCATTTGGTATGACCGAGCTAACTTTGGAGCATGAAGCAGCATTGAAAGGTTTATTTGATACATTGAATACACATGGAGATGGTAGAATTAGACTTAATGATTTAATAATTGCCTTGAGAAGAGCTTTTGATAATGGTACTGTCACATTTTCGAGGCATGAAGCCTCAGCTGCAGAAATTACTGGCGAGCACATTGATAGCGAGCTTGAGAAACTTAAAGAAGATTTTGATATGAACGGAGATGGAACTTTGAACTTTGACGAATTTAGACGTTTAGCAAGAATGAAGATTTTGAGATTAAGTCGTGATGACGAAATTCAGTTGGGTTTTAGACTATTAGATAGAAATAATAGTGGTTATATTACTACTTTAGAATTGAAACAGTTATTGACAACAAAAGGAATTTCTCCACTATCATCCGAAGAAGCTGATGAACTTCTGTTTATTGCAGATGTTAATCATGATGGATTAATAAGTTATGAAGAGATTAAGAGATATTTGGAATATAATAGGAAACCTCTTCTGAATTAGTAACAAAAAACTTCTAAATACATCAACAACTGTGAGAAGGAAATAGTAAAGTCTATTCATTATTAGTCACAATAGGTAGTAATTCTTTTTTTAAAAATGTTTTTCTTTCTCTATGTCAAAAAATATCAAAAAAACAAATTTAGAAATCTTTAAATGTATTTAATTAAATGAAATTAGTTGATTTATGGTTGAACAATAAACAAATTTTTAAAATTTAAATATATTCGTTGGGGAATATAACTAAGTTAACAAATCCTTGGTTGAATGAAATTTGATCGTTTTCAAGTGTTTCAGAGTGAATCATTCTGTTTGAAGAATCCGGGTTATTTTTCTTGTCGTTCTTTTGATAATTCTTTAGTATTTGTAATACCCCTTTTTTAATTTCTTCTCCTGTTAGAAGATCAGCATTTTTAAGGTAGTTATTTATCCTTTCGTCAACCGAAATATTGTTTACAAAGGAAACATCTTTCTGACTTTCAATAAGATATTTCTCGTGTTCTTTTTCGAACCCCCATGTGATCTTGTTGATAATAAGCTCAATACTACCAAAAATAAATTCTTTGAATTTTAATGATTCAAGTTTATTAAGGGGTATTTCTTCCGATATTTCAAAATAAGAATGTTTACAATTTTTACTTTCATCATTAATATCTAAATCATAAATTTCGCAGCTATTAACTCTAGTTGTTAGTAATAAGCCTTTAATGACCAATATAACAACTAAACCTGTAATTTTCATAATATCTTATTTCACAAATGTGAATTTTTTTGTATTATATTTGGCTACTCTTTGAATTTTTACAGTAATATTTTATTTTTTTAAATGTATTCTTATAAAATGCATGTATGTACTTTATCTTCTTCTCGAATGACTGCTCTATATATTACAAATCTCTTTGATCTAACAAAAGTGTAAGTCTTCAATGTTTTATGATTTGTACATATATTCAAGACCTTGAAAATATTTACCTATTACATGCAATATTGATATAGATAATTAAATCAACTCGTGACCGAGTAATAACTATTAATTATACAAATTTTGCCGGTATTAAATTTTTACAGTTATTAAATTATATAGTCTATAGATTAAAAAGAAAAAAATCAGGTTTCTTTAATTTACACTGTAATTCCCTGACCTCTTCAAATAGTAATAAATGCCTACATATTCTGTCTTTCTAAATTACTATCAATTAATATTTTATATTTTTATCTTAATAATAATTGTAATAATAATTTTGTCCACATGCAAATAATACACGTAAGACAATTGTTTGTATTCATTTCATTTGCAACCGGTATCAGAAATTAACTAAAAAACAAATACAAAAAATAGGCAGGAGCTGGCGCCTAATCCTAATGCACTTTTTTTGAATTAATAATAAGTTAGTAAATAGCATTTATTAAGTTATGAAATAATTTATTTAAAAAAGAGTTATAGTTAGAGTTATCCAGAATGTGGTCATAATGGAATAATATGCATTTATTTATTCAAAGTAACAATATAAAATATGTATAAAAATAATAATTGGCACCAAATATAATTTGTCTGAAGTTGATTAAATCTACTGCTTTTATTTATAGTTTTTTATGTACAAAATCAACAAAAATTTAACTGCAAAATACTCATAAAATTATAGTTATATTATTGTATTTATTTTTAAACAAGTAATTCAACTATTTAATATAAATAATGCTAGAAGAATTTATTTAATGGTATTATATTTTTGAGAAAGAAATACATATTTTGGACTAATTTTGATGAATCTTACTTTGTTTTTTTTACTGTTAATATTAATATATGTAAAGTCACAGAAACCAATTAAAAATGAAACAGTGTCACTAGAAAACGAGAATTTAAAAATACCTTTATTTCTTGATGTTTCCAGTAACAAGTTGGGGTTGAATTTAGTAGTTGGAAAAAGAACCGTTTTATTAGTAATTGATACATTAAATGAGGGAATTCGGTTATTTCAAGATGGCACTGAGGCTTGTAATAAAGGTAAACTAGGTTACTCATTTAGAAGTAGAACCAGCTTTGAAGATAAGGACGAAAGTAATGAGAACGGTAATGTTGGATGGAGTGAAAATAATTGTTATGATCCATTACTATCTGATTCCGCTTCCTGGTGTTATAATAAGGATTATTGCAGAATCAGTTACTATATAAATTCATATAAATGTGAAAAGAATAGGAAGTTTCCTGATACAAAAGAAAATGGGGCTTTTAACACTTTTTTTCATACTAATGAAAAGGTTTACGATGGTATAAGTAAATTGGAAGTCTTCTTAGAAGGGAATGAATTGGTAATACTTCCATGGACGATTCCAGAATTGACTTTACAGGAATTTCCTATTAAACTGATAAAGAGTAATTTATCTACGGGAAGTGGAGAAAATTGGCCATCTTTTCACAATTTTGATGGTTTTATTGGTTTAGTAGGTAAGTTTGTTTGATTTTACTATTTAGTATGAGCAACTAGTTCAAGATTACAATATAGAAATTGAATTCCGTGAAATGGTTTTGCTTGATTTTACTATTTATGATGATTTCCCTTAATTTTACCATCTTTCGGGTCTGAATTAAGATGTGTTGATATTATGGGATATACTGAAATAGTAAACTATTAATTTCATTAATTTAATTATTAAATCATAATTCATTCGGATAATCTATATATATTGAACTCAGCTGCAACTTTCAAAATTCTTTTCATCATTATTTAACTTTACAATTATCTTAATTCTTAGGTTCTTCTATCTCATGCAGAGGTATATCAATTTGGAGCGATATATTAATGCTGTACAACACATCGAAGTATACTTTTGATGTGAATTTTGAAAATCCTAATTCATCTTTTCTATATTTAAATAATTTACCTGAATATTGGGATCCTAATTTAATTTATTGGAGTGAGTCTAAGCAATCTGGATTTGTCTACGATGATGCATTAAGTGTATTTCAAATTTATAATTTAAAAGTATGTGATTCAAATATTATGGGAGAAATATCTTCCAATTGGCTTGCTGCTTTGGATTTATCATCAACTTGTTTATCTTTACCTCCCTTTTTATTTGCAAGATTAGTAAAATGGCTGCCTTTAGAATGTCCCGAGTATATTAATGATAATAATAGATTTGAGTTTGATAAATCAAAAGAAAAAAATCTAGATAATGATGAATTGTTCCCATATTCATCTTTATGTATTGTTAAGAAGAAACCATTACCTGTCGTTTCTTTTTGGTTAAGCCAAATGGAGCTTAATAATGGTGAAGTAGAGCCTATAAAGATCATTCTGGATGATTATATCATTAGTTTCAACAACATTGATTATTTGTGTATACTTAATTCTTCGCAAGGTACTTTTGGAAAAATTAATTACATACCTTATAATGAAAGTTATAATTTCAACTACTTATCTCCTTATTATACATCCTCAAATACTCCCATGATACTTTTTGGATCCCTTTTCCTTAAATCATATGGCATAGTAGTTGATCATAGTTCAGGAAAAGTTGGGTTCTATCCTAAATTCAAATATAAAAACCATAATTCTAATAATATTGAATATTCTACAAATTCCAATTGTATTCCAAAGAAAGAGTGTCTAACGGAAAATGGATTCAAATACGATTCGTCTGTTAATGAATGTATTCCTCCAAATTGTTCAGACTGGCTTCTCTATGATTTTAATGCTGAAACTAATACATGCGAACTCAATTCAGTCTTTCCTTTAATACTCACTTTTATTATCATTTTATTCACTTTTTTTGAGATACATATAATGTATCTTAAACAGACTGTTCTTGACAGATCTAATGCAATTCCTAATTCATGAATAATTTAATACAAAGATATAGGGTCGTATATATACAATTTAGTTAGAAAGTTAACTTTAATTGCCTTTTAAATTCTACTAAGGTTTCTATTAGAAACCTTAGTTTTCTTCACTTATATCCTAAACTAAATTCATTTGATTTCCAATGTTTTTTACTATAAAAATTATAAAGGCGTTATTCTTATTTTTTTAATTACTTAAATACAGATTACATTATTATCGACTTCCCCACATTTCTGGTATCTACTGTTGACAAAGCCCGCCTAAACATATACTAAGTTAATATTATAAATAAATATAATATATATAAATTTACAAGTACAATCGTAAATAGTATATAACAGGAAAAGATTAAGCGAAATAAAGACGCCAAAGATTTAAGTAAGTAAGGGAGGAAGAGAGAATTAATTAAGTAGCAATAATAACCTAATTAATTCGGATAAAAAGGAGGAATCAACGTTGATAATAGGGTGATAAGAAGGGAGACTAATTAGTAAAAATTCTAAATTCATAAATTCCTTAATTCAGGTGAATACGTAGTATATATATATATATATATATATATATATATTTACATATTTATAGTTTTTCTTTCTTTTGAAGCTTTAAGTTTAAACACTGATATACTAGTGCCGTTTTTCATTTATTAAAGAGGTCTAAAATTTGAATAAGGATGACTGAGCTTGAACAAAAATTTGAATTAGGAACTTCAAATCCTGCAACTCAGGAACCAAAACAAAAAGAAGATGCGGGAGCAACAGAAAATGGAAATGGAAGTGGAGATGAGAGATATTACCCGGAAGAAGAATTAACTGAAGGTAACTGGAATACTCCTCAAGTAGAATTGAAGCAAGTAGAGGTGATGACAGGAGAGGAGGATGAGGAAGAGTTCTGGAAACACCGAGCAAAATTATATCGCTTTGTAAATGGAGAATGGAAAGAAAGGGGTGTTGGAAATGCAAAGTTGTTACAACATAAGGAAACTAAAAAGATCAGATTTCTTTTAAGACAAGAAAAGACTTTAAAAATTGTTGCAAACCACTATGTAATTCAAAAGGACAGTTTCTGTAAGCTTACTCCAAATAGTGGAAGTAATAAGATCTGGGTTTGGACTGTACAAGACTTCTCAGAAGAGCAAAAGCTTGAGCAGTTTGCACTCAAATTTGGTCAAGCAGAACAGGCTGACATATTTAAAACCAAGTTTGAAGAAGCTGTTGAAATTAATGGCAAGCTTTTCAATTCTGGTGAAGAAGAAGGTACTGAGACAGAAAAGCAAGTAGAGAAGAATGAAGACGAAAGTAGGAATGAAGAAAAGAAACAAGATTAACTCTTCTAAATACCTCAATCACTTTACTTACTAGACTGCTTCATTATGCAATTAAGTATAGCTAATTTTATCCTTCATTACTTTTTTTACTATTATATTTTGTACATGTATTTTTGGTGTGAAAAATTCTTAAATTAGGCGCCAGGAGTTTTGTTGCTTATCCAAGAATTCCTGTAAAATTAGTTCTTATTAGGAATTACCGAAGATAAAATGAGAGCAATTCTCGGAATATTATTGGTAAGTTAAAAGAAATGGAGTGAATTTCTTTCGTTTCTTATATCTCTTTCATATATCGGTAAAATACTTTTTTAATGAAGGAGAATTTGTATAACTAAACAAATTAACTTTCTTAAAAATTCACCAATTTTCTTGAAAAAACTTAAAGCTTGTTGCATACAAATTTACTGGAACAATTGCATTTGTCAAACAAATGCCACCAGAAACACCATGGGACACTCTTTTTACGATCATTAGAAGTGAATTTTTTGCAGTAGGTTTAATTCTTTACGATTATTAAATCTAAACAAAACTAATTTTACATAAAAATCTCAAACAAACACTAAATATCAATTAATATATGTTTGAATGTAACAATAAACTTATAGTGGGGGTTTACCATATTTCAGTTCTTAGTTTTTATACTTTTTATTCAGATGCAAATATGTAAGTTAATCAATTATGTGTAACATACTAATAACTTAATTATCAATTTGTTGGATTAAATTTATAAAGTCAAAAAAAAGTAGTATTATTAAAGTCAATGTATCCTTCAGAGTATTCTTCTGGGTCAAATTGAATAGAAACTTCTTCTCCAGAATAAGTATAGTTAATTCCTTGAATGATATTTACTTCATGATCATAAAAGTAATTTATATTTTGAACTTCTCCAATAGGAACTCCTATTTTTGAATTTGTTTCAAGAAAATCCACTGAAACTAAGGCTGGGGACAATATTGGATACATTGGAATGTGTTCAATAAAAGGGTAAACAACAATTGGAGTTTTTTTGAAATATTGAGATAAAAACTCCACTGCAGGAGCCAAAGGAACAGTTGTATCTTTTATTCCCCAAAAGAAAACTATTTTAAATTGATCCTCATATTTTGATAATTCTTCAAAATCTAAATGTCTATCAAATAAGCTACCATCTCCACCAGATTTGACATATGTAGAAAATGACTTGTGATAATTTTTAACCATTTCTTTTTTCTCTGGTTTAGAAAGTCGATTATTTAACTTAACGATTCCTACCTTTGAGGCGCAATAAAGCCCACATCTAAATATTCTTTTGGAGCTATGAATATTTTTGATAAGACTGGTAAAATCAGAATTCGATAGTTTATATAGAAAAGGGAAATCTTCTTTTGTCATTATTCCAGGTGGGCACATTAATATTAAGTTTTTTATATTATTTGGGTAAGTTATTGCATACTTCAAGGAAATTAAGCCTCCCATAGAAACTCCTAATAATGAAAATTTGTCAGTAGCTTTGCTTTCCTCGTCAACCCAGCCTATACTCATAAGCAATTCATTCAAATGGGAAACAAATCTTTCCTGTGAAAAAAATCCAGAAAGTTTCCATTCAGTATTGCCGTGTCCTAATAAATCATAAGTCAAAACTTGATATCCTGCACATGAAAATATACATTTCCATTCATAAAACTGAGTAGAATCTCCCAACAAACCATGTACTAAGACAATTTTCTTACCATTTGTATTGGGTTGGTTGATTGTATAAAAGGTTCTACCAGACTTTAAATCAGCAAAATGTTCTTTGAATACACAAGATAAAACTTCGGAAAAGCAAAGTAATAGAAAAAATATTGTTGTTAGAAACTGTATTAGATATTTTAAATTCATTGTTAATCAAAATTTTGACTTTTCTATTATTATTAACTTTAATGTATTCTATGAATAAATAAAAACTTAATTTTATATTTTGAGTTTATATGCAAGATCAATTATTAAATATCAATTTTTAATTCATTCAGATTATTAAAAGTTTAACTTGAAAAATTATTCAAAGTTCCATTAGCTTCGAAATTTGACTAAGAGCAAAAAGTATAGGAGAAGCCCGCCAAATTAATAAACATATCTTAAGTCAATTTGTTTCGAACATATTTTAATAGAAATATTTGAATTGATTATAAGGTCAGTAAATGTAATTATTATTTTTAATATGATCAGGATTGCATTGCATTTAATTAAATTGAATATTCCTTCTTTTTTTTTTTTAAGATTAAGGATTAGACTATTAGCCTATAACTTTTTATATTAATAATTAATATTTTTAAAATTTTCAGCTGCAAAAATGATTTCTCCTTGAAAAAATTCGCTCGAATTACTGGTGAAGTTTTCTGTATGTTACAGGAATATAATAAAGTGTGAGAAAATTTATAAATTAAGAAAATTAGAATAAAGTGTTATTGTTAATTTTGTTATATTTGGAAAACAATAAAAAGTTTTAGAAAAAAGGATCGCATATGAATACAATAAGTTAGTATGGTAGCTGACAGAAAGTAGTCAGGTTATAATTTCTTATTATTAGCTGTTGAATCGCTATTATTAATAATTTTGCTTTAAATTAATCTATATATTAAATAAACAGTTTATCATTTTCTAGATAAGGCTGGGAAAAATAGACGAAAAAAAAAAATATTCCTAACCTTCTGAATATATTAAAATTAAATCAATTTTTTATATAAAGTTTTTTTTTTTGCTAATTTTTTTTTTTTTTTTTTTGCATTATTATGCAAACACGTAAGATTTTTTTTTACTGTGAAAATATATTAAAAAATTTTATTACGTGTTTGCATGAATGCACTTTGCCGCCAAATGTCATGCTTAGAGTAACTCATGCATCGCGACAACGCGTAAAATAAAGTACCAGGATAAATAAAGTAATAGGAAAAGGTATTAAAAAGCAGCATAATTAAAGGACTAAAAAGTAGAATTAAGATAAAAAAATACTAGAAAAAGACAAGAAAAAATAGAATTGAGAAATATTACTTTTTTATTTTAATAAGTCCAATTTTAAGCATTAATTAAGTAATAATTAAGAAAAGAATAAAGGGGATCTTTAAAAAGATTGCAACAGATCCGGAAAAGATACTCTTGAAACTTTAATCAAGTGATCACATGAATATTACACGTAATTAAATTCAACTTGGCATTAAATATAAGCATTTGTTTCCTACCAATATAGAAAATACTACCTAGTTCATATTTTTGAAGCACTGAATAAAGTAGCAAAGAATATTAATTATATTTAAAGTAAAAGTATAAATTAACTATCAAAAAAAAAAAGAATATATATATATACACTATATATATATAGTGTATATATGTGTTAGTATATATATACACTATAAAGAAATGCCAAACATACCAGAAGTTTCTACAGAAGGAGTTAATGTAACGAGAAATAATGATTTTGAGGTAGAAGAAGAAAACAGTCAATCAAATGGCCACTTTAGTTTAAGTAATGAAGGAAATATAGAGTTAACTCAAATTCAAAGAATTGAAAGAAATCCCCAAAATGAAGAAAGTTCAAGGAATTCAATGAGAGACCAACAAAGCAGCTCAGTATCTATAAGATTAATAAAACTATGGAAAGAATATGTGGAAAAAGTGCGTGAATGTTTAATCCAACTTGAATATAATTCAAGAACTCAACTTCCATTAATAAAGTTTGTTCTAAGAATTTTCATAATATTGTCTTTGACTATCCTACCACTAATTAATGAAATTCACACAGTTACTCCTCTTTTGTCAGTCTTCCTGAGAGAAAGTGATTGGTTTCTAATACCAATGTCAATGAATAAACATGCAATTAACAATGATTTATTACTAAGAATAAATCAACAGGAATATAACATGTTAATACAGAAGAAAAATTACCAGCAAAAAATTAACACCGATCAGTTTCTAAGTCTAATGAATGTATACGATAGTAATGGACTTTTCTCTCAGAATTCAAAATATAAAAAGTCAAAAAATAACTATAATTCAAATGTGTGCAACAATAGAGATGCCCGCCTTTTAATTTCAAAAGATGAGAGTTTAAGTAATAATGACCATATATCACTATTAGTTCCATCTATTTGGTGTCCAGTAACTAATTTGAACAATGAGTTTAACCAGGTAATTTATAATACAAGGAGAGAGGGACAAAACAGGAAAGTGAAAATCTTATATATGAATAAGGATGAAAATACGAGAAATAAGATTCTGGGATTTACCTCTTTGAGAATGCATAAGAATACCTATAGATACAAACCTACAAATATATTCAAAATTATCTCTACCTCTTTTGTGATAGTCAGATGGTGTATACTGATTTCCAGAATGGTTATACAGTTGTGGAGTTTTAATACATTTTTCACAAGTACAGAAAATGATAATAATATCAATAATGTAGCCCAATTTCAGTTCATTCAAGAATTTAAGTCATTAGTTTCATTTAGCATTTTTTATATTTGGTCACTATCATGTGTATATTTATTGTTTGGGCTTACAACCAGCAAATGTAGTAAATTTCCAAAAATTGCAATACATGAAAAAATACAATGGTTACTTTGGATTTGTGTATTAATTACAACTGCTTGCTTCTATATTGCTAGACTACCATACTTTGATCATACCGACAATCAAGACAACATTAATAACTCTAATTCTTCAGAAACTTCTCCTGAATCAAGTAGTTCAATAAGAAATAATGATAATAGTCAAGTAGAAGAGAATTATCGTTCAAAAAAAAGGAAAATTCTCATTCAGCATATACTCTCAGTAATTTCTTGTTGTGGATTCGGGTTTTCTCTAAGTGGTAGTGTTCTCTTACTTTCTACAAGAATTACAAGTCCTTGGGTTAATTCATGCTTTATTACAATTATTTCACAATCTTTAGACCTTCTATTGAGAGGTTATTTGGGACTTATTACTGATCATCATACCTTTGAAGAGAAAAAGATTAGATATTATAAATATGTATTTCCTTCATATCTTTTGAAAGATGAGGAGAAGATTCATTGCAATAACAATGGTCAGAGAGAATGGGTTGTAAAATGTAATTATAACTCTCAACCTCCTCCCTTAATCTTTAAACATTCATTTATTTCAATTAGTCTCACTAAGATATCATCCACATTCTTTTCAGTAAGTAATTTTTCAAATAATAAAGAAACAGAAAATGAAAAAATGGAAAATAATGAATACTTATCTGATTCTCAGTCAAATAATGCTTCTCAGACAATTAACTGTATGATATGCTATGAAAACCCAAGTAACATTGTCTTTTCTCCATGTTTGCATAGTGGAATATGCGACAATTGTATAGATGAATTAATGAAATGGACTGTATGTAAACTAAAGAAAAGTCCATGTTGCCATCTTTGTCGCTCTCCCATTGAAATTGCCTGGCAACTTAATAATAATGAATCAAACCCAAATAAAAATAACTATTTTTCAGAGAAATGCACTGAAGTTATTTATCCTAAGTTACAACTTTACGATGATTCTAGTGAAAAGAATAATTTATAATTCAGAATCATTTTTACTTATTTATAATTATACTCCTTGTTTCATATACTATTAACATTTATCAAATAATAGAAGAAATTATTATATTATATTAATCAAGAAACAAATACTATTAAAAACTAATAACATAAAATTGTATTATTTTTTATTGCTAATAATATTAAATTATAATTTACTACTTTTTACTCTTTCCGTCATTTTTTCTTAATATTGAATAGTCTCACCGTTATATTTATTGTTATTACTAACCCTTTATTGAAAAATTTTGCATGTGGTATTATTTATACCGGTATTAATGACGTGTAAATATTTTTTAAATTAATAAAGAAAAATTTGCATGCAAATAGCAAAAAACCATAACTTTTATGGAATTGCAAAAATGTGAATAGATTGATCTTTATGTAAACATTTTGGTGATTGTCTGCTTCTTTTTTTCATTTTATCGGACACTGTCACTATCATATTGTCAGAAATAAAAGAAACTCCTTCAATATTACAATATTTAAAATCACAAACATGATCTCTTGGGAAATGGTAAACTCGTCCATTAGGTAATAGTTCTATTTTTTCAGGGTCCAAATATTCCCCATCACCAAAATCAATTTCTCCAAGCCACATACTTGAATCTTCTTGCGAAGTAATTGCAACTTGATTGCCTCTTATATCAATGGATGAGTAATCTTGAAAATTAGCTTCTTTAGGAATATTAATCATCCTAACTGACCTCCAAATACATTTTGATTTTAGACTATTCATCTCATCTTGTAATACATTTTCATTTTTAAGTTCCAATGTTTTGTCTATATATTCTTTCTTCATTAAAATAAGCCTTCCATTACCATATTCTTCACCTTTTATTCCTCCCATGCAAAAATTACCTTCACAAAGTCCCAACAAATAAAAATCACCATTTCGAGCTCTAAGTCCTACTGCTCCTTCAAAACCTTTGTTATCAAAATCAAATTTTTGTTCTGCAGTGCATGTTTCTAAAACTTCATAAGACTCAATATTATTTACCTTTACTAAGGCTAACTCAATAATATGCGAATGATAATGTCTGAGCGAATTTTGTTCCCCTGATTTTAAGCCATTTGAAATATCTTCCGCCAATACTTCTTGATCTAAATTATGAGGTATTGATTCTCTTATTACAAATAGATGCCCAGTAACATCATCTCTAACAATTGCTTCCCATTGTGAATCCTCAACATTTGGATCAGTTCCTAACAAAAGCGTATTAATGTCTAAAGGGTTCCCACCAGATGTGGTTGTTTGCATACTTAATAGTTTGTTTAAGTCTGAAAAGGGAGTTAAGCTTAATCCAAACTTTCCAATCATCCATGAATTATCACAAACTACCCACATTTCCTCATTAAAAACTTTAACATCACTTGCCTCAAACTTTCTTATGTTTTTTGTATCCTTGGGTAAAGCAAAATAGGAAAGCTCGTAAACCAATTTCAATACTTTTTTTGTGTAATCCTTATCATTACATATGTCATTTTCCATGGCTCTTTTATTAACACCATGAACGTTATAATGACTTCCAAATACAGAGTTTCCAAGATCTAACTTCATATTTTCTTCCAATCTAATAGCATCTGTCCTAATATTATTTTTATCTTTATTAAATATATTGCTGTTATCATTTTCTTTTGAAGTTTGATTTTTGGCAATTCCATTCTCTTCTAAAATTAATACCCTTGTTTTATTCTCTTTCAAATTAGAAATTTGAGTTGCATCTACTATTGGGCTCACTTTATCATTCTCAAATTTATTATGAATTTTTTCCTCATGTTTCTTCTTCAGAAGCAGAGCATTTTCAAGCATTTCCTTTCTCAATTCTATTCTATTTTTCACTGGCAACTTTATTAAAACAAGTAAACTAATAAGAGAAGACAATATTACTAAGAATCTTAATATTGTTGAAAACCTCTTATTACCCAAATTAAAATATTCATTTAGAGTATTATTATTTCTGTTAATATTATTCTTATTATTATTAGTATTAGGATTATGATTATCAGAAATATTCAAGTAGTTATTGTTAAATCTTCCCAATGAAATGTAGTCACTTTCAATGTTATCAAAGTTATTATACATATCCATGATTTTCGATTTTTATTGCCAGTACTATTCGATTATAATTAAGATTATATTCTTAAATTATCTGGAACAATGACGGTTAAATTTTATAAACATATATATATATATATATATATATATATATATATATATATCTTAAATCAGTTTGAATTCTGGTAATTATACCTTATACTAATGCAAACTTTTTTAAATGTATAAACACACACATTTACCAATATTTATATTATTGTTTAGTTTGTCTTTAAAAAATAACAAGCATTAATATTTTTGTTCTAATCAAAAATACTTTTTTTTTGCATATATGCATAACACAATTTCCCCCCATTTTTTGATTACACTTAAAATCAAATGATAAAAACTTCAATCAATCATTTAAGAATCTCTATTCCCTCAGAAATTATCTAAGATAGAATTTTATTTGCGCCATCGTCCCCTTTATACTTTTTTTATTTATATTTATTAAGTTTATATGGTATCGAGTGAATAATTGTTTTCATCATGGCGCCAAAGCGGCCTCATGTACATGTGATTCCGGCGGTAAAGTCACCTGGTCAAAGGGTGCATATATTGTATATATAAATTAAGTTAGCGAAAACTCACAAATATAAAATGGGTAAACATTGGAATAAGTATTAATATTTAGTATCACAAAATTGGAGAAAAAGAACAATCTATAAATATTTTACTTTTGATGGAATTGACAAGATTAACAATTATCATTAATTTATAGAGATCTTTTTTCTCCATTCTGAATTTTCAAAAATTCTAGTTGAAAAAAATAACAAAAGTCCCAAAATTATTCATGTAAATATAATTAAGATGAAAAAAAAAATAGGGTAAAAAATATGTAATAATTGGGATTTTAATTATTCGTTAAACAAATTAAAAAGTTGTTTACTAATCTAATTTAAAAAAAAAAAAGAATTTTTGGATTTGAAATGAGAAACGAAAATGGTATTATTACTTCTAGTCAAAAGCTAACCTTAGGAAAGCATGTTTTGCGCGCCACTTTAATTCTTACAATATTGTTACCATTAATAATGGAAATATATTTTTTAGCACCGAATTTCGCTTCTTTTTATTCGGGGAAAAAGTGGGTAAGAGTATTACTAAATGAAAATCATAATAATGAAGCAAGGTCTATAAATCATTCAAATTCGACAGAAAGTAATGTTGTAGATAGTATGGGTATAGATAAGAATAATAATATATTAGTAATGCTAATTAAAGATCCGATCTTTCTCACAATTGAAAACACATTTTTAGAAAAAAGAGTATCAGAAAATGGTCTTAGAAAAAGTATGAGAGGATTGAAAATAGGGGAAAGTAGCGTTTATGTTTCAGAAGGTGAACAAAAAATGGGAAAACGAACATTAAATGGAGATAGACTATTCGTGAGAAAAGATCATTGTAACTGTTCAATCCTAGAAAATTCATTTTCAGATATAATTGAGAATGAAAGTGGTGAGTTTTATTCTTTAATGCTTGATGGTAAAAATAGTGTGAATAATCCAATATTTATACAAACAATTTCTCTTATATTACTACTATTTAAATGGATAATACTGCTGATGTATATAGTAGCTCAGCTTTTGCTTCCACTAAAGGTTATGAGACAGGTACTGAACAAAAAATTATTAAAATCGAGTGCTATATCAATTTTTTATGTCACAAGTGCATCACTATCGTTATCTATAACTGGTATTGAAGGCAAAGATTGCATAAATTGGTGGTTTCTCGGTTCTTCTCCAGAATACTTAATAGTTATTCAAGTTTTCGTTTGGTTTATAGCTATGATTTGTCTTATTTTATATTTAATTCAATATTTTCTAGAGATAAAATTTAATATCTCCAGAAGATACAAGCTAATGAATGACTTCATAACCACATTTATATTTATTCCAGCAGGATTACTTATTATTGTCTCGGTAAGCTTGTGTATTCTGGGTATAGTTAAGCCATGGATATTTATGATTTGGGTAACAACAGTAATAATAGAATTTGAGAAGAATTTAAGAATATTAGTTAAAATTTATGATGAAAATTTTGTATCAGATACAGAAACAAATTCGAATAGAAATTTTGTTTTATTTCAAACTAATAATATCAGACAAGAACAGAACAATGAAATTAACATAATTGAATTAAGAGAAGAAGTCTGTGAAAGTGATCTAGAAAGAATAAAGGAAAGGAACCCAAAATTAAGTGGTAAAAAAGAAAATGAAATGGTAGTCATTCCAATTAGTAATTCATACTTTAAAATTTTGGATTCTAGATTCGAAAATTTTAGCACAAATCTTTGTTTATGGTACATAACTCAACATAAAGAAATGGAAAATAAGTCAATTTCTAAAATAGAATTGGAGGAATATTCAAATAAAAATAAATTAAAAATATTAGAATTTTCTATTTCAGACTTTCTTGAGAATTTAAATTTTGAGGAAAAATCACAAAATGAAAATTTGCCAAGTGTATGCTCAACAAAAACTAATTTCTCAGATTCAACCATTTCCAGAATAAATTCATTTCATACGGAAAATATAAGTGAAAGTACCAACAATCAATTTATTTGTAATATATGTTTTCTAGATTTTGACTCCATAATTATTTTTTCACCATGTGGACATGGAAACGTATGCTTGGATTGTCTTGGAGATTATATATCAAACAACTTCAAACAAAAGCAACATCCTAAATGTCACATATGTCGTGAAGATATTTCAAGAATGATAGAGATTCAAAAAGATAATGAATTTAATAGTGGAGATAGGCACCTGTTAGAAGAGACAGAAAGCTTTGAATCAACACTAAGCAAAAAAATAAACACTGCAAATCAAAATAGTGAGAGACAAATTCATTTAATTTCAAATATTAAATTAATTGCTGAAATTACATGCAATCCAAAAAATAACAATTCTTTGAATTACAACACAAGTTCCAACTCTGAATCTTGCAGAAACTCAAATTCAAATATTATTACTCTTAAAATATCAAGAAAAAATTCAAATTTATGGTCACATCCACGCATTAAAGAATTTATTAATAATAAAGATAATAAATTAAAAACTAAGATATATAATCACTTCACCCGATTTTTTACAAACTCAAATAGGAGAATTAGTTAAAATAGTAACTAAAAATTTATTAATTTTAGTTTTTAAATTTTCTTCTTTTTTTGTTATTTTTGTATTTGTTTGCATGCAAACCATGCAAATAATTCTTTCCATTATATGTTCCCGCCACACGTGTAAAATACCGGTATCTAAAATTAATGTAAATATGTACACAAAAATGAAAGTGAGAAAAAATTAATTTAAAAATAAAAGGAATAAAAAAAATATAGACTATTAAAATTTAAATCTTTTTTTACTAATTATTTAACAACAAACTATAAAGAACATTTTGAAGGCATCTAACAAATAGTTTCACTAAGAAATCAATGGAAATACTAAATTAATAGAGTTTTAAAAAAGAATCAGCATTCAACTTGAAGAAGGCCAATTAATTTGCCTTAGATTTATGCTAGAATATAAAAAACCAAATTTGGTGATAATTTCTAAACTTTATGATTTAAACAAGTATTTTATTAAATTAACAAAAAGTCAAAGCTCCTAGTTTCAAGTTGTGGGGAGCGTAGAAATAGAAATCCATCAACATGAATGCCAAAGTTATTAATAACGATCATGGAAAACAAACTATTACTCATGGAATTGCTAATAACTATCTTAATATTAACAATGAAGATGAAAGTTTTGAAGTTCAAGGTGAATCATTTAATACAAGCAACATTATTTCACTACTGAGATTTAACTTAAATAATGAAAATGAAAGTAGAGAAAAAGTATTGAACCAAATATATAATTTAATGAATAAAAGAATGCCAATAAAGTACTCTAATGTTCAAAAAAAGACCAAAACTAAAGGTTTTGTTTCAAGTGAAGATAAATTACCAGATCAACTTTATACTGACCATTTGAAAAATAAAAACAAAGATTTGAGCAAAAATCACTTAAAAAATGTCCAAGAAACGTCTGTATCCTCTGATTTGGATAAAGAAAGTATTTTAAATAACAATAATAATCTTTCTAACGACGTTGAAATTTCAACTCTCAAAATTTCGGTAATTAATGAATATAATATCAAAGATAAACAAATAAGTATACTATTTGATTATATTTTATCAACTCTTCTTATTTCTGATCAGCTTGAAGTCAAACTGGATATATTGACTTTATTGGAAGAGCAGTATGAGACAATACTGGGAAAACCTGAGCAAATATTAACAGATAAGAGGTGCTGGGACAGATATAATACAGCCTTTAATATCTTTGAACATATTATTGCAGCAAATTATAAGGAAATAGCAAGAGAGTCAATCAATTTGTTTGAAGCCAGTACAATTCTTTCAGGTTCAAATTCTATTTCTGTTGATAATATTTACCAAGAATTGATAAATAATCCAAAATATTCGATTCCTATAATACTACAATCTCAGACTCTCATAGCTTTTACAAGTATTGCTCTCAGTCTGAACTTATTGGAAGTTGTTCCTTTCTGGTTCTCTAAGCTCCTTTCTATATTGTTTATAATATCTAAAGAAGATTGTGTTAAAATTCAAAAATTTCAAGATAGGAATCCATTATTATTCCAAAATTACTTTTCAATCTTAAGAAAATATGCAATTGAATGTCTTATAGAAATTAATAGAAGTTATCCATTGATTTTTTGCCCTCTAATAGAAATCAATCCCATACCAAATTTGGAAAATGAACAAATTGATTTAAAAAAACAAGGTCTTGGTTTTATTCAAAAGAATATTCACCCAAGTATTTGGCCGGATAATTTTGAGAAAGAGTTTATTACGGATTGTAAGAACTTCAATAAAAACAATATTTATAATGACCAGCTCATTGAGCTGATCATCAATATTATTATTACTTTAATTGTCAATAACCAAACTAAACAAGCAAATATTTCTAAAGTTATTAAGGAAAAGGAAAGATTTCTTACATATTTGGTGACTTATATTATGGAAAATTTGAAATCTGTCTCGTGTTGGAATCTACATAAACGAATTCTATTCTTAAAAAAAATTACAAAAACATTATTGATACCTTCAAATATATTAGAATCATCTCTTTTACCATTTTCATATTCCTCCAGAATTCATATTTTGTTTGAGATTTGTATCTTTATATTGGAAGAAATTTCAAAAGAGTCATTTTCTAATGCTTATCATCATATTATTGGTATTTTAAATAATTTTCATTTTCCTATTACGTTTCGCATATACTCTTCCAAATGGATTCAATTTGTAATTTCAAAGTATTCTGGTCATATTATTGAACAAACTAGTAGTAATCAAAATAACACTTTAGCCAAGTTTATCCACCACCTATTAATACCCAAATGGCACGATTTTTGCAAAATCAAATACTTTAAATCACTTATCATTCTTCAACTCAAGTTCTATAAAGTTTTTCAATGCAATAATGACGAAGACTTTCTTGAAATTCTTTATGAATCTCTTAATAGTTTGCAAGAGTATATTATTATTAAGGCTCCAATTGGAGCTCATTCAATTTACTTAAAACTACTATTCAAAATTTCAATACTAATTGGGATAAATCAACATATTTCTGACTTAATTATCAAATATACATGCCATCCAAATTTTCAAATATCATCTGACCACATAAATAATTCAATTCAGTTATTACATTTGATATCAATTTATTCAGAAAACAGAGAAAATTTGTAAGTTTAAATTAATTCTTGGCTTTAATTTGATATTCTGACTAATTAACTAATGAATTTTCTCGATTTTGTTTGATTTAATGCTTTAGTGAGCATATTCTGCTTTTATTTGAAACTTTCCTCAACCATATCAAAACCCTAAATAATCCAAGAGATATTGATCCATTCTTAATGGTACTAATTTACTTGTCTCAGAAGTCTAGATTATTCACAGAGATGGGGAATCATACTGTAATTTCTGATCTAATCAATTCTTTATTTTATATTTCAAAAGTATTTTTAGAAAAAATTCACAAGCCTGTATTAAAATGGATCTATATGAATAAGATTTATACAGTAAGTTTAATTTAGCTTTTGATTTTTATCGTAATAATGGTTAACACATTTTTAGGTTTTTTTGTCTATAATAACTAATAATATGAATAATTACAATGTAGTTTACCTACTAAACAACTTATTTGGCTATGTAAAAAGTCAGCTAAAGACTTATGACACCCAATTATTGGATTCAATATCAGAAATAGAATATTCAATGAATTATATGAGCTTGAAAAATATTAATAGTTTGTTTGGAATGGAGGATTCTGAACAAAAAGAATTAAAATTAAACAATTTGGAATCCATTTCAAAACAAGAAGAGAGTAATTTAAAAGGCCATGTAACAGAGAACGAGACTAAAGAATTGTATAAAATTCGATTAGATATTTACAAAAAATTTAGAAGACAAATATATGGTTTGAGAGATAACTCGTTTTCTATTTTCTCAAAGAATACAGAACATAACGCTTTAATTTTACCCTTCCAAATTAGATATCTGGAAATCAATGAGATTCAGACTTGTCTGTATGGAATAAAATTAAGTTTTAAATCAAGCAATAACTCTTTAGGAATTGAACCAGTATATATTCCGTTTTTGAAACCTCAAAATATTCAAGAAATAGAGAAAGAAGATATTGATGAGAAGATGATTGAGAAATACCTAGAAGAAGGGAGTTCAAAAGTAATAAATATGAATAACAACATAGTTTTCCTTTTGTTAATTGCAAAAGTAAAGTTTCCAATACCAGGAAAATTACACATTTATTTGGAATTCAATGACGAGTTTGGCCATACTTTCTATGATCAACTTGAGGATATTCAGATCTCTTTTCAAGACTACTTTCACCCCTCTCCAGACGAAAACTGGACTTTAAAATGCTATAAAGCTCTCAGTTTGAAATTATTGGATTCGGAACACTCAAAAATAAAATATCAAGAGGGTATTTCAGAAATTATTAATACTTGTAAACTTTTGGATATTCCTTCAAATTTAGTATTAAATAACATTAATAAACACTTACGTATTTTTGAAATTGATGGAAACAGATTACTTTCTATGATTGATGAGAAATTCAGTATTAAGGAGGAATTTGACTTTAAACATGATTTGCTAATTCGTAAAATTGATCTTAAGAAAGATAATTTGATTGAAAAATGTGAAATTGAAATAAGCTATAGATGGTTCTGCATCCACTTACCACCTAAATACTATCTGATAATCCAGTTTTCTATTACTAATAAATCATCAATTATAAGAATATATACAGACTTTCCTGAAATTCTTTCTCATTGTGATAATTTTTTTGATACCTGGGGATAATAATTATTTCTCAAATATTACTGCAAAATTAAACTAAATTATAAAAAAAAAAATTATTTAATGTGGACAAAAATTAACAAGTGCAGGGCTTTGCATGTAGTTTAATGCATGTATTTCATGTTTTGGCAACAGGTAAAAACAGTGGAAGCAATTAAGGTAATAATAATATTAGCTAATATATAATTAAAGCTGAATTGGGAGACCATTAAATTTAATCAAGAGACAAATCTAAAGCCTTTAAGTTTTTTGAATATAAATATACCTGTATTATTCTGATTATCAATTTTTCATAAACTTCATTCTCTGTTCTAAAGATGAAATTTGTTTTTGATTGATTTGACTTCTCATTTCTTGCAAATAATTGTGATTGTGATTTTTGGCGGGTTCTTCCTTGGAAATATTTTTAGCGTTAAATTTGTGGCTTCTTTCATTTTGAATGAATTTCCCATAATTTATCATATTTTGAAGTTTTTCTTCTTTTTGAGACTTTGAGAGATGATTGTCATTTCCATTTCTGTTTCCATATTTGTTTGTGAGATAATTCTTTCTTGAGTCATGTGAATGTTTATAATTATGTGAAAAGTATGGGTCTGATCGCCTTTCGGGTGATCTTGAAAGAGAGCTTTTTCTAAACTTTGTATTTCTTTCTGTATTCGGTAATGTCGATTTCTTTTGAGTAAATTCATCTATTTTCTTGTTATATTCATCAACTATCTTCATATGTTTCAGTTCCATCTTTTTAATGATTAGTAAGGGATCTTCTCTTAGTCTGTTTATTATTTCTTTTTCTTCTAAATCAAAATCAGGCACAAATTCTTCTTGGTTTTGAAAATTTGTTTCACCTAATATTTTGGAAGTGTTTTCTGGAATACTCGCACCTGGAAAAAAAATGAATTATATAGTAAATTAATAATTTAGTTCAGGTTTGTTAAAATTTATGGGGTTTGTAGTAATATCTTAGTATTTGTTTGTTTATGAAGGCAATCTAAAGTAATTTGTTTACTAAACATAATATTAATTGACATTTTAATAGTTTTGTAATGTATCTCATTATTTAAGTGTTTAGTTCCTTGTAATATAGCATCTTTTGAATTTATTGTTAGTTTATTAGAATTTTATTTAACAGTTTTTTTTGAAGAAAAATAGATATTTATTGAAAATAAATAATTTTAATGTTTTAGCATTAAATCCTTTTATTTAAATTAAACTTTTTTTTTTCCAAGAAGTTATATACTTATAACCACGATATTTTGCCTTCAAAACTATTATTATCGCTACATTACTCCAAAACTTGAAGCAATTCTATTTTAATCTCAAGAATCCTCTTAACTATATTACGTACAAAACCCTTTTTTTCTTTCCACCAATATAAAAAACTTACCCAGTAAATACTTTTCATTGTCGTATTCCAATAAAGCCTTTGGGTTATAAAGGAACTCCAATCTCTCCTTATTGCTCATTAATTCCTTCTAAAATTATTTCTTCCTCTCAATTTTAGAAATCAAGGATCTCACTCAATATTTACAATAACCTTGAATTAGGGTTTTCAAGCTTGATGAATAAAAAAGAATTTACCGCGCGCGCCTCATATACATGACATTTAATTTTTAATTATTATTTTAAGTACATGAGGAAAGTTTAGGCATAGGGAAGGGAGGATAGGAAAGAAAGGCAGAAGAAGAGGTTGGAATATATCTGCAGAGTGAGTTATTTGTGTAAGGCTATCGTAATAATATTATTGTGAAGGAAAAAATAAAATGGAAACTTTTCCAAAAAATTGGAAATTCTTCAAAGTTAATTTTTACGAAACAAAGTGGGATTTCCTTATAGATGGAGGAATGCAGTCCGTATTTTCAACATTTTCCAACATAAAGCTGAATTTTATTAAATGTTTTCAGAACGATCAATTTGATTTTTCCAGAATCAAAGGCCCAACAATTGTTTCAATTTTTGAAAAAAAAGAAGGCCAAATAATTGATGACTTTGAGGTTACTATGAATTATTTTATTTTAAAGATTGAAAGAAAGTCCACAACTATGATTAATGATATCATAAATAAAATTCTTTTTGAATTTGGACTTAACAAAACTCAGTTATACAGTCATATCATTTCACCAAGAATTCCTCTTATTTTTATCCAAGAAACTTTATTTAGACTTGGCTGGTTTGAGCCAAATTTGTCTATGATTAATATTCCTTTTTTCCCTTTAAATGCATGCACTTTTCACACAATATTTGCGCGCCAAATATTTAATTTGGAATTTAAACCAAAATGCATATTACCATTATTAACACGAGATTTTACATTATACAGAATTCTCCAAAAGCTTATTCAAGATAATTCTTGGATAGCTGACAGCTCTGGTACAACTTTGGATGAAATTGATCGTGAATTTGAGTTATTATTTAGATATAAAAGATTGTGTGGGGTAAAAAACATACCTTGTCAGGTTTCTATACAAAAATTATCAAAAGATGATAATTTTGAAAATTCATATTCTCCTATTCATTTATTCTTTTCCAAATCGAAGGATCAAGTTTCTCGTGAATTCTTAAAAGCTTTGAAAATTTCAGGGAAAGTTGTTCAAAATAGTTCGATTACTAGTGTAAATCATTTAATGAAAAATGATGAGTTCACAGAAATTATTCAGAATGAAATCCCTATATTTTTTGAGTCCCTTTCTCATTTTTCTCAAATTTTTCATAAATTAATATTATGTCAAACTTTTTGTGCTGGACAACAATTATTGGCTTATTATTTATATATTGTCCTTAAATTTATTATACCAATAAATGATATCAGGAATTTAATTAACAACCAAACCATGAATATTTCTACTAAAATAGAAGAAACTTTATCATCTAATTCAAATTTAATGAATATTGAATTCTATAATACTAAAGTTATTGAGAATTTTCAATTTGGATTATTATATTTAACAAAACTCGTTTTTCACATTAATAAAAATTTTTCAGATAAAAATCAATGTAACGGAAATATTGGGGAAGTGTTAAATAATGATCCAGAATTCAGCTGTGCTGTTCAAGACGTCACTTTATGGCTCTCTAAGTTTTTCTTAGGAAGATCGGTCTGCGATTGTTCACTAATTATAACATCTTTATACACCAACAAGCATTGTTTATGCCCTAATTATTCTGATTTTATGCCGATCAAGTCAATCTATCTAAATAGAAAATTAATCCCTAATTCTTATACAGAGCTCTATAATGAGGAAAATTTTAACGCTTGGGCTCGAATAAAGATTATTGATATATCAAACAAACCCTTGGAAAAGATGGTTTATTGGAAGTCTCAATTCTTAAATTTAGTTAAGAAGTTAATTATTCATTATAAAAATACGAGAAAATCTAACAAAAATTTGAAGATCACGAAAATATGTTAAAATTATTATTTTTAATAATTACATATACTTTTATATTATTATTAGTAATTATAAGCAATTTATCGGTTATAATTTAGGTTTTTTGATTTTGTTTCTATGTTTACTTTCCCCTCACTATCATCATATTTTGGATTTTTAAATATGCTATATAACTTATATTCGATTTCAAAATCTGAGGAGAAACCTAATTCCTTGTATTACGGGGCTTTCACTTCTATCTTTTTTTTAGATAATTTTTATAGTTTTTTTAAATCTCCTACCTCCTCTATCTTTCATATTTAACCGAAGAAATTGAGAGGAATCACAAAAATACCTTCTAAACTTTCCCCCCAACATTTTTCCTAGATCCAGCACTACTTCTTCTGTAATTAAGGCTTTCTTCTAAACTAAACCGTGGAGTTATTGATGCTCCTTTTTGCAACCTTAATAAAGTGTCTTCAACCATCTCCATTGAATCTCCATTAGAGTTATAACCAGTATGTTGGTCATCTTCCTCAGTGGTGTCAAATGCCTTTTTAGCCAATAATCTTTGAAAGTTTTGCATTCCTATTTCAGCATCATCCAAGAGAGATATACAATCATTCAAAACTGCAATACTTTCCATCTGAATAAACTGGGATTGATGACATTCATTTAATAAACCATCAATATCGATTATTTTGTTTTCCTGTTCACTATTTGAATCAAACTCTGCGTTGTTATCTTCACATGAAATTACAGGAGTAGGCGAGCACAAATTGCTTGTATCACTTTTATCTACATCGCTATTTTCTTGCTCTCCTTTTCCAGAGTTTAAACTTGGTGATTCAAAAGTCTGGCCAACTTTATTTGATTCTAATTCATCCAGCAGTATATTTGTACACTTTAAAATATATCCAAAGTCATCCGATAAAGCCTTAATACCTTCATTGTCATCCTCTTCAGGACAATTATCAACTCCAGATGAGGATAGCCTTGAATTTAATTCCTCTGCTTCTTGCAAAGCTTTCGTTAATCTATTAATATTCAAATTCAGAACGCCAATTTTACTAATCAATTCTTCTCTTTCTGAATTCACTGATTGATACTTATCCTCGTTATACTTAACTTCCGGAATACATGAAATTATATCATGTAATTCCAGTTCCTTCTCATTTTCATATTCGAAAGCTTTGTTCAAAAAGTATTTATGAACACCACTAATTGCTTTAATCATAAGTTCATTATCAATATAATTGTATGAAGAGCCATTCTGATTTTCCTCATCATTCTTTTGGCTCTGAACAGCTTTTTCAAACAATCTTATCTCCTCTTTTGATAGCTGAACAAGCCTCAAACATATATTGTTATCAACTGTCATTGTATCTAACATCTTGTTTTCATCTATTTTAACATTAAAACCATTCTCTTGGTCAAAATCTATAGTATCAAACCTATCTTCATGTTCATGATAATCAATTAATGGAATTTCACCTGGATCAAACCTCAGTTCTTCAAATTCGGGAATGGTTTCTTCTTTTTGTTTTGACTTAGATTTGTTCGAAGAAAACCTTACTTGTTTAGAACTATTATCATCAGAAACCTCGATACTTTTTCTTAAAATACTTCCCGTAACTCTTTGCTTTGGTTCTTCTCTTCCATCGCTTTCACTTTCTTCCTTCTTCTTGAGATTGATATCAACTCTCGGAGATGGCCCAACACCAATCTCGCTCGTTTTCATTTCGATTAAGTCAACGATATCGTTACTTGAGACTTCTTGAAGATTTTGAATGTCTCTAAGAGGGGTATCTCCACCAACCATTGCATCACAATGAACCTTTATTCCTCTCTGATGAATTTGCTTTTGAACTGGTAAACTTTGATTCACTATGGATTTCTCAGAACGATTTTCGAGACAATTCCCATTAGAATTAGCAAGACAAATAACTCTTTCGTTCTTATGATTTATATTGTTTTTTCGATAATTATAAATATTATCATGTTCCAGAAACTCATTGTTAACTTCCCTGGAACGCCTTATAGGCATTATGTCATCATTAGCTGGTCTTAATATCTCAGATCTAAAAGATTTTAGTGGAGTTTCTATTGAATAAATACCTTCACTCACACTGTAAGCATTAGCTTGATATTCGCCTGGTTGACTGCAGAATTCTATATTATTTTCATTTCTAATATTCTCATTATTTCTATAACGGTTAAAATGTTGATCACGAATATTGTTCAAATACTCCTCGTGATCTTGAGTTGTGTCTTTATTGATTTTTGGCCAATAATCCTCAGTTCTAGGGAGAGGAGGCAAATTAGAAGATCCCTTTTCAGATTTTTTTCTAGAAGCGTTTTCCATAGATTTTCCCAAAACATTAGTATTATTTTGTCTCACTGACATTGCTTTACTTCTTGTATTGTACATAAATGTATTTTTAGAGTTATTATTTACGGCATGATTTGTTGGATGGTTTCTTAATGATAAATCATCTTGGAATATATCAACATTGTTATCTTGATATGTTATTCTCTTAAAATGGTCCACGTCATTTCTTTCATGAGCAACCACTTGAGGAATTAGTGTTCTTTTTCTTCGAACTTTGGGAACTGCTTTTCCTTCCATATTTCTATTATATATGTCCTGCATTATCATATTATTCACATTTGCCCTAGGTAACCCATGTTTTAAAGGATTAGTCGATATGTGTGGTTGGTCCAACTCCATTGGGGATTCTGTCATATTCCTATAATAGTTTTCATCAGGTAAATTGATTGATTCTAAATATGGGCTTGCCGTACTATTTTCCTCCCCTAGTACAGATCCATATTTTCTTTTTCTTGCCATTTCTTACTTCACTTCTGAAGTTTATGATGGTGAACTGGTTGAAAAGAAAAAATTTTGGATCAGTCCCTTCTATTTTTTAAACTTCCAGAATGATAATTTCTATATTTGGCCACTTTTGTTTAATAACTTTGATTACAAATTTATATTAATAAAGTATTATTATACGGTAATTTTATTAGATTTTTTTTTTCAAAAATTTAATTCATTAATTCAGATTCCTTCACATTTATTTGTAGTTTTACAAAAATTTAATTTTATTAATAAATAGCAATTTTTCAGAAATATCTTTGCAATTTATATTAAAAGATTGTTTTCTTTGATATCGTGTATATTTATATATATATGATGTATTCTTTTTTTTCTTTCTTTTTTTGTTATTATTTTATTAATATTATTTATCACAAATTATTTATTTTTACACAATTTTTTTACACGTCATATATTTTTGTTTGCGTGTGGGGGGCTATACCGGTGTTTGCATGTTTGTCCACTTAAATAATATTATGAAATAATTTGTGGAAGAAAAGAAATATAATAAATATATTTGTTAGATTAAAGAAAATTTAATTAGGAAGTAAATAAATTAAATATCAAATAGATGAAATGAATCGGGAAATTTTATATTGTGTTATTTCGTTTAGATTCTTTTTTACCCAATTTTTTAAATGCTCTATTATTTTCAATTATCTGATATTTATGTTAATTCATCCTCACAAAGTGGCGCCATAAGGCGGCAACTTTAAAAAATATAATTTTATTAAAAAAGAAATGAAAATATGCATAATAGATATAATTTCATGTAATGAATAATCCAAGTGAACAAATTTTTATCGCGTGTAGTAGTTGAGGGGGAAATAATGACAAGTGAATTGGCTAGTTCAGATGAATTAAACAAGGTTTGGACTCAAAGCTGTGAAGATAAAACAACTTTTTCTGTCATTTGTTCTCTTGTTCAAGGCTTATTTTGTATAATAAATGTAATTTTTGGATATTTTATATTGATTCGTCATTTTAACCGGCTTCTTGAAAATAAAAGTATTTTAAAAATTTTACTTTTTACAATTTTCGGTGAAATGATTACTTCTTTAATGTCTGCAATGTGCATGATCTTGGTACGATTAATTTTTGGAATCAGATCTTCAACATATTTTTTATCAGTTATAAGCTTGCTAAGTACACTTTTCCAGTCTTTATTCTATTATTCTTGCTTTGCAATTAGTACTACGGTACTTTACGTATGGTATTTTAAAGTCAATGTACATCCGAGTGATTTTCTTTATAGTTTTGTAATTAATAAAAACATTACTTTGGATCTTACTCGTGATTTATTGATTTATTTTTTTATAGAAGCTTTTATTTCTTTTATTGAAGTTATATACAGTATTCCGGTTCTAGTTAGCATTATAGATTATGGCTTATCTAAAGAGATTGACAAAATAAAGGGAAAACCTATAGTAGAATTCTATTCTGTTAACCAGCCTTTTACATATACAAATTACCAAAATTACGAAAAAGCATTCGAAGACTTAAATGCCCATTTTTCTAAATCTGAAAGTCACTATGTACGGTTGTAGTGTGTTTTCAAAAATTACAATTATTAGATCGTGTTATGATTTTTACTTGAATACGTATTTTGAGATAGAAACTTACTTTTCATCATTATAATTCCTATTGTTATGTTTAAATTCTTATAGTATAAATCTAAATATAGTGTATATATAGTTACAAATTTTAAATTACTGGTTTATTTTTTCGTTTATGTATTCTTGTACTTTTTTTTTCAATATTCGTGTTGTATGCACTAAGCCAAATGAAAAAAAATGACGTGTTGGCGCCAAGTTTTAATAATTATCAAAATGAGAATTTACTTTTTAATAAATTTTTAAGAAAATAAGTGGTAAATTTCTCATTAATACTGATTATTATGAAGGATGCCAAAGTTTTACTGCGACTATTGCGATATTTACTTGACACATAGCTCTACAAATGGTAGAAAACAACATAATTTGGGAAGGAAACATATTAACAACAAAATAGACTATTACAAAAATGTGATAAAAAGTCCGGGATTTAGTCCGCCATTAATGTTTGATACAGACTACAATGTGATTGGGCATTTAGGAAATGTAAAACAATTTATACAGAATCACGAAAAACAATTCCCTGGAGACAAAAAATACTCGAACAGCCATGAAAACAAGGATAAGGAATCTGTAAATAAGTCATCTTATAGAAACAACAAAAATCTTATAAGTAATATGAATAGTAATAATAATAATAATAATAATAATAATAATAATAATAATAATAATAATAATAACAGCAACAATAGTACTGCAGGAGGAAGCGGAAATGCTAATTATAATATAGGGCATTCATATGTAAATCAGGAAAAATTTCAATATATTAGAAGTACTAACGCTGGAGGAAATTCGACTTTCACCAACCAAGGAAGACCAGAACACTCGAGTTATTCAAATAATTATAACAGTTATTATAGGGGTAGCCAAATAGATGGGGGAGATGTTGGATTACGAAATTATAAAAAAGGACCTGTTCAAAACTATGGTGGTAGGTATTAAGTTATTAATATGTATATATAGGAATTTAAGCCTTTATTATTATTATTTTTTTTCAACATTTTAATTTAATATATAAGCTATATCAGACGATTATTCTTTTTTTTATAAGTGAATTAAGTAAAATACTGAGGTACCAATGACATCATGTTTTTTGAAAATTCGCCCCTTCTAGGAGCAGTGTCGAAAGTAAGAAACTGTTTGTTTTCATTTTCATCCAATTCCATTAATGCTGCTTGGTTTCCACATCTATAACAGTAATTTGGAGCACTAAAAACAGTGACCACATTATCATCATGCGACCAAGTATATCCATCCATAATAAGTTGGTGAGCTCTACATATAGTGGAAAGTCCATTGGTGTGAATAAATCTTTGACTAACATCTGGACCAAAAATAAATCCTGCTCCTCTTGGAGATGCTGACCATCTGAAATAGTAATATTTAATTAGTTAAAGAATAAAATATTAATTGTATAAAACTTACCCAGCCTTCTCATCAGGATCTGACCAAAGTAAATCACACATTGGACCTTCATGTGGGATTTCTTGAAATCTATTAATAGAATCAATTTCATCAATTGTTAAAGCACCAGGAGAAAGTCCACCATGATCACAGAACATGTGGTGCTCAACCAAAGCACCAAGAGGTAGGTAGTCAAACATATCAGTTAGTTCGTGCCATATTGATGCATTACCATATTTTCTTAAACATTCATCATAAAATCCATATATTTGGGAAATATGTCTACATTCATGATTGCCTCTCAATATAGTTACTTTATCTTTATATCTAATTTTAAGTGCCATAATCAAACATATACATTCAATACTATGATATCCTCTATCAACATAATCTCCAAGAAACAGATAATTAACATCAGGAGGCATCCCTCCAATTCTAAATAATTCCAATAAGTCAAAGAACTGTCCATGTATATCTCCTGCAATAGTTACTGGGCATCTCACCTTTTGTACATTTGATTCATTAATCAGGATTTCTTTGAGTTTTGAACATAATTGTTTAATGTTATTTGATGATAAAGGCTTGCATGAAAGAAGTTTTTCAATACATTTATCTAAATCAAATGACTCGTTTTCATTAGTTTCTAGTACAAATCCGTTTATTGTTGGTTCTTTAATGACATTTTCTTTTTCCAATAAAGCCACCTTTTGGCTTTGAGGTATGTTTTCTAAATCCATAGTACTAAAAGTTGCTTTATTAGTGGCGAAATGAATAGAGGGTATTATCAAAATATATTGTTATTCTTATGTTATCAGGACTTTGGATAATTTTTAAAGTGCATAATAATTGGATTCTTGATTTTAGTTATTTTTGGAATAAAATGTATGATTAGTATTATTACTAAATTTTACTGCAATATATATCCACAGTATTTATTCTAATTATTTATCTATTTTCACTGATTTTTTGTTTCCAAAGATTTTCAAGTTCAAGCCTCACAATTTTTTTTATGAAATTACTTTCTATCAATGTAATAATTTATATTACATAATAAAAAATATAACTTTAATATATTAACAAAATAACTAAGTTCCCGCCATTTAATGAAGTATATTTAAAAATCACTAACATAATACTTCAAATGTAAAAATGACATTTAGCTAATAATACATGATAATTTGTATCTAAAAAAAATGAAAGAAATCAGCAAATAAATTGAACAGAAAAAACAGAAGCTCAGAAATGGTGGAACATAATACTAAATCATCACACAAAGTGAATTTCTAAAAGTTATAATAACTTTTAAAAATCGCTTAAACACCTTTCTTTTTCCTTAATTAGTATATACATTGAATATAACAACAGTAATACATACGCACACAGTTTAAAAACAACAAGGTACACAAGAAGTGAATAAAGTGTCATTGAGTTAAAAACAAAGAAAATTGATGCTTTTTTTTTAGAGATAAATTGCGTTTTCACAGCTGCTGTTGAAAAATAATGGCATATGAACATGAAATATAAATCAATTTTTATTGAATTTTACCACAAAATTATTGATTTGAAAACATTCATCAAATCGTGTCCTTTGAAAAATACGTCTTGATTTTTTTTACTAATAAATCACAATAAAAAAAATATACTGAACGTTTGGCGCCGTAATACCATGTGGTCCAATTCTTAAAAATAAGTGGGGTGATTGACATTTGAGCGCCAATGTGAAAACAAAAATTGGCATGCAAAACTAGTAAAAGTATATTGTAATTAAATAGATTTAGATTAAATAAGTATAAATATTCCTATTTATATGTACTTGTGAGAGTATTAGAGAAATAGGAGTTCTGCTTGACTCTGTTTGAGGAAACAAAAAAAACTACATAGAGATTGGATAATATACAGTTATAAACAACTAGTTTTATAATAGTAAAATACAAAAAATAAATAAAAGTATATATTTAATATATTAATCTATACTTTATGGATAAGCAAAGATTTATTAAAAAACAAAAAGAAGCTTTAATCTAAATAATTTCAGCGTAAAAAAACTGAAAGAGTAAGAATTAAGCAAAGAAAAAATATTATATATTGAATATAGATAGGAATATATGAAATCAAATAAAGCTATAAAATGAACTCATGCAATAGTGTGGGTTTATGTTCAGCAGAGCCAGAATCTCCAATATTGCAGCCTGACTATAGTAGTTTAGATACAAATGAAAATGCATCATTTAGAAGAACATGTATGCCAAGAAGAGATGATTTTTGTTGTATGAGTGATAGAAATGCAGAAGATAATGAAGAAGATTCATTTATTGTTCCAGACTGTTGTGGGTCAAATTCAAGAGCAGCAGAAGATGCCAATCAGGATTCAGTTTCATCCCCGGGAGGTAATGCCCAAATAGTAACAGTTCCATTAGTACAAGAAGTCAATGTAAGAGATAGAATAATAGAAGTTCCAGAAGTACATATAACACAAAAAATTCGTCAAAAAGTAATTGTAAAAGATGTAATTAGAAAGGTCCCAAAACAAGAAATTCAATATGTAGATAAATTCGTTGAAGTACCTGAAGTAAGAATTGTGGATAAGTTTGTATCAAAGCCAGTGACTAAATATGTTGAAAGGCATGTACCTAAAGTTGAAGTACGTGAAATAGTTAAGGAAATACCAAAGGTTGAGATACAATATGTAGAAAAGATTGTGGAAGTACCAGAAATAAGAGTTGTTGATAAAATTGTTGAGATACCAACAATTAAACATGTAATTAAAGAAGTACCGAAGATTGAAATAAAGGAAATACAAGTTGAAAAAATAGTTAAAGTACCAAAAATTGAAATAAAACAAATTGAGAAAGAAAGAAAGGTATTGGGCCCTGTAGAATATATTGATATACCATTGGAAAAGATTATATTAAAACCAAATCCTCAGATTATTGAAAAGATTGTTCAAGTGCCAATACCAAGGGAAATAGAAATCGAGGTTCCCGTATATAATCCAGATATTAGAGATACTGTTGAAATACAAGTTGATAATTATTATACTGTTGAAAAAGAAGTTGAGGTTCCTATACCTGGAAAAATTATTCCAGTACCTGTTGAAGTAGAGGTGGAAAAAATTGTTGAAGTACCAGTACAAGTACCACAAGAACACATTAGAATTGTACAAAAACAGGTGCCACAGTATATCGAACATATTAGGACTGTTGAGATTCCTCAATATCAGGACGAATTTGTTGAGGTGCCACAATACGTTCCAATGGTTCATCATACTATTATTAAGCCAGTTGTATCCCAAGAATATAAGGAACTTCCTCCTGTTGTTGAGCAAGGGGATGTTAGATACGTTAAGGAGCCTCCACAATATTTGGATACTGAATACATTCATGGCGAACCTATTGAATTGGACTGCAATACGCCTCTCCCAGCCCCACCCTCCCCTAGATATACTACAATTAAGGTTAATAGTGCAAATAATAGAGGTTGTTAACAATCTATTGTAACTTCAAATGTAAATGCAACTACTCTGTCGACATTCCGTTTAGTTCCTTGAATCACATGACAACTCGATGGTCACTCTTGGGTTCTACACATCTCATACGCAGTCAAGGAGACGCAGGAAAGAACGGTCACGACCGGGCCGAACATGTACGCAGGGCACCCCCCAGTCGGTCCCACAGACTCGGGTGCGAACCAAGGAGGCAAGCGTAAGCCTAGCTCTACTTTTAAATGATACATTGGTTTTATTGGAAGGATGGGGTTTGACCCGTGAAGGTCAGAGGGTATGCTGCACAAGTCGGTAGTGTAAGAACGAGGCAACAACTTGAGTGAGACATGAGCAAGCTCAGAGATCACACTCACCCAAGAAAAAATTTCTGTGACTATTAATAGGTCCCGTGGGACCCATATCAGTTGTCACACTGATAAGAACAGATACTACACTTGATCATAGCCAAAAGGCCGAGAAGGTATGCCCGTTACTCAAAAATATTTCTTAATTTGAATGTTCAACACGATTTTGTGATGGCTCTGAATAAAAAGTTAAATTCCATTTCTAGGCGGGAACCCTCTTTTCACATAATCATATTAAGGTATATTAAAAATTTTCTGTGGTAGAAGACGTCTGAACTGACCTAAAATAATACAATTTGTTTATCTTTTACAATTCAATTCTTTTTCTAAAAAAAAAATTAAATTCTAGCTTAATAGCAGTTTTAATATTCATATATTTTGCTCGAAAAACTATGTTTTTTTTTTTAAATCAATACTATTTTCTTAGTAAATTTTTTTTTAATTTGGCGGGATTGTTGTATTATTTAATTTAATTGGTTTTTTGCTGGTAACTTTAGGCGGGTTTACATATTTAATACCAAAGTCAAATTTTTAATTGATAAATCTTTAAATATTTGAATAAAAGGAAAGGTTTGACTATAAAAATTACAGTTAATAAAATAAAATAGTTCAAAAATTTTGATCTGTTGGATAAAAAATTATCTAACTGTTAATCAAGAAGAATTTAATTGCAAATCACTTTTTTTTTGTTAATAATATGAGTAGATGTATCTGAATGCTAATTTAGAATGAAATAAAACAAAAAAAAAAGTAAAAAAGGAATTATATATTTTAAATATTACTATCATAAACAATCTAATTTTCTTATAAAATTAAGAATATGGAGCCAGAGAAAATATTGGAAGAAAATTTATTGGAACATGATTTGCATGGCTCCAATGCATTAATTCTTCCAACATCCAAAATAGAGAGGAAAAGAATACATCAAGAAAATAATCCAAATTGTGATCCGAGTAGTGGGAAACTAGAGAAAAAGAAGAAAATGAGCAATAGAAAGAGAAGGAAATTAAAACAACTGGAAGAGAAGAAAAGATTAAATAAACTACATGAAGATTTAACAAATGATTTAAAGAAGTATACTTTGAGTAATGAAGAGCTTCAGCTTATGATGAGTATCACAAATTCTAGAATGAACAATAAACAGAAACAAATTCTTAGAAGTAGATACTTGGCAGCAAATTTAGAATTACCAAATTTTCTTAAGTTAAAAGATCCGCCATCTAGACCAAAAATAGATTATTCAGAAACAATATTAGAATCTGATTCAGATTCTAGCTCAAGCTTAGATTTGGATCCATGCTCAGGCCCTAGCCATGAGCAAGATAAAGATCAATGTCAAGATCTTGAAATGGAAGTTAAAACAGTCTCTAATGTTAATATTGATTCTAATTCTAATTCTAAATTGGAATTAAACAGTAGAGGTCAAGACAAGGAAATTGTGGAAGATAGTCAGAAAAATGGAAATAAAAGTTACATAAGAAAATATACATCACTTGTAATAAATAATGATAATGACAGACCATCTATAAATAGAACTCCAGAAATAGAGTTTCAACGTTCTGAATTGCCAGTGAGAGTCTATGAATTTGAGATTTTAGATGCAGTTGAAAATAATGATGTAACTATAGTGACAGGAGCAACTGGTAGTGGTAAATCTACTCAAGTACCTCAGTTACTATATGAGGCAGGGTACTGTCAAATAAAGAAAGAAAGTAGCACTGTAAATGAAGGAGGAAAAAGATTTATGATAGGTTTAACACAACCAAGAAGGATTGCAGCTACATCCCTGAGTAACAGAATAGGTGAGGAGTTGAATGATCCAAAAGTGGTTGGGTACCAGATACGTTATGATAAGAAGAATTGTACTAAAGATACAGTAATTAAAGTGATGACTGATGGTGTTTTATTACAAGAGATACAAAAGGATTTATTATGTTCAAAGTATACTGTGATACTAATAGATGAAGCACATGAGAGAACAGTAAATACTGATATTTTGATAGGATTATTATCGAGAATAGTAATATTTAGGAGAGAGGAATATAATAGAAAGATTAAAGAGGGATTGGAAGATATATTACCACCATTAAAACTTATAATCATGTCTGCAACTTTGAGAGTTACTGACTTTTCTGAAAATCCTAAATTATTTTCTAAACCTCCTCCTGTTATTAATATAGAAACTCCAAACTTCCCTGTTACACTTCATTTCGCTAAGAATACTCCTAAAGATTATATATCAGCAGCCTATAAGAAGATTCAGCAAATACATAATAGACTTCCTCCAGGTTCTATTCTTGTTTTTGTAACAGGGAAAAAAGAAGTCAATATTTTAGTAAATATGATCAACAAAAAAAGAACCAAAGCAAAGAGAAACACTGTATTAGATCAAATAGGGAACTCAAAACTTAATATGCTTTTGGATTTTACGGAAAATAACCTTGAGGAAGAGGAAATAGAGGATGGAGATTTAGAAGATGAAGATTTAGAGGATGAAAATTTAGAAGAGGACTTAGAAGATGAAAATTTAGAGGATGAGAGTTTAGAGGAAGACTTAGAAGATGAAGACTTAGAATTTGAGGAACAAGATGATGAAGAATCAAAGGATAAAGAAGAAAAAGATGAGGGGAAAATTGATGAGGAAAAAAAGAACGTTTGGGAAATTTTTGGTAAAAAGGACAACAGAAAACGAAAAATAAGGCTTCATAAGGACGTAGACTCATCTGTATGGAAAGGAGGAGGAGTTCTGGAAGAAAGTGAGGCGGAAGATGGAAAAACCAAAGATGATGGAGATCAAAAAGAAGGAGAAAACAAAGAGAAGGCATTAGAAAAGGTAAAGATTCAGTTAAAGGCCATCCCATTATATGCATCCATGAGCTTTGATGAACAAAAAAAAGCCTTCAAGTTACCTGAATCTAATAATATAAGACACGTAATCATTTCAACAAATGTTTCTGAAACCTCGATAACTATTCCAAATGTAAGATACGTAATAGATACAGGGAAAGAGAAGAGAAGAGAGTACTCCAAAGGTTCAGAATCCTCACGTTTTGTTGTGGAATGGATTTCAAAAGCCTCAGCAAGTCAGAGGTCTGGAAGAGCAGGAAGAGTTGGTCCAGGGCATTGTTACAGACTTTATTCATCGGCAATATATGAAAATGTATTTTCAAAGTTTGCTCCTATTGATATTTTGTCAATACCTTTGGATTCTGTACTGTTATATATGCATTCCTTGGGGATACCAGATATTGTGGATTTCCCATTTCCCACGCCTCCTGAGAAATCACAAATAGACAAGGCATATGAGCTTTTAACCATCCTTGGATCAGTTGAGAGTAAGAAATCTAAATATGTATTAACTAATCAAGGAATTTCTCTTTCAAACTTTCCATTATCACCTAGATATGCAAAGATATTACTTCTTGCCACTGCCTACATAAGAAAAAACATGCTAGAAGAAGATTTGAAATTTTCCATAGAACTTTTACAACAAGTTTCTATATTAGTTTCTTATCTTGCTATTGGAAATCTCAGAGACGAAAGCTTTTCATCAATTATTCAAGATAATCAGAATAAAGATTTAAAGAATGTCTCTGGTCAAAATTCGAATGATGAATTTGAGTCTCTTCCTACCAACCTAGGAAATGATATTGAGCTTAATTTATGGTTTTGTATTAAATATTTGGAATATTATGGTTCAGGTACAAAGAAAGAAAGGTCTTTCTCAGAAAATTTCTGTAAGAGATTTGAGTTAAATTCAAGAGGAATGTCTGAAATTAGGCTAATGTCAATACAATTATTTAATATTACAAAAAAGAAATATTTGGATGGATTAATGCAATTTGAGGCTAATTTACATATTAAATGGCCTCCAAAACATCCAAACTTTACTCAAAAACACTTATTACGTACTTTTTTCATCTCATGCTTTATTGATCATATTGCAATCAGAAATGATGGTAATTTGATTTCCAAAATTTCATACCAAATCCCTAATGATTATTCAAACAGTTATTCTGCTTTTATTCACCCAAAAAGCATTTTAATAAGTACAAAACCTAAATTTCTTATTTACAGTCAAGTGATAACTTCCTCAGATAATAATAGACATAATCTCTGTGATTGTCTATTATTAACTACCGACGATATTTCCAAGGCAACCTCTCTTAAACATCCCCTTATAGATTGTTCAAAAATTCTAAGTTTCCCAACTCCTTACTATAGCATAGAAAATGATTCCATTGTTGGGTACTGCACTCCTAAATATAGGAATAAATCGGTTATTATTGACCTCCCTTCATCAGAAATCAAACTTGGAGCCAATAATAACATTACTTTTGAAATTTTTGCTAGAGCTATCTTAAATGGGCAAGTATTTAGAGAATTTAATAACCCAAGAATATTGAAGAACCTCAAATCCAAAAACAATAATTCCAACTACTTTAAGCTTTTAGTTCATACACTTGAAGAAAATGTGATTTTCAGCAAATCTGGACTAATATCTAAATTCAAATCCAAGAGAGACTTTTTACTTAAAAATATTCTACAATTATACGAAATAACAGTACATAATGATATTAGGAGTTTCTGGCCTCCGACTAAATAATTAAGACTTTATATGAACCTTGTGTGTAAATAATTAAAATAAGAATTAAGAAATATAGAAGAGGAAACAGTGACTTTAATTCTAATTCATTTAATAGTCATAAGCAAACATGGATTTATAATACAAAATACTTTATCTAAATATTTTTACAAATCATATAAATGTTTTATTTTAATTTTATTGTTTTTGTCTATTTTGTAATATTTATCATTGTTTTGCATGTATGCATTAAATATACCTTAATGGTTTTGTGTGGACAAAAAAAATGTTTTGGCGGGAAAACCAAAATTTGTAATTAGAGCAAAAAAAAAGAAAAAAAAGCAATAATCAAAAACAAATTTAAATTAGAAAAAAAATATTATAATAATATAATTATTAGTTCAAAGGATCAAATTAAGTTAGAATAAGTTTCCAAAGTGTTAGCTTTTTATAACTTGAATGTTAGAAAGTAATTAAAAATGACTGAAAGCGAAAAAAGGTGGGATGCTTCATTGACAATGAAAAGTAATTCAACAGATATGGTAATATATTCAGAAGAAAAGAAGGAAGTGGAAGAATTGCTTCCTAATAAGTTCTGGAGCTCTATAAATCAAGGCGTGAATTTAATTGTTGGCCTTTATGAAGGTATTCAATCAGCATGCACAGCTACTGGAATACATGAATCGGAAATGCTAAATGAGATAAATATATTTGACAATAAACTGGGAAAAGTTAAAAGAGTGGTTAAAAATGGGGAGTTTGGTGCTAGAATTAACTCAAATGAGGTTTCAACATCAAATTCTACAAGAGTGTCATCCATGATCAACTTTGGTGATTTACTCCCATCATCGAGTGGTTTAACAACAAAAACCTCAAGTATTAATGATTTAAGCTATTTATATAGCCATGGAGGTTTAAGAGCAGGAGATGAATTTTCTGAATTTTTTCAATCTTTAAGTAATGATCCAACGATACAATTACCGCATATGGATGTTCCTGATTTATCAACGCATACAAAAATGTATGCATTTCGTTCTCATATTTCTCTTTCAATACTTTGCTCTCAGAACATTGAAAGGATTATTGAAACTAATTTGGTTTCTGGAGATTTTAAATTAAAAGGTCCTGGATTTAGAGTTGAAAATGTATATGTACCAATAAGAACTGAAAAACAAAATATAGAAATTAAGTTAACAACTTTTACCAATTTTGGTAAAAGAATTGATCTTGGAGTTGATATTCCTCTTTCTGCTATACATAAAAGCGGTGAAAATTATACTTTTTGGCTATCACTTAGTTCCGATAAAGATCTGCCTTGCCAAGAATATAATGACATTTTACCAGAGGCTGTTTTTCGTCTCAAATTAGATAATGAAAATTATAAAGCTGGAGTTATACAGCCTAGAATACTTGTCAATTTAAAAAGAGTTATGACAGGAATTATTGAAGATTATCAGATCTCATCTTTAAAACTGTCTGATCATAATATTTTACCTTCTTCTGGTTATTATTCTTCAAATAGCCAAAAACTAACATTAATTTATGTTGGATTATATAATGATTCTTTGGATATGGAGATTTCCCAAATTTTTAATTCAAATTCTTCATTTCTTTCTAATTATATTATTGAGAGAGTTAACTCTGGCGGACATTATAAAATTAATAATATTGATGTTTTAATTTCTTATGGAGCTGGAAAGTATTCAAATACATTATTTATCCAAGATGAGACTTCACGTCAACCTTTAATGGATTACCTTAATAATACAAATGAAAATATTGAATGGTTAACTAGTGAACCTACTAATGCTACAGAAATGGTTCCACCTGAAGTTTTACCTGATTTCTCTGGTACTCCAGCTCCTTGGGAAGTTGAAACTGATCGTAGAAAAGCCATGGAATTAGCTTGTCACAGAGTTGCTTTGAGAGAACATATTGCTATACAATATTTAATAGATACTGGATGTACTAATTTACCAAATCCAAAATTCTCACAATGGCTTAATCCTCCATATTTTAGAATTGGCCCTCAATTTGAGCCTGTTCCTATGAGTTATAATTGGGGCCCAAATTATACTAATATTCAATTAATTCCTCTAGAACAACCTAAAAAGATTACTTAAGGAAATAAATAAGATTTTATTTTAGCTTCTCAATTTTTTTTTCTTTCTTATTAATTGAGTACAAAAATGTATTTATTTTAGTAATTTGGAGTTTCGTATTAATATAAGTAAAAATACTAAGTAAAAATGCAATCTTAATCTATAAAGAAGAGATTAAGATTGACATATAATACTTAAGAATACAATTATAGAAATATAAACATAAGGAATTAATATAGAATTTCATAGAGTAATTGGTAAGTGTATGATTTTAATGTTAGAAAAATAAATGCAGATCTAGTAAAGAGAAAATTAAAAGAATAAAACAGGATATCATTATTAGTAGAGTTTGCTCCTTTTTACCTTGCAAACTTATTTTAATAATGTGAAATATGATTAATATATTTGGTTCCTTTTACTGAACAGCAAATACTTATCGGCTTATTCTATTATTCATATATAATAATTCTTACTTATTATTACTATTATTATTTAATATCCATTAATTTATGAGCGATTATTAGATTTTGCCAAATTCTTCAGTTTCCCAATAATAAAGTTTCACCAAGAAGTAAATAAAATTTGGTTTTTTTAGAAAAGAAAAATCCGAGAACATTTTTGTCTTGGTTTTTTCTTCTAAAAACATAACTTTTATGTCGCTGGGATTACTGGATTACTATCAATTCGACATTTATTTTTGGTATATATTTTATTTAAAGAAAAAATGTATAGAAAAAGAAATACTAATAATTTTCTTTTAATAAATATAAATGGAAATATTAGATGTAGTTATTATAGATCCCACACTAATTGTTTATTTGATTAAATTATTATTAATCAACCATACAAAATAATAATAATAGTAAGAATTATATGAATATATATCTCTCTTTTCCCCACATTCTAAAATGTTAGAAAATGCTTGATTAATGGATTGGATCTTTTAATGTTGCATTGTAAAGAGTAATTAATTCAATACCTTACTCTTTACAAGGGAAAAAAAGTCATCTCTGCTAATAATACATTGTTGTTTCCTAAACACATCCTGAGTTGCAAGGTTAAGCATACCAATAAGAGTTTCATCGTCAAGCTCTTCACCAAGCTCATTTGATATTTTTCTTAGACTTTCAAGATCAATACAACCTTTGTTATTATGATCAAATATCTTGTAAGCTTCTAATGTATCAATGTTTGCATCCATATCATCTTTTTCTGAGGCTTCAGGAAATCCTGTGAGTTGATCTATTAATATATGGAGGCTTATATTACCTTGCGAATCACATAAAGATCTAAGTGTATCACAAGCTTCAATAATGTGTTCCTTTGGTATAAAGTTCCATTCCATCATTCTACTTTGTATATCTGAAAATGGAATAACTTCTTTATATTCCCTATCTAAAAGCTTTACAACATCTGGGAGATCTCTTTCATTATCCCAAATTTTCCTTTGACCGAAAGAGACAGTTTGCCCATCTGCTCTTAAACTTGCAGAAGAATTTTGAGTTGATGGGTTCATACTTTCGTTACGATCCTCTTTTCTCACTAAAAAAACTCTTAAAGAATTTCTTACTAGTACGTTACGAGAGTAATTTTTTTAACTTTCAATCTTGCAGCTAATTATAATGTAAATTAACTTTCTCATGCACGCGAGTTTCGGCGCCATCTAATCCGTTGCGCACATGTCTCATTGTGTGTGTATTAGGCCTCGTAATAATAAAATTTGAAGATGAATAATAATTAATAATATATTTAATAATAAAATGTATGTAAAAATATGAAAAAAAATTTTAAGAATGATTGACAGTCTAATAATTATACGTTGATAGGAAATATATAGTTAAAATGAAAATTAAAGTATTAATTTTGTTTTTTACTCTTAAAAGAATAGATCCTGTTTTCATTTTGTCAAAATAAATATTAATGGCTTGGTGTGTCCCTCTTTAAATCTACAAATAGTCTTATCTTACATATATTCTCTTTATTGTGAAGAATAAGGATTAAGGTAACAATTTTTATGAAATTAATCATTATTTTTTAAACTAGCGTTAAAGTGTATATGCTTTTGCATTTAATGTACTTTTTTTTTATTTTTTAATTAGATTTATAAGGGAAATATTATTGTTGCATGAGAAGGCCTAATTATATTTTTAACAAAATTTGGTTAGATTAATTATAAATTGTTTGGATAAAAATGAATTTCAAAGTTTAAAACAATCATTTGATAATTACACAATTCAGATAGAGTGCATTTTTAACAAATATTTAAGAATAAATCAAATAGATTTAAGAATAAAAATATTAAACTATTATATAAATTTTGAAGAAAAAATGCAATTACAAGTTATATTAAAATTTATGAACGTTTTATTATAATTTTTATTAAATCAGTTATAGTAAAAATAACACCAAAACTCAACAAAGAATTTATACTATTTGCTTTTTCTTTAGTTTGAAAGAAAGGGGAATATAGATTTTGATTGAATGGAATAATCAGGCTGTAGTTGTTAACATATAGTTTTACGATATAAAAACTCAGAAGTTGTCTTATTTTGGAGGGAAGGAAATTAATTATTCTTAATATTAAATAAATACCACGTAATATTTTTTTTGTGATTTTAACATTTTGGTTGGTCTGATTTATTTCTTGTGTGGCGCCATTGTTTAGAGTTCGTTTTAACAAATTAAGTTGACGATTTTTTTTAACATATTCAGTGAAAGTTGAGGGCTTATTGAGTTCTTTTAATTCCTCCTCTAGCTGAAATATTTCTGAGTTAATTTGTTTGTTTTTTTCTTCAGCGATTAGTTGGTGATTTTTTAAAAGTCTTATTAATTTTTCTAAATAATATGAAAGAAAAAGTTCAAAGCAAACCAAAAATACTATTCCATAGTACATTCCAATTAATGTTCAAATATCAAGTTACCTAAATCCCTAGTTCTTCTTCAGTATTGCTTGAGTATTTATTACTGTAAAGTATTTTTTTTAATGATAAATTTTAGTGAATTAAAAGAAATTTCATTGTTTTTCAGTGTAAATAATAAAATGAAAATTTGTGAAATTGGCGCCATATTTTATGTTATTTTGACATTTGTAGGTGCACAGGCAGGATCACCAATAATCAAGGAATATTCAAAGTATTTAAAAAAAAAAATATATTATTTTTGATCAGAAGAAAAATATAAAAAAGGAATGTTTTGAAAAGAGATTAATAAATATTTGCAAATTTAAAAGGAATGATTTCAATAGAATTTTTGAAAAATGATAAAATTATCACATAGTTTTATTATTGCATGCATTCTTGTATACATTTTAAATCATTTTGAACAAATTAAAATTGAATCAAATTCAAAAATATCTTTGCTTAGAATTAAAGTTAAAGAAAAAGGATTTCTAAGTAGAGCAGCAAATGCAGCAGGAAGAGTCATTTTTGGGATTGACACAACTCCAAAAGAACAGCCTATTAATACTGAAAGGATACCTGTTGGAATGTTTCCTGATCCAAAAGAATTGGCTCAAGAGTTAGACATGCTTGAGAATAGGAAGATATCACCGGATAGTAATCGTCAATTTGCTTTAAAATATGTTACAGATGTATTAAATGGGCAAACACCCAATATGGAATTACTTTCAAATAGTCAGATGGCACAAGTTAGTAGTGGAGTATTCGATAGAGGGTCTCAAGAAGCTTTATCAGTTTCTAATAAAACTAAAATCGCAGAAATGCAAGCTAACAAAGAAAAAGAACAGGCTTTACAATCACAAGGTCAAATAATTAAGGATGGTGAACAAATTAAAATAGGGAAACAAGGCCCTGTTACTTTGAATGATCCTGATGAAAATAATAAAGGTAAAACCATTCCTCCAAACCTTGCCTTGGTTGATGAAGAAGAAAAATTCGTCGATAAGGTTGCAGATCAGTCCATTTTTAGTCATCCTTTGGTAATTATCTCTATCTTTATACTTGTTGTATGTATGTTCGCAGGAGGAGGTCTCGTTTATTTTAAAATAATTGGAAAAAAAAAGAGAAAAAGATCCTCATAATACATTCAAATTCTAATAATCATTTTCTTCAATTTCTCTACTAGTTTTAGTTTTATTATAAAGTGCTAGATTCTATTTTAAAATTTACAATATAAATTCCTTTAATCCCTAAAACTTACTATTTTTTTGGCGCCAACTCTATTTATGTATAGTTATTATTAATACCTTAAATTTAAAGATCCGATCACAAAATTGACTATAAAATTGAAAAAATAATATAAATAAATAAATAAATTATAAACATAAAAGGACTAAAATTGGCAATAATTTATATGATTGGGTGATTCATTGAAAAATTAAAAACAAAGAAATAAATATTAATTTGGTTTATTAAAAACTAAAATAGTAAAAACATTATTGAATTGTGTGCTAATAATACAAAAGGACGTATTGAGCATCAAGCTCATGGAATTTTGAGTTTTTAGTAAAAACTAATTTTACAAATAAAACAATTTTTAAGATTAGTGGGGTGAATTCAAATATAAGATTCCTGCACTTTCAAAGTGTAAATTAATAATCAAATCAAAAATTCATGAGAGCTCTGAATTTAACTAAAAGAAATATCCACAAAATAAATAAACAGAAAATATAAAATTATACCATTTAACCATTTTTTTTTAGTATCTATACGAAAAGCAGTTTATTCTAGAAGGTAAGTTAGTTGGGAGAATACCTAATTTGTAATACTAAAGAATTTATAACACTAAAAATATAGACATATATATAGTATTTTAATTCAGATTGAATAATGGATTCAGAGAAGAACGTAGAAAGAGGTAGAAAAACACATAAGGAAGGAATTTCTGAAAGAGTTGGAATTGTTGGAAGAAAAATTAGCGATATGGATAAAATTATACCTTCAAAGGAACATATTGAAGAGGGGCTGGCTCCCAGTGAGGGAGAATTAGCAATTGTTTATCATGATACTCCAGCTGGCTCTACTCAACATATTGTTACAAAATCTCCAAATATATCACCTGTAAAACAAGAAGAATCCAGTTTATTGGGTAATCAATCTTTTCAAAATTATATCAACCCACACAGCTTGTACAGTCCTGTATATACTAGTAGCCAAATTGGAGGTGAATATGCATTCCCTAAAGTGAAATTCTCAAGTCTAATCTTTCCATGGTCTGCGTTTCTAGCTGTAATTATCTCATATGTACTTTCAAGCTTCTCATGGTATTATCTTTTTTACAATGATGACTATAGATTGGTATTGGCGCCTTTTGTTACTTCCTCTATTGTATGCTTTTTTGAATCCCCTGTAATGCTCGCAAAATATTTATTTAGGAAAATGAGAAAATCATTGATATGGAAATTAATTCCGATGGGAAGCATGGTGTTTCATTCTCTTCTCTTATTAATTTCATCAGTCCCCATCAATTTATTATACTGCAGTTATATTCTTAATAAGGGAGATCCATCTCAAATATTTAGTTTACCTTTACATTATTTGATTTTGGCGGGAATTCAGTCCTTGTATATATTTCCATGCATTTTATTTTTAGTTGCACATTCCAGATTTGAATCCCAAATACTAAAAGATAGAACAGAATATGACCACTGGTGAGCCATTGATATATTTTACTACTATATTGGTTACAAATAATGCTAATATATTGGCTATTATTTTTTCATTATCGCATTAATTTGGTTAAGAAGTTTATGAGTAATCTTTTTTTTTTTTGCCAAGTATGAATCGAAGTTGGAGAAATTAAAAATATAATCTATAATTTACATTAATATTAATCCTATCCAATTCGTTCTTATTTTTTGAAAATTAAAGATTTCTTCATCCAAATGAATGCAGTAAATTATGTTGATAAATTGTAGCAAGTAGGTAAAATATTAACAAACTTATCTAAAAGTAGGAAGAGAAGATTAAAAACAGTTATTTGAGTAAGAAATAGGTTATTAATATTAGTTCACTAATGTTTTAGTTTTTAAGAAAAGATTTTTGCCAATTTCTTTCCGAGACTTGAGTTTGAACCACTTTTCTTCTTTGATGGTTTGTTTGCAAATGCAATACCTGCAATTCTGTCATCATTCGTTAGTTCAAAACAAACAGCATAAATTGAATCACTAGAAGTAGAAATCTCATTAAATCCTGACACATTTGACAATGTTGTAGATTTAATGGAAGCAGATTCTGAAGAATATGGAGGATTAAGCTTTATCTGAGAAGGTACCACATTTAGTGGGGAGAAATCCACAACTAAAGTTGATCCAACTTTTGAGAGATCAAAGCTTTGTGAACTCATCTGACTCAATTCAGAGTCATTTTCACCAACAGAAACCGAAGTCTTTCCATCTGGACATTGGAAAGATAAAACTCGAATGGGACCACTCATACCTTTAGAGTTAGTATTTGATCTTAATACTGTAAGCTTAGAAAATGGAACTTCTTTTTTAATATCATCATCTAAACAGGAAAATGAAATAATCCAATTACTAAGTCTTGTTCTTGCAGATCCACCCTGGAATTGACTACAATGTGGGTGAACAGAGTCTACTTTTTGTGAAATTCTTGGGCCATTAATAATTATGCTAGGAATATTTCCAGTATATTTATTATCCACAGGGATCATATTTGGCTTAATTTCTTCATTAAAACATTCCAATGGAAGATACTCAAACCCAAAACCAAGTGAAAGTATTCCTTGGGACGGAGACAGAGAGCCACAAACTGATCTTAAGACGTGTTTTTCATGCTTCAATTTCTCATTACTTTCCCATGTTGTTGTTGGCCCAAGAGAATCTTCTTTCACTCTATAGTAAAGCAATTGTTGAATCTTCCCAGAGCTAACATAACCATCTATTGATAAAAATGCTGGACCAGGAATAATGCTTTGCTTTTCTTGAGATTTTTTCTTACCATTTTCTTTACCTCTTACACTAAAAGCTAGCTCAATCATTTTTGGCTGAACTTTATTAAACAACTGAGTGGTTAATTGAGATGGAGACCTTCCACCAATAGAAATTGTTTCAACATTGTTAGTTCCTGTACATTTCCATTCAATTCCAATAATTGGCCCATCTATTATATGATGAGCTTTAATGTATTCAATTTCTGTACAGTTTGGACAAGTTGCTGTAAATGGACTTCCAATTTCTGCTTCTGTAGAATTTAGTCCATTTTTTTCTTTCAAAAAGTCAATTAGTGGCTCATTGTATGCCAATTTTTCACATTTATCTTTGTTAATCTTGTTTTCTATTATTAATCCATTGTTTTGTTTACCTAATACCTCTAATTTACCATCTAACAAACTATTCTTATCTTCTCCATTATTTAATGATTTGATTACACTAACATTCTCATCTAAAGTATCATAAGGTACCGAAGACATAGAACCTTCAAAACCAATACCAATTATATTACCATTTCTTTGCTCTAATTCAACACAAATTGAATCAGTATAAACTACATTACCATCAACACTTGGAATTTCCCAGTAAGTAATTGTACTTGGAACCAAAAAGCTTGAGTAATGCATCAATAAAGTTTTCTTATTTGAATCCAAGTCACTCAATCTAGTTGTCAACATTATTGGATTAGTACTCTCTGTATTATATCCCAGATAAATCGAATTAAAAGGGCTTGAATGAGATGATACTACCTCTATATTGTTCGAAATGGATTGTCCAAATGCAAATGATAAATCTAAACTATTCTGATATAACTCCCCGCCTTTTTCTGCATGTAAATGTTTGTATGGGGATGCATGTTGTACTCTAAAAGGAGATGGCGCCCATTTATTAATTGGCCATTTGTCATGGTCAAACGTACTAATCAATTTAGCCTGATCTTCTTGTTTCAGTTTACGGTTGAGTTCAATATTTACTTCATTCTCACCATCTTTTAGGTTTTCATGTTTATCTGCTTTTTTCGAGTTCTTAAGATTATTATTGCATATACCAGCAATACGTTTTAGTTCTTGGGTAGTACTATCTATGAACAGAATGAGTTTGTTAATATATTGTGGAACTCCATTTAAGTCGTATTTACATTGAGCATGAACTTGAATGGTATTTTTGCTTACGGTTTCTTTTCCAGGAGAATAGGAATAGTTACAACCAGTGGCTTTACTCGATAAAAAGGAGATTTGGACATCATTTGGGTTATAGGATATGGCAGTATTGATAGTTTGATTTCTCTGTAAAGATATTGGATAAGCTATAATTTCTGGTTTAACCATCTTCACAGCATCAATAAATAATGGGGTTGGTTCTATCATTTCTTTGTACCCAATACCAAAACTTGTAATTTGGCCATCTTTATTAATTCCAGCACAAATCATATTTGGATTACTTCCAACCCAAAGTCTTTCTCTAATAGCACTTTTTCGTTTTAAGGCTCTTTTTACTCCAAATTGATTATTTATAAAAGTAGAGAATTCTTTACCATTCTTATTAAAATATCTTAAAGCAATGGGATTACATGTGTTTGATCCTTTGCAATTTTCTTTTGATGTTGAGTTAAAGTATGCAATATATAGAGAAGTTAAGTCATCAACTCTTTCATGATTAATCCATGGTTTTCCTTTATGTTCTCCTAATCTCAATAGAGAATTATGAATAGAGTTTTCCACTTTAATATCATAATCATTACATTCAATCTAAAGTGATTAGAAAAAATTAGAAAATAAAATCAGATTAAAAGAATAGTTAATATCTCACTTTAATATTATAAAGGGCCTTTATTAAAAAAACTTACCTCTATAGAAGCTAGATATGTTGTTCCAAAAGAATACTTTTTGTAAGTCCTGTATTTATTGAAATGACCATTTGGACACATTATAGAATAATAGGTAACCGAGTTATTCTTCTCGTGATTAATTTCAGGACCATCCAAGGTTTGGCATTCTGGAAACACTTTCCCAACTGTATATATCATATTCTTTAAATATATACCTTTATTTGAATAGCTTAAACTATTATTTGCATTTCCTTTTGGTATAAATCCTATACCTGCTATTGAATATATTATATTTCCAGGCTGAGGAATTGGCAATAAAGCAAAACAACCACCAATAAATTTCTCCCCTGACCATTTCCTGGAGTTTGTTGATTCTAATGAGCTAACTCTTCTACTAATGGAGAATGAATGAATTTGTGAGAAGAAACCTTCTAGCAGTACAAGAGAAGGAATACTTGAAGATCCTCCTGGAGTAAAGCCAGCACTAATAGATGAAAACATGACAGGATATCCTGGAGCCGTACTATTATAGTGGCTTAATTTAGACCCTCCAAAAGAAATAAATGAATAACTATCTGAACAACCAATCTTTAGATTTTGAATTTCGTCAATATAATTTACACTGGAGTGATCCACAATTTGATTATTTACTCCAATATATGAAATAAATTCTCCATCTTTACAGTAATATGCCACCTTAATCATTTCTTTCTGATCAATTCCATAGGGTAATAAGATTTTACATTCTGATAATGCTGTTTCGTTATTAACAGATGAAATCAAACCTTCACTCATCCAACCTGTAAATTTCGAATTTACCTTATCTCCTTTAATTTGGGGAGGGATCACAAACATAAAAAGTAATACTAGTTGTATTACCACCTGAAATTTATATTCTGATAATTTTCCAAGCATTTTAAAATTTCTCATTTTCTTAATATTGCTTTCAAATATTTTTAATCAAAAGTCAGATTTTTTAAAAAATAGTCCTTTTCTTGCTATATACACGTATGCATATAATTTGTATCTACAAATAAATAAAACAGTTTACTTTCTAATTTTGCTTTTAACCACTTATTCCCTACTTAAATAAAAAATTTCTTTTTTCTTTTTTCTTTTTTTTATTTCCAAAACTAATAATTTCTCCAATAAAATTGACCAAAAAGTTAATCCTATTAATCAAGTAAGAATTCCCAAATTTCCTGATTTTGAAGAATTCCAAGATTCCTAATTATTTAACTAAATATTATGCATTTATTGTTTTTCCCCTCGATTATTTCTATTACTCAAAAATAGACAAATAATGCACCTTTGCATTTTTGAGTGATCAGAATTGGATATTCACATCTTGGATTAGGCGCCGCCCCACATTACATTGTGCAGCTTATTGTTTTTTATATAATGAAAATATTTATAATAATCAATTTAATTTATGAATTTCCCCCTTTTTAGAAAATATATAAAGCAATAATTTTTGTTTATTCAGATTTTAATGATAAATTAATTTTTAATAATTAAATCATTTCATATATTTGCCTAACAATCTTGTAATATTTATGTAAATATAAATAGATTATGGTGGTTATACAAGTTATTTGCAATAATCATTTTCTATTTCTTTTTAAATTTCAATTTATTCATTTTTTTAAAAACTTGAAATTTAAAATATAAATTGTGTTTTCTAAAAATTATCAAATATCTAAATAAAAGTCTAATAATTATTAGTGTGTTCAAATAAAAAAAAAATAGTCTTATTTTACATTTATTTATTCATTAAATACCTATCTTCATTTTTATTTACCTATAACTTTTAATTCTCTACTTGTTTGAATTAAACCTGTTGGTAATTGCCGCCAAATGTGTGTATTACTTCCAAATACAGGAATTAAGAAAAAAAATAATTAAAATAAAAAAAAATTTAAGAGCCGATAAATTTAATGTTTTATTAAACTGAAAGGTGTAGAAATTATAACTCCATTCAATTAATAAAATCAATTAATTAACTTGAAATAACGTTCAAATTATATCTATAATATAATAAATACTTTTCCGATCTCCAATATTGTAATTAAACCGAAAAAAAAGACTAGTGCGAATAATTTACATTTTTCTGTAAAATTATCTGCCAAAAGAGAGAAAAAATAGGTTTTGTTCTTTTTTTTCCTTTTTTTGATAAATTATATAACAATTTTGAGAATATCGTATATTCACAAATTATGTTTAGGAATGAAGATAAATAACCTGAACAGTGATGTCGTCAACAACATTGCCTTCTTCTTGTATCCATCTCCTCCAAGCTTCTCTGGCAAGCTTTTCAGCAGAAAGCTGTGCATCAGAAGAACCTCCCTCTGCAATAATGTCAACTGCTTCTTGAGAGGAAATGAACTCCCAAACACCATCAGAACAAATCAAAATAAATGCATCTTTTTCTGGTTGTATCTGGAAAGTATTTATATCCGGTTCAGGAATAATACCAGCTTGGTAACCAAGAGTGTCGCCAATAGCTCTACTCATAGCAAGTCCAGGATACATCTTTCCTTTAATAAATACACGGTAGGGAATGTCTCCTTCAATTCTTTTAACTTGACCTCCTGCTGCAATAATTCTTCGCTTTTCAGACTCGGAATTGGGCTTGTGATCATTTGTAAGATCCACTGCTTCTAAAACTCTTCCTGATCTCGACCATCTTGCAAGTACAGATCTGGAATCACCAACGTGAGCTGTAACAATTCGGTTTTCCAAAGGTAAGTGAAGAATTACCGTAGCAGTAGTTCCAGAAAGGCTACAGTCAAATTGGTTTGTCTCTAAAACATGTTCTTGTAATCTTTGATTGGCCTTAATAAAGGCGTAGTGGAGTACATCTTGTGGATGAGTTTTCCATTGTTTATCTTTTAAAATTAACGCTGGCATATCTTTCTGAATAAAATTGCTTACATCATGTCCAAACGGTCCATGTCCATCAAAGACACCATACAATCCCCAATTTTCAGTTTTTAATATAAAGAAATCATCCTGATTAGGGCTCTCAGGTTTTAGACCCTTTCTACAAACATAGCCAATTCCTCTTTGTAGTTCAGAGTTACCAGAATCATCGCCAATTACTTCTTCAGCTTTAGACTCAAAGGTTTCTTGGGTCCTTTGAGAAAGCATTCCCGTCACCGATAACCTTCTTCTAGAATTTCCAAGTTCAAAACTGTCTGTTCCTTGGTTATAAATATTATTTCCTCCATTGTAAATCCTATTGGGTGGATTAAACTCTGAAGGTTTAAAATTTGGAGAATCTTTATAAGAAGCTTTAAATACTGCTCTGCCTCTTGGTATATCAGTAATGTCAGAATCATTTACGGGATCACTTTGGCTTACTGATAATCTTCTTCTGTCATAATTTACACCAGAATAATTTGGAAATACTTTGTTGCTTCCTTCCATATTTTCATAAGAATTTAAAAAAAAGTTAGGAACTGTATTAGGTAAATCACCAGCAGAGCTGCTTTTCTTATTTATAGATTTCTTTGAGAAACACCCACCCATAAAATTCCAAATTATTAATTTAGAATTCTATATTAAAAATTTATTTCAATAATAATTGGGTGTTTTTATAACTTAAAAATATTTCTTAATTACTCAAATTATACACTTACTTCGTATTGGGATATTAATTTAATATCGTGATAATATTTAATCACTTTATAAATAGTAAATCAATTCCAAAGAATCATATTAATCTTAAAAAATCATTGATTGCTTCTTTTTTTTTACACGAGAATCAAATAATTGTTTGTATAATTTCCATAAAAGTGAATAATAAAATTCAGAAGAGAAATCTCAAAATAAACTTTTGAAGATCTGAAATTATTGCTTAGTTTATGCTTTAAATTTGTTTTATTTCCAAAATGTGAAAGAAATAATAAAACTTAAGAAATCTCTTATGAACACTCCACTTGGAATAAAAGGAATTATTTATCCAAAATTTAAAAAAAAAGAAAAAATAATAAGGTATTCCTCTTTTATAGCCCTCTAATTATTATGGATTATTTTAATTATTACATGAATTTTTTTTTTTTCACTTATTTTATATATATATTTATATATATATTTTAGAACAAATCCCCTCAACGTTTTGTCTATATAAGATTTCTTTTAAAAATATGGCAGACAAATATTACTTTAAACAAAATATTTATAATTATAATAACAATTAAGAAAGTTCTTATTTATTATATATATTTATATATATTACTAAACGATATACTAGATTTTTCATTTAAGAATTAAAAATTTACAATCAAAAGTTGATTTATTATAATATCTTATTATTAAAAACAGATTTTTATACACACAATGAACTGCATGATTATTGACACGTGTGCGTACTAAAATAAATGTGTGCATGCAATCAAATTTATCCACATGGTAATATATATAATAAATATAATTTATATATTAAATATATGAAAATTTTATAATTATGTTTTCTGTTAAATAGTTATAATTAGGCATTTTAAATGGGGATAATGTCTGAAGTGTGTCCAAGGGAAGCTACTTGTTCTCTGGTGAAGAATGAGAAGGAACCAGAGTTGTAGAAAACTTGTTTGGATTTTGTTTCAAACTTCCCATTATTAAATTCAATAACATCTTTAGAGAACGTTTTAGGATTAATGATTTGGCATAGATTAAAATTTCCTCGAATGCTGTTTCCTATTTTGTGATTGCATATATCTGAATCTGGTATATTATACTTATTGTTAATGCTTGTGTTATATTCATCAATTAAGCTAGAATACTCGTTAAAAAAGTATTCTTCACTTTTTGAGGTTTTTGACAGAACCTCATTGCTTAATTTTTTTCCATTATTCCATCTGTATGCTTTTAATTGATCGAGCCTTTTTTTACTAAAATTTCAAAATTAAAAAGAGTTTAAATATATTGCATGTAAATATAAATGCATGCATATTATATAATAAACTTACATGTAAGCTAAGACTCTCATTTTGTTTCTTTGTAAGCTCAATAAATGAACAAGCGCTGCAACATCGTACTGTGATTCATTTGAAGAATTGCTAATGAAAGGCTTTAAATACTGAAGATTTTCAATATGATGTAAATTAATTCTCGCAATTTCTTCAAACTGATTTTCATTATGTGTTGTAATTTGGTAGTTTCCTGCCAATTTTAGCTCCTTTAAAATATCTATCGATGGATTTTCATGAATAGAATCGCTCATGTTTACACAAAGTAAAATGACCTAAAATTGAATGTGAAGTTTGAATAAGATATAACCTGTTTCAAATAATGCCCTCAATTACTTTGATATGTAATTAGAATTGTTTTAATACTACTATTGTTACTATTAATAATAATAGTTTTAATTTATTTTCCATATATGGGTATCGTTAAAATTAAGTAATTACACACATAAAGCGGCAAGGTTGCAATTTATTTATTACTTAAATTATTATTTATAAAAATTGTCTTTTAAAAGTTTTCATATAGTTAACTGTTATTATAATCATCGGAATTAGTAATTCTGTAATAAATTCAACTTTTTAATGTAATTTACTTGAAAGATTGAATAAGAAGTTACTTTAATATGGGAAAACTTGAAGAAAACTTAGAAAAGGCCATTTTATTATATAAGGATGAAAGAGTGTGGGAGTCACATGTAATTATACAGGATTTAATAAAAAAGTATGTTTAATAATAATATGACTAGATTTTAATATTTTGTTTAGGTACGGCTTTATATGTGTATATAATCAAAATCCACTAATATTAGAAATACAAAGAAGAGCAGCATGCATTAAATACTTTGCAAATAGTTTTAACGACTTAAATATAAATAGAGTTGAAATTAATTCAGATTTTTATAATAAAAAATATGAGGACTTTTTTCATGAATTCAAGTTGAATATTCTTCAAAGTGAAGTAAAAGAAGAATTCTATTCCGAAAATGATACAGAGAGCAATAATTCATTCAAATCTTTAAACAGCCAATTTGAATCACTAAACAATGTTGATGAATTGGAGATTAAAAGTGACTGCTATTTTGATGATAAAGGAAATTTATTTGATGATAAGGAGTACGAGGAATGTACCGGATTAATAACAAAAACAAAACCAAGAGAATGGCAATATATTATTCAAAAGAATCCTTTTGACTTGTGGTACAGAAGCTACGAGAATTCTTCAATTATTGAAATATGTTTTCAAGGGTTTATTAAAACCAACATTTTTAATGTTCTTTCTGTATTTTACGAAAGAGATTTATATAAGGATTGGATTCCATATTATACTTTCCCAATTAAATTTGGACTTAATTCTATTAAAGAAATACTACACAAGGACAGAATACATTTAGTCACTGCAATATATATAGACATCCCATGGCCATTTGCTAATAGAGAGATTATTTTGGAAATTTGGGTTAGTAACGAAATTATTCCTAATAACAGAATATTTATTCATGCATCATCTATTGAGAATCACGGATACCATCCGAGATTAAAAGTTGAAATTCCATATTCTTTGGGATATTCAAATAGAGCCAAAATTTCTGGAGGAGGATTTGTAAGTCCCCATGGTGATGATTTGACCCATTTAATTTTCAAATGGAAAATTGATTTGCTTTTTGAACCGCCTAAAGTACTACTCAACTTCTTCTTAAGAAACTTCATTAAGGCTTGTTGGGATAAATTTAATAATGTCTGTATTCATGTCGATGAACCTAATTCTCTACATAAAGAAAGACTCACCACCAACAAAGATTTATATGATTTTATTAGAACTAAGATCAACGAGAGAAACAGAATTGAGCTCAAAAATACCAACGATTCAGCTTTTAATTAAATAATTTATTTTATTTATATATTTATCCTACATAATTTTAAATATTAAAAAAATCATAAGATATTGCTTGAATATTGTTATTTTAACTGTAATATATACTCAATATATACATATCTAGCAATTAAGAATTTATATAAACATGTATTCATAGGTTTAATCACAATAATAAACATGTTTTCAGTGTTTTAAGTATTTATTTCATAATAAATTATTTCTACTTTCCTTTCAATGCATTAAAAATGAGTAATTTTTCTTCTCTACCCCACATACACACAGGCGCCAAATGCAAAATACCGGTACATGAAAAATAATTAGAATCAAAAAAAAATTAATAATAATTTTGAGATAGAGAAGTGAATAATTGCAATCAAGTGGAGTAAAGGTTAAAAATTTAAGAAAATTTTTTATTAATTGGTTTACTCATTTTTTCTTCATATAAAATACTAACTAGTATTATTAAAAAATAACCATTAAAAAAAATCTAAACTAGATGAGACAAATCAACTAAAATAAAGTTTAAGATCATGTTGAACTTAGTGAAAAACAGTCATGAGTTAATTAATTCTATTTTTAATAGAATTTCTGGGATAAAAGTAAGTGTAAAACCACGAAATATATGATTTCAAATATTAAGTAATATTAATTATCTGGTTAATTATTATTTAATTTTTACTAAAACAATCAAATTAAACTTGCTGATTTTAGATTCTTATTTTGGATAAAGAAACTGTTCAACAAATTTCTTTAGTTTTTTCTTATTCCGAGTTATTAAGAAAAGAAGTATTTCTAACAGAGTTAATAGATATAACAAATAGGTCAAATCTTCCACATTTTTCGGGCATTTATTTTATAAGGCCAAACAAAGAGAATATTTCAATATTATGTAATGAGCTTAAAAAACCCTTGTTTAAGGAGTACTATGTTTACTTTACTAATAATATATCTCCACAAATATTGCAAAAGATTGCTATTAGTGATGAGGCCGACGTTATAAAAAGAATTCAAGAAGTCAAGCTTGACTTTAATGTAATAAACTTTGATTTATTTTCTCTAAATATGAACTACTTTGGTAAGTTTAAGTTTTATTAACTCATTAGTAATTCAAGTTTCAAATTTTTTTTTTTTAAATTATATATAAAGCTTCAATGTATAATTTGCCATCAAGCTGGACAACTTATGAGGAGGCAATCTTTTCTAGAATGATTGATGGTATTTACTCAGCAAGTTTACAACTAGGGGAGTTACCTGTGATACGTTACTTAGCAAATTCTTCATTATGCAGAAATATAGCATTTGCGGTAGAAAGAAGATTATTAGATTCTCATCTAATAGATTTAGTATCAGGAGAGTTAGTTAGTTCTAAATTGGAAATTTCTGAAGATAAAAGAAATGAAAATATTATTTTATTAGTATTTGATAGAAGGGAAGATCCCGTTACTCCACTTCTAACTCAATGGACATACCATGCAATGATTCATGAATTACTGGAAATAAAACAAAACAGAATATGTTTGGTTAATGAAGAATTTTCCAAAAAAGAAAAAGAGGAATTTGTATTATCTGAAGAATATGATAACTTTTTTAAAGATCACAAATACGATAATTTTGGTGACATTGGATTTTCTATAAGAGATTTGGTGAACAATCATCATGAATCTTCCAAAGCTAATCAACATCTAGAAACTATTGATGATATTAGTAGATTTGTTCAAATGTATCCAGAATTCAAAAAAGAGTACAATAACATATATAAACACGTAAGTATACTTCATGAACTTTCGAGAATTGTTCAAGAAAGAGACTTAATGAGAATATCTGCATTAGAACAGGACCTAACAGTTTGTGATAATGTTGAAGAACACTCTAAACAAGTAGGAAATATATTATCAGATACTGGAATCTCTAAATTTGACAAATTAAGACTAGCTCTTCTTTACTCTTTGAAGTATGAGAAAGAAGAAATACAAATCAATAATTTTAAATACCATTTGGGTACTCAGGCAAATTATATTGATAAACTTTTGGAAGTCTTTGGTAAAGAATTTAGATCTGGAGATCTTTTTCAAAATAAGACATTACTAAATATTGCAAAGAATACTATAAATAAGTCAAACAGTAATAATATTTATATACAACATAAAACAGTATTATATTCAATTTTAGAAAATTTGGTTAAGGGGAAATTAAAAAATAGCAGATTTCCATCTACTCTTGACAATTATAATTCTTCAAAAAAACCCCTAAAAATTATGGTATTTGTTGTTGGAGGTGTAACTTTAGAGGAATCTAGGGATGCAAATGTTATTAGAAACCTATATGATGTTGACGTGATTCTTGGAGGAACGAATTTATTGAACTCAAGGTCGTTTGTAAAAGATCTAGAATTATTAATAAATAGTTAAAAAAAAAAAAACATAATAATAGTTAATAATATTATTATTAATTTTATTTATTATTTTTATTATTTTTAATTAAAATTGCATGCAATATGATCAAAATCCCACATAGCCCGCCAAGCCCGCATTGATAATATAAAATGATTCTATTATGTCTAATATATATCCAAAAATTATTAATAAAATTACCACTTAAAAAAGTTATTTTAAGTAAATCTTTTTTCTTTTTAAAGGATTTATTTTTAGTAATACAATAATTCAAGATCTTTCATTCCTCTTTTTTAAATGATTTAATGACAATTCTTATTTACTAAATAACATTACTATTTTTTTATTATAAGTTATTTTACTATAATCTTTCAATTAAGAGAAAAAAAAATAAATTTAAAATTAGGGAATTTAATGAGAAAAATCAAATAAGATAATTACTTATTTGAGAGTTAGGATAGCTAAATGGATAAAATCGTCTTTGATAATCCTACAAAAACAAGAACCAAATAAATAAGAACAAAATAACATAAAGCTGATTAATATAATAGTGAATTGGATTAAAAATGAGAGAGTTTTCAGACTCTGAAATAAGTGAAATTACAGAAATAAACTCTGATGATGAATTACCTTCAGACTCTATTGGAGACTATTCTGTAATATCACTAAAGGGAATACTTAAGGAAATTATATCTTGTGGAAGTGGATATGAGAAGCCAGGTATTGGTGATGAACTCCTTATTGAATTGGAAAGCACTAACATATTGAGCTCTGACAATAGTGACAAGATTAATACTGTTCAACAAAAAAATGGAAAACTAAAGGTTACTTTAGGAGATCATTCAACAGATGAATATTATTCTACTAGAAAAAGAGAAATTCCGTGGGGTATTGAAATGGCACTTAGAAAGATGCTTAAGGGCGAAAAATCCAAGATTTTAATTAAGAAAGGCTCAGTTTTTTCAAGGCCAAGAGATTTATGTGGCAAAATTTGCGTAAATTCTATAATACGTGTAGAAGATTGTAAAAGTTATAACAACAGATCAAAAAAGTTAATAAATATGATAAAGAAAGAGGCCAATGAGTTTGATGTATTTACAGTAACTTTACATGATTTTCACCATATTGAGATGATCTGTGACAATGTCAATAAGAAAGTTTGGAAAAAGGGAGTTTACTTAAAATCTCCAAGCAAGAAGGACAAAGTGGAACTATTTATTTCCAAATTGCAAATTGGAAAGATTTCGGAGAATTTGACCAATTCTTCAAGACTGTATGATATGAATTCTGAATTTGATCGTTTAAAGTTTTCCTTGAGTCTTGATGATTTATCAGAAATTAATGAATTAGTAAAATATATCTTTGGAAATGAAAGAATTCATGTGAATGATTTTATTTACTGCATCTTGTCCATGAAACTTGGTGAGATTTCAGAATTTAGATTTTACAACTCTAATCATGAGAATATTTCCATATTAATTCATTTGACTGGATTTTACTGGGAAAAAAATATTCAAATAAAACTCCCATTTAATAAGGAAATTCAAAATAATAGTATTAAATTGTCATCTTATGAAAGTGAATCACTTTATACAACTAATCCCAGTTTAAAAGAAGGAAAATTGTCTTCTAAGAGGATTTCAAGCTTAAATTTGGATCATAATACAAGAATTAACATTCTTTTAGAAAAATTTACTTTGGTTGATAATAATAAAGGAGAGAGAATAGAACTTAGCCTACCTTTTAAATCCACTAAAAACATGAAAACTGCTTTACTAAAAGTTACTCCAGCCTTTTACAATCTTCCTATTTGGCTTGAACAATCAATTCTTTACTGTTCTCTTGGAGGAAAATACACCATTAAAATCCCACTTTCAGTCATTTTCCTTTTTCCTCCAACGGAAATCCAAGCTGATTCGAATATTGAAATTCAAAAGAGAACCAAATCCCTAATTATTTCCGAAAATAATAATTTGTCCACATTAAACTCAAATGCATGCAATGAAAATCATGGTGATGGGAATTTGCATGCGATTTGGGAGGCGGGAAAATTGATTGAAGAACTTGAAAATATGGGATATGAGATTAATGATAATATAGAAGATAATTTGGGGTTAATTTTTGAATTGGATTTGTCAATTTGTACAAGGGGTGTTGTTGATAATTATATTCCAGTAAGTTTAAGTACCACAAAGATGGAATTCGAATATTACTATTATTTGGGGAATATTCTTAATAATTATAATGATTCAATATATAAAGTAACTTGGAATGTGCTAGCTTTGGAAGTGTTTGATAAACTTCTTTATGTAGTTATTCTACTTCCATTTTACTCAAAGTTAGCACATTTTAGACAATCTAATGATGTAAAATTGAAATTATTGGAGAAGGAAAATGCGAGTAAATCTATTTATGATAAAAATAATGTTGTCAATAATAAGAATCAAAATCAAAAGCTAATAACCTTAAAATATGGTAACAGTTTGGTTGAAGATATAAGTGAAGATTCGACAAAATATCAAGCAGATTCAATTCCAGTTTCTCAGGACGTCATGAATCACTTAGACCACCAAGAAAAGAGAGACCTAGAGAATTTGATTAATGTAATTAATATAATGCTTAAGTTATATTATGATATGCAGCAATTTGAAAAATGTTCCAATTTACTTGAAAAATACAAATTTCTGATGCAACTCAAATCTAATAATTCTGAAATTGCTGAATTATCTGCTCTTAAAAATAACGATTCTAATGTTTGTGAAGTTAAAGACTTGAACTAATCAATTTTTCTCAATTAATTCAATTTAGAGAAAAATATAAGAACAATAAATTTTGTTTTAATAATAAAATAATTTGTATAGCTTCTCTAGTTTTACTAATTAATATTTAAGTAGTATCAAAATGATGTTATTTCCATCGTTTTTTTCTCATTATATACTACCGTTTTTTACCTCCAATTCTTATTATATCTTTAACTTCTTTACCTGAAACTTTCACATATTTGCTCTTTACTCTTCCTAAAGATTTTCCGAATATAACTAAATCTTTAATAACTAAATCCCACTTTCCTTCAATACAGTTATAGTAGCTAATGGTTCCCTCGCATTTAAGCTTGCGACCAGATTTTACATGTCTGTTTAAAACTTCAGAACATGATTCTATATAATTTTCTATCATTTTTGCACTTTGAATTGGAGAAATCCTACCATTATTTACAAACTCATTTAATAAAACAACAAAGCTCTTACCAATATTTAGCTCCAACCATTCTGAAAAGTCTGTACCTTCCATTTCAATAATGCTATTAGTAATAGTATAATTTACGTAAAAGTAGTGCTTTTTATAATTTAAGTTTGAAATTCTGTTATTCAGTATCTAATGATAAAAAACCCAATAAATCTTTTCTTAAATCGCATTTTCTTGTCTTATTTTTCGTCTTCTTAATATATCGAATAAAGATATATATTAATTTTTAAGATTGCTCAAAATACTAATAATTCTCCTTTTTTCAACAAAAAAAAAACCTCCAAACATAAGAAAAACTTGTTTACTTGCTTTACATCACAATTTATATATTCAATAAACTCACTATTATCATGGTAATTCATTACATTAAGAGAGTTTATATAATTTACCAAATTAATGTTTAGTAAATTTATATTAAAGATGTAAATCCAGAAAACAACATTTATCAATGTAAAATATTACCAATATTCTTGATTATACAGAAAAAATATGTAAATTATTATTATTTTATTATTACTAATATATTTGTAAATACACACAATATTTAATATTGTATACTTGCTAGATACCGCCATCTTTTGGCGGGAATATTTGGGGGGTGTTTTAGAGAAAAGTAATAATTGTTTAAATCAAAATAATAATATTAAAGTAATTTAATAATATTTAAAGATATTTAATAGTTATATTATTAAAAATAGTGAGTGTGAATAAAGGAAAAAAAAGGGGAAAAGTTTTAAATATTAAGACTAGTTTGCAACATCAAATTATATATAATTCTGTCAAGGATTGCAAAATAGTTTTTAAGTTTCGATTACTGTTCCATTCTTATTTGTAATACTCCATTCAAATTTTAGAAATTATCAAATTACTCCTTTAGTTCAAAATATATAAATTGAATCATTTAAAATGACCTTTGATTTTTTGGATTCAGGTGTTGAGACAATAAACCACTATGGTGTAAGAAATGAGAATTTCAGAAGTTCCGGAATTTTGAAATTAGATTTCTTCGGGAATAATAAGGACGAAGAGGAATTTCTTGAACAAATTTATCAAGAAACTTTTAGTTATGCAAATGTTGATAATCCTTGTAAATTTGTAACAGAATACAATAGTGGAGAAATACGAAAGATGATGAATAGAGGTACTACGACTTTAGGATTTATTTATCAAGGAGGAGTAATACTAGCAGTTGATAGTAGAGCATCACAAGGAAGTTATATTGCTAGCCAGGAGGTCAAGAAAATCATTCAGATAAACGATTTCTTATTGGGGACCATGGCAGGAGGTGCAGCAGACTGTTCATACTGGGAAAGAGTACTCTCAAAATTATGTAGACTTTATGAGCTAAGAAATGGTGAAAGAATCAGTGTAGCGGGAGCTTCAAAAATGATCACAAATATATTCTTTCATTATAGAGCCTATGATCTTTCTGCTGGAATTATGATAGCAGGATTTGATAAAGATGGACCTCAACTTTATTACGTAGATGATAAAGGATCCAGAGTTAAAGATTGTAAATTCTCCGTTGGATCTGGTTCTCTATACGCTTATGGTGTTCTGGATAGTGGATATAGATTTGATTTGACTGATGAGGAAGCTATTGATCTTGGAAAGAGAGCTATTGTTATTGCAACAAATAGGGATGGTGGTTCAGGAGGCCTTGTTAGAGTTTATCAGGTAAGCAAGGATGGCATTATTAAACATATACCTGGAGAAGACGTTTCTGAACTTCATTATGAATATTCAAAAAAGCAAGGTACTGATCCAACCAAAATGTAACTGAATCTTTTTTTTCTCTCTAAAGATTATATCTGAAAGTATATATTGTTCCTATTACCTTCATATACTTTGAAATTTATACAAGAAAGCCATTAATTACAATCTTTTAGTCAATATTTATGCTTGCTTAGTTAAATCAAACAATTAATCTTGTTTAATATATTTACACTAATTTTTATATCTGGAAATTTCATTATTTATCATTTTAAATTTTAATTACGTGTCGAAAAATTTATATTATACTGTAGATAATTCAATTAAGTCACAGAAGTTAATAACAAATTAATCTTTAAGAATTATTTATTGAATATATTATTTCAAACCACCATTTTTAAGCTCAGAATTTTGAATAGTTATCCAATTGAATGTTATTTTTACTAGTTCTAGAGTTCAGCATTTGAAATAAGCTAAATTACATAATTTCAATTAAGTATAGAATAAAATGCATGCAAGATTTTAAAAAATATAAAATATAATTAAAAAATAATTTGAAAATCACAAAAGAAAATAATAAAACAAAACCCAAATAAAAATATCCTAAAATACTGAAATATATGAAAATTATTTATTCAAAACCAGAAATATTTACAATTTTTCAATTAGTTCTAATATTAATTAATTACATTTTTATTTTGATTAAACTGTAACACATTAAATAAAATCCTGTTTCCTGTAATATCTTTTTAATTAGAAAACTAATTATTAAACCCATATATATAAACATTAATAATAATAATAATAGTAATAATAATAATAATAATAATAATAATAACACTAATAGTAATAACATTAGTAATATTATCAATTATTCATCCTCAGTAGAATAATCTTCAAATATACTCAATGTATCAGAGTTAAATGTCTGGTTATTTTCAACAATAATAGAAGAAACAGTATTACTATAATTAATCCAGCAATGAGATGAATTTCTCTTTCTTTCAATTTCTATTGCATTAGAGATTGCTTGAAGCTGAATTATAAAGGCTTTTGGAGAAAGTCCTGAAGTACATCTAATAATCTTTGAGTACCTAACAGCCTTATCAACAACAGCCAAATGAACTGCAGCACATTCTTCAAAATCATTATCACCAATACTAATCAAATCTAATTTACCAGACTCTATACCTGAATTCCATCTACTCACTATTTTCTCAAATTCAAATTTCTTGGCCAACATCCAGTAATTAAAGTACTTTTCTCCATCTTCTATACTTGGTTCTTTGCCTACAGGATTTGTTCTAATTACTGGAATCCCTAATTCATTTAGAGCATTACTTAGTTCTGGAAACATAATATCAATTACTTTTAACCATCCAGTAGATCTTGCATTTGTAACTATTGCTACATCTAGAAACACATTTTTAGCATGATTCAAAATTCGGATAATACTTGGTATTAATTGATAATTTACTTGCTGGTCAATTTGAATTCTTATATATTGATAGACACTATTTGAAGAATTTGAGAATAAATAACTCAATGCAGGATTTTGTCTAATCTTTGAATAAGCGTCTCTAATCCAATCTGTTGGAATTAATGTATCATCTAAATCAAAAATTGCAATTGTATTCTTTTGATAACTATTTATATTCACATTCATACTTACATTTATACTATTATTGTTATTATTAGTAAATATATTCGGATTTTCGTAACTATATCTAAATCCATAACTTTGAATATTCTGTGTTATTTTCATTAAATTCAGGCTTCCTTCTTGAGTTTGATTATTTGGAATTTGTTTAACTAAAATTGCACTTTCTTGACCACTTCTCAAATAACATCCTGTTTTGGTATCTATTTTTCTTGATTCATAATTAGAATATGACTCAGATTTTTGTCCTAATCCAGATAATAAACCTAAACTTGTATTTGTATCTAAAACTGATCCTGCTCCTAATTCAGACATTGTAACTTCTAATGATTCAGAATCTTGCTTTGATTTGGATTCAATACTCTTTCTTAAACTTGAATATTCATCAGTGCTTTTTAAAGCAGTAACATTAATTCTTCCATAATTTGTTATTTCATTTTGAGCTTCTAATAACGAATTATTTGAGTGATTATTGTTCGAAGGTACATTTTTTGCTTCAAGTCCCTGATCTTTGGCAGATTTACTCGGATTCTGGCCAAATATTAGGCCTCTTTTAAATGTATGTATAGGAGAACAAAGGCTAGCAAGATCTATAATAGCCATTTTTTTTTTTTTTGGTAATTCTCTATACTTCAAAATTTGTTTCTATTTAACCCTTATAAAATAAAATGGGAGTCTCTAATATGATTATTGTGAGAAAGTTAGTTATCTCAATACAATAATCTTTCTCTTAACAATAAAACTTTATTGTTTTGTAGATAACTTTTCATCACTTAATTATACCAATCAGTACACCTTTAGTCAAATTTCAAAATGAAATGTTAAAGGCTAATAATTTCTCAGTTTTAAACTCTTAATTAAATAAACGAAATTTATTTGGTGATAAATTTATCTATTAATTAATTATTTAATTAGATTGAGAATAGATATTTTATGTATTTTTTAATAATAATTCTAAAATACTCTCCCTTGTCTTTTCTTTAAATTTCCTATCTTATTTAATCTTTCTCATGATATTTTATTATTGTTATTTTTTTTTATTAATAATTATATTTTTACCTAAATTATCGTCTAATCTCTTTGACATGTTACCACCTGGGTGCACATTTTCGGCGCCAACAAATAATTCTCGGATAACACTGAGTGTTTTTTATATATATTATACACCCTAAAAATCTGAATTAAAATAACTGAATTTAAATGATTCTATATTTGCATATTAGAAAAAAAAATTTAGAATTTATTATTTGTTTTTCTAATGCTATTTCATAAATAAATTTATTTTTTAAATATTTACATTTTAGAGGATAAAAGCTTTGAAATTGTAAATTATGAAAATGTTTTTATTCAAAGGTATTAGTAAAAATTAAATAAAATAAAAATTAACTTTAATTTCTTTCTAATAATTATATGATCAATAACAATAATAATTGATACTACTTCTATCATTATTCTGTTAATTACAAACAATATTTTATTTGATAAACTAGTCAATTTTCCTTAAAAAAAATTACATAGCTACATTGCATGCAAGTGCATGCAATTAAACACGTCATTATAATTCAATATTTTTATTGTCCACACTGGATAGGAAAAAAAGTTTAAATTAATTAAAAAAAAACTGGTGAAATTTTGTCGAAATAATATATTTATAAATATGTAAATTTTCGTTATTGAAAAACAATAATCTTTTTTCATTAAAGTAACAACCATTTAAGAAAATGTAAAGATGAATACATTAATATATTTTTTATTCATTTATTGATGTGATTTATAAGATTATTTAAGTTCAACGTTAATTACACCATCAGCAATATCAATTTGTTGATTAAAATTATTATTTGTATGATTATTAACATTATTATTATTATTATTATTAGTGGTATTTATTTGGAATATCTTTTTATTAAAGGAAAAATCATGGCTTTTTGCAGGGAAAATGTGAATTTTGGGTGGAACACATCCGTGAACAATAAAAGTACTTGCAAGGAATGCCATGATATGCCATATTGAATGGAAGAACCAATAAGTATCAACGGTCTCAAGAAACCAAGTAATACATCCAATACCACCCATAATGAATCCAATTAATATGTGTCTAGGGGAGTAATACTCACGGTCAAATATAAAAATAAGTTTTTTATAAGCATTAATAATGGAATATTGCAAACGAATGATAAAATTATTTGCATTACGAATTGTTGAATTCAAATTATGAATAGGATTCGAATTTTGAGCAATATTATGTAATGAAATAATATCATTTACTTTTGAAATATCAAATTGAGCATTACTATGGCTATTTTGTATACCTTTACAATTTTCAATACAATTGGAAACTGGAGTTGAAGGATTAACTGGATGTGAATTCATCTCCTTATTATTCGAATTTTTTTCACTCTTTGAAATTAAATAAGTTGGAGTATTTGAAGTATTAGTAAGTTCAATGGGAATTGCACATGAGATTTCAAGATTAGGTGGTGAAAATTCTGTTGGGATTTTTTCACTATACAATTTAGTTGTATTGTACCAATATATTATTCTTGAAAATAATATTGTAAAACAATTTATTAATGGAATTACTGTTGTTATAAGTCTTGAAGTTAATAAAGTCAAAATAATTAGAATAAGTATTTGGCTAATTAAAAGTGAAATCTCAATTTTATAGTTAAACCTGCAAAGTAATATAAATACAAAAGAAATTATAAGTTGGGCTGAAATTAAATCGCCTTTTAAAAGTATATCTTCATGATCCACAAGTAGACCAACTTCTGCAGCATGAAAAATTGATGATACCAAACCTGCAATAAAAGCTAGAAAAGCAACTAACCATTTCTTCTTAAATATACATACACAAATTGTTGGAATAGCAACAAAATTTGTTCCTACTAACGTTATTGGATAAGCAAGTATTGACTGGCTTGATAAATAAGGATATGAGCAATAAAAACCACCCCATCCAGGATAGCAAGAGCAGTAAATATTAATATTATTTGAGTATTCAATAAGTGAACAGTCACCATGTCCTGAACATGTTGATTCTTTACATGTTGTTGGTATAATTTGATGCTTCATTCGAATATTTATTGATTTTATTGGGATATTTTCTGTTGATTTAATATCTGTATTAATACTCATCTTAAAAGTAAATGGAAGATTGTTATTTATTGTTAATAATGGTATTGAAATATTCGCTATTTGTAATAAAGAATTGTCAATTAATTTTGGTTTTGAAGCAATATTAAATATCTTTGTCTCTTTTAATTCATAATCTTTTATTAAATTATAATTATTCTCATTATATAAAGGATATCTTCCAAGTAATCCAACATAATCAATAATAAGTGAGCTGTTATATTTATTAAATAAATACAATAGCTCATTACTTATATACAAAAACAAATTATTACTATCAAAAGAAAGAATATTTGTTATTGTTTTTGGTATTACTATATAAAATGGTTCATTCAATTTAACATTAATATCCAAATTCTCGCTTTCTATTACTTTTGGAATATTTTCCAATCTATAATTTGGATTAATTTTCGTTGGTAACCATTTTACAATAAAAGGATCTCCTGTTAATTGTGTATAATTCAAATCATAAAAGAACTTCATATTAAAACTATCTATATTACTATTCTCTGACATTTCCAAGTCTATATTTGATCTTGTATTATATTGGAATATAAATGGATATATAAAGTATTTTGATGGTTTTATATTATTTAAAATAAAATGGACTTTGATCATCTTTGGATCTTCATTATCTGTTAATTTATTTCCATCATTTGCAAATACTTTAATTGTTATTGAGTCAATATTACTTCTGAGTTGTGGAGGAAGATTTTCATTTTTTATTAAATTATCACTTAAATCTTTCTTTAAGTCAATACATATATTTGGCGAAAGTGATGAAGTTAAATGCTTATCTATTGCTGGTATTGATGCCAATGATTTTTTATTATTATTATTAATCATACCACTGGAGTAATTTTCTTTTCTATCTAACAAATACCCTCTATCAGTTAATCTGTTATTTTTATTTATTGTATCCAATAATTCATCATTCCAATAATATGGCGACAAATAAATGCAGAAATTATGTGAAACATTGTTCATTGAATCATTTCCTTTATTTTGTTTATTAACATTCATTTCACCAATCTGAATTGAAAATTGTAAAACAGCATTACATATTGTAACAAAGTCATTCTCTAATACACAAACAGGAGTTGAAAATATCTTCAAATTATTCAATGGTAAATTATTACTGTTAATAATACTATCAGTTGATTCTTCTTTCTTTTCTTTGTTATTTATTGGACCAGTTAAACTATATTCTGAAGAAGGAGAAAGAGTAATAATTTCATTATTATTATATTCAACTAAGCATCCAATGCTTAAAATTACATATTGAGAAGAACAAGGACAATAATGTCTTCTAGTAAATTCTATATCAACATCTCCAATGTAAATGTCAATATTATAGGCATTATTATCTAAAAGTGGGAAGTTACATAAAGGTAATTTTCTATCCAATATTGAACCCTTACTAATACCACTTGGAATGTCAATTCTAGTATCATAATTATAAGGTGTTGCCAAATTTCCACATCTTAAAAAAATGGTGAATCCTTGAGTTAATGTACTTTCTATTATTTTAATCTCCAATTTTGGGTATATATATGAATTTGGTGTTGTTACTGAAAAATGGTAATTATCACATAAATATAACTTTTTTGTAGGCATCCATGTAATTTTAGAACCAATTACATTTTCATTCTTTAAACTATTACTATGAATACCATTGCCATTATTAGTAGTAATACTACCACTATCAGGATAGTTAGTTGTTAATTCATTTTCATCTTTTACTGAAATAAAGTTTTCACATGAAATTTTCTCAAATATTATTATTAAGAATATTAACAGGTATTTTGATATTGAAAAGTTTCTATTTAATTTAACTTTGCTCATTATTTATTGGTTTTACTTCACAATAACTTTATTGTATATTAATATTTATTGATTAAAATTATGTATATACGTGCATGTTATTTTCAACATCAACATATTTAAATTATTATTAAATTAGGTGTTTACCTGTATATCATGCATTAATGTTATATTTATGTATTTCAAAAAATAAATATAAGATATTTATGCAAATACATAAATTTATATGCAAAGTATAGAAAATTATTTAACCACACACTAAATTTCTGTATTATAACAAGTCATTTAATTATACCTTAAAATATATATCGTTTATTTGATCTGATTCTTCGTTAGTTAGTTGTTCCTTTGAAATGGTATGTCCAAAGTATTGGGTAGAACCTAGTTCATAAAAAATGAAAAGTAATGGATAATATCAGAATTTAATAATTTTTTTTCATTAGAATAAAAAATGCATTTACTTTAACTTGACAGTTTTTTTATGTTATAAATATTTAATATGTATATATATATTATATTCAAAACTTCCCGCCTTAAAATATTTTGATTATTATAATAGAATTGACCAAATTATAATAAATAATGTGTTATCTTATTAATATTAAATAATAATTCCCCACAATAATTTAATTCGTATAATTTTATTAATTTTTGTTGATTTTCTCCAGTATTCACATTTTTCACACATTTTTAGATCCGAAAAATTTTTCTTTCACACAGATTCTAATTATATGCTTTTAACACAACAATAGGAAATCGTAAATTATTAAACAATTTTATAGATCAGTATTTATCTCGTTATAATTTAAGAGATTTTGAATAGAATATAAATTGAATTATAGTACTTTATTTATATTATAATTAATATTTAACTATTTTAATATATTTGCAATGAAATATAATTACTACCTGTAAGATTTTTAATAAATCTTCTCAACTTTTTAAGAAATTTATCAATTTTAATTTATATATGAATATTTTGATTTTTTTTTTTTTTTAATTTAAAATATAGTTTTATAGTTAACCTGGAATGCAATTGAAGAAAAAAAAAAATCCATTATGATTCTTACTTTTAATATATTTTCTCTTAGCTCTTTACAGCAGTTCTTTCAACCTCCATTTGAACGAGATCACTAAAGCTAACTTTATTTACCTTTTTTTTCCTAGAAACTCTTTTGATTGGTACATTGAAATTATCTTTTAAATCATCTTTACTATTACTTTCTGAAGTAGTTGGTGATTTTGAATTAGATAAAGTTTCTTGAAAACTGTCAAACTTTTGTGTTATTATCTCATTAATTCCATTATTCAATTCATTATTATTTTCTTTTGATTCTTTCGGATTTGATATAATACTTTTACTATTTTCATTAGGTTTAAATAACTCGAGTTTATTTTCACTATGAGAATTATTATTATTTACATTCATACTCATCTTTAATTTTTCTAATAATTTATTGTTTTCACTTATAGCTGTTGAAATTTTTTCCATTACACCATCACTTTGTTTTCTTGTTATATCAAAGACCTTTGAAGTATAATCATCGTCATTATCTACCATTCCAAGGATTTTTTTCTGTTGTTCTTCTAATGCTGTTCTTGATATTGATGGTTTAACCTTAATTCGTTGATTTCCTTCTTTAGTCAATATATGTGAGAACTTTTCTTTAAACTCTTTGGTATTACTCATCATTTTCTCTTGAAATATTTTTGCAACATTAATGTTATTATTTTGACTTTTCTTATTTTCATTATTTGATGAATTTTCATTATAATTATTTTCGTCATATATCTTCAAAATTTCAAGCTCCTTCTCCAAACCAGTAAACATTTGGTCCATTTCACCTTCTAAAATTGGATTTATTTTTTTATTAGAATGATGATGATTATTATTATCACTAATATTAGTTTTCTTGTTACTGTTACCAGTATTTTCAGTATAATTTCTTTCTTCTCTATTATTAACATTGTAATTATATCCTATATCATACTCCGTTTCTTCTACATTATTCTCATATAAATTTAACACTCTATTTTCAACATCAATTTCTTTTTCTTTATCTTGTAAATATTCATACATTGAACCAACAACATAATCATCATCATTATCATTATCGTTATCTTTTCCATCTATATTATTTGCTAGTCTTTCCCTTTTATTATTATCAAAAGCCTTATCATTAAAATTCTTCATATTTGATTCATTTATCAATGCTTCTATTCTAGCTAGATTGTCCTTACTAATTTTTGAAGTATTTTTATCAGTAAAACTCTTGTTTTTCACCATATCTACACCCAATAATTGATTATCCTTATAATTTTCCATTACTAAAATATTCTCGTCTTGATCATAATCTCTCTCCTCATTTTCATATTCTTCTTGAGCAATTCCTTCTTGCTGATCTTCAGAAATATTATTTTCATATTTACCCATAGTCCAATTCAATGGATAATCATCCTTGTATGTCAGTTCATCCAATAATTCCAGACTTATTGGCTGATATGGGCCATATACTGCCAATCTATTTGAACTATATGATGTAAAATCATAATTACTATCAATTTGTTGTGTTAGTAAATTATATAATATTTCAATTTGTAGTAATAATACATAAGGTGAAAAATTTTCCATATATAAACTTGAAAGTGGTACTAATATAAATGGTATTTCACAATTAGTAATATTATTCATGGTTTCATCATCACTTTCACTCTCATCAATTAAAAAATTGTTTTCAAATTGTTTAATTAAAGAATGCTGTTTAACTATTGATACTTCTTTTTGTATATTCAAATATTTATTTATAGTTTGAAAAGAATAGTAAACTATTTCATGATTCCATTTAAACTCCTCTAATGTTTTTGGTACATAATACATCTGGCATAAAATTGCAGTATCTATCCACCCCATTTGATATAACATGATCATTATTAATATAAAACCATTTGAAGTAATATCGCATTGTAATGAGTTAATATATTTTGGTTCAAAATATTTTCCATCATTATTTGTTTTACTATTAATTTGCTCCATTTTGACGTAGTTAAAATTATTCACATAAACTTGTTCTTTTTCCTCCTCTTTTTCGTTATTTAACATGATTAAATTACTATTATTTTTCTCCTGATCATTTATTTCTTCCATGTTTAAACTCAAATATTTATTCCAACTTTCTATTCTTTCCAACAATTCATCATCCTTTATCTGATTAATGTTCTTTTTCATAATCATTTTATAAAAGTTTCTAATTGTTTCATTTGATAGTGATAAACCATGTAATATTAAGTACTCATTCATGTTATTTATTATTATTTTTGAATTAACCCGTAAATATGGAATCAAATAATGATGAAATATAGTACTAATAAATCTAATCACATTCTTTTCATTCATATCATATATTTCTTCAGCTTTTATTAATTCATTCTCTCCGCTTAAATATTCGGGCAATTGACTTTTTTCTGGTGGATTTAATATAAAATTTATACATAAATTAATATTATTAAGTGCTTGAGATCTGTTTAATGGCCTTTTATATATCACCAAATCACCTTCAGTATTATTATAGCCATACAAACTTGACCATTGTTTCAATAAATTCACAAGTAAAATTCCATCCCTAAATTCTTGGTAAAAGTTTTGGCTGGTTAACTCTATTGACCAAATATTAATATAATTGATATATCTAATAATAAAAATCTCAAATACCTCCATTTTTTATTTCGATTTTGTCTTTCTTATTTAGCTTTTGACAATTTAACTCAATCTTAAACAAATAACTTGTATATCTAATTAGATTAAATTCATTCAACAATAATAACGACAATAAATTGTACTGTATATTGGTAATTACTGTTATTTATCGTTTAATTCTTGATTTATTATAACATTACGATTATTTTTTATTCATTAATTTATGGAACTTTACTATTAATAAATTATGTTTACAATTATTAATTTTATTCTTTATTTCTATTTATTTATTTATTAATGTCAATCATGGATCTATTTTATGTTCGCCTGCATTTTTTGCAACATCACATGCAATATGCATGTACAATGACACGTCAGATTATAATTAATGTGGACAAAAACAACTAATTAAATTAAAAATAATACAATGAAGAGATAGATAAATAAAGATGAGTTCAACAATAATAGTAGAGAAAAAAAGAAAAGAATATAACTTAGATAGATATTAAATGAAATGTGTTAAATTTTTTTTTTATTTAAAGAAAAAAATATATATATATATTTGAATTATTTTATTAATATTCTTCAAGTTGGTTCCCATCTTTTCCCCTCACCAAAAAACATTTCAACTATGCCACTAGAAAAAGGCAAGACACGCAGTAAACGCCCGCCTATATTCCCCACATTTTAATAAAGTTTATATTATATGGAGAGTAAATCAATCAAATAAAATAGATATTTATTTATAAATTTAATATGGTAACTTTAATACTTGATAATTTACTTAATTATATCGGAAATGAGGGGCAATATCTCCCTACATCCCGTGGAATTTACGTACTTTGTTGTCTATATCGGTTTGTAGACGTCTAGAATTTAGTATATAAGATAAAATAAATAGCAGAATAAATAGAAATTAATTGCACCTGCTCAACTAGTATTGCAATCTGCATGTGCACTAGATGAATAATGGGTAACTTGGTGGATATATTAAATTTGTTACTATTTAATAAATAGGGGGAGTATAATTAATATTAATGAAATTTTTTTTAAAAAATTTTGCAATAATATATAGTTTAAAAAAAATATATATATTAAAGCTATTTTTCACTGGAAAAACTGCAAAAAAAAAAAAGTTTTCTTTTTTTCCCTTTAATTTAGAAATAAATACCAATTAAGATACTTTGGGAACTTAAATATAACTTTAACAATTTTAAGTGATTTTTGTAAGAATCTTTTTGGCTTTAATTATATTGTAGTGTTGACGACATTAACAAAAAAATAATAATAATAAAGAATTGATTATATTAAACACAAATAATAATTAAACTGATTCTTATTACTATATTATATTAAACTAACTCTAATTTCCAAAGGTAACTTCAAGTATATACTACACAGAATTAATAACATATAAAATATATATAAATATATATACATGTTATAATAAGATCAACTTAAGTTTATATATACCCAAATTAATTTATAACTAATCCCATTCAGAGTCTATGTATAATCAACAAAAGATATTAATTTCCAACCCTAATTCCCTTTGTGAAGGAAGTCAATCATTCTCTCCTCCATCAACAACTCTAACTCCATCATCCACACCTTCTAATACTCCTACAACCTCTTCATCATCAATTCCAACTCCCAATATTGCACAGATTGCATCTATAGCTACATCTCATATGACAAACCAGCAAATATTATCTCCTTTTATGTTCCAACAAGGAATAAATCAAGGATTCAACAACGGTATGTTGAACACAGCTTTATATAATGATCCAACATTACTACAGCTCTTCTTTACAAACTTATTCCAAGGGAACAATGGATTTATGCCATCAATCTATCCATATGGTTGTGGCTATGCTCCCTATATTCCAGGAGGAACAGCAGGAGGTGCAGCTGGGGCAACAGTAATTACTGGAACGAAGAATGGAATCCCAGGGGTAGATAATATATCAATTTCCCAAACACTTAAGGATAACGTGGAATCCGCCAAAAACCTAGAAACAAAGTTAGTCAAAACTAATGCTTCTGATAACTTAGGACAAGTAATTTTATCAACTCCAGAAAGAGCTAAGCAGGAAAATATTCTTCCTACAGACAAAATAGAAATCACAGGAGGCCTTGAAAATGGAAATATTGATGACACATCACTGAAGAAGAGACGAAAGGAATGCTCAATAGACTCTGTGAACAGCATTGTTGAGACCGTAGCTACAGAGACCAACTCAAATATGGATGAATCTAGCACTGAAAAGAAATCCATAATTGAAGTTGAAACCAGATCATTTGAGATCTCACAAGAGGACGATACAGAAAACACAGGAGAGGAAGATGATTCAGAACATACAACAGTTTTGGAAGAGAACCTTATGGAGAATGTGAGAAGTTCCTCTCAGTACTTACATTTAAAGTCCGAGGAAGCCAAATCAAATACAAACAACCTCAATTCTTCTATTGGAGGAGGATCTAATATTTCAGCAACTTCACATGAGGATGAACTCTTCCTCTCTAACGACAGAAAAACCTCTTTCGACAAAATTATGAGAATCCACTCTAGTTTAATAGGGTCTCTCTCTTGGACAGTCCCAACGGACAAGGATGATACCATTTTGAAATCAGTCAAAGAAAACAACGGAAATGGTGATAGTGATGCGCCAAACAATAAATTCTCAACAGGTATCAGTAATAGTTCATCATCAACCAATAAGCATGGTGAATCTAGTAAGTCTCTCAACCAAAATGGACAAGATGAGTATAATCCATTTATCCAAAGAGACTACAACCCAGCAAACGTCGCATGTTTCTCACCAAGAATGCTCCCTGATTGGCAGCTGAACTGGCTTAGAGATGTCACCAGATCTCTTTCTAACGTACCCAAGAGCCCAATGACAGGAATCCATTTTGACAGGACGAAGCCTGCATGGGCAGTCTCCTATTATGAATGTGAAACCAGAAAATACTACTTCTTTTTCATCCCAGATCTTTCAGAATACACCATTGAAATTACTTTGGCCGCTGCTATTGGCTGCAGACAAAATGTTGTCGCAAGAGGTGCCCATAAAAGAAAGAAGCCAGGGGTACTCACTTTTAACCTTTATAGCGGACAGTTCGAAAAATCTACTTCTGAAGCACACACTATAAACGAAATCGCTCCAGAACATTCAGGGATTTGCCGCCAAGGATTTAGAAAGAATGCAATACTCGGAGCCAACAATGCTTGCAACAACATGAAGATCCAGTGTGCTGGGCCCATTAACCATCAAAACTCTGGTGCCTCATCCATTCTTAACAACACCATCACGCCTGAATTTTCTGGCAATAATCAAACCCAACCTAATAGCCATCACCTCTCTACCTTATTCGTACCAAACAGAAACCATATCAATTTGTTAGACCCCTCAATGTCTACACTCAGTAATTTTCATGTTACCAGTCAAATGCATGCACATCCACATGCAGGTGCCGCTCAATTTTTATTTCCCCACATGGCAATAAATGGTCAACATTCTTCGCAACCAGCTGCAATGGCTTCTTTAATGCAAGGGGCTTCCCAAAATATGATGTTGGAGACTTTTCAGCAAAATGCACTAAGGAATGCATCTTTGCTCTATGCAGCAGCGTTATCATCTTCAGGACCCACTGGGCTTTGTGGTGCAGTTAATGCTCCACATTTGCCAATTAATAATCCAGTTTCTTCTTCTATTGCAATTTCTGCGAATGTTGGCCCTGCTATTGTAGTGGATAGTTCTTCATTGGGAAATATTGACGCAAATACTGGGAATTGTGGGAACCAAGTAATACTGCCATCAGAAACAAAAGCAGTTTCCACTTCTCCAAATGCCCAAACTACATTCGGATCTAATAATAATGCTGTGGAGAAAATCACTAAATCTTCAGTAGTTCCTGTTTCTAACAATAATACCACAAAAACAAGTGTTATTGATAACGAAAATATTACTTGCACAACTACTGATTCTGCATGTATTCCCGTTGCTCCTGTAACCCCAGCTTTATCTTCCAGCAATGAGAATTCCAACAACAGCAATATAATGCTAGATAGAGTAGCTTTGGGAAAGCTAGTTTAGAGAGAGAAACATAGTAGATTTACTCTGAATACAGATAGAATTATTAAAATATTAAATCAATTCAATTAAAGAAACCAATAGTAAGTAGTTTTGATATATTATAATTAAGTTTATTATAAGAATAATATTATTAAAGTATAAAAACTATTGCAAATTTTAAGATTTTGTTTTATATTATTTAATCTTAAACAAAAAATAGTACTCAAACCAAATATATTTATTGATATATTGGTAAAATTCATATATATTCATTGATTCTGTATAATAATACATCACCTTTGTCGTTACCTGCTGCAAGATAACCTCCGTACTCTGAAAAATCCATTGAAGTTACGTATTTTAAGGGGGTTCTTGCTGTGGGCCAGTTACTATATACATGACCAGTATATAAGTTAATTAACTTTAAAGAATCTTTAGTCCATTTTGTGGAAATTGCAGCAATTTCATTTCTGGGATGTATAGCCATGCTAGTAATACTAGTACATATGTTATTAATAATATACTTTGGAATCTTAAATTCAGAATTTTTACTTTGATTTTCAGATTTTTCTCCAATTCTTTGAATATCATCTCCTAATGAATAAATGTTAACATATCCTGTAGTAGAACCAGTCATAACATAGGAAGAAGAGACGCTTTTTCTTTGAACTTTACTTCTATAAGATGAGACAATACTGGTTATACAGAGAGATCCATAATCTACGATTCTTTCTCTGCATCTTCCAGTATTAATGTCCCAAATGTATATTTCACCAGTATTACTGGTTGAAATAATTTGATCATTTTCAATTGGGTGAAAAGCTAAGCCTGTAACACTTTCATTCATCTTAAAAGAACGAACAAGTTGTTTGGTTTGTTCATCCAGAACTAAAATAGTACCATTAGATGTAGATAAACCTATATAAGATCTATCAAGTCCTTCACTTTTTTGAATAGTCAAATTCCAATACCTTTTGTCTTTTCTTCCTGCTATTCCAGGTAAAAAGTTGATCTTTCCTTCTAATAAATCAAACACTCCAATTCTTGAACGTGGACCTAAAAACATTATTTCTTCAGTCGAATTTGTGAATTTTGACTCATATATTGGAAAGTTATCAAAAAATAAAGATGATATTAACTTATTCTCAACACCATCTACACTAAATAACTTTATTTTCTTATCCCAGCCACTAACTGATAACAACGATGTATTGTTTCCATTTTCAATATGTTGTCCTTTATGAAACTCTAATGACTTAACAACACATCCACTCGGAGATTGTACATTAGCATTAGTTAGTCTTTTAATATCAATCTTTGATCGGTTTATGAGACGTTGTCCGTTTTTAATTAATCTATTATTTCTTGTAATTTTGTAATCTTGGATATATCTATAAATTTTACCCGTTTTTATTTCACGAGAAGCTTCAAAATCTGCTTTTGTATCGGATTTTACCTCATCTACTATTTCTTGACTTAAATTGTCTTGATTAGCAGGTTCAAACATTTCTTTTCTTGCTTTGTAAATCCATTCATTGCTTTTTGTCTTAAAAACTTTATTATTGTGGAATTCTCTCAGTCTTTCTGAGTACTCTTTTCCATCTATTGACTTTTCTCCATCAACTTTTCTTAATTTCCTTAACTTTAAATTTTCGGAAATGTCAATTTCGACATTTTCGTCATCAGAATCACACCAAACTTTTGATTTTTTCTGAATCTTATGAACATCCATTATAAAAACTCGTGCCTTGCCAACTTCTTTTTTTATTATACTTTACAAGTAATTTTTAATCTCAACAAGAGTTTGAATTAAGCTCTCTAAATTTGTTACTTCCTTATATAAACTTGTAAAAAGAAAAGCGTGCTAGCACTCTTTCTTCACTTAACAAATTTTACTAATTTAAAATTTTTAGAGGAAATATCAACAAAATCACCAATAAATTTATTTCCCTTATATATTATTTATTTTGGGTCTATAATACTAATCATTTTCTGACTCATTAATTTCTCTCGTTTTTGGCGCCACACCGGTGTGGCGCCACAAATTTTGTTTAAAAATTGCAAAATAATAAATGCATGTGAAATGGAAATAATATAAATTACTCAAATTTTATTTTTGAATGTTTGATAATTCTGAAAATAGAAATAATTATAACAAACAAAATTGGAAGAGTTACAGGAGAGTAAACTGCTGCAACGAGATCCAAGTTAAAAGTCTTTTTATTGTGGAACTCGGAATTAAAAAGTAAATCATTTGAGTTTTGAAGAATTGTGGGGAAGTAGTCATGGCTGATCATATGAATATTAGATATAATTTCATTCATGTGTTTAACAGCGTAAATTATATGGTTTGGGAGTTTGAATTTGTTGTAAAAACTCAGTGTTGAGAAAAATATATCAATATTATGAATAATTTTATTTAATATGTAATTGGACTGAATAAGTTGAATTGCTGAAATCTGCCACTCAGATAAAAAAATGTTTTGATTTTCTTTTTTAATGTGGTTTTTAAAAGTTATGTTGTTAAGTCTGCTTTTGAAGTTTAGTTTGTAATTTTTTGGAAGCATGAGTGATCTGATTACAGTAATCCAAGAAATTACTGAGTATGTTAGTGAATTAGTATCATTACCAATATTGGAGTGAGTAAATAGAAAATCCTTGCTTTTGCTAGTAAAGCTGTAATTATTAGTATTATTGAAAATTGAAAAGTAATTAAAAATCGGCAATATTAAGGTGTTTTCGTCATAATATTTATAATTGTTATTAAAGTTTTGTATTAACCTATTATAGGTCTTTTTATTATCTTGGAAATCTATACTACCTTTGGAAATGTATTTGTTTTGTTTGTTAATATTAATATGTAATAGCTGATTTATTTGAGAAAGAAAGTTCTCAAATACCAAGTATGATCGATTTCTTTCATAATTAGGTAAATTGGTATAATTCATTTCCAAATCAAACAAGTTGTACATAAAAATCTGAAGAGAACTATACTTGGTAATCTCAGGTTCATTTTCAGTAAATTTTAAAAACCATATATCAAAAAGGTCGTTCAAAATAATAAAAAAATCACTTTTAGTTATTTTACTATTTAAACAAAACAGTGAAATCTTACTATTATACAAGTTAATAGTATTTTCAGAGTTGCTTCTACCACAATTTTTGAAAGAAACAAATATCGAGTATGAAAATTGATTATCTTGATGCTTAAATATATTCAGAGATTCTAAATATGATTCAAAGTGATTTTCTATAGGATTTTGAACATTTGAAAAATTGATCGAGTTTGTACTAATTAAATTAGCCTTAAGAACAATTTTGTTGCTTTCATTTCCAAATTTTGAGTTTTGACTGTTATACAGTATTTCCCTAGAATAATAACCACTTTTTGAAAATATATTCTCTTTAAGGATTTTAAGATCACTCTCAACTAAGCCTGTAATATCAATAGAAACATTATTTATGCGGTTTTCGTGTTTTAAATTCAGGAAATTTGATCTAAAATTATAAAACAAGTAATTAATCTCGAAAGCCCCAAATAGTGAATTTTTAAATATATATAAATAATCAGCTGAAAAGTACAATGTGTAGACCAAAACAAAATACACTATCCAAAAAGCACAGACTTTCACGTTAATTTGAATTAGCAAACTATTAATAATAGCCTTCTTTTCATTTTCCTCTGTCATTGAAAATTACTTTTTTTCAATAATTGACTCGTTAAAAAATTTTATTATATTACATACCAGTACTAAGGTACCGATACATGGCGCCATTCCCCACATCAATGCACACGTAAAAAAAATGTTTTTTTATATGGGAAAAAATTAATTAATTTAGTAATTTCTCTTGGTGTTGTTAATTGGTAGTTATTCAAAGAAAAGAGTAAGGTAATAATGGACAGATGAATTGTAAACTTTTTATTTTATCAGTAATAACCATACTAATGAGCTTGAAGATACATCCTTTTTGGTGTGATGATCAAGTTATTAAAAATGTAAAACCAATAATAAGTGAGTTATTTGATATGTTACTGGAAAATATTGAGGTTAAAAGAAAGAAGGAAAATTACCTAAATAATATATTGATTGAGAAAAATAAGTTCCAACTAGATACAAAAGAGCAGGAATTAAATCCAAATTTGGAGCAAGATGAAGAACAAAAAAGAGTGATCATGAGTAGGAAGGTAAGGAATGAAGCAATCCAAGAAAGAATAAAAATTGTAGATAGAGAAATAACAATCCTAGATGGTCAAATGAGATTAAGACTAGGAATTATTGCAAGTTTAATCTTTGGAAACCAGTCAGTTCTGGTATTTAAACAGTGGAATGAAAATTACTCCGAAATAAGTCAAGATTACGGTTTATTATGCTCTTCATCTAATATTAATAGTAACTTTATAACAAAGCTTTCTGTGTTTAGAGAAATTGAAGGTTCAAATAAGAATAATTTAGTGTTTGAAATGAAACAAGAAATATCAGAATTACAAGAAAAGACTTTTTTACTATGTCTTTCAGATAGTATTACTAGTAACCATTCAATATATATTACTAAGCTTTCATTTTCTTCATATAATGATTCAGAGGAAATTCGTACCCATACAGAAAATAATTACATCCAGCTTAAAGATTCTGAAGGTAAAAATGAGCTTGAATACTATGAATTTCTGGAAATGGACAAAGAAGGGTATGATCAAATTTTGGTAAGAACGAGAGTTCCAAATGACCAGAAATGCTCAAATTTCAAACTTATATTACTGGATAATCACAAAAATCTGGTTGGAAATGGTAATTTGTTATCTGAAACAAATATGATAGGTTCTCAAAATATTTGTTTTTGGAGCTTGAAATTGGAAAATTCTCAATTCAAAAATTCTGATCTACTGGAAATTGTGCAAAGACACAGAGACAGTGGAGCTATCTTTCCCGTATCAATAGTGAAGTTATTGCCTTTAAACCATGAAAATCGTATGGGTAGATCTATTTTCTCAAACTCCACTTTGTTTAAAGTACTTTTCTTAATTTTGAACTTAATCCCCATAACATTACTTACATTTGGAGTTTATATAATTCTGATCGAAATTTGGACGATAATACCTCCAAAATTATTTAAAAATAAGAAATACCTTATTAATCCTACATTAAAATCTAGTAGATATCAACCAAGAGCTAATAATTGTGGCAAAGAAACCTTTAGCAATACAGAAAAAGAAAGAAACATCAGTAGGCATGACAATATAAAAGAAACTAAGCCAGTGCAACTCTCCAACTTTGATATCGTCACCAAAAAAGATCTGAATTCTGAAGAATCAGGACTCTCTTCAGGGGAAAATGAGCAGATAGTCAAAGATGACCCTTTCAGATATTTTGACTCGGACTGCTCAATTAGCACTCACACAGGTATTTAAAATTTAAAAAAAAGGTATTTTAGAATTATCCTTCTTCAAAACCCAATAATTATCCTTACTAGACCCACTGCTTGACTTATTTAATGTACAAATCTGTTTTAAGATTTTCTTAAATAAACCATGATTTGAGTCTGGGATCAACTCTCCAAAACTACCCAATAAGTCTTCTGTGCTTGTCTTTATCCCAAGTCTTTCTCTCTTTAAAAAATATTCCGTTAACCTTCTTCTTATCGACCCCTCATCCCACCCACCTATTTGTTTAGCCTCCTCACCCTCCTGGGAATTCCATGCATTTCCCCCTTGTGAGACTCTCTGACGTTTTAAATTCCGTAAAATAATAGAACTTGGCGCGCCCGCCTGACCTGATTTACCGGTCCATGTGGGAACACTATAATCATAATTGCTTCTTTCAATTTCTGATTGTCTGATAAGTTCAACAGAAGTTTTAATAATTTCATTGGTAGCTTCTGTCAAATCATCATTCATGGAGTTGCTGAATGAATATGTAACACTTCCATTGTGTGAATTCTGTGACAGATTGTTTTTACCAGAACTTCCAATACTATTGGAAATTAAATTATCGTCATTATTGTCTCCTAAAATGCTCATAATGGCATTGTGTTCGGATTTAGCATCACAAGTTATCTCTCCAAAAAGATTAAGTTCATCATTCATGACTTCCTTCTTGCATGAATTGCTAAATCTATGATTGTTATATTCATTATATCCTGTTTTGTCAGATGAGTCAAAGTCATCAAAGTAGCTGTTGTAAGTGTTTCCGTCCTTCCTTTGTCTTGTTTTTCCTCCCCAAATGTTTTTGATATTCTTTACATAGCTAGAAACCAGTTTTGGATTAGAAACATAATTTTTTGGCTTTCTAGGTTTTTTAATCAACTCATTAAAATTTGTCCAGTTTAAGCTTGATTGATTCTTTGGGTCCTTAAGTATCTGCTTTGCAATAAACTCCTTAAATAGTTGTCTTTGGAAAATCTTCTCTTCTATAGTGTCTCTTGTGATTAATCTGTAAACTATTACTTCCTTTTTTTGCCCAATTCTCCAACATCTTTCTTTAGCTTGAATATCTGTCATAGGATTCCACCAAGGATCATATAGGATCACTCTATTTGCTCCAATAATGTTTAATCCAACCCCTCCTACTCTGGATGTCAAAATGAATAAGAAGATAGATGAATCTTGATTAAATCTTTTTACTAGTGAAAATCTAGTACTTAAAGGAGTTGAACCATCTAAAGTTAAAACATCTCTATTGGGTCTCAAATCAAGATCTTTCTCTAAAAGGCCAGAAAGCAACTTCAAAGTCCTTACTCCTTGTGTAAAAATAAGAACTCTGTGTTCTTTCTTATCTCTCCAAAGCTTTAATATAGACATTAATGCCTGATATTTTCCACTATCTTTCCCATCCACACTTATAATCCTTTGTGAATGTGAATCATTTGATTCCACATTTAAATTTAGAAACATATTACTTTGTGTTAAATCATTATCGGACCCTCTGCTTCTTAAAGCTCTATTCCATCTTATCTCTCCATTAAAACTATTTTCATCCTCTTGGTCTTCATAAAAGTCAAAATCTGAATCTATTTCTCCATTCTTGTTTTGTCTTCTAACCAATTTTAACAACTCTGGATGGTTACATACTTCTCTTAATATGTTTAATAGAGCAAAATACTTTGAAATCCCATACATCTTATTCTTTACCAGCTGTTTGGCCTGGAGAAGATCCAAACAATTACAGTAAACATCATATTGTACAGAAGTTAAGCTACAAAATAGCACATGTTCTGCTTGAGATGGAAGCTTTAAAACGTCCTGTAACTCATGTTTCCTTCTTCTCAAAATGCAAGTTTTAATTAGTTCCTGAAGAATTCGAGTACAATTAAAAGCTCTCATGGTTTGAACTTTTGCAGCATTCTTCAGCTCTGCTTGTTTTATGGGAATCACAAATTGTTGTTCAAATACAGGTAGTGTCCCAAGCTTTCCTGGATAAACAAAATCTATGAGACTCCATAATTCCTTTAGGTCATTTTGTATTGGCGAACCAGATAATAAAAGCCTATTACAAGTACCTAAAGATTTTACAGCCAAAGTAATTCCAGAATCAGGATTTCTGATTTTATGTCCCTCGTCCAAAATGACATAAAACCAGTTTATTTGTCTCAATTTTTGCAAATTACGTCTCAAAGTTTCATAAGTTGTAATTACCAAAAGCTCTGTACTTGCTTTTTCCACCTCTCTGAGTTTTTCAAACATTACTCTTCTTTCACTTTCCCCTTTTCCATGAAATAAAATTATTCTTATTGGATAGTACCATCTATTAAATACTTCAATCCAATGGGAAATTAGAGTAGCTGGAAGTACCAAAAGTACCATCTTACAGTTATTTGTCTCAAAATTAGATTCATATTCTACAAAGCTTAGAGATCTTAAGAGTGAAGATTCACCTGGTAAATCCTTAATTAATTCTGTTTCATTCTTAATGTTCGGTACCTTATGATATCCACCAGTAAACCTCGGGATTGTTTCTAAATTCAAGTCTGACTCAGATTTTACTTGAGATTTAATATTAAATAAACTTGATTCATCTCCCAGAATGGTTTCTTGGTTACGTTTAAATGTAATAAATAGTGCAGCAATAAATGATGCCACTGTGATTGACTTTCCTAATCCCATTTCATCTGCTAATATCCCTCCATGGTTATTACAATACAAACCCCACATCCAAAGAACTCCCTCCTTCTGGTGTGGATATAAAGCATTCCAAATCTTGTCCCAAATAAATAGTTGGTTGTTCTCTGAATCTCTTGAAATCTTTATTATCTTCAAGTTACTTGTTTCAACATTAGTATTGTTTTCACTGTAGTTGCTAATGTTAGTACGGCTACTTCCAACCGTCTGGTTAATCTTATTTCTGCTTTTGAATACTCTATTCCTGTACCTCTCTAAGTCTATATCATCCTTTACTTCAAAACCTTCATCTAATAAGGTATCCATCTCAATAATGTCTCCAAAGATAGGTTCAAGTTCAGAATCTGGCCTAGAGTCAGGCACGAGATCATTAATTGATTCATACATTGATTCTTGTTCCTCTGAAATATGACCTTGTTGAACATCGTTGTTACCTGCCTCGGTTTTAATTAAGGTGGATCTTGAAGCTTCTTCTCCAAATCCAAGCAAAGCATCTCTATTCAAAGAGGAGTTACCAAGACCTTTGGTTTCTTTTTCTTTTGATGGTTTATTTGATGTATTAAAGTGAGACTTTACTTGCTCAAAAATAGTATTACTCACTTCATTTGCATCCACCAAAGAAACCCCAAGATCCCTAAGCTCTTGAGCCTCAGAATGATCAAAATAAGTATCTAAAATATTTTGGTTTTCATAAAATGAAACAATTCCATCATTCTGGACCCCCTCATCCTCTTTTTCGTGCTCTTTCTCATATCCTCTTTCTTCATTCTGGCTTGAGTTAGTTTGGGAATTGCCATTTATTAAGCTTTGATCAGTTTCCTGCTTAATCCAGACTGTAGCTTCATCCATAAAATATACTAGAACCGAGTAATTCAATTATTTTATTATAATATGATGTTATCTATATTGCAGAAATTAGATTTGGCAGAACTTTCCTAGACTTTTCTTTCTTGCTTAAAAATTAACTCAACTTCTTTACATGTAGCTCCCGTTTATTTCACTGATCTTTAATACTGGCTTGTTCTCAAAAAATGATTAATACCTTAATAGATTCCTGACAATTGCAATTCAACCTACCTAATATCATATATCCTTCCTTACCGCCTTTTAAAAAAGTCAATAATTTCTTTGATTACATGCAAATCAGAAAAAAAACAAAAAATCACCTCAAAAGAATATACTAATTAGTCTTCTTTAATTTAAAAGCTCATTCAAATTTATCATATTACTTTAATTTCATCTTTTAAGCTTTTTTTTCCTCTTTTCTTAAATAAAATAATATTAGACCTTTTTCCCGCCAAAACTCTGATTATTGTATATTATGTAATTAAAACATGAATTAAATTGAAAAAAAAAGATTTAATATAAATTTCTGATTTAAGTTAATATTAGATAATAATATTATACAAATAAAGGGAATTAAATTGGTCAATTACAGTTTTCAAGTTAAATCAATATATAATAACAGTAATACTTGAAGAAATAAAATTTGACACACAAAAACCAATAATAGAACTATTGGAATCGATTTTTTAAATTAATTATCTATCAAGAAGAGTCTGATAGAAATAATATGTGTGTGCGTTTAATTAATTCCTTAATATAAAAAACAGTTAAATTAATCTTTATATTTAATTTAAGAAAAGAGCTGATCTGAAGATTTAAGTTTTAAAATGTCCATAGGATATTCTAATAACAATAATATAGTAGACAAAACACTTGAGGCAGAGCTAAATAATCCGAGAATATTGGCTTGGTCTGTAATTATTAAAGATGGTCAACCAATCCACAATAATAATGCTTTAAAAGTAGATAATAACTTAACTTCATTTCCAAATGATTCTACAAGAACAAGTTTTGAGTTTAGATCTCCAAGCCCAAAAAGTTCTTCCCTTAATTCACCCTCTTTTTTTTCAAGAAGAAACACAACAGAAAAGTCAAAAAATAAAGAAATAGGACTGGAAAAAAATAAACAAGAGTTTAAAGATGAGTTTTTGAGAAAAATTAATGAAGAAAATGTTACAAACAATGAACCAAATTTTAATGTAGTTAAAAGAGATTTTAGTATATGGAGATGTTTATATTGGCCAGAAATTGCCATAAATCCAGTATATTCAGGAGGATATGGCAAAATGAGATTAGCTTTATGCTTGAATAAAATCTTAACTTCTGCTCAAGAAAGAAACCAAAATCATGTAATTATGGGAAGAACAAGTTATGAAAAAAGAGAATGCATAAATTTATTGCCATATATACGAATTCTATATGATAATGAGCTTTTATTCCAGTCTTGTATAGTCAATAAGAACATTTGTGTTATTCTTGAGATAGAAGTTCACCATCCACTAAGTAGAATTATTATTGAAATATTTGACTTTGATGACTCTGATCCATCCCTAATAAGCAGTAGTGACAACTTAATAGGCCATATAATAATACCAGTAGGAGCTCACTCAAATAGAAAACCACTTGAGAATAGATTAATAGTAGCTTCAGATGATGATGGTAGAATATTATTTATTAGAAAAACCCACCAAAAAAAAGTGCACAATGAGAATTTAATGGCTCAGAAACTACTTAGATTTCCTATTAAAAGCTGCGAGAGACTAAGTAAAACCAGAAAAAGTAGATTGGAATTGAGTGAATCACCAAATATATTTAGTGAATTTATTGATGAAGAAGAGACACTTCGAGATACCTTGATAAGAAACTCCAGCAAAGAAAGTCTAGATGGTTGCATTATAAATGAATTACCTAATATTATATATTTTGAACTGGCAAATCAGATGGTCAAAGATGCCATCGATCTTAGCCACAGTGCTGAAATAAAGTATAAATCAATTGGAATACTTCAAGAACCTCATTGCAGCTTTGTGGTACAAGTTTTTTCAGAAATTAAATGGTCAAGACTCTCAATTATTCCACGTGAAATATTTGCTCTTTATCTTCCAGAGCCTAAAGTGAGTTCGAAATATAAATATAACAATAAAAATAGTAATTACAATTTTCACCATACAAGTTTGAAAGATAATAATCTTGAAATTAATATAAAAATAATAATCAACTCAATGATACTATTGAAAGAAATTTATTATTCTGAGTGTATCTATCCTTATAAAGTATATATTTGGAAACTTTTTAATTGGGAATTACAACTACACTCCTTGTTTGCTTTAAGTATTATATGGTATCTGTTATTTCACCCAAAATATATTTTTTCATTGGGATTTCTATTTGGATTAATAATATTATTCATGAACTTTCATAGGAACAATCTTATTTTAAATTTGGAAAGGTCTATTTCTAGAAATTTGAAAACTTTAAATTCTGTTGACTATGGAACTGACGAATTAGAAGATAATATTCTTTGTTCCCCAATAAAAAGCAATAATCACGCAAAATCTCTGCCTTTAAATAACAATTCTATTCCATTAGAAAACTTGGAGGAAAGTAAATCAATCGAAAATATTGATTTTACAATTTTGGAAAATCTTTTAACATCAATATGTTCACCAAACACTATTAAATACATTCAGAAATTCTCTTATATATTTGAAAAATCAGCAATACTTATTTATGGAATTATTAAACTTCATTTTTGGGGAAATTTCTTTCAAAGTATATTATTGGCTTTTGCTTATTCAATATTTTTTCTTATATCATTATTATATTCAAATGAATTCTCTAAATACATGCGTTACTTTTTTCTGACAGCAGTTTTACTTCCATCAACATATTTCCTTCCTCCTATTAAAGGATTTCTAAGAATTATCAAATCTTACAAAAAATTCAAGAAATTGAAAAAAAATAGATAAAAATTTGGTTTAAATCTTTATATAAATCTGAAATATGGCATGTAATCGATAGAATTAACCATTTCAATTCTTTCATTACTAGGATTTTCTGATAAATAATCATTTTGCCTTGATTTTGGAGTTGTTATGATTTTTTGTATTAAAAATAATAACATTTCACGTATAAAAAATACTATAATAATTGTCCAAAAAAATTGACTAATATTTATTTCGCCTTTTTCAAATATACCATTTTCTCCATTCATATTCGGTGCTAAATTTTTGGCCACGTCATTTTTCCAAATATAGTTCTTTATTGCATGCAAGTATGTGGAAACATTCAAATTACCGGTATTTGCATGCAACCATTGCATTTCATCGCTGCTTGAGTTGAAAGGAATAATGATAATAATTAGTATAGATAGAAGAAATTCCATAGATCTAAGCGAAAGCAAAGAACATGATATACTAACATCATGTTTAATTCTATTTTGAGAGGTTAATAATAAAGGGAGAACTCCAAATAAGTTAATAAAAAGTCCAATAATTAAATTGGTTATTGGTGAATTATGGAATGAGAAGCATAGGCCCATGAAAATGAGTTGTAATGTGATTGTAATTAGAAAATTCCATGGCCAAAAAGGGATTTGAATTAATAAATACATTATTGAGAACTTTAAGAAAATATCTAAAATTTGATAAATTATCAATAAAAATGAATAAATAAATATTAGTCTATATATTGACCATTTAGATGTTTCTGATAATTTTATTGGTAATACTCTTGGAACTATTACATAGCTATTGTAGTATATATCTGAGTTATGAATAGGAAAAAATAATTCATTTCTAAGATTTAATTCATTAATATCTTCATCATTTGTTAAATTTACAAAATGAAGATTTTTCATTATAGAAGTATTTGATACAAAATACCTCAACCAGGGAATACTTAAAGGATCAATTGTGTTCTTGAGTAGTAACTGTTCATCGCTAATTAAATCATTTAGTAATCTGGAATTATATCCCATTTCTTGTCTACTTTCTTTAATTAGCAATGAAACATTAAGGTTACTTCCGTTAATAATAGATGTTTCTCGATTTTGTGATCCTATTTCTTCACTAGATACCACCCTTTTTAGCTCATGGCAATAAAATATATCTATAATTACATCAAATATTGATAAATAAGTTAAATAAATCATAGCTATTGCAAACCCTGTATAACATAATTTGATTAAATCATCAAAATACAAATTTTCAAAATCATTGGGACCTCTATTAATAGTACCTATACTTAAGCCTATTAAATTGGTAAATGCAAAGCTTTCAAAACCCATTATTATTATATCCAGAAATATAAATATTAAAGGCACCATTTTTAATATAGAAATAACCAGTATTTTTTCATTAAATAAATTTTCATATTGATTTAACTCAGAGCAATTAAAGTAACCGTTCAAGATTTTGTAAAATTGTCTCATACTTTTTATCACATTTCCAAATCCTATATCAACAAAAACTAATAAACCATTAATAAAATCCTTTTCATAAAATCTTAAAATTGAATTATACATAGATGGTGAGTACATTATAAATATAATAGCTGCCAAAAGAGACCAATAATTACTGATATTAAGTGAATTCATTTATTTCAGAGTTATTGAAAATTAGTAAAAAGTTGAAATTTTAACTTACTATAAATATAATTTAGCTATTAAAAAAATTTCAAAAATAAAAGAGATCAAAGTTAGCAAAATAGAAATTGTTTCTCTAAAGTAGTTTCAAAAGATAAAAATTAAAACATTAATTACAATTTTAAAGTATTCACTTTTTTCTTATTTTCTCCGCAATTAACTTACCTGAATAAAAGTAAACAATTTCTACTTTCAGAAATTTCTGGATAAATGCAAATCTGATTGTAGTTCATGGTTTCGAATCTCCTTCATAATCTATTTCATTATCATAACTTTATTTTATCTAAATAATCTGAACACATGCATATATATAGATGTATATAATATATATATATATATATGTACATATATATTCAAAAATTGCATTCCTGCATACATGAATTATTATTATGTGCAATGTTAAAAAAATATATAAAAATTTCCCGCCAAAATGCCTCTTAAAAATTGTTAATTAAATAAATTAATTAATGAATTCAATAAAATTATTAAACTTAAAGATAATTCAGAATTTGAATAGATTTAATAGTTCATGCAAAATTTTCAACTTCAGAAATTCAGCAATTCCACTAAAATTTTTATTCGACAATAATTATAAGTTATATGTCCTAAAGGCACATAGCATATTGACAATTCAAAAGAGCAGAATCAACACAAATTCCTTAGATATTTCCCAATTCAATTTAAAAACTGAAACATTATTCTTTGAAATTGAAAGTAAATTGAACGATCTTCTCGATAGTGGTTTTCTTTCCGATATTGATCTTCATGATGAATTTATGAATATTACTTTCAATCTTAATGGAGTGAAAAATACTATAGTTATTTCAAAACAGCCAGCAACTAAACAAATTTGGTACTCATCACCTTTAAGAAAACCTGATTACTTTGAATTCAATTCTGATTGGAGATCAAATAGAACAAATGAAACTCTCTTTGAAGCCTTGCATGATGATTTATTCAAGGCTACAGGAATACATGTTAATTTTTAATTTATTTGGCGCTAATAATTAATATTTTTTGATTTGAATGGCCATTTTAGAAAACTTTGGCGCCAAAAAAATAATAGACAAAATATGAGAACGCTCATTTTAAAGTATTTATAAATTTAAATAATAATCAACAAATAAGCAAAGATATACTGTGGCTCAATGGGTTTAGATAATATATACAAATCTAAATTAATAAACAAGAGCTACTGGGAAGAGTTTTATGAAAATGAACTAAAGTCATATAATGAAGTTGGCTTTAGAGGTGAGGAGTGGTTCGGGGATTATATTAATCCAATAGTAGGTTGGATTGTAGAAACTGGATATGACGTAGCATCTAAAAGAATTCTAGACATAGGATGTGGAAACGGCTTATTTTTGATAGAATTAATACGGAATATCAATTTTAGCAGTGCTGTTGGCATAGATTATATACCATCTGCAATCGAACTTGCAAAAAAAATAGTTAAAGAAGAAGGATTTTCTAGTAAAATTTCATTATATCCAGTAGATTTAGTTTCAGGAAAGGACGTTTCAAAACAAAGTGACGATGAAAAGATCTTAGATCTGGGAAAATTTGAAATAGTTGTTGATAAAGGAACTTATGACATTTTTGTAATGAAAAATGAAAGGCATGTCTACAAAGATAGTGTTTCAAGATACTTAAAAAATGGAAGTATTTTATTCATTTCCTCGTGTAATTCAACCCCAGAAGAATTATGTAATGTATTTGAAGATCACGTCCATTTTGAAAAAGTGTCAGAGTTGAAGCACAAATCTTATAGTTATAATGGAAAAGAAGGGCAAGTCCTAGCCTCTGTAGCTTTTAGATATATTATGAGTTAATTAACATTTACTAGAGGTTCCAAGCCAGAAAGTACTTTATCTATTTGATCAAATAAAAATAAAGTATCTATTTTCAAAGTTTTATACTGGGTTTGTATTAACTACAGTAATTATTAGTTAATCATTATGTATATATACATAAAATCTAATTAGTATATTATTATTATAACGTACCTTAATTTCTCCCTTAATATTTATCATACTTTTTAACCGTGTTAATTTCTCCCTATTAAATTCCTTCTTCTCATTTCCGTCCAAAAAAATATCATTGTATTTGGAAACATTATTTAAAAGCAGTAAAGTTTCAGTCATACTGTCAAATTCAAATGAACTTATTATTGACTCCTCATCCTCCAAATGAGAAGTCCCTTCCCTCTTAAAGTCTATGTTGTTCTCCTGGCATAACCTTCTGAGGTACTTAATCTCGTCACACAATTCCTTAACCAATTCGATCTTTCTTGACATCCTCAATAGCAACTAATTACTAGAAATAACTTAGTAAAAAATGTATCTCAAATCATTATTTCCTATTACTATTCTTTTTTTTCATCCATCAAATTAATTAAACTCACAGGACGCGCCAATAAATGGCGCCAACTTGCCTTTAATATTTGAATATGGTCAAAGTTTACATTGAAATAAAAATCAGGACGGCTTAAGAAAGAGAAGAAGAGTAAATTGCGGAAATAAAAGTCTTCTAACTTTGGAGAAATGCATATGAAAAAGAGAAGGAAGTCTGATAGTGACCAATCATTTGAACCCAATAAGTCAATTGCATTAGATAGCCAAATAAATAGTAATGTCTTTAATGATTGGAATACTGAAATAACTGTTATTACAGAAAGGCTTCGCGATGAACTCGATACTAAAGTTAGTCATTTGTACGAAGGAATAGGGAAGGATTTAGAAATTAATATATTTGATTACTCTCAAAACGAAGATGAATATTATTTAGGGTTGTTAAAGAATACTAATATAGAAAACAATATTAAGAAAATAATAGATTGTCTTGAAAGATATAAAGAGTCTTTGAAGTTGGAAAAAGAAAAAAATAAGGACTCCAACATATTGGAAAATCTCAGAAAGAATCTCTCAAAATGTTATTCAAAGTTTGCATCTCAAAAATACATTAAGGATGGCGAATTCACTATTAAGAATTGGACATATTTTTTACCTATCTTACTTTCAAACTCCATTTCAGAAATTGAAATTTCTGTAATTTTAGATAAACTTCCAACTATTGTCAAGTTTTTGATCAAATCTATAAGGAAGTATCAGTTATCAACTGGTAAATGTATTTCTGTTGAAACTATTGATACAATCAACATGTATAGAAGTATTTTAAATGAGTTTGAGAAAATTAGTAAAATGTATAATGATATACATAATCTCACCATTGAAAGAATGGTAATGGAAGTTCACGATCCATTTACTTTATATATTAAGAATACCATGAATTATATTGACAAAACCAAGTTATCTTTAAGTTTTATTCCATTCAAATTTGGAGAAGAACATATTGAAATGCAAAAATCTTCCATGACTAATTTTAGTCTAGACTTTTCATATAAACCTTTTGATACATTATATATGATTTATGGGAGTAATATTTCTTCTCTTGGTGTTTTTGGTAGTAACTATTTAAATAGAAGAATGAATTTGGATAATCTATGGCAATTAAGTATCTTCAAAAACCAATCTATTTCTCTGATCCTTAATACTAATAGAGATAGGAACGAAAAATATGAGGATTTTGATATTGAAAAGCTTGATAGTTTTATAGGAAGCTTGGGATATGGGTATTCATCATTTGACTCCCTTAAGCTTATGAATCCGAGGCCAGAACTAAACAAAAGACTATCAAATAATATGTTAAGATTGCAAATTAGCAAGAAAGTTTATAAAAAATATAACAAAGAAATGGATCCTAATACAAAAGTTAAGCATTCTATATGCCTTAATCCACTAATTCAAAAATTTACTGGTACTGATTTAGTAACTGAAGATAACCAAAAGTTCGGATTTAAAGACTTTTCCAAATTCCCTTCAATTCCAAACAAGGAGCCAGAACGAGCTGAACTTATCTTTTCTAAAGAAGTAAAATCAGAAGATAAGAAAATTCCTCTTGGATTCATATCTACAGTAAAAGAAAAAAAACATGGAAATAGGGAATTAGAGCTAGTTATTTTAGATGTTAAAGAATGTAGTAATTATATAATGAATCAGAATAAGTCTTCAACAGCTAGAAATCTAAGATTTGAGGAATACGGATTGTTTTGGAAGACCAACCCAGGAAAAGATGGTATATATAGCTTTAAGATGACTCCATTGCGTAGTTGTAATGCTTCAATCCACCATTCAATAAGGTTTAAATCTCACTTATACTATTCCAGGTTTCTATTTGAACAACTTGTTAATTCTAATTGGAAGAAGAGGATAATAACGAAAAACAAGAAATATTATAAACTTTCTTCTTTAGTAAATGGAGGATTTTTAAGTAAATCTCAAAGGGAAACAGTTAACAAGATCTCAAAAATTATATTAAACAATGGTTTATGGGAGAATTTTAGTGATATCGTGCCAAAATTATTAACGGGTACCGACAAAAAAATTAATGATCATGATCTCGATGAGTGGGAAGATTTTGATGAAAATGATGAATTTGATAAGGAAATGAGTAAATTATCATCTGAGAGTAGGAATAGTTCAACCTTGAAATCTTCAGAGTTTTATGGAAAATATTTAAAGTTAAATTCAAAAAATTATAAGTTGATTTCAAAAAGATGCCAAAAAATGTTGGCTAAATATATATTTAAAGAGTATCCAAGGTTTTTGACACAGTATTTTAAGATTAGGAAAGAATGGAAAGAACATAATAAAAATGAAGTTCAAAAGAGAAATAAACAAAATGTGAACAACTCATCTAGACTACAGTTAGACATTATTGGATACTCAGGAGAAAAGAATTTAAAAGCACAATTTTCTAATTTTGAGAATCTAAATATTAAGCATGAGCCTAATGAACTAAAAACTGCTAATATTCAAGATCCACAAGTTCTTCATTTGATTAAGTTAGAAAAGAAAGAAGGACAGAATGCATTATCAGTTTTACCCAAGTTTGACTCAAAATTACCTTTGAATCAGATTTATAAGCTTGAAAATTTCATATCTACAGAATTATTTAGTAATATTAAAGTTGAATGGACTAAAAACACATCTAATATATATAGCAGTCAGCTAAATAATTTTTCAAAGATGCTACTAATTAATTTAAATAATAGTTCAGTTTTGAATTCAAAACTCAAATCTTTCTTTTTAAAGATGATAATTTATATTAATTGGCTTATATACTTAATTAACAATTCAAACAAATCATTTGGTGGATCTAGAGCTGTTCAAAAATGTTTGCAAGCATCTTTAGATTCTCAATCTAATAATCAAAACTCAAAGTACCAAAATAATTTGAGAATTCCAATCGAATTTTGTAATTGGATAATAGATTCATTCATGTCAAAATACCAGACAGAAAGTCTTCAGACAAGATTTAGCTTCTCCACAGCAGGAGAAAATAAACTTTTTGTTACTATTTTGTGGCTTTCCAATTTTGTTAATTCTCACTCACACAATATTAACTATACAGATTACAATGGTGATCACTTTGACTTACCAGAATTCCTTCCTTCTTCAGAACCTCCCCCAATAGAATTTTCAAATCTTTTGCTTCAAGACCTAAAGGATAAATTCACCAAAAAGTTCAGAAGCATTGCTCATGCAATGGGTTTCAGATCAACATCTCCACCCCCTGCAAGATTCAAATCCAAGAATTACATGATACCTCCGAATGTTACTAATGTGATTTTGAACGAGTTCCCTAGATTATAATGTATTTACAAAAGAATTAGCTTTTATTTCAGGACAAAATGACAAACAAATATATTTAGATTTTTGACTATTAACTTTATATATCAATCTAAATCTTTAATAAAAATAATAATCTACTTCTTCATGTTTTTTTTTAAAATATTATTATTAGTTCAAGCAAAAAGGATAAATTCCTTTTTTACTCTAATTGTATGATTCTAAAACTGAGCTGTACTTTAATCAGATGTTATGCAAAATGTACTTATTTATATCTAAGACAGATGAAATAATAGTTAAAAATAAAACAAAAGTATCATCAAATACTTTGATCACAAATTAAAACTTATATTATTTAAGAGAAATACTAAAATTATGTAAAATAATTGATTATTTTATTAAATAATAATTAATTTTTAAGTTTCCATACCATTGCATTGTTCTACACATATTATACACAATTAAATCATGTTTTAATTCCACAGTTTACCGAAATGTTTGATTTTTAGTCATGAATTATACGTCTTGTTGTTTTAATTCACTGTTATTATTTGTTATTTTTATTTAAATATTACTTTTAAAATTAATCTAATTAATTTATAGTTACCGGTACCTTTTATTAAAGTGGACCTTCCCGCCGAATGTTCCCGCCTGAAATAATATTAAGATAATAAAGAGTAAAAATACAAAATTTATAAATAGTAATAAAAAAAGGCAAAAAAGGATATGAGATGAACTAAGAAAATCGTTGAAATGAGTGTGACTTTAGGGTCCATATTGTTCCCTGAACGTCGAAAAGTGGTGGTTGATACTAGGAAGGGGCTTCACAATAAGAGAAAGAAGCAGGTAAATGCTCAGAAAAGCCAGGAACAAACTTCTAAGCAATTTACTACGCGGCTTCTTTTGGATGACGAAACAATTGCTCCAAATGATTTTTTGACCCCATTTCCAACTGACGATGTAAGAAACACAGAACAATTTTGGGAGTATTTAGAGCGTGTGTTCTATCCAGTGGATGAAAGATGGATCAGCATCTTGGATCTTTCAGCAAGACCACAAAATATGGAGCCTAAGGAAGCATGTATAGGCTTACATTTTGCCTATAGGTGGGCATTGGTAGATTTATTTGATACAAGTGAACTTTTTAAGTTGGTTGGAAATAGAAACAAGATATTTAAAAATATTATAGAGAAATCCAAGAATTCTTCATCTGAAAATAAGATAAGTAGTAAGCATGTAGAACAGGATCAAGTTTTAGATAAGTCTGAGAAATCTCAGTTGGATGGCTCAGAAAATTCAGATTTAGAAGAACAGAAGATTATAAGTTATTTGGAGTTTCTGGATCTTCCAATACTTGAATTGATAGGAATTGATCCAACAATATTAGGCGGAATAAACACAAATGGTGGAAATTCGACAAAGCAATCAGAAAATTCAAGTCAAAATAAAAGAACTGTGAATAATCCTTACTTTGAGGAATGGAAGTTTCTTTATAAGAGATTGTGCTATATTGAGAAGGAAGTTGACTCTATGCTTTTAAAACTAACAAATAACGTTAGTGAGAATATTCATAAAGATAACTCTAGAAAGTTACTACAAAGACATCAAAAAAAGAAATGCAGAGAATTCCTATTAAAGGTAATGCACTACCACAGCATGAGACAATTTGTAGATTCTTTGGAAGAGGTTTTGTATTTTGATGAGAAAACTGGATTATATTTGACTACCTGGGATGACGGAGAAGCAGTAAGAGCTGCATGGGTGAGCCAGGATCAGCTTCTACAGCTTCTTTTATTTAGGCCAAGCTCTACAGAAAGCAAATATTCCGTTTCCATCCCAAGTGAATATATTCCTTATGCAAGGTCTTTAGATACTAATTGGCTTAGATATCTCCTAGATTCTGGTCTAACAATGATCAACGATAATCCTGATAATTCTCAGGACGATGACAGGCTTGGAGATACTTTGAATCTAGATAGCCCTTCTAAGCCTAAAGATGGTTGTATTGAACTTTCAAGGCATCCTCTCTGTCATTACTGTAGAAGAAGTTGCAAGAGACTGAACTATTCCAGATGTCCATCAAAAATTAAACCTTTAAATCTTGGAATTAATCCTTCAGGGCTTAATCAAACGAATCAAAGTCAAAATCTAGATTCTAATTCTATCCTAAATAATTCCAATTCATTAAAGCTACCAGGAGCCTCAACTTCTACTAGTTCATCTAATATTTATTATTCTAGGTCTCTTATTCCATGGAGAGTCCCGAAATCCCAGAAAAATATGGAGAATAGTGACCATTCTGAGCCAACATATATAATTAATAATAATCAAAACCACAGTCAACATATAAATCAAACTCAATTTGGATGTAAGTCGGGAAGATCTATTAACCTCAATGGCAGACCTTCAGTTGGAGGGAATTCCTGTGGACCTATGGCGTCTTATCTACTCAATGTTAATAGATCCCATGTTTGTAATATCTGTACTGATTTTGAATCAAATCTGGATAAGTCTGAGTTTATTTCCCAAGAAGAAATCTTAATTAGCAGAGCTTATTCACCTAATAACTGTTGGAGAATGTACTGCTCAGAGTGCATCATGCATAATTTCTCCTCTGTAATTAAGCAAAAGTACTCAAGTGGAATAGTTTTAAGATATTATTGCCCTTTTTGTAATGGTGCATGTAATTGTGAAAGGTGCCTCAGAAATCAACAAATCAGAAAAATCAAAAACTACCTAAAATCACGTTTCTGTGGATACGTTTTTCAGTGTTCAATCTCCAGCTGTGTTATTCAAAACGAGCTCAGCTGGTATGACTTTCTCAAAGACTTTGGTGGAGACTCACTTTTATTCCCACATGTTAACAATACTTTTAAAGAAAACACTATGACAGGAAACAGTGAGACAACTTTGATCAATGATCAAGGAGAGATTGATGAATCTCTAGTTAATCTCAAGAATATAGCGATAGTTTCTTATATTAACAATGCAAATAGAAGATTTTCTATTGCAGAAAATACTCATTTAGGCTTCATTTGGCTACAAGCTAACAATATTCAGTTCCAAAAACCTCCTCCTTCCTCATCAACAGGAAATACGGGTTCAAGAGACCATAATTCTAAGAAAACAACCATACTCAGTGGCTCCAGTTCAGGAAACAATATTTCAGATCATACCAAACTATTATCTAAAAACAAATCGAGAAATAGGTCCTCAATTAATGGAACACAAAAAAACAAGAGATGCTCAAGTATTCAAAGCAACTTTGAGGATACTGATTTAGGTAATACAAATGGCACAAAACTTCAACAAAATACACAAACTGTTTCTTCAAACTCGATTTTTTCTTCAAATATTCACAAATCCCACTCAAATTCTATTAAAGGGAATGGCGCTCATAATTCCCCGCCTTCCATTCATATACCGCGTGAAGTGGTAAATGAGCCAACGCATGCATCTGGTGCTTCGGTACTATGGAGTTTGAGGTCAATTTTAATAAATAATGTCAATAAATATCATAAAGAATGTTTGAGTAACTTGGAGCGTTGGGAGGTTATTCAAGAATTATATAACAGAAAAAGGGTGGAATTAGAGTGCTACTTTGAGGAGTTGCTTTCAAAATTGAATTTAATGGATGAATGGATTCGCTCAATATCGTTCACGGAGACTAACAAAAGATTTATAATGAGGAAGATGCCGCTATTATGTTGGGCTACAGATATCCCATCAGCAAAAACTTTTAATTACGATGACTACCCTCAGCTCATGCCTAATAATAATGTTGTGGAGATGATTAAACATATTCAGAACTTTGTAAAAAATGGTATTGTTTCAGAAGATTTACCAACCCACCAAATTTTGGGGTTTTCGGAGGTTGATGAAGGTGGTGGAATTACTGGAATATCACAAAAGACTACTCCAAGTTTAAAGCTAATTGATAAATTACCAGGAATGATGACTACAAACTCTCCCAGTTCAGTAATGGAGTTTCTAATGAATTCGATCTCCGAAATTCAAAATATTGTGGTAAAGACAAATAATAATTCTTCCAAAGATGATTCAGGAAAAACAAATAAGATACAAAGGAACTCTAAAAGAGACAAATCTAACTCTAAAAATCCCACTCAAAACAAACTTCCAAGCTGTGATATTTTAAACCCAGATGAAGTAAAAGTTTCATCTTTTGTAAATGGTTTGGCCTCATCTTCCTCATCCTCTTCCTCAACAGCAGAGGCTGAAGGAAATCAAGTTAACAGTAACTCTCCTATTAATGCTGAATTTTTATCGAATAAAAACAGTGAGCTGGAGATTATTTCTTCTAATGATAAAAGTGATCCTTCTCAAATTTTTGGACCGTCAAATGGAGGTGCGATTCAAAAATCTGATAAAAGTGATTTACCTAACTTTAACTATCATGAAGGACATAATTCTTCTATTAATCCTTTTATCTATGGAAATAACTCCTATATGCTTGATGAAGGCACTATAGACACATTCCAGCCCTATTCTAATAAAACTATCCCAAATCAGGACCCTAGTGTTGTTGATTCAATCCAAAATAAATCTAAAAAAAGAAGGTCATCTTTGGAATTGACTTTTGTGGAAATCATGACTCCAGAGAGGAAGAGGGAACTGGCGCTAAAAAGAAGGCGCGATAGGGAAACTATTAGAAAAGCTATGAAAATAAACAATCATTCATCCTCATCAAGTACAGCTTCTTCAAATATCATTGGAGGAACTGGTATTAAAAGTGTTGAGGACATTAGTAGTTTAAGTGGAGATGGTACAGTCTTTAGTATCAGCAGTAATGGAAGTAGTTTTGGCTCACCCCAACTATAAGAAGAAGATAGCCATCCAATTCTTCGCTGATTAGCTTCATTATTCACCTTACTACTACTTTAAATTAACTGTCTTTTTTAATTAATTTTTTAAAAAATTTGCCTCAACTGTCTTGTCTTACCTTTGTCCCATCCCCAAACATGTACCTGGGTTTAGTCTCTCTATATATCTTCTATATAAAGAATCTAACCTCAGAATTAAAATCAAGTGGGTTTTAAGTTAGCAACCTTTTCCCCCCCTCCCCTTTTTTTTGTTTTTAATTCCTTTAATTAATTTGATTGTCCTATATTAAAGTTTACTATTTGTTGGCGCCACCCCACATTATATTTTTGTGTCTCAAATTCACTACAGGAAATATTTCAGTTGGAAATAAAGACTAAATAGTTCTACAAAACTGATCTTAAAGAAACATTCGAGAATTGATAACTAATAATTCAGAAGAATGGCTATATCAGAAGACGTGGACACCAGACTTTCCCTTATTACAGCTTTTCACGGCTGTTGGGTTTGTAAAGATGCTAATATCACAAAGGTACAGAATCAGATACTGTCTTTCTGCAGTGGATACCGATCCATTGGTGAAAATAGGGTACCATTCAACTTTACTTTGTCTCATAATGCCTCAGGACAAATTTCAGACATTGATGGACCATTAGACGACCAGTCTCATCCAGCATCAATGGGAACTCCTTTAGTGGAGTTCTATAAATCGAATTACCTCTTCTCATTCTATGAAGACATTGATTACGAGACAAGTCAAATAAACGGTGCTAGAATGGTTATCTCCTCTTTAAATACAGCATCCTTGACACCTTTTAGTGCAGCTTCTAACTTTGATATATGTACAAATATGACTCACGGAAAAATCCTAAATGTAGAACCAGATGGCTCTTTTGACGCTGGTTTGACATGGAAAAATGCCTATTACATAGCAGAACCAATCATCAAACGTCCCAAGTGGACAGATAAGATGAAAGATCCGTCCTCTGCGACTCAATGGACGGTCTCTGACTATGGTAATCAGAATCTCTACGTACCTGATTGGGGAGAACGTGTTTCAGACTTTACTAATCCACGTGTATATGCTTGGAGCTTCGATATGCCAAACTCTATCAATTCTGAACCATTTGAACTAGATTTCAGTTTTCGTAAAACTCATTCAGTCTTTTCTCTAAGACTCCTTCCAAACGAAATGGCTCTGGTTGTCAATGCTCTTGAAAATGACCCTGTAAAGCTCGGTTATTCTTATTGCCTTGCACGCCCATCCAAGATAATTCTTTGTAATATGACTCCTTCTGAGCCTGTGGGATCTTATCGTCTTAAAACTGCATCCGAGATTACTATTTCTCCCCCAGATGAATATGTTAGAGGGGTACAGGTCATTGTTACAAAGGCTGATTCTCTAATTAATAAATGTACTGTATTGTATTTTTCGATACCTTCTAATCAGCGTAATATACCTCATTGGTCCTCTATGCAGCTTTGCGCTCAAGATCTCGTACTTAATGGTTTATCTTGGGCTCCAGCTGGGGAAAGAAGGATTTGTGTCCCAACCCAAAATGAACCTGCTCCAGCAAATGATCCTCTCAAGTTTAAAGGATTTTCTGGACTTTTTGGTTCCTCTATTTTCAAACTCATTCCTCTTAATGGCTCGGATTGGGTGTTTACTTCGACATATCTTGGCAGCCGAGTAGTTCCAGTTGCTATTAATGTTTCTACTAAACAAGTGTGTAGAATTGATTTGGCAGTAATGGGTGACTCGTATGAAGGTGATCTGGAGATTCTTTCTGTAAGCTTTGGGCCTAATAACGCAACAGTTTTCGCTACTCTAAACCTGGTTTCTCCAACAATGCCATCTTTGGTAATGATTGTACAGATGAGTATGAATCCAACACGTAATATTATTAGTGCTCAAATCATTAAATCTGTGAGCTCTTTTGGAAGGAATTCAGAGGCTTTTGCTTCATCTCTTGTAAAAAAGGCCCCGGAAGCTCCATTGTTCAACAATACATTCAAACTTGCGAGAGTTTTAGACCAGATTGAATTCTTTACATTCAGGGACAAGCATTTAGTGATTAGAAACAAGACTCAATCTACGCCTACTACAAAGAAGAGTCCACTTCTATTGTTTCTTCATGGAGGCCCACACTCACTAACAACATCAAACTATAACTTCTTCTTTACTTTCTTGGTTAGTATTGGTTACACAATACTCGCTCCAAATTTCACAGGATCTGTTGGCTTTGGAGATGATTACACAAGATCTCTTATTGGTCACAATTTTGAAACTGATATTAAGGAAATTATCTATCTTGCAGATACAATTAGATGTATTGAAGAATTAAATATAGATCCAAAAAAATGTTTTGCATATGGTGGGTCATATGGAGGAGCCTTGATCTATTCAATTATCACAAGTTATCCTGGATACCTTACATGCGCTGCAGTAACTAATGGTTTTGCTAATACGATATCTTTAATTGCAACATCTGATATTCCTGACTACGTGTTTTCTGAGTTTATTCCAGAGACTTCACAATCTGAAGATAATAGAATTACTATACTTAGAGACAACGAAACTTTGATTAAGTTACATTCCAAATCTCCAATATCTTTGGTAGATAAAGTTACTACTCCATTACTAATAGCTGTTGGAGGTGATGATAGGAGAGTACCAGATACACAATCTATTGAGTTTTATAGGGCCCTAAAAAAGTTTGGCAAGAAAGACGTAAAAATGCTTTACTATCCTGACTCAGACCATTCTATCCGTGTTACCAATGAACCTTTTGACTTGTATTTGAATGTAGCAAATTGGTTCGGCCTTCATTCTGGAATTCCCTTTGTTTTTCATGGAGACCTATAAGAATTGAAGGAGTTTTCAGATGTTTGTTTTTATTCTGAAAATATATTGCTATATATTGGTCTCTGTTCTTTTTAATTGAATGATATCACATTCAATTTGTTTGGGGTAAATTAGATTTGAATTTTTTGATGTTTTTTTTTTAAAATAAGGATTTAATTATAATGAAGATTAAATAAAATCGGGGGAGAATTTGTATTTCTTAGATAAGCTATCAATACGAATAATTCTGGTTTTGTATTAAATAAGTATTTCTATTAAGAAGAGAAATCTAAAGGTTCTCAAGTATGATTTAAAATGACAATATATACTTGAGAATTACGTTTTTGATAATATTTGTAATAAAAAGGATTGGAAATCTTTTTTTTTGTGTTATTTGATGATCAACATTGGCATTTATTAGTCCAAATGTTTCTTTTTATTGCAATATTGAATATTTAAAGTAAAGGAAAGCAATGAATCTCGGAAAATTCGTCTCCAATTTGCCAAAGACAATTGAAATAATTGTTTATCATGTAGTTGTTGTATTTGTTTTGATTGAAATTATTGAGTGTGTTGCTTTTAATATTGTTTTTGAAACTTTTTTTTGTATTTTTCTTGTTTTTCTGTCCAAAAATGTCATTAATTGGTGGATATACAGGATTAAAGATTTCGTAATAATCTTGGTCTATAAAAAATACAGTGCTTTCTGTAGTATTTGGAACGTTTTTTAGGTTAGTGCCAATACTTTGTTGGTTTGATTTTTGTTTTTCGAGTTTCTTGAAATTTTTTTCATAGCATAATGAGTCACTATTTACAGTTGAAATAGTATTATTGAAATCACATGATTTAATCTCAAATAACTTTATCATATCCTTAACGGAATAATTAGTATTTGAATAGTTAACTGGGGTTTCAAACTGAATATTTACCATAATTTAAACTTTGAGATATTTTTCTATAAATTAATATAAAAATGAATAAAGTGAGAGGACAGGAAAATCATGAATGACAGAAAATTTAATCATTTTTATAAGCGCAAAAAAATCACTATTTGAATATATTTGGTTTGTATTTTATGAGTTTTTAATAATTTTCCTACCATGATAGTTTGAATATATACCGTTTTTCAATTTACGATTATGAAAAAATACGAGTTTAAAAGGGAGGGAAAAGTGAAAATTAAAAAAAGATAAAGAATAATTTAAAATTTGTCCCACATATATTGAGGCATGTACAGTTATAATTGACATGAAAATTACTTAATTAATTATATGTGATTAAAACAATTAGTAATTATTGATATGTTTTCAAAAGTTAAATTTAAGTTGAATAATTTTTAAATTAAATGGTTGAAATAGTTTGGTGAGTTGTTTTAGGTAAGAAATTAAAGTATTTTAGTAACTTTAAGATTCTAAATATATTAATAATAGCGAAAAAAAATGAACAATTTTACTTTAAAAAATTGATTTAGTTTGATAATTATGATGAATTAATTAAAAATACTATTCACAAAAAATATCTATGTATTTTATTAGATTAATGTATATTTATATATTCTTATTTAATCTATTTTTGTTTGTATCTGAATACTTGTATTAATGTCACTAAATACCGGTGTGTGGAATTTCCACAAAAGTGCATGTTTTTGGCGCCTTTACATGTAAGTGCACTTTGACGGTACAAAAAGAAAGCAAAGCAGAATTGATTTTACTCAAATTCGAGATATAAAAAAAAGTGGTAAATAAGAGAAGTCATGTGACAGGTTATATATATTTACAAATGAGATATAATAAATTATTAATATTGTAATTAATTCATAGAATAAAGTATTAAAAAATTGTAAAATGAGAAGGTATTTGGTGGAGAGATTAAAATATTAAGGCTAAAAGGAAGGATAAATTACATCAATAATAAAAGAAATTAATACTAGTAATAAAAGTAATTGAAAAAAATAATAACCGAATTTTAAGGTAAAGTTTGGCTGGAAAACGTCTTTGAGGAACAGTAGTAATACTAATAGCACTAAAGGTGGGGATAGCTAGCAAAATTAACTTGTAAACATTATAATATATTTTTTTCACCAGTTGATAAGCATAACTAAAGTTTAATTGGAATATAAGGTGGGATTGGGTTGAAGGAAAAAGAAAGATAGAATAATGTATTTAGAGTAAAATAAGAATATTCCAGTTAGTACTTGAAAGGGAAAAAGAAAAAGAATGAAAGGATTTTCGAAAGAAGAGGTACAAAAGCCCTTTACAAATAGACAAGTTATTGACATTAAGTCAAGGAGTGATAACGGTGGAAGGTTTTACAGGAACAATGCAGAAATTGGGTATGAAAGTGGGATTTGGTCAAAGTTCGTTGGATTAATGAAAAATTCACTAAATATTTCAATTTTAAACAAATCTTCGAATCAGTTAAATAAATTAACGGATAATATGAATTCGAAGAATCATTTAAAAGAAATTATTATGAAGAAGAGTATAGAAAAATTTACAGATAAACAAACAAAAGTGGGAGGAGGGTTAAGAGAGCAGAAAGAACTTAATATTGGACTCAAATCAAAAGTGGAAAAGAGTTCAGTTTCTCCAAAGAGTACGAAGATATCTCCGAGTTTGTCTCCCCTTGTTTCTTTTCCTTATTCAACTTCATCACCTTCCTCATCCTGTTCACCCTGTTCATTTTCATCTCCTTCGAGTTTGAATGAAAATATTGGAATTTCATTTGCAGAGCAAATATTAAATTACAATTCAAATGAATATTCTAAAGTTATTAGTGGACAAGCACCAGTTACTCCAACTACATTAGATGGGAGTTCTACAACTACATCCCCAGCATTCACAAACTTGCATTTTCCAAGCCCTTCTAATAATAACGGATCTACAAAGTATGAGACTCCAAATTATAGAGAAATTGACTCTTCGGAAAAATCTGTCTCTTCAAATTTGAAAGATGAATATTTTTCAAATAAGAAGAACCACGCAGTGGACTTCTCGGCAGATGATAATCATTTAAATTATATTATGGAAAGAATTAATCAAGGGGTTTTGACAGATTTCAATGACAAATCTATAGCAAAATTAGATATTCCTCTAATCAACCATTATAACTCACATGATTTAATTCCAGAAGCAAGCAGTTATTTTGATGGAAATAATAAAAGGTTATCTAATAACAAAGGAAATTTATTAGGGAGAGGATTGACTAGTTTGACAAAACATTCATCATCTGTGTCTTATTCTCCATCATCTTTAATATCAGGAAAAAATGATAAAGTATGCTACACATGGAAAGAAGCAAAACATCTTATAAGTAAATTAAAAAGCTCCAGTAAACTGTACAAATTTAATGGAGTCCCATTTTCTGACTGGGTCCACGAGAAAATACCAACTTTGGGAGCTTCTCCAACAAGTTGTAGAGTTCAGGAAATGTTCAAATCCAGAATTTACTTTGAAAAAGATAACAACGAAATTTATGTTACTTTATTTATAAAAAAAGTTCCAAGAAACATTTGGTCTAAGCAGTGGGAGATGCACGAGATTTGGGATGGTGATTATGTTACTGATGGGGAAGACTTTGTTATGGAGGCTGCAGCTCTAGCTTTCTTACAAAATCATAGTGTTGGAATTGCTCCAAAGTTATATGCTATCTTGGAACATTGTGAAAAAATTGATCATAAAGAAAACAAAATCTCATATAAAAACATTTCTAATAAAAGCCCTTGTGATTATTTGCTTTCCAAAGATACTACACATATTATTCTTGTTTCAGAGTACTACGGTGAGGATTTGTTAGATTATTTGGATAAATGTGAAAAGAAAAACAGAAATTTAACAGATAAAGAAAAAAAAGATTTACAATATAAATTGGTACTAGCGCTAAATAATTTACATTCAAAGGGATTATGTCATCTTGATTTCACTCCTGAAAATATTTTAATTGGTTCAAATGGTATTAATATTTGTGATTTTGCAAAATCTACTCCTATCATTACAAAGAATCCCAGACATACTCATTACTCAAGAAAAAGTCCAAAGAATCATTTATCTGAAAATTTTAACTCCAATAACGCTAGTTTTAACTTTATTAATCCTCCTCCCGAAGCTTACTATGAGTTTGAGAGTTGCGAACCAACTGTAGGCAAAGGAGCCTATATGCCTCCAGAATGTTGGAAAATCTTTTGGAAATTAGAAGAAAACAAAATTCAATTTCCCCTTGAAGAGTTAATGGATGTGGATACATATAATCAAAGAAATAATTATCCATATTTAAGTGAGTTTTCCAAAATTCATAATAAAAGTCCAATTAAATGCCAGGATAGGTCTATGTTTTATTTTAATGCAAGAATTGCTGATATATATATGCTTGGAATTATAATGTTTTGGATCTGGTCAGATGGTGGGATTTGGAAATATTCAGACACTAGACAAGATCACAGGTATCAAAACTTGGTGTTTTCTGATATTAATTTTGATGTCTTTCGGGAATGTAGGAATTGGAATAAGCAATTAAAATCATTATTAAAGAAAATGTTAGAGCCTGATCCTAAAAAAAGGATCACAATGAGTGAGATTCTGTCTGACCCATGGTGGAGGTGCCCTTTAGATTCATAAAAATGAGGGAATATTTTTAAATAATGTATGGCCATTTTTTTTATTTCAAAATTAAGTAATTAAATGGGTAACTTAATAATAAAGAGACGAATTTAATGCAATCAAAAGAATTTTATTCATTCTTGAATCTAAAATTTACTCATCTCAAATCTGCTAAAAAATACTAAATTGTTTTACACACAGTAATATAGCTTTTGGTTATATATTTGTATTAATGGAGATTTTCATGTTAGTTTCACAGAAAATTATCCGAAAATTGTTTTATAAATATATGTGAAAAAACAAATAAAAACACATTTTATGGTATAAAGATAATGCCTTTAGAAAAAATTTGTCTTTTTTGATCCCATTCTAGTCAAATTATATCAGTTATTAAAATATTTAAATGTAGGGATGGCGGGCTCAGAATGTTATTACCGGGTACCAAGTATTATGAGTCGTGATTAAACAAAGGAAGAAAATTTAATTTTTTAAACGGAAAAGAGTATATAGTAAGCAAGTAGTCAAAAGTTTTCAAGACTATAAAATAGAAGAGCCTTAATTTGAGCTTAACCTTTAAGAAAAAAGATTAAAAATACTAAGAAGCATTTATAAGTAAATTAAGGAAGACTAGGAAATAAACAAATAATGGAGAATCCACAAAATATTGTCAAGTATGTATTTAATGAAGCAATTAAACAATTATTTCCAGAGTTTGATAAGGAAGCAATCGTAGCAATATCAAATCCAAACTTTGGGGATTATCAATGTAATAGCTGTATGAATATTTTCTCTCAATTTAAAGGTCAATTAGAGGGAGTAAAAAGCCCAAGAGATATTGGAATGAAAGTAAAAGAGTATATTGAAAAAAAAGTTGATTTATCTATATATTTTAAATCCATAGAGGTGGCACCACAAGGATTTATTACTGTAAAACTATCTGATGAATTTATTTATAATAAATTGTCTATACTACAGGAAATGGATGAAGTAAAGGTAATTTCAACAATGAAATATCACTGTAAGAATGGAAGGAAGAATCCAAAAGTAGTCATTGATTTTTCATCACCAAATATTGCAAAAGAAATGCATGTAGGGCATTTGAGATCTACAATCATTGGTGATACAATATCTAGGATTTTGGAATACTTGGAATTTGAGGTTTTAAGAATTAATCATGTTGGAGATTGGGGTACTCAATTTGGGATGCTTATTGAATATTTAAGAGAGGAATATCCTAACTTTGTCGAAAATTTGCCAGAAATCTCAGATTTGCAAGAATTTTATAAGAACTCAAAGAAAAGATTTGATACTGATCCACAATTTAAGTTAAGGAGTCAACAAAATGTTGTTAAGTTACAAGGAGGTGACCAGGATGCCTTAATTGCCTGGAAAAAGATTTGTGAAGTTAGTCGTATTGAATTTCAGAAAATATATGACAGGCTTAACATCCGCCTTGAAGAATATGGTGAAAGCTATTACAATGATATGATTCCTGGAGTAGTTAAAATGTTGGATGAGAAAGGAATCCTTAAATTAGATGAAGGAGCTCAGTGTGTTTATACTAAGGTTAATGAAATACCTTTAATGGCAGTTAAAAGTGATGGAGGGTATGGGTATGATTCAACAGATTTGGCCTCAATTCATTACAGATTAAAGACTTTAGATGCTGATTGGGTTATTTATACTACCGATGTAGGCCAAGAGGAACACTTTTTAAAACTTTTCGATGTTGCTGAGACTATGGGATGGCATAATCCTCCAAATACAAGGCTATTTTTCATAGGATTTGGGGTTATACAAGGAGAAGATGGAAAAAAGTTTAAAACAAGAAGTGGAGATGTTGTCAAACTAACTGAACTTATTGATGAAGGTGTTTCTAGAGCAAGAAAAGAGTTAGTAGAAAGGAGGAACCAAAGAAGGTCTGAGCAAGAATCTACATCCAATACAGAAATTGACATTTGCAATCAGGATCTTGATGATTCCAACTTAGATTTAATGGCAAGTACTATTGGGCATGCTGCTATTAAGTACTTTGACTTGAAGCAAAACAGATTGACTAATTATAAGTTTTCTTTTGATAGAATGTTGGATCCCAAAGGTAATACAGCAGTTTACTTACTATATGCATATGCAAGAATTTGTGCAATCTTTAGAAAAGTTGAGTTCATTCAATCTGATGATAATGCGATAATAAAACAAAAGGTTTTGCAATTTAAAGTAAAAATGACTAATAATATTGAAAGAGGACTAGCTATTCAGATTATTAGATTCCCAGAAGTTTTTGATGGGATTTTGAATGATTTCTTTCCAAACAGACTTACAGATTACTGCTATGAGTTATCTGAGATCTTTGCCCAATTTTACACTGAATGCAGAATTATTGGATTAGAAGACCAAGAGCTTGAACAAAGCAGACTTTTGCTTTGTTTCTTGACTAAGCAAATCCTTTTTAAAGGACTTAACTTGTTGGGAATTGAAACTTTGGAAAAGATCTAATTCTGTATCTAATAAAAAAGATAATCAACCTATTAATTCACAGGATTAATATAACTTCAAAATAACACTATTAATAATAATTTAGCAAATTTTATCATATTTGGAAATGCTTTAAAGTCTAAGGTTATGTATATAATCAAAGAGTGAGAATAAATATATATAAAATTAGGTATTTGAATTTCAAAAGGTAGCTTTCTAATCAGAGTCTGAAAAAATAACATGACTGTTAGATGGTTTAACCTTTGTTTTAGTTTCTGATTCAGATTTTAAATAGTTATTAAAGTTTGATTTAGCATTTTCCTGCTTTTCAGACATATTTTTTTTGAAATTATTGCTCTTTCTTGCTTTAAAGTCTGATTTATTGCTCTTTTTATTTCCTCCAATACTATATTCAATCTTTTTAATATCTCTATTTAAAGTATTAGAATGTTTGTCCAAATTATTGACATATTCTAGATCACCCTCTTGAACAAGAAATGAGTCTTTTATTGACAAGTTACTACTTTCTGAAGTTTTAACTTTCTTTCTTCTAAGCTCTTCCTTAAGTTCTTGAATATCATTAATGTATTGGTTTCTTCTTTCAAGAGTTTCAGCATCTAATTCTGTATTTGAAAATAAAGGAATATATTTCCTTCCTTTAAAAAATGGTAGTAACCTAATATAATCTTCATATCTTTTATAAATTGCTATTTCTGATTTAATTTTAAAAACTTTATCTTTAAATGTGTCATTTTCTGAAAGAGTTAAATCCAATAAATATCTTGGATTATTTATATTAACAACTTCATTAGTCTCAATTTCTGATTCAGTGCCAGAATTATTCTCATCTTCTTCAATTTGTTGATTTCCATATTCTTTCACTTTATTTTTTAGAGTTTCAACCAAAAGTTTTTGGAGCTGATTAATTTTTCTCTTAACTTTAACAAGTTCAACAAATCTCATAGTCTTTTGTTTGTTTTTCTTATATTGTAAGTATTTATTAAGTTTCTTTTTGTACGAGCTTTTATTCTTAGAAATGGTATTTTTTAAAGCTTTTATTTCATCCTCAAGTTCCGTCTTCTTTTCCTGTGAAATCTGAAACTTCTGATTATCCAAAAGTCTTTTAATATCTCTAATTCTCTTTCCAGCACTTCTGGTCTTTTTATTTTTAATTTCTTTGTCGGATTCTCCCATTATTTCTGTCTTGCTTTTTCAATAAATTATGAGTTCTAGCTAACCAATAAAACTAAAGTATACATATATTATTTATAGTCTTTTAATTATAATAATAACCAAAAAAAGAAAATAGACCTTAAAATCTGCAATACTCTGTTCAAGCAAATTTAACTAGTGAATTATTAACCTTATCTATTCCAGTATCTTCTTTTAAATAGTTAAAATCAAAAAATGGTTGGTTTTGAAACTGGAAATTAAAGAGCTGGGATATAAATCAAAATTAAATCTCTTTAAAACTCCTCCAACACTACCAAGTCTTCCAATAGTTAATATAATCAAAGTTTCTCTATCAAAAATCTATAATCTTCTTTTCTTAGTTAAATTCTGACATATAATTGTCAATTTAAAAATTAAGATAGCCCGCCCAAACTAAAAAATGCTATACCGGTGAAAACTAATAAAAAAATCAAAGTGGAAAATAGATCACAAAGCTAAAAATAAAGGAATAGTAGATCTAGTAATAAAAGAAAGTCTGTATGCCGTTGTATTTGGTTTGGTTTGTTTTACACCCAGACTATCATGAATTTAGACTCCAAGAATTGGAGTCTTTGGCTGGCTGTTTTGGAATAGAAAAGAACAAGCTTTGGGTGAGTAACCTACCTAATTATGTTTCTTGGAAAGGTAACGAATATAATAGACCTTTAGCAAATGACCATAGTAACTCCTTTGCATGGGTTTACCTGCCGAAAGAAGATATTGCTTTACGTATTTTAGAAAGAAGTGTTTTGGTGAGAGGGTTTATGGAAGTTTGGGCAAGTGGACCAGATCATGAAAAAGTTAAACAAATACTCAAACAGGATGAGCATGTTAAGAGTGAATTTCTCAGAAATTATATACATGATAATGTGGATTTTTCTTGGAAAGTAAGAAGTATTGGAAAGAAATTATCTAGACCTGAACAGGTTTCAAGAATGAATGATTATGGATTCTTATTTAAAGGCACTGAAAAGGTGAATTTAAAGGAACCCTCTCTAAGTTTGGGTATTTTTGAGGATTGGAGATGTATCAACTGGGAGGATGAACACTCAAAAGAGGGGATTTCTAAAGAAGAAATTTCTAAGGTTAAATCTGACTTAAAGAGAGTCTATCTTGGAAGAATAATAGGATTTCAAAGCTGTAATGATCTTGAAGACAAATCCCTATGGTGGCTTAAATATACTTTAAACAAAAGGCCAATTTTAGGTCCAACTACTATGGATAATGAACTGGCTTTTATAATGTGTAATATTGCCCAAGTTAAAAAGAATGACGTGGTTTTTGATCCTTTCTGTGGAACTGGTGGTATTCTTATATCAGCTTCTCATTTTGGAGCTACTTGTTTTGGATCTGATCTTGATCTTAGAGTAATTAATGGTTGGTTCTGTTCTTATGTCAACCCACATATGATTAAAAATAATACTATAAAGGAAGATCATCCCAGGTCAATTTATTCAAATTTTGACTATTACAAGCTCCAAAGACCTGGTATAATTAGAATGGACATTTCTCAGAATTCCATTAGACGTTCCTGGATAGATGCTATAGTGTGTGATCCTCCTTATGGCATCAGAGCTACTTCTAGAACAACTAATTCTAATCAGAACCAAATTAATGAACAGAGAGAAGATTCCAGTTATTCAGGTAATAACTATATTCACAGCTTTATTCAGGATTACAATTACAGAAAAAAAACATCTTCCTACTCTACTCCTGACATGTCAAATACTCATCCATCTGTAGGAAAGAACAATTTTGGTTCTCTTCAGCCAATTGATGATATGATTTTTGATTTGTTATCTTTTGCATCCAAAACTTTGGTAAATGATGGACATCTAGTCTTTCTCCTACCTCTCCTTGCCTCAGATGCTAATATTGTAATCTCCAATCTAATAGATGCCTGGAAACACATATTTTCCATAGACTTTCCTTACATGCAAACACTTGGAGGAGGGTTAGGGAGATTGTTAGTACATATGAAACTGTTGAAAAAAAAAGAAAAATAATCTAAAGTTCATTATGTGTCTAAAAAAATATTTAATTAAGTAGATATTCCTAGCAAAATGTAGGATGGTAGAAAAAAAAGAAAAATGGCTTTTTTAACTTTGAGAATTCACTAAGAAGATTGCAAGCTCAGTATGGTTTTGAAGCCTTTATTCTCGGATCTATTTATATCCTTTATTAGCATCTCATGAATATGATTATGTAAATCAACATTGAACTTTCTTCTTCTTAACTTATTATAGGTATATTAATATACTGTTTATATCATTTTCTTTCACTAAAAGTTGCCTTCTTTAACATTGACTGTAGTTTCTGAGTTTGTAAAGGCTTTAAAGATTCTGATATTAAGATCTCATTATTCATTTGGTCAAAGCTGTTCTTAGATGAAGATAACTGATATTCATCTAATTTATTAGTATCTTTGGAGTCAAATACCTGTACATAAGAGCTTTTGTGATGTTTACTATTAGTATTATGATCATTATCATGCTCACTTAAGCGTGACAAATTTGTAGAATTACTATTAAACAGAGTCCAAAATAGGTTTGATGGTGATGGACACATGCAGGTGTTCAAACTTTGAGATAAGTTTTTAAGGTTTTTCTTTCCAAAAGATAAAACTTCGGTACTGTTTTGCCTTAAACAATAAAGTGATGAAAATGATCTTACAGCTTGATCAATCACCAATCCTTTATTAGAAGAATCATTTGAATAAGAAATTATATTTTGAACAGTCTTTGAAACCTTTGATAAAGTAGAAACTACATGACTTTCTTTCTCATCTTTTATTTGATCATCTTTACTAGCTGTAAGGAACATCTTTTCAATGGATTCTTGGATATCCGTAATATCATGAGATTCATCAGTAAATCCTTTTATAGAAAGAGGAGTTTTTTCACTTGTCTCAGGCTGTACATTTATGTTATTTAGAACTTGTGAGACAATGTCAGATCTATCTAAAACTCCTACTTCTTGAATATAAACGTCACAGCTTGACAATAATAGCACTAAATATAAACAGATTTTAGAATTTTCAACTTTGGGTTGAATGATTGCATCTTTAATGGATGTTTTCTCCAGAAGATCAACTTCAATATCTTTTAAGCATGTAAGTTTAATTTCAGATCTTGATTTATTGGATTTGGATTTGATATTTTTTTCAAATTTGTATAGAGAGATCTTTCCTTTATTTTTATCTCTGATAATTGCAAATTGAAATGGGATTTCCTCCATAAGCTTATTATATTTACCAAAATTCTGGGTAGTAATAAGCTTAGAATCAAAGTTAAGATCTATATTTTGCTCAAGAATTAACTCCATAGAGGTAATGTTCCAAACAAAAAGCTTTTTAGAAAAAGTAGAAAGTGCTAATAAATAATACTCATTCATATGCATAATAGTAACCATCTGACTAATTTTATTACCTTTCAGAGATAAGTAGCCAAGATCACTTTCTAATAATACAGAGTGTTGTTTATTCCAGTTGTATATTATAATACCTTTAGAGGATGCTAAAAATAGCTTATTAAATTCATCACTAAAACATGTTGAATAGACTTCAATATCCGATTCTCCATGAATAATTGATGAATTTACCCATTCTTTAACTTCTTTTTTATAAACCCAACATTTAATTTCACGTTTAGAAGTAGTGGTTATAAAACATGTATTATTTGTCTCAGTTTCAAAATTGCTCTTATCCATAATATTATGATAATCATCAATATATGGATTTTCAGATTTTGCTTCTTCTATTGAAATAACCTGATCAGTATGTGCAATATGGTACTTAGATACCAATTCAAAATGAGTTCTTTCTTTGGAAATAAGAATTCTCCAGAACTTAAAGTTGTAAACCTTCTTTTGATTTTTCATATGATCAAATGTTTGACTCTCAATAGTAATAGCAAACTTTGCGTTTTTTGAATAGTAAGCATCAACCAAAAGAACTCTAGTTACATCATCCTGAACAAGTTTTGATGAAGAGATTCCTTCTCCAACTTTAGAAACATAACTTTCTTCAGGCTTACAAAAAATACTTGAATACCATAGATCCTTAATAAGATCATGAATATGAAGTTTAAATGGATGACCTATAATTGAAACCAAGAGTCTAGTAGGATTAAAAAAATAAGATGGTATAATTTTCATCTGTGGATAATCCATTACACTGCCTTTAATAATATTAAATGGAGTAGAAATCCCATAAATTGTGTTAATTATTTTATTGTGAACCAAATCTATAATTTTGATACTATTATCAGAACACACAATAGCTGCTATTAATGAAGGTATTGATTCAGAAGTTTGATGATAATCAGTATTCTGAGTATCATTCTGTACTCTTTCTTTTTTAAATGGTGTAATGGTATATATTGGAGCACCTAATCTAGGAATAAACTGCCTAGTACCGTTATTATTAGAATTCTTTAACTGATTTCTGCTGTGAATTAGATAGGAATCTGAAGAGAATGTCTGTCTCCATAAGACCAAAACTGCCTCTTCTCCGCCTGATAATATAACATCTGTACCAGGTATTATATTTAAACAAGTCAACTCATGTGAATGCCAATGTGAAATAGATGTTTTAACATTATATTTGTAAATCATCTTTTCAATATCAGAATTTTCAGAAATAGAAGGCGCATTTTCCCACATTTGAATACCTTCTTTAGAGGAAGATGGAGGAATAAACCAATAAGTTAATCTACCATAAGCATCACCAGTAGCAACAAACTGTTTATCTTCCGATATTATAAGCGATAAAATATACTCAGAATGTCTAAAGCGGATGATTTGATTAGGGTATTGAATATTCCAAATCAATAGAATATTTTTCCAAATAAAACAAAATATGGACTCATCAAAAGAGACTTGGAAACTTAAAGCTCCATATGAAAAATCTATCATTTTCTTTAGAAATTTCTGAGCAAATTTAGAGTCAGTCTTATTATTATCAGAATTCAATCTTGAAAATATATCTGAATTGACAATTTTGTAAAGTGAAACATTAGGATTAAGTACAGTATCTTCGCCTTTTGCTTCCCCTGTTAATAAATATATATTGTTCTTAGCAATCTTGAGATCCAAAATACATTGGGTAATTCTAAACTCCATTAAGGGTTTTTCCATATGGTTCAAAACATCATGTAAAGTAAATATTCGTATTAAACCATTAAAAGTAGTAGTAATGATTAATTCCTCCTTATGGTTAGATTTGATAACACCAAAACCCGTAATAACTTCTTTTGATGCAGAAAACTGGGATCTTGACTCTCCATTACCTAAAGTATCGTACACATTAATCTCATTATTTCTTCCCTTTGGGATTAGTAATAAATTTCCATTTTTACAAAATACTGGTGGTACTTTTAGAGAAAAGCATCCTCCTTTGTAACCTTTATTCATCTCTTCCCTTTTTTTTCCATAAAAGAGTTTTTATACCAGTCTAAAACAAGAGAAATAGAAGAATAATGCTATTTTATTAAATATATGTTTGAATAAATGTTTTCTCTTGCCTTTTTACCTTTACTTGGTCTGTCTAACTTTGACTCCTTTTTAGGCACTTTAAAAAGCGCCAAACGGGCGCCAAAATATGCCCGCCTTAAAGGCAATAATTTTCGTCACAAATAATATGGTGTTTTCTACAGACAGAGGTGTACATGGAATTGTCACCAATAAGAATTTGTTCACCTGTATGAAGGGGATTTCCATCTTTATCTACTCTGAGAGTCATAGTTGCTTTTTTGCTGCAGTGACAGATTGTTTTGATTTCACTTAGTTTATCGGCCCATGCTAGTAAATATTTACTTCCAGTGAACAATTCTCCTCGGAAATCAGTTCTCAAACCATAGCATAATACTGGGATATTTAGTTTATCAACTACCATGCATATTTCTCTCACTTGTAGTTTAGTTAGGAACTGACTTTCGTCTATTAAGGCACAGTCAACTTTTTTTTCATTGTGTTCTTTGTTTATGACATCAAAAATATTTGTAGTGGAATTGTATGTATGAGAATTCTCTGAGAGACCAATTCTGGAGCAAATTGATCCTTTTTTAAATCGATGATCATCAGCAAATGTAAAAAGAACAGTTCTCATTCCTCTTTCTTGGTAGTTGAAAGAGGACTGTAGAAGAAGTGTAGATTTTCCAGCATTCATTGCTGAGTAGTAAAAATATAATTTTGCCATTTTTTCTTAAATTATTTCGCTTTTTTTGAACAGTTATTCTCTATTGTTTTTAAAACAGTATATCCAACTTTAGTTTTTTCTTATCTTTTGTTTTCAAATTCTTATTTATTAGTGGAATTACTTGTTAATTATTTCAAATATGAATTTCCGGGAATTATCAATTTATTATAATAATTATTTTTAATCTTAGTTAAACCTTATTTTATTGTGTGAAATAGTTACCTATATATAGATATAAATTCGCCCGCCAAAAAAATTCATTTTCAGATACTTGAAATGAAATTAATATTATTTTATCTAAGTGGGGACTTGAGTGAAATATATATTGGTGATATGTTAATACCTTTTAGTTCAAATTTAATGAACAACTATGATTAGTAGTCTTGAAAATGGGCCTACTGAGGAGGATCTTGAGTTATTACTGGGGGGATGTAATAAGGAAGAACAATTATTATTTGTTGATTTGAGGGAAGAACCAGATGATTTTGAAGAAACTAATTACCAGGAAAATTTCAATAATTTGAATTCAGGTGACTATATAGAAAGGAATGATAATAAAAAAAATCAATATGAAGCTGGTAAATTGAGAAAACATAGAGCTAAGCCAAAAAAAACAAGGCCAAAGAGGAAGAGAAATCAATTTAAAGATAATTCTGATAGAATTTCAATAGATTCTGATGAATTTGTTGTACCAGATGATGAAATAATTCCACCTGACTGGGAATATAATTATGAAAAACCAATTGTGTGTCAAAATGTTACATTTTACAACAAAGTTGACAATATCTTAACTAGTAAATTTGAAAATGTTGGTAATTTTAACAATAATGGAAAGGAATGTAACTGTAGTGAAGACTTGGATGAAGATTTGGACGAAGATTTGATTAATAATCTGGTAATTAATAGAAGTGGATTAAAAACCAAAAAATATCAGATTAAAATGAGTGGAATTGACATTGATAAAGATTATATTGATGATAAAGATAACACTGCCTTAATTGTTGAGAGCCACATGGTGAAGGATAATCTTGATGATGAAGAGCAGGTAATTTATGTAGATAAAAAATTGGATTCTTTTTTAAAGCAGACTGATCAAAGTAAAGTTATAAACAAAATTAAGAGTGATGATTCTGAATTAATTATTGATAAAAGCGACGATTTAATTATGAATACAGAAACTTTAAATTTTGGAATCTTGAATATTTACTTCAAAATAATGAGTATTTTTGAGGGATTTGAAAAGTATAATAAATCCCAAGATTACATAGAAAACTCTTTAAACCTTGAAGAAAATGATATTTCCACTTTATTAATAATATTCAAGTCTATTGATATTGAGTTCAGCAACTTCAGCAATAATAAAAATAGTTGTAATAGTAACAATAATAGCAGTAGCAGTAGTGGTAACTTTGATTTAATTCAAATCTACCTGGATTTATTTTACAAGAATATTTTAAATTTGTTTAGTAAAGTTCAAAATTTTAATTCAGCTTTTTTAAAGGAGTTACATTTTGAAATGATTGGTTTTCTTGAATCAAAATATGAGGAAGTAATTAATTTAGACTCATCCAAACTCGATAATAAAGCGATATTTTTGTTTTTAAGGGTTATTGGACTTACTTTGTTTTTTGAGCATTTACTAATACGAAGTATAAAGATTGAAAAATCTTCAGAATCTAAGGTCCAAAACATGAATGAAATAGTTCCAGTTTTTTTTGGTAATGAGAATATTTTGAATAAAAATAATGTATCCAAGATTCTCAGACAAATTTTGAAAAAAATGTTGGATCATTTATTAGATTTGGCTTTAAAAGATAATTTGAAAGACAAAATGAATGATTTTCAATGCATTTTGATTTTAACTTTGTTTTTTAATTTTAAACTGAGTGGTGACTTAATTTTTACAATTATTTCAGAAAAATACCATAAAGAATCCAATTTAAATTCTGAAATCTTTCTCTTTTATTATTATGCAATGATTGTCTATAGTAATATAACCGATTTAAAATTTGATATTTCCAAATTATTTGCAAAATTTATTTTCGAGTTTAAAAATAAATCTTCCAGTAAAAAAGATTGCTTAAGCCACTATTACTTATTAAATGAGTATTTAAAAACAGTTAGTGTCTATCAAATTAACAATATTAATTGTGGAAATAAGTTTGAATCATTATTATACTGGCTGAGTGATTCAAATTTTCTTTATAATGTTAATAAAAAAAATGAAATGAACATTTTTTTGTCAATAATAAATGATAAAGAATCCAATTTAGAAATCTTCTACTCCAATATTCATTTAAGTTACTCAAAATTAAAGGAAATTTACCATAAAATAAGCTGTTTAGAAGGAAAATTTAAAAGGATATTATTCTTGGATTTTGGTCAAAATGATGATAGTACCTTTACAGAAATAACTGGTGGTATTATATTGCAAGATGATATTAAAAAAATTGATATATTCGAATTAACAGAAGAAATTTATTTTTATTTATTCAATTTATTAATAAATTTTATGAAAAATTCCAAAGAATTGAATTTACTTTTAAAGTTTATCCATATCCACTTTGATTTTGAAAAGGCTTCAAATATTTGCAAAAATGATATTACAATGCATTATTTGGTATACAATTCCTTATTTACGGCTTTATTAGCGAATTCTAAAAAATTTGAATTTGAAATTCCAATTTTAGATTTGTATGAAATTTATTTGGATGAAAATGATAAGATAAATAACTATCTTTTAACTGAAATGGTGTTAAATTGCAACAATACTGAAGATAATCATTTTATTAAGAAAATTCAATTGAATAAGAATTATAAATTGCTTATTCAAACTCTATTAGGTTCTTCTAAGTTTGGACCTCATTTTGAAATAAATTTCCATATTGATATAATTTATAATATTATTACTTTAATTGAATCTTTGGATGAAAAAAATTCAAAATTTGATTATCTAAGAGATATCAATAAGCTAAAGTTGAATGATTTACTTGGTTTTAATTCAAATAAAATTATCCCAAAAAATAATTTCAATAAATATTCATTAAATTCGAATGAATTATTTTTACATTCATTATTAATTAGTAAATTTAATTCAAATGCATTATTTACACACACAATTAACACCGGTACTAAATTATCACTTACACTTAAAAAAAATAATACATGTAAAATTCATGTGGATAATAATAATAATAGTAACAATAAATTACATAATATTGAAAATGAGTTAATTAAGGTAATGATATATTTTAAGATAATAATAGAAGAGATATTGGATATTTATTTTGATTCAATATATAAAATATCAGATGATAAATTAAATCAAAAAAATATTGATTTTATTGACGAAATTTTTAATTTAATAAACAATTTATCAATTTTTTTAGTTTGGAATTTGTTTGAGTTAAACGATTCAACAGTTTGTAATTTTTTAAGATATTTCTTCGGCTTGATCTCAGATAAATTATTATATTATACTAAATATTTTAAAAACAACAAAAATAATGGTGGACAAATTTGTGAATTGTTTATTTTCCATACTTTCAGAAATTTGGGAGAATTTATTTTAAAATTTTTCGATAAGTTTAATCAAAATATTACATTAAAATGCGAAATCTATTCATTTATGATTGTTTTGTATTTATTAATGTTTAATATTAAGCATTTTAGCTTGAAATATCATTACATAGAATATTTCAAATTGGAAAAGAAGGTATTTGAAAAAATTCAAATATTAAATAATAATGACATATTTGATATTTCTAAAATTAAGAGTAAAAAAAAAATTGTTGGAAAATTGAAGAATAATAATTTGATTAATTATTATATTAAAAAGAGAGTTTGTAATAATTTGAGCTCAATTTATAAATTGGTTGGAGTAATTAGTAATTTGTGGAAATCAAAAATTAAGACCATATTAGATTACATTGAATTTTACGATTCATCTGATAATGAATCTTTAAATTCTGAATCTAAAACATTTAATATTAACGGGTTGATATTAGAATTATATTTTTACTATTATATTTCTTATTTAGATAATGAAGTTTTGCAAATAATTAATAAGAAGGCCATCACCAATTCTATTAATTTATATTCCAGTAATAATATATTTGGGTTATTAATCAATTTTATCTTAAAAGGAATAAGTGAAAATCATATTAATAAAAATACTACAACTATGGAACTTATTTTGAATTGGAATCACATTAATAATTCGGTTAAGGGATATATAAACCAATTAAAAAATGATTTATTGATAAATATTTGGATTAATTATGATTTTATACAAATGATTATGATACCTAGTAGTTTCTCATGCAGATTCATTTATATGAGAATAAATTTCTGGGTTAATATTCTAAGTATTCCGCTTTCAAAAATGTTAATTAATTGCAATGAGGATTTTAATAATGTAAGAATTACTCTCGAATATCCATTAAAATATTTTAAAAAGCTAATAATATTGAAAGATATAGACGTTATTGAAGAAAATCTGGTAAATTTTTCAATAAACTTTATTATTGATTCTGTAAGATTAATTCATTTGTCTTACTTCAAAATCGTTTTAAAAATGTTGATTTCCAAAATTCAAAATACTGAAAAGTATCATTTAGAGCATGAAGAGTTGACTAAATTGATCTTAAATTTACTAAATTATATGACAGTAATATCTCAAAAAATAAAAATTGAATTTGATTCAAATCAAATAAATTCTAAATTTGAAATAGACGATAACATAAAATCTGATATTCTTGATATCATTTCTCTTATAATATCTTACCTAAATCAGGTATCCAAAGTGGTACATGATATTTTAATCAATAAAAAGGAGCTCATTCATAATTATTATAGCAATTCCTTTGATGGCAAGACATTTTATCAAATTAATTATGAATCATTAAAGAAAAAAACTGAATGGATTAACTATTTTATTTATTCTAGCAATTTAAATTATTCTAATAATTCCGAAAGTCAAGAAAAATATAATATACTTGAATATATTCTAAAAAATAGTGATAGATATTCTTTATCTGTTGAGTTTCAAAAACTTCCAAAAATTTTTCAATATATTAAAAAGAAAACTTCCAAAAGGATTACTTACAAATTTTAATCTTTAATCATTTCAATTTTTCGAAATGGTCATTTTCTAAAGTGAATAATCAAATATATGAAAGATATTTACCTTAAGTCTTAAATTATAAATAATTTATAAATAGTTTAATACAATGGAACATTTTTTAAAAATAATTCTAATTACACTTATAAATCTATTATTCTACATGCATTTATATTTGAGTATTATAATAATAATGACGTGTGAATCTGCCCGCTCAAAATTTAACAAAACAATATTTGTGAGTGGGGCAATAATAATAGCAATAATAATAATAATAATAATAATAAAGGATTACTTAAATTAATATATAATTGACTTTATTAATATTTTTAGAATTTATTTAAATTGCTTTTTTTAATGAATTTAAAATGTAATATGTGATTGTTCATTGTTTTTGACTGATTAGATTTACAAACTATTATTAGTCGAATTACTATATTTAAGTGAATTAGTGTTTAAGTATATATTAAAGAGAATATTTATTGTAAAAATAAATTATTAAAAAAAAAATGTTACCCCACACTAAATAAAAAGATACCGTGTAAACAGGAAATAAAAATTGGAATTAATGATTAAGAATAGTAAAATAGGTTTTTTTTTTAAAAAAAAAAATAAATAATAATGAAGTTAGGTTATTAATTAAATACTAATCTAGTAAGAGTTTTATTTATAATTTGGTATAAAGAAATAAATTTATAGTAAATAAAGAAAGCTAATAAATATTCATACAAGAAAATAATTTGAATTATTTACTAAGAAGAATAAATACTGATCATATTAAAAAGATAATTTTTCTATTTATTGTTTGATGAGTTCTAGACACTTTAGAAAGATTAGGATTCCAATAACAGTAAGCTATATATTACTTTTATTGTGGGTAATATTTACAGAAAATGCTTATGTTAAAGGTGATGAAGAGTTTTTATTGGGTAGGTCAGTATTGGATTTAGATAAGAAGAATACATGTGAATATTATGGAGAACAGGATGATATATTTTCTGATTCATTCCACTCAAGAATATGTATAGTTCCAGAAGATGGTTTACATGGAAATAGAGATCATAACCATAATCCACGAAAAGCATTTGTTACGAGTATTCCAAGTAATAAAGGAGTATTTAGTAATAAATTAAAGAGAAAGGAAGATCATTTGAGTTCTGTAATTACTGAAATGAGTGGTGAATCTATGAGAGATAAAAGAAAAAATGTGGATCTGGAAACTATGTTTGGGATAGGAAAAAATAATTACAGATTAACTAATAATGAAACCATTCAAAGCTCTAATTTAACTAGTTATGCAAGAACCCAATTAGTGAATTCAACAAATAACTATGCTTTATTTAAACAGGGACTTATGGAATATCAAAATAAAAAAATATTAAAATACTACTTATATGATGTATCTAATAAAAAATATTCAGATAGAATAGTCTATCCAGAAGACGTTTTATCTCCAAATTCTGCACTTAATTATTTGGGAAATTATCTTCAGGTTTATGAAATTACTAAAGTTTCCAACCCAACAGTAGTTTCATGGCCAAATAATCATATAGTTTTCGTGAATTCTCAGGTAAATGCTGATGGCTCATTCAAATTTGTAGTATATACTAGTTCAGGACAAATAGGATTTTTTTTTGAAATAGCTAGTGGGAGTTATAAAACAGGATGTGGAAGTTATTCTAGAATTGACAAAACTAATTTTGCTCATTCAGCAAATGCTTTAATTCAAGTTCAATTAATAAGAAGAAAATTTGGATTTAATGTATTTATTGATGGTGCTAGGAGAACAGAACTAGATATTATTGATTGCATTGCAAGTCCTCCAACTAAAGTTGAGGTAACTAGTGGAAATGGATCAAAAATATTTCCAAAAGTAGAAGATTGTAAAGTATCCCAATGGACAGATTGGTCAAATTGTTCAAAGACATGTTCAACAGGTTCAAAAACTAGATATCGTTCAGTAATTATGCCAAGTATGAATGGTGGATTATTATGCCCCAATTTACTTGATTCAACTTCTTGTAATGCTGATATTTCATGTTCGCCATGCCAATATTCAGATTGGGTAGCATGGAGTGAATGCTCAGTTACATGTGGATCAGGAACCAGTGTTAGGACAAGAAAGTTAATAACGGCAAACTATTTCGCTGAAAGCTGTATTGAAACATTTCAATTAAAAAATTGTAAAGGAGTTTCTTGTGCTACTGATTGTATTTTAACAGAGTGGTCAGATTGGAATGACTGTAGTACTACTTGTGGTGTTGGAAATCAAATTTCCACAAGATCTATAGTTCAACCAGAGGAAAATGGTGGAAGTTGCGACCATGAATTGAGTAGAATTCAAGAATGTAACATTTCAGTCTGTAAAAAGTCATGTGATCCTTCTCCTTGTTTGAATGGTGGCGTCTGCAGTGAACTTCCAATGTCAAATTTCGTATGCATATGCCCGCCATTTTATGGTGGAGAAACTTGTGATTCATTTGAATTTCCCTGGTGGTTTTATTATGTTTTGATTGTTTTAATAGTTCTGGTTATTGGAATAATTTATAAGACTCAATTTTCCAATATAATTACTCCAAATACAATGGATCCTTCTTATATAGGAGGAGGTGATTATGCTTTCAGTGAGGGCCCCGCTCCTCCACCTCCAACAACACAACCTCAATATTATCAAAACATGAATAACAACTATTACTATGGATATTATGGAAATGCTGATGAAAGTTATCTAGTAAACAACGATGAAGGAAACTGGATGTACTAATCAATTTACTCCATTTTTTTCATTCCATCAAAAAAATATATATTATTTATATTAATATAAGTTTTTTTTTTGTGGACAACATCATTGCATGCATGCAATGATTAGGCGGCAATCATAACCTGCCAAATTCAGAAATATCTGGATAAAATGCAATATATATTATTATAATTGGGAAAAAAACAATGAGTAGACTAGTAAATAGGGAGTTAAGTATTTTAGAGAAACATCGGTTGATTTAGTAGTTTTTAAAGTATCTATCTATATTACACGTTTTTATTGAGCTTTATGTTTAAGCAAGATTTAATAATAGTTTGAAATTAATATCAATTAAAAATCTATCATTTTAAATATGCTCTTTTTATTTGTTTTAATTTTTGTAATTCAGAAATATTCAAATCTTAAAAAATAGCTAAAAAAGATCAAGATAGAAAAACTCAGATTTAAAGCTATTTAAAAGCGATTTAGGTATACTCTCATTTCTTAAATATAAGATGGGGAGACGCATTATTTTGAGAGTTGTCTAAAGCAACAATAATTTCCTTAATTAAAGAAAATTTACAGATTGGGATTTGCAGAGTATCTCTTTTTTCGTTAGAAAGTTCAATAAGGATTCCGTGAGAGCTTGCTTTGACTTCTCTAATATTGCTGATATTTACCAGCCAAATTATTTGAGACTTATAAAAATAGTTTCTTCCGGATGATGAGAAGTTTGAAGAGGAAGAAAATCCTGCTCCAGCCCCTTCTCCTGTTACCTTGCCACCAACTCCGACTCCACTTGATGCCCCAATTCCAAAACTTGAATTCATTCCACCAATTCCGTTTCCATTATTAGCACTACCCCCACCTCTAACAAAGCCATTTCCAAAGCTTGTTGAGGAGTTCCCTGTAAGGTCCCCTATTGAAAAGCTGGACATTAATTTAATAAGAACAATCGTTTTTGGGAAAATAAGTAAAATCAAAGGCATAGAGTAGTGATCCGTTGGAATAATAAAATACTGGTCAAGATGTCTAGCAAATCTTGGTCCAATAATATCTCTAAGTAACGCATCTTGAATTTCATAATCTCCTATCTTGCTATAATGAGAGTAAAGCATTCTAGGTATTCTTCTTCTATAAACTCTTTCTTTATATCCTCCAAGTGGTTTGTTAACTTCAGCTTGAATTCCATCTATCACATTATTTAGAGCTTGCCCAATATGGTCAATTGGTCTCACAACTGATGAAGTTACACCCTTAATAAGTCCAGTACAAAATCCTGTAAATCCACTCTTTTGAGCTCCTTCTATTGGTTTTGTGATCACATTACCAAGGCTAAGTATTCCTTGTGTAAGGTTATGTCCAGCTTGCACAAAACCTTGACGGAGGCTTGAAGTTTGCTGAAAATTTTGGCCTTGTATTAATTTTGAAGCATTTCCAAAGGAATTTGCTGAATATATTGAAGAGCTGTTGTAAAGTAATTCTCTCTGCCTTGAATTTATATATTCCGTGTCTAATGTTAAGTTTGAAAGGAGGTTAGTAATATTTGAATTCACCATAGAGATTGTAGAAAATGCCATATTTAAAGTATTCTTCCCAACTTGTAAAGGTACAAGTGGAATATTTACAAAAGAACTATGTCCTAAAACAGTACCAATTCTCCAAAGTAGTTCTGCCATATAATATTCATAAAAAGCATTTGCAATATTTTGAATAGTACCAATAGAATTCTCCAAATTATGTGATTCTAGCTTAATTGGAGCTCCTCTTAGCTCCAAAGCATTTGAAACTGTTAAAATTCTGAGTCCAATTCTAAACCATTCCGGGATATAATTCAGTTCAGAGAGAGGGATGGAACACCAAACATACAAATTTAAAGCTCCAATTTTTATCTTTTCAATTGAAAATGTCATATTTGGCTCAACTCCTTCTAAAACTTGATCCTTAGATAAAATACTTCTTATGTCCAAAATATATTGCCTGTTTAATGTATATCTACATTCTTCCACAAATTCATTCAAAATCCTATAAATATTAAAGTCAAAATTCAGCTCCAAATCATTAATCTCACAATCAAAGTTGTAAATTATTGTTTCCCATTGAGACTTTGCATTTGAACAGCTCCATTTAACTGTCATAAAAGGATTTATATCTTCTATTGGTTTCTCACTATTTGATCTATTTGCTAAAAGGACATATGGAGCCACTCCATTAGATCCTACTATAATGGAATTATCTAATTCTGTACTGTTACCATCTTCCAAATTTTGGTCTTCTATTTCTGTTGAACCATATAATTTACTTGAATTGTTTACATAAAACTTTGAATTTGATGAAATGTATTGATTGTCAATCTGTACATCACCTATTATAAACTTATAAGTTTCTATAATTCCATTTCTATTCTTTTCCTGTTTCTTAAACTGAATTGTACTTAACTCTAAGTATATTATTTCTGCTTCTCTATTTTCTGAAATTACTGATATTCCCAATTGGGAAATATCCAAAGTAATCTTTCTATAGTATGTATATATGAGTGACCACACGTCATTATTAACAAACTTATTAATTTCATACATTCTTCTTTGGTATAAATCTTCAATATGCATCTTTTCTATATTCAAATTATTTCTTATTTCATTCTTTTTTCTATCATCTTCATTATCATTATTTCTAATTGGTCTGTTGTTATTACGAAGTAGATTTAATAGTAAGGAGGAGTGGTTTCTTGGTGGAAGTATATCTATGTAAAGACCATTATTTCTGGCTGTTATAGAAATAGTAGCTATTGGGTAGTTATTCATTCCATTTCCTTTCTTTGCATCCTTGTTCAAAAAGTATCTAGAATTCAAATATGGATACATTGTACATAGCTTAATTATGTCTGATTCTGGTAATGATAAAATGTACCTCTTTGATTGGTATGGGTTATTTTGGTTATATCTAAAATTCATATCAAATGCCAATATACCAGAAGTTCCATAACTTCCTCCTCCTCCTCCTATTTGATTCTTGGATTCAGAAGCTTCTAGTTTGGGAATAATATACAATCTGCAGTTCCTTGAATTATACACAAAAGGAGATGACCAAGAAATTTTTAGAGGCTTTTTTTCTCCACTATTTATTATGTATCTAATAGTAATGTTATCATTTAGATCAGAAAACATACTACCAGTATTTGTCCCAATAGTTAAAAGTCCTGGTGAAAAATGGTTTCCTCCTGATGATAACAAAGAAAGTTTTCTTTTCTTCTTTCTTTCTTCAAAATTATGCTCAAAATGGTAAGTCTCAATATAAATCCTGGATAAATAATCACAATAATTGGTAAAAATAACTCCATCCCATTTATTATTCATAGAAAAGTCCTTCATTATTTTTAAAATAAATAAACCATTTGATGCTATAATCTCAATACAGTAAGTCTTTGGATTCACAATTATTCCGTCTTGAATTTGGTTTCCAAACATTTTTGGTATATGCATATAAAATATTCCGTTACTTTCTGATGAAATTAGTATGGGTTGAGACCACTTTGGGTTCTTAACTATAGTATTTAATTTATCCTCTCTTTCTTGGTTTACTTCTGATACATATCTACTTAGAAATAAAAGAATACTTTGGTCCTTGATCATACTTTTATTATTTTCTGAGTTGCTTGAGTTACTTGATTCTATACCTCCTGATCCTGACGATAACGGTATTATTCCTGACCCAGACTTTGATTTTGAAGCTTGTAAGCTACTGAATTGATTTGAATTAGAGTTAAATGATAAAGAATTGATTGGATTTTCTATTCTAATTGAAGTAACAAAGTCATTCTTGTTTGGACCTAAATGTTTCCTTAGTTCCATATTGGTATAATTAGAGGTGTTCTTTTCCATTGAATTAAAGAGAATATTTGGATCTATTTGGGATATGGAATCAGCCTTGTCAAGATTATCAGAACCTGAAGAGAACATAAATGAACTCCAAATAAACTGATCTTCTGTCTTGTTCTGAACAATAATGTGAGGGGAAATGGTAATGACTTTGCTAGAGCAAGAAAAATCATTATAGTAAAACAAAAGACTACTTTTAACTGTGAAAAAGTAGACCTTTCCTTCATTTACTATGGGAAATGAGTATGTACCATTAATTGGAGGAATTTCTAGTAATCCTATATTGGAACTACAATCATCATAATTTTTAATTCCTCCACTATTGTAAATATTTGTCTCACTGCTGTTTATTACCTCAAGAATTTCCTTTTCCTCCTTAAGGTATATCTCATTATTAATTCTCTCCCCAAGATTTCCATATTTTTCTTTTAAATTATCATATGAATTAAAATATATCTTTAGATAATTGTGTCTATTATTTAAAAGAAAGATCTTTTCTTCATCCTCAAGCTTATTTTTCATCAACTGTTTACTATTTAAGTTTGAAGAAGAAATAGAAGAAGTATTCTTCCCTCCTGATATCATTTTTTCATCTTGCTCATCTTCATTTTGACAGTTTAAACTTTTAGATTTACTTAAAAAGAAAATACCAGATTTTGTGTTTATATAAGGAAAAGGTGAATTCTCAAAAATAGGTACCACATTATGATTGGTCTTGTTAATAAACCAAGTGCTTATACTTAAAGCAATAATGTTATTTTGCATTTTACCAAAAAGAGACCCAAATTGGCTTTTAACTGACAAATTTCTATTGGTTTTGTCGATTATAGTACATTTTAAATCAATTAAAGAGTTATTATTACAATATAAAGTAAAAGGAGTCTCAGTTTCTGACATATTCAAGTCCAAAGGAGATGACCATTGTGTGAATAATAAGTGTTCAGTTCTACCAGATTCTGAATTAAACTCAAACTCATTTAAACTGTTAGTTTCTAACATTATTCTGACTTTGTACTGTAATTTCATTTCATTAGAAAGTTGGTATATATTATAATGATGCATTGGTTTGAGCCTAAACAAAACATTTGAGCATTTATGAAGGAGATTCTGATTTAATGATCTAAACTTAATATCCATTATGGCTGGAGATAAGTTAAAGAATGAAAAACTTGGATATAAGAGAATATTTCTAATTGGAATATTCCCTGGAAATAAAGATTGATAAGTTTGAATATATGACTGGAAATAAATTGCATTCTCTTTAAAGTGACTTTCAGATTTCTTATTATTCTTAAAATCTGGATATAAGTTACAAAAATGGGTTTGAGAAAGATTCAGATTTTTATTGGATACTAAAGGAGAATGAGTCCATCCTCTAGATTGAAGATATGAAAGATCCATCATATTATTACTTGGATTTGTAAATCTGCTTATTAAATTATTCCAAAAAGAATAGTATAAGTCAAGAATAAACTCTCCATTAGAAGTTTTGAAAATCTTCAAAAGTTCATATGTAATTTGGTGAAATTCTTCATTGAGTATATTTTCATCATTGTAATTATTCATTAATTTTGAATATTTTAGAAAGATCTCTTTATCAAAGAGCATCTGGTCAATATCATTGTCATTATTATATTGAGAATGGATATTATATATCTCCAAAAATCCAATAATGCATGGCCTAAAAATAACTTTACAGTAATTATTTAGTAGAGCAATTTGTGGAACTGACATCATATAATCATTAGGCAGAAAATAAGAGTAATAGAATCTTTTCTGTTTAAGTCTTTGGTTTAAATTATCATTTTTATGTTCAAAAATGTCTGTTGTATCATTTTCTCCATTATATATTTGATGCATAGAGTTTAATATTGTATTAATAATGTCTGTATTATTCAGCCATAAAGGTATCGACTTTGTTTCATTGTAACTTAAGTGATTATCTGTAACATATTCTGAATTTTCTTTTAACTTTTTAGCTTCTTCTTGTTGGAGAAAATCTTGCTCTTTTGAAAAACTATTAACATTTTTATACTTAGATTGATTATTAGGTACCTCTTGATTTAATATTAAATTTGTTAATTCTTTCTCTACTGATACATTAGAAATATCAAATAATTGTATTGGAATATTGTTTTCATTTAAAAAGCAAACTTCTAAGGGAATTCCTGTCTTATTTACAATTCTATTATTAGAAATAAGGCAAAATAATTTCTCCTGAGAATTGATTGGTATTACTTCTCCTATAATATTTTTGTATACGTAATTTGGATTATTAATCTTTTCTTTTGAAATAAACTTTTTTGAAGATCCTCCTATTGCACTTTTTCCAATTCCAGCTTTCTTTAAAAGTTTTTTTTCAAGATTCTTTTTAATTCCATTTTGGAAAGACTTGATTGATGATCTAGAGAAAGATTTTGAGATTGATTTAGTGAAGGATTTGTTTAGAGAGGGTGTAAATATTGCCGATGAAGCTTGGTGAATTGGATCTATTTCATTAGATCTTGCCAAAGTTCTTTCAAATTCCTCATTTTCCAAACCAGGTGCTTCTTCTTCTCCTAACATGTAAGAATCAAGTTTTAGATCAGAAAATAATCTGGCATAAGTTTCACTATCTTTAGAGATTTTGCCTTTAAGATAGTATAAATTATGGAATGGAATAATAGTATCGATACCTGCACTTGAGACAATATTATTTTGAAAATGTGTAAAACTAAGACCACTAGGAAGAGGTCCAAGTACTTTATTACATATATCATCATGATTCTCCAAATCTTTATAGTATTTAAGAACATTTTGAGCGAGATTATAAGACTTATATACTGTCAAGACTCGAATAATAAATTCCAGATCTAAATTCTTGAATTCTCTCTTAATTCTTAATACATCAATATCAATTGGAGCTGAGAATATGCAAAAGAGTTCATTAGGAAGAGAAACTTTAAGAAGTGGAATTTGGGAGTTACAATTGTTGATGTAATTGATGGAAATGGAAGAGTTAGCAGAAAAAGGTTGATATTTGACTTGGTTCTGATTTTGGTCATGAGAAGAAGCAATATCTATATTTGAATCAAGCTTAAACTTAATATCATCCAAATTGTTACAAGGAGACAAGATGAAAAGTTGTTCAAAGTAAAACTCTCTTTCATTTTCTTCTAGTTTCTTTCCCTTGAGATTAAAACAGTAATATGGGAAGCCAGTTAGATTAATATATTTGATACATGTCTTAAAAGAGTCAGCTTTTGTACCTTCTAAATAAATATCACTGAAGTTTTCAAGGTCAGATTCTTGTATCATAGGTTTTGAAAGGCTTGATAACTCAATTACTGGTTTATTACGATAACTAGAAGTGATTTTAGGTTTTTCATTAAAACTTCTTAAATCAGAATAATCCTTGTATGAACTTTTGTGAGAATTGTATGTGAAATTTGAATCTTGTTCATCTTTAAAACTAGAATAATAGTTAAAATATGACATTAAAGCATGTAGAATGCTTGGTTTTATATTGATTAAAACAGTTTTTGAGAAAGTCAAGTGAAGATACTTTCTATGTGACTTCTTGAAAGGTTTAACATATGGATCATAAAGAATTAAATGATCATAAAAATAATATACAGAAAATAGGCATCTTTCCAAAATTGGTTCCAAAATCTGATTATTTATATCCAATATACTTATCTTTATATTAGCATCCTTAATTGTATGATTGGTTTTTATTGGTATGATTTCAATTCTCCATTCAGGTATTGACATTTCTAGATTTAATATTGGAAGATATCCAAACTCATTTTCAAAATTATAATCATGATCATCATTCTTTCTATTACTTTTTTCCACGTTTCCTCTATTTTCATTATGATCACTTATTAAGTTAATAGAAAAATTGTCTAAGCTTACTTTTAAATCATAAATTCTTCTAATTGGAGGAGGACCCAAAGTTTTGATTCTAGATTTATTTTCCTCTAGGTCATCTTCAGATTCTTGTTTAATTAGCCCCCCATCGTCTTTGTCAGGTATCGAGTCACTTTTTAAAGTAGAAGTATATAGAGGAGAAATACTTGGACCATCAGAAAAGAGATTCTTTGCAATATCTAATAAAATTGATGAAAGAATAGGAGAAATTGATATTTTTAAACCATCAATTTTGATTAAGAATAACAATTCACTTAGAGATATTATAGTTGAATAAATTTCGGGTATATCTTTGATGTTACTTAAATACCTACCACTTGTTATTATATTAAAAGATTCTGCAATAATAATTTTTTTTTTGTCTTGAAAAATTCTGGGTATTTCATAAGTTATTGGTAAATATAAATGATTCTGATCAAATTTAAAAATGGGTTTTAATAAACTATTTGAGAAGTTTTTCAAGTTTAATTTTGAGTTTGAACTTTTTAATTCTTCTGTATTGAATTCATCTCTTTGAATCTCTGTAAAGTACACCAAGCTATTTAGTAGATTTAAGTTTCTAATGATTGTTTCGTTATAGTAAGTAGTTATACTACAATCAATATTAGTTTCCCAAATAAGTATTAATTTATCATTTAATTCCTCTATCTTTTCAGCATTGATTTTCTTTTGAGGATGACTGGTAAATCCAAAGATTCCATTTTCTATTTCTAATTTGAATTCAAATTTGAATACTGATTTTTCATTAATCTTGTTTAAAAGTAGCTCAAATTCTTGAATTATATTTTTTTTGTTATCTCTGAAAAATCTACTTGTGGAAGATTCCAATGCTTTGAAATCCATTTTAAACAAGAAGTTCTCATTCTCTTTTAAATCATTATTTGGATTTTCAAAATGACCAAAATTACCAGAATTTTTGAATATTTTGGGATCTTTAGGATCGTTAGAATCATAGGAATTACATTTTCTAATCTCTTGGTTTCTTTGATCTTCGTTTACTACAACTTTAGAAAAGGCTGAAGATCTCCAACTATGAGATAAGTAATAGTAAAAGTCGATAATGCAGTTAAAGCCAAAAAAGACTCTGGGATTGAAAGCTTTGAGTAAAATATGACTACCATATTTATTGGAAATCTGACAGATGAATTGTATTGAACACTTTTCTTGATTAAGCTTTTGATTAACCATATTGAGAGTATCTTTTATTGAATTATTATATATATTTGTATTATTGGCATTTTTATCATTTAATTTTAAAGTTTCATTACATAATACATCTCCTAATGTAAATCCGTGGATTATTCTTCTAAATCTTAAGTTGCTTGTTAAACGAATATCATCAAATTGATACTTTTTGGAAGTTATTGTAATACTTGTAAAGTCATCATTTTCTCCAAAGTGTAATAATCTTGATCTAATTTCACAATCTATTAGTTTCACCAACAATAATGGAAGAGAAGTACTTTCTAGGCCTTCTTTTGAATAGCTTGCATGAGAAAACGAAGTTTCCAAAGACAGTTTGGGTAATCTAACATTAATTAGTATGTTTCTTTTGTTATTTCTTTTTATGTTTGATCTTTCTTCTCCAATTAAAGTAATTTCTTCTTTCTCATCACAATTTTGAATTGTTTCTAAATTAGGCATTTTCAAATTACTACCGGAATTCAAAACCTGAGTAAATGAAGCTCTTTTTTGATCCTTTTGATTGAGAAGATTCTCTGATATTACATTAAGAATAAAAGTAAGTTGTTGACGAGATAGGCTTAGTTCTAAAGGAGACATGCTCACACTTAATAAAGAGATCTCTTTACTAAATTGATTTGAATAATCCAAATTCTTTAAATCACAAAGTATTCTTCCAATACTCATATCTGGAAAACTCTTAGTAGAACCAAATTCAACTAAAGCATTCAAATCTGGTAAAACTCTTCCTTGAATAGCTTCAGATCCTCCTTCCTTTTCAAAAATGTCCAAAATACCCTGATTAATTATCAATATAGTAGTCCAAATCCTCTCATTTGAAGATTCAAAGAATAATCTTTCTTTATTATTCTTATTCTTTTCCTCTTGAATATTGTAAAATTGTTGAATTAAATTGGAGTTATCTACTAATTTATTATATACCTTAATATTTCTTGTAGTAATCTCACAATAAGACTGGGTATCATCAAATAATTCCACATCATACAATATAGTCTTGAATCTTGGGTAGTCTGAGATAGACTTCTCTAATAAAAACAAAGATTCTCTATTATTAACTCTAGATAATATATAGTTTGAAATTTCTGTATTATCTATACTTGAATATTTTGAATTCAAATCTTTTATATTTTTTTTAATTGAATCATTAATAATATGATCATTTTTTAGATCTTCTGTCTCAATAACTCGTCTCTTAGAATCTATGTACATTTCATGTAAAAGATCCTGTAAAGTATCTTTGTATCTTTTTAAAGTTTCATCAAATACATCCATTGGATTCACATAACTTTCAATAATATCAAAATTGTCTTGAAATTCATCTTTTTGATTGAAACTTTGCAAATCATGAGAAATTGGATGGTTTTCTGGCAGCTTTATTACTGAATTATTAATGGATAAGTAATATAAGAAGACTTTTTTTGCTGTCATATCTTTTGCAACCTTGTAAGATTTACTAATAAGAGTATCCAAAATACCATCATTAATATATTCTACAAATTCCAGAACATCTTTAGAATATAATATGTAACATATGGAATCCATATAACATTTTAAGGCTATATTAAGCTCATCTTTGTATTCATCTTGAAAATCATTGACTTTGTAATCTTCAATATAGTTTTCATCCTCAGTATTGCTATTATTTTTAGTATCAAAATTATAATTTTTATTATTATAATTATTATTAGAACTGTTCTTTAAATTATTGTACAAATTAATATACATAAGTAAGAGTGGATTACTTTCATTTGAGTCTTCTGAATCAGGATTGAAGTGTCTAGTTAAGATACATTTATTATTGATAGTAAGTGAACAGTTATTCACTGAGATCTTTATCATTTTGTCTCCAGTACTAAATGTATCCATACAAATACAGATATTATTAACTCCTGCCGTAATGTAAATTTTCTCATCTTTGATCATAGATAAAGATCCACCTTTAATAATATGAGTTATTCTAATTTTTGGACTTTTTTTATAAGAATTAGTTATTATAGACTTATCATCTTTATTTTGGTATCCCTTCTTTTTTGATGTGTCAATATTAAAAGAGAATTCTGGTAACCCAACTTTGTCACTTTCAATATTGAAATTAGATTCATCTAAGTCTGGATCAAATAGACCAGAGAACATCCAATCTTGATAGTAATACTCGTAATCATTGTTTAGGTACTCCGAAGAAGGATCAAAAGAAGAATTTTTATTCATTTTAAAATCACCATTACATTTATGATCACTATCCTTATCTTGATCACGAGAAAGATGATATTCCATTGAAGCATCCTCAGAGAAATCTGTATTAGTGTTTGAACCAGATGCAAAGGATTTTCTATTCTTATTTAAGGAAATTCTGCTTAATGTTGGACTTAAATAGGAGTTACACATTATGGAATCTAAACCACTTTCTTTGCTATTATTGGAATTATGTGATAAAAAATATAAATCATGCAAAAACAGGTAAACTCTTTGAATATGTAAAAAACTAAATCTTGGGGGCATTAGAATCATACAATGAATCCAGCTATTTTGGTTATCCAAGTTAGCTAATATGAATCTTAACTCCTTTTTTAATTCTTGTTCTCCAAAGAGTCTTCCATTAATTTGGAACTCATCTAGTAAACTTTGAGGATATGAATCCTCTTTATCAAATTTATTAAATTCTTCATTATTTATGCCTGACTGAATTAAAAATTCTCTCATATTTATCATAAATTGTAATTTCCCATAGTAATCAAGATCACAAAGTCTAAATGTATTACCATAAATTGAAGTAATTTCATTATCATTCACCAATCCTGCTTCTATGCAAGTATAGTAGAACTTATTCAAATAGTAAATCTTGTCCATAGTTTTTAAGTGAAATTGAGCAATTTCTGAAACTTCTTTTTGGTAAGACTTTACACAGTCTATTAAGCTTAGTATTGTAGGCTTATCCCAATAAAACTCTATTGGAGAGGATACTATTGAAACTTCTAGTAAATCTTCATCAATGTTATTCCCATTTAAAGTAAAGAAGATTTCAAGAGTACTATCATAATCTTCAATTGCATCTTCAAAAGCATTGTCATTATCAAATGATGACTGCTCCAAACAATTGTTATGTTCAGAATTCCTGGAATTTTGGGTTTGAGTTAGGCTTTGAGTCTGAGTCAGGTTCTGGATCTTTTCAGAATGATTCATAGTAACTAGGGATTTTTTGTCCAAGTTCTTGTATATCTCAGAAATATCTGAGATTACTGGATCATATTCAGAAACTGTAAGTAGAAATGGTTTCCTAGTGTATGAAGAATACAGCAAAGCTCTGTATAGATTGATCTTTCCTTGATAAATTGAATCTGTAGAGTCAAAAGATAAGTAACTTGAGATACCCTTAATAGATCCCTGTACTAGATCAGTTTCTTTATCATTTGAAAGAATTGTAAAGCTAAATATGTCAGATTTGATAAAGCATTCAATTTTCATTGTTTTATTCATCAAAAGAAGCACGTTCTTAGCTATTTTTGACTGAACTTCTTTAGGATTTTCCTCCATTCCTTGAATATGATTATTTTGATCGTTCTTAACTAAAACATCTGGCTTTGGTGATTTAGGTAAATCTTTTCTATTTGAAAAGTCTGAATTATTATCTAATATTTTTAATTTCTTAAAAGATTGTCTTGATTGGTCTCCAGTTAAATGATCACTATGCTTAGATCTTGAGAACTTTCTTGTATATAAGGTATCAGGTGGAAGATAATAGTAGCCCATTAACATAGGCAAAGACAATGAATTATAAAAAGATAGAGGGATATGCATCATATACTTGATTGTATCGTCATTTATAGTCAAAATAAACTGTTGTAAGTTGCATTTTATAATGATTGAAAGATTGTCTTTTTCAGAACTGATCTCCTCTTTCTTCTGATTGTAAATGATTGTGTTAAGTAAAACTGGAATAGGATGAAGAATTGTAAACTCTTTATTCAATTTAAAACCATCAATAATAGATTCAGAATCTTCTTTTAATTCATTAATATGAGAATTATCTGGGCTCAAATTTAATATATTAGGTTTTAATTTCTCTAGATCATGACTATCTACCTTTAAATTCTTCTTCAAGTAATTAAGGTACTTAATTTGAGTATTTGAAAATTCCACTGAAATATCCAACTTATTAAGCTCACATATGGTTCTTGTATTAATAAAACAGTTTCCAAGAAATATCTGAATAGAAGAAAGAGAATTTGCTTGGTCTTCAAAGTCACTAGAAATTATGTGAAATATTGGAGAAGATATTTCTATATCAAAATGTATATAATCGGGAAAAGAATTATTTGATGATAAGTATCTTACATTATGACTCTTCTCAAGAAGATTCTCAACAAATTCATCAGAATCTTCAATTTGATTTTGATTCCCAATAACTATTTCTTTATTAATTTGATAAAAGTTTTTCTCTTTACCATGAATATTCTTTGAATATCTTTGGTCACAAAATCTAGAGTCTGAATTCAAAATATCTTCTTTTTCTTTTTGAATCTTTTCTGGAATAATGATTACAGAATTATATAAATAGATCAAAGAATAAATATCAGAAACAAAGTGTGGTGTAATGAAGATCTCTAAAGGACTAACTTTCAACACAAACTTTAGAGAATTTCCTTCATGGCTTACATTGTGGGTAAAGTAGATAAATATTGAAGATGAACTATTCAATTGATTATTTTCAATATAATTACAACTTTTCCCATCTTTTTCATTAGTTCCTGAGTTCTTTGAATCAATTCCTGAAATAGTACGTAATATTGACCCTAAATTATAAATAGAAGGAGTCTTAATTTCTCCTCTTCCACTCTCCATATTATTGGTCGCTTTTTCATTGTCTTTAGCTTTTTTTTCACTAATTATATCACTTCCATGATTGTTATTGAAAAAAAGAATTCTTTTTTTAAAATGATAAAGAGACAAATTATTAATGTAAGTAGAAAAATTCCAATCATAACAATCTTTGTCATTCCTATCAATCACTGAATGTATGTTAAATTGTATATATAATTCGTGAAGCTTTAAAGATAGATATGCTGATTCTATAGAAGGGTTAGGAATAGATTCCATAAACTTTATATTAATGTTTCTATTTGTATTAATATCATTAATATTCATTTGATTGTAGAAATTAGTGGATAAATCCGACTTAATATCACCAAGTATTGGCTTAGTAACATCATCAAAGACTGTTATACCAAAATATGCCAATCCAAAAGTGATTGAAAATTTGGTAGGAGTTTCAATTTTCTCAAAATACTTTTCATTTGTAACAGCTGTCATTATTACATCCATTTCTTCTTCTGTGATCAGTCCATTATTAGAAGATACAGTAAAATCACCTTCAGAATATATACCTCTTTGATGCATCATATAACTCGGGGAGGAAGATATATCTCTTCCCATAGCAGAATCCTTATAAGCATTATTATCACCACCTTTTGTTCCTGTTCCGATAATCTTTCCAATTGCCCATTGTGTCCAGGATGTGTTGTTACCAATACTTTCAGAGTTATTTCTGGCTCCAATAATTAAGTTATTTCCATGAGTTCCTTCTCTGTCTGTCTTAGATATTCCAGAGGCACTATTAACTATCAAATTTCCGTTTTCCATTTGAAGTGATTTTGCATCAGAGGAGATATTTCTTAACTTCTTTCTAGAAGATGCCTCAATAATAATCCTGTTAATAGCTTCTTTTGCTTTGCATCTCCATTTAGTTATATGCCTAACACTTAATACATCATCAAGAATTTGTAGTCTAGATAGTTCCTCTTCATTTAGAGGTTGAACTACAACTCCAAAGAAATTGGCTTCGTTACCTTCATTATTGTATAGCCTAATAGCCTCTAATCTTAACTTTCTTGAGTACAAGGAAATGTACTCATCTTGAGTTGTTGTTTTGAGAGAAACTGGATCTAAATTCACAAGATGAGAATTTTTCATTAAAATTTCACGATACCTTTCTTGTCTCTCATTTAAACTTTGTAAACTAAAAATGATTGGTCTTAGATGGCTTCTTCTTAAAATGATTGTATGCTCAGTTATACTATGTACCTGAAGTATTCCTTTAAGTTCGTTATTTACTGGTGAATGAGAAATATTCAGGTGAAACGTTAAGGGCTTCAAAATATACTCAAGTCTCCAGGCTCCTAAGCTCTTTTGGGAATCATTATCATCATATATTAACAAATACTTTGATTCTAAGGCTTTAATTGTACTTTTGTCATTTAAATTTTTCTCTTGATAAGTCTCAAGTAATTTATTTCTCACGTTCACTATGTTCACCATTTCATAGCTTGGTTTTTCATTTTTCACCTGGCCTTTACCATAATTACGAGTAGGACTATGAGTAGAGTTACGAGTAGGGCTATGAGTAGGGCTATGAGTAGGGCTATGAATAAGGCCATGATTAGGACTATGATTAGGACTATGACTATGAGTATGACTACGAGAGTGATGATGATGTCCAGCACTAAATTGAGAATCCAACTCTTTCAACCCTCTTCCTCTCCTGGAATTAAAGTTGAAAGAGTTTGGAAAGTACTGACCAATATAAATACCAACTTCATTAATCTCAATGATTTTGTAGAGAGCGTTTGGATCATCCAATTTCTGGTTCCCAGAGCTCTGGGAATTTGTATTCCGATTACCAAAAGAATCTGCTGTTACTACAAAACCTGACTTAATCATAACTCCCATAATGATATCACTTCTTGTACTTCTTGAGTGGTTTATAACAAGCTTCTCATCATTTGACTGAAACCCTACCATACAAACGTGGATATCTTGAATCTCCAATTGAATATTTGCAACTATCTTCTTAATTATTCTCCAAAGTAAATTGGTCCCATTTGCTGAATTATTTGTGTCTTCTGAACCTCCTGCTAAAGATTGAGAATCCTTACCACTATTATTATTAGTACCATTATTAAGCTCTTTTCCGTGCTCCTTAGGTAGATTCCCAGTACTTTTCGGAACTTCATTTGGATTATTGCTCGAATTGGATAACTCTCCATTCAAAAAACGCTCGTTTAAACGCTTCTCTTTAAATTGAATCAACTTTTCTTTTGCTTCTCTGAGTTCCTTTCTTAAAGTCTCCTCATCTACATCACCATAATCTTTTGGTCTTACTACAACATGTATTTCTTTGAGCTTTATTACCAAAGGCTTGTAACCTAAGGAAGTCCAAGGTATAGTAATAGAAACATGACCAATTTGACCAGAAACTATTGATAATGGAAGATGTAAAATATCACCAAGATTTTCTTTCAGTTTTAAATTCTCCAATACCAAATTCCCTGATAATACTCCAAGTCTTAAATTCTCACGACTCAAGTTATATACATATGGTTCCAAATACCTTCCAAGCAGTCTCTGTAGTATAGTTTCCAACATTTCTCAAACTTAATCTTTATATACCACATATATATATATTTTCATGTGCTCCAATATAATTATATAATATATAAATTAATTATTACTTATATTAGCCTATTTTTTTTACCATATCATTTGCAATGTACTCTTCTCAACCTTAAAAGAATAAAGAAAATATATTTTTTCTTCAATTAATTCTTCAAATTGGATTGAAATTTACAAGCTTTGATTTAAGTCTTGCTGGAAATTTATAAACTTTATAGCTTTGTTATTAAATTAATAATATTGTTTAAAACTGAGAAAAATATTAAAAACGAAATAATATATAACTTTCTTCAAAATCTACATTCCTTATATAATTGAACATATAGTTAATTGTGTTTACGTCAAATATTTAAACAAATACTCAAATTTTGTTTATTTTTATTTGTTTTTTTATTAAAAAATATTTCACTTTTAATTTGAATTTTTAGTCAAATTTAACTATTAATTTTAAAAAATCCCCTCACATTAATTTTCCCCTCTGGATATACAAAATTATTTTATACCGGCATTTAAATGTGTGCATGCAAAATTTTATATGAAAAAAAAAAAATCAATAAAGTATGACCAAAAATTTCTACTCAAAAAAAGAATATTAGAAATAATAATTATTACACCAAAATTAAACAGAAACTAACTAAACGATAAATTCTAATGAAAATACTTTTAAAAGCCACGTTTATTAAACATCTTATAAAATAATTACTCATTTATTAGCAGTAAAACCCTAAATATTTCAAATTAAAATGAATAAGGGGATTGTACTATTTTTGTTAGAATCACTTATTGACCAATAAAAATCCATGATTCCCACTTTTATTATTTCAACAATATAAATTTTAGTTTATGTATTCAAAAATAGAATTTTGCGAAAATATTTTGTTATTATCAGAGTTATTTTCATTATATGATAGAATATTCTGAGAAATTTCACTACAATTACAATCTTGATTTACATGTTTACATATAAATCTTATAAAATCGCGTTTTATCAGCTTAATTATAGCCAGATCAATTGTTGAAACTGTTGGAATATTACCGCCAGAAAGGCTCCAAGTTTTTTGTATGAAATCCAAAATTTCATCATAACTTTTATGTTTTGACTTTTTTAAGAGTCTAACAATAATGGATTCTAATTTACATACAATGTCAATCATACCGGAAATATAACCATTTAATAGTTGTCCATTAATGGAGTGTCCCATATAAATAAGTGATGAGGAGGAAGAAGAGGAAATTGAGAAATCTGAACAAGTTGAAGAGATTTTTGCTTTAGTGTCATTATATGTTGAATTATCACAACTGTGAAAGTTTGAAATACATTTCTTTTTTTTAGGGTTTTCATCAGAATCTGATTTTGAATCAAAAACATGTTTATTAGTTTTTAAATTGTGATCACTATTCACAGTTTTACCATTTTTCAAAACATTAGAAACATCAAATTGGTTGAGAAGAATTCTCAAAGAATTTTCATTGTCAATAATAACACTTCTAAATGTATTACTATTTTGGTTTTCTAATAAATCTCTAGCACTCCTAAGTATCATTGATTGATTAATGTTTTCTACCCTGTAGGATTCATTGAACAAAATGCCAAAGTTATCTCTGTATATAAAACTGCTAGTATTAAACTGGCAATCAATATAATCACAATGATCATTAAATTCCTGGCAATAAGTAACAATATTATTATTATCACTATTTGTATTGCAATGAATAGAAAAAAATAAATCATCAGATCCAATCATGTTTGACATAGAGTTAAAGTAATCCTCGTATTTATCATCATCCAAAATAATATCTAAGTTCCAAGGATACTTAATTTGATAGATGTTCTTAAATGAATTATCAAAATTGGGAGTTTGAAGATATTCATGATAATTAATATGATCGAATTTTTCAAATAATTCATTAAAATTGATGGACTTTAAATAAAAATCATAACTACATCCTCTTTGTAAAAATAATTCCTTAGAGAGTATTTTAGGACAATACTGAATTTTCCTTCTAAATACTCCAAAGTCCTCATAATTTTCCATTACTATTTCAACAAGAATAAAGGATGTATCCTTATTTAGCCAGGAGTTCCAATTAATAATTTTTTCTCTTGTAATTTCAACCTCCATTTTAATATGATCATTATTTTCTATAATTTTAACTAATTTTTGACTAGGAAGAGACAAACTTAATAGAATTCTTGCAACCTCAAACATTGGCAAGCAAGTCCGATTAACTAATTCTCCCAAAGTAATTTCTTGGCCTACTTTCAATTCTCCCATTCTTAGCAAAATTATTGAAGCTGATAAAGAAGAAATTATACTAAAGTTAAGTAATTCACCAATTAACTCCTTTTCCTTATCAACTAAAACTTTTGCCTTAAATCCTTTAGCTTCTAAAACTGCAAATCCATTTTCCCACAGCCAATTAATCTTTCTATGAGGATATTCTTTTTTATATTCCAATTCAAATTTCTTCATTTCTTTTTTTATCTTATCTGGTATATTAACCTCCATGTAATGCTTATTATTACTGTAAGAAAAAAACTCCATAGAACTGTATTTCTGATCAATATCATTACCCAAAGGAAATTTACTCATTAATACTGGAGTTGCCACATAATTGCTCATTTTTCTCCAATTAAAATTACTTGTTAAAAATACTTGAAATTCATTTTCTATATTCTTTCTGGAAAACATAGATCTCAAAAAATCTTCCAGTAGTGATTTTAAACTATTCAAAGATACATTCATTGAATTCCCAACTATGCTGTCATCATCCAAATATGATTTGTTCGCTCCCTCTCTCACATAACCTTCCATATTTAATTTCCCTGGAAAACTATCTATAAAACAAGTTCTGTCATTTTCTATAGACATAAGTAACTCACTAATTCCTATTTCACCACCCAAGTAATCAAAGTCACTATCCCCTTCCTTATTCTTCTCTAAACAAAGTAACACAAAATATTCCAAACATACTTGTAAGCCAATGCATGCACTTTCCCGCATATCTGTCAAATTGTGGTTGGCGCCCAAAATATTAATATTAAGTAATCTTTTGCATAATCTATCTTTGTATAATGAAATTATAATTTCAAAGTTTGGAAGCAACTTTATAAGGAATATACTAGTGATTATATTGTTAATAAGAATGTTGCAAATTTTTGAAAAATGTCTCGATTCAAGGATTCTCTCAATAATTGACATTGCAATAGAGATGACCTCGTCAATTACAGGTAACTCCTGGTAATTCAGGTATCTACTAACAAAGAATTTATTAAACCAATCAAAGACAAACTTTGAAAACACTTTTAGAGTTGAATTTTTGTTTAAAGATTTTTCTTGGGAACATGTTGGAAACCCACCAGTGGAATCTCGGTTAAGATTTACAAGTTTTTCATTTTTGAAAGAAGAAAAAATGCCGTGAGCTTGAATAATCCTGTTGTCAATAAAAGAAGTTATCCACACAGAAAGCATGAAAAGAACAAGACTATGGTTATTTGGTGAAATTGAATTTTGGAGATGTAAGATAAGACCATCATAAAAAGCTCTATTAATAATTTTCTTTAATACTTGGTCATTTTCAAATGAAATTTTAATAAATCTTCTGTATCTTTTTAAAAGTGATAGTATTATCTGAATACTAAGAAATCTATCACTCATTCTTATTGAATTATTTTTCTCTCCTTTTAAAATATCATCATTTTCTATCTTCATTACCTTTGTAATATCTTCTATTATTGATTCATATATTACATAGGCCAAATATAAAAAACAAGATTGTCTAGATGAACTAGCTGAAATTGATTTATTGCTTGAATTACTTGAATTATTTGTATTAGCTCCAATTGAACTTGATAACTTTGAAATATCTATATGAAGGCTCCCTATTGGAAATTCTAACTTTTTATGGTGGCTACATATCTCAGATTTTATTAAGATCTTATTCAAAACATTATGTGAGTTTGATCTCAAAGTATCCTTGAGAAATAATAAATAAATTGATCTCAAAGCACAGTAATTATCGTTGTTAATGTAAGATCTAATACTTCCTTTGAATAAAGAACTAAAATTCAAGGCCATATCATTTTTATTTAATGATTCTTCTTCCTTAGTACTAACCTCTCTTTTACTCAAAAACAAAATACCACAAATGCTTTGTTTATATGAATCCAAAAGCTTTCTTGATAGAAAGTAAAATAATACACTTTCCAATAGTTTAAAGAAACCCGTATGTGATCTTTTAGGAAATATTTTGACAACTCTTTTTTCCTCTTCTGATAAAATACAATTAATTAACATACAGCTTTGCTTTAAATCTAAAAATCCAAATAAACCTTCAAGCCTATTATAATAATAGTATAAAGTTCCCCTTAAAAATGGCTCCTCTATTGTATTTTTATACACTGTTTGATCGATTTCTTCCTGTGGAAACCAAAATAATCCAGAAACCTTACAACTTTTATTCAAGCCTAAAAGGCTTTCTTCTAAATCTTTATATGGATCTATGGTTCTAGAGGTTCGATCTAAATCTGTAACTTTCTTTTCAATTTTAATGTTTTGAGTCCCTTTAATACAAATCCTTGAATTCAAAAAGTGAGATGAAAACGAGGAAGAGGAGGAAGATGAGGAGGAGGAAGAAGAAGAAGAAGAAGAATTATTCGATGAACCATTTTTAAACTTGGGAATGAAGTCCTCATTAACAGTTGATGTGTTAGTTCTCCTTAGGGAAATCTTATTATTTGAGTTACTACTCATAATCAAAATAATATTGTTAATTACATTAAAAAGAATCCTATTATAGTTCTTACCAGGAAACTGATCTGCCATTATACTGCTGTTAATAATATCAGTTTCAATAGAAAAATGGTTCTCCTTTCTACACTTAAGCAAAGATTTCCTTTCAAATCTTCTAAAAGTTCCTGATAAAATCTCTTCAGCATCATCGGCCTCATCCATTTCTATTATCTCTTGCTCAGTATTCACAATCCTCTCAATACAATTGAATAAATTTCTGTCACTCATTCCTGTTGAAAATAAATTTCTGAGACAAGCCTGAATAAAGAAATCTCTCTCAACTGTAATAATATTTAATAGGGCAGCCGTGAATGATGAAGAAAGAGGAAAGAATACACACTTATAAAAGTACAACAAAGCTGTGATGTTCAGATCTGGAGAATTGGAGAATATGTGGCAGCTATTTCTGTCTAAATAACCAAAGATCCGAATTAGAAAGTGAGACAGTACACTAAATTTTGCAAACTCTTCCTCTAGAACCTTTAGTAAAAGTAAACTTGGTAACGTTCCTCCCAATAAACCTGCATATAGAGAAAGGATACCATCAGAAGAGCTTGAATGGTTATTATCAGAATTAATTTCAACCTTTTCTGAGCCATTTGAAGATTTACTGAATAGATCAGAAAAAAATTTATCATATGTTTTATTATTGAAAAAATCTTTCAAGGTACTATTCCATAGTAGGAATATATTCGCATGTATAAGTATCCTAGGAGCTATTATATCAGTGCAAAAATGTTTTAGAATGTTTCTACAATATATATAGATTTGCATTGAATTATTCTGAGGCTCTGAAACATGAATTATACTTGTATATGCATCCATTAATATTTTATTTGATAAAAATGAGGGCATTACATACTTAATCATTACATGATCGCTTTGGTTATCTGTTACCTGTTTCCCAAACAAAGCTGTCCATACATTTTCATTATTTATACCTCCAATCCTATAAATATTCAACATTTGTTTTATAGAAATCACTATCTTGAAGTTCCTATCCTCTTTTTGGAAATCTTTACTTTTTTCTCTAGTTTTGACATTCTGATTTAAACTATCGTCTTGGTGATATTTAATTATATTATTATCACAATTTTGTTCTCTATCCTCTTCATTTGCCTTTAAGTAATCATTACTTAAACCGTATTTAAGCTGATTTAATAACTCATGATTAAAAATGTTTGAAAAGTGAGAATTCACTTTAGAATTAAATATTCCAGATCCACTACTCATTACCATATCGAACCAGAAATTATTCCCAAGGTTTCGAATCTCACTTTCTATGTTTTTATCCACTCCAAATACAGATTTAACATATTCGTTTTCACTATGTTCTAATATTGCCTCCAGGGAAGATAATGGAAGTGGAGTAAAACCCGAAGGAATGGACTTTAAAAAGTATATCAAAGGCTTTAAACAATTTTTTTCAATTTCGTGGAGAATATCACTAATATCCTTACTGATTTTGCTAACTTCTATATTTTTTGCAAATTTCTCCTCCCATTCTTCCTCATACTTATCTTTGGGCATCTTAAATAGCTTTCTTATACCTATGAATTCTTGACTTGCTATATAATTGTTCTTTATCACATATTATAAAAATAATTTCATCCAAGAATTACGTCGAATTCTTTGACATTTGGTTAAACCTTCCTGCCTCTTTATCAACATTTAATGTATAAATATATATATAAGAGCTTTTGCTCTTGCCAATTTTGCAAAGCTGATGCTCGCTCTCAACTCTTTAAAATTAAAACATGAAAATTAGCCAGTTAAAAACTTTTAGTTCGCCAAGAAATCATTCCTCTGATCTAGGATTAATTAGTCATTAAAGTGGTCAGTCCTTCCTTTACCAAAGACCGTATATGTTTCCTTATCTTTCTATAAACAATTCTGATATAGCTGACTCAAGAAATCCTTTAAGAACGTTATCACACAAGAGTAAAAATCAAAAATACGTATATTTATAGTTTATATATTTTCTTTTCTTTCACCTCACTTAACTTTTAATTGATTCCTTTTTATTACTAAACCTCTTATTTCCCTTTAGTCGAAATTCAACCCTTAAATGAGCGGGAAAATTTTGGCGCCGTTTCTTAAAAAAAAAAATGAGACTAATACAAGAATATGCAAAAATAAAACTGTTCTTTGTTGAATAAGTGTAGGGAAGAACGGATTAGAAAAAGAAGGTGTGAAAAAAATTAGGAACTAAGAAATTTAATAACGATACCTAGACATACACAATATTTGACACGATAAATGGCCTGTATTAGAAGAGCCACAATTGATGATGTGTTCACAATACAACAGAACAATTTATACTGCTTACCAGAGAACTACCAAATTAAATACTACTATTATCACTCAATGACTTGGCCACAACTTTTGGATATAGTAACAGATTCGAACGACCAGAACAAATCTGTAGGGTATGTTCTTGGGAAAATTGAAGATGATTCTAATCCTTTACATGGTCATATTACATCAATAGCCGTTTTAAGAACACACAGAGGATTTGGTGTGGCAAAGAAGCTTCTTAAGCAAAGCCATCATGGAATGCAGAGTATATATAAAGTTCCGTATTGTAGTTTACACGTAAGGGTTTCCAATTATACTGCAAAGAACTTGTATCAAAAAGCATTAAATTATAAGGTAGATAGTATAGAAGCCAAGTATTATGCTGATGGTGAAGACGCATATTTCATGAAATTTTACTTTGATAATTCAAAGTAGTGAATAAACTATTACAATTAGATATCTTGATTTGATAAATCAAATCTAATTTATTCAAAATGATTGATTTAGATATCTAAAATAGATACTAGAATAATAATAGTATTATAAAAGCGGTGATTAATGTTTATATTATGGACAGTTTTCTTTGAAAAGAATTGATATATATATATATATATATATCAATCATTGAGATTCATTACTATTAGCATTGGGATTATCCAAAGTATCTTTTTCTGTATCATTTTGATTTAAGATTGAGATTTGATTAAACTGATTATCTGTAGGGTTGTTACTGAGACTTTCAATATTTTCATCTATTAGATTAATGTTTAGATTTATATTTTCATTCTCATTATTTTCAGTGATACCTGTGAAAGTATTGCTTTCAGCATTACTCTTTATTTGTGGGATTGTCTTTGAATCGATAAGCTGGTGGAAAGTCATTGATAAGTCACTATTCCTCCATTCCCAAAGCTCACATTCTTTTGATTTAAAATCAGAAATCAATTCGGTTCTGTTACTACTAATCTGAAGTATTTTACCTATTAGAAAAAATAGAAAATTAATTGAATGTCTACAATTAAAAAAAAAAGAAACTAAACTTACCTCCATTAGAGAATGGATTCCAAAAATTAAGTTCTGAGAAAATTTCAATTGGTTCTGAAAAGGACTTTCTAAAAATTTGCTGCTGTTTTTTTAATAAAGACTCAGTTTCTCCCAAAGATTTCTGAATTAAATGGGAGAAAAACTTTGAAGCAAAATTCTGTTCTTGAACAAAAACTTTATCAATATTATCATTCGGTTTATTTGGAAAAGTATGGAATAACCAAATAATATCTTCTATATGACATACTAATCTGGCATCACTACAATCATATACAAAGGTTTTACAGGCAACATCGTCGTTTTGGCATACTACTCCTTTTGGAGTGTTTCTTAATGAAAACTTGGGAGCTTGAAATATTTCTTTTAAAAAATACAAAAACTTAATGTTAAAAGAAAATAAAATAAAAGGAATTTTTTAATTAACTTACCAGAAATAAAAGAATTACTATTAATTTCGTACCCTTTCTTTAATCCTTCAGTCCATTTAAAACCACTATTAATAAAGTAACCATATACATTAGGATTATATGAGGATAGCTTTTTAATAAACATCCTTGCTGGACACTAAAAGAAAATAAGTTTGATTACCTTATTTAATCAAAAACTTACACTATAGATAAAATCTCCAATCATTCTTGCATATGCTAAAGCTACTGGATCGTCAATTATACCATTCCACTTTTCATCATCTCTATTTTTTCCAACCTGAAATAAGTTAAACCCAGAGCTAGAAACAATCTGGTTATTTTCTTTATCTCCACTCTTAATAATATCATTTTTTGACTCAGTCATACTTTCACTAGCTTCTTTTTGAATTTCAAGTGATTTTGTTTCTAGGTTAGATGATATTGTTTCATTATTATCGTTGGAAGAATAATCACTTGTTATTTTGGTTATGTTTTGCCATTCAAAGTTATTATCAGTATTATCGTAACTAGAAGCTACTGAAACAGAATTTGCAAAGTTATTGTTACTATATATTTTCATAGCCTCTCCTGCTTTTGGACCAAATACTCTTGAAACTAGATACCTGAAAGCAAAGTTGCTGGTTGCAAGACTTCTTGAAATGGCTGGTAAATAGGCAATAAAAGACCTAAAGAATTGAACTCCTTCTGAATTGGTCGTACTGATGATGACATTCATATTTTGAGGAATAGATCCAGATAATGCAAGATTTCTACAAGAATCTTTAATGATAAAACCATCAACTATTGGTGACCATGAATGAAGAGCTTTGGATGGATTAGATCTTACAATCTGTGTTCTAACCTCTTTTTGAATCTCCAATAACTGCTTTGTCGTACAGCTCAATATTGTTGCCATACATTTTTCAGATGCAATATTTTCTGCCATTTCGCCCATAGATTCTGCTTCTTTAAGATTTGTTTCATTTTGAGAAAGAGCTCCAGAGTGGATGATTACACCTGAAAAATACTTATTACTTTCTTTAGTAACTGAATGACATAATACAGATTTAGCTCCTGCACTGTGTCCTGATAAAACAACTCGAGTGGGATCACCTCCAAAGTAAATAATGTACTTGTTAATCCATTCGAGAGCTAGTCTTTGATCAAGAAATCCCATATTTCCAGATGAAAGGTTTTTTGCTCTTAACCACCCAAGAATTCCAATTCTATAATTAATTGTAACAATAATAGCTCCAGATTCTGCAAGCTTTTCTCCAAAGTTAGTTTCGGAATTGGAGGATCCAATTAAGTATAATCCACCGTGGATATAAACATAAACAGGTTTTAACTGGGACATATTAGATTGTACAATTGAAGATATGGAGGATTTTTGTTTATTAAGATTATTCATTAATGTATTATTTACATTTGAAAGCATATTAATTTGTGTATTATTAGAAGAAACATGCTTTGTAACAGTAGAAAACTGGTTAAATATCTCCTCTATTTGAGTAGTTGAGGTGAATATATTTAAGGTTAAGCATGCCTCAGATTGAGTTTCTGGTTCTGTTCCTCTACATAAAAAGGTTTTTTGACTTGTTTGCTGAGTATCTGAACAATCCTGTGGGCAGGCGGAACCTTTATTTGTTGATAAATCATAGCTTTTTGGAATTTTTGATGTTCTATCCTCGTCCATTATTGCAGCTTCAGTAATTGATAATAACTTTGCTGGCTGGAACCGGTTTGCAACTCCATATCGAATATTATAGAATGACGTAATTCCATTGTTTTTTTTCCCTATCAGCTGTATACCTTCAATTTCAATAGATTCAAAAACTTTAATCTTAAAAAAAAATAATATTAGCAACAAATTCGTTATTATTTTAAAATTACTAATCTTGTTCATTTTAAATAGTCTTATTTACATTTACTGTTCATACACATATATATTTTTAAATATATGGGTGTGAATAATAAATATATTGTTTATTATTTGTTTAAAATTATTATCTTGATTTTTTTTGATTATTACATTATTTAAATTATTATCTTCTTTTTATCTAGCTAATTTAGTTTTCTTTTTTAAATTGGTTTTATATTCTTTCTAATTTTTTATATTTTTTTCCATTTTTACAATTTACCCAATTTCGAGATTAATAATTTTAGTCTCAATTTAATTTTTTGTCATTATGTGGAACAGTTTGCAATAATAAATGCAAAATTTGTCATGCAAATTACATGCATGGCGCCTAAATTGTGGGTAATACCGGTATAGGAAATAGGAAAAATAAAAATATTTCTTGGAAATTAAACAGAAATTAAAGATAAAACTAAATTTTGTATTTTTTTTATTTTAATAATGATAAAGTGAATATAAATTGAGTTTAAGTTATTAAAAATGGAAGGCGAACCAATACATTCAAAAATAAGAGACTTAACCAAAACAATTGAAGAAAATCAAGATCTTTTAAGCGACCCACAAAAAAGATCCGAATATGAAGAATATGTAATGAAAGATGATGAGTTATTCGAAAATATTAATGAGTCTGATTACCGTTCATTTTCACTTCTTTGCGAATTTGGATCAGTTAAAGCTCTTATAAATGAAAAAAGATATAGCAAGATATATAGACAATCACAGGGTTCATTGCTGAGAAAAATATTAAAAAATTGGAGGGAAAAATACATGAATAAAAAAGCTCAACAATTTGATAGATTTGAGGAGGAACCCAATCATTTTTTCTCAAATGGAGATTTATTAAGTTATAAGACTGATGATGAGTTTGTAAAGTTGAATTGGAATGGATGGTTTCATGACCATTTTAGAGTAAACATTTTTCCAATCAATAACATTAAATTTAACACATTACAAGGTTTACTAGATGAAAACAGTAATAATGAGCCTCTTACAAAGAGGGTTAGAATTGTAAACAATAAGACTAAGAATTCAAATTCGAATAAGACTAAAGTTCTTGAAGATGAAAATGTTCATGATACTCAAAATATTAAAATATTACAGGAATTCAAAAGCAAGTTATTGAATAAAATACAAGAAATAGACATAAAAAATCAGGGTATCGAACTCTGGGAACTTGTTTTAGACAAAAACCAGCAATACGGTTTTCCAAATACTTGTTTTAATTTATTCTCATTATTATCTCTTTTAAAAGACTCACTTATTTCAATTACCTCTCCAAATACTGTAATTCAAAACGATTCAAAAGAAGAACAAAAAGTTTTGGTTTTTCCAGGAAGCTCGAATATTTCTTTAGATTTAGAGAAGAATACTGGAATTATTTCTAATTTTACATTTAAGGTCTGGCAAGATCTATGTACAAGATATAATTAACAAAACGATCATTAACTGATTATAACTCAAGTAATACAATTACTACCGATATTAATAGTAATATTTTCACTAATCTTCTACTTCTAACACTACTATTTAAGTAAACATAGTTTTCAATAAGCAAAGACAGGAATGAACAAATTACTCTGCTTTTTTTTAACTTCGAAAGCTTCAATATTAATGATTATTGAATTAAGTATCTGTTCTTATTTTAATCATTAACAAAATATTAATACTATTAATCATGTTCTCTTTTTTCAAAGTAAATGAGATATTTTTACTGATCTGTAAATATGAGCAATGAGATAGATACATCTACATAAAATATTGCAAGTCATTTATTGATAATCCAATAACTCAAAAACTTTTCCAACTTATCAATTGATGTTGGTTGCTCTCCGGAAGTACACAAATATTTTGCTCCATCCACAATTTCTGACACACCATTAATTTGCTTTAGCCCTTGATCATATAATACTCTGACCGGCCCGCCTAAAAGTCTGACGTTCTGACAGGGTAAAAATTAAGGTAATGAAATAGGAATAAAATTAATAACTAAACTCACTCTGTTAATTTCATTAAAAAGCTGGTTCATATTTCTGATATATGGTTTTACATAGTAAATGGTTCCTTTATCATATTTATCTCCATTTTTATAAAGCCAAATAACTTTGGCTTTTTGTAAGAAATCATTACTACAAATACTTGTATATGAATGTTTTTTAATTGGAGAGCCAAGAACTTCATGTTTTCTCTTTGTGCTCTCAGTATATCCGTCCTCTCTGTATATGTATTCTCTCCCTGCTTTTCCTAATCCGTTTCCATCTTTGTCAAACCTGTATCTGTGCATACCAGTGTAAAGTTTAGGATCTAAAAGACGATCAAAGACGTTGCTCTTTGATTCCTCTGGCATTGTATGGAACTTATTAATTAGCCTTGTTTGCTTCTCAGTATCTGAGCTAGGAATAATTTTTGGTGGTTCTTTAAAATCATTGTTAAAATTCTTCTTACTTTTTGAAGAATGCTTTAATTCGAGATTTCTTTTTTCTTTACTTTCCAAGCTCTTTGAATGCCAAATTAAGATATCTTCTTCTTCAGGAAGGTATGTTATTTGCTCAAGCTTTGTGCTATTTAAATTTCTTGTTTGCATTTTCAATTGTTATTTCTTCTAAACAATTAATCAATTACAAATTAATAAAAATAGATTTTTAAATACCATAAAATAAACCATAATAAAGATTTATTATGGTTTATTCAGATGATTTTATTCAATTAACAGCAATTACTTTTTATTTTTAGTTTTTATTTTTAATTTACAATTTTAAATAATAAAATAATTTTATTATTAAGATATATTCACACGCACACATTTATATTTAAATTTGCATGCCAGAAAAAATAAGCCATGAATAATAGTTAAAATTTCAAAAATAGTCAATTCTACTTATCAAATAAGGGTGCAGTTTTATTAAAATTTAATTTTGAAGATTCTAGAACATTGTTTTTATAATTGATTGATAAAAAACATAAACCTATTCTTGTTTTTTAGATATTCTTTGATTCAAGGAATAACTGATAGTGCTGCCAATAAATTATTTATTTATTATTTAATATACTAATAATTGTTAATCTTTAGTAATATTTGCTATTTTTTTCTAATAAATTTTTTTTTTCAGATTTGGATACTTTTAAGGTACCTGAAAAAAAAAAATGTTTTATATGAATACAATTATAAATAAATTATCAGAATTCACTTAAAATAAATTTTAACTAAAAATTCAAGGCATTTAAAACTCTGAGTAAACTTTATAAATAGCTTTTTTTTATATTTTTGATCATAAAAAAATTATTATTTTTTAACCATTCAAATTGAATGCATGTAAACATACAAAAATTACAAAGCGGGACTATATTTTTGGCGCACGCGGTTCTTTTAATGCAAAGACGGCGCCAAATAATTTAAGTAAAATAAAAAGGAACTTGAGACAAGCAAAGGTAAGGAAAAAGAGTAGCGCCTAAATGAGTACCAGGCAAAAAAAAAAAGGTTAGATTACAAGAATTGAATAAAACACTAACTTTAGGACAATTTTTTTGTAGTTGAGAAGCTGGTTTAATATATTTAACAATGAAAGGAAAGTGCATCAAAAAGAACGATTCACCACTTACACAATTAGAAAAGGATGTCGAGAGATGCTTCCAAGACATCGAATCATCAAGTAATGACGAGGAGTTGAAAGCAATAGTTCAATCAGTAGTTTTCTCAACTGCAAAGGAAATTGATTGTGGTTCAAGAAAGGCAGTTGCAGTATTCGTTCCATATGCAATCTTCATGGCATATGTACGTAAGATTCAAGGTCGTATCATTGCTGAATTGGAGAAAAAACTTAAATGCCCAGTTGTTATGATTGGCCAGAGATCCATCTTACCAAGGAACTATCGTAAATATGGTTTTAAGTCAAGACCAAGATCAAGAACCCTCACTGCTGTGCATGATGCATTATTGGAGGATATTTGCGGACCAAGCGATATTGTTGGTAAGCGTCTTAGATACCGTGTCGATGGCAGCACTTTATTAAAAGTAATCCTCGACCCTAAAGATAAGGATAAGGATATTGCCGATAAGGTTGATGTTTTTGGTGCAGTCTACAAAAGACTCACTAACAAGGAAGCTGAATTCTCCTTCCCAGCTACAAACTACTATCCAGGTAGATTAGGAATTATAGCTTAATTATCAAGAAGCTTGGTACTTTAGAATTTTAGTTACTAAAAAGAGGAAAACATTTTCACACATAATCAATTTAGTCTTTGGAAGACTGATAATTTTATTATTACTAGTTTTATTCTACTTTTATTTTTCGCCTGCATCTATTCTATGTTTCTTGCCACTAGATGTTCCTAATTGTTCTACTGCGTCTGATTCGTTCTTATTTTTATTACTTTTAGTACTTTTATTGTTTGTATCCAAGTATAGATCTTCTTTTATATCTTCATTATTTTGATTTTCGCATTCATCTTGACTACTTTCATTTGAATCGTCATTTTCTTTACTTAAATAACTTGTCAATAATTCATTAACTTTAATTGACACATCCTCCAGCTTTTCTGAATTTTTTTCTGTTTCTAAATTTGATATTACCTCAAATACTTGTCCGTTTATTATAGTCTCAGTCTTTACAGTATTAATCATTTCAGCATATTATCACTTAATTGAGTCTAATTGTTAAGTTAAAAAAAGACAATTAATAATACATCCGTCCAGCAATAAATTGTTGATTTTGTGTATTTTGATTCAAATATCCTCCTTACTAACTTTACAGTTCTTAATTTAAACTTAATAACAATAATACAAATTACCAATCCAAAAATATAATTGAATTTTGCAATTTTTCTTATTAATAATTTGCTACCTACTGGCGCCAAATTTATCCACATTAATTTAATTAATGCATGCAATATAAGGCAGGAAATTGTAAATTCATAATAAAAAACATAATTGTGATAATTTAACAAATAAATAAAACATTAATTAATTATTATAATTTATGCAAATCTATATATTCATATATTCTAGAACAAAAAATTTGATATGGTTTTAAGGTTATTTCTCATTCAAAATTTCATCATATTGAATGTCGTTATTGACATTTTTTGACCATTTAGAACAGAGTTGGTCAAAATTGACAATCTCATTGAAAATCTGTGGGTCTTTTCTATTATTTCCAGCTTCTATACATAATTCAGACTTGTAAATGCATTCAATATTTAGAAAGCTGTTTAGCTGGAAAAGGTATTCATGGTCATTGTTCTTATAATAGCTTCTATATCTCCTATAGTCAAAGTTGTCATATTTCGACTTAAAGAAAAACGGCTTTTTCTCTTCTGGGTCTGATAAATTACAAGAAATACATCCTTTTCTAGGACTAACTGACCTACTCAAACATTCTGGAACAAAGTTTGAAGCTTCTTCTCTTGTCAATTTCCTTATATTTTTTTTGTTTCTTCTTACTCTTTCCTGGAGTTTCTCAGCATCCGAGATTATTTCTTCTTGAATTTTAACTTTTCTTAGTCTTTCATCAATTCTTTTAATATGTTCGTCCATAATTTTCAGAATATCTTTGTTCCTTCGAGTTTTATTAGACGATATTACTTTTCTTTGTTCTTTATCTTGCTCATTACTTATTTCATTAGACTTTGAAAAAATTTCTTTTGGTATTATTTCAGAGTTTGAGTTGTATCCCATAGATTCTTTTCTTTTTGTGATCATATATTTGGATGGAAGCTGCCTTCTCTCCTTTTCTAAGCTCCACAGAAATACATTACCGATACTATTTGAAGCTGCAATTGACAGTATCGATGTATTAATATTACGGTCAAAGCTCCAATACGAAGGAGAGACATTTATATTCAAGTCATGAAGCTGATTATTAATAGAAAGCTCGTCTCCTTTTAGTAAGTGAACTCCCTTAAGTACAAAAAATCCGATGTCATCAGTATTTAAGTTAAGTTTGTCTTGGATTTCACTTTTTTTTGTGTTTAATGATGATTTTATAGTATAAGTTCTCCATTCACCATTTGACAATCCACAAAATATTAGAGGGAAATTTTCGCATAACTCACTATCTATGTTTCTTCCAAATAGTAAAAGAATATAATTTGGTATTACAGATAAAGTAGTAATTCTTAGATAATTATATCTTTCAGATGGTGAAACAAACTCATAGTTTCTGCTTTTGCTGAGGCTTTGAATCTCATTTTTTCCAAAGGAGTAATTCAAATAATTGTTTGTGTTTATATCATTAGATTGATTATCAAAAGGCTTTAAAAAGTTACTAACTTCTTTTTCCAGAATTGGCATGAAAATTAAAGATAAAAGGGTCATACTATCAATTTCTGAACTATTTTGACTTACTCTAAGCTTAAAATCAAAACAAAACAATCCATTTGGACTTTTTGTAGAAGAAACTGCTCTGATTATATATTCTTTGATTTTTGATTGGTCTTTTCCTTCATTTATACAAGTTAAATTCAAGATTCTGAAAAATTCAATCTTGTAATTAGTACAAATCATCTTCCCTCTTTGTTTGATCTCGCTCCTATTGGATTCAAATAGATATAAACAAGAACTAGAATTTTCAGACAGATCATTAATATTCAATTCACCATTCTCATTATTAAGGCAATCCATATCCAAGCTTACATTTTGACTATAATCCTTCTCATCCACCAGCTTCTGAATAATTGTTTTCCTAGTTGTAACCACCCAAATATAGCTAGACTTTAATGGGTAGAATCCAATTCCATTTTCAAGAATTTCAAAGCTAGATCCACAATTTTCCAAAACAAAACTGTTAGAACATATAATATTCAAGGGATTTCCTGTTTTTTCACTCTCTACATTCAGCTCAAACTCCATTCTACTTAATGAAATTAAGCAAAGATGTAATTTTGTCTCTTCATCTTCATCTTTGGAGGCTAATAGTATATATGGATAAACATTATTTATGTTAAAACAAGAAGTTATATTGGTATTTTTACCATTCTCTATTTGATATATCCACAAGGTTTTTCTAATATTTAAAACACTCAGATCAGAGTTTTGACTATTTCCAAGTTTTTTTCGGATCCTTCTAAGCTTACTTCTTATGAACAAAGTCAATATATAATGTAAAGGAATTTTGCAGGATAATAACTTATTATCAGTGTTGACCACTATGACAATATCCTTATATAATGAGTCTAAGGAAGAATCTTCCAAACTATATTTAAGCTCTTCCATACTTTCCTGTTTAATGATACTGTAGATACTTTTAATATTATACTCAACTTTCTCACGTGTATCCACATTTATTATATTAAAACAAGATAGAAACTCATCATCATCTTCCTCACAAAAAATCTTTATAGTGGAATCTTTTGTTGATCCACAAATCAATTTACAGTTTTGATTAATCAGGATTTGCTTCTCAGAGTCATTCAATTTTACCAGATAATTCAACCATTCCTCTCTAATCTTAAAAGGGGATATTGTGCAGATACTGGTCAACTCCTTGGGATCCTCATTTTTAACCAAAATTAAGGCTTCATTACTTTTTTTAGACTTCCAATAATCTAAATTTAACATATTTTGGCTACCTTTTGGTTCATTGAAGTTTTACAATTTTTATTATTTAACAGATTATTTAATAATTAGTAATCCAATTCATTTGAGAGATATTTCTCTTGTTCATAATAACATAATTAATTAGTTACCTCAATTCATAAAAGAAAAGAGCGATTTTTTTTGATTTATTGAAAACTTGGCAACAATTCTCCTTTTTATTATTCAGCTCAATCAATTTTATTATTTACATATTTTCTTTGTTCGCATATTAATATGTGGGGTATCTAAAAAGTTCCCGCCCAATTCATTAAGTAAATAATAATTAGATACAATATAAAAGAAAAAAATAATAAATAGATGATCAAGTATATTTAATATTAGCTTATAACAACAATGTTCTACTTAACAGGAAGGTAGCTAAGTACTTTCTACTAACTTAATAAGTTCCTGGAATTTTGAATTGAGATCCTTTTTCTCGACTGACTTGGCATTAAACTCAGAAGGGTTCCAGAAGCTAGATATAGGAGGAAAACATGGAAGAGAGTTATTTCTGGCCGATATAATGAGATCCAGGTCAATCTTTGAGCAGAAATCTTTGAATTCAGAAATGACTTCTTCTGTATTCAAAGCAGAGCTTTTGGTAGTTTCAATGTCATGGACATGAATAAACTCTGATGTTTTTAGGTTTTGTTGAAGAGATGGTATAACAGAAATTTCTTGAATTTCAGAAGATTCAATCTTATCATTTACAGGTAGCCTTGTATTTGGTTTATTTCTCTTGGTTTCCCACATAACCGAAGGCCTACATTCTCTCCTTCCAAAATGAGGTTCTGTGGTTTGATTAGGACTTGATGATAATAATTGAGATTGTGAATTATCATAGTTATTATTAGAGCTATTACCAGATCCTATGCTATTCTTAGAGTAGTTTCTTGGAGAAACTGGATCAAAAATGAGTTTGTATAGAGAATTGGATGTCTTATTTGTTTGTGAAGCAGTGATTGTACTGCTCTTTACCTTTTCATTTAAGTTTAGTTTATCATGTAATGCAGGCATGGTACCTGATCCTTTACCTTGTACTCCCCCGATATATCTGGATGATGTAATTCTTAAAGATTTATCGGGATGTATCATTTCCTTTTGTAGTTTAAGTTTCTCAATTTGATTGATAGTTTGCTCTAATTCTTGTTGTAACTGATCAATTTTAGCAAGTTTGGATTTTCGGACAATATTATCCAATTCAATATTTTTAAGTTGCATTTCTAACTGTTTGATTTGTGTCTGTAAATTAGTTCTCGTCTCAATTAGGGTTTTACCAGATAAGGAATTAGTTTTTGCTTTCTTTTGCTTTCTCTCAAGAATAAGAGCTATGTCATCATCCCCATACTGGAAGTTATTCAAATCTCTAGCTTTTTTCTGTAATATTCTTGGTAATGACAAAATGTAATCAGGATCATTCGAATAGAACTCCTTAATCATTGCTTTCCATTCAAGTAAATCCTCATTAGTAAAAATATTGTTTGAGATACTTTCAATTCCCCATTCTTTTTTGGATCCTCCTCTTTGTAAAGTCAGTACACATTTGTTTTCGTCACTAATGTGGGAATCAAAAACCTCACATGTCAAGAAAATCTCATTATTTGTGGAAGGATTAATAATTGGTACTTTGACATAACTTCCACACAAATATTCGGTAAATTTTGGGTGTTCTAACATAAATTCTATTCTATCTTTAGTTAAATGTACAGATTTCATTAATTTTAGGTTAATAGATTCAAGTACTTTATCACATCTTTTTAATATTCTTTCTTGATTCTGATTATCGTCATCAAATAAACTACTTCCTTGCATACCAGAGGAGCTTCTTCTAGATCTTTTTTGTATTTTGGTTTGGATTTGGTCATCGTCTTCATAATATTCTTCTAAATCGGAGTCTGAGTGTCTGGCTTTCCTTTTTGATTTACTTTTTTTTTCATTCTTTCTATGTTTAATATCATATTCTCCATAATATTCTTCATCTTCCTCTTCCTCTTCACCATCTATATTGTCACTTTCTTCAGAATTTTTGGTTCGGTATTCCTCCTCACCTTCTTCATCTTCAGACTGTGAAAGTCTCATCCCTTTTATTTTTCTCTGTCTAGCATTACGAAGCTTCATTAATGCAGAATCCTGCTTATTTGAAGGACTCTTCTTGCTTTTATATAATAATTCATACTTTCTTTTAGCCTGAGCTTCATCTTCGTACTCTTTTGCCAATTCTGCTTCACGCTCAAATTCTGGTCTTTCATCGCTTTGTGAGGAATCTGAATCACTCGTCATTTCCAAATTTTCTTCTTCTTCTTCTTCTTCTTCCTCCTCCTCCTCCTCTTCCTCCTCATCCTCATCTTCATCCTCATCTATATCCATATCTTCATTTTCCATTTCTTTCTCAACATTCTTTTTTTCATCGAAATTTTTTAGTACCCTTTTTCTTGACTTTCTCAATAAATCCAGAACTTCGGTATCGTCCACTTTTTTTGAATTATCATCCATCCTTTCCAATCCCTTTTTTATTAATATTCTTTTTTTTTATTATTTTTCTTATTACCTTGATAATTGACAAAAGTTTTGGCGGTAAATATTCTCACAAAAAATTTAATATTGTATAATTAATTTGCACAACCACATAAATTATTATTAAAAAATAATAAATAAAAAAACTTAATTATTAGATTTTTAAATAAATTTTAGAGTAAAGGCATATAATTAAGATTTTGAGTGAGTAAAACAATGAAAGTAACACGAGTTCCGTTTTTTGACAATAAAGGTAAGATAATAAAGGCTAATATAATTTAACATGTAAATTTTACGTGTAAACTAGAATTAATCAAAGATAACTAAATGGCCAATTAATTTATCTCACTATAGGAAGGCTAAAATATACTTGGGAACAGAATCTGGATGAAGTTATTTTATATTTCACAGCAGAAAACTTGTATTTTAGTGAAGAAAAAGTTATGGAATGTACAAAAAAAGTACTCAAAGAAAATTTATGTGTTAAAATAATGTGTAACAGGCTTAAAATACAAAATAAAGCCACCAATTCTGATATCTTTGATGTAAGTTAAAAGATTCAAGATAAAGAGAAAAAAAAGACAAATAAGACTTTTTTTTATATATTAACAAATTTTTTAACTTATTGTAAACTCAATTAAAATTTTTAGAATGATCTTTTCGATACAATTGATACTTCGGAATCACTTTGGTATATTGGTAAGTAAACCTTTTTTTTTACTGATCTGTTATTTTTTACTATTAACTAAATAAATACTATTTGTCATTATATTGTCAATACAACTATGGTTACCATTCTACTTTATCCAGAAAATAACGAACTCATTGTACAGTTATCAAAGATGAGAAAAGGATCTGTTTGGAATTCAGTTATTAAAAGTGATGAAAATTCTATTAGTTATATTGATGTCGTAAGTTTATTTTTTTTTTTATTTAACTGTTTCATATTTACCTCAAAAACTATAATAGGAAAATATGAAAAAAGAAATGATGTTAGAAAGATTCCAAAGAGAGGTAAGTTGAACAATTAATTATATTCAAACTAAATATACATATATATATACATTTTACTCTATTATTTGGTCTAATAAAATGAATTTCACCTAATATATTATAAAAATTGTTTTTAAAAAACTATCCAACAGAATCCAGGATTTGATTTCTCAAATGCTGAATTTAATGGAAATATACCAGATCCACGTAATTTTATGGGTGGTCTTAGGCAATATTAGATTTTATCATTCTATACTTAATTTTTATTTTCTTTTTTTTTTTTTTTTAATACCCTATACCGGTCTAATAGTTATTAAATTAAAAGGCGGGAATTTTAAATGATATTTTTTTTTTCATGATAATGTCAAAAAAAGATTAAAAGGTGTAAGGTTAAAAGAAATAATTAAAAAACGAGATAATCTAAAGAGTGAAATTAAAAAAGAGCTTAACGTTCAATACATATAAATGCTTTTTTTTAATTAGCAAATTTATATTGGTATCATTACACATAATTATTTTTAGTAATATTTATTCATATTAACTCCAACTATAAATTTAAAATTAAGTTTAAGGAAATTTTTGTACTTTTAAAAACTACCATAAAAAATGGGGAAAGGAAAAGCTATTATGAATAAGGAGAAAAATGCTAAGGAGGTTGAGATAAACCAGGAAGATGAGAATTACTACATGGAAATTCTAAATTACTATAAGAAAATTAAAGATATGATATTAACAGGTGACTTATTGAATGATGAACATAGTTGTGAAGTACTAATAGACAGAATTATTGAGGATATGAAGAAAAAAGATGTTGAAATTTTTTTGATGAGTGATCAAAGATGTAGTAAGATATTTGAGTTAATGCTTAGTATAAATATATTAAGTATTAAGAAATTAATAGATTCAATAAACTTTGATATATTGGATGAAAAAGGTAAAATGCTTGAGGAAAATGATCTTTTTAAGAGATTAAAGTCTTGTATTTCTAACTACATATTTATTTTGAATAGTATATTAAAGCATGTAGAACAAAGTATTTTTGATTTATATGGATCTCATGTAACAGAGACAGCACTAGAAAGCTCTGCAATATTATTAAGCTTTTTAAAGCAGAAGAAAATTTTCAAACAGGATAGAAGTTTAATATTGAAAGAAATTTTAGAATTTGTTAAAAAAATGGGAGATACTTTAGGTTGGGTTTCAATATTAACAAATTCAACAGCAAGCCATGTAGGAAGAACTGTTATAAATATTACTATAGGGAAGGTAACTATGAGTATGGACAATATGGAGACATATATATTGGAAAATGTGGGAAAAAGAAATCAAGCTAACAAACAAAAATTTAGTGGAAAAAATCAAAATAAATATAAAACATATGAATGCAGTAGCATTCATGAATTAAAAGAATTAGTATTTTCTCCTAAAACTGATAACTCTTCACTATCATCCCAACTATTACAATCTTTAAAAGAAGATTTTGAAGGTGTAATAGGTGATACTTATGCATTACCATCTTTAATATTGTTTATTAGAGGACTAAATGAAATAAAATCGCAAAATAATACTGAATTAGTCAAATTATTTAATATTTTTTTAACTATTATTATTACAAATGGACAGGAAACTGAAGAAGACATCATTTCTGGATATGAAAATAAGATTATAGATTCTGAGAAAATTTCAAGATTGCTCTCAAATTTAACAAGAAATTGGATAAATTCAAACTTAAAGAGCAGATTATTAGAACTATTATTAGATATTATACCTTACGAATTCTTGGTTATTTGGATAAATTCACATACAATTTCAAAGGAGAAATATGATCAGATATTTTTGAATGATATCATAGATTCAGAGTATGGACATTATGTTTTTTTAAATCTTTTAAAAAGTAATAGAATTAAACGTGAGGAGTTTATTCCAATATTAAAATCTTTAGATTTCTCAAAAATTACAAGCAAAAAAGAGTTTGTAGATATTTTGATTTCTCTAATAGATAATTGTAGAAGATTACAAAGTGAATACAAATACTTAACTAAAAAGTTATGGAAATCAATTGAAATAAACTCAAGCGAAGATTATCAATATACATTTTCATGCTTAATATTTCAGAAAAAGAAGAGTGAGTTGATAATAGAAGAGGAAGAAGATATTAGGTCCAAATCAGATACTGATTCTATTGAAAAGAAGTTAAAAATATCTTCTCAAGGTTGTTTAATGATTAGCTCTTTATCAAAGTTTCCAATTGATACAATTCATCCATTAACTTCTGGTATTACCTATTTTATTAGTAAACATAAAAATGTAATGCTTAAAGATTTACTTGAAACTTCTTTTGGGATTAGGATGATCGAAACTATTATTTCTTCTTCTAGCAATATTCCTCAATCTCTTAAGAGAAGGTGGATACAAAGTTATTTTGGTAATTTTTTAAATCTTACATTATCAGGAACATGCAACTATGCTATTATTGCAATGTTTTATGCATCTGACCACCTTTTTAGAAAAATGATAGTAGAAGAACTTCTTAATGAAGAACATGGAGGTGGTAAAGATATACTTATGAACAAGAATTTTAAAATATTTAAAAGTCTCAAAATTGAGAGCTTTAATAAGAAAGATGACTGGACTAATGTCAATGAAAAAATTGATAAAACTAGGAAATTATTTAGTAATATTATTGATGAAAAAATTGATATTCTTGACAATAATTTGGAGGATTCATCATACAGTAATGTTTCCAACACTAACAAAATTTCAAAAAAGAATAAAAATAAAAGAAGCTCCAGTACCTACAATAACATTAATAATAACAATAATGATTCAAATGATATTACTGATGATCAAAGTATGGGAAGTATTCTCAAATTTATTAAAAAAAGTAAAAAATGATTTCAAGTTTCCCGCCGTTATTTTATCCACATAAATACTGCATGCATGCAATTATTTTTATTGACTTGAATACACGTAATTAGAAATAGGAATATTTGTATAGATAGAAAAGGTTTATTTATAAAGATTATACTTTGAAGATTTAAATTTAGATTTTTTTTAATAAATTTTAGAAGTAATATAAAAAAGAACTATAAATGTACTATGATTCTATTGTCTTAATAGAAAATGTAAATTCTTGATCACATCCAATATAGCTATCACAAATAATCAACAACTTATAGTTTGTAATAATACCAGAGTCTTCAATTGAGTTGAACCTTAAATTAACTTGATTACTTGTCTTATTAAGTTGTATCCTTCTTATACCTAAGATTTTGTCTTCATGATCATCATTTTCATCATTAATATTCTTAGGTATATTCGGATTACTCTTCTCTATTAAAATAACCCACCAATTTTCTTCCTTTTCAAGTGGATAATAGCTCAAATTTTTAACAATACACGAACTAATTACTTGACCTTTAATATTATATTGATTTTTCAAACTATCTTCCTCTTTTACTTCATAGTCATCTTCAATTGAACTAAAATCTCGAGAAATATCAATAGACAAATTCAAGTCAGATTCAGTATTGCATTCAAATAATCTTTGAGTTTCTCCATTTTTTAAATTATTTGAAATTTCAGAATCTACTCTTCTTCTTTTATTGGTCTCACTTAAATCAATACACCCAAGAATGCTATAGTCAGTTTCAATAATTGGAAAATCATTACAAACTTGAGCAATTTGGAATATTTCTTTTTCATTTAAAGAAAGTTTTTTAGTTAATAAATCATCTCTATCATTATCATTCATATTAATTAAATCATATATATCAGAAACACCATTTTCTTTGAAGACCTTAATTTTATCCCTATTCATTAGCATTGAAAGTTGCATTAATTTGTCGTTTATTGGATTACTTATTGCTTGAACAAACATTTGTGAAAGTTCCATTATTCTTAAACATGTGTTAATCCAACCATAAGAACTTGAAATATCTACCATTGCAAACAATAAATCCATTACAAATCTCAATATATCTGTCAAATCATTTCTAATTAAAGGCTTATTCAATATAAATTTGTGGCGTTTTATATATGAATATAATAATACTTGAATCTTTCTTGAAGATAAACACTTATTTTGATTGAATGATGACTTAAAAACTTCATTGTCCGACCTTGGATTCAATTGATTCAAATCTAAATCTTTACATAATTGGTCTAAAATATGGCTATCGCCCTTTCTTACCAAGCATTCTTCTTGTAACTGAGGAATCATAGAAATTAACTGAATCAAACTGTCATAAGTAACATTTTCACTCAAATTTTTGCTAATAAACTCTATAGTAGAGACTCTCAAATTATAAAACGCTGATATTAAACTCAAATTCAGTGATACTACTGTGTCATCACCTTCATTATCATCTTCGTAATTTTCGATATTCTCTTCATCTTCATTCTCTTTACTTTCAACCTGTATACATTTAGCTTCGGACAAAGAATCTAATAGACTCTCTAAATATTCAGACAAGTAATCTGAAATATGATTATTAGTATTTCCTATTAGTCCATAATAACTCGGATTCTATAAAAAATGAAACATTAATCAAGAAAATTATTTAGTTCATGTATATAAATATATATTATAAATACCACACTTGGCGCCAAAACCTTTGTGACTAGAAAATAAATCAATAACAATTTATCTCAGTATTTTGGAATTTTTGTTGTTTCTTTATATAATTTGAATTTAATAAAATAATTATAACTTTCAGACAGTACGAATATGTATATAAAAATATATACAATCAGGAAAAATTATCACAATGTAAAGAGAAAACAAAATAAATGTTTTCTCACATTGAAATAATTACTATCATTTATTAAAATAAATTGTCATCATTAATTAAATTTATTAAACTCAAATAATTCATTATTATTAGCCATTTTCATTAATATAGTCACAAAAGGTATTTGAATATAGTGTGGAAATATTTGAATATATATTATTCATAATTATATAACATGCACTTTGAAAACTAAATGAACTTACCTTTGAAATTCTTCTATAAAACAATGTCCAAGTAATCCAATCTATGGTATCTTGCTTAGTCTTAATAGTTTTTAAAGCAATTTCTGTATTTAAACAATCAATAATACCAAAATCAATATTTGATTCTAAAGGTAAAGAATATTTAATAATATATTCATAAAATTCTTGCTTATTTGAAGAACATAGTAAAGTGAAATTGGAAGAGGAATTTAATTGATTTTTACATCTGCTTAGCATTTGATGTATATCAAATTGAGAATAATCAATAGTTTTTCGTATCTTTGAATTGATGAATGATCCTCTATTTTCTTCATAATCAATCTTCTTTGTGTCCATTACAATAACATGATCAAACTTTAGTGTAATAAAATTCTTCATATTTTCACAAGCTATAATAATGTGTATCTTTCCATCCGAAAATTGCGATAAAATATACTCTCTTTCTTTATATGATTGATTTTTATATAGAAAACCAATTCCATTATGTAATGAAAACTTTAATAAAGAATTATATTCGGTAATAAATTCTTCTTGTTGATCATTTTCTGACATAATAAATAAAGAAAGCTCATTAGCTAAGCTTAAACAGAATTCGTATTCCAAAACAAATATTAATAAAGTTTTTTTTTTACCTTGAGATTGATTATTTAATTGCAAAATTATGTTGTCTTTTAAGTATTTTAGCATCATTTGAAAACGACTTGAACGGTAATAAGAATCAAAAGCAATAATTCTCTTATTAATACTTTCATTGAATATGTTTTGATCAAAAGAAAATACATTTTCTCTTAATATTCCCAACCATTCTGAAACTTCATTTGCATTAGAAATACATTTTGAATATGCAAATATTCTTATTTTTAAATTCAATGGAGTAATAATATATCTAATTCTTGAAATGGCTGACTCAATTGCAGATCCATTTGAATTATTATTAAGAAACTCAATACCATCTATTACTAAAAGTTTTAATCTCTTAACAAGGTCACGTGTCTTTGTTAGTTTTTTACCAACATTATTATCCCATGTTTCAATATCTGAAACTATTATACTTTTAGAATTTAATTCTTGATCAATTTGAATAGAAGTTTTTCCTTTTAAACCAGAAACTATTTGATTCATACCAAAAATTGATTCAAACTTTGAAACATAATAATCAACTTTATCCTTATTACATGATAAAAAAAGTACTTGAAAGTTTTTTGATTGAAATTGTGAATCTTTTTTCATTTCCCTTAGAATACCAATGCAAGTACAAATAAACTGACCATTTCCAGGAGGTGATGATAAATAAAAGCTTTTGTCTGAATTATAAATCAAATTAAATAATTGTGTCTGAATACTATTTAATTTTAATGAACTGTAATCTTGAATATTACCTTTTTTATCATTATCCTCAATATTAAACATCTTTTTTAAATAGATTTCAAAACCAGAACCAGAAAATGCTTTCTTTACTCCAATTGGCTGTAAATCCAATAATTCAGTATTTTCATATTGATTCTTTGGAAGTATTATTTTATTTTCAACTGGTATAGAAATACTAGTTTCAGAATGTAACCATTTATCGGCAACAGCCCTTACAAATATAAATGGAGGAATTATATCGTCTTGGTCATAACTTTTTTTAATACCCTTCTTTTCTAAGAATATCTGGTAACTTAAATAATATTCATCTTGCATCATTATTTCATTATCAGTATTACTATTCAATTCATTAAAAGATGGTCTAATTATTATCATATCTGAAAAATATAAATATTCACCATCACAATCTTCTATTAAAATCCAAAATGTTTCACCAGTATTTATCTCGTCAGTATTGACATCTCCTGTCATAGATTGACCATGAACCTTACTGTCCCATATAAAATTGGGCTTTATCACCAAATCCAATTGTAAAATCTTTGAGTCTATCGGAACAATAGTCCCAGACATTTCCAATCTTGGAATCTTTCTTATCAAATTATACAACACAGGACCTAGTTGAAATGATTAATAAAATTGTTGACTATTTTTCTTTTTACCGCCCCACAATGTATTAAATTTTACCGCCCATTTATATTGAATTGCATCCAGAAGGAAATTTAAATAAATCAGACCAATATAAAAAACTTTAGCATCAATATAAAAAATAAAAACTGAACAAATTTCTTCTTAATTATTAAAGATACTACTTTCCATCTTAAATAAAAGAAGTACTGGTAATACTCAAATAATTAATAAATAAAACTTGTTATAGTTTTTAAAATTTTTTGTTTTCAGACATATGCTTGTCATTTTGTTTTTTTTTTGTCATCATTTCTATTAAATTTATGTATGCAATTTTTGGCGGGTTGTTTTTATCCAATAATTCATTTTTTATTGGAAAGAATACATAAATGGAGTCAAGATAACAAAAAACTTACCTAGTTTAGAAGATTTGAGCATTTCACCTAGTTGATTACTAGTAAAATCATAATAAGTATTCCAGCTAATGTCTTTCTTTTCTAGTCTCTTGACAACTTCTTCAGAAATACCTTTAAATTGTCTTAAAGGCAACATAGCTTCCCAAGATCTTCTTTCTATCATCTATAAAATCATTTAATTAAAAAAGAAATTAAGATTATTGAAATTAATTATCAAAATTAAGAAAATATGTTGAATTAGGTTAATCAGAGTATAATGTTTATTTCTTTTCAAAATCCATATACAATATGAATATTTCAATGGTAGTGACAAGAATTCTAAACATTTTATCATCATATTAACATATTTCCTTCTTATTCAATAATTAATTTAAATATTAACTTACCGTTGCAATCTTAAGTGTTTTTCTAGCTAATATTGACCATCTTCTTTTAATAGCCAAGTTAAAAATAGCCCTGAATATTCTTGGAGCAGATTGAGCAATAAAGTGCAAATCTGAAAGAAGGGTTAGTTTCGCATTAATCCATCTTGTTCCAGTTATATAAAGTTGAAGCAAAACGTTAACTTTAGTAAAAGTATCAAGATCCACCATATTACCAATATTATCATTATCATCAACACCAGTGCTGGACCCAACTCCTTGTATTGGTATCGGAACTTTATCTACAAGCTTTTCCAATTCAATCTTTTCTTCACTTCTAACAATAAGAAATTTGAACTCTTTGCATGTTGAAAATAATCTGAATAACTGAATTTCTGACAAATTAGGAACTAATTGCTTATCAAGATCCTGAATTGTTTCTGGGGACAAGTAAAAATGAGAAGAAATTCTTCCTAGAGTTAGTGGTCCAATATGTCCATCTTTATAGTTATATTGGATCAATTTGCAAGCCTCTAATCTATCAAGAGCTGTATCTATTAATTTTGTTAAGTAAGATTCAACTGCATTTTTAAATGCTAAATCTCTTTTTTCATCAAGAGTATCTTCATCATCAGCTACTAAATCTTCACTCTGTCTGTTTTTGTTAATAATTTCATCAATATTGAGGCCATATAAGTTTGGATTTCTTATGATTCGAATATACAAGAAAGTTTTTTTAATCCATTTTAGAACGTCTTTTTTATTTTGAAGATTTCCAAGAGATATCTCAGCATTTATAAGGTCTGGTAATTTTGGAATAAGTTGAGACTCTATATTAAGTTGTTGATTTAGTAAAGAAAGATAGTAAGTTAAATGATCAAAATCTGTTATCACAATTCCGTGGCCATTATTGTCGTACTGGGGCCTTCCTCCTCTTCCAATCATTTGTAACATATCTAAAGGTGAAAGTTCTGTCCATTCTCCTCTTTCTGGCTGATAAATTTGAGTGCCTTTAATAATAACGGTGTGAGCTGGTAAATTTACACCCCAAGCTAAAGTTGCCGTAGTAACTAGAACTTTAATATGTCCATCAGAAAACAAATCCTCAACAACCTTTCTATCAGATCTCACTAATCCAGCATGATGAATACCAACTCCACAAGGTAATATTTCCTTAAGATTATTTGATTTAATGTTACTCAATTCATCCAAAATGATTTCTCTGGAAACATTATTATTACCAGGAAAAAAGAGGTTAAGCATTCCACTTTCTGTTGCAGTATCTCTAATGAACTTTGCAGTTTGTATTGTATCTTTTCTGGAATGAACAAAAACTAAAATTTGATGATTTGTTATATCTTTAATTACTGTATCATATACAATACTATTCATCAGTTGTAACTTTCTAAACCCCTTCTTTGCTTTAATGCCAATAAATGTTTGTAAAAGTGGAACCGGCCTGTATTCTGGACCGAAATGATAAAGTCCTTTTTTTGGATTAACATCTAGAAACTCTGCAACATCTATGAAGTTAGGTAATGTTGCTGATAATCCTACTAATCTCGTAAAGTTATTCTTGAATCTAGCAACAATTCCTTCCAATATGGACCCTCTGGAGTCGTGTAACATATGTACTTCATCAAGTATTATTAACTTTAGTTTTTCAGAAAGTCCATCAGTAGTTTTTCTGGTTACTACATCAAATTTCTCTGGTGTAGTGACAAATACTTGAGTCATTTCTATGAGTGATCTACTGATCCGCGTATCACCAGTCATTTCATTTACCAGAATCCCAAGAGGTTTTAGCCGAATCCTAAAAGATTCTACTTGTTCTGATACCAAAGCTTTCATTGGAGATATATATACAATCTTGAATTTGGAAGTATCCAATGTAAATTTTCCATTATTTTGAGACACAATAAACTGTGAAATTATATTTAAAATGCAAAGCATAGCAATATTAGTCTTTCCTGATCCAGTTGGAGCACAAACTAGCAAATTTTCTTCAAACTCCTTAAAAGCTGTATGAAAAACTTTACTCTGAATTTCGTTTAAGTAGGAAACTGAGACACATCTAAAACACTCTCTACTCCATTCTGGAAGCTCTTCTATAGAAATTAATCTAGATTTTTCCTTCATTTGTCTTTTTAATGGAGGAATGGTAATAGAGTCATAGTCTGTATTTTCTGTACGTTCTGATCCCTGAGGAAGTACTACTTTTGTGTTTAAATTCAAATTTAAATTCTGTTCCTGGTAAATTCTGTCAAGATCTAAAAGTTTTGCTTGGTATCTCCTGGAATACAATGCGCTTTTATCTCCCTCATTAAAATCACCAATTTTTACTGAAGACTCTTCAATGTACTTATTTATTGACTTAAAAAAGTCAGAGTCTTTATTTTTCCAGACTGAAGGTTTACTAAATAAATCCAAAACTTCAGATCCATGTTGGTGGTCTCTCATTCTATCTATGATCTTTTCCCTTTCAGAATCTGAAGGTGCTTGACCAAGAATTGTACAAAAATATATACTCCATCTGTTTTTTAAAACCTTTTTGATCCAATTAAAATGTTCATAATTAAACAAAATAACCAAAGAATTCTCACACTCTTGGTCATCCTCTAAATTCAAAATAGAAATAATTTTTCTTTCTATATCTAAAGATTTCTCTGCATCTTGAAAAAGTGAATAGAGCTCTCTTTGTAGCCAATAAGCATCCAATTTCCAAATATCAATAATGTCAGGATCTTCATTTTCATTCAAGTGATCATCTTTATTTTTCAGTCTTATATATCCAATATGTTCCTGGTTTTCATTATTTCCAGTATCATTAGTGTAGCTATCTTCATTAAGGTAATTCTCGGCTTCATCTTTTCCAATATCTAGAGTGGCATCTTCTTCATCATAATATTCATTATCTTCATAATAATCTTCATTATCATCTTCCTCATCATCACTTCTATCACTGTCACTGTCATCTTCACTAATATCATCTCCATCTGAAATATCACCTTTTTTATTATCAGAATCACTTTCATCAAAAATTACGGCGACTTCAGAGGCTTCCTCAGTTTGTTTATATTGAAAGTCAACAGTTTCTTCCATATTAAGAGTAAAGTCAACCAATCTCCTACTCTTATCTACTATATCACTGTATGTAGTATTATTTAATTGAATAATAATTTCTTTGCATTTCTTACGTTTCTCCTCATCTCTTAATTCGTCATTCTTAAGCACTAAAAGTAACTCAAAAGCTATATCTTCCAGTATTTTACTTGGCTGTGATCCCAAAATATCGGCCAAAATTCCTAATAATTCATCATAAGCAAGTCTTGTTTCCATAGTAGTTGGAATATAAGAGCTTCCTGTATTTCGCAAGTCTAAATCTAGGATATTGCCAGAATCATTTTCATTAACAATACTCCTATTTGTTCTTTTTTTTACCTGCTTTTTCTCTCTTATTTTAGGTTTTGATCGTTTATTGGCTAAATCTCCCATTTTGTACTTAATCCTTCCAGCCAAGCTCTCTGCTTCGCCCGTTGGTACATTTTCTCGGTTTCTTTGGCCAGTTTGAATCACCAAATTACTATTAGCCTTATACCCAAATCTTTTGGACATTTCATAATCATCCACCATTTTTTCGACATAATAATTAATGAAATTATACTTTTGTTATACACGTCTCCAATTAACTTATTAAATCGCAAGGAAACCTTATAAAGTAAATAACTAAACTTTTAATGGTTTAATGAATACGTTCTGAGTATTTCTTAGCATTAATTCTATTTTTTTAAAATAACTTCAAAGCTTTAAAGAATTGTTATTTTTAGTATTAAATCTTATTAAAAACAATTTAATTTAAAAATATACTATACGTGGAAATTGTCATTTTTTTACCGGTTTTTGAGGGTATTAATCATTTTCTTACTAAATTTTGCCGGTATAGAAGTTTTGCAATAATTTTTTTAATTGTCATGCATTACATGCATCCACATAAATTATTATCAAAAAAAATATATATTTAATTTTAAATTAATAAAAATTTCCAGTTACTAATATAAAATTGATTTATTTTGGAATGTATTAAATTGTTTAAATCGTTCTTTTTTTTTTATTTTTAAGAGGAATTTATGAAAGATGTAAAAAAATACTTAAAAAAAAACATTATCGTAATTGAATAAATAAAATATTAGTATTTAAAATCAATTTATTTATATTTAGAGATTTTTGGTTCTCATTCAAGTTAAACTATTTTTCATTTAGAATATATACTACTGTACAACATTTATAGAGTGTTTTGGCGGGAAGTTTGAATATGACAGTAATACAATATAGTAATTAAATTTTGTCAAAGAAATGATTTTGAAAGGTTGGAAGTAATGAAGGAATGCCACTATTCAGTTTTACAGGTTGATTACAAAGCAACTTTTGATGAGATTCGTCAATCATATAAACAATTATCATTAAAATGGCATCCTGACAAAAATAGAAATAATGTTGAAGAAGCTACTCATAGATTTCAACTGATAGCAGCAGCTTATGAGGTACTGAGTGATCCTAATGAGAGAGCTTGGTACGATTCTCATAGAAAGCAGATACTATCAGAGGGAAATACAAAAATGTATAATGAAAATGATCCAGATTATGATCCATCTGAAATGAATTTATGGAAGTATTTTTCAAGAGATGTTTTTGAAGACTTTAATGATGAAAAGAATGGATTTTATACGGTTTATAGTAAATTATTTGAGGATATTATAGAAGAAGAAATTAAATATCTATCAAAAGATTCGAGTGATTATACATTTTGGAAGAATGCTAATAAATTTGGAGATAGTAAAACAAACCTGGAAATTGTTATGGAATTTTATAGTTTTTGGAGTAATTTTTCATCTACACGTACATTTTCTTGGAAAGATATATGGAATTTGAATCAAGCTCAAAATAGGCAAATAAGAAGAGCAATGGAAGCTGAGAATAACAAGGAAAGAAAGAAAGGTAAAAAAGAGTACAATGAAACAATTAGGAAGCTTGTAGAGTATGTTAAGAAGCGTGATCCAAGAGTCATTTCTTATATGAGGAATAAGTCTGAGAAAATTATGAAATTGCAGAAAGAGAAAGAAATACAGAAAAAAATGGAGGAGGAGGTGAGAAGGAGAGCAAGAGATGAAGCTAGAATTGAAGAGATGAAAAGAATGGAGGAGTTGGATGCCGAGAGAAGGGAATTGTACGGGAATGATTGTCTTCAAGAAGGCGATCGAGATATTGAATGCTATGAGACTTTCATTTACACTTGTAAATTATGTAATAAAACTTTTAAAAGTGAGCAACAACTTAATTCCCATATTAAGAGTAAGAGACATATCTCCAAACTTAATGATTTGAAGAAGAATGACCCAAAAAAGTTTGATTCTTTTATGAATAAGGTCGATAGTACAGAAGAAACAGATGATAATCAGGCAGAATCTGATTCTTTAGATAATGAAAAACAAAGTGAGAACATCTTTAATTCTAGGTTTGGACCAGAAGAAAGAGAAGAAGCGAGCTCTTTAGACGATGATAGGAAACTTCCAGAGGAGAGGGTGGATAAAGAAGAGGAAAACGAGAAAGATGACGAAGACGAAGAAGAGGAAGAGGAAGAGGAAGAGGATGACGAAATCAGTGTTGAAAAGATCACAGAAATGATGGACAATTTAAACAGAAGGAGCAACAAAGGTAAAGGCAGGTTAAATAGTTTTGAGGACTCAGCAAACATGGAGGATGGAGTTGAAACGGTAAAAGGTAGTAAAAAATCAAAAGGGAAGAAAAAGGTTGATAAAACCACAAAAAGAAACACTAATAATAATAATAATAATAATAATAATAATGTTAATAATGACAAAGAAATTATGTGGAAATGTTTAGTTTGCAACCAAGTTTTTGAGTCAAGAAACAAGTTATTTATTCATGTAAAAGAAAAAAATCATGCTCAAATAAAGAGTAACAGCAATTATAAGAATTCAAAAGTTAAAAAGTAAGATTATTAAACATTAATTATTGCATAATATTACTTTAAATTTCCAGTAGTTTTCACTACTTGAAGTTTTGTTAATTTCTGGATTATTTTTAGACAATCTATCCTCAAAATTTAGGTTATCTTCGTCTTTGTATCCAAAAGAAAGAATATCATTTGAATTTAAAATCTTGTTCTTAATCTTAACATTATTAACATAAGTCCCATTAACAGAATTGCAGTCAACAAGACAAATTTGGTCTTTACCTTGACTGTTCTTCTTAACAAATATATAAGCGTGATTTCTAGATAGCTTCAGTAAATTCTTATTTGGAGTTGTTTTACCAGGAAAGTCACAATCAGGATTTCTTCCAATCTTTATTCCGCTATTTCCAACTTGAACCAAAATCTTTTTTTTCGAATTCTTGCTATTTGTATGTATATGTTCCAAAATACAAACAGGGTTCGTAAAATTTCCTGAATTCATTATAGTATTCTCAATACTACTGTTTATTGATTTTATTCTATTATTAATATCCTCAATTTCACTATTTAAGTAATTAAAACTACTATTTTGTGTATAACTTTCCTGTGAAGATTCAATCTTTCTAAACCTTTTATGCGAGTTCAGAATCTCGTATTCATCATCCTCCTGTTCTATTTCATCATCCTCTTTGGATTTTTCACTTTGAATATCTTGGCTTCTTTTCATTTCCACAGAATCCTCAAACTCACTACATTCTATTGAATCTGAATAAAATTCTTCTTCTTCCTGTAAATTAAACCCTTTCATTAATCTAATTTTCCAAAATGTATTTCCTGTTTATTCTTAATTAAATGTTTCTTATCTTTCAATTCTAATACTTATTACTTTTACTTTTTTACCGTTACCTTATGTATTTTTGTGAGGCGCAAGTTCCCGCCAAAACATGTACATGTCACGCCAATCCACTTAAAATAAATATATAAAATACAGAAATAAAAATAAAAGAAAAATTGAAAAAACTATTAAATTAGGTATTCCTAGGTAGTTCAAGTATGAATGTGAAATTCTCCTGCGAAAAATGAAGGAAAACTCTCTTGTATTTTAAGGTATATAATGCTGGAAAATTGGTGCATACAAAGCCCATCTTACCCTTAGTAAACTTTGATTTTTTTATTTTTTTTGTTATTATTGGAGCTATTAATTATGTTCCTAAGTTTATTGATTTGTCTCTTTACCTTCCCTGAGTTACAATTTTGGTTAAATGTGTTTAAGTAATCGTTGGATTCTGAAATCTTCTGTTCTAAAATATTGTTGATATTAGAGTCACTTCCAAGTACAATAATAGACTTTGAAAGAGAAATTAAGGATTTAAGTAACTCCAATCTTTGAATTTCTGTGGTAAATTTAATATTTTCTAAATCAGAAGAAACTTTTCTAACATTTTCCTGTGTAGTATCATCTGTAATGCAATTATCAATCATTTTTATCACAACTTGGACCATATCTCGTATTTGTTTATTATTATTTCCATCTGAGTCTTCCGAACAAGTACTACATACTACAAGAATATGATTAATTAAAGTAGTATATTCTCTAAGTTGATAAGAACTTTTCGAGAATTTAATTGTTTCCTCGAAGTTATTAATGAAGTTTTGAGTTAAAAACCTAAAAGAGTTTTTATTATTTGAGTTATTAATTCTATATATAAGTTTGGTCAAGAATGAGCATGTAACAATTCCAAATCTTTTTTGTCCGATCCATTTCTTCATTAAATCTTGAGTTATAAGTTGAGCAACTGTACCATTTTCTCCATCAATCATTACAATTAAAGCAATCAAATTGATTGATAATGTCTCAAAATTCTTTGAATAACTCTCCATCTTACTTCTAAGTTGTTTTCCATTGCTTTTCTTATTCCAACGGCTCATTGTCTGAGGCTCAACAATGGGTTTCCCAATGATATGAATTAAAAGTTTAAATAAATCTCCCAAATCATTCAAATGTGTGTTGGTATGTTCCTTTAAAATATCTAAATGCATTAACTTGTTTATAATTGAAGATAGCTTATTAACATAATCTGAAAAAATTGTCAAATTGCTTTTAATAGAATAGTATAGAGCATGCTTAAATCCCAAGCGGAGTCCTTCCAGTAATAATATAATTGTACGTATTAAATCAGTACAGATCTCTCCATTTATTCCATTTCTAGGTTTATATTGCTCAGAAATCAAAGATAAAATCTCCAACATTCTTAATTTATTTTGCATCTCGTTGTTGATTCTTTGAATTTGTAATTTTTCTTGCTCCTTTTGTTCTTTTTGTCTTTCATATTTGGGAGGTAGTGGAGTATTTTCATCATTTAATAAGTGAGAAATTATGGCATCGTTGTCATTATATGATATGATCTCATCCTTGTTAACCCCAATATTATCATCATTATCAGTATTATCCTCATCTTCTTCGTAGTCATCATTGAAAAATTCATGTTCTTTTGAAAATATATTTGGTTTCAATAACTGTGAAACTTCGTCCTTATCCAGAGAAGAACTATGCTTAGAATCTCTACCCTTAAATTCAGTAACTGTTTCATTATCATAACCTGTATCAGCTTCAACTTCAACTTCTGATTCTATATCATCATAATTCTCATCATTTCCATCTATTAAGTTTGAGTGAACATTCCATAAATCCGGAAGCTGAGCAATTTTTCGTGAAAGTTCCAAAAGAAGTTTTGTGTTTAAGTTGCTTGAAATATCCAAAGTTCTTACATTCAGTTGGAATAAAAGGCTTAAACCTGCAAGGCAGCTTGGATAATCATCATCCTCACCAAAATAATCACTTTGTTTTTGCAAATTATTAGATTCATTTGTGATATCCAACTTAATCATTGAATTGAAGAATACATCTAGTCTTTTGCGTTTATCACTATCCGATTTTAATAAAGATGAAATCATATCCAAGATAAAACTTGAATTACAGTCTTCCATTATATAATACAAGAGTAAGCAACTCTCAATAAGGCTAGATGAAATCTCAAATCTAGTCTTTGGAATTCTTCTTTCTGTTAAAGAAGTAAAAAGCTTCTTATTCTTATTAAATAGCTTTTTATTGCCTTCAAAGTTAATAGAATGATTAATCTTGTCAAATAAGGCAGTAATACTATTTGCATAGGAGGAAACCACTTCAATAATAACAGAATCTACACAAGTATCGTCTTTTTGAATATCTGCCAGTAAAAGAACTATATCACTGGTACATTTGCCAATAATCTTCTCCATTCTAGGAAAGATCATTTGGCGATAATTCTCAACCCATCTTTCGTTAGAAGTTCCAAATGTTATAATAGAATCTAGTAAAGGATACACCTGAGATGAAAGCTTTAATACAAGTTGTGAAATGTTCTTCTCTAACCCAATCTTTGAAGAATTGAATGAAACCTGTACAAATTCCAACATTATGTTATGGATCCATTGCACTTTCTTCCAATATATATTTACTTTTTCATTATCCTCTTCTGTTTTGTTTGCATTTAAGTTCGAGTCATCCATAGACACATCAACTTGGTCATTATCATTGAAATCTAATTTATTTTGTTTGTTGTTTGTTTGTTTACTTTCATCAACATACTCTTTTAAGATCTCATCTATTATAAGTATACCCTGTGAAATGATAATAGAATCTAAAGAATTATTTTCTTCTTGAACCAAAAGATCTGAGAAAATTCGAATCAAATGTTTCATTTTAGCTCCTGTTTTTAACATTAAAGACTTAAGAATAATCCAAAAAAGTCCCACCCTTTCCTTCCCAGAAATCAAAATCGGTTTCTCTAAGGTTTCTTTAAGAGTTATAAGTTGAGAAATTAGATTACTTTCAGTCCCTGATAAAGAAATAGTACTTTCATCCCAAAATAAAGCAATTATCATATCATTCATCACAAAAGGAACCAAATTTCTGATATGAGTTTCCAAGTTAACGCTTTGATTGGGAGATTTCAATCTTTTTTGATTTTCAGTAACTACTGCATCTATAGTGCCAAATATAAACCTTGAAAAATCTTGAATTTGATTAATTTGAGAGTTATTAATCAAGTGAGATTCAATTCCTTTACCTGTAATAATATCGACCAATGTTTGTAGGAATATAGTGGAAAATGATGATAAAGGATTTCTCTCATTTAAAGAAGTCTTAAGAGCCCAGTTCAGTGACTTTGAATGACCAGAAATGAAGTTTTTTAAAGTCTTTACAAAAGACTTTTCTGAGAAATTACATTTCTTGGGTAAAAATGCAAAGTGTTTAAGGTGAATAAGTATTTGGAGGATCATTCTTGCTCCAAAATAGTGTTTTTGTGGGGAATAAATTCCTGAAAAGTACTTTTCTTCAATCTCCTTAATTAGATCAGAAATCAATATACTAGATATTTTATCATTCAAAAGAGGAGATTTTAATATATAAGTTAGTAACATAAATAAAAAGCTTGGGATTCTTGGACTGAATAACGATAAATATTGAATTTGAGCAAGAATAATTTCCCATCTATTCTTCAAAAAAGGGTATCCTGGATTAAACATAAGCTTATTCCAGTCCTCCCATTTATCACTAATGCGTACAGATATATCACAAGTCTGAGAAATCTCACAGCATCCAGCAGCCCCATTAATAACAATTCCATCTTTACTTTCAAGAAATAGTCTTAACTTTAGAAATAAAGATAATATAGGGATCTGGGATGCTAATTGATTCTTTTTAGTTTCATTTATTTCAGGTTTGTCCAAAAATCGTGTGTCAAAAACATTCCCAAGTCTTGATGAAATGTACTTAATTGGTAATCTTGGATCATATTCACAACAGTCTTTAACAATCAAATATATAATTTCGCAAACCATATCCTGTAGGTACATCTTTACTCCATAAATCATCCACAGATTTTCAATAGTCTGTTCTATATAGGGTCTTGAAACATTCTTTTTGAAAAATCCAGTCTTAATTATAGCCAAATACCCAAGAAGAAGCCCAATAATCCTGTCTCTAATATCTCCAACAGCTCCAGATGAAGCTTTTCCCTTAATTTCCTTTTTCATCCCCTCCAAATAATGCTTCTCAAGTCCCTGCAAAACATCAGATACTGGAACCTTATATCTATTAAGTACAATCGATAAGCAAGTACTGTATCCTCTCCTTACACACTCTCTCTGAGACTCCAAACCTTTGATAAGTCGGCTCAACGTATATTCTAAATCTGCTCTACCATTTTTTACTTCTGATAAAGTTACAATAGATTTTGCACTTCCATCCTTAACTTTGGGATTATTCGAATTCTTAACAGAATTATCAAGGCAACTTATAATTCCCTCTATAGAGGAAACCGAAGTCTTCTCTTCAAAACTTCCTAAATCCCAAAAGTACTGCAAAAATTCGGGACTATCCATTTTCTGATTTTTTTTGTCAAAATGTCAAGACGGAACCTCTTAAAAGAGAGAGCCCGCCCAAACTGAGGCCTTTATGTTTTTAATTATGGGAAGATAATATAAATAATTTACCTCCAAATTAAATAGCAAAAAAAATTGTAAATTATGATAATTAATTTCCATGCAAGGAAAACTGAAATAAATTTTTAAATAGGAATTTAGCATTGAATTACTCAAACCTTTGGATATTTTCAAAGTCCAAATATGCCATTACGAAAGGTTCCATATCTTTAATGCAATCATCTTCAATGTCGTTTTTGAGGACTTCGTAGTGTTTATCATTCACATTAAACTTGAAAATGATTTCTTGAATATCTCTTGAGTCCATTTCAGAGTATGAAAATAAGAATTTCAGCTCTTCATTTGTGAAATTAATCTCCTGCTTAGCTCCTCCTAGAAATGACCTAGCCAAACCAGTCTTGTGTAGTTGTAGTCTGAACTTCCAATCTTCAATTGTTCCGGCTGCTATTAACCTGAAAGAATACGTATTAGTTGAATTTTCACAAGATGGTTAAGCTACCAATACAAAGAATTCTTACCTGTATACGATTACGTCTTTTTTTTGACCAATTCTATAAGCTCTTCCTATGGCCTGCTCATCCAGAGTAGGATTCCAATGTGGTTCTACTAGAATTATCCTGTTAGCACTGGTTAGGTTAAGACCAGTAGATCCAATATGCTTAGATAACAACAAGATCCTTTTTTCCTGAAGATTTAATTAGTAAAATTGTGAATGTAACTTAACTACTTACCTTATTGTTGTTGAATGAACTGATACTGGTGTTACGTTCCTCCAGAGACTGTTTTCCTTCCAGTCTTTCCCACCCAACTTTGTTTGGAATCAAGATTGTAAGTTCCACCAAATCTAACATTAGTAAGCTTTCCGAAAACACTAAGATCTTATTATCATTAGACTTAAGGAGCTTAGGAATGACCATGTTAAGTATTTGTAGCTTAGTACTTTGTTCTCTTAGAACCTCAATATCAAGCTGAGGCAGTTTAGATGCAGAACTAAATATTAAGGTATTTTGTGAAGGTATACTTGTTTCTTGTTTAGGTGAAAAGTTTTCCAGCTTATAATTAGTCATTTCTTCGTAATCTTCTTCTATCTTATCTTGTCTTTTGTTTTTAAGTAAAAATCTCCAAGACTGGAATTCTGGTTTGAGTAGAAGTAAGGGATGTTTACAAACTTTGAGTAGATATATAATAACTTCTAAAATTTCTCCATTTTTTTGCTTATTTTGAGAAATTATATCTGATCTATTAATTATTTTGGAAATTAAGTGGCTATCCAGGACTTCTATATAAGATTCCGACTGATCTCTAGATAGATTATGCCACAAAACAATATCATACTTTTTTATCTTGAAAAGATCATTAGAGAGCTTCTGAGCTTCGAAATTACTGTCAACTACTTTTACATTGGAAACTATTTGTTTTGTTCTTCTTAATATGAAAGGCTTAATAACACATTTTAGTTTATTAATAGTTAATTCAGAAACTTTCTTTTCTTTTTCCGGTATATTCTTGTTGTTTAATTTACTAATATGTCTAGCATAGTTGTAATTAAATGCTTGGATATTCTTTCCAAGTAGATTTGGCTTAACGCATTGTATTAATGACCAAAGCTCCGTTAAACTATTTTGAAAAGGAGTACCAGTACACAAAATAATGCAATAGCTTCTCAAGGTTTGTACTTCCTTAAAAAGTTTTGTTTTACAATTCTTTAATTTGTGAGCTTCATCCATAATCACAATATCCCATGGAATATTAAAGTCATCATCCGACTTTTTATTTTGTAAAATTTCCTTGAAATAATCTTCAGGAGTAACTTTAGTTCCTAAATGGTTCCTTAAAAATTTACAATTAACATTTCTTAAATTTACATTACGTAATTTGTGAACATCATTTCTTAATGTCTCAAAAGTAGTAATCAAAATCCCACCTATTCTGCTTGAATACAAGTTTTTTAATGCTTCATCTCGTAGGTTTGAAGCTCCATGATAAATAAATTTTGGAATTTTTGGGCACCAATTATCTAACTCATTTTTCCATTGTAAAATTAAACTAGCAGGAAGTACTATTAGTATAAAAGTTGCAATTTCTGACCTATATAAAGCCCCAACAAAAACACAAACTTGAACAGTCTTTCCAAGTCCCATTTCATCTGCTAATATTCCTCCCTCACTTCTTTTGAATCTGTTCCACATCCATCTCACACCATCATACTGATGTGGATGCGCTCTTAAATTTCCATATATCTTTGGTGAAACATATAACTTCCTCCTAATTCTTCCTGAATTACTTTTTAAATAATATTCGATTTTACTTGAATTCCAGTACCACCCAGCATGTAATTGGTAAGGAGGATCCATATGATCTTGCTCCTCGTCAATCTCATTTATTTGATCATTATTATCTTCAGAATCTGAAATCGGGACTTTTGAGAAAAATGAATCGTCAAACAGTAAGCCTTCAAGTTGTTCTGTTTCTGACTCTTCATCAATTATGTGAATTACTTCCTGCTTCCCTTCAACTTCTACCTCATTTATTAGTTGCGTTCTCCTCCTTTCAATATTCTCGGAGCCAGCTTTTTTTTTAGGTATTTTGCCTTTTTCAGATATCGTTACATTCTCTATCTTGTTAATTAAATCATCCAAATTATCTTCATCCACGATTATACTTTCTTTTTTGGATTTATCTTCCTCTCTAGAAAATTCCGTAGTACATTCTGAAAAACACAGATCTTTTTTCTTTCCCATCATTTATAAAAAAAATTGATGCTCTTTATATTATGTTATATAGCTCCATCTCTAAAAAAAAAAACTTTGCTTTCTTTACTATTTATCTATACTTCTATTTGTCTTCCTGGCTAAGTATTCAATTATTACTTTGCTCAAAATTTAAATAATAAAAATATATCAAAATATTCTTCTACTTATTTTATTAAAAATTTCACAACTTTTTTCATTTCAAAACTTGATTATTTACCGGTATATAAATATTTTCTTAAAAAAAAAAAAAATGCGTCCACATGCAATATTGATACCGGTATAGATGCAAGTTTTTTCTAAAAATTTCATGTAATCATTTTTCATGTGGACAAAATGATTAATAATAATTTTTATGTAATAAATTTATCGCTATTTGATTAAATCAATTATTTTTTATAAAAAATATCTATGTGTTTTTTGATGTGTAAATATATGCATTAAAAAATATATAAATGTAATTAATAATGAATATACTTGAAAGTGAATGGTACAAAAATTGTAATTGGTATCATATATACCCAATAGGAATATGCGGTGTGGAAAGAATTAACTCTGAAAAAATTGAAAGAATAAACAAATTAGAAGAGTTGGGTTCAAAATTATGGATTGATCATTTAAAAAATTTGAATATTGGTGGAATATATATAGGGCCTGTTTTTGAGTCAGTGGCCCATGGATATGATACAACAGACTTATTTTCAATAGATAAAAGGCTTGGAAGCAATGAAGATTTTAGAAATTTGATAAAAGTGTATCATTCAAATGGAATTAAGGTAATTATTGATGCTGTATTTAATCATGTTGGTAGAAATTTCTTTGCATTCAACGACATTAAGATAAATGGTAAGCATTCCAAATACTGTGATTGGTTTAAAGGCTTGGATTTTTCAAAAAAGTCTCAAAAGGGCGACAACTTTACATATACTCCATGGGAAGGTTATTATGAGTTGGTGACTCTAAATCACGAAAATTGTCAAGTAAGAAAATACTTATATGATGCTGTGGAGTTTTGGTTTAATGAATATGAAATTGACGGATTAAGATTAGATGCTGCTGACTGTATTTCTATTGACTTTTGGAGAATGTTTAGGGATTTTTGCAAGACTAAATTCGGAGAAAAATTTGCTTTATTAGCAGAAATAATTCATGGTGACCAAAGACTATGGGTAAGGCCAAACCAATCTGCTAGTATTAAATATGAATATAAAAACCAGCCATTCGATGGGGTAACTAATTATGTTTTGTGGGATGCAATATGGAAATCTCACCGTTTTAATAATCTTGAATTGCTTGCAAAAGTGATTTCTCAGCAGAATGATTTGTTGATTAGTGGATGGATGTATAATTTTGTCGATAATCACGACGTAACTAGAATAGCAAGTCAAGTTGAAATTGAAGATGATCTTTTAACTATATTTATACTCCTATTCACTCTAAATGGATCTCCTTCAATTTATTATGGAAGCGAATTCAAATTTAAAGGAGTTAAAGGCCATGGGAGACAAGCAGATTTCCAACTTAGGCCAAAACTTACTCTTAAGGACCTTGAATGGCTTAATTCTGATAAAAATGATGGATTTTTAGCTTTAATCAAGTTTGTTTCTCAAATCAGAGGTCATAAAATTATAGGCAAGGTTTTAACTCAAGGTGAATACTCATTACTATTAAATACAAAAACTTTGCTAGTATTTGAAAGACGTATTAAAGAAGAGTTTATTTTAGTGGCAATTAACATTCATACAAAACCAGTTGAAGAAATTGAAATAGATTGGAGAAACAAGGATGGGTCTTGGAGAGATATTTTATCACCTTCAGATACTTATTGTTCTAAAAATGGAAAAATCAAAATAAATGTACTTTCAAATTGGGCAGTTATGATTTCATCATATGTTCCAAAGGTTTCTTATATTCAATACAAAATTAAAAAGTTCAAAAAAGTTTTATACAATATTCCTACTTTGGATAAGGGTGAGTTAATTACTGTGAATAAGGAGAATACTAATTAACGAACAACATTCAAGATTGACTTTATATTCTTTGAATACAAATGAGTGTATAGAAAAAAAGGAATTAAAAGGTTCAAATCATTAAACAAGTACTATAAGTCTAAAACATAAAAATTTAAAATAACTTCCAAATAATGAATGGCTTAAGGTCTTTGGTTTCAAATAAATTAAACAATAATCAACTTTTCTATTTATATTTCGAGGTTAATCCTCCAAGAATTGAGAATTTCTCACTGATTGAAGAATATGAATACTTCTCACCATTAATTATATAAGTTGACATATCATTATTGAATTTTGCAGAGCTTCCTAGATATGAAGTTCCGCTATAAATTTCAGGTGAAATATTGGACATTTTTGAGCTCAACCTGTCAGAATATGCAACAAAAGCAACAATCACAGTAATATCATCAGGCTTTCCACCTTCAATATGTCTATTGACATCAATCAAAGCTCCTTCACTAAAAGGTGTTACTTTTGCCTTTGATCCTGAAGGAACATTATTTGCAGCTTTTAAGGCATAAGTAAGTAACTCTTTGGCAATATAATCTGCCACCATGATGGGGTTATCATCAAAAACCCTACCATACCTTCTTTTTGCTTGATTCGCAATATCAATAATATCTTCATCAAAAATATTATCAAATATCCCATCAGTACCAATAATTATCAAGTCTCCTGGATTTACATCAACCCTAAAAGACTGAACTACGTTTGCAGCTCTTTTTAAGATTTCTTCATTTGAGCAGTTAATGTCTGGCATAATAGTAAGTTGGTGTGGACAGTTAAAGAAATGTTGCTGAACTTTACTTCTAGCAGTAATATCATATCCACCAACAGTTATATTTAGTGGTAATCTTCTTCTAGGATCTCCAGTAATAGGTTTTCTGTCTATTGGGTTTTCAATAAATGGTATAGGTGGAAGATTCTGCGGCTCAATATTTGAAGGTCTCAAAACAATCATTTGAGAATCGCCAACATTTGAGACCCAAAGTTGGTTACCATCAAGAAAGCAAAGCAAGCAAGTTGTAGATCCATAAGAAGCACAGTTTGAACAAGATCTACATAGTATATGTTTTAAGAACTCATAAGAATAAAATGGAATCGAATTTTTATGAAATATCTTCTGTGACACTGAATCAAACTGTACTCTATTATTTTCTCTAATATTACAGAGCTCAACGCAATTTTTTAGTAATTCAGAAGGTAACTGGCTTGGATCGAATCCCTCAGATTCTACAGAAGACACTCCATCAGCTATTCCAAGTAAATTCCATGAAACTAACCATGAATCTGCATTAATACTACTTTTCTGTTGCTTTAATTCATGCTGAGAAGAAATTGCTGCTCCAAAGAAGCTGAGCTCATCAGCTCTACTAAAATCCAACTCCTTGGCAGTATCCTCCAACATTTTTTTTGCAAAGCTTCCCTGTTGAAAACAACCACATATGAATTCGCTGGCAGCATTCCACATTTTCAAACTGATCTTAAAATTTTGAAAAAAAGAAAAAAAGGAAATATGATAATATCTACTCTTGATTTGGTCTATTATTCAACTTAAAAAAATTCCAGATTGTAATTCAATTCAGCTATTTTTCCAGTCCAATTATTATTTACGTAAATTATTTTAAAACTATCTGCAATTAAAAACTTTATTCAGTGTAAAAGCATAAGAATACATACATTAAAATAAATGTTCGCCTATTGACCACTTTTTTTTTCAAGTCCCCATAAAACAACTATTGTTAATAAATAAATATGTTTAATTACTTTTTCCTATTACTAGTTGTAAATTGGGAATAATTAATTTACAAATTTATATTTATTTACTTCATTAAATATATTATATATTCAACTGTGAACCTCAAAATTTTTTTTAAGTCAATTACCAAAAAAAATGTATTTTTTTAATGGCAATCCTCATAAGTTTATTTTTTTTTACACATATATAGATTCATATACAAATTCATGCACATGTTGGCGCCAAACTTTTGGCGCCGGTTTGGCACTTATTTGGTATTAAGTAAAAATAAAAGTAAAATCAGATAAAATTTGGGAGGGGAGAAAGGGAAAAACAAGTGGGGGAATTGATTGAAATGGTTGGAAACAAAGAGATTTGAGTGAATACGGTGCTTAGAGTAACATACTATATTATTTATAAAGAATGTTGCAACTAAAAAGAGATAATCTGCAGATGAGTATCATTTCTCAGATCTGTGGAAGTTTTAGTGACATTTACATCATCATAAAAAATGAATTTTGTAAATTTTAGGCTGGAACTTTTACTGGAATGAGTGTTGTTGATATTAGATAAAGAATTAGAGTTTAAATGGTGTAAATCAAAAATATTTAGAAAAGTATCTGGAATAAAATAATTGTTAAAATCAGGTCCAACAACTTTACTGACTGGAAATACTGAAATGAAGTATAGAAAATCTTCTCGTGAAAATGTTAAACTTTTAAGGAGATAATTGTTGAAATTGGAGTTATAAAATTGCGAGCAATTATTGTCTAATGAAATAAGTTCCCCATGCCCAAGAAGAGTCAAAAAATCTTTTGATAAATTTGAATTGGAGAATTGACCACAAATCATGAATGAAATTATGTTATGGAAGTTTATAGTGATTAGATTATTTTCTATCTTATCAAATTCGATTTGAGGATTGAAAATTAGCTCGCTAATAAAATTCTTCCAGATAATCTCTTTTATGGAATATCTTAAAGATTTAATACAAGATATCTGTTTATTAATAGAGTAGAAATAAGTGAAGTTGACATTTGCAAGAATTAATCTTTTAAAATTTGAGAAACTACCTTTCACATCAAATTCCCAAAAAATAATACTTTGCTTCTTAAGATTATAATTATCAGAGACCTCAAATCTTATTTTAGACCTGTTTTCTAGATAGACATTACCACGAAGATACGAGTACCATAAAAACATATTATTTAGATCAATTTTGAAGAATCTTATTATTTTGTTAAAGAAAGGTGTAAATAAAGTCGGGCCAGTTTTGTGAAACTCCTCATACTTTCTAAAGTTTTTTGAATTCCCAATTCTTAAAATAGAATTTAAATCAGATTCTTCAAAATTGTGATTTACACATATTATATCACATTTTGAAGCCATTTCCTTGAGATAATGAGCACTAAGACGATTACATAGTCCCACATTTCCAACCAATATATTAACACAATTACTAGTTTTCATTATTTAAGAAAAAGTATATACAGTTATTTTTCAAAGTACATTATTTTTATTCAGAGTTCTCCATTATTTAACCAGAGTGAAATAAATTGGGGAAGAAAATGTCAAGAGTAGATTTTCTTTGATTTTAATATTCAGTGATAATGGTAATTACAGACTTTAAAACATTCTATTAATTGTATTTTTTAGTCATTACTGGCCAATTATTCACTTATGATTATTCTGCCTTATATATAATTCCAAAATGTAAAGAAATCTAATATTTTAATAGGGAATTAGTTTATATTAATTAATTTATAGGTCTGTGTATTATTGCTAATGAGTTATATACCGATCATGTATTAACTATCACTTTTCTATTAAAACAAAAACTCTTTTTCTATTAAAATAATAATTTTTTTCAAAGAAAAATTATTTTATTTAATTTCACAAATAATTCATCTTTGACTTAGTTTTGCTCTTTAAAAAAACCTTTTTTATAGTTTTTCATTGCCCTTTATAATACTACAATTATCGGGTGGGGGGTAATGTTATGGCGCCAAAAGTTTTATTAATTAATATGCAATATAAGAAATTGAGGTCGAAATTTGGTATAATATTAAAAATAACTTAAGATTATAATGATTATTGAGCTAATTGAGGGTTTTGGTGCTTAAATACTTTGATTTTGCATATAATTTGAAGCTTTATGGTCTAAATAGCGTGTTATAAGTAAAACTTCAAAGTAAACAAGTTTTGTTAAGTTTAAGTCTGTAAGATGGAAGTACCAACAAGAATGGGATTTAGCACTGGGATAGGAGCCGGGTCTGGAACTGTTTCTGGAATAGGATCTGGGTTAGGACTAGGAACAGGAGTTGGATCAGGACAAGTCGGTGGTGGAGTCGGGGGGGATCTTGGTGCAGGAACTGGATTAACAAAGTCTCAGGTTAGAGCTTACAAGATTGAAGCGGGAAGCGAGCTTAGAATAATTGCTCATCAGAGTCAACCTTGCACAATTAGACTGTACTCATCGTCATCATCAGGCGCAGGAGCAATATCAGGAACAACAGGAGGGTCTCAAATAAACGTGATGACAACAGCAGAGATATTTGGAGCTGAACTCCCTCCAGATGTGGATATGAAGATTGCTCCGTTGTCTAGAATTGCAATATATACTTGGCATGGATGTATTTTACAAATAAGAGGATTGGTACAACAAGAATATGAAAGTGTGAATAAAAGCATGAAAGAGTATATGGAGGTTATTCAGGTATTAGACAATAGAAGAAACTTTTCAAAACTTCACGGAACTTTGGGTCCAAGAGTTATGGTAACAGGATCATCTAATTCAGGTAAATCCACCTTGTGTCAGATTCTTTGTAATTATGCAGCAAGAAGAGGATATACACCATTATTTATAGATTTGGACCCAAGAGGATCTACAGATAAAGCGAATATGCAGTTTCCAGCAGGAACTATTGGAGCAACGAAAGTTGACGAGTTTTTTCTTCATGGTAAAGAATTAAAAAACCCACTATCATTCTTTTTTGGTCATTTAAATGTAACAGATGATCTCCAGTTATACCTATATTTGTGTAGATTGCTAAGTGGTGCTATATCATTAAGAAGCCAAAACAACCAAGATACCAACTCCCAAGCCTCAGGATTTATAATGAATGCTCCATTTCAGCCATCCAATGATCTTTTGAAAGAGCTCATTTCAATCTTTGACATTGATGTTGTAGTAGTAATGGACGATCCAAGTACTCAACATTACTTAGCAGATCAGTACGACTATAAGGAGCCCCAAAGTTATGATGTCTTAGAAAAACAACATCTAGAAGAGTCAGGAAATGCCAGTAGCTCAATCTCGGATCAAGAAAATAATGATAATAAGCTAAATAACGAAAAGCAGTTTGAAAAACTACCCAAAATTTCTGTTGTTGGAGTCTCCAAATCAGATGGAGTTATCAGTATTACCTCACAAAGGCTTACGGAAATAAGAAGAGAATGTTTGAAATCTTACTTTTTTGGTACACCAGAGTTCCCGCTTAAACCTCACACAATTAATCTCAAAGTAATACCTATGGGAGATGACGGTAAGTCACTAATTAATACCAATACTCTTGTTTCAAGTACCTGGTGTCATCTTGTTGAACTCCAAATTGCTTCTTTACCTGCATCAGCTTTACCAGCAGATCAAGATGTATCTATGATTGACAATCAGGCTCAAATTCTTCCATATAATAAACCTCTTAAAAATTTAGTTAATACCATAGCAGGAATTTGCCATACAAAAAATTCAACTTACGCGCCAATTTCCTCTCTGGCAGGTATTGTGCATATTAGAGCAGTGCATGAGGACAATAATGCCGGTATAGAAGACATGCAACAAAATCGTCCACAAATAAATAATGCAAATATGACATTCCCTACTATAGAAGTTTGGTGCCCAGGATTGAATGAGCATGGAGAATTTCCATCTCATTATATACTTGTAGGCAACACACAAAAATTAAAGTTTCATTTAGAGTAGAAGTGTAGAATAGAGGAGGGGAAAAAGTAAATCATTTTAATTCATTTCATAGCAACATTCATATTAGTAAGTGTTTTTTCTTTTAATTTTTGGCGGTTCCTAGCAACAGAAATATAACATTTTGAAGAGAATTTAAATCTAATTTTTAATTATTCAAAAAAATTGCTAGTATTTGAATTTTCGTTATTTTTAATCAAATCTGAGTCCTCAATTATGGGAGTGAAATTTTTGTTGTGGTCTTGTACTTGGTGATTTTCATGCTTAACTTTTAGTTGTTGAATTTTGTTATTGGAAAGTGTGGATGTAATTGTTTGAACTCTGCAACTATCATTTTGAGCCGTTAACATATCATTATCTTCTAGTACAAATGCTCTAAACACATTCAGAATATTTTCATTTTTTATTTTTTCGTGGATAGATTTATCATGTTCTACTTGATTTAATGCATGTAAAGCTGTTTTGGTGCCTAATTTAGATGTTTTCAAATTATCACAGTTATTTTCACACTCTGGCTTAGATATAGAATCCATAGTAGTTATTTCGTCATTTTCAGTAGGTTTCCAAAAGTCATCACCATTATTATTTTGAGAAAATATTCTCTCACTCCATTTATCAGAAATCATATTTTCAAAATTACTCCTTCTTATTGCAAAGCCATTCCCTTGGTTGTTACAAATGTTTTCGTTATTAGTTAGAGGTTTTTGAGCTTGATAACTTAATTGATTGTTAGTAACAAATGGCTTGCTAACCCTATTTGCAATTAAAACTCCAGGAAAATTAGGAACCTGAATATTTTGAGTATATGGAAGTAAATAAACCTTAGATTCTCGTCTCTCAGCCAAACCATGAATTAAATGGCAATAGTAAGTATTACAATCTCCACGTTGAAATTGCTCACAAATCTTAGTCTTGTACATTAAAGGATGATAATTAATTTCTTCATAAGAGTGAGCAAAAGGGCACCCACCGCCCCTATTACAATGAGAAATTGAGCTTTCATCTTCTTTAATAATGATATCAGGACACAAAACCGGAATATATCTTATAGTACTTTGGTTTGAGAGGTAAAAAGGGCATCTTCTCGGCCAATAAATATTGTGAGAATACTGACATCTAGTAATTCCAAAATCACACCCCATTTGCTTTGACCTTCTACAAGGCTTTGTTCTAAATCTACATAAATCATTATCACTTAACAATCTTGGGCACGCCATATTCTTTTGAGTTTTCTTCTTTATATATTTATTCTCTAATTTATTATTTGCCAAAATTTTTCAAATCAACTTCTTAGTATTAGCTTTTTAAATTGTTCCAGTTAACAGTTAAAGATTACTTTGAAAATTTGAAAAACTAATCAATAAAATATTATCTTTAGCAACTTTATTTTATCAAAATTTTAAAAAAATATCAACAATAAAACATTACACTAATTAAACAATGATTTCTTTTATTGTTAATATTATTATTACTTAACACTTAATATTACTTATTAATTAATCCTACTATTTGATTTTTTTATTCCAAATACTTAACTTGCTTATTATTAATTTATATAATATAATATAATATAATATGTGTAAATTTAGATTATTTCTCATTTTACTTGACATTTACTTTCCCACACTTTTATTTCCTCCTTATAGTACTTTTACAATGTTTTTTCATTTTTAATTATTTTTACTTGAAAAGTTGGCGCCAATTTGCTTTTTCCTTATTTTAACAATATATTTTGTATTAATTATTTATTAATACACAATTCACTCTGATTGAACTTCAATATTTTAGAAAACATGTAAATTTTAACTTAAAATATTGTTTCAGAAATTTATCAAAGAAATCCTTTACTAATCATTTTTATCTATTAATTTTTTTATCAATTATAAATGCATGACAATGACATGTAAAATTTAGGCGGGAATATTTTTTGCAATAAATAATAAAAAATAAATACATCTTTAATTAAAATTACAAAAAGAAAAAAATAATAGAGAAACCTATTTAAAAATTCTTGCTTATTTTTCTACCATATTTTTAACTTATTAATTCTTTGAGCAGTTATTTTTTTGAGAGAAAAAAGTTTCAAGTTTAAGAAGAATAAAAACAAGGAAAATATATATTTATTTATATTTAATCTATTAATTTATGCTTCAAAAGAAAAAGTAAAAATAATTTTTTTTGATTAAAAAAACTAGGCTTTAGGTGAAAAAAAAGGAGATGAAAAGGTAATTTAAAGGCTTAAAAGCTAAAAGAATTGAAGAATAGAGATCTTGGTATGAAATAAAAATATTAACAAAATTTTTACTCTTTCTCTCAAGTAAATTAAAAACATATAAAATAAACTGATGTTAAACCAGTGCCAGGATTTGTTCTAAATATCTTGAAAATAACTTATACATGAGTAATTTGGTTATTCAAAGTTAATCAAAATTTGAGAATGGGTAGAAATCCAAGAGAGGAGATTTTTGACAGGAGAATGAAAACCAATATATATGATGATACCTCTCTGGAGGAGATTCGTGGAAGAATTAGAAGAATAGATGGACACAGAACAAGTAGCTTATCAGATATTAAGAACTTTCAAAACAGTATTGATGTATCAACCCTAAAAGGAAAAGATAATTCTACCATCCTAATATCAGAAAGTACTTTGTTAGAATTAAAGCATAAAGTGGATGAATCTGAAACTCAGAAACACTTTATGAATGCATTAAAGGAGCGATTAAAAGAGACAACTCATGAAAAAGATATATTATTAAAGAAAACACAGGCAGATAAAGAAACAATACGTAAAAATAACGAAGAAATCGAACTTCTCAGAGAGGAAATTACAAAGTTAAATGGCAATATATTAGAATTAAAGGGGATACTGGAAAGTTCAAAACAAAGAATTGCAGAACTGGAAAGTTCTAATGATGGAAATAACATTATGACAGAAGTAGATATGCAATCTAGAATTGAATCTATGGCGGACTGTACCTTTAGAAACAAAGAAATTAAAACACTTCAGGATGAGCTGATGTTTAATAATGATCTTTCATCTAATATTTCAGAGGCCTCCAGTAAAGTAACAGTAAAAAGCAATATAAGACATGTACTTTTTAATGATAAAACAGAAAAGTTTGTAGGAGATTTAAAGGTTGGAATAAATAATTTGGGAACCAATTTTGACAATTCTGAAAATGTAAATCAAAAATCTATTAGAGACATCAGTAATAAGCTACAAGATTATGAAAATGAGAGTAATGCTACCTCTAATAGCCATAAATGTCAGATAAGTACTAAGCACAACTGGATGAGAATGGTAGCTAGACTAAATGGGTTTATTTACTTTAAATCAAAGATGATACTGATAAAACAGTATTTGGCAGATGAAGAGATGCAATTACTAGGAGATGTAAGCTTAGAAAATAACAGTAGTAATAACAATAGTAGTAATGCAAAGATTGGCAAAAAATCCATTAATATTGGGTATTCTGGTCCAAGTGAAAACAAAATTAGAATGGTATTTTCTCCTTTAAAAATTGAAGTTAATGAGATTATATATAGGTTAGAGAAGAATGGAGAAGACGACGAAGAGTATATATTTACTGAGAAGAAGCATTTACTATCCAAGCTTGATGAACAAATTGCAGTATTAAAGGAAAAAATTGAGATAGCAGGTTCTGTATCTAGTAAGACTTCAATTAGTTCTAGTAGAGTAATTTCATTTTCAGATATTGCAACAGAAAAGGATTCTATGCAATCCATTTCTGTGATTAATAGTTCAAGATCTTCAAAGTTTTCAGAAAAAATGAAATCAAGCTTTGACAATGTCTTTATGATTAATAGAAGACTTTTATTTATATTGGCAAGGTTAAAACTCTGGATTTTAGAAGAAACCTTATATGATGAGCAAGTTTTGGATGGATCTATTTCAAGCAAAGATGAATATGATCAAAACTCCTCAAGAAATTTATTGGACTACTTTGAGAATGCTTACGAGTTTATAATTAACAGAGAAGACAATGAAACTTATCCTATAAATAATAATGATTACCTAAGTATTGGTATTGTACAAATGCTATATATTTTGAATAAACAATGGGAAAGATCAATAAGTAACGAGAATAGATTACTTAATCAGCTTCAAGAAATGGTGAGAATTTACCATAGAATGAAGAACTATTTATTAGCTGCCCCAAAGAATAGTTACCATCAAAATTCAAAAGATTTAGAAACAGAATATTCCCTAAATAATTCAGAAATAGACAATTTCCATCTTTCAAACGAGAATAACTATGTTTTTGAGTTAGAAAAAGAATTAACAAGTCTGGGACTTGGGATTTTTTCAGGACGTGATTTGAATGGTGGTAACAATGTAAGCAGAAGCATAAATAATAAAGAAATTGAACAAGCAACAGATACTGTAATTGCTCTAAATTCTAAAGATAAAGCTAATAATCATGAAACTAGTGGTAATATTGATGGTTTGTTGAGTAGAGAACAGGTGAATGATATTTTAAAACATTTAGAGGATTTCCCTGATCCTTATATTGCAAATAGAAATGAAATTCTCTCAATTAGAGAATTAATTAGACCATTAAAATCATATGGAAGAAGAGCTCCTGAGCCTTATATTGGATTTTTTGCAATGATGACTCAACGCCTGGATAACGATATTGTACAACATGATAGAGAAATCAGAGCATTCCAAAAAGTTATTAAAGGACTTGAAGACCAATGTGACAGACAACAAGAAGAGCTTGAAGAGCTTCACGAGGAACTGGAACAGCTTTACGAAATTATAGAAACGAAGTATGATGAGCATTCAGTTTTAGAACAGGAAGAAACTGAGGATAATAGTGACAAGGGAGTAGGAAAAGGGGAAGAAAAAAAACCAATCGAAAAACAGGGAAACAACTCTAACTCAAATAATTCTTCTCAAATTCTTACAGATCATAAAGAGAAAAATGAACGTAAATTGTCATCACAAATTAGCGATAAAGAGTGGATTAATTTATGTAAGCAAACTAGCCTAGGTCTATCTGACAAAAAATAGCAATTTGCTTTCTATAAGTAAAATTTAATAAGTCTTATATTTTTCTATAATCTATAATTGAACAAAAAGCATCCTTTAATAGTATTACTTAATTCAAGTTTTCCCGCCAAAACATGCAATATTTTAATGGAACAAATTTTGCATGCAATTATTGCATGAAAAAAAACCGCCAAACGTATTAAATAAAGTATAATAAAAATTATAGTTACCAAAGATAATTAGAAAAAGTAAATAAAAAGTAAATATGGGGTAGAGAAATAATGATGTTATTGGGAGAAAATTGAAAGATTCAGAAAGAAAGTAGAAAGTCAATAAAATGAGTAGATTAGTAACCAGGATTTGTAAATGATTTTGCCCCACTTTTATTTGTTTTTTCTTCTTTAAATTTGCATTTCTAGATTTTTTTAATAGCAAAGTTAGTTTTTAAAAAGAGGAGAGGGTAAGGAACTGGAAGAAAGTAAACAAACAAATCAAAAATATAAGCAATGAGTAACCGGTATGGAACAGAAAAGAGGGAGGGTCAAATAGGGAATGAGGAGTTTGATTATGAAAAATACATGTATGAACAAAGAAGAATTGAGGAGGATTTGGATAATATTGAAGATGAGAAAATGAGTAGAAAGGGTTTGCTTATGAATATTAAAATGTATGATGATTCAATGAAAGAAATGGAGATAATCAAGGATCGTTTAGAATTATGGAAAGAAAGTTTGGAAGGATTAAATGAGAGTATAGGAAGAGATGCACTTTATGTTAAAGAAATTGCAATAAAAGTTGTAGAAAGAAAGGTGGAAGAAGTAATGAGTGAGAGGAAGATAATATTAAAGAAGATGATGGATAAATTAGAGAATTTTACAAATGTAATAAAGACAAGTATGGATTGTATGAGTAATTCAATTATTGACTTTGAAAAGAAGGTTTATAACAGTCAAGAAAATGGTGATTATCTAGCTTTTGATTATAAAAGTAATAATAGAATATGCAAATCGTATTACCAGTTATGCCAAAGATTAAAGGAGTATTTAAGAAATATTAGTCCTTACTTTAAAGATAATTTTGAGTTAGATTTTGGACTAAATATGGAAATGAATATGGGTTTGGGTATAGATCTAAATCAAAAAATTTCTGGAACTCATATTAACCATAGAACTCAAGTTGGGAATAATTCGAATAGATTTGAATGTGAAAATAGTGAGTTAAAATCAATTATTTTGGAGGAGTCAAAGTTGCTGAGAGAGCCAGTTATTCTGTTGATAAACCCTAAAAGAATGCAGACTATTAATTTGAGAAACAAGATTAACAGGCCTGATTTGGAAGAAATTCTTTCTAGTTCTGTGACTTTGAATTCAAGTAATGATAGTTTCTCCTCTAAACAGGAAAGTGATTTGTGTAATAATCACCATTTTAATATGAAGAATGGGAACTACACTTTAAACGGTAGAGGATGTGAATCTAAACATGTTCTTGGATCTAATACTAGTACAGGTGTTAAATTTGAAGAAGAAAAAGAACAAAAACAAGAACAAGTACAGGAACAGGAACAACAGTTAAATAAAATGCAAAAACAAGAGCAAAAACAAGATCAAACTAGAGAAAGAGGTTCTGGTTGCAGTGATGAAGAAAACGGGCATTTTGATACGGATGTTAGCATAAGCATTAAAAGAGTTAAACATAAGCTTGGATGCAGAGGATTAAAAGATAGGTCCAGATCCAAGTCTAGATCTAAATCTAAATCCAACTCCAGGTGCAAATCCAGATCAATTTCCGAGCCAAGAATGGCATTTAAGAAAGAAAGTGAGTTAAAAATAAATAAGATTAGAGGTTTAGTGAGTGAATTGGAATCTGAACTGGGTTCCCAGTCTGAGACAGAGTCTAGGATTTATATTAAAAAAGGCAAGTCAAATGGAAAGGGAAAGATTAGAGGAAGGAGTGGCAATAGTGTGGTTAGCAAAAACCTTATTGAAGAGAAAAGTATTTCCAAAAATAAACCAAAAACTAAGCCAGACAGTCAGAATGCTCGGTTTAAAAAGAAAGGATCTTATTCCAGTTCAAACTCCAGTTTCAGTCCACTTTCCAATCTAGAGTATGATTCTGACTCCAATTTCGGTTCAGTTTCTGATTCCAGTTCTGGATCTGAAATGAATTTGAATGGAAAGTCCAGGAAATCTAAAATAAAACTGAGAGAGTTGATTAAAGACTACTCAAATCTCTATGCTGAGTACATAGTTTCAAAGAATTTGTCAAAAATCAACACTTATTATTAATTATATCTTTAATGATTGGTTCCAAATTTTTTCTAGAAAAAGAAATATCATGAATATTAAATAACTTTAAGCAAAGCTCTGAACCGTTTGATTTAGATTTTGAATCAAAATCTGAAAATTGATCATTGTGAGTATTTAAAGATTCACCTTTAATTTCTGAAATAACAGATTCAACTTTAATTTCAGTAATTTGAAGAATGGATTCTAAACATTTTATAACAAGATTCTGAATATCTAGGCCATGTATGTGATCATTAATATATGAAATAACAATTTGTTTTTTAACTTCTTCACTCTGATCTTCCTTTATATATATATAGCTACTTAATATAATAAATAAATTTAAATTATTAGATATGATAAACTTTTTAACATCTGATTGAAAATTTTCCAAACTATAATGGCTTATCATTTTTAATAAATCAATCTCAAAACTGGAATAACCAACAATAATATCTTTATTATCAGATTTTTTATTATAAACAAAATCTTTATAATCCATTTTGAATAACTCAATTGGTCTATTATTAAATATTAAATCCACATTTCTATTAGAATTCTTTAAAAAATTGCTATAAAAGTTGGTGTATTTATTGTTTTTTTTGTCATTATCTTTTAAAGATAACTCTTCTAATATCCAATTGTAAACTTCTAAATCCAAAGAACTCCATCTTTTCTCTGATAATTTTGAGTCAAAGTTACAAGTATCTGAAAAAATTTAAACAAAATAATATGGGATTTAAATGTTCAAATTCATCTTTTTGATTCTTTTATTAATAAACTTACCTTTTAATATAGTACAAATGATCATCTCAAGAAATATCTTATTTTCAATCAAAGTTTGTTTATTAATCTTTCCTTTATTATAAGCATCTCTCCACTAGATTAGATTTAAAGATTAAGTTATAGAAAAAAAAAGAAAAGTTTCTTGAAATATTAACTTACAATCTTGCCAATTAATGTCGTACAACTTCCTATTTTAGTCCCCAATGATAATCTATACTTGGACTTTGTGATCATATAATCTTGGTGATGATCCACAATAGAAACAACTCTTTCATTAAAACTAATTAATAGATTGGATAAAAATTTGAATTAAAAAAAATTAATTACCTTTAACTTACTTTTTATGAAATGTATCCAATATATTATGATCAACCAATGTAATATAGTGTCCAAAATTCATGTTTTTTTTTTCATTTGTCAACTTTTCCATTTCAAGTATCAACTCACTAATAATTTCATCATCCAAACATATAAATGGTATATCTTCTATCTTAAAATCATTTGTTGAATCTTTATCTTGATTATTTGAAAAATAACTAATTAAGGTAATTAATGGAAATCTTAATTTTAATTCATTTTTATTGCAATTTATTAATGGTAAATGTAACCCATATATTTTGTTCTTATCGTCAAAGTTTATTGTATTATTAATCAAATTTAATAATCTTGAATAAGTAATTGCTGAAACAACTGAATCCTGTTTTTCATTATAGAGAAATTTTAAATATATTATGTTTTTAATAAAAAAAAAAAAAAAAGTTAATTATTTTTAATAATTCTTAGTTTCTTCAATTTCTCAACCAGTTTCAAAACTGTCATATTAATTCTCAATATTTTGACTTTTCACCAAAAAAGAATGAAACTTTTTAATTTTCAACTTACCAAATCAGCGCTTTTGTTTCCAATCACCAAATTATACATCATTCTTCCATCCATAATATTCTTGTCATACTTGTCATTCTCTTTCTTCTCTACTTTATTAAGCAAATCATTATAATACCTTTTTAATTCCAAATCCATGGTTAGTTCTTTCTATCTTTCACTACCTTTATTCTAAATAAGTATAAAACTATGTTTTTTACTTAAAAATATACATATATATATATATATATATATTTATTTATTTATTTATTTATTTATATAATTAAAATTAATTATTCAATAAACTATATTACTAACTTTTTCTATACCGGTATTCATGTGCAAATTTTGCGCAAATTTTTTGTCATACGTGTTTCCACGTATTACAAAAAAATATTAATAAATAATTATTGCATGCATGCAGTTACATTTAACAAATAATTTAAGAATCAGAAATAAAAAAAAAATGCAAATTTCAATATAATTGCATCAGTAAATTATCAAAAATAAAGTATTTAGTGAAAAGACTTTATTCGGAATTAATATGTTTTGATAATATAGAAAATACCCTAATTGCATCATCTTTATCTTCCACTGTAAATATAATTTTTTCTGAAAATTGTTTGCGGGAACTAAGTTGGAATTGGCTATCAGTAGAAAAAGATGAACAACTTTCTTGGCTTAAATTGATTGATGATAATGATGAGGTTGGAATTGATGGAAATGAAATAAATGTATTATTACTCAAATTAAAATTAGTTATTGCTTTATTTTCATCCATTGAAATAATTACTTCATTCAAAGCTTTATTATTAGTTTTAATGATATTTTTCTCATCAATGGTAAATCTTTTACTAATTTGAATATTTTCAATCTTTTTTGGCAACAATAATTGTTTCATAAATTTCTTATCAGAAAATAAATTTATTCCTTTCTTTCTCATTCTTTTAATCCTCCATTTATTAAATTTAAGCATTATTCCTGTCATCTGTGGAAACAAACTTTTCCCGTTTCTGAGACTAATACCATTATTTCCATTTTTGTTAATATTACTGTTCCAGTTTCCACGTCCAGTAGAATTGATTTTTCCATTACCTGAAAATAGTTTGTAACTACAAAATAGGCCATTCCTGGTTTTATTTCCTTTCTTACTATCAATCTTGAAGCAAGATTTATTATTTTGGTTTACATTATTCTCAATCAAATCATCCAAGTAGTTCCATGGTTTGATAAAAAGATGAAATTCAAAAGAACTTTTAGAAAAGGAACTGTTGTTGTACCCTATATCTTTATCATTATAAAAAATAGGATAAGTTTTTTCTGTTGTATTTGTATTAAGATTTTGACATCCATCATTGCTACTACAAATACCTTGATCATAATCATTACTATTTTTTTCATCAGTATCATCTTCATTCTTGTTTATACCTAGAAAATGACTCTCAATATCCAGAAAATTCTCAAACATTGTGGCTCTTCTATTTTTATTTTTTGCTTTTTCTTTGTTATAAAACATTTCTTTAATTCCCTTCCCATTTAATTTCATGTTTTTATCTTCAGATCTATTATTTACATTATTTACTACCATGTAAAGATTAATTCTGATAATATTTATCAATGGAACCATCCAAACCAATTTTCCTGATTTTAATAATGAAATGCTTTCTTTGAATATAATAATTCCATTATATTGATTCAGACTGGAGTCTTCTTTATTGTCCAGTAGTTTGTATATCAGGAATTTTTTTTCAATCCCACTACTAGTTACTGTTTTTTCATTATTCAGAATATTATCAATATTACTATCCAGACTTGATGATCCATTTGTCTGATTTTTAAAAGAGATAAAATTAATTACATTTGACTCTTTTACATCATTTACTAGTTTTAAAGAGTTTATGATCATATTTGCAATGCTATGATGGGGGTTATAAGGTAATATTGGACTTCCATTACATATTACCCTAACAGTTCTAATATGTCTCACTGGAATTTTTGTACGTAAACTTTGAACCACACCTGAAGAAATACCATAAAACAAAGCAAGAATTGCTGCAAATCCTGCTGGTATTATTCTCACTAAAGCTAAAAATATACCTAAAAATACACCCCAAATACCCATTTGTCTGTATTTTTTTTTAGGTACCTGCCAAAAATTAATTAATATACTCATTAATATCAGTAAAGAACGTAATAAACCTGTAATTAAACCTTCAATCAAATTATTTGGATTATCTGCCATATATTTACTCATAAATAATGGTGTACCATACCATATGCTCATTAAACAATCTTGATCCAATAAATAAGTTACCTCAAATAAATGTAATATTGCACTTGAAATTCTTACAACTACTTGAGATGCTACTGCAATTCCTGTTGCAACAAGAATATGTAATCCTACCATAATCTCCTTAATTGAAAAAAATACTAATTTTGTCATTAACTCTGCATTAGATTTTAATACCAATGATTTATTCTCTTTTAAAAAATCTTCAACCTCTTCATCATAGGCTTTAGTTTTTTGTTTTTCATCTAAGTCATAGCAAAAATCTAAAAGATATTGATATTGTTCATCCAACTGTTCTTTCTCTGCTTGATATGATGTTTCTTCAATACTTGAGTTATCTAAATTTTCATTTTCATTTTCATTTTCATTAAACTCATTCTCAATTATTTCTATGTCTTGATATTCCTTGATATGCTTTGAATCAAATTTGTTTGTTTTATTGTTCATCCCAGTAAGTAGTTCACCTTTTCTTATCCTCTTTTTTTCAATATTTTCCTGAATCTTCTCTTTAAGTTTGGTAGCTCTTTTGTAAAGGTCAAAATGGTATTTTGAAGCTAATAATCCCTCTTTTACAAGAATATAAATATCTATTGGATTCCCAATTAGGTCAATGGAACCAATGATTTTACCTATATGGGAGAATATCTGTTTTTTGTACAAATTTCCAATCTGAACAATACATTTTTCACTATCCAAAAATATTGATTCATTTATCACTCCCTTAAATTCTATTGGTACATTTGAGAATGGCATTGAAGATAACCATTGTAATATATTTAATATAAACTCAGTACCAGTTTTATTCATTTTTAAGTTATTTTGTATTTGACCCTGGCCTACAAGATTTTCGTTTATATTATTAGCACCTCCAAATTCAACTCCAATAACTGACTTTCTAATCTGATTTTCTGAATTATTGGGATTTATTCCGTTAGCTAAAAACATCCCAGTTGCTTCATCCAATTTTTCCTTATTTTGATTCTCAAAATTCTGTTTATAACCTACTAAATAACTTGTTTTGATCTTTTCTGTAATATTAGCATGATTTAAAGTCAACTCATTATTAAAATTCAAGTATGGATTCCCAAAGTTACTCATTATCTTGTAGTTAAGTAAAGCCTTTAAATCCATTCCTCCTATTTGGTTTGCAATATTTTCTCCAGTTATTCCAAACCCTTGAACCAGAGGGATGATTTCTCGAACAATAACCTCACTTTCACTCATCTTTGTAATATTGTTCATTATGTTATAATAGTCAGTAAAGTTTACATTTTGGTTTGCTGTTATATTCCATGTACTTTTGCTTGTTGAGCATAAAATCTGTATTGGATTCATTAAAAGCACTTGGATATAAACATACTTGGAAACCTTCTTTAGATTCTCTACTAAAGGTAAACTCTGCAAAGATATAGACTTGGTATTATCCAACTCCTCCGTTGGAGAAAGTATTCTGTTTATTAATTGATCCAAAATTGAGACCATTTCTTTTAAATTATCAATATCTAAATGAATACTTAAAGGATACATCCAAAAATAAAGGTAAGGAATCTCAATCACACCATTACTTCCATATTTATTAGAGATATCATTGGTGTTATCCATTACAATGCTGAATTGTAAATCTAGAAATGATTTCATACATAGTATCTTTTTAATCTTTTTCTCTCTACTAGTTAAATCTGACCCTTCTTGAATTCCTAGTGTCATATATTCTAATAATTTGTTATGAATACGAATAATCTCACTCTTTTTCTTTATTACTTCCCCTAAAGTAGCCACACCAACTGAGAGTAGAGACTCTATACCATAGTAACTATCTTCCTCAATTTCATTCATATCATCCTCCAAATCATTAGTCTTTTTATCAATAATATTAGCATTTTCATCTCCTCCATTTTGTTTGGGAGTAGGAGAAGCAGCTTCAGGTTTGGAGTTCTTCTTTTCTCCTTTCTTCTGGGTATTAAGTTTTGAAAGTCTTAAGAATTCATTTGGGGTTGCTTTTCTAATTATAGTATTTTCAGCAGAAGAAGTAATGTGGTTGTCAAGCTGAAACTCCATAATCCTGAATCTCATATGAAATTTATTATAATTTATTTTGGAGTTCTCCAGCTTAAATCCTATTTTTTGGAATGACATATAAGTTATCTCCTTATTTGCATTTGAAAGAAAAGAGACTCCAAAACCATCACATTTTATATTTATTTCAAAACATATTCTCGTCTCGGGTCTTAACTTATCAACAAACAATAATAGATTTTGACCGGAAGACACTCTGGATAAATTTGAGTTACTGAATTGGGAAAGCTCAGTCTCAAATGATGAAACAGCTGTAATCCTATTTAAACCTTGCTCTTTACCAATTTCCAAATCTTTAAAAGTCTCAAAAGATGCCATATTTCTATGTTCAAGGTTAGTTTCTGTCTCATTGTTAATAGTTTTATGATTTGATGAAGCAGATATATTTTTCTCAGTAAAATTTTCTCTTGGTTTATATCCATAACTTATGTAACTTGGATTCATTTCATTCTCTTTATACTCTTTATTTTCATCACTTCTGTTATCTTCATAATCCTCCTCATCGTAAATATTCAACTTGCCGTCTTTATTCCTATATCTCTTTTGGTTCTTTAACTTGTTCCCAAGAGATTTGAAAATAGACTTCCCACTGTGATTTATAGCCAAATCTCGATCACTAACTCCTTCTTCAAGGTCAGTATCAAGATCAATGTTGGTGTAATCATTACTTTGAACTAAATCATGTCCAAATTCTTCCTCATGATAGATCTTTGAGTTATAAGAGCCTGGTTCAAACTTGATACTTTTATTGGCTAGATTACTATGGTTCACAGCTCTGATCTCATTCCGTCTTCGTCTATACAAAGTATTGTCAAATGAAATATTAATTACCCTGGTACCATTCTCAATAAGCATTACAATATAAATTATGCTGTTGTATTCAGGGATGAAAATTCTGGAATGAGTTAATACCTTATTCAGGTTAAGATTATTCTTGTTTTTATACCAGAAATTAATGTTATGATCATTATATAAATATAGTGGTATTGATGAAAAACCATTAAATGCTACAGAACCACGATGATGATTGTGATGATTATGATGATTTTTAGTATGATATCCCAAGTGAATATGCTCCTTTCTACTCTGTAAAATTGGGTTTTTCTTGTTTAACTTAGTTAATTCCAAATTCTCTAAAGAAACTCCAACAACTAGTTCTAGTATGTGGTCTCCAAAAGGGTCCAGTAAAGCATAGTTAGAATCAGAAATAGGGTTAAAATGATTCCAACATGATGTATTGAGCTGCCTGATGAATATGTTACATGGAGTCTCATTTACTATTGAAAAATCTGGGATTTGAGATGGATATATATTAATTTGGTAAGATGTGGATGAATTAATAGAGTAAATAGAAACAGATGAAAGAATGTAAGTAAAATGTAAATTTCCAATTTCATTTGAAGGACCATCTTTTTCATTTTGATTAATTAATGGAATATTATTCAAAGAAGAAACCAGTCTAACTTGAATATCATATAAATTATCAATAGAAAGAGGTAAAGTTTTATATGGGATGTTATTTAGACCAATATGATACTTGCTCTCATATTCCTCAATAATCTTTGGATCCAAAAAGGTAATTTCAATGATAGAAACATCCTTATTGTCCAAAGGATGAAAAGGAATTGAAATGTTTGGTGGGATATACACCCAACTCCCAAACTTATTGGACTCTCGAATCCAAATTGGTAAATTATGATAATTTACAATAATGTATTTGTTATAAATATTAATCATGAAATTTGGAGATTTGGAAAAGTTGCTAATTGTTGTTACACAATATCCAAGTTTTAATCCAAAATGATTCCCAGAAATGTTATCCCTTGCTATATGTTGATTAATTAAATTTGAATTTAAATTATTCGCTCCATAATTAGATAAAGAGTTGAATTTCTTTGAAGGAACAGTAATAGTTCCAACAATGTTGGCTCTCTCAATATGAACAAAAGGAGAGTGACACTTTCTTGAAAGTTCTGGGTTTAAAGCAATACTTAAGTCACTCTTTCCATTAGTGGGAAGAATCCTAAATTCATTAGATCCTAATCTAAATCTGGAAAAAAGTTGTGATTTTTGTAAAATATAGATTGGAGCGTGTTGTCTGTTATTAATCCAAAACGGAGCATAAACATTTAATCTAACCTTGCAGGTATTATAAGCATTGCAATAATATCCATTCCAAGGAGTAGAAATATCCAAGCCATTATTTGCCTGAGATTCTTGGTAAATTCGAACAGAATTTTTGAAATTTAAACTAGGAGCATTATCCATGTAGTAATTGAAATCCTGTTTTTGTCTTGGAATGAAATCTCTTGATACGTAATCGGTTCTATTTCTCTCAAAAACAACATTGATGCAGGTAGAGTTTGGAAGGAATCCATTGGTTACTACTGCACTCATCCCATTAATTTTAGTAAGATCATTATTTGGCATAAGCTTATATCCATTGTTCAGTTTTAAAGGAACTAGAATCTCTTTATTTAGCTCCTTACTAGTTGAATTATAGTTAATTTGAATTTGAGATGATTTGTAAAATCCAAAAAACTTTCCAAAGGATACATCCAATATGCTCAAGCTTACAGAATTTGGCAAAGATTCTAATAGAATTCTCTCATTGTTTTTTAAATTTATATTTGACTTATTGGAATCATTTAGGTATAAAACCCTATCAATTAACTCGGAAACGTCATCTACCTCACTTTCTTCCTCATCCTCTCCTGATTTACTTCTTTTTCTGGTCTCTAATACTGAGCCAACTCTATCGTTGGAGTTTCCTGTTTGTCCTATAGCAACCCCATTATTACAGCCTTTATCGTTGTTAGCTTCTTCCTTTTCGTTGGGAATTTGCTCAATTGAACCGTTTATTTTGATATGTCTTTCTCTATCTTTGTTAAAAGAAAGTTGGATAGGAATCAATAAGTTGTTCTCTATCACTAATGGAATATCCAACTTTATTACAAACATGAAGGAGTTAGAGTTACTTCTTGTGTCCCTTCTGGAATATTCACAAACCGAGGAACATAGTGATACAGTACCACTCTCAGTACTAATGTTATTCCCATAGCCATTACTACCGTACCCACTACTACTACCACTAGCTCTTTCATTAACACCATTTTCCATACCTTCAAGGTTCAAATCCCCCGCCTGCAACCTCCTTGTCAACTGAATAGTACTAGATCCAAAATAATTCTTCTTTTTCCCAGCTGTATTGGTCGTAAACAGCTTCTTATAACATTTGTTCTGCATTATCTGCTCAGAAGAAGTAAACAAATTCTTATAAATTCTTGAGTAATCATTCATTAGCTTTCTACTGTCCATTATAAACTCATTCTTTAGTACTTCCTCCTCTTCTTCCTCCTCTCCTTCCCCCGGAATTTTTATAGAAACTCTATTCTTTTTTTCTTCATCACTCCTCAAAACTGACTCTAACCAAACATTGTTTATTACTCCCCGCAGTGGAATAAATTTCAACATTTCATGCTTGCCACTTGCATGCAATACCGGTATTGATGTCCACATTGGCATGCATGTATACGTATTAGGATTTAAATAAAGAGTAAAAAAGTCGGAATTGAAATTTTTGCAAAATAAATTCGATTGAACCAAAATATTAATATAATCATTACTACTATAGCTGGTTTTGTTTATTTCTTCGTCTAAAATGCTGATAATATAGTTTTTATCAATATATTTTCTGGAAATTGTCTCGTAGAATTTACTATTATATTTTGAAATTAAAATTGGTTTACTGTTCGTTGGAGGGATGAAAAAGTTGTAGCTCAAAAAATCTTCAACATTCTTTGGGTTCGGTAGTAATCTTAAGATGTTACTTGTGTTGTTTGAGATAAAAACTCGTGAGGAAATTGAAATCAAAAAAGAGTTGTTATTCATAATATCAGTCTTTATCAGTAGTGGAATCCTTGTTTGGTCTCTCTCACTTAGTCCGAGGTAAACAACCTCCATATTTACTTTGTCCAAAGTTATATTATTAAGGTCAAATACATCATTCAAAATTCGAATTCTAATAACTATTGGGTAACTATTTCCATACTCGTCCCTACTAAATGAAATCTTGTCGTTAGGTTTTAAGTACCTCCAGACGTAGTATAAATTATAAGTAGTTTTGCTTATGTTAGAAATGTTTGATATCTCTGATTCCTGAGAATAAAGGTCTCTTGTATCCAAGGCTGACTTCCTCCGAACAAGCAATTTATCAAAGATATTTTCCTTTATAGGTTTCTCTGAGCTGACCTTGTCGGTCCTTCTTCTAGTTAAATTTGAGTTTCTTCTCCTTTTGCTAGTACTTATACAATTCTCTGGAGCAGTAACTAATCTTTTACCCTGGCTCTGATCTGTTTGAATATCTGAGCTTCTTGATTCTAATGATTCTCCCACCCTGTTTCTCTTGCTGTCATCAAGAAACAAAGGAATCAATACTGCCAATGTCTGTCCAGTATCGTTATATAAAACAAAGTCTAAGTTACTCAGATTTCCGCCAATCCCTCCAGTGATCTGCCTATTATTTGAATTGTTAAAATTAAATGTATGGTCATCCCATTCACCAGATAAAGGTCTAGATGAAAGACATTTAAAACTTTCCTCTATATCATTACTATTCCTCCCCTTCATGTTATCAATACCTTGGGAAATCATTCTAAGACTGTTGTTATAAGGGAATACTCTACTCGAAAGAAGTTTAACTGTGTTGTTCAGTCTTAAATAGTATTTTGAGTAAACCTCATTAAAGTTATCCAAACAATTTAACCAATATTTCACATATTCTGGAGTCATTGTCAAATTCATCCAAGTAACTTCCATATCAAGTTTTGGTCTTACTTTTTCTTTTAATATCTTCTGAATATCTTCACCTTTACATATCGACAATAAACTAACATCAAAGGGTTCTAAAATATTATCGTAGAACATAAGCTCGTTATTAAAGATAGAGACTGAGATTTTTTTAAACTCTAAGATTAACCCAAAAAATATGTCCTTTGACTTGGCTAGAATTGGTAAAATTGGTATGCTGTTTATGGAAAATCTTGGGATCAGCAATAATTTGTCTCTGATCTCAAACTCATCCATTAATCTTTTCGAATTTTCATTGAATACTGATAGAAACGGAAAAATCTTCAATAGAAAATCATTGTTTGGAGTTTCATCATTAACATATACCCCAAGCTGAGTCTCAGTTACATCTATAAGTACACCATCCTTATTGGATGTAAGGTTAGTTGGGATATAATGAATTTTCAGCCCCTCCAATTTGAATTGTGAGATGAATTTCCTGTAATTAGTAACTGTTGTATGGAAAATTGAGGGAAATAAGTACACCAAATAATTTATCATCGAGTTATTCTCAATAGAACTACCGTTAGTCTGATAATTATAACCAACATTGTATCTGGAGGAACCATAGTCACTTTGGATTTCCATTGTATCTTGGTTTTCCAATCCCCCTCTTCCTCCTCCTCCTCCTCCGAGCTGGCCATTCTGATTGGAAAGGTCCACAAATAAATTGCTTTGAATCAACTTGTAATACATATCCACCACATTTGTCAGCTGTAGAAGGTCATTAGTGTTTATTTTTATTTCAACTGTCTCCAGAAATCCATAAAGCATTATTATATTCTCCATCTCAGATTTAATCTCTAACTGATTAATTATATAGTCAAGTTTGAATCTTAAAGATGAAACAATCTTTTTCTCATCTCCAGAACCTATATCAAAATTAAATTGCCACTGGTAGGAGTTTATCAAATTCTCAATCTCTATTAAGCTTTTTAAAGCTTGGTCTGTTCCAGGTAAATAGAAAGTCTTCACCAAATTTGTGATATTTGATTCACCTAAAACCTTTTTAAACTGACTTCCTACAGTATTATGACTTGTATTTGAGTTGTTTCCATTTGAATTAGTTGTTATAATACTTAAATTTCTTCCTCCTGTTGATGTATTTTCATTCTTCTTTTGTATAAAGTTGGAATAACTAGATGATAATCCCCCACTTCCAACTTTAGACACTAAAACATTACTAGTAATTAATCCATGTCTTCCTGCCAAACTATGACTCCTCGAAATTCTCCCTAAAGCTTCAATTATATATCTGGGAGTCAAAGACCTCCCAAATTGAATACTTCCTTTGAATATTTCAAAAGTACTTTTGATTGTATTACTTTTCAGCTTGCTATGAGAACTTTTTCTAGTCTCAATCTCAAATATAGATTCGCCATTAAATGTATATTTTAAGTCACATCTTATTACAGCTAAAAGAGACTTTAAAATGTCAACCTTGAAAGCTGAAGTAGCCGAAATAACAGAAGCTCCTGAGAATCCTGTACCTGAATTAGTTTGAGTTTTTCCAGAAGCAGATGAGGTTGCTGAAGAAGATACTGCTGTAGAGGAAGATGAAACTTCTGTCTCGGTGATCACAACCTGGATTGGGTCAGAAAGAGTGCAGGGAAGAATTGCAACAACATCTTTAAACTGAATCTTTAGATTGATTATAGATAGGAATTGAATAATTTGACTTTTAACATAATCATTATCTGTCTCCAAAGGTATTTTGTCCTGATCTGCTTGAGAATTGAAATTCTGTTCATGATCTTCTTGACTTTGGCTATGAATGTCTTTAATTTGATAGCTATTTATATTGGAAGTGTCCGAGTAATCTTCTATTTTACCATCCAAAATTGGTTTTATCTTGTTGATATCTATCTTTCTTTCAAGATGAATTGCAATAGACTTGAAGTAGAAAGTGATAATCCAATTTAAAATGATCCCATAAAGATCCCAATATACAATGAATCTTGGATTATTAATCTGAATATCCATATAAGTGTTATTTAAAAGGATACCTGTGAAATCTTTGTACCTATCAATGTTATTCAAATCAGAGAATTTGATACTTAAGCTGCAAAATGTATCCGAAATTGGGCAAAATAAAGGTACTAAAAGCTTGCTGTTTCTGTTCAAAATCCCTCCTGATAAGCATACATCCGATATAGACACATAAACCCCAGATTTAGCTTTGTCTCCATTCAAAACTAGTACTTTAATTAATGAAACATTTAACTTTATTACAGGTAAATCCTTAATTGCCATTCCTTGTCTTTCTCTGTAAACATTATCAGATTTAATTATAATACGGGTATCAGGTATAGTACATACAAACTCAATATTCTTTAAAAATTCAAAATTACCAGCCTTTGAAATGGAGTTAGCAATTATTGATTCCATAGATTCCAAACTTGATATTGAACAGCTTTGGTTACTAGATCCTGTACCTCCTCCTTTTAAAGATTCCGTCTCATCCATATTACTTACAAGGACTTGTGAGTAGTTAATAAAGTTGTACTGAGAATAGAAACTGACAAAGTAATTGACAATTTCTGCAATGTTGTGAATATCAAGATCTGTGGAGTTAATTTCTACACTAGTGTCTTCAGCAAGTTTCAAGGAAAATTCCAAGTTTACCAAAAACTGTTTTAGATTACTATTTGTATTTATTATTGGGTTACTCCTGTATTTAGAGACAGAAAATGTCCAACTTTGAGGTTTTAGAATGCATCTAACAGCGTAATCTTGTGGGTTTTCCCAAGGATCTTGAAACTCATTAAAGGTACCTTTACCTTTATTTTCAAGATCTCTATAAATATAAAGATCAATCAGCCTTACTTGTCTCATAAAAGATAAAGATATATTAGAAAAACTTATATTAATGTCATCAGTGAAGAATTTATCTCCAGAATTCTCACCTTTCCTGTATAGATTCTTTTGGAAAGTCTCAATAAGCATTTCACCACAGTCAATACAGTACATACCTGAACTAGTAGATAGTTTGTTGATCTTGTACTCCATTAAGTTTGAAAATAAATCAACAACTGGCTTTATAATGGAATTTTTTTCAGCTTTTTCACTGGTTAGAAGTGTACTATGGTTTGGTTTCTCAAGTAATTCATTTTGAAAATCCTTTTTTAGAATAGGAAAGAATAGAAGCTGTTTGGCTTTTGCATCTATATTTATGTATATATAGTTAGGGCATGGCATGTCAGAAAAAGTGCAAAAGGCTCCTCCATTATTAAAGAACTCTGACATGAATTTTTGACCTTTCTTGATTACTTTTACAAAGTTTTGGTTTGCTTTATTTAAATAGTTATTTCTCTGTTTTGGGCTCATATGATTTACAATGGGATCTAAAAATCTCTCAAATAAATCATATGATCCAACTATAGAAATCTCACCATAAGTCTTCCCATATACATTTACCTTTGGAGTAGTCCTAAAGAGATTCTTATTTAGTCTAATAGTTATCCAGAATCCTCCAATTTTCTCACAAGGCTCGTGCATCTTATTGTTTTCATGGTTGCCAAGAAACATCTTATAAGGCCTTTTACTACATATAGTGGTACCAGTATAAATACTAGACCTATGTAGTATAGGATGATTTGTTAATTGACTGAAAGCTTTCTTATTAGAAGCTTGAGAGTTTTGGATATTTGGTCCGATTCTAAGTAAGCAATTTGAGCTGTTAATTAAGTTGACCCCTATTTCCCTATCATCATGTACTACCATATAACAGTTCTCAGCAGCAACAGTCATCTCAGATTTCTTGGACTCAGTAAATAGTTTATATTGAAAATATAAGTCCAAACAGTTAAATCTCAAATTCTTCTTACCTTTAAAAACTGAGCTATGGTCATTTAAGCTTACTGAATAATTGATTGTTAAGTTCTGAGCATTTAATATCAGTGTAAAAGGAGAAGTATGGTAAGATCTATTATTCTTCTTATCCTTTTCAGACTTTAAGTAGGAGTTCAGATCAAAAGTCAATACCTCAAAAGGTAGTTCACACTCAGATAACAAGTTTCTAGTTTTTGTCTTTATCTTTCCTAATAATTCACTTTCTTTAATTAACTTTATTTCCTCCTTGCTTAAGAGAATTCCTCTTTCTTCAGTATAACTGTTGATATTACTGTCTTTGCTTGGTTCTCCTGTCTCTGAGTTTTCATTCATATTAAGACTTACAGAATAGTGGTCATTCTGTCCTACAACAACTTTAGAAATAATATACTGAACAAGATTATGACTAATCTTATCTTTTTCATTAACCATCACAGACTTATTTAAGTTTGAAAAGCCACCAAAAGAATCTCTACAGCTATTTTCTTTTCCTTCCAAAATTGAAAATAGAGGAAACTTTAAAAAGTTACCTTCATTTTTGTCTAAGTCAAAACTAAATATCGATTTTACTGAGTGGTAAATTGAATAATTAAGACATTTATAGACATCATTCCTAAGCTTAATCAGAGAATAAGCATTATAACTTTCTTCTATGTTACAAATCTCTGAGTAATTTCTATCTTTTTCTCCAATAAGAAAATCAAACCATGCAAGTCTGTATTTAATACAGAATTGTTCACTTGGAAAATTCTCAAAGTCCTTTGGACAGGAACCAGCTGAGAAGTCCCCATATAGAAATACCGAATAGTCTAAAAAGTCTAATAATAGTTTGAGTTGCTTTTCTGTAATTTCAATACTCACGTTATCAAAAATCAGATAGAATGATATCATTGGAATAATCTGGTTGTCTTCATCTTGAGATAGAATGTAGAACCTGTCGTTGAGAGCTGAAACATATATATTCTCATCATAACTGATAATACATGGCACCAATCTTGCTCTTAACTCAATCTTATGTGGATATATAATAAAATTATGGGTATCGGATTCTTTGGCTGATATACCCTTTAAGAAGCTTATTCTGTCTGAAATTTGTGATTCTGATTTTTTTAAATTGGTCCAAGGAGAATGTTTTGTTTCGTTAAATGTTGAAATCTCATCAATATATACAGAAAAGTTTTCTATTAGAAAAGATTTGAGGAATATCTCTTTTTTGGCCAAAATATCAGTTTGCACTAACTTTTCTTTACTATATCTTTCTATTTCTTTTTTCTCCTTTGCAATGATAAAACTATCAATAACTTCCCTACTTATTCCTGTACCATTAGGATGGGGAAAAATCAAGTCATTGTTAGACCAAGTCCCGGTTCTTACTGATTTGGTTCCAGGATCTACTGCTAATTTTCTCTCTCCACTTAGCTCCAGATGCTTTTCTGAATCAAGGTTATGTGGAGATTGTGTTTCTTGATCATACTTATGGCTGTTCCAGACCCACCTCAAGGGAGTCTTATTTTTAAGCTTATACCAAAAATCATGGGTCTCAGAAACTTTAGCTCCATTTTCTCCAAATCTAGATCCGATTAAAACACTTTCCAAAATGATTTCCTGCTCGTTATAATCATCTTTTTCATCGTTATCTACTTCAGAATCTTCATCAGAGCCTTCCATTCTTTTGAATTTAGGTTCTATAGATCTGAAATGTTTATTTACTATAGAATCTATAGTGATTTCATCTTGTTCATCCAACTCGAATCTTTTCGCAATAGAGTGAGAACCTTGGTTATTGGAGGAATTCGAAATTTTCGGAACTCCTGAATCAGCAACTTGAGCAGTTTCTAGGGGCAATCCAAGAGATTTGTCAGTGCTCCGTCCCAAAATAGACGCTCCAGATTTGTCTACTGGAATCCAATACTCATTGCAATTTCGACTAGAAATTTTGTCTATTCTAAGGCCAATTACAAACCTCTTCATATATTTTGAAAGCAAGTTTTCGATTCTGAAATTGATGTTTTTGATCTCAAACTGAATCTTTGAAATAAAAAAATGACCAAACTGCTTCAGAAAGTTGGAAGCCATACTGCTTTTTAAGAATGTGATGAATTCATCTTGTCTCAACAAATTAGTCTTAACCCTTTTCCAATTCTTTTCAAACATCTCTATATCCCATTTCTTCATATCAGTAGTATTAAAAATCACATAAACATCATCTAAAGTGATTTTCACAAACTCTTGAGTAAATATTTTTCTCCACATAAAATCTATGTTGACTTTCCCCACAATCCCATCACTTAGGGTTATTGGAAATGATAAATCCTCAAAGAGTTCTTTTCTGATGTCTAAATCTCTTATTTCTAAGCTTCCCCCTAGTAGTGAGATTGAAAGCTGTTCCTGCTCAAAATTCGTAAAGATTTTGTTCATAACATTTTTTATTGTAGAGTATAATACTCTTTCGGTAATTTTACTGCAATATCTCAACATCTCTCTAACTCACTTACTTTTAGTAACTCAGGTTTATTTTCTTTTTAAGGAAAGTTCCATTCTCTCCTTTCTTTCTTTAACACTTTTAATTTTTCAGTCTATTAATTTTATCCCAGAAACTTTGGATAATAATTTCTTGATTTATTTTAAGAATCACAGTAATTTAATTTGTTACCATATTATTCGCTTAAAATATTATTGAATTTTCTATTTGCCAAAATAATTGCATGCAAGCTTGCACACAATTATTTTGCTTATATTATATAATTAATTTCAAAAGAAGTGTTGACCTCAGTGTTTTGAAATATTTTCTGTGGGTTTTACACTTAAAAAAAATTTGAACTTCTGTTTGTGCCAGCCTGTCTTTATCTATCTTTCCTTGTATATGTATCTTCTCGTTTATTAAATTTTAACTCACCAATAATTTTCAATCACCCCCCCTCTCCTCCTCCTGTGGCCCCCCACAACCCTACATACTTTGTACCTGCCCACTATAAATTCTGGTGGCGCCTTTTTTGTATACATGCAAAACTACTAATTATTGTTATTTGTTTAAAGTGTGAAATGGATTAAAAGAGGGTGGAGGATAAAACAGTATTTAAAAAAAAGTAATTGTAGAGCAGAACAAAATGAGGGGAGGAAAGTAAGATAGGTAAGCTAAAGGAACAAATTGGAGGGAAAGAAGAGGGGAAAAAATTATCTTTTGAATCTAAACTTTCCTCTGAATCGCTCTTGAATATTTATTTTTGCTAGAATTAGCTCTTAAGTAGAGTTATAATTGTTAATTGAATAATTTCCGGATCCTGGCTTTAAAAGTCAAGATAAAAACCAAAAAAGTACTGTTATTCTAAACCCTGCAATATACCCAAATCTAGGTTTTGTTTTAAATTTTGTTCAGAATTTCACTTTAGGCTCTGTTTTTGAATATTCAAACAATACATGGCGTCCAAGATCTTTGGGTGGGTTGGCGCCTAATAGAGCATTTATATGCATGTATTAATTATGAATTTTAATAATATAGTTGTTATATTGTCATTACAAGAGAAATAGAATGTAATCACTAAAGCAGGAATATTCTAGTGAAATTTGATCTGATCAGTATAGATGAAGTCGAGAAAAATTTGGGCAGTTGAAGGAGAGGGAAAGAAAAAAAGATTATTTTTATGGACAACAATATTCAGTATTTTGGGAATATTGAGAAACACCTTGGTTAATTGTGCGACAATTACTCCAACAAGTATGTTTGTGACGCAGAACATGATTAATACAAGTTCAAGCTTTTGTTGGGAATACTCAGGAAAAACAATGTACCTTCCCATAACATCTACTTTTAGTACAGGTTGGGATAACACTCTACTAATCCAATTCGATTTGTCCAAGTACTCTAAGAACATTCGTAGTTCTAGTACAACCTCTTACCTTTCTTTGAAAACTTACTGTGATTCATATAATTGTGTATGTAATGCGAAATCACTTGTTTTAAAGTTTGTAAAGATTTGTGAAGATTTGTGTTCCATGAATACAAGTACAGCCAAAGACCCTTCAACAGTTGTCTCAATTCTTGAGACAACTGATTACGCTTCTCAAGACATGCAAACATCTCCAGCCACTATTACTATTAGAACTGATTATATTTTTAAGTACAGTGGATTGACAGATATCGCTGATACCTGCAACTTTAAGTACTTTACTTTGGGAATAGTTAATGTTGGGAACTGTAATGCATGGGTGCATGTAAACTCATGGACGATTGATGGTATATAATTGAATATTTTTTTTACAGTAATATAAACGAGACTAGTTTAATTCAAATATTAAGTTAATTTTAACAAAAACTACCTAAAATTGTTTAATATACTAAAACCTTTTCTTTTTTGTTCTCCTAATATCAGGCCACTAATTTGGCAACCCTGAATATTATACATACAGCATAAATATAAGGAACCAAATGCCACAAAAATGCTTCTAATAATAATTCTGTTGTTTTTGAATACCTGAAAAATCTCAAAATATCTCATTTCTAATGCATTCCACTAGCATAACTTCACGAATCCTATCAATCTGAGCTACATCAAAATCGAAAGATCTTCCTTCAGAAAGACATTCGGCAAACATACATGTGAAAACCCCACAGTCGGAGCCATTATTCTGTTGAGGAACCGGTTCTGAAAAGTTCGTAAAATGTTTTAACCGACCTGGAAACTCTTGCTTTTTCTTATCCAAATACTCATCTTGGATATACCTGCTCATGTTCTGAAAAAATATGGCTGACATCTTTCTGCAGCCCAAATGGTCTTGAAATTTCCCGCCCAAAGAATCTATATATTGGATATATCCAAGCTTAAAATTCACTACGCCCAAAGTCCAATGCACATTATTAACATTAATAGGTAGTAGAACAAGATCATATTCAAATAAATCAATCTTTTTTCTTTGTGTCCATCTGGAGACGTTCTTGTAACAGTACCCATTTTCCCCTCCATTTTGATTGTTTGTTAATTTGGTGTAAAAAAAAGAGTTCCAAAGCCATACCCTTAACTTAAGGCCTTTGGAGACTTGGCGATCATTCCTTTCCTGGAGCATTGAAAAATAAAAATTGATTAATTCATCATTAAGCCATTGTTGCGACCTTAGACATTGAACCAGTCCAATACTTAATTCAATGTTACTTCTATTATTAACTGCAATAATCACCTCTTTATTCTTTGAACCATATAGGCAATCTTTAGCCTTGTTTAATTCACCCTCAGAGCACTCTACTGGATATTTGTATTTGACTACCCCAGGTGATACTAATATTTGATCTCCTTTTAACTCTTGTTCTTCAAACTGTCCATCATCCAAACCATATACTAGCTTTTTGAATTCTCTTCTTTTATTTTCAAGATTTCTTTCGCATAAAGCAAGGCTATTTAAGTGATTCCCAAGGACTTCCAGATGAGTATTATTTTTGGATATTTTTTTGATAAACTGCAATGATCGTTTTAAAAGACCATCATCAGACTCACTATTCTCACAGTAAATTACCCTGTGTTTATTTTTAATCTCCTGATATTTATTCATTATAATGCATGTCTTATCATTCGAGGTCAAACTATTATCTGAACTTATAATATTACTACTGGACTTTTCATTTATAAAATATTTGTTTGTGTGTATCTTGTCTGGTGAAAACTTATCTCTTACTAAAGTCTGAAAATTTGTAATTCCAAAAAGATTCTCCTTTCTTCTTTGAATTGGACTTGGTATTCTTTCAGAGTAATATGGCCCGTGATTTAAAGATAGATACTGTGACAGAATATGGCTGTTACTCATTATTTTCAATGGCAAATTACCATTGTAGCTTCTTCTTCTTCTCATTTAGAAGAACAAAAAATACATAATCCTGTTGATCTGGTCTTTAATTTATTTTTGTAGTTATCAAATCTCTTAGAACAAGCTAAAGCTGAACTTTACATTTCCAATCCCACATATCACAAATTATTCTTCCTTTAGATTCAGACTTTACTGTTAACGAAATTAACTTGTTAGCAAACTAAACAAAAGAAAAGCTTTCTTCTATTTTACAGAGATTACCAACATTGATTATAGACTCCCTGGCTGATTATAATTCAAACAGGAGAAAAAGCAAGAAAATATGGAAACCGTAAAAATAGCCTTATTGATCCACCCAGACCTTTAGACCAAGTCTCAAACAGAGTTAAAACAGAAAAAACTGCTTTCAGTTTTGAAATTTCTGAGAGAAAATTATATATCTCCTCCCTTTTTCGCTTTCTTCCTCTCCTTAATATATATAAAATAATATAAATATATATTGTTGAATATTTACGCGCCATTTCCTTCCATTATACTTATTGGTAAAGGAAAAATGTTAGTTGAGAAAGCACAAATTGAAAAGAAGCACTAGAACCAAATAAGTAACAAGTATTTACCTAAAATTAATTTTCTAAAGAAAGAATTACGAGAGAAAAGCAACCACACATAAAATTTGCAAAGCAAAGAGGTAGAACAAGAAAAATAAAGAAGATTCTGGGAATTTTGTTTTAGCTTGAACATAGCTCTAATCTCAATTCATCTAATCATTTATCTAAACAACCTAGTTAAAAATCACATATTATCTCATGTACTAGTTTTTTTTTTTTTTCTTTAAAAATTTATTTAATAATAATTATGAGGGAATGAGCGCCAAAATAATAGACATCAAGTATTTGAATCTATGCGTCTAAAGAATATCTACATGTGCTTTAGATTTAAAATGGACAATAACCCCCATAGTAATAAATTAAATGTAATAGGTACATAATATTTAATAGAAATAATATAAATTTGTATATTAATATATACAAGATAAAGTGTACAAATTGAGAATAAAAATACATACAACCTCCACTATTTGGGCAAGATAAAAATAAAGTACAAGTCCAATATACTTATTTTATTTTTTTTTTTTTGCAGTAATTTTAATTTATTATAGTAGTGAGATTAATAATAAAAAATGTCATCAGGCGTGAAGATTCACCAAGAATGCATCGATGCTTTTCAGAAGCAGAAGATCCGCAAACAACACAGGTATTTACTTTATAAGATGGATAGTACCTATGAGAATATAATCTTATTCAAGGCTTCAGGACCAGAGGAAACATATGAAGATTTTCTTGCATCTATCCCAGAAGCTGAATGTTTTTATGCCACAATTGATCTTCCAGACCCAAATGGTCAAAACCCAAAACTCATTTTCTTAATGTATACACCAGAAAACGCTAAGGTCAAAGATCGCATGGTCTTTGCCTCATCAAAGGATGGTTTTGTTAAGAAACTTGAAGGTGTTCATGGAAAGCTCTTACAGGCTTCTGAGAGATCAGACTTGGACTACGAGCTTGTTACTAACCAATACTTTTAATCCAGTTTCTAGGACGGTGCCCTGGCCATCTCCTACTGAAATTTAAGAGGAAAATTAGAGGCAAGATAAGCAATGAGATATCTTTCTATGGTTTCGGTTCTCTGTAAAGAAAGGGAAAGAGGCTTGACGAGTTTTAGTTGCTTTAGCATGTTTAACTCGTTCCGATTTTGTGGATATAAACAGAGAACAAATTGTCTTGAAGGGAGTGAATTATTTTTATAGTGGATGTATAGAAGCTAAATCGGATGTTTCTAATGCAGTTCTTTGATCCTCTTTAATGAATGATTTCAGAGATAAAAAGTCAGACTCTATTTCTTAATTTTGTAAATTTGATTCGATTATCCACTAATTCCTATTTGGATTTTGAACAACTTTCTTTAAAGGTACGCTACATTTCATATTGAGATAAACGGCAAGTGTTTTTGTTTCTGCTACTTTGCATATATATACTTATCTTCCACCCCTTTGAAGTATGTTTGCATATGTGAAAATTGCAAACAGATTTCTCCCATTGATCTTGTTCAAACAGACGTTCAAGAATAAAGCTAAGAGGTGGGAATGGGGTGGTGCTTTTTAGGAAGCGAGCCCCTGTCTAGGGCTGTATACCGGCATCGCATGCACTGCACATGCACAATAACCGCAATGTGGACAGAACATAATAGGGTAGGGCACGACGGTACAAGTGATTGGCCGAAAGGTCTGTTAGAAGCATAATTACTATTTAAAGAAAAAGAAACTAGTTACAAAAATTTTTCTTTATTGTGCTGAAATTTATCTACACTTATTTTTTTCTTACTATTGTATGTTTGGTTGTTTTTGTTTATTACTTTTTGGTCGCTGGTTACCCACATATTACTAAAGTGCGAACATACGTGTTTGGGCGCGCAAAAAATGTAACAAAATTAAATGCATGTCGCAATTACTGAGTGGGACACAAATTTTTATAAAATAAGGAAACTATGGAGGAGGAAGAGGTTGAGCTATTGAGTGAATTTTTTAAGTCTAAAAGTATAGGAATAGGTTTGAAAAGACGAAAATGTTGGGAGATGTTGGTGGATGAGCTAGTGAAATTTGGAAATTGCAATTATTTTGAATACATGAAAACATTGAGAGTATTTGGGATAATTAATAGACTGGAAAGAGACTCTAATATCTTGTTTAGGGATACGAGTAGTCCGTTTTTAAACGATAAATCAATACTAAAGTGGTCAGAGTATATTGAAAAAGATGAACAAAGTAATCTAATTGGAAAAAAATCGAATCAAGAAATTATGGAATCTAGTATGGAAATAATAAAGGCAAGATTGGCCGGGGATTATTACAGAAGTGAACTATTGGATATCATATATGCTCCAAACGAGCCTGACTATTCAGACTATCTTAATTTGGACCAGCTTAATAATGGCCAAGATCATAATATAAAGAACAAACAAAATCCAAAAGAAACAAGAAATATGTTCACAACAGGATTAAGTGAGTTGGAAAAGAGCAACCCAGAAATTTATGAAAAGCAAATTAATAAAGAGAACTTCAACAACTCAAATTCAAAAGGAGTCAACTTACTGAGTTGTATGGGGAGAAATCTTAATAAAGGTTCAACTACTATCGGTAGTCAGAATACTGAGGCTGAAAGAATACTAGCTTGCCTGCAAGGTAAAGTGAAGATGGAACATATAGAGTGGGTTTTAAGTATAAGGACTGAACCAAAGAATTTTATTTCGGAAAAAGATGTTATTGGACTAGAGTCGATCAAGAAAATGTTGAGAGTTAAAATCATAAATCCAATACAACGCCCCGATTTACATATTGGTTTACATTCTGCTCCAAGAGGAATCCTCCTTTTTGGCCCTCCTGGTACTGGAAAGACTATGCTAGCCAAATGGATAGCAAGTGAGTGCAAGGCATCATTTTATGATGTGTCTCCCGGAAGTATAATGAGTAAATTTTATGGAGAAACTGAAAACATTATCAAAGCTCTTTTTATGATTTCTGAGTACTCATCACCATCTATTATATTTATTGATGAAATTGACAGCATTTTTAGCAAGAGAACGAGTAAGGATGATGATAATAGTATTAGGCTCAAGAACCAATTTCTCCAAATGATTGATGGTGTACAGAGTGATTTGTCTAAGATTGTTGTTGTAATTGGAGCTACAAATAGGCCAGATATGTTGGATGATGCAGCATTGAGAAGATTAACTAAGAGAGTATTGGTACCTTTACCAGATTTGGAATGTAGGCTTGAACAAATTAAATATATTCTAGAAAAAAATACTCAAGGAGGATGTCAAATAACTCACGATCAATTAAAATCTATTGCAATAGAAACTGATGGCTGGAATGGAAGTGATATTAAGAATCTGTGTATAAAGGCTGCAGAATTTTCATATGATGAGACTATTGAAAAGTATAATGGCATCCATAATGTTCCAAATAGAGAAGCATTTAGGCCAATTACTATACAAGATTTCAATTTATCATTGAAGCTAGTCAAACCCAGTTATTCATCCGAAAATGACCAAAATATGGACATCATTAAGTGGTCGAATTTATTTGGAGTTGTTTAAGTCATTGTTTTCTAACCCATTTTAAACTCACCTTTTCACACTTTCTCTCCCATCATTTCTCCAAGATAAGATAAAAAAAAAAAAAGAAGTAACCTTGTACATAATTGGAGGCCGATATTCCCTTATTTACTCAGGATCTCAAAATATAAACGCACTAGAACTCCTTAGATTAATCATAAAAGATTAAAAAGGAAACAACATAGCCAATCTATAAAGATTCCTTCTAATATTCTAGTATTCAAACTAAAATTAGTTACTTAGTAAAAACTCTTTCTTCTCAAGTAGTCTTATTGTAAATACAAAATCTTAGCAAAAAGAAAAATAGACAAGTCATTCTAAAAAAATAGGTATTTAGTTAAGTTAATAAAATATAATTCTTATATCATACTTTACTATTTCTTTTGGCAAAGACTTAAATGAAAAAAAGAAAGGTTAGGAGCTGATTAGATAACTTAGTGTTGTTGTCTGTTTCTGCCATAACCTCTACCTTGGTTACCTTCTGATCTACTTGGACGATCCATAGTCTTCTTTGTATGTGTTGCTGGGAAAACTGATGCAGGTAAATCCAAATAACGACGGAGATATTCAACTCCTTCATCTGTTAATAAATAATAGTTATGTTGCCACGTAAATTTCTCAGTTACAACTTCCTTAGAAAGCAAGGATCTCATTGTTAACATAACCTGGAGATTTGGAATATCCAATTCAGAATGTCTTGGATCATTTGGATTCTTGTGTACTACAATAGCACCCTCCTTGAATAAGTAAGAATATATGGCTCTTTGGTTCTTTTTTGAAACCAAAGACGCTCTAGAACCACATACAGCATAAGATGACATCCTGAATCTTAATTATTTTTTTATTTATAATGAATGGAAAAAAATAGTCTTTTTAAAGCTTTTTCAAACTACCTCTTAACAATATTAACTTTATTTGTTGCTCAATTTGAAAATAGGCAAATTTATATATATTTTAATATGTATGTGTATTAAAGTTAGGCCAGGCAAATGCCCGCCATGAGACAGAATAGTTATTTATTTCAAATTAAACTATTTTAGACACGTTAACCTATTTAAAATTATAAGTAATTTATTAATAATTGATTATTACTTATTTTTTTAAAAAAAAATTATATTTAATAATATACTCATATTATAATATTGAGACAATTTGTGGCGCCAACTGTCTCGCGCCTACTTTTTATTTTTTTTGAAAAACTTGGCAAATCTGGATGTTTTAGGTGGTTTAGTGACAACAGGTGGAGGCACACTTTCAAGATTAGGATTGCTAATGTAATCACTTGGAATCAATTGCTTAAAGCCATACCCATATGGCGTTTTTCCATCGTATTGCGAGTAGTAGTAATGAACAGGGGTTAGCTCAAAATCTGGCACATTGGTATAGTATGGCATATTGGGAATACTACCGAATAAAATGAATTCCACAGCCATTCTCCATCCATTGTCAGTAAATCCTTTGGATGTGTCTACAACAAACCACTTAGTTCGGTTATCTATTTGAGGGGGTAGGTAGCAGAGTCCAAGTAAACTAGCAAACTCTGCTGGTTGTTTAGGCCATGAATCGTACCCTGACCCAAATGTGTTAAATATAATGCAGAATCTGCAATCAGAAAGCTGCTGATTATATAGTAGTGATCTTATCTCATTATTAATTTCATCGAAAATAAGTTTATCATTTTGTAGAAGATTTACTACGTATACTATTGCTCTTAATTTTATAATGGATAACATTACTGGTAAGAGGTTATTGATAAATGCAATATGCCCAGAGGTATCCCAAACTAGTAGTACTTTCTTCAGATACATAATTCTTTCAAAATTGAAGCTTTCTGTTGGTTCAAATTTAGGACTTTCATCGAATCCCCCAAGTAGAGACGAATATAATAAAGTCGTTTTTCCAGATCCTGTCATACCTGTAAATATTATGTTTATTCCAGCCTTGCTGATTGATCTTGAAAGGTTGAACATTTTCTGTTTGATTTTTTCTCTGATAAGCTAATTTGATGACCCAGGTTTTCTTTCAATCAACTACTGTGAACTTTTGTATAGAGTGATCTTTTTGTTATTGCCCTTGATATTTGTAATGTCATTAATTTGTTAATGAACTGGATTGCTTCTTATTTTTGTGGTTCTAGCTTAACTATTCTAGTTACTTTCTGACTTTCTCTTGGACCCACTTACTTTTTTTTGTTCAATTGCTTATTATTCAATTGAATAATGCAATGTCTACATATATATCTCATTATTTGCCTAGAAACCTTTAATCTCACAATACATGCAAACACTTTCTCTCCCTTAAAAAAATCAAGGTTGGCGCCATTTCTTATATAGATCTCTGAAATATTTGCATGCTATTATTAAATAATAAAATATTATTAGTTTAATCATAGCTTCTCTAAAAATATGCTGTAAGAAGATGATTATTATTTAAGTTACTATAAACCCTAAACATTTTTATTTAAAAAAATTGAATCACTAACTTAAAAAAGAAGAAATTTTTTTTTTTTTAGCTCACTCTTTGTTTCTACAAAATTCTACTGCTTATACCTATAATACTAAAGATCCTTAATACATAAAAATTAGTTTTAAATACAAACAACTGACATTGTAACAAAATTGATATTTTTTTTACTACTAACTTCTCGTTGGACCTTTTTCCTTTTTTCATTTTTTCCACTCATGTTTTTGGATGCGTTTCCCGCCAAAGACATGACGGGTATCGTGCTGCATGCTTTTTGGCGGTTGTTATTAAAAGATTAAAAAATGTGTCAAAGTGCTAAAAAAACAATTAGTAAAAAAAAAGTCGAGTACGGGAAGATTCAAAGATCTTGTTTTATTAATAATTAACTTTATTTTGAAGAATACACTTTTCGTAGATTATTAACTATAAATAAAATTTGCATTCTTGTTTGAAAGATTTAGAAAATTTTGCCTTCTCAATAAGAAATTTGCAAGTTGAGTTTGATCTTTTTTTAGAATTTAAGTATTTTTCACACTTTTGTTAAAAAATGGAAAATGAAACTAATGTTAGACTTGCTGAAGAAAAGGCTATTAGGGAGGCAGAATTTATTGCTGCATCTGAAAGCATAAAGTTAACCCAGGAGCTTTCCTTAAGATTAGGAGCTTCAGAACCTAATTCAAAGAATTCCTCCAGAAGCCCCTCTATTTCTGATATTCAAAAAAATAATGATAATGATGAGCAACAAATATGTCAGCCATATCAAATTGATCAGACAAACAGTGAAGATGAAAATGAAAATAAAAATGAAAATGTGAACGAAAATGAAAATGAGAAGGAATATAAAGAAGAAAATTTAGATGAAGAACAAGACAAATTTCCCAAGGAAGGTGAAAATATTGAAAAAAGTTTATCAAAAGATGAAATTGGCTTACAAATTTCTAATACTATAGAGCCAATTATTGAGATCAAAGAAAATGAATATGAGTCTCAGTTTACTAAGCAAGAGTCAAAGCTCATTTTAAATGAATTTAGACATGACTCTTTAAGCTTTAAGAAAGAACAAGAAGAAACCAATGGGCATTCTAATGATTCTGAAATTACTATTTTGAAAGAACCTGAAAATCAAGATCTCGAAAATAATCAACATTCTAGTGATGAAATATTGCTCATAAATAGCCAAAAGTCTGTTGAGATTCAAGGATGTAATCACAAATTGCATGAGATTTCAGATTATACCAAATCTGGTATATCTATAATTCTTGAATTCCAAAAATCTATCATTGACAATTGCAAAAATACCAATTCTGTTAACACACAACTCAAAAAGTCTAGTTTGGATTACTTTGACTCCCTACACTCAAAACTTATCAATTTAGCTGGATTTCACAGCCCTGATGAATGTTCAATTTGCAAGGATTTTAGACATCAGGATGTCCCATTACTTAACTAATAATTTGGACCATATAATTAATATATTTATTAAAAATTATTTATTTTTCAATAATATTATTTCTTGTTTTTCTCCAAAATTAACGAAAAGTCTATTAATCTTAAATGTTAATTATTAGATTATGAAGACTTTTCAAAGTTTAACATCGCACTTAGTCCCATTGAATTCAGTAATTCAAGACTAAATTTGAATTTAATATCTTTGGGAAACTGATTAGACTAGTTTCGATTAATTAATTCACAACTCAATGAAAAACATATATTCTTTATGACTAAAGTCAATATTATTAATTAATCACTAAGTAGAATCATAAACACAAAGATGTATATCATTTCGGATAGAACAAATTTGGGATTTTTACACCATTCTTGACGAAATGCCAACAATTACGTGTCAATATATGCATGTATGCATGCATGCGTTTCGTTCAATACCGGTATAGAACTAAGATTTTTATTAATAAGTTTAATAACAATTTCAGCATGAATAATATATAGAAAACTGAATGTTACAATTTTTTCAAAATATGTGTCCATTAAAATAAAAAGTAAAGATTTTTGATAGGTTACGTTGTATATATTTTAGATTAAGTAAATTTGGAAACACATCCAAATGGAAATTAGAATCCCTTACACATTTCATCAGTATAATATGCACCAATACCTTTTAGCATATCATTTATTGTTCAAATAAAAACTTGTGATTATTGCTTATTTCATCCAACAGATTCGTTTCAACAAGAGGAGGTGCAAACTCTGTAGATTCTAAATCATTTTTGATTTGAGAAGAAGAAACTCCAAGATGCACAGCTTTGGCAGAACTTGTAATTTCTTTTCTAATGTTATTCATAATCTCATTCGAAGCTGAAGATCCTGTTGGTTTTAGCTTTACTCCTGATTTAATTTCCTCCAGCAACCTTGGCATTAAACCCTTGCTTGATGTAGTATTTTCCTTGACGTCTTTTTTCTTGCAACTGTCTTGCTCGTACTTTCCCCTAATACTTGATACTAAAGATGATGGCTCTAACATCTGAGGAGATGAAGAATTTGAATGTTTTTTAATGACAGGAACTCCCTTCAAATCACCAGATTTATCAGAAATTGAATATGCTAAGGAATTCATATTCAAATCAGAACTTTGAGGGTATAATCTTTGAAGAATTTCTCGGCGTCTATCATCTAAAAATGATGAATGTTTTCTGGTCGTTATTGAACCATTCAAAGATGATAAAGATGGTTGAGAAGTGGAAGAGGTCATTGAAGTTGATGAAAAAGAAGCCCTATCAGGGTTTTGTTCAAGACTTTTAATGTCTTGATATTCAATTCTCTTTGGAGAAGAGGAAACTGAAGAAATTCTCGTGTTTTTGTTTCTAATAATGTTACTATTCTTTTCAGCAGATTGAGAAACTTTAAAATTCCCTTGAGTAAATTGGCTCTTTTCGTACTTATCTTCGGTTTCAAAAGTTGAATCATTCGGATATACTATTTTAGCTGTATACCAGCAAAAGTATCGAATCTTTTCGCTTGGACTAACCTCATGAAATCCACTATTCTTACTCATCTTTTTAACTTGGGCCAATAATAACTCTTTAGAACCTTTTCTTAACTTTCTTCTTAAATAATAAGTACAGCTTCTATACATCATTGATCCGTTACCACCAATAAAATAGCCAGACAAAATATCGTGATTCAAATTCAAAACAGTGGCTTTTGGATTAAGATTTGGATCACTTTGTTTAATCAAAGCTGAAACCTCATTATTATAAATTTTATCCAACTCCTCAATAGTTGTTACTGGATAAAACAAGTTGGTACTTTCAACAAACCAAGGAGTGTTAATAGCAAAGTCAATAGAAGAACCATCATACCATTCCTTATTATCTGTAGAATTGTTTTCGGTAGATTCAGTGAACTCACTGCTATCATGTTGAATAATGTTTGTACTATTATTAGTAGACTTTTCATTAATATCTGAATATTTGATAACTTCTTTAATCCCAGCATAGTAGAAAAAAATTAATGATTGTCTTAAAGGTAATTGAAAGCCTTTTTGGCAAATCTTTGAGAAATCCAAAACTATTTCTAGATCTTTAGCCTTGTATTTATTAGTTAAAATTGATGAAACGTAGTAATTATGAAGATCTTTCCAAAAATCAAAGCAAGATTCCAAAATTGTATATGAAGCTCTTAGAAATAATAACTGTTTTCTTGATGATTTGTCCAAATTTAAATACTTTGTTTGTAATTGTAAAGAATCAATACTGCGTAAATGTTGAGTATCCAATAAATAATTAAAGACTTTTTGGAAATAATATGAGCTTAGGTTAACAAATATTCCAGCATCATTAAGCATTACTGAATATAGCAAGAGCATTCTATAAGCTTGTATAAGCCAAAAAGGATCAAGAGGACTTTCTTTTTCAAAATTAGTTTCAAATTCCAAAGTTGCACTCCTTAATAAATTATTGGAATAAGTCAAAATATCTCTTCTTCCAATCTTTTTTGGGAATAGTGAAATTATTGAATTAATATTATTTTGTTCTAATTCAAGCTTAATATCATTTGGACTAAAATCAAGTGAGGATTTATTTAAATTCGGACCATCTTGTTTCAAATACTTTGTCTGAGACTCTTTATCCAGATTTAAAAAGCAATCTTCAATTTTGTCGCAACTTTGTATTAACCTTGTATATAAACTTGTTAATATTGTAGGTAACTTAGCATTCTTTGCATTATTTGGATGAGCACGGATATTTCTTTTCCCTATTGAATCCTTAGTTTTGAGCTCTTTATTTTCTACAAAGTTAAAAAGTTCACTAATATTTGATAAATAAGGGCATGAATAACCAAGAATTCTATCTCTCAAGAAAGATGCAATTAATCTTGGGCATTTCAACTTGTTATATTGAAGATTCTCTCCTGAGCTGAAACTTAAAGCTAGGCCCATCATGCTTCTCTGAAAATGTTGCCCTTCAAGACATGTTTTAACTTTGTGAGAATTTTTCTCATCTATTTTTGTAATTTCCTTTATAATATCAGGAATTACATTGTTTGTACATTCTATTAAATTTAATGATCTTGGAGAGAATATAAGACCTTCCGTAATAGCCAATCTACTTATATCGGATGTCACATAATTCAATCTGACGAAATTAATTAATATTATATACAATGTAAGTAACTTGCATTTTTTTAATAGAGATTCAAAGACTGTCTCAATATATTTTAACATTTAAACAATTTATCACTTTAAAGTACCAATAAATTAAAAAAGTTTCTGACGATAAATTGATATTTATTTGCTCTTTCTTTTATATTGTTTTAAGTGACTATTTGAATTTTCAGTTATCTGGATGACTTAACTTTTATAATATCAAATACGTAGATAAGGCATCATTGAGCAATTAATAACCCTTGTTAAACAAAACAAAAATAGCAATACAGTGTAAGTCTGAATTTGACTGCTCAAAAAGTTCTTGAGATTCACCTCCGGAAAAGTTTTAAAATTTTTTTGAATAACCCCTTGTCTTAATTTTACTAAAGAACGCTCAGGTTTGACAATTTATATATATTCTGCCCAGGGCGCCTAATGCATGTACTTATATATAAATTTAAGTAATAAAAATAAATATATTATTTATATTATTACTATTTATCATTATGATTATTACTATTATATATATATTGTATGTATTTTTTACTGATACCATTTATGTAATTGATTTATTATTAATTTCAATTTGATTAGCCACATATTAGTATTAATATTACAATTAATTGATCATCTATTTGATTTTAAATAGTTTTGCGGAATATATGAAAGTCTTGTTTTAGTCAAATAAACTTTTTCCCGTCATTTAATACCAAATAAACTTCTCATGTTAAAAATTTGTTTTTTTGTAATTCGATATCCATTATTCCAAAGATATTTGAAAACTCATTTATTATTTTGCAAAAATCATTATTGGTAGACTGTTCTTATTTAATTTTCACTTTTAAACAATACCTGAAGTAAATAGTAACCAATCATATTTATTCTTTAATATTAAAAATGAGAATCACAAATATAGCATTGTTTTTTTAATCCTTCAAAACTCTGCTAGATTTTATCGATTATATTCTGTATTTAATATAATAGGCACTTTTTTTTTAATAATTGCAAATTATGACTGCATGTAATCAACGGTATGTAACCACTTTATGTGGAAAGCAAATTATTACTATTTCGATTTAATACCGGTGTTTGCATGCATTACTTTTTTGCGTGGAAAGGAAATATATTGAAAATAAATTATTTCATTAATTTGAAACCCTCACCTGAGTATATATATTTATCTATCTATATATTTATTACTATTATTAGTTTATTATTTGTATAATTAGTAAAAATATAGTGATAAAAAAAAAGAGATTATTTATTTCTAACAATACTGATTTTCTGAATCAGAAGTTTAATTTAAACTACTCAATATATTGATTAATGAGATTATTCCAGTTTTCTTCATCTTCAAGCTCCTCATTATTATCCTCATCTGCTTCTTGTAAATCTTCAGTTTCTGTCTTCTTTTTAATATTAGCGTTAATATTACCTTTATCATCAATAGAAATGTTTTGGTCATAAGATTGGATTAGAACAAAATTATCAGAACGTTCTTCTTCCTCTTCCAAATTTGAAAAGTGCTGATAAATATTTTCCCTGGCCTTTGATTTAGTTATTCCAGGAGGCAATTTATTGGTGTCATCAATGAATCCAAAGCTTAAGCTGTGAGCACAAGCTTCCTCAATAACAGCAACACCCATACTCCTTCTGAATTTATATCTTGCAGTTATAGAATGAGCAACACAGTACCTTATCATGGAAACTGGTTCAACTCTAAATACTGAATATTGAATAACATCTGAAACCCTGTCAACTTTAAAAACTGCTTTTTTTTTAACTCCTGAGCGAATTAATAATTCATTCGCATAAATCATAAATCTTATTGATCTAACAAGTACAAAAAGTTTTTCAATATAGTCAGGACGTTTGTGTGCCTCTAATTCATGGAATTTTTGAGTCATTCTAAAGAAAGTTTCTGATGCAAAAGTATGCCCAGAAACTGCCCCAATAAATCTTTTATTTGAATAAATACTAGATATCTTATTTGAATATTCAGAAAATAACTGTTTATTCTTCCTATCATTAACTTCATTATTATCTAAGCATTTCTTAGCTCTTGCACAAATTGCATTAGCATTTGGTACAATCTGATCATCACTCCATAAATTTATTGCTTGTATACATAAATAATCCTTAAATAATACATCGGAGCCTACTGAATAAAGAGATGCTCCAATAAGATCTTGCAAAGAATAGCTTGCCAAAATACCATTAATAAATGGCTTTATACCAGTATACATACAGTGTACTTGTTCCAAATAAAATGCACTTGGAATTTCTATAATATTTACTGCATAGCTATACACTCTCTCCAATGGATCTACTGGCATTTGTGGCAAATCTTTATCTCCAACTAATATTGGCATTCTCTCTTTTGCTGAAAGTAAATATCTCCAACGCCTCCATACCCAATAAATATATTTTCTTTTAAACTTTCTTGCCCTACCTCGTCGTTCATGCAAATAACTCTTTTGAACTGGAATGTGAGTTTTCAAGTTGTTAACATACATCTGAATTGTCACATGCATATCATCATTATTTAATCCATATCTTAAAGCCCCCACCTGTTTATTTCGCCTTTTCACATAAAGCCAATTTTTTACTTTCATTCTTCCATATAGTAAAGATGTTGAAGTTTGAGGGTGTCTGGGTACCAAATTTTCATAGAGACTTGCTGTGTACCTTTCATTAGCAGTATTTCCTGTGCTTTGTGAACTTTTTTTTGCTCCACCTTTGGAATTGTTAGGTGCACAGTTTATTGTTTTTACTTGGTACCCATAGAAAACAATCACAAGAAGTGAAATCAATGTCACCTTATTATAAGGTATTTTTAAATTCATTGCTTCCAATTATCTTTATAAATGAGATAAGTTACCAAAAAAATCATTGAATTGTTGACTTTTTCATCAATTATTGATGTTTTCCTCAATAGTTAAATTTTAACTTTTAGACATTTGTGATTTCCCGCCAACTATGCAAGCAAAATTTTTAATAAATTACATGCAATGAATGAGATAGTAAATAAATCAAAATAGACACGTAATAAAATTAATATATTATTTAAATAAATAATTTAGGTAAATTTATGTTTTAAGAAACGTAAATTACTTAAAATATGAAAAATAAGAATTATCATTATATTAAAAAAGTGATTTACAAATCATTTCTTTTTTTTTTTTATATAATGATAGTTTGCAAGTACAATTAATCTGATTGCATTTAATTCTCAACGAGAAAACCTAGTGCAGAGATTTTGGACATAATTAAGATAAAATTTAGTTTTGAAAATGTTGTTATTTGTTGTTACTGTGGTAGTAGTATTAATAATAGTAGTGATAATAGTAATAGTAATCGCAGTATTAATATGTAATAGTAGCACTAGTAGCAGTAGCAGTGTTAGTAGTAGAAACAGCAGTAGTATTAGTAGTAGCAGCAGTAGTGGCATTAACAACAATAATAGAAGGATTTTTCCATCTTGGTTTTCTACAAACATTTAATTAATCAAAATAAATTATCGGGAAACTAAATCATATAGTTTTTCCTCCTAGTCAAGTTAAACATAGTTTCTATTTCTATTAGATAAAATACTTTTAGATTTCTTTAATGTAGAACTCTTACTATCCTCATTAATTGGAACAGATTCAGATACTTTTATGTTCTTTTCATGATTAATTTCTTTAATTCTAGGCAAACATTCTGTTGAGCTTCTTGCATTAATATCAATTCCAGAAAGTTGTTCAAGAGTTAATAATTGAAGTTTTGATAAACCAGTAAGAGGAATCTCCACATAACTATTTGGAACATATAAATTTTTTCTCCTACTAATACCAAATTCACCTTGGCTGTTCTGATTCTCTAAGTCATATTGATTTCCTTTTGAGTTATAATTCTCATATATTAATCCTTTAAAGTATTTAACTTCAGCCTTTCGGTTCTTATTTTTCTTTCTAAATATTTGATGATCATTAAATAAATCCTCTTCAAGTTTTAGTGAAACTGGTTTTCCTAAAACCTTTCCGTAAAGATCAACAATTCTGCATTCGCAGTCATCCTCATTATCGCATTCGCACTTTAATCTGGCCTCTCGGCTCTGATCATTCTTATCTTCTCTTTCAGATATCATTTTTCTGTTCTTCTCAAAACTTAATACTTGATTTCTTTTTAAAGCTGCTTCTAAGAACTTTCTTCTTTCAAAATCAACAAACCTCTCATGTCCTCCCATGATTATTTTCTCATCTCTTCTAATTTGATCTAATTTTGACTTAATTTTATCACTCTCTCTTTGAACTCTTGCAGATACTCCTAATTTATTTTCAGCATCAGGATGATGTATTTGACCATATCTGTCTCTTAGCCTCGACTCTGGAAGAGGAACTCTAACCAGTCTGACCATATTTTCATACTCTTTAATCCTTTCTCTATCCATTCTTCTTTCTGTTCCAATTTCAAATATACTCTTTATGCCTTTTTTCTTTTTAAACATATTATCATCAATCTCAACATTTAAGACATCATTATTTAGTAATTCTGTTAAATAAAACATTATTTCTCTTATTTCTGCTCTTTCCTCATTATTATCATCATCATTATAACTAGATATATCTTCGAAAGATTCTGTCTCTTCTAATTTGGCCATTTCTTTTTTGATCTTTCTATTTAGAGGTCTTGTTTCATCTTTAGAATAATATAAACTTGATGCTTTCATACAAAACAAATGTAATGCTTGGCCTACTTTTAATCTAATAAGCTCAGCATTTTCTCTCTCATTTTTGTCATTGATCTCTCCTAAATTAAAGTAGTAGTTATTTCCAAGTCTATAAACTAATGTTCTCACATATAGGACTGGCGAAACTGTTCCTTTTTTAGTTAAAAGTAAAAAACTATATATACAATTCTTGTACATGCTTTCTGCTCTTCCATCTGATTTCCTGTAAATCTCCTTGAATTGTTCTGGAACTTTTCGAACAAATGATGTGCTAAGTTCAGATGCTACCTTAAAGGCTTCCAGTTCCAATTCCAATTCGACATCTTTCCTTACCTTCTTTCCATCACCTCCTCTTCTTAATAAATCATTCTCCCTTAAAATGCCAGGTTCCTCAGTCTTATTTATCTTTCTTCTTACTAAATTTTCATAATCTGTTGAGTACGCTAATTTGAATAACCCCTGAAGAAGAATTAACCCAAATTATTATAATAATAGTATTTCAGCGTTTAGTGTTAATATCAGAAAAGAGGAATAATTTGTTAATTGATTCTTTTCCTTTTTTTCTTTACTTTTTTTCCTTTTTCTCTTTCTCTCTTATTTTACTCTCCTCCAATTTCCTACTTTTCCCCTTGCTCCCCTTTTTTTTTTATTTCATTTCTTTCTTCTCCCTATTGAAGAGATTTTCTCTTTTGTATTTTTAAATTAACTTATCTGGTACAATGCATGCAGCTCCAAAATTTTACGATTTAATATAAGCACATTAAATTTTATTATATAATACCGGTAATTGTAAGTAGTTTTCTTGAAAGTGCATGTATTTAGAATTGCATGCATTGGAAAGTCAAAATAAGAGAGATATGGAATCGGAAAAAAAAAAAAATTCTTGCACCAATTTTACCTTAACTTACCAGAATAACTGTGTTTATTGCAAAGGTCATAAACAAACTTTTTTTTAGCTTCATATTTTTAAAAGAAAAGCTTCTATTTATTATCTTTTTTCCCCTATTACATAAGAAAATTAACTGGCGCCAAACTGTCTTTTTTTACATGACTGAAAAATAATATGCATTTTGGTGGAATCAAAATTAAAGCTGATTTTTGGAACCAAACATTCAAAAGTTTTACTGAACGTAAAGATTCATGTTTTTGATTTGATTAAACTAGAATTCAATAAGAATAGAAATTTTTAGGAAAAACAGATTTATTAGGCAAAAACAAACATTATTAGGTAGACTATTGAAAACTTACTTAAAATAGGATTCACCACATTAGAAAATTTCAATAATATTGCAAATACACGAAAAAAAAATAATAAAACTTGCTATTTAAATAAAAACAGAACAAAATAGAACAAGGAATACAGAATTAAAAACACCAATCAGTTAAGTTTGTACAGAAATCTCAAAAAAAAAAAAACTTAATACGGCGCCCAAAGCATGCAAAAATTGATTAATCCTTTTATTGACCCTCTTCCTAGTCCAAAATATAAAAAGAAAAAAATCAATTTAACCAGAAAAATCCTATTCTTTTACAACGACCTAAAAAATAAATAGTATTAGCCCTACACAATTAAGAAATGACTGCCACAACCTTAAACACCTAACAAATTTGGTTCTTTGACCCTGAATAAGATTGCAATAACTCACAAGACTTTTCTATATTCCATATGATCTCTTCTAATGTCATTTTAAAGTATTTGTAATAAGTATCACCACTATTTGAAGAAAAAAGTTTTAATGGATCCAAGGAACCATCCGTAACAATGATTGTAGTCAAATACTCCAAAGTGGATGCTACAGTGATCATGTCATTAGCTTCATCAAAATTGCCATTACAGTTATTTGGTAAAGTATGATTAAAATTAACCAATTCAACCTCAGAAGACCCACCGTCACTAACTGAGATTCCGGCTGCCTCATTGTTAAAATTATTAACTTCGTTGTAAGCATTCAATACCTTAATATCTTGGCCAAATAAAAACTTAATGCCTTTAACTCTCTTATCTTTGTCCAAATTTAAAATTATGTTCTTACTAGATAACCCACAAAACATTGGAAAACAAACCGTTTTCAATCTACTATAATGTTTACATTCTGGGTTAGGAATCCAAATTGATTTAAAGGTTTTAACTATAATACCAGTTAAAGTAATTATCTCTGTTTGATGGAACTTTGGAATAGAAGAGAAAGTAACTTTCTCTGATTTATTATACTTATCGTTAACAATTTCTATCTTATCTATTATATCCTTTAGCCAAGCATAAAAACTAACTTTATTTTCCTTTAAAGAAAATACTAATAAATTATTCATTTCCATATTGTCATATCCATTAAAACTCCTTCTATATAAGTGTTCATGTGTTTCTGAAACCTTTTTAATAACACTTGGTGGAGCCTTATATTCAACTATTCTAGAGTTGTAATTATAAATACATGTGTTTCCTTTATGAATAAATACCTCATTATATTCTGAGATTTTATTATTTATGTCTCTAGAAATTTCTGGAGAATTTACAAGGCCAATCACGGAAATACCATTTATTTCCTTATAGGAAAATTCTGATTCAAAAACGGAAAAGTTACTGTTGTAGATCCAGGGAAATATAATGTAGCTATAATATTCATTAAATATAGAAGAAAACTCCAATATTAAAAGTCCATTAGAGTCTTTACCATATTTATCAAATTCTGGAATAGTTTTACATTTAAGCTGTCCATAGGATAAGGAACTATAAAACCTGTCTCTAACACAAAAATGGTAAAGTTCGATTATTGAATTGATTTGGTCTAAACTTAATGTCAAAAGCTTCTTTTCAGATTTGTTTGATATTGGATCCCTTTCCACTATCCAAACTTTAATGTTTATCATTCGGTCTTCAATACTTTTATAAGAATCTCCCAAGTGATAAACTGTAGAAACTAAATGGTTCAAATGGAATCTGAAAACAGATACCATTGACTCAAAAATGTCATAATGTTTAACTGAAATACATACATTTTTTGGGCAAATCATATCTTGATTAGAATACAGTAAAGGCATCATTCTCAAAATGATACTTTTATTCTCAGGATTCTTCATACATTCCAACTTTAAATGTTCAACAGATTGGAGTTTGTTCCTTGTTGGTTCAAATTCTTCGAAGCTTGAACCAAAATGAACCTGTCTAATATAACCCTCAAGAGAAGACCTTTGTAGTAAGAAGTTAAGTAAGTCAGTAAACCTTAAGGATGGTATGTCCAAAAGCTTTTTGGTAGAGACTGCAATACAGTAAAAGCTCAGAGTTTGTTCTGGAATTGAAGGGAGCATTGTAGGTATCAGCCTTACAGTGAAATTTGGTAAAGAAATCTTTTCCTTTTTTAGATTTAATACCATTTCTGTTGAAACTGGCGTTGATTCACTACTAATACTCCCTCTATTTGATATCTCTATTCTCCTTAGATTCCTTGAGCTTGATCCTAGGCCTGATGTTAGGGCAGAGTCTGATTCTAAGATTGAGCTTGAGCTCGAACCCGAGTCTGAGTATAAGTCTGAGTCCAAGTCCAAGCCTGAGCCTGAGCCTGAGCCTGTGCCTGTGACTGTGCCTGAGTCTGAGCCTGAGCCTGAGCCTGAGCCTGAGCCTGAGCCTGAGCTCGAATCCGAGCTTAAGTTCAAGTCTGATCCAGAGAAGAGAAATCTGCTAAGCAAATCCTTTTGCCCCAAATCCTCGCCATCATTTACTTCAAATTGCTCAAGTGCGAGAATGGAGTTCCAAATCACCTTTCTCAAATTCTGAATTATCCTAAAACCTGAACTCAGATCATTTTCTCCCTTGTCGTTCAGATCCTTAGTAATATTCTTCATCTCGTCACAATAATCCATAGTATGGTTGTGAATCTTCATAATGTCCTGGTAATTTGATGAAAAGTCAGAAAAAATCGTCTTAGAAGGATATGAATCTGAAATAACCTCTGAGAACCTACGAAGAGACATATGGAAACTACATAAAGGATCCATAATCCTCTCGTAGTCATTCCTAGATACCTGAAAATTATTCTCTATTACTGATGGATGCTGGCAAGGATTCTTATCCGGAAGCCTCTCTATGTCCTCTTCCAAGTTTGTGATCTTCATATCACTCTCATAAGAATAATCTACATCTATTATAGTAAAATATCTCTGGTCTAAATGCTTTAAAACATTATTTAAATACTTCCTCCAACTATATTTATTCCAACTAGATGGAAATCTTGTAAGGATATTTGCATGATGCATATCACAATGTTGATGGAACTTAGTGCCTCCTGTCCAAAAAGATAATAAAGTTGTTAAAAGATGGTACCCTAAATAATAAGTTGACTTTAAAATCATTCTAAGAAATTTATGACCTCTTCCTGTTACAATAAAATTTAAAGCTAAAGGCTCCACCTCAAAAATCTTATCTACTACACCTTCAAGATCTGTTGGATATATAATATCACTCATTGTGTTTATAGGAAAAGAAACTGTATTCTTTTCACCATCATAATTAATAGGATTCACAAACTCTTGGATCATCATGTAAGGAAATAATATTGAGTTACATACTGACTTTGATCTACTGGTACTTTCAATTTGAATTATAGAGGGAGTCAAAGGTATAGATAATCCTGGTGTGTCTATTACTGAAAACTTTTCTTTGTAAATTCTAGAGTTTCTAATCAAAGTCTTATTATCATAGTAATCACCATCTACTATAAATGAAATTGGACTTGAAGCATAGCTAAGCTTTAATACCAATACCTTCTGTGGATTAGATGATTCAGGTTTATAAGTGAACTTACTTGGGTACTTTTCGCAAATTTTCCTCTTTAAATCCTCATTATTATTATGATATGGAAATGGAAGTCCATTGAAATAAGTAAGTCTTAAGTTAGATTTATTATCCATATCCAAAATACGAGCAAATAAAACTCCATTAGAAAGGGAAACAAAATCAAAGTCTGTATTTTCTCTAAAGTATAAAGGAGTGTTTATAATATATCCATCATGTAATATAATCAAATTAGTTGATCTTTTGTATTTGTCTCCTTTTCCTGATTTTCTTAACTCCTCTAAACTCTGAAATGCTTCCCAATCAAAATTACACTGAATAAGCGGTGTGATTTCAGGATCCATACAAAAATCATTAATTAATAAATAACTAACAGTGGAAGAATCTGGAATGAAATAAGAATTACCATTCTTATCCACAAGTGTATGTCTAAATTTGAAAATAGAAACTTCTTGTTGGAGTTGTGATGTTCTAAGAGAAAGCTGTAAAAGACGGAACCCCTGACAGCTTGTAAATATTGCCTCAGTATTGGATTCTTTTGTATTACTTTTAATTAAATTTAGAGATAAAATCTTGTCTGAATATATACACATCTCTTTAATTAGTCCAGATTTCTCATGAAAACCTCCTTCTTTGTCAATATTTGAAAGCCTTTTAAAAAGGTCTACACTGATATTCAAAGACTCCTTATTAAACATACAAGTAGAATAGCTTTCACAAATCTGAGTATTGCTTTCAAGATCCACAAGTTGAGAAAGATCTCCATATCTCAACTCTTTAAAGCATTCAGATTTTATAGATTTCTCAGTACTTGTTTGATACTTATTAATAACTGAATTAAAAAGAACAGCTTTTATTATTAATTCATTTGGGATATCCTTGTAGTTATTTTCAAAGAGAATCTTTGAGAAACAATATGTTGATCTTAAAAGATACTCAGGAGAGTTTAATTGAATCCTTTTAAATTGTTCACTACTTTCGTAACTTTTAATCATTTCAAAGAACAAATAATCGAGTTTTCTAACAATCTCAAAACTGTAACTTAATGAGCAAACTGATTCATCTTCCAAAACATCATGTTTTTGTTCTTTAGATCTGTTTCTTTTATTACTACTGCTGTTGGCTCTTTTCCCTTGTAAATTTTTAATATATGCTTTGAAAGCTTTCCTACCACAGACTTGATCTACCTCAGACTTAATCTTTGTTATATAAGAAAATAATTTCTGGTATATTTCAAAGTAAGAATTAAATCTTTCACTATGTTCCAAAACCTGTTTAGTGTTTTGGAATAATTCAATAATGTACTTTGAAAAGATACGGTGTATGATATTAACAAGAACAAGTATATCCTCATTAACAGTTTTGTTAAGACCAGATAAACCAGTAATGTTTTTATCAACATTGTTAGTAGAATATTCATCAAAAGCAGTTCTCTTAAGTTTTCTATAATTTTTGTACTTAGACATACAAGGAAAAGGCTTATTAAAGAAATCGTTTTGAGACATATTAGAGCTTTTAGCATTAATTTCATTGGGGGAGTGTGCAATGTAAAATGCATCTAAGTCAATCTTAGAGTATAAAAAGATCTCTTTAATATTCTCAACATAAAAATCCTCAATTTTTGTATCTTCACCAGATTGAACATTATCATGAGCAGCAAAATCAGTAAAAGGCTTCATATTAAAAATGAATGATGAGAAATTTAGAGAGCAATATGCTCTACAGGTTAATCCAGTATCAAAAGATGATGTTTGAGGGTCAAATCCATCCATATTAGTTAGAGACGGATCAATTGCTCTAGTCCAGTAAATCTCCATAATAGTTGATAAGACCCAAAGAATAGCAACAACTGATTCAGACATTGCAATAACAGTGTTTTCATAACTTTCTGATTCAATCTCTTTTTTTGTATGAATAAAATTATTGAGAAAATTGGTATCAAAGTTTTGTAGACCCCAATCTAAAGTTGGAATATGTTCTTCAGATCCAATATAATAAGCAATATATTTATTATAAAATGGTGAAATCCATGTATTGGATCTATTAGATAAATCTAAGAAAAGATTAGTTTTCTTGTACAAGACATGAATAGGAATAGGAGATAATTTCATCTTTCTAATAGATTCTTTAAATCTAAAATCTCTTTTAAAGTGTTCCATAGCTTTTAAATATTCATCTTTTCCTGATACTTTTATGACAAGTAAACTTAAAGTATCATCTAAAGTATCATCTTCAACATCACAGGTAAATTTCTTACAATGGTTAAGAGAAACTAATTCACCATTTAAATCAGTAAGATTACCACAATCACCTAATAGAAGAAAATTGCTGTCTTCTTTAGAAATCAAATCACATCTAATTTCCAAATAAGCTGCATTATTGGAGTTCTCTAAAGGGCTACAATTATAAGACATTTTGTCCAATTCCTTAAGATTACAAATGTCACTGCTAGGCATTTTTTTAATAATAGTGGGCCCCTCCAATTCTTTTGGTTTGTGATTTAAAGACATGAACTGTGAAAATGCGAGCTGTATAATTAAGCTCAAGGCGATAATTGGCCTGAGAATTAATAGATAAGTAGATCGAAACAAATTCATTTTGAGTGATTGTTCCCAACTCAGTAATAGAATAAAAACTCTTACCAAATCAGCAAAATGAATCTTTGTTTTTGTTGTTTGTTATTTCCTTTTTTGAATTTCTTGCATAGCCTTTATTCTTGCAGTTAAAATTAATTCATACCTGCCTTTTTATGGGCGCCATTACATGATTTAGATACCGGCAATTAGGAGGCGCCAAAAAATGTTTGAGATATCGTTAATATGTGTTTGGCGCTGCTTTAGTTATTTATTAATTGCCTTGGCTTTTTAAAAAGATTTAGGTGTTGAAAAATGTAGACCAAAAATGATGCAGTTTTAGAGAGATGAAGAGGTGAAGCATTATAAGCGGAACTTTTATTTAATATTTTTTGAATGTTTACATAGTGGAATAAAAGCTGTAAGAAATGATCACTTATTTTAAACATTTTTCGATTTAAATTCATGTTTGGTAATTCCCGCCAAAATGACTTATTGAGAATAAATGAGTCAGGGGTAATATAAGAAAAAATTGGTAGAATTAGGAGATTTAAAAAAGTTGAGGAGTTTGCACACAGTTATTCCCACTTGGAAGGTATTGGTTACTTTGAATTGATTGGTCAGTACTAGAATAGAAAGAGAGAGATAAAGAGAAAAGGAAAGGAGAGCAAGGAGGAAAAAAAAAGAAAAGGAAAGATAGATGGAAAAAGAACTGAGTGAGAATACCCAGGATTACTTTGCCTGTCGGCTCTGTGAATTTGATGTAGTTTTAGTGAGAAAGAAAGATGTTCAGACACACCTTGAGGAAGTTCACTCTATCTCTTTCAATAACTGTGAAGGAGGTGTAGATGAAATAATCCTAGAAACCATGGATGACCAACTTTTGGGGAGGTGCTACAACGAGAAAACTTTGAATCAGCTTAGAGATGATCTTAACGAGGAAAAACAGAATGATTTCTACAATGAGTCAGGAAAAGATCTAAGTATATTTGAAGCAACAGAGACATTGAAAGTTGCTATACTACTTTTTCTGACAGAATTCAAAAGGAAAATTGTATCTTTAAACTTTCCAAATGTCCAAGTCAAAAATCTAGAAAATGATCAGCTTAATAAATTTCTCCTGGCTAACCAAGGAGCTTTCTACTATTACTCCTTAATTGACTTAGCTAGAATTGAGGATATTACTGTACAAATGCTCCTGGCAAGATCTTGGGACTGGTCTGAAGAAGATCAAGATTTAAGAAGGGAAATTACAAATATTAGAGATGGAATCATCCCAAATACCTCCCATTCCTCCCATGTGGAAGCTCTTCAGTGTGTTAACACAGGAAAGATGCTGCTCCTCACCATGCACGAAAGTATCAAACATCTTCTCCTCCTTTGTTACTTGACAAAAAAGGTAATCAAGAGACAAGATTAGAGAGAGATCAGAATAACAGACACGAAAAAAAAATTGAGAGCAGCTTTCAACAAATATTATTTTAATAATTATCACTCTTATAAGCATACTAAATACCAACTTCGCATTGATATTATTTCACTTAGCCCAGAAATACTTAACTTCAATTCCTGAGTTACCGCCTAAAAATAGCTTTACCGGCACATCCCTCAATAACTATATAAATTTTTTAAAATGCATGTTTTACCCGCCATTTTTCATACTAGATGCAAACATATTCTTAAAAATATATCAATTTCTATGAATATGCGAAAAACAATAATAAAGCTATAATTCACTTTTAGTTATTGCTGCTTATCATCAACAATAGACTTGTATGACTGCTCATACATTTCCATATTCTCAATATCCGCTAGAATTAGGAATTTGGTGAGGACTGCGTAGGAAATTAGCTTCATTAAAGATAAAATCTTCTTGGAAATTAAACTAATTTTTTTTTCATAATCTTTTTTCGCACAAGTCTGAGAAAATCTCCTGTAATATTTGTATTTGTCTACATAACTACCAATGTTCATTGTCAGAATACGAACTATAGAAGAAAAAGTTTTATAGTCTTTCAACACGAGTGCTTTGTCTAATCTCGGATATATCAATATATTTAACATATCATATTCCATACAGACCTTTAGTCCTTCTTCATAAGAATTTAAATTCACGTAAACGTCTAGAATAGAAATAACTTCGCTTTTATGCTCCAAATCGTAAGAAAACTCTAAATAACTTATAAAGTTTCCTTTCGACTTTATTAAGTCATTAAGAGATAACAGATAATAAGTAGAAAAAGCAAGATCCTCTAATTTATCAAATAAGACTTGCTCTGGTTTCTTGGAACAAATTCTATTTAAACATTTTCTCTTATAGATGATTTTGGTGTCCAAAAACTTAGTATAAAATTTGTATGCTTCTGTCAAACTTTTCTTCAAACATTTCATTGCTATCTTTTTCTCAAAATCCGCATCAAAACTCATCCCTTCTGTCAATAAATCTACTAACCTGTGGTATCTTGATTTTATTAAACATTCATTTTCTTCGTCAGCTTCTGACTTTGTTTGCTCCACTCCCTCCACTCTTTTTATTAAGTATAACTCTAGAAACGAAATTCTCTTCTTTATTACCGAACTATGCAACTCATACCTGTCTTTAGATGGTAAACTTTTAAATTTAGATATGTCTGAACACGCCACCCACTGGAATAACTGAATTACCAATATTAAAGCTAAAACCACCATATATCGAGGAAACTTTGCTCCTTTTCTTCCCAACAAACTCATTCCCACAATATTTATATTAAAAAACAATACTTACACCTACTCCTGTTCCTTATTCTTCAGTTAATTTACTATACAAAAAGTTTTTTCTTACGTTACCCCGTAATTCTGCCTCTATTAAACTTTTTTTATAAAAGAATTTAAGCGCCAAAAATTAGAGCCAAATACTTTTTATAAATAATTTACATGTAAGAATGGGTAAATAATACAGAAAAAAAAGTTTCTCTCATTACCACTAGTAGAGACAGATATAGAGGTAGAAGTAGAGGTAGATAAATAAATAGACAAAATATAAGTAGTAAACTTGTAGAAACTGGCATCTTGATTTGGTGATTCAAACTAAAAACTTTTAAGTAAAATGATTAATGTAACATCACTTAAAAATAATACAATAAAGAGAAATGAACACTAAATTAATACTAGTGTCTAAAATAATGGTTTGGGTAACTCAATTTTCCCTTATTGTTTGAAATTTATTTAACCATCAAAATAACTTTAAACATACTTAACTTTAATAAGATATATTACGTGGAATATCCTCACTCTTCCATACATAAATGCTTACTAAAGAAATTGTTTTTATCTTGATCCCATCTAAAATTCTGACAATTCAAATAATCTTACGTTGCTATTCTATTTGAATCTTAGAATTTTATTTAGTTTTTTTTAAAAGATGATTTCTTTAAAATCTCTTCAACTTGAGGTACTAAATTGATATTAAACTGAGCGAAATCAAAGTATGGACGAATATTATGGTTCTTTTCAAACTGGTAATGTCTATAGGCAGCATTCCTTAAGACATAATCCTTTATCCATGATTGAGACTCCTTTAAATCACTTAAAGATTGTTTAATATCAAATATTTCAAGCTTTGATGAGAGTTCTTTGTCAAAAAATTTCAAACTTTCAAGTCCTGAAGAAGAAAGTTCTGGAAAGAGTGCTCTGGGAGCAGAATAGACTGATTGATTCATTATAAATGAATAATCAGTATTTGGATAATTTACTCGAATAGCAGCAGAAAATTTTGAAAAGGTTTCTCTTACATTAAATGGGAATTCAACCAATAAATTTGCAACATTCCTGTAATTTTCTTGAGAATCAGATAAAGCATTTTGAAGAAGAAGATTTGTTGTGGATAAATCAAAGACAACTTTTTCAATCTTTTCCTTTAATTCTGAATCTTTGTAAACAAAAGGTAGTTTTTGTAATTCCTTGAAAATGATTCTGTATTTACTTGCTAAGCCAAATAATATATGCGATATAAAAGTTCTCTTTATTCTAAAGAATGAATACAACTTAATTTCAGGATTTTCTGTAAAGAATTGTGGCAATACATATGACTCTACAAAGATAGAAGCTATATAAGATAATATATAGCTTCTTCTGAAAATATATTGAAAATGTTCTGGAACTTTGCCACTTAAAGTAGTTCCTCCAGGGATTACAATAATTCTCTTATTATTGTTAGTTGGATCAACAGTTGAAGGAAATGAAGCAGAAATAGAAGATGGAATAGATGCCAAAACTTTATCATTTTTGTTGTTTCCTTCCACGCTTGCTCCCAAATCTTCTGAATCGTAATCACTGTTAATTAAATCATTAGAATCCGTCAATGTGCTTCCGAATATTTCCTCGCTTTTTCCAATTTGTGATGATGCATCCGGTTTATTAATGGAAACATCCTTTGTTTCCTTATTTACCACTTTTTTATCTCTAATATCAAAATTTGGATCATCATCTTCCTCTTCACCAATGTCTTCATCGTCATCACTAACCGCTAAATGTTCAACAACCAACTTCTTATTAGAGTTATCAACTTTTTCATCCGAATTATTATTATTTAAAAAATCTTCCTCAATTGTTGCTGAAATCTTTTCCAAAGCCTTATTAATCAAACTTTCCTTAGTTTCTTCTGGAGGTAAAACACTTTCAGCAATACTTAATAATGATGCATCTGCATCTAAAGGTTCATATCCACTTGTATCCATATCTGGTAGTGAAATTGACTCCATATTTGATAACTCTGCATGAGCTATTTTCAATCCTTTTCCTTCAGTTGCTTCTGCTTTAACCAAAACATTTTCTGTTGTTGGTCTTATAAATCTCATATAAATTTCAAGAGATCTTTCAGCTGCTTTTTTTGATTCTAAATATTTTTCTTCAGATCTTTTCATCTTTGCCTCAGAAGATTTTAATATTTCTTTAAGTTTTTTACTCTCTGGAATAGCTTCCAACTGCAGTTTAATAGACTCGTGATATTCTTTAGAATCCATGTATATTTCTTCTCTAAGCTTACTTATTGCTACCATATTAGCTGCATACCTTTCAGCAACCTCCAAATTTTGAGGAGTATATGAGTTGATTTTGTCAATAACATGTTTCGTTGCCAAAGCATCACCAATATCAGTGAACCTATTCCCTCCATGTGCTGGAACTGCTTCTTGTGCTACCAAATTCAATAACTTTGTGCTGCTTGTTGGATCGGCTGTAATTGCTGAGTATGAATCCAAATCTGCACTAAAATCTGTTCCTATACTGAACTCTACAAAAACCAAAACCAATAAAAAAACTAAAAATAACTTTACTTTCATTTCTCCTTTATTTAATAAATTGATTACCAAATTCATTCTGAAGTTAATTTACTTTAATAAATTTCCGATCACTTTTTTATTTTTTCTTAGTTTGGTTGATATTCCTATATTTCTTCTCCTTTATATAACTCTTTACTTTGTATATCTCTCCCAACTTAATGATAACTATTTTGACCCAAATTCATTCACTACCTTTCAAAAACGTCCACTATTTATTTACTATATAAACAATGGTTTAAATCCTTCTATATTATCCAAAAAATTATCATATCTTTCTCCTCATTCTCCTCGATACCCCTTATTAATCGCTCTTTTTTAATTCCCAACATCTCTCTTTTATTTCTATAACTCTTAATACATGTAAAAATATACCCATATTCCCGCTTAAGGTATTTAATCAGAGCAATTTAAGATAGGAATAAATTTCAAAAGATAACTCGAAATTGTAAAAATATTTGCTTTATTTTTAATTTAAAGGAATTTCTCAGTTTTTATGTTATTTTTTGTATAATAAAACTTGTTATATGAAAACATTACTATCCTTATCCTTATAATTTGTTCCATTTATCACGTCCTTAATGTACTATGCTTGATTTTTTAGATTTAATTGGTTGCATTGTTTTTTAATAATACATCCAGGTCTAACTGGCATCCAACCATCCTTATTTACTTGAGTATCATTGAATGTCTTGAAGAAAGCTACAAATCCATCAAATATATTTGTTTTTTTGGAAAGTGCTAATATTGTGGCATAACTCAAAGCTAGAGTTAGAGGCTGAAGGAATAATGAAAGAAAAGTGACTATAAATCCAGCAATCCATGTTGAAATAGAGTAGTTAATGTCATTGAGAATAAATCCACTAGATGTTTCAATGTTGTTTATAGGTTTTGCAGATTGCAAAATAGTTAGTACTGATAGAATTATAGTGATTAGTAGACAAAAACTTGAAGTTAACCAAGTAATCCATAATCTGAAATATGAATAAGCTGCTTGCTGTCTTATTGACATAATATGTAATACAGAAGAGAACGCCATAGCTGTGTCCAAAATCATCTTTGAAATATTTAATATACAATATGCAATCCAACCAACCAAAATCCCATTTTCAACCTTGTTAATTCTTGGTATAGAACTCAGAAGATAGAATATTAAAAAGTGGGATAAAGATGTACTTGCAGTATATGAAAGCCATCTATATGTTCTTGGAGAGGATGGGTTCCACTGAAGTCTACCAATTAAAGGGTTAAACCTGGTAAAACTTTTAATAAAGCAATCCTTAAATGATGCTTTTTCATACTCTTTCAACTGATTACAACGAGAAATTAAATCAGGAGGACTCACTCCAACAGAAAATAGGGCGTCCTGCAAGTTTGTGACAGAATTATTTTCAACATTTGACTTTATTTCCTCTTTACTTAAGCTATGTCTCATTGGCAACATAATATTTTCTTCCAAATTATTAATAATTGATTCCAGACTATTTTTAAGAGAATTTGCTGCTCCTTGTGAAAAAGTATTAATTCTTAAGGTTAACCCTCCTTCAAATGTAACTAATAATTGAGATTCTACACCAATTGTATATTCATCAACAACATCTTCCAAAAAGTCTCCAACAACATGTACATTTATAATTGATCCAATAAAGAATCCTCTGGTACAAAAAGAACCACCTAAAATTCCAGGTACTGCATATACAGGGTGTAGATTTTGGATTTCGTTTTCTGTCAAAACTCCAAAAACCGAAGACAAGTTTTTGTCAAATGGTAGCCATTTATTGGTAATATCTTGATTCTCTGACTCAACCTCTTCTTGTTTATTCTGATCAAAGCTTGTGGATTTTCCTTTATTCATAAGCCCTCTAGTAACTGTGTTGGCCTTGTTGTTCAAAATATCATCATTATAAGAATTATTATCTTTGTTTTTTTCCCCTATAATATTCTCAAGATTCAAAATTTCAATACATGAATCAGAATTTGGAGTATTGTTTATACTTTCAATTACCACAGGATCATCAAAACTCCTTACCTTGTTAAGAGCTATCGATTCTTTCAAATGATCAATTTGGCTTAATTGGTTCTTTAAACTCTGATTAGATTTGATATCTCCTGTTTTTTCAATAGAAGAATTCTTTCTTTGGACACAAAGTAATCTCGAATCGTAATTAATCCACAAGTATGTCAAAACATCATTAATCAATACAGATGTTGCTGTAAATGGTACTGGCATATCGAAATCCCAAAAACAAGTTGGGTAAAAATCTGTCTCAAACTCTCCCTTCAAATTTTTTGTTCTAATATTTAATTTTTCTCCCCAAAATACGTCATTTGTCCCTTCGTTCAACACACTTCTTGGTAAAGTGCTGTTGATTGTTGAATTAAAGTCCAAAGACCTTGAAGCTTCCGTAGAAAAATCAGAAAGGTCACTTTCATAACTGTATTTTGGTTTTGATTGGGGTATTAGACTTTTAATTAAGTGGTTTAAGCTTGAAATATCATCTTTTTCGTCTAATACTGTAAACTTTATGGCCGAATTCTTCGTATTTTTTTCAATCTCTGAATTATCAAACATTGTTTCCAAGATGGATGTTTTTTCACTAACTTTTTTTTTTCCAGAATTATTATAAGTTTTGGATTTTGCCTTACTTTCTTCTAAGATGAATGTAACTGTCCCAGCAACGGCGTCATTAACTAATATTGATTTAATATGATCAAAGGGTAGAAAACCTATTGGACCAATCCATTCCAAAGAGTCAAATCCTTTAATACATTCACAAAGTATTTTTGGATGAATACACACAGTTTGAAGCTCATCAATTAACCACAAATAACATTCTAAATTTTGAACTTGTTTTGATGTAAGCTCCATCAGTAACTTAACCTGAGGTTCAGAGTATATTCCAACTCTACTCGTATAATCATTTATGAGGGTGAAAATTCCATTATCATGAAGATTTATCTTTATAGATCCTGCTGGGCTTCTTTCTGTCCATTGATTAGGGAAATTTAATTTTGGATTATTTTTCACTAGTGAAGAAATGATCCAATCCCTAACAAAATTTGCCTGGTTATTAACTCCAATTATTTGCATTCTCAATCTTCTAAGATAGTCATGAGACATTTGCTCATTTTGGACAAGCTTTCTTAAAATTATAAGACAAGCTATTCTTGGAAGTAACTCCTTATACTGTGAAGTTTCTATCTTATTTGCCTTAAACCAAAATTCATTACACCAATTCTTTAGATCCTCTGCCGAGGGAAATTTATTAGAATTATCTTTATTAGAGATAAATCTCATAATGTTTAATAATATAATATTTTCATCATAAATACTCTTTGAGAACTTCTTCTCTGTTATTTCTATTCCAGCTTTAGACTTGTGTTCACGGTTTGTCATATAATAGTAGTTGAAAACATTATTGCCATTTTTTATTGTCTCATAGTAACTCTTTAATTTACTATTAAAATATTCAAAGTGAAAATGTGAAACCTTAAATTTTGATGTTATAAAGTGAATTAGTGTTAAGGGGAAAAATATTGTTTGAATTGTTATTGTTAATACTCTCACATAACCCACTTTCATTTTGATTGGTGGGATAAAATTTAAGTTGGTATATGGAAACTTTACTCCATTAAACATAACAATTTTCTCTTCATTTTTATTTTTTAATTTAAAGTCACCATTTGGGATTTGCTGCAAAAATACTAAATTTGGCCTCTTTAATATGCTAACCCAATCAGACAAGTCCTTTACGTATGCAAAAATCCAGCATATTAAATACAAAGCAAAAAATGCACATGAAAGTAAAACCCCTGATAATATTTCTTCTTCTGAAGTCGAGCGATTAATTTTTATTAGTTCTAAATCTTGTTGATCGCTAGTATTCTTACTTTTATTCCCAAATAAAATCTCTTTCGCGTTAAAGCTTGGTAGGTTAATTTTAAATTCTGGAATAGTTAGTGACCACAAAAGTCTATCTTCAAGATTTTTTACAACTATTGATGAGGCATTGATTGATGATTGATTGAAAAGATTCATTTTATTTTCCTCTGTGGTACCTTCCTTACCTTTGATGTAACTTCTTATAGATTCCCATAATTTATTAAATAAGAGATTAACTTCACTAAAAATGTCACTCAACCCTTTCAATACATTATCCCAAGAAATTGGATTTATTCTTAGTCCTTTATCTCCTTCATTTGTAGAATTATCACTTCTCGTATCATTTAATCTTATGGTGTCATTAATTCTTTGAGTTATGTTGGAACTTTGAATCTCATTAATTTTTTTTATTAATTCTTCATTTTGCGAAAATACATTTTCTGTGCAAATTGCAACGCTAATAACCAAAATCAGAGCCAATTTCATTTCTACCAATTTTAACAATTTATTATTGAGCTCTTCCTGTTAAAAAACTATTATATTACTTAAGTTTGTTCAAGTTCTTGATTTTTTGAAAAATTAGTCAAGATATTATTCCTCCTCCCTTTTTTATTTTTTAATTTTGTCAACGATTATTGTTGAAAAGCCATTTATAATGGGTCTGGGACTAGACTCATTTATCATTTCTATAATTGTTATAATTTACAAATTTTTTTCCTCTTCATTTTATTTAAATTCAAAGCAACCATTAGTTTTTTTTCAATAGTTTTATATTAATAAAGAAATATTACACGCTTTAATTTTCTTTAAAAAAATGTTATTCCAAAATTGATACATCCTATATGATTTTTAAATTATTATAGCATTTCTAAAATCTGTCCACATGAAATTATTGCAGAAGGCTGACATGACTTGCATGTATGCAAATGTATACCGTTAATACAATAAAAAACACGTATGGCGGTAACAACAATAGCTTGTTAAAAAGTGTAAATGCATAAGAGGGGGGGAATGGTAAAAAATAATATTAAACACTAAAATACAAGTAACAGGATTAAAGTCAATTTTAAGACAATATTTCCCTAAACAGATTTTTATTTAAATTTAAACTTGATCTTGAGAGTTAGCGATATCAATCACAAATCTAAACTTAACATCGCTTCTAAGCATTCTTTCATAGGCTTCGTTTACTTGGTTTAACTTAATAAGTTGAATACTAGACGTGATATTGTGCTCTCCACAGTAGTTAAGCATTTGCTGAGTAGTTTCAATACTTCCAATATTTCCACCTGTAATTGTTTTTTCTCCGAATATGAGTGAAAAGGAATTAAACTCTGATTTATCTCCAGTTGGGGGGGCTCCAACACATGCCATAGTTCCATGATAAGAAAGTAATTTCAATAAGATCTCTACGGACCTTTTTCCGGAAACAGTATCAATAATTCCATCAAAGTAACCATTAAATTTCTCAAGTGTTTCTAAATCGTCAAATCTGATAAAATTTTTAGCTCCCATAGCAATAGCACATTCTCTTTTGCTTTCTGAACGAGTAATTACAGTAACTTCACACCCAAAGCTTACTCCAAACTTTAATGCCATATGACCTAGACCTCCTAATCCTACTACAGCCAATTTGAATCCTGGTCTATTCATTTTATTTCTAATCATTGGAGAATAAACAGTAACTCCAGCACAAAGTAGTGGAGCTGCAGCCGCTTTATCTAAGTTCTCTGGAATTTTGAGTAAAAAGTGCTCATTGCAAGTAACATAGGTACCATATCCTCCGTAAGTATTCATTCCGTTCTTGTAGCGGCCATTGTAAGTGTATGAAAGATCTGGACAAAATTGTTCAAAACCATCTTTACAAGCATTGCAGCTTAAACAAGAATCAACAATACAACCGATCCCCACACAATCTCCCACCTTGAATTTTGTAACATTTTCTCCAATTTCTTCGACAATACCAATAATTTCATGACCTGGAACCATTGGGAATATTCCTGGAAACCATTCGTTTTTCACTTGGTGAACATCACTATGACAAATTCCACAATATAATACCTTGATTTTGGCCTCATTTGGTCCATATGATTTTACCTCATACTTGTGTGGTACTAAATTTTGTGATGGTCCTAAAGCTGCATATGCTTTTGACTCATAAGTTGACATCTCTGAATTTTACTGGTCAAAGTATTCAAATCGATTAAAACTATTTTATTTAATTTGTTGAATAATTTATTTAGCAAATCTGGAATTCTGTCTCTGTTATTCTAAGCTCAAATCCAAATATTAATATTGCTGGCGGTAATGATAATAACTAAAAACAACATTCCCGCCAAACATTTCCCCACATAATGCAGGCAATTTTAAACAGATAAATTTGCATGTTGCACACAATACCGGTACATAAATTCACAATTGCTATAATTAATCATTCCCACATAAATTGAATAAAAAATGACAGAATTAAACAAATGTGAAAATATAAACATATTCATTTATAAGTAAAAAATAAATTATAGAAACTTAAACTTAAGCATTTGGTAATTAGTTAGCAAGTTCGAAGCCGTATTTCAGAATAATTTCATTCAACGGATTATTTGAATTGTTATTTTGAGAGTTTGATTCGACTAAAATCATTGAATTATTCGAAACAATGGATTTGAGAAAAGAAATGGCAGAAGTTAAACTTGTATTTCTGATTATTCCATTGATTCGTTCTTTTTCATTGGTAATTTTACTAGAACTTGTGGGTTTTGAAAAAGATAAGGTTTCTGATCCCAAAAATTCGACAATTCTGCTAAATAAGTAAGAAGATTGAGCCACTATTTGAGTTTGAGAAAGAAGAAGTTGGAGGATAACCTCTGTTTTTATTTGTTTAAAATTGAGATTCAAAGAGTGATGGAGTAAGTTGGATTTATCTTTGGGATTATAATCTGGATTATCGTCAGGTTCGGTAAATTTGGAGCTTTCAATAAATGAAAGGAAATCCAAAAGTAGCATTGAGGTTGTAATGTCACTACTGGAAAAAACTTTATTATTCATAACTTCAATAATTAGTTGAAGCCCAAGTTTATTAAGGAAGGGAGAGGGGATCACAAGTAAATTAATATTTTTTCTCTGAGCTTTATCTACCAAAAGTGAAGTTGGAAGATAAATATTTTTAAAAGTGAATTGGATTACACGAACAAGAAGAATTAACATTGATTTATTTTGGATATCGTTTTTAGAAACAGATATCCAAAGAGTGGAGATCAACATTTCAAAGTTTTCATTATTACCATTTTGATCCTCTCGGTTTTTGGTTTCAGTATAAAATAGTAATCTTGTTTTTGAGGAGTTAATTTCTTCAAGTAAAGGATGTGGGTATTTCATTTTTTTAGGGACATTTTTTGAATAAAGCATATTCGAGAGGTAGTTGAAATCATTAAAACACACATTGGAAATAAGTGACTCCTTGATTATATCAATACTAACATTTGGCTCATCAATATGTGTGATTAATCCAATAACACTTATCAAGGGGTTTTTAATGTCAAGTTTTTTGTCAAGAAGAATCATTATTTCATCACTTTCCAGCATTTTCAATTCAGAAAGTACTTCTTTATAACTAAATATTTCTGGAAGAAATAGTTGCTTGATTTTATCCGTACATGAATTTGTTGCACTATTCATTAAGATATTCTGCTTGATTTCTTTAATTGCATCAACTTTAAGTTTTTCAGAAAGTTCTTGCGATATATTAAGCATTGAAACAGTTCTAATGGATTTAAGAACTTCCTTCAAGTATTCTGGAAACATGGGTGATGGAGATGTAACCTGTAATTGCACACAGTTTGTGGATAATGCTGTACCAAAATGATGACAAGGTTGGAAATTAATGGTTGCACCAATTTTTCTATATGAAGTAAAGTTTAAAGATAAGGTTGTAGTTACCCATATTGTAAAAATTATTCTTGAAATAAAAGAAGCAAGTATTGAATTTTTGGCTAAATTACCTTTTTTACCTTTGCCTCTTAATATTTGGGAATAGTCAATATTCTCGTACCATCTAATAATAGCTGAAGAGAGAGAGCTTTGAATGATTTCATTTGATTTATCAGGATAATTGATTTGTGAGTAATACATTAAGAATCTATTATTTTCATCTTGAGAAATGATTGTTGGTTCTGATATATAAGGGGTTGTGCCTTTTATTGGGTTATCATCTTCGATTTGGTTCGAAAATGAATTCCATTCAAATCCACCATCTAAAAAAGTTAACTCTGAATTCTTTAAAAGTGGGTGTGGAGAGATTGGAAATTTATATTCATCTTCTATATGGTTTTTAAATACAATCTGTTTTAAAGGATCTAGTTTTATGACATATTTCTTTAAAGTTTCTGGTTCTTTAAGTAAGTTGAGAAAAATTGGCTCAAATTTTAGCTCAAAATAATTAATGTTTGGAGAATCAGGGAATGAAAGTTTCAGTTTATTATATCTATATCCATTATTATCATTCTTAAAAAAAGATTCTGAAGAAATAAAAATAATAAAATTTGAAGGTTTTAGTGCATTTTCCAAAGTGAATTTTACATATTTTAAAATTACTTTAACTTTTGAATAGAAACGGTTATTACCAACCAGAATTTCGCTTGGATTATGGGACTTTAAGTTTTGTACGGCAGTTTCAGTGATTTCAAAATTTCTATCAAAGAAATCAATATAGTTATCTCTTTCACTATTCATTTGGTAATTTGAATTTGAAATATAATTTTCAATTTGGATTATATCACAAATGGCAAGAAATGGCTTATTAATCTCTTTCTTCTCCATAATATCTTTTTTGGATGATTTTATATCCAATTTAATTAGGCTCTCTTCTATTTGTTCTATTAGTGAATTAAAGTAAGTAAATATGGATTGTACAATAAATTGAATTAGTGGTGATTTTGGATCAATATCAGATTCAAGCTTTTCAGAAAGTTTAATAATAACTGAATATATAGTAAATCCAAGCTTCTGTGAAGAATGAGCTGCAAAATATACCTCTCCACTACTAATCGATTTTATTAATTTTCTTTTATTCAAAAATTTTACCAAACTTCCAGATTCTAATAAATAAGAAATAACTTTTAGTGGTTTTGAGTTTGATGAGGAAAGAGAAGAATAAAAGGCAGGAATAATCCATTGAATTTCAATCTCTCCATGGCTATTCATAGAGTTATGAATTGGCGAATTAACTATAATTGAAGGTTTCAGGTCTGCTACTGTTACAGGGGGTAGCTCAGATTGATTATATTGAGAATTATTCTGGTTATTTTTATTTTTACTTTTTGATTGTTTAAAAAAAATTTTATCTCCTATAAATTTGTTGTTACTTACTTTGGCCAACTCATTTTCTTGTAAAATTGGAATATTATAATCGTTTAAAATTTTAAACAGTTTTTCATTTGAAAGGTTTGAATGCAAAGCAACAATTACAGCTCTGTTATTGATTATTCGATTATAAGCTTGCATTATTTCTGCTTCTAAATTCCCTTCTTTAATTAAAGACAATACAGTGGATTCGGATCCAATTGACCACATTTTAAGTAAATCAATAGTTTTATAGTTTGTAGTTCTTTGGAATACTTTAGAATTACTCTTTATATATTCTCTCAAAATTTCAAAGCGTAAATAAGACTCATCTTGGATATACTCCAAGTAATTTAAATTCATATTCTTTATAGCTTGCTCAATTGAGCTTTTCCTTAAAATAAGTTTTCTTGGTTTCCCTTTATTTTTCAAATAAATTGCATCAAATAAATGTTCCAGCATTTTTATATAGTGTTTTGAAGGGCATCCAACACTTATCATAATACAAGAAGGTATATATTGGATATTAATCTTTCCTCCTATATCTTTTACATATTCTCTAAAAGAGGAAAGTTCAAGTGGATTCCAATCATATTCTATTTTTAAAAATTTTTCAGAAAATAGTAATTGAATCATTAAATGGTAAAGTCCAGGGATCTTTTCTTGCTTAATATCTTCAGCAGAGATTTCTAAATTCAAAGTAATACTACTGACTTCTGTTCCTTCTGTGGTAATAATACTCATTTTTAATCCATTTTCAAATTCATAATACGTTCCGAGCCGACTATCCAAGGGACTTGATCTTGAAATTGCTTTATTGTCAAAGAATCTCATCAGTTTTGTTCTTCTTTTGTCCCTCTTCAAGTCTCTTTCCATATTTTCAACTTTTTTTTTAACCTTTTCATTATTTGGAGCAATGTACCTTACATTGTTCTTGACAAATTTATTTCTATCTATGTGTTTTGTTTTTTCCTCCTTTATTGGCTTTCTTTCTTTGGACTTGAATATGGCTTTGAAAACTTCTTTTTTTTCTATTGGCATCTTCCCCTTCCCTTCTTGTTAGTATTATATTTTCATTAATTAATTGTGTGTTCTCGTAATTAAACTTTTAAAGCTTAAGAATATTTAAAACAAAATAAGAGGAAAAAAATAATTGCTAATATTTATTCTATTTTACTACAAATTTTAAAACTTAAAATGTAATTTCAATTTTTTCCACATAATGCACATTTGCAATCAGACATATTCCCAGTACCGGCACTCGTCATTTCCACTAATATGGCGCCGCCCACCCCCCCAACTGCATGCATTTTCAGAGAGGGGCCTAATGTGTGCTGGCAAATCAAAACAAATTGACAAGTAAAGGCGGGAAAATATATTGGAGGAGAATATAATCAAGCAGTAGAGAGCGGCAATGGTGGTCATTTTTGTGTGGTAACTATAGTTATCTAAATAGTTATGTTAATGTATTTTTTGTTGTTTCTTAAGTATCAGTTTGACAAGATTTGGTGCATTTTGATTCGGTGTTGTTGATTGAATTTTGTTTAGCATGTGCTTCAATGCTTTGATTAAGATTTATCGTAATTTTGTAGGATAGGTATACAATTAATCCATATAATGTAAGGGTAAAAATTAGAATGATGAATAATATTGTCCAAAGGGTTCTTTCTAGTTTATGTCCATTAAATTTGTGAAATAGGGCTAGGGAAATATTATTATATGTTTCATAAGAGAAGAATTCTCCATTAAGTGAAATTAGCATTACAAAAGCAAAGGCAGAAAGTATTGCAATACCAGATATGATTCCAAAAATTGAGATATTTGAAATACCATAAAAAAGAGGTCCAAAGCCTGGGATTAGGGCATTGGAGATTATTAGAAGTAATTTTTTCAGTTTTAGTTTCATGTTAAATTTGTTTACTTTTCTTTTTAGTCGCTTTTCTACGAAATTTCCATAAATAGGCGGCAATTAGAGGGACTCAACTCCCCCCTCTCAAACACACAGAAAAGAGCACCAACAGTCAATAAAGGAAAAAAAACTAACCCAAACCTCAACGAGAAGAAACAAGAAAAAAATTAAACAAGCCATAAATAAAAGAACGCTAAATACCTACTAGAATGGGGGTGGGGTTTCTCCTTATCCCAGAAAAGACTCAAAGGAAGAAGGCAATCGGAATACTTTGGGAAATATTGGAGTATTGTAAACCTGAGTGAGTCTATGAATAAGCAATTTGTATTGACCCACAAAAAGTATTATGGGAGGAATAACCCTAAAACCGAGAGATGATAAAGAACATCTCCTGCATAGAAACTAAAGATTGGAGAAACCATCCAGAAACTTCGCTAGATTCAAACCAGTTAACATTACTATGAAATGAACCGTGTTAATTGTTGGTATATTTTGGCACATGCAAAAATAGCCAAATCTTATTCTGGGATTCAAATTAACGTCGCTCATGCTAAAATTGATCATATTTGCCACAATTGAGCAAACCTTCCGCAATGATATACTTCTTGCAAAACATGTTTGTATATCCTCCCTCTCTCTTTTTCTCTTTATCTCTCTCTCCTTATTTTCTTCAGAGCTTGGGAGGCGAGGAGGAGATAATCTTCTGCACAGACGGAGGCAAATATAATTCTACAAATTCATGAATATGAGTAGAGTACAAACCAGGAGACTAAAGGCTCTCTCTACAGGCCTACTGTCAAAATCTTCGAAGATTTCTTAGTTGTTTGGCAGGCCATTGAACCTGAACCCACTGGGGAGACACTGGTTGAAGGACTTGTGGAACAAGTGCTGCTACTACTATTATTATTTATTCCATCAGCGCAAATGGAGTTACACTGCTGCTTAGAGCCGTTATTAGCTCCATTTGAGTCAATATAGTTCATATTTGATGGTGGTGTGGTGGCAATGAAACCATTATTACTGTTACTTCTTTGAATAAATACTGGTTGTAGGCTTTCATTAAAGCTTGAGGGAATACTCATGCTTACCCCAGTTCTACCAGAACCCAAACTCAAGGCTGACTGTGGGCCACTATTACTACCAGAACCACTATTCACACTAGTATTACCATTGTTAAAAGATCTATAAGCCTTGAGGTGGTGTAAATAGACGTGTTTAGCATATTCTGCAACAATCTTATCCCCAACTTCATCTCGGTATTCTCCACATTTGAAACATCTAAAACGACGCGGGAAGTTTACGTTGCTGCACTTACAACATGCCCAATTTCCGTTTTGTCCTTTCATGGGATTGACATTAGGAAAGCCCGCCCCAACATTGCCCGCCGGGTAATCGTGAGGTTGCGCGCCCATATTTCCTAAAGAAGGAGGATTTGGGTTCCCGTTTGAAGGCTGTTTTCCACAGAGGGGGTCTCCGTAAATTTTAAGGAAGGACGAGGGGTTCTTGAATTCATCGGGATGAGCCAGCATAGTTGGTGCAGCGAAGTTGGGTCCTCCTACACCAAGAGTAGTAGGGCTCCAGTTCCCGCCTCCTGTGCTGGTGTTTGGTGAATTGGAAGGTGCTACAGGATTATTATTAGAAAGGGGTTGTAAACTCGGAAGTTCTTTATTAAATCTAGTCGTAAGTAGAACGGCAGTGGAGTTGATAAGTTGGGATGCTTGTTCAAAAACGTTGCCGGCGTGCCCATTTTCTTTGATAATTCCCATAAGGATGGAGTCCAGAAGTTCATTAGCTTTGGATGATAATGACGACGGTGATAATAATAGGGCAGGCGGAGAGGAGGATGAGGCAGTTTTGTTCCCAGATCCAGGTGTAGCAACACAGTTAGGTTTGGATAAAACACTTCCACCCCATTTACTAGTGTTGATGTTGCCACCAATGACTGAGGAAGGCGTGGAGGTTGTGGCAGAACCTCCATGATTACTGTTGTGATTATGAGCATGACTATTGATGTTAATGTTTCCATTGTTACTGCTGTTGTTCACATTACTACCACTGTTATTGTTATTACTACCACAACCACTACTACTATTACTGTTACTATTGCTGTTTAAAATATTGCTATCTGGGGAGTTTTCAAAACAGTAGTCAGTGATCTTTGAGTAAGGGAGGAAACCTCCCCAGGAATTAGAATTGAGTCCATCATTGAGGTAATTAAGAAGTGGGGCTGAAAAGTCACCTGACATTGGGTCGGTAGATCTAGATTCAGGTCCAAACCCCGAGATTGTAAAAGGGTCAGATCCTGGTGGTGCTGGGAGGCTACACGGGGGTGAGCACTCATCTACAACAGTAGGAGTATATGGTGCAGAAGTTGACCTAGTGGAGGAAAGGGTACAGGCAAATGACCTTGGAGAGGAAAAAATATTCATCATTGCGGCCCCACCTACAGTACCGGTTGAATGTGCCCCACTAATCTGATGTTCCTTTACACCAGAATGTTGTTCTTTGGCTAAAAGGATCTTACTGCTGTTGTCAATAGGACAGTTTGTCTGACTTACAACACTGTGTATGGAGCCACATCCCGCACTTCCAATTCCTTGTTTAGGGATTCTAAGAAGATGGGGAGCGCTCCCAAGTCTACATGTTTGAGGAGTATCTAGATGAGAATTATCAATCATACTAGAGATCTCATCAAAGTAGTTTTGATCTGCGACAAATGTGGAAGTTCCATCTATAATGGATGTTATGTTGGGTGTAGATATGGATTTTGAAGCTGATGTTGAAGGTGTTGTGGTTGTAGATGATGAAATTGAGGAGATTGGCTTCTGGTCAAAGTCTAGGCCCAGTGTTGACGAGTTTGCAAACTGCGGACGTGGTCTTGGAGTGGTAAACATCTTTGAATTCATATATTGGACTAATGACAATATTAATCCTTGTTAGAGCTACTGGGCTAATTAGCAAATTAAGTGTCTGTAAATACAATTAATTCTATTACACACTATTTTAGAGAAATATATGTATATATTTATTGAAAAGCAAACCAAGCTTAAAGATGTGCTGCTCTTTATAGTACTCTTTAACACTACAGAGTATCTCGCTCTACTTACTTTTAATGAAAGTTACTCTGTACACTCCCTTGCCTTCTTTGCTTATTGATATATGTATATGTCAATATATCCCTATTAAAAATTCAAATATTTAATTACTTAGATCCTATTCACCTTTTTCACGCACAATATTACTTTCCTGCTTCAATCTAGTTATTCCAATGCTAGCTTCTTCGTTATCAAGTATCAAATCAATAACCTTAATCTTCTTTACATTCTCTCTATGACTCAAGAGACGTTAGCACATACTGTGCTTCACAGCATTTAAACAATGATCTTCACTCTTTTTGTCAAAAATTCAACATCAGTTGTTAACTTTAATTAATGATCTCCTGGCCTAATCCTTCAGGCTGTCCCCCCAGCAGTTTGTGATCTACTACACTCCAGTATGTACCTTATACTGTATTTTGTTGCGTATATACCCCTCCTCATGACCTGCACTTCACGTCTTGAGACGGGAACTTTTGTCATTTTTTTCTTTTGCTTACAAACACCTAATAACATAGTTAAAATGTTTGGGCGGGCTCCAACCTTGTGGCGCCAGAATTTGGCGCGTTTAACACGCTCGAGAGTAAGGCCTATAATTGAATAGTGTAATAGGAGAAGAAAAAGAAGGGGGAAAAAAAAGTCAAAAAATGAATATTATATAAACAGGTTAGTTGAGGGCGAGGTGGGTATAGGTAAAGGAATAAAGGATATGAAGGTAATGCTGGTGGTGACAGTGGTGGTAATAGTATTAGTATTAGTATTAGTATTAGTATTAGTAGTAGAATCAGCTATACTAGTAGTAGAATTAGTAGTTGTAATGGTTATAGTGACAATTGAGCAATGTAAAAGTAGCGGGGCCGGGAATAGTACTAGTATTAGATAGCCGACCCGAGCTGTTCTGGAGGAAGATGGTAGGGAGTAACAACTACAGCTGCTCTACTTGTATTACTTGTATTGTTATTGATACTTGCTCCATTTCCAGAGGTTTAATAGCCTCACCTCACTAGATAATTCTACTGATTTTTTCATTGATACTCTTTCCAAGAAATCCACTCTCAAACTTCTTAGCGTCAAACCCCTCTGCTTTTTTTAAATCACAAAGCTGGAAAGGAGCAAGATTGCTCGTAATAGACTCAAAAATCTCCTTATCCTGCTGAGTCTCACAACCATTCCAAAGTCCTGTGACGATATCTTCAGTACACAAAACACCAATGTCACCAAGTCTATCCTCTACAATATTATTATCTGTCAGGAGAATATTATTCTGGTTAATTTTAGACTTTGTCTTATCTTTAGATTGAATATCTTGATTAGTAAATGCTCCTTTTTTAAAGACTAAAGTTTTTAACAAACCCAAATTTGGAAAGCCATAAAAAACATAAGGCTTCACTTCTCTCAATATACGAATTGTTTCATCAGTGTGGCTCAAAATCACAGCTGAGAACTTATTTACCAATCCTAAACTGCGAAGCTTCCTGGCTGATTCTAATGATCCACAAAATCTGCTATTTCTTACCACTAATACTATAAGCCTACCATTAGTCTTCTTTGGAGTTAAATATGGCTTTTTATCCTTGCTTTTAAGTCTTCTCTTATCCAAAATATTATTTCTGGATTTCTTAAGAATTCTCTGTAGTGTTTGTATTTCTGGCTTATGTAAATCTTTTTTAATCTTTCTCCTTTCTTCCCTAAATTTAAGCCTTCTATCACTATCAGGAACTCTTCTGCGACGTAATATTCCCTCTGCTATCTTTAGACTCTCACCATCATTTCTTGGTTTTAAGATGTGTTTCTCTTCCATCCTGCTAATGTTTAAAACATATATTATAGTATTTACCTTATTTTAATCTTAAATTTCTGGCTTACTTTGGAAATTAAACTTCGACTCCTTTAATAATCCCCAATCTATAGAAATAATTTAATGATCACTTCACCTAAATTTTTGAATTTCTTTAGGAATGTGTAAAATCAAGTTCTTCAATAGCAATCAATTACCTAATTTTTTTTCAAATATTTAATCCTCTTAATTTTCTTGTTTCACCAAAATGTCATTTTATACTGGAGAGCTGCGCGCGCCAATTGCGGCGCCAACTACCCACTTAAATTTGTGATTATTTAATTTCCTATACCGGTGTTTATATGCTTCAATTCCAAAAATTTGGTCTAAATATTAGAATATTTTTTTTCTGAATTATCTTACCTTTAAAGTTTGGTTTGAGGCTATTAAGATAGTATAAGATAACACTATTTTTCTTTCCACTAACCATATTAATTGGTCTGGTTATTCTAATTAAGAAACTTGTCAAAGTTTGACTAGGATCAACTTAAAATAATAATAGGGGGAAACCAATTTAAAAGCCATAAAGTTGTGATATATTTAAGCCAAAAATAATATAAATGGAAAACAAAAATGAAAAGACGTCAACCAACAAGGTTTTGAAGAAAGGCTCTGATCCTTTGGATAAGGAGTTTAAAGCATTATATAGTAACTTACTTCAGACAGTTGGGAAAGACTCCAAAAAATCTGTCAAAGAGAAAGAAACTGAAGAGGTTATTGAGAAGTTATGGAACTTGATCAAGGCTAAATTTTTGCAAATTTGTCGTAAGCCTGTGTATTCTAGAGGAATTCAATCTATCCTTAAATGGGGCTCAAACATATATAGAAAGGCAATCTTTGAGAAGATGAAAAACTACCTAGTGGAACTTTCAATTGATAGTCATTCCAGTAGAATGGTTGAAAAGATGTATAACTATGGACCCCCAGAAATAAGAAAAACTATTAGAGATGAACTACTTATCAAATTTGACCAACTTGGTTATTCGAAGTATGGGTCCAGAGTATTTGGACATGTTTTCAGTGAAAAAAGAAACCCTAGTGAATCTTGGGAAAACATTAAGAATGAAGTGTTATTCCGAATCTTGAGTACAAGATTAGCACAATTTTACACTACAAATGGTGATTCTAAAACAAAGAATACTTCTTTTGTAACTTTCTTTTTAAATCTGGAACATCAAAATGCAAAAACAAGTGTTTTAGAGAATTCAATTGTAATTATTCAAAAGTTTGTTGATGGAGAATTATTAGACAGATCATTTGTACATCTTTTAATTTGGAATTATATTAAGTGTTGTTTAATATTTTACCAGTCAGAAGATGAAAATGGAAATAACCAAGAAAGTAGCCAAATTAACACAGGAAAGATTCAAATTAGTAACCAATACCCGACCTTAAACAAAATCTCCCAAGAAGGAAAGGCTTGTTTAACTGCTTTATTGGACCAAATTTTGGAAGGATTTTATAACCTTTTAAGTACTAAAGAAGGCGTGGATTCTTTAATAATATTATTAGGATTTGCAAAGGCTCAACAAAGGAAGAAGATTCTTAAGAATATTAAAAAGGATATTTTAGAACTAGCTATGAATCCTGTAGACTATGTACTGTTACTTAGATTAATTTCCACGACCGATGATACAAAAATACTAAATGAAATTATTTGGAATTCCCTCATTTTTGAAGGAGAATTAAATAAGCAAATTTTAATGAATTCTTTTTCAATTAAATTAATCACATATCTACTAGTTCCTCAAGTTAACCTTCGGAATTTTACTCAATATGAATACTGGGCATTAAACTTGGAATCTTTTACATCTTTAAAATCTACACAAACTAGAATTCAAGAAATGAACAAAATATGTTTACCTGCTTTGGAGAATCTCTTATTTTATTCTAAAGAGCGAGAGTCTATTTTAGAGAACCTTATTTTAAGTGTTAGTGGTAAGGAGCTTATTTTAGCCTTGATACAATATTATTTGGGCAATAAAGATAAAGATAATTTAAATGAAAACTTATCTGACAAAAAATACTATAACTATGCACTTGAACTTGTAAATCATTCACTTTCTAAACTTATTTCCGACAATTACTACCTTTTAAAGGATAATATTGGTCATCGAACATTTGTTTCTATCTTAAAGTTAATTAATGAGCAACCATCCATTATTTCATCCGAATTTGACACTTTCAGAAATACTATTATTACAGTCTTTGAAAAGTCACTTATGGAAATGCTATCTTCTAGAGCTGTTTTTATATTAGTTGAAATGGTTGGACAAAACTTTGAACAAAAAGATTTCAAATCCTGTACAATGTGGAGAGTAAGAATAAAAGAACTTATTAAAGATGTAATTGAGAACTGTATTTCTAATCTCAAGGAATGCAATAATAATACAATAGGAATTGAACTTGTTGCAAAATACACAAATCTTAGTGTTAATATACAAGACACGTCATTTATAGAAAGTGGAAATAATAACAAACAAAATAAAAGACTGAAAAGCAGTCATAATTTGGATATTTTAGAATCTTCTAGTAACTCTAAACACATAAAAAAAACTCATCTATAACTAAATTTTTAGAATTTTTGTACACATTTCTGTTTTCCTTATCTGAAATAATTCTTCCGGTTTAAGCTTCTTTTATTTCCACTTACAATTAATTGCATGCAATTTTCTGCATGCACACATGCATTTTTGTTTATACTAGAATACGAGTGTTTGCATAAATATGGCATGAGAAAGAAAGGTTAGTTGTTTAGTCTATATTGTCCTGAATATTGTAGTCTTTAAAGTATTTGCTTACAAAAATTTGGGGGTTAAAGTCAATGAGATCGTCTTGTACATCTGAATCATCTAATATTTCTTCATCAGTGTAGTCACTATTAGAAATATTTTGTTTCAAATCTTCCAAACAAGTATTAAAGTTATGTTCACAAAGTTTTTCGTTGTGTTGAGTCTCATTTTTCTTGATATCAGTAGTACCTTTCTCTTGGCTTGGAGAAAACTCTATAGGGCTTTGGTTATCTGAATCCTCCATTATATCCAACACAGGAGCATTTACCAACTGGGGAACTTTATGGATAATTTGTAATAAATCTTCGTTAGTGAATGTTGGCCTGTGGATGTGTTTCCAAGAGTTTGATGATAAAGAAAGATCCCATGGACACACAGATTTAACCCAATTATAGGAATTCGCTATTGAACCTCTTTCTGGATCTCTTCTTGTATACCAAACAATCTGGCAATTATTAATTTTATTCATCTTAGTATTTACATCTCCCCTCTCACTCTCAAGTAATGCTCTAAAGCTTTTAATTACTCCCCCATGGCAAACTATGATTACCCTTAATCCTCCACAATTCTGACTCAAATTGTCAAGAACTCTCTCAATTCTAAGACATAAATTAGCCAAAGATTCACCACCTGAAGGTTGCCAGTAGAATGCATTTCTTTGCTTTCTAACCATTTCATCAGGGTGCAATAATGCCCTCTCTTGTTGAGTTTTGTTTGCTAATACACCTCTATCTCTTTCTCTCAAATATATATCTGTATTCCACAATGCATTTGGAAGGCCTAACATTGCTGCTGTTTCCATTGCCCTGACATACTCTGAAGTAAAGCACTTATCAAAAGTAAACCCAATATTGTTTTTAATATACTCCCCAGCTATTCTTGCTTGAGCTCTTCCTCTATCAGTTAGTCTGTATTGACTGTTATGTCTGCGGCGAAACTCTCCAGTCCATGAATGTAACTCACCTTGCCTAGCTAATCTTTGAGCTAAGTTGCCTTCACTCTGTCCATGCCTTACAAGCACAAGATCTACTGGCATATTCTTGTACATCATCCTTGTAATATATCGAAAAACTAAGTAACTTAATTATATTTAACACTTCAAGTTCTTAATTCAATTAGTTTCTTACCAAAAAAACCCTGCTAAGAACGCATTCTCTTAAATTTTGATTGCGTTCATCAATTCAAAATGTTAGGATATGTATTTTTTAATGAATGTTTTTTCTATACTAGTTCTGGATTTCCAACTTAATTAGCTTTGCTTTCTGGGTTGGTTACAGATTGACTAAAAAAATAGGTAAACACGAAGAATGGAATGAACTAAATAGGAATGTTAGTTGCAAAGAAAATAGTGGCTCAAAATTAAATTAAATTAGTTGAAATAAGAATTAAACAGTCAATCTAATTATACCAGCTGTAATTTGTTACTTATTTAATATAATTATTTATATGAACTTTTAGGCGGGTTATTTTTTTTTTAATTTTATTTTTCCATTTTTATGTATACCGGTAAAATGTTTGTAAATGCCGGTACAATGCCATTAGTGTAAAGTATAAAAAAATTATAATTTTTGTGTGAAGATTTGGAATTTTTATAATTAGTAATTAAATTTTAAAGAACAGGAATCTTTTTTTTTGAAAAAATTTGAACAAATAAAAATTGAATAAATAGAGAAAATGGTGAATCCAATTCATCCAGAAAGCATTCCAATGTCGGAATTTAATGAGTCATTAAAATTTGAGTTTTCAGTTTTGAAGGATAGTTATGATGATAACTTGAAAGGTGATTGTTTAATTCTATGTGTCCCAAACAAAGAGATAATGCAAAGCTTACCATCATTTTACAAGTCTTTGGATACAACTTTAAATGGGATGCTAAGTGATATAGTAGAGAATGCAAGCCAAGAATCGTCTCTAAAGGATGAAAGTAGTACAATTTCTGTTAATTTACCACCAAAGTATCCATTTAAATATTTGATGATGATTTCTTTTGGTGAAAGCAAGAGTACAAGTCCGCTTTTCTTCAATAAGATGATAACCCAGGTGAATGAATTTCAAAAAAAGAATAAGAACATTCAGAGCTACACGGTTATTCTTGGTTTTGAAGATGTAGTACCTTCAGATATAATGTATTTTTGTACTCAGTTTCCCTTTGTTAATACGGATGAACTGAGATTCAAAGGAAACATTGTAGGTTCAGAGCCAAAGAAGCCAACCAAGAAAATAGAAAAGATACACTTTGTTTTAAGATCAGAAGAGGTTAGAAAAGAGTGTAGTAGCAGAATCTTGGATTCACAATCTGTCTCAAAAGGTTTGTTGTTTGCAAGAGATCTTACATCTGCTCCTCCAAACTACTGTGATCCAGTTAATATGGCAAAAGAAGTTATTAATATGGCAAAGTCTGTTGGTCTTGAAGGAAAAGTTCTTCAACCAAAAGAATGTGAAGAGCTTAAGATGGGAGCATTTCTTGCTGTGGCTCAGGGCAGTAAGTCCCCAGCTCAGTTTGTTCACCTTACTTATAAACCAAAGGGAAACATCAAGAAAAGAATTGCTTTAGTGGGTAAAGGAATTACAATGGATACTGGTGGGTACAATATTAAACACCAAATGATTCATTTTATGAAAGGTGATATGGGAGGAGCTGCTGCTGTTTTTGGGACAGCCTTCTCAATTGGGTTGATTAAACCTGAAAATATTGAAGTTCATTTTATCTCTGCCATTTGTGATAACTTGGTATCCAGAGACGCTTATTTGCCGGGTTGCATTGTCACTGCCTCAAATGGAAAGACTATTGAAGTTGGAAATACAGATGCAGAGGGAAGACTCACTTTGGCGGATGCTCTTGTTTATGCTTGTAACCTCAAAGTTGAGGCTGTCATAGACTTAGCTACTTTGACAGGGTTTAACTACAAGCTTTTTGAAGGTAGATATGCTTCTGTTCTCGGTAATGATGATGAACTATTCAAGCTGATTCAGGCCTGTGGTAAGACAGTCCACGAGAAATTCTGGCAATTGCCTTTGGACCCAGAGTTCCAAGAAATGGTCAAGTCTAAAATAGCTGACTTAAATAACACTTCCGAGGGAAAAGCCCCAGTCTCCACCTCGGCCGCCTTCTTGTGTGAGTTCATCAGCAAGGATATAAAATATGCTCACATTGATATTGCTGGTTGTTCAGGAATGGACACCTTTGGTAATGGCTTTGGTGTCAAAACTTTAGTCACAATTATTAAGGAGCTTTCTTCGAATTGTTGATTAATGAGCCAGATAGCTATCCTCCTTTCTATGAGAAACTGAGAATATTTTAGATAGCCAAGTACAATTCTTGGAAAGATACCTGAATATGTGGATTGCGGAGGAAGAGACGAGAGTCTTCACAAAACTTGAAGAACTCCCTCTGATCAACCTAGCCTGAATATGAAATATCTTTAGATAGGTTAAATGTCCTTTTCTTAATACCAATTTGAATTACCTACAGATATTCAATTACTGATATACATAATCCTAGATATATAGGGTAATACTTAAATGACTATATCCTTTCTAGCTAAAAATACAAACTTGCTCATTTCAAGAAACAAACTTACATGCAAAACTGGGTCAATTTTTGCATGTGTTTGCCGCCATTATAGTTTGAAATGGGAAAGCACCTCTATGACACTACTGTTTGTTTTCAGAATGTGGCGCCCATTTTGTGCGCTCTATTTGTATTATTATTGTTAATAACTGTCTCCTATATAGGTTTTGCAGGTAGTAGAATTAGATAATAGTATTAAGCTTTAAAATTTTTTTTTATAATTTTAAATAAAAAAGAGACAGGGTACTGAGTAGACATGGTTTGTCTCGTTTGACTGTTTTGGGTAAAATTACAGAAAAAAAAGCATCACTTGGATTGATCCTCCCGGTTCTAAATCTTCGATGATGAGTGCCAAAATCAGAAGCAATTTTTGCTTCTATTGAAGAGAATGGCAAAGCCGTAAATCTTATACCTTGTTACAACCACGGCCTGAGGAGTATACTTTACTTTAGTAGAGTCATTTATGGGAACGGGTCTACACAGTTTTATCTTTTCCTACTACTTCCACTATCCTTCTTTAAACCACCCAACTTGAGTTTGTTCGGAAAGAGTACTTTTTAGTTTTATGTTTTTTTTCCTATAGAATGAATTTTCTCCTTTAAGTTTTGATTCTAGTTAAAGTTATAGATATGATGAGGTTTCAAATTACTCTTTCTCAAGACAGCTAGCTTTAAATTGTCTTTTTGTAGACTGACATTGGCTCCTTTCTAGGTCTCTCTATTAGTTTTGGGTTTTTGACTGTCCATATTTTAAGTAAATAGAAAGACTTAAGTATGAGAATATCTAGTAGCATTTTGATAGAGTCTGAGAATATGGAAAGTTTTGAACCCCCAACTTCCTTCCATTCAACACTCACTGGTTGAATTTCAAGATCAAGGATTTGAGCAATAATTACAATTTCAATGTCAAAAGCCCATCTTTTAATATGCAATGAAGGGAAAATCGCCCTGGCTGATTCCCTTGAAAAAAGCTTGAACCCACACTGTGTATCATTTAAGTCTGTATTAATAATAACTTTAGTGATCTTATGGAAAGCTGTATTCAAAATTTGGCGATACCAGGCTCTCTCTATTTTTGAAACGTTAATATGATCGTTATTATCATACGAACTATTCATATTCCTTGATCCAAAAACTATCTGTAATTGCCTATCTTTGCTTAAAATGGTATCCTCCATTTCTGAAAAGCAATCAATTTTGGTTGCTCCGTCTGCATCCACCATTAGTATATATTTTCCAAGGCTTGCCATTACACCAAGTTTAACAGCATTTCCTTTTCCTTTGTTTATAAAACTAGATATTAAACGCATTCTACCTCCAAATATCTCCTTGTTTTCCATCTTTTGCCTCCAGAAATCCTCACAAACCCTCAAAGTGTTATCATTCCCACCATCATTCACTAGGATTATTTCATATATAAATTCTGGATCCTTTTTGCTTCTACCCTCCATATAATACACCATTGAACTTAATGTTTTTATAATCCGATCTTCTTCATTAAATGCTGGGACTACAATCGACAAATATAATTCTGAATCCCTCCATAAGTTCTTACTAACAATATCCCAACCTTCTTGACCTGTTACTTCCAGAATCTCACTTTTTTGGCTATAAAACACTTGCTTTATTCCTTTGTCATCATCCAATTTAGCCTTTATGTTATAGTTTCTTATCCAAATGTACACAACCAAAGCCAGCTCTAAAATGAGGAAGGAAACAAATAGCATTTTTTGCCTAAATACAACATTAAATATATTTCTTGTGAACCACATCTACAATCATGATAGTGTATATTTGCAAGTCTATAAATAAAACAAATAGATTCAGTATTTATTTATTTGAGAAAAAAAAATACCACCTCAGCTTTCAGAAGCCATAAGCTATTAAAAATCTATCTCAATATTTCCAGTCTAAACTCTTCAGCTAGCTCTTAATCTCCTGTTAATTATTATAACCACTACTAATAAACCCTAAACCTTAAATCCTAATTTTTGCCTTTTGAAGAAAACGTCAAAGACTCTCAAATTACCCAGAGCCTCCCATAAACGCACTACCTCTCAAAAAAGCACGAATTGCCTAAAGTATATTCACCTTCTTTTCTTTCTCCTTTCTCTTTTCTACTTAATCCTTACTCGAACTTGATTAATATTATATATTGAAATTTGTCCCCGCTAGATGTGCCCGCCATTCCATGTAATTGTGTCATAAAGTCCATGCAATATTATTTTACTCACACGAGAGGAGGTGATGGCCAAAAAGAGAGTACTAATCCTGCTGATTTTGATATTTATTTTGATATTTTAATTATTTTTGAGGGTTTTTGGATTCTTTGATCTGGGGAGTTGTTTATTGAACCTAATTTTTTTTTTAATAGAAATAGCTTTGTACCCACCTAACAAAAAATTCAGCTTATTCAGAAAAATATAAATGAAATAAATAAATATATTGCAAACATTTGTATATGTTTATATGAATTAAAATGTTGATTCTGAATTAAATCTTAGAAAAATGTGTGCATACGTACTATAAATAAAATATTTAAAACAACTAATGTGGTAAATGAGAGAAGATTTAATTAAGAATATATCAGATATTCTGAGTATAAGTAATCAACTTAAATTTGTAAACCCACAGAGAAATACTACTAAAATTAAGAAATAATTAAAGATTGAGATTAAAGGAAATAGTGGTAGTAATAAAAATAGGGGATGGCTTACTCTAAAATACTCTTGATAATTTCATTTGTGATATTGATACTACACCAAGTTCTTTGTGACCAAAATTGTTCAAGGCCAATCTCAAGAAGAGTAAGTCACTCTATAAGACAACTCTTAAAAAATGAAAGAGGCATTTCAAAGTATTTAAGACCCGAATGCGCATTCAATCAGGAGAATCATATATTTAATCATGAGGAAAGCATTAAAATAGTATACCCTACGGGAGAAAGACAGTGTGGATTTTGTGGTGAGATCTTCCAAGAAGAAAAAACCTACGACCAACACATGGAAAAATTTCACTCCCATCCCCAAAGTGGAGAGTTTTTTTGTGCAGAGAAACTCTGCACAATTTTTGGGCAATGTGGGGAGCCCGCCAGATTGCATGCATGTAAATCGGTCATGAAACGAGGAGATATATTGGAATTCTGCCAGAAAACTGTGCGAAGCTGTTTTTCAGAAAACCATAAGGATTCCAAATTTATTGGGATAAATTTGAGTCAAAAATTGTGTAATAAAGAAAGAATTTTGGAGGTTAATGGGTGTGTTGAGAAAGTTCAACAAAACCGTTTTAGTCTTTCTAAGTTGTTTTTTCAACATTTTTCAAAGGTTTTGTTAATTTTCATTATGTTAACCACATTTTTTCTTTCATATAAAATGAATGAATACCTTAATAAAGTTAAGTGAGTATAGAAAAATGTGATCGGGTCTTTGACTAATTCCCAACATAACATTTAGGTAGTAAATTTTTATAATTTTGATATATTTTTTCTTTGTTTCCGTATTATTACTTTTGAAATCTACTATTATTAATACTCTTAATTTGTATGCATGCACATGCACACATATTTAATATATATTACAAAATTGGTATAAGCTTGGAGACTGGGAGGAAAGCAATAATTTAATTAATCCTTATTGTTATAGAATTGATCTTTTGGTAGTAAAGCAATTAAAAAGGCTAATACAGAAAAAAGAATTGAAAATCAACAATTTTGGGTTTGAAAGAAAAATAAGTAATATTTTTTTATTGGCTTTAAGAAAAGTAGAGTAAAAAAAAAAATAATACAATTTGTCGTAAAATTGTCACAAATAAAAAAATAACTTTTTTTTGCCCTACCTACCATTGATAACCGCCTGAAAGTAATACACACACATGCACACATTCTCTTTTCTTTGCATCACGAGGCTATAAAGAAGCTAACACTTCTACCACTTTGACAAGACTTAGACAGGTAGCATTGAAAGAGAAAAAAGGGGTAAAGGTGGGAAGAACTTTGCTTGTAAGCTTATTGAGAAGAATTAAGTTAATTTTAAATAGTCAAGAGGAGAGTGAAATACCGACAAAAAGAATACTAAAAGAAAAAAAGAGTAGGTAAATTTTAATGAAAAAATAAATAAAAATTGGAAAAGAAAGGAGAGATTTAATTTTGTTATGAAGTGTTTATGGAAGCTCGAGCAATTCAAATATATAAACCAGTAAACAAGAATGAGGTTCGGTTAGTCTATAGAATAAAAAATTCAAATGTTTCGGGGGAAAATGGGAGACACCAAAAGTCTTACTCTTTTAATAAATATGGAGAAGAGAATGCATGGAATATGGCAAAAGATGCGTTCAAGTTTATTAATAGTAACAATAAACTACCATTTGACTTTAGCGATCCATGGAAAATGAAACTTATAAATAAGAGAGGCCGAAAGAGCCTAAATTATAATAGTTCTTCAATGGATGAGCAAAACTCACCAATAATTAATAATAAAAGACTTGCTTCACTCAAAAATGAATTATATAATGAAAATTTAATAGAAAGAAACGCTTCAGGAAGCAAGAATACCGCAAATCTTTCGCCTCCATCAATTTCTAATGATAAATATGCCTCGTTGAAAGACAATTATGATATTGACTCATCTTCCCCAGTATCTCCACAGGCTTCACCTAATTTAATGTATAAATTAGAAAAGAAGTTGTCTAGCTTGGAGATGAAAAACAACCAAAAAGACTACCATCTTCCCTCTTCTTCTTACTTGTATTTGCTTGCCACAGCAGCAACAGAAATTTTTGAAAAGCAGGAAGTAAATGAAGAAAAGAAGGTCGGGCCTCTTAGTACTAATAATGAGTTTCTGCAGGAGAGCTGTAAGGACTCAAACAAAGTTCCAATATCTCAAAGTAGAATAGAAAATAGGGGTTTTGATATTTCAAAAAATCATCAAAATCAGAGCATGGGCACGAATCTGAGCCAACCATGGTCCAACTATTCATCATCTTCTCCATTATCCCAAGCATTCTTACCAGAAATTCCAAAAATCATATTAAACGCAGATTCATACTATAATTTAGCTAATATGCCATATTATAATGTCCCATTATACTTTAACAATCAGGCAAATAATCAATATGCAACTGCATTAATTAATCATTTCAACCGAAATATTATGCTCTTAGATCCATCCATTCCATATTTATCAAGTAATAATAGTAATTTAAGTAAAATCCAGATTCCAAAGTGAAGTTAACTTAAAACAAAGATTAAATACACCTGTTCTTTAGTCCAAGCGTAAATTAATATAGAAAGAATCTTAATGTTAGCTTTGTCATTTGTCATGTATAACTTCATCTAAACTGCACATAACCATCACTTAGGTATTTGTTTAATTCTGTTTGTTTAACATCTTTCAAAAACTCGGTATAATTTCTCCAAACTAGATAACTCAATTACATTTCGAGAAATATCGTCCTCTACCAAGATTAGGTTGGAATTGTTTCTTATAGCTTGAAAAAGAAGTTTATTATCATCAATACCATATAAGTAATAATCCACTAAAATTTCAATCAACTCTATAAATAACTCATAAGATTTTAATATATAATCATTATATCCTTCATCCAATACATTATTTTTTTCTTTAAAATAATAATTAAAATGCGGACATAAGATTTGCTTGTCACCGGTATTAAATAATTTTTGCTTACACGCATGCACAATGTGGAAATTCCAACATGCAAAAATGACGTGTTCAAATAATTGCGGTAAATAATCGAGATTTGGGATCAAATTCCCAAAGCACAATGGAAAAGTCGAAAAAGACTTGTCAGAAGAGTTAAAATCTATCCCAAATACTTTTAGAAGTTCGAAATACATAAAAGCTTTATTTTGAATAAAATCTTCAAGCTCAGTTTGGTCCCTTTCATTTAATTCATACTCTCCAATATTTTCAGTGGTAAAGAGTGAGAGGCTACTCAGTTTAACTGGAGGGTTCAGTTTCAACAATGGGATGTAACCAAGTCTACAGACAAATGATTGTTTTAATGCAATTTTAGAGATTTCTTCGATATTAATCAGTAGAATTTGATTTTTTGCTTGCAAAATGGACCAAGAAGATTTTGCTTGGCCAATATATATTCCATTTACAATATTCCTTGTCAAGTTTTTATAATATTCCATTTTAGAAAATTCAGCAGCATTCCTTATTTCAATATCAGTTAAAAACTTCTGTTTCATTTTTATCTGATAGTTCCTCATCTCATTGATTAATGGGATTGAGTCAGTATTCAAAGACCAACTTAATATATGAGCATCTAAAACATAGTTTGAAATGTCAAAGAGTCTAAATATCTGCTTGTTTTTAAGAGAATTTTCAGAGATTGAATGATTTAATCTGTTTCTGTAATCATTCTTCTGGTTTTCATTATTTTCGTCTTGAAATTCTTGGTCATGTTTTTCATTTAATTTCATCTTCTTCTCTTCTAAATTCTCTTCATCTTCTTCAGGTCTTTTTAAAGGATTCTGAACCTCTTTACCAAAATCATTAATGTTATCTTGCCCGTTTTCTTTACTAATTAGAGAAATGTTTGAGTGTTTAGAAATACTATTAGAGGAGTATTCTTGCAAAACTAGCTGTTTTGAATCAGTTCTGACCCTTGTCACGTTTTTCGTAGAGTCCGAGTAGCTGGATTTTGATTCATTAGAATTGAAGTAATCCTTAAGTTCGAACCGTGGTTTCTTTTCTAAAACCATGTTTCTTGAATAATTAGAAGCCTGAAGAGAATTCATAACTTTCCTCTGTATTGAATCAGAAATCAAAGTTTCGTGACTAATATAAACCAAATTTTTTGTTGGATGAATATTGGGATCTACTGTCTCCGAAGGTACTTTAACTGATACAAATGCCCAGTAATTTGTCTTTGTGTACTGGTAAGCTGTCTCTATTGCTTGCTTGATTGCATTATTCTTTACCAATCTTCCATTTATAAATATAATCAATGTATTTTGTTTTGGATTATGCCCTAAACCTGAAATATATAGTTCTGCTGAAAAGTCTGGAATTTTTAAGCTTAAATCACTCATTTCTCCCACATGAAGTTCCTTTTGTCTTTCCGAATCTCTTGAAACAGTAAATTGTATTAGTTCTTTAACCACATGTGAACCATACAATAAACTTATTACATTCTTTCTTGTATTTAACCCACCATTTGTTCTTAAATCATTAGTATTATGACCGAATTTTCTCACGGTAAAAGAAACTTCAGGAAACTCTATACAGTATTTCTGAACTAAATCCAAACATTTAGCATATTCGTCTGAAGCTGAGCCCATTGTTCTCTGCCTTGATGGCATATTATAAAACAAATCGGTAAACTGAACAACTGTCCCTCTTTTTGCCGAAGCAACCTCTTCCAACTCCGAAACCATCTTCCCATCAGAAAATGATGCTTTATATGCATAACTTGATCCCTCTGTCTTGGATGTTATGTTCAATTGAGATACAAAACTGATGCTTGACAAAGCCTCACCTCTGAATCCAAAGGTCTTCAAAGACTCAATATCTTTCAAGGTTGTTAATTTACTAGTTGCAAATCTTTCACACAACATTGGAAAGTCACTCTTATCTATCCCAGAACCATCATCTGATATCTGCAAACTCTGAATTCCACCTTTTTTTAATTGTAATAGAATATTCTTTGAACCAGCATCCAAACTATTTTCCAAAAGCTCTTTCAGTGCATGAGATGGGCTCACAACTACCTCTCCAGCTGCAATCCGAGATATTACTTCATCAGATAGCTTCCTTATCCTACCCATTAATATTTCCAATTTCTAAAAATGTTTACTGAGTCATTGGCCGCCACTTCTTATGTTTTTTCCAAAAAAATTATTACATACCGGCATGCCAATAAAATGCATGCAACCGCGGGGGGGAACAATCCAGTCCAAAAAATAAACAAAAGTACAGTTATACTATCTATCAGGTATAGTAAAGTCCTATAATATCTAATGAAATAATTCATCATCTCCCAATAGAGCTAAAACGATACTATGTCAATGAGGATAAAAAGAGTGAGAGTCGGCCGGTGCCACATAATACCCTCATTCATCCTATCACCGATGGAAGAGTCAATTCATGCTAAAAAGGCATCAAAAACTAGCAAATTTCAAGCACCAAACTAACAGAGATCCTCAGCCAAAGTATATATCAATTCCCGAATGTTAATGTTTCAAATACAGTTCCACAATCTCTACCCATTTCCAGTGATTTGAAAAGCATTCCAAGGAGCGAAATAGTAATATATAACACTTCAGATTCAAAAAAAAGGAACTCAAAGATAGTAATTTGCATGTTTTACCATCCTATTCTCCCAACCTTTCTTATTCAGATTGAAAAATACTCAGATTTCCTTTCCTAATTGGCATTCCTATTCTGTATCTCATTTCTCAGTACTGTCGAAAACTCTATAGTTTGATTGTTTTATCAATGAGCCTCCTCATTACTACAACCTAATAGATATTGTCTTTACATTCCACCTCTAAGTCTCAATACCAAATGTAAAGTGGACTCTTTTTGGATATTGTAATCAGAAAGAGTTCTTCCATCTTCTAATTGCTTCCCTGCGAAGATTAAACGTTGTTGATCAGGTGGAATTCCCTCCTTATCTTGAATCTTTGCCTTAACGTTCTCAATTGTGTCCGATGGTTCAACTTCTAAAGTGATTGTCTTTCCTGTCAATGTTTTGACAAAAATCTGCATACCACCTCTGAGTCTTAAGACTAAATGTAAAGTGGACTCTTTTTGAATATTGTAATCAGAAAGAGTTC